CTAACATCACCAACCCAACTTTGAACTACGTAAATATCCCTAATACTCCTATTATAATATCTTATTTTTAATCTAAATGATATAACTATAATTCTAATAACCATCTATTAAATTTAAATAATGAATATCTATTATATTAATGATATTAAGATATTTTTAATATTTTATAACTTTTTTATTATTTTTTATACACAAGTATATATTTTTTCCCTATAAGTTTTATTAAATTATAATAATAGTTTATAAATATATATATATTTTCTAAATATAATATAACCCTATTAATATTGATATTTTATTATCTCTACTATAGATTAGAATTATATATAGATTCTATTATATAATTTTTAAGAAATTATTAAATTATTTTTTAAAAATCTTATCTTATCTTATCTATCTTATCTATTATACCTATGCACGGGCCATTGAATTGTGACGCTCTTGGCAACCCCACCTACCCCGCTATGCACGGGCCATCTGAATTGTGACGCTCTTGGCACCCCACCTATGCACGGACCATTGAATTGTGACGCTCTTGGCACCTCACCAAAAAAAAACTCAAATATTCAAATTTTTGAAAAATTATAGCACCCTTAACATAATAGATATATAAATAAAATAATATCCTATATATAGTTTAAGATTAGCTCTATCTTATAAGCTTTTCAGAAAATTGAAAATAAATTTCCTCAGTTCATACCCTAAGCCGGAAACAACCTCTAGATTGGATGGATGAGTGTAAGCATTCATGTGAGATGCATAATATGGCTATGCTGATTATTGCAGTGTACGAGTGGCTTAGCTCTCGCTGTAGCCGAGATTGTTGTCGGACCTCTCCTGAAGCCGGTGGGCCAAACGAAGTGGCAACTAGTCTTCGCTTATGCAGGCCTAACCGCTTTTCTGGCTGCAGTGGGATCATGTACACAGCACAATCAAGGAAGGGCTCTAGCGGTATACTGATACCATTCTGATCACTGCAATTGCTGATTTGCGAACAGTTTACCACAATCTCGGGATTCTTCACTGGTTGGCTTGAACTCATATGCCTTGTTGCAAATGGGTTAGTGGTGCAATCCAGTGACTTAGGTCTTGCAAATGGCTTTTTAGGCTCTATAAAGCAGATTGCGGGATCAGTAGCTGGTCCGTAGGAACCATGGACGTCCAAGAAGCGCAGCTAATTCGGCAACAGTAAGCATTTATGTAGCGGTGCTGACCAACCGCATTGACGTCGAACTGCCAAAAGCAGTAACAAGTGCTGCAATTAATGCCGGTCTGCCTAGCACGTCCGTCGTTGCTGTGCTCGGAGCAGTTGCCAATGGAACAACAGCAGCCTTAAATGCTGTGCCTGGGATTAATCCCAACATTGAAGCCGCCGTTACTAATGGCGTTAAGACAGCATATGCTTCAAGCTTTAAGACTGTATATCTTGTTACAATTGCTTTTGGGGGCATCGCATTCATTGCGGCTCTTTTCACAAGCAACATCAACGCAATGCTGAACAATTACGTCAGTCGTCGTATAGCGGGCACAGTCGCGGATAGTATTCCCACTGAACTTACTTTAAAACACACTCGAGACACCTATGAAGTTGAAGTCTAGAAGGATTTGCAATGGCCAAGATGCATAAATCGAGTGAAAAAAATCAATTTGAACATGTAGGCAGAAAGTGGTTTATTAAAGTACATAAACTTGGTATTAGGAAATAGTATGATTTGGTTAAGTGATCCAGTACGCAATCAGTTTAGTCTAGATGCTGGCAGTGTTAATGCTTATACATGAAAAGGATACTCTTTGATATTATATACTTGAGTCCCTATGTTGTGATACGTGGTACCGGATGGGGAAGTATACAGATGACAATACTGGCAGAGGAGCATAAGACCATTATAGAGAGATATAGAGTGGGGTCTAATCAAAGACGGAACTTACAAGAGTAAAAGCATTAGAGAAGACAATAGATGGGAGAGACGAAGAGAGCAGCAGAACATTTTCTTTTGCTTTGCTTCTGATTTGCTTTAACCTAGTTTGCTCTAGGGTTACTTTAATTTACTCTATCTTATTCTTTGTGCTTCTAGCTTACTCAGTATTGTTCATTTACTTAGTGAGCCCTACTAGGAAGTCTTCTCTTAATTGCTGTCCGTTGAGATAAACCTCATATGCTCCTTTAAGACTCCATCTCTTCCATTTCTCCTTATCTTGGAAGCGGCCGTAATATCGTGTACCCTAAGCTCCAGCAGATAGTCACCCACAACAACTTTACAGTCTAAACCCGTTTCAACCGGATAAACCCTCTTTGCATAACGAACGGGAAAAAGAAATAAGAATCAGTACAAATTTTGAATATTAAGGATATGTATAAAATATAAGTAATTAAGCTTACTACCAACAAGATCAACAGGTAAAATACTTAGGGAAATGGTTATACTAAAAGCTAAGGACTCAGGATAAAGAATTTTAAGAATTATAAGGGCAACGTAGAAAAAGTACGCAGTTTAGAAAAATAGATAATCGAATGAGGCAACTATTGGTACTGATAACTAAGTAGTTAGGCTAGACAACGTTACATATATGGAGAATATACTAAGAAATTTAGGTGTATATAAGATGCAAGCTTAGTGCCTCTCGTTTGTCTCTTTGTCCTTACAATAACCACGAAATCCAATGGATTAATGGCAATTTTTCAATTTATGAATTTGCGTAGAACGCTACCCTTGAATCTCCATCCGAATCTCCTACCTCAACAGCAACAAGCAACTCTAGCTCGACGGATGATCCCTCCTTCAGATCTTCTCACGTCACATAATCGTCTGTCTTCAACAAGTCAGGGAGAAGAGAATTATGTCTTAAGCTCAAAACCCATTTTGCAGGCTGTTAAACCGTTAGCACTATTAATGGTGAATATACGTGTGCGTCAAAACAGATGTAACAGCAATATACAGGACAATGTCCGTCCCTGCCTATTTGTAAGCATAATTGGCACATTAATTTAGCTTTCTCTGTTCGACTTTTATCTGCCAAGAATTCTATGATCATCTCTTAGCAAAAATTGATATTATTCCCTTCTGGATTAGAAGGCTTTTGTAAACGAATCATTGGTTATACTAGAAATTCATGTTATTATGAATTCTTCGCTCATATTCTTGCTTCAGTCTCCACAGTTTTCCAACCTCTGAAAGCCGATAATCACTTCACGTATTATATTTCAATTTTTTTTCCCAAGTTTATTAACTCGCACTGAAGCCAAATATCTGCAGTATTCAATTACAGCGTGACTTAGGCTATGTCGTTTGGAAGTACAGAGGGTTGTTTAAAAGGTTAAGATATGATTTATGGCCAGATATCTATCCTGCAGGACGTTTTCGTAGAAACCCCAAACTAATTCAAATGGCGGGGTAGTAGCAAAGATAGCGCAATCAAGGGGAAACATGTTCTCTTCTAAGATACTCCCGTTTGGCTAATTTGCCGAGGCTGAACATACTGTAATGAGCGCAATGCGGGGCTTACGCGTCAGAACTTCTAACATGGGACCATGATCGGGGATAATTGAGTGGAGGGGAAAATCAACTGTTATTATAAAAAGATGGAATAGGAATTTTGTTTTTTGCTTCACCACACCAGTTCTTCTATGTAGAATAGGCAATTGTCCAAAAAGACACAATGCCAACGACAAATTTCCATGTCCCCGAAAAGTATCGGTATCTGCAAGGGTTTGGGCATTACCACCAGTATGTTTCACTGTTGGCTCTGAGTTCCCTCGTTACTAAGTGGTAATAAGGTCTGAGGCCTTGGAAGGAGCAAACCCTGTTGGGGCAAACAACCCTCAAGTTCCTCCATATGGGTTGATCACAGAGAGAATATCTGGGACCTCCTTCACAGCCAGCCGGTCCGAAAATCTTCAGACATTCCTCTATCGAGTGAGCCCTTCACATTATCATGGTTACTACCAGGATTATGCCAATCCACGACTCCCAACATTTGAAGAGGAAAAGCCTAACATAACGCCAAATTCTTATCGATGGAAAGAGTTTCCAATTCAAGTCGACAGCGACTGGATTACCGGTCAACGAACTATTGCGCGAGCAGGCGATCCGGCGACAAAGTCAGGACTTGCATATATGATGTATGCCGTTCTCAAGGACATGGAGCTGCAGACCGTATTTTACTCGGCCGATGGAGATTATTTGGTTATCCCTCAAGCCGGCACACTTGATATCGAAACCGAGCTAGGAAATATGTTAGTTCGACAATATGAAATAGCCGTGATCCCTCGAGGCATTCGTTATAGGGTTTCCATCCCACATGGTCCTGCACGTGGCTACATATGCGAGCTCTACCACGGCCACTTCAAGCTTCCTGAGCTCGGACCAATAGGTTCCTGTTGTCTCGCAAATGCACGTGACTTCCTGGTTCCTGTTGCCAGGTTTGATGGAACTGTTGAGAACGGTCAAGCAAAGACTCTTTCTGGAAAGCCTTGGAACATTGTGGCAAAGATGAACAATCGATTTTTTGTATGCCAGCAGGATTCGACCCCTTTCGACATTGCGGCATGGCATGGCTCGTATTACCCCTACAAATACGACTTGGGGCGATTCGTCGTTCTTGGGAGTTTGCTCTTCGACCACCCCGACCCAAGCTTGTTTACCGTGTTAACCGCCCCGTCTCACAGAGAAGTTGGTTCGGCAGTTGTAGATTTTGCCATTATCCCCCCTCGCTGGCAAGTCATGGAAAATACATACTGGGCGCCGTATTTTCACCGCAATACCATGAGCGAGTTTTCAGGAAGTATAATTCACAACCAAGATCCAAATTTCTCATTGTCCAAGGGCCCCGACTTTAAGCCATACGTCGCGGTTCTAAACAATGCCATGGTAACTCATGGAATGGATAGACAGACGCACGAAGCAGTCTCGCGTCAAGATACCTCTCCGAAAAAGACTGGAGGCGAAGGATTCACAATATTTTTGCTTGAAAGTGAATATATGTTAAATCCAACAAATTGGGCCGTTGAAGCATTAGGGAAGAGCATCGTCGACCGGCACCAGTCTGTTCCTAAGATATGAAATTGCAAGACATAAGATCCGAAATCACTCCAATCTTTCAAATTTACTGTAACTGCTCAAACTAATCCAGATCGGACAAGTATTTATGGAGAGTATAATCTTCGCGAGTGCATAGTTTGGAGATTGAAACGAGAAGAATTTAACACTTCTTTAATCCTAAAAGATACAAATAGGTCTGATGCTAAACATTCAAAAAGGAATGCATTAATGATGTCTCATTCCACGTATAGAGAGTGGCCTAAGTTGGCTTCGTCAATCATCCTTCTCCTCACTTGATGTCGGCTTTGTCAATGCTAACCCCTCGTCAGCAAGAAATCCTGGATTTGTCTCAAACCGCGGATCGAGCCACAAACAGCGCTCATCTTTATCAGCAACCATCTCTTTGATAGTTTTTGGAAGCTTATGTCCGCCGAAGTAGTAAACAACACTTCTGATAGCACCGATTATTGAAACAAGTGCATACAACTGCTTGTACACTGGAATTGTGAGCGATCCCCAGAAAGTAGGCCGTAGATCTGGTCGTCTCCTGCATGAGATGTAACGAAACCACATCAAAGGGAGTATAGACGCCAATGTGAGTAAACCAGCCTGGCGCCAGTAGTTGCCGTTTGTACCCATGGTTACTATCACTGGTACGCGGATCCAATCAATGACGATACAGGCAATCGAGTATATGTAGACAAATTTTTGTGCAAGAATTGCCCATGGCGCACGCTGACCATTAAGGGAGAAAAAAAGCCGGTCTATAAATGCGAAGAGACGTCCATGTCGACCCATTTCCCACGAACGTACTCGCTGGTGGTACCAGTTCAAGCCTTGTCCAAAAATTGTACTAGGCACTTCTGTCTCCAACACGCAACGAGTGTCAAATGCAATTAGTTTATTCATTTTTTGCATGCTGACTCCCGTGTTAACATCTTCTGCGATGAAGTCAATTGAATGATAATTGGAGATAAGATCGATCAGTGTCTCTCGTTCACAGAACCAGCCAGCACCGTGGGGAAACAGCACACCGCAAATTTGACTCTCAGCCAGTTTGGTCAAGCCTGCCATTCTGTACTCGCAATCTTGCCAGGCAACCATAAAAACTGGTACGTTGCCATTGGCGTCCGTAGCTTTGAGTGGGAAAGCAACGCCTTTCGTCTTCTCGTTGACAAGATCCAGCGGCGCGCGGAAGTTTGTCGGGATGCAAACGTCGTCATCAACCGTCATGATGTATTGATGGTTCCGTGCAGCCATTGCGCCAACAAGCTGCGCTGCGTTTTTACTTCCTATCGGCGACCAAATGTAATTGATATCGGGGTGCTGTGAATAGATGAATTCACGGAACTCGTTGTCTTTGGGATACATCGACCTCCCATTATCGACGATAAATATGTCTTGTGGTCGAAAGTGGGGGTACGCAGACTCAAGGACTCGCTTCATAGCCTCGTGGTCGCTGTTGTGACACGGAATTACGAGCGCGGTGAGGTAATCATCGTTTTGCTGTACCTCCTTCTCAAGCGCTGCCATCTGATCTGTAAGATTGGAGTCTGCGGCTGGGTTTGATGGTGAAGCATCATTTGAGGAGATATCAGGAATTTTGGCCACCATTAATATGATCACGATCATCATAGGCTCCAGTCCAATTACGAGTATGAGCACAGGGAGCATGTTTCGTCTAGTGATTTCCATAGATTGTTGGATCCAGTGGAAAGCCTGCTCTGTGACGACAATAGCAGCAATTGCCAACGCCACGAGAAGAAGGACACCATATTTCTTCCATGTAAACGGCCAGAAGATTTCGCGGATGTCGATCATACTCCAGAACGTATGAGGGTCAAAATGTTGGTAGATCTTGGCTCTGAGCGCTTCCAACGCCCTCCAAATGAAGGACTGCTGTGGCTGTTCTTGATTTATTGCCAAAAAGTCATTGCTCCCCGCTAGCAGTGACTTTCGCATCTCAGCTGATGATGGTGGAACATAATGAGCCGACTCGGACGCAGGGGTCGCGGCACCACCGATACTGAAGTAGTCAAGGTTATAATCGTCCAGTGGCAGCGTATCGTTAGAGTAATGAAGTGCCTTTCCCTCGTCGAATGGATTGGATAATGCAGATAGCGATGGAGAAGGAGCTGGGCTAGCTGCACGCGACGAAGACGTCGAGTTCGATCCGATTCGAACTAATTGAGGAATCCTTCTGTTTGACTGGATTCTGGCAGGAATTGGTGAGAGCATCGGGCTTGGTGCATCATATGAGGATGGATCATCAAGGAGAGAGGTGAATCCATCACGGTCCGTTATGTTTCTCTTTCGCGAAGCTAAAAACGTCTTGAGTCCAGGCATTGGGAATGCACGCTGTGAGAAGAATTCGGGACACGACGGATGTCGGCAAAGAGTGAGTGAACGGAGTTGCAAACTCTCCAGGAGCCAGCAGAGTGGCCGGATCAGAGAAGCTCACGGGCTAATGAGAGATGCTGCAAAGTGCAAGAAGGATTGTTTTCTTCAGAGTGAGAGGATTTAGCTTCGCAGTCCTGGAATGAATGATGTGAACAGGGGCCAACGCTATATAGAGCAGACGAGAAATCCAGAACACACTTCGGCATACCAACCTGAACCGGGAGCAAAATCGGCTGCTAAGCCGTATGGTATACCGCGACCATAAATTTGGTTCCAAATATCGGCAATGATAGGTGCCATGTTGGCCGCGAGAATAGGATAGTCCACAGGCCAGACCACGGGCAGCGAGTTGCAAAGGGCGAGAATATTGCTAGTAAGTTGGGGTACATGTCTGAGAGTGGATGGGTCAACTGCAGTTTGGACACTTCTAGATTTCTTCAGCAATGGGACCATGTCCATAAGCTGTTCAAAAAGTCACAGCGTGACTACTGCTAGGCGTATTTGGGACTAGTGTTAATACTCTTGACCATTTTTTTGGGACTTGGAAAAAGAAAATGTCGTCATATTCTTCAAAATATATTGGTACCTAAAGCTTACTACTTCTTAAAGGTCTACTCGGAGGGATCTTGCTGCGTTCCCGTTTAGGAAAATAGGCCACTAGCTTACCGTGGACCTTATTGCGCCAAAGTGGTGATTTTGTACTAGAATAAGTGTGTCGCAGAGGCACGGCTTTGCTCCCGAATAACGTAGTCCCGACAGTTTGGGTGGATTCTTCTAGAGGAGCTAAGCGTAAGGCTCCAGGTAGACCTGATGAAATTGACCCGACGACATGGTCTGGGCCTAGCTCACGATGCACTTACTCTGGGCTCTGGCCAAGCACTGACATATCAGTAGTATGAAACACGATGGATCACAGCCAGTTGAGGAGCATGGAAGGTTTAAAAGGATGTAAAAGAATCTTACTTTCGCAGGTTATGCTGACGTGATTGGGCATATTTAAGTTAGCACATTTTACCCATTTTCTCAGAACGCACAGACTCTTCAGCCGAGTCAGCCTCGTACGCCTAGAACAACCATTTCAACACCTACATTCATAACCTACGGCGAGGCGGAGTAAAGATCCTTCCTTTAGCGTTCCCTCCTTCTCGTAGCATGTGTCAGAGCGCAAGATGTAGGCCCCATGCCTGAGCAACTTGCGGCTAGATTTCAAAGCAAATCGTCGACAAGCGGATTATCAATGCGTTGGCCATGATGTCTAGCCATGTAGCTGAAGGCTTCGAAGTGCTAGTGAAGGAACATGAAGACTAGGGTTGCTATCTGTATATAAATATGCAGGCTCAGTACGAGGAATTTGATCAGTTCAACACATTCTTTTCATTCATTTCACAACAAACGCTCTTTGCTCTTTTTTCTCCATTTTCCGACCATTTCCCTCCTTATCCACATTCATTCGTTCTCTGGAGACCAGATTCACCACATTTCTTGTTGACCACGTTCATTCTACAACCTGTTCAACATGTCTTTGTCATTCTTTCAGTCCAGACTCGCATCAGATATCATTGCATCCGCAAGATCTTCTCGATCCAACACCCCTGTGTTTTTCGATGATGACGCCTCATCTGTCGCATCGGGTTATAGTACTCCGTGCACGGAAAGATCTATCCTTTTCGAGCCTGTTGACCGAACACCTTTCCTAAGCCAAAATCAAGATCAAAATCGAGTGCTTGTCGTTGGCGGCCTTGGGTTCATCGGAAGCCACACCACATGGGAACTGCTCAAGACGGGACGGAATGTAGTCATAGTAGACGATCTCAGCAACTCATACATCACCATTCTCAACCGCCTAAAGCAGTTGACCGACAAGTACTATCAAGGCAGCGAGAAGAAGCCAACTATTCAGTTCCACGAGGCTGATTATAGGTGCACGCGTACAATGACCGGCATCCTCAGGCAATACGAAGTCCGAGCAAATGATGGCACAGTCTCATCTGGTATTTCTGGTGTCATCCATTTCGCAGCGTACAAGGCCGTTACAGAGAGCATTCAGCATCCTTTGAAATACTACGCAAACAACGTTGCTGGTATGGTCGACTTCTGTTCCTTGCTGGACAAATTCAATATCAAGACGTTTATCTTTTCGTCATCGGCAACAGTTTACGGAGAGCTTGCAAACGGGGGTGGCAAGCTGAGAGAAGAGCTCTGCACCCATCAGACTACGCAGTGGGTTGACAATGAAGGAGAGGCGCGAGAGACTTTGAGTGGCAGTACAGGCCTGACAAATCCATATGGCAGGACCAAATGGATGTGTGAAGCCATTCTCAGCGACCTTGCGGCCTCTGATCCTGAGTGGAGGATAATGGCACTTCGATATTTCAATCCGGTCGGTGCTGACGAATCGGGCCTACTTGGCGAGGATCCCAGAGGAACTCCTAGCAACCTCATGCCAGTGCTGGTTCAAGCAATGACTGGCGAGCGAGAGGAGCTCAAGATCTTCGGTTCTGACTGGAACACAAGAGATGGAACTTGTATTCGAGATTTCATTCACGTCAGTGACCTCGCTCGTGGCCATTTGGCAGCGCTCGATGCGGCGACTGGTGACAGCGCAATAAAAGGCTTTCAAGCTATCAATCTTGGCACGGGCAATGGTGCTTCAGTGAAGGAAGTTGTAGCCGCGATGGAGGATGTCATTGGCCGTTCCATTCCCACCCGACTGGTTGACCGCCGAGAAGGAGATGTAGGAGTGTGCATTGCCGACACAACAAAGGCTTCGAACCTGCTTGGTTGGTGTGCGCGGAGGACAGTTCGAGATAGCTGCCGCGATGTTGTGAACTTCTTGAAACTTGACGTGTAATTTTAGATCAACTTCTCTGTAACAAATACTACTTTGGAAAGTGTTTTGCGCAATTTTGGGAAATTGTGTAATTATAATTTAGTTGTATTATCTTGTAAAGAATTCAATGCTGAGCCAATGTCTATTTTTCGAAATTTAACTCACTGTAGAACCCAGAGAAACATGGAAGTAGAATATATTTCAGCTGGAACGCAAGATGATGTGAGGTTGAACACCGAAGCAGGGTCCGCTGATAACTTATGCAGAAGAAACTAGCACTGGCGCCACCATCTTTGCCTGTTTCATGTGGACGATCATGACCTAGTTATTGCCAGAAAAAAAAACAAAAGGAGAAATTTCTAAACGATTAACATTATTATTAAGATTTATGCACTTCAGATCAGACCATCAAAAAGTAAGGGTACAAGTACACATGTTGCCCCAAGCAAAGATAGATCTGGTAGCGTGATCATGGGCGCGGCCGACGTAGGAACTGGAGATCCCAATGATTTGTCGATCGAGCAAACTACTCCCCCGACTGTATTGCCCGCTGAATTGCTTGGACTTGCATTGAAAGCCATTTCAATCCATTGAACCTGCATAGACGCCGAACCGCCACTCACCATACTTCCTGAGAACGGCCCAGCATTGGACCACAAGTTCAGGATGAACATTGACTCGTGAGATGGAACATGGACTGTTGTCTTTGCAAGCTGTTTGCCATCCACGTACCATTTGGATTGACCTGGAAGCCAGTCCAATCGATACACGTTCCAGTTCGTGTAAGATGGAGAAGACGTGTTGAAAGTAGATCCAGATATTATGTCTCCATTATCATCCGTGGTCGGTTGATTAGAGAAGTGCGTTCTTCCTGGAGGGTCACGGGTTAAGACTTCGACATCAGATTCTTGCGTGTCGTTGTAGTAAGTGAATATTCCAGCAACTGCCCCTGGATTCCCGCTGACCCGGGCGCTGACACGCAGAGAACCGTATGTAAAGTTCGCTGCGGTGAAATCAAGTTCAGCTGCAGATTGGTATGTTGCGTTTTCACGACGCGTGACAAAATTTAGAGCCCCATTCTCTGCGGCCGCTGTTAGATCAACTTCAATCTTTCGTCACCACATGACTAACCTATAAATATATTATCTTTCACGTAGGCCATAGGGATGGCATTTTCAGTGGAAGGCTCTCTGAACTCTTCGCGGATTGTCCAGTTGTTTACCCATGAGCCATCACTCACGATAAGACTTCGAGGAAGCGGTGAACCAGGTTCAGAAGACGAGCTGTTAGACGTTATGTCTCTGAAATCGTAGAATCTGTAGTATTCAAAGTGATTCTTGGAACCGTTCACGGAAAAGGAAGTACACGGGATGCTGCCAGCGGCAAGTTCTAGCATGGAAAAATAAAGGAGAGGGTAAAGCATCTTGCAGTAGCCTACTCCGCGAGTATCGAAGTTAGAGACTATTCATTCGCTTCTGAAAGCCCTTTTTTTGAATAAAAAAGAGCCCATCGATAAATCCGTTGTTGGATCTTTTGGTTGATTCGTCTTCCCTAGCGAGTTGATTTCCAGTGATCCATAGCTTCTTGGGACCGTGATGCCGCGCTTGCAAAGTCTGCTAGACAGTGCAGACCGCGATACCCCTGCATGACGTGCACGATCGATCTGGCAAAAATCGTACCAAACATGAAATCAATCTAGATCGCTGTGGCGACATTTTCGGATGGAAAGACGAACTTTCGGGAACCGGTTCGACACGGTTCCAGACTGCGTCCCACATGTTTGTGCTTTTGGTCGGCGATGCAACCAGAGTTTGAAAATAAAAAGAGGATCACAATCGTACAAGCTATAAGCTTCTTGGAATTAACTCGGTTTAAATAATACCCGCACACGTAAATGACTCGAATCTCCTTTTTATCGCCGTGCTAATTGGTCCCGTATCTCGGAGTACGTTTCGAGTGGTATCCTGTTACCCTTGTATAATTACTTCGAGTTGAGATTTTCTGCGTATGCAAGGGCTCGGCGAGAGCAAAGTCAGCCGCGCTGCTTTGGTGTATCAACAATGACAGCACGTCAGGTTTATGGAACAGTACACTTGAATCGAGGTTGTCCAGAGGTGTGCCTCTCTTGATTCTGCCCGATCGGCAAACTCCGTTTGCGCCAGTTCACCAGCATGCATACGAAGCTCTACTCAGACCAAAATTCGGATCACAGCTGCTCGATTCCGTCAATGAGCCGCTCGAATCCTGTTTGGTTGGCACCGTCAAGATCAGTTAGCAACTTCGCCCTGCGATCGTGTCAGATTTTCGTCACCCGGAAACCGCGGAATTACGCACAAACTGGTCAACTTTCTCTTTGCCAGACTTTCCTCGAACTCTTTGCTCTTGCGCTTTGCGATATCGAGAACACTCGCTGGAAGCCCCGCAAGTCTTGCTACGTTCAGTCCATAGCTCCTGTGCGCAACCCCTTCGCCAACTTCATACAGGAATGTGATGTCTTCGCCTCTCTCTTGAAACTTGACGTGCACGTTTTTCAGTCCCGTGCAGTTCTTTTGTAGACGTGACAAATCTTGATAATGCGTGATGAACAAGGTCATAACCCGACGATCGACAAGCTCGCGAAGCACCGACTCCGCTATAGAAACTCCATCATGCGTACTCGTACCCCTTCCCAGTTCATCAAGAATCACAAGCGAGCGTGGCGTCGCTTGCTTCAGAATATCGCTCGTCTCACCAAGCTCGACCATAAAAGTAGACTCTCCTCGCATCATGTTGTCGAAAGCACCCATGCGCGTGAAGATTGCGTCGAGCATACCCAATTTAGCTGAGGCCGCAGGCACAAACGAGCCAATCTGGCCCATGATGGCGATGAGTGCGATTGACCGAACGTACGATGACTTCCCTCCCATATTTGGTCCCGTTATAAGAAGAGCGCTGGGGTTCTCTTCCAGCTCACTTTGGGAAGCCATGGTTATGTCGTTTGGTACATAGGCGTCGAGTAATAATTGTTCTACCATTGGATGTCTTGCTCTTCGAACTTGAATCATCGCTTCAGACGCGAACGTTGGTTTACAGTATCCTGGCTGCGATGCCACCTCTGCCAAACTCAACAAACAGTCGAGCTGCGACGTTGCCTGTATGCAGTCTCTCAGTGGTTGATAGAATGCCGAGATTTCATTGAGGAAGTCACGGAAAGCCTCGTCGCATGAAGCGGCAAGCGACTCCTTGTGCAAATCTCGTTCTTTCAGCATCTTGATAACATCAGGAGGGTGAAACCTGGCAAGCTTCTTCGTTCCAGAGATCTTTACCCACGAAGCAGGAACCTTCTTGATACTCCCGGCAGCGGTTTCTACTTCGATTAGATACTCGATGCCCGCTACGGTTGTATATTCAACCTTTGTCTTGCCGAGGATAGCTCCAGCCTTGGATCTATATTCATCGAGCTGGTGCTCCACAGACGCAATACTTAGCTTGTTCTTTTTGATCTTCTCCGTTTCATACTCGTCGCGGAAGAAAGAATACTTGTCATCATCTTTTGCAGCCTGCATATTTATACGGTCCAGAAATTCTACAACCCGATCAGCTACAGGGGGAAGCTGTGAGATCATCTCGTTAAGAGTTGTGGACCTGAAGCCGGTGAAGTTTGTACCTGTGAGATGTCCAAACTCATTTCCCATGCGATGAAGCGTCTGTAGGAATCCAAGCAGTTCAGGTCGCGACGCCTTTTTGTAGAAAATCCTAGTGAGAACCTTTTCCAAGTCAATTTTGATATCTGAAAGAATCGTCTTGAGCCTATCAACATGCACAGCACGCTCAGTGTCCAAAAGCTCTTCAACCGCGTCGACGCGATCTTGCAACCTTCTCGTGTCAAGTAGCGGCCTACCAACCCAGTTCCGAAGGAGACGTTTACCAAATCGTGTTCTTGTGCGATCGAGAGCCCAAAATAAACTGCCCTTTTCGGAATGGTCGGCCTGATTGTTGTATATCTCAAGGCTACTGAGTGTGTTTCCGTTGAGGAGCATATGCGTTCTAGCACTGAAGGACTGGAAGTTTGTGGTCAACTCAAAGATGTGCTCAAGGCCGTACTCGGTCAGGTGCTCTATCATAGCCGATAGGCATACGGTGACATGTTCCGATAATTGATGCACCTTGTCGAGGATGTAACTGCGTTGATCTGCCGTTTGGCTTTTGGAGGACGAGACCTTGTCGGCATAGAATGTTGAAATGTGGCTGTACGCTCGGCCGGCCATCATTGCGTCCTTGTCCATGCGCTCAACGCGTGCGCGGTCACCAAAGACGTTGGACTTGGTACCAGACAAGTGCTTGATTAGCTTCTCCGTTGCGCCCGAGAGCTCACCTACGATAAGATATTCGCATGGCGCGATGTGCAAAAGCCTTGTCTCAATTTCACTCCGCATAAATCCGTCCTCAAAGTCGTCATATATAATTGCACCTGTGGCAGGTTGAACGGCTACTATGCCAACGTGCACCTTCTCATCATTTCCAGATCCTTTACAGCTCGACTCTGTCAGACAAAGTAAAAAGCCGGTCGAAGTGGCACCAGCTGGCGCCGATGCTGGAGAATCTAGCGCCTCCAGGTCGTCCACGTAGGTGCCCTTGGTGTAGACATTCGTGAGCTTCCGTACAAACGGAGCATTTCGGTTGTCACCGGCGGCCTTCAGCGCAGCGGTTTCGAGCTGCCGTACAACGCCAACCTTGTAGCCGGCCTGCACAAGTCGTTTGACATGAACATGTAACCTGGCCACAGGGAATGATGCCGAAGCGAAACGATCGTATGCGGACTCGGAAGGATGGTTGTCATAGCGGTACTTGCCAGGTATGCAGACGATACCTAGTTCTTTGCTCGCGACTCGAGCATCTTCGCCGAAGAATCTGAACTTGTAGCCCACCTCCATAACAATGACGGTGTCTAGATGCTTCCTCTTAATGTCGAGATATTGCGTTTCCATCGGCGTCAACTTCCCACTTGCTCTTGCTCCGCCTTTAGGTTTTGCCTTGTCACCTTTCTTCGGCGCTTCGTCTTCGTCCTGCTCTTCATCGCCAACGGCATTTTCAACGTCGTCAGCAACCGCCTCGTTCTCACGTTGGATGACATGATTTCGTCTCTTGATCTCTGCTATGGCATCTGGACGACCCAGCTTCTGCACGAAGCGTCGATGCAGCAGCTGCTTATGCCTCTTGCTCTCCTCGCTCTCCGACTCGGATTCACCACGGTGATTGTCGATCTGCGCACAGCTACTCGAGAAAGCATACTTGGAAGTCTTGGACGGCACATTCGAGGTATTATGCGACCGAGATTTTTCGACGCACGTGCGTTGTGCTGGCACGTCGCCTTCGTCGTCGCTCTGCCTCGCTCGCTTGGGACTGGGCTCTTGATTCTCAGCGTCGCTGTCCTCCTGATGTATGCTCCGCTTCGACGCAGCTGAAGCTTTGCGTTGTAAAGAAAGAGCCACGCCTCCATCCACGAGCAACAAATCGTCACTTGCGGGTTCTCGCGGAGGGCTCGAAGCTGTTGCTCGTGCCGCAGTGCTCGACTTGGGACCGAAGAAGCTCGATATCGTCTTCTGTTTCTTTTCTTGAGATGCTGAAGGTGGCTGTGACCTTCTCGGCGGTGCCATGGCGAAATCAGCTGTCTCACTATGGTTCAATGGCTAACAAAATTGCGTCTTCACGACAATCTGAGTTGAAGACATTTCCGATTATGACGAGTCGTGCCACCTAAGTTAACGCGTCGCGTCCGCACGTGACCCAAATTCGCATCTTGGGTTTTGCTCAACTACAAAACCCTGCGAGCAAGCCGCCTGGGGCTAGGGATTGTCAAGTTTAGTCACTAATTGAATCGTGAACAGATAGGCAGTCAATTATTCTTTGTGCAGTGACAATCATTTCAAACATTCGCGTTCAGAGAAGCATCTACACGAAAATGTCACAGTCGGTCAACGATCAAACATTTTGGCTAGGCGGGGAAAGACTTCCCGGGTCCATCGTTTACATGCAGCGCCGTGAAATCATATCTCGAGAACATTTGTGGTCGTATCAGTATAGCATGCCGATGGTCCAACCCAGTTTCCCGTCACTGATCCAGAAACAAAAAGAAAGCCCAGCCGCGGCGGTGGCTGTGAATAGCATACAACAGTCTAACCCACAATGAAAATGGCAAATAATGTCGTTCTAGCAACATGACTCCACTCATCAACGCCTTGTTATACCACTAAGCCTCTGAAGGACGGAAATCAGTGCTGCGATCCTGTTATCAGCAATGCTTCTTCGCGGAATCCATAAGGATAGGGCACATACCTGTACTACCTTGTGTCAGGGTAACCATCGCTTCCGTGTTCTTTTTTCCGAGGCTGACGGTTGTCACGTCAATCTCTGGCCATTCCTTCGCCAAGTTGTTTGCCCATCTGAAGACTTGCTCGTCTTCCCGATCGTCGCCAGCCACAAGCAGAAATTCAGGGGCATTCTTCAAAGCGCCCCCTTCAGTGTCTGGGCCCCAGTTTTCGTTGAAGATCTGCTTTGCGGCGTAGCCCTTGCCGTAGTCTCGAGGTTCGATCAGGATTGCCTTTTGCAATGGCACAGCGTGAATGCGGAGGCCACCGCAAGCGTCGTTGATATGATTTGCGCAGTCACCTGCGAGACGCGCAGCTGACTCTTGATCCTGCTCCTTCACCTTGTCGTAACGGAAGAAGAGAGAGCAGTGCTTCTCCTCGATCACGCCTCCGTCCATGCGTTCTTGGTAGTATTTCATGATCTGCTTCACGTCCTTCTTCCACTGCTTCATCTGATCCATGTCAACGAATGCCCTCCACGCGTCAGAACCGTGTGGTCGGATAAAGCAGCCGTTCTCTGCAATCAATCCCAGCCCTGGGACGCGTGCAAAGATCTTATCAAGTTCCTCCGGCATACGCGCGGACATGACATAGACGATGTTATTGCCCGCAGAAATCAGATCATTCAACGTGTCAAGGACGCGCTGCGGACTGTTGAAATGCACGTGGCCTTCACTTTTGCTGAAGCTGGCAAGAGTGCCTTCGTAGTCCATGATGAAAAGCCGCTTGCGCGCACGCTGATACTTCTGAAGAAGTGTGGCAGGGATCAATCGCGGCGTAGACTTTGTGTCGCGCAGGTTACGATCGTCGAATGCCTTGTCGAGTCGCTTGTTGAGCTCCGTCATCCAGGCTTCGCCCGTCTGATTCATGACCACCTCTCGTATCCGCTCGTATCGTCGTGCCATCTCTTCCGGCGTCATCTCCAAGGCCTTTTTTAGCGCGATGGCGGTCTGTTTGTAGTCCCATGGGTTGATCGTGAGATCAGCATTGTCGAAAACGGAAGCGGCACCTGTGAATTCTGAAAGAACCATGGGGCCGTGCTTCTTGTTGGACATGGCCCCATCCTGACACAGAATGTATTCGTGGCCTGTGAGGCTCATACCTTCTCTCAGAGACGTGATCATGAGCACGTCTGCGACGGACAGCAACGCGAGATACTGTGGGAAGCCGATATCTTGGCGTAGGAAGACAAGAGGCTGGTGGCCTAACGAAGAGAAGGTGGCGTCAATCCGGGTGACTATGTCTGACACAGTGGACGCAAGCTCTTCCTGGTCGGTAGCGGAGGTTGCCACCTGGATCAGGACGACCTTTTCGACCCAATCCGGGTTCTTGTTCAAAAACAGTTCGAATGAAAGCAGCTTTTGGCGAACGCCATGGACCTGATCCAACCGGTCGCGAGCCACGATAATGAGCTTGTCCTTGTACCGCTGCTCCATGACTCTGATCCATTGCTGAACCTCTGGCTCATGCCTGGCCTTGTCTAGAGCCTTCGGGTCGATACCGATCGGAAGGTGGGTGACATTCACGAAGTGATCTTCCACGTCAACGCCCTCCGGTGTTACAGGCACACGAAGCAACCGGCTTGTCGTGGTAAGAAAATGTTCTAGATATTCTGGGCACTGGAACCCTATCAGGTTTGCGCCTAGCATTCCTTCCAGCAAGGCATTGCGTTGCGCGAGACAGCGGAACACCTCAGACGACGGAAAGGCAGTGTGAAGGAAGAATCCGATCTTGGCATCTGGAAGTTTCTGTCGGACCATTCGAGGAACAAGCAGCAGGTGATAGTCATGGATCCAAATCACGTCGCCGTTCTTGTAGTTTGACACGATGCTGTCCGCAAATGCCTCGTTCAGCTTGACGTAATACTTATACGAGTGGTCTTCGTACGCCTTGCTCTTTGGATGATCTGGTATCTGGTAATGGAAGACAGGCCAAAGTATAGTCTTGCAAAAGTGAGAATAATGGCCGTCAAAGTCCGCGTCGCTGATGTACACAGGAATCGCATCGTACTCGGTTGTCAACTTGTCGTCGATCTCGTTCCGGGTGTTTTGAGGCAAGGAGTCCGTCGGGAAGCCCACCGTTCCCAGCCAAATGATGTTTTGTATTGCGCCAGAGTCCGCCGATGCCCTCACGGCATTTGCAAGGCCACCATTTCCCTGAAGAGCAGGTACGATGTTCCACTCAGTCGACCACTTCACTTCGGTGCTCGCCGATCGCGAGTGGTGGCGCCGATGGCTCTTGTTCCGGGTTGTCTTTGGCGTCTTTGCCATCTTTCGAGCACGGTCCTGCTCACGCTCACCTTCCGACGACGGCGAAGGCCCGTAGCCCAAGATGCGGGCTGGAGGCATTTGCTGAGGCTTGGCGGACGGTTGATTGAACAAGAAGTGTCTGCCCCATTCTGGCATGTGTGAATCGCTGCGTACCAAGGTTCGCGGGTTGTGAGGCTGCACAAAGTGCGTCGCCGGCGTCGGCTGGTCGATTTGTGAGAAGAACTCCTGCGCATCTGCTGTCGCCGCGGGAGTACGTGGTGGGGTCTCCGCCGGGAAAAGGGAGCCACGAAGCTCCAGTGAAGCTCTTCTATCATGGCCTGGCAACTTGACCGCACCTACGGATTCCTCGAGTGAGGTCTTGCTCGGTTGTCGTGGCGGAGGACTTGGCCGTCGTGCAGGAGTAGGGAGCTCGTTGAAGTCCACCGTGTAGGGCAAAAAGCTGCGCAAATCAGCTCCTTGTACATAGCCATGACCATTGGGCGGGCGGCACACTTACAGAGAAACTATGAAGGTCGACATGGCTGGCTGAACTGCGGGGGACAAGTTACAAGTCGAAGCTGTGGCCAAGTCGTGCGTCAGGATGCCACTCTCTCTCTCTGAGATATGCGTGACTTTCCACTGGGCAGAGCGACGTTTCCAGAGGAACCACGGTTCAAACTCGACAACGCCGTCGAAGCGCTCTGGAGGAGACCGGCTTTCTTTGCTTGGAGAGGCACGCGGAGGGTGGAGACAAAGGCGGCGCGGCGGGCAAGCAAGAGCGAAATTTAGGTTGAAGGCAGGCGTACTGACTTACCATGCACAGCAATTCAGGACGACGAAAGCACAGTGTAGGTCAAGACGTGAAAGCGAGAGAACAATGCAGGCAACCCAGTCTCGCGCTGGGCATATGAATCGAACGAGTGACAACGACCGGGGCGGCGTGTCAGCGGAAGGATACGCAATTGGAGTCGCTGTCCGTTGGGTTGGCTTGCTTTTTGCGTTTTGGCTGCGTGTATTTGCTTACTGGGATGAAGCTGCGACTCGACGGTTCGGCCCAGTTCTGCGAGATGCTGCCATTACGTCATGGCTCAAGTCCGCAAGTCACCCCATCCTGTCGAACCTCGAAACGGTCTCCGTCTGCTTTCGATCCACCCATTCTGTCCATCATCCTTCCTTTCTTTGTTTCTTTTTTCTTCCTTTTGTTCCTTACCATGGCCAACTCACGCCTCGTTTAGTCCCAGGAGAGAAATGAGCGCTGTTCTTTTGTTCGTCCCGGTTGCGGTCCAAATGCCCCGCCCCTGCTGCATCACTCACACACACACTTTGAAAGAGAGAGGCACACCCACACACGCACAATCAGACAGGCACCGAGATTCGTTCCATATGCTCTCAAACGCAAACGTGTATGAGACTGACGTAGGCTCACCTGACTTCTGCCTCATGCTTGTGGCCCGACGGCTTCATTACGCAGGGGAAAGGTTCTCTTCACTAGCGTTGTTCACAAAGAAGCCAGACAAGCAAACATGCCGCCTGGTCATACAGAAATGAAGGGGAGAAGTTGAGAAAGGCAAACGAATGTTCTACGCAACAGACGTCATCCATTGTCACACAATCTCGGTCGGTCTGTTCTAGAGACGGTTGCTCGCCTTGCGTCTACCGTCCAATGGTATTCTACTCTTCTGTTCGCGTGTTCGTTCAACGCTTCGATGATCCATGTGGGCGCAGACTCGGCGCGGTAGATCGCTACTTGAAAAAGATCATTTGGCCGTGCCAGCCTTACGTAAAACATGGGAATTATACAATGCCATGGTTCTTGCCCAATCCGTTCCAAACATGTGCACGAACTGCCGTCACCTTCTTCAGACAAGCAAACCTGCGGCTCTTCTTACGTGTTCATTGCCTCGTCAACATCTATTTCGTCTCGCCAGATCAAGGCCCAGAGATAAAAAATCCGCAAGCTCTTAATTCTAGCCGGTGGCCCATGCCGGTCCGCGCATCGCTTTCTCCGCGAGACTTTTCTGCTCCCAAACAATACCGCTCTGCATCTCGAGGTCGAGGCACTTGCAAACGTTCTTTGCCGTAACCTCATCCCACACTCATATGGTCGACGCAGACGTCACTGTTGCTTCCTCGTCCACTCGATCGTGATCGCCATTCTGCTGCCGTTGTTCCGACACCGGCTTCTTGAATACGGCCTGCATCCAGCAGCGATACATCTTCAGCCTTCTTTGGCGGTTGACGAGCATCCTGCGATCCACTCCGAAGCTTGCCACTTCGAACCCTGCCGACCCCCACGTCTGACGCAGCTCGTCCTCGTCGAAGAAGTACACCCTCGTGCCGTCGCCTCGAACGTAAAAATTCTCTCCCATCCACCTCTCCTTCTTGAAACGCACCTGTGCCAGGTCGCCGCGGCCGTAGTCTCGGAACAGCACGAGGCCGCCAGGTTTCAGCGCATGCCACGCGTTGGACACCGCTCGCGCCCACTGTTCCGGCGCAAGCGCGGAGAAGATGAAGACCATAAGCAGGACGTCGACCGTTCCAGCTTCCACGCCGTCGGGAAGGCTGCACGTCTCGTTCGCTGCCGGTTCAGCCGCGGCATCCCACACGCTTGCTTCCAACCTCCCCACGTTGTCTGGGTTGCTGTACTCTTCGTGACGCTTGATGACTTCGATCGCCGTCTTCGAGAAGTCGCACGCATGTATGGTGAGCCGTGGGTTCTTGTTGAGCTTCAGGATCGGGAACGCCGTGTTTCCAGCGCCCGCTCCAACCTCGAGGAGGACCGTGGCTGGTGCATCTTCCCGTGTGACGTCCTTCAACACGGGAAACTCCTGCGCGAGCCACTTCCTGTTCTTGAAAAAGTTGTTTGCATTGTGCGAATAGAACTTGTCCCACTGTCGTTCGGGATGTTCGTTGAATCGCTCTGCAGTAAATCAGCTTTTGCTAGGCGAACAAGCGCTACTTGATCCGCGAGCTGTCTTGACATGACACACGTACTCCTGTCAAAGTCCTTCACAGGCGCCTCTTTTTGTTTCTGGTAGCATTGTTCCGCAAACGCCTTGTATGCGTCGTCCACCTGCACATGGTCCCACGCGTTGTATGCGAAAATGTCGTCCCCGTCTTCCAAGTAACGCGATCCAAACTGAAAGGGATCCGATCGTTTCTCGACGTTTTCGGCAGAATTCGTCTTGGGCTTACGTATCGGCTCCAACGAAGCAGGAACGCCATACGCGTCCTCACCATCTGCAGAAAGCACGGGCAACGCTGAACCTGAAGCCGTGTCTTGGTCGACGGTGACGAAGCCTCGCAGGTGTTCCATGCCATCCTTGAGCTGTTTCCGCCTGATCGGTAGAGATGTAGCGCCGCAATCAATCGCCATTATGTGCCTGCACAAACTCGTCTCCGGCGCAGTATTTGAGTGGCTTCAGCGGAGGGAAACGTATTTCGCGACGTAGATTCAAACTAGACAAAATCATGGGCGATATCGGAGGAGACCCCTGGTGATGTGCATGGGTGCTCAGTGTGACCTTGTTCGATGACGGATCTTTGAATTGTTTAGCGCCTACGACAGAAAACCAGCCTCGATCCCCATTCTGCCCCAGGCGAGTCTCCGCCTCTGCATATAGAACCACATGCATTTTCGCTCTCGCCCCACACAACAGCATCCGTTGCCGTAAAGAGATGGGTGAGCTGAGAGAAACACAACGGCGCAGCTCGCTGCACTCATGTCTTGACTACCATGCCTCATTTTCTATGACACCAGACACTCAGCAGGCCTATCCAACCTTTTCCTAGACGCCATGCCGATGATTTCAACGCTCTGATAACCTTTATGCAAACAACAAACTGTGCAAGAAGAGAAGAATATGTACGGGTATCAGAAAGTGGGTTCGTGAGAACAGTCAAGCAGCGTGGCTTGAGAAGGGAAGCGCTCTTCGCGCCACATAGTTGCGGATGGCTCCCTTGATGGACGGTGGCTCGTCTGCACTTGGGCTGGCAAGTGCACTGCAAAAAAAAAAGGGTGAAGTTGATACGGGTTGAATGGAGCTAGCTTCAGGTTAGCTCCCATCGGTATCAAGGACGGGATAACGGAGGGAATCCTTACGTCTAGAGCCGTTTCTGACCGTCACCGATGGGCCGCGTGCCACCGCCGACTTGGGTCACACCACCGCCTACAGCCTTCGACACGCCGACGCCAATGCCGACCGCAGCGCCGACCACAAGCAGGGCGATGACGAGAGTAGCAATGAGTTTTTGCTTCCTGCCCATCCTTGCCATGGGGTTGCAGCTCTTTTCTCGCTTCTGCTGCTTGGCCCTAGCCTTCTGCGTCTTCAGACTTGGCCACATGCTGTCCTCTTTCCTCTTGCATCCTGTGCGAGACGAGCCCGTCAGCGCGAGGCCCAGCTCGCGCTGCGATTCTAGATCATGAGTGGTGATGTGAGGTTGCTTATGGTCTGCCGACGCTCTGTTGGGACCGCCCTGTGTCCATGGCGGATCGAAGGGGTCGGCAGACTCGTGAGCGGGAGTGAAAGACGTCGTCGTCAGGGGACTCGGAGGTGCATCCGTCATAGAGTTCGGTTTCGACGGCGACAGAGGCGGAGGCGCCGGTCGGCTTTCAACAGTTGCGCCAAAAGTGACCTTCTCATCTTCGCTCATGGTTGCTGAGAAGGTATCGTGCGTTGAGCCCGTGCTATGTACCTCGGTGGGAAAGACAATGCTGTCGCTGTCGGTGGGTGAAATTGGCACACGAAGAATGGGGCGACGGTTTCAAGCACTGTCCTTGGCTCGCAGAGAGGGCCTGGGTGGCTGAGAACGGAAAGCGTGCAGAGAACGAGGCAGCAGAAGGCCTTGCACGCACGACGGAAGGTGTCAGGGAGGCGTAGAGGCACCAGGTGAAAAACAAGGAGGAGGTGGTCGAATGTGTGGATTGGCCAGGCTTGGGCAAGGACGAGGCCGAGGACGAGGAAGAAGGAGGAGAGATTGCGAAGGGACAGCGTAATTCTCAAGGGAGGAAAGGGCGTAGTAGGGTCAAGGGGATAACTCAGTTCGCAATGCAAGCGTGCACACGTACAGACATTACACGTGCTGGGAGTGGGCCGCAACGGGGCCAGGCTTTTGTGGAGAGCGGATGCGCGCGTTGCGGACAGCAGCTAACGGTTGCTACTATTGTGCCTAGCGTAGGGGACGGCCAGGTAGAGAGCAAAGCTAGCTCGACTTGGTGCTTGAAGCGTGAGGTCCAGACTTGTTGGGCCGTGGCCGGGATGGCAGCACGGCCAGGCATGGCAGCAAACAAGCTGGTCGGAACGAGAATCGAAAGGCGAGCGTGTGATACGTCGACCGAGACGCAGTGGCAAGCCGCGAAAAAGCACGCGCAATCAATGCGGCGCACAGGGGGCGAGGTGGGCAGAACGAGGCAGTTCGTGCCATGGCCCAAGAGAAGCAGACCAGCGGACCCGATGGAAGAATCTCCCCCTCCTCGCTCCTCCCCGTCCCCGTCTTGGATTCGAAGCGGGCGGCGGCGACGGCGAGCGAGAGCGGACGGGCGACTGGGTGCCAGCTGCCGCGCATGAGAGGCGACTACACCATGGTCGCGATGGCTGCACCGGCACGTCAGAGCACGCGTGTGCTTCATTGTCCATCCGTTCATTCACGCATTCGTTCCGTCCGTTCATTCATGCAATTCATTCCATCCGCTCATTCATGCAATTCATTCCATCCGCTCATTCGGCCATCCATCCGTCCACGCATTCCAATTCATCCATCCCATTTCCCAGTTCGGAACCCGCAACTCGCACAAGTCAACGGGCCGCTCGAAGGCCCGGTCGCTCCTGCACGTTGGTCAGCCCATCAGAGCTCTTGTGGGCGGAAGGAGCGACGGGCACGTCTTCATGAGTTCTGCGAGCGGACCTCCGCCCGTCGTCATCTTCATCTTCTGCTGCTTCATCGCCTTCGTCTTCTTCTTCATCGCCCTAGCACCGACCAGGACTAGTCCGGCCTCTCCGCTTCCACTCGGATCCCGTTCCTGGCGCCTAAAAGTGGGACTCTCCAATGTCGTTTCGTGCAAGTGGCCATCGTCAAGCCACACGCACACACACGCTCACCCACATGCACACGTGCACGCGCACTGCGAAGGACTGAAATGCAGTACGTGCGCCCATCAATCCGGCCTTGAGTCATTTAAGCTAGCGCCAACGATCTCAAAAATTAAGGTTACAGTCTCCACAGTTCATGGTCCCCGTGCTACGAGTATGTACCCCTCTGGCAGCGGTTAGATAGCTGCGGCCACTCCTACAGTTCCTGCTGCTTCCATACTTCTTCGCTCAGACAGCGTGAGCGGAGGTGCGGAGTGTGACCGAGAGTTTGAAACTCCCTCCCATCGTCTTCCACCCTCCCTTGCTACGCAGTAGAAAGAAAGTCGGCCGTCTTCATCTCCACCTTGCTCCTTTCAGACGTCTGCCTTTCCTCACAAGCCACCCTTTTGATTGGATTGAATCACCATCCACCCCAGTCGCCTATCGAAATTGCACATCCATGATTCGAGGAGGCTGTCCCGAACCTTAATCTCAACCTTCTTCATTCGATCTCGGTGCATGGTCAGACTATTTTCCATTATTTTAATTACCCGCTCCTTGAACCATTGTGCCGTCGTATGTTTTATCCTATGCTCGCACGCTCAACAGGAATTCTCTACACATGTTTGTTCCGTACGCTACCAGTGAATGCAAATTGCCCTTGCCTTTGGCCTGACACCCGGCAGATGCACCGCACACTGAACATGCTTTGTTCTTGCAGAAGAAAAAGAAACACCTTCGCTCCCTTTGCTTTTCTACCTTCAATCCCACGCCAAAAAAGAAAAAAAAATGAATACCGGCTTGCTAGATTAAAAAATCATGGAGACCAAGTATAGAGCCGCCGATTACCTGGCATGCAAAGGGGCTCAAAAATCTTCTCTCCTAATGCCACTTCGCTCACACATGCTTCGGAAAATCCCGTTCTTCTCGTACAGGCCAATTGGTGTGTCAAGTTCCGCAATGCGACCTTGGTCCATGACCACGATGCGGTCATAATTGATGATGGTCTTTAACCTGTGAGCGATGCAAAGCAACGTCTTGCCCTTGAACCCCGTCGCAATCGTCTGCTGGATTTTTGCGTCCGTCTCCATGTCCACCGACGAGGTCGCTTCGTCGCACACAATGATTTGAGACCCACGAACAAGAGCACGGGCCAGGGCCATAAGTTGTCGCTGACCGAGTGAGAAGTTAAGGCCTTCCTCTTCAACCACTGAGTCCAGGTTGATGCGGGCCGACTTGTCCTCCATCTGGGTCTCCGCCCCAACGAGATCCGCCTGTCGAAGGGCAGCCCACAGCTCAAGATCAGTATGCTCGTTGAACGGATCCAGATTCGAACGTATCGTGCCGCGGAACAAAGTTGGGTCCTGAGGGATGATGGCCAACCTAGACCTTAGATCCCCCAGGCCAACTTCGGCGATGTTGACACCGTCAATAGTGATGCTACCACCAGAAAGCTCGACCATGCGGAACAATGTGCTCATGACGCTTGACTTGCCCGCGCCCGTACGGCCGACGATACCGATACGTTCACCAGGTTGCACGTGCAGTGTCAATCCCTGAAGCACAAGCGGAAGGCCTGGTCGGTAACGCATCTTCACGTCGTCAAAAATAATTTCGCCCTTCTCTGGCCACGTGTCCCGAACATCCTTCAGCTTAAGAGGGGCTTCCTGGTCCAGCTGCGTCGCGTAGTAATGGACTCGTTCAGTCGAGTTCATGTTGTTCTCCACTTCGGCCAGCTGTCTGACGGTGAATTGGATCATTTGCACGATTGACAAGATATAAGACAGGACAAGTCCGCCAATGCTGGGATCGACCTCGAAACGCGACGTCACCACCAGGATGCCAACGACAAAGACCAGGCAGTTTCCAATTACGTCCAACCGAACAGACAGCCATCGCTGGTTGGCGAAAGTAATGTAGTACGCTGCGTTCATCTTGTCAATAGCTTCGCGAACACCTTTCGAGAAATGCTTCTGCAAGCCATATGCGCGGATTGTTGCGACTCCTGATACAGCCTCGGAAAACTTCGCAAACACAAAACTCCGCTGGACGGACTCGTGGCGCTTGATCTCTCGTGCCGATGCACGATAGTAGCCAGCCGAGAACAAGAACATGATGAAGAGCGGACCTAGCGCGACCGCGAAATAGTGAAAATAGACGATGATAAGCACAAAGACCGCGATGATCATTGCCAGGGTGATGAAGTACATGCGCATAGCATCCGTCAGGTTGTTATCCATAACATCGATATCTTTCGAGAAGCGGTTCGTAATTCGTCCAAGAGGCGTGGTGTCGAAAAAAGACATGGGCGCCCGCAAAACACGAGCCATGGAATCGCGAAGCATAACTTTGCTCGCGGTAGTTCCAAAGATCGAAAGACTCACCGAAAATAGAAACATCAGTATAACTTGGACGCCGCCTAAGCCCGCGTAGCCTGCTATCTGTGGGTGAGAGTCAGTCTACATGATAGGCACCTTCGAAATCTGAGACATGGTTGACGTACATAATAACCGGTCGCGAAGTGAAATTTGTCCGACGTCCACCACGACAACCACAAACTTGTCGTGATGTTCGCACATTGTGTGAGTACGAGCAGACAAAACACGAGCGGCGCCACCCAATAGCCGCCGGCCGCTTTGATGTATGCTGCGTACACGCTCCAGCTCACACTCTCGACAGCCCTCTCTTCCGCAGTCATCAACGCAGAGGCCTTCTTCTTTTTCTTTTTATCGCCCTTCTTTTCCTCCTCCGCTTCATCTTCATCAACCTCTTTATCTTTGTCCTGCTCTTCCTCAACTGCCGTTTGTGACATCAATTTCTGAAAGCCCTCGTTACCCGCCATCAAGTTCTGAAACGTATCGACAGCCTCGATATGGCCGTCCTCCATCCACACTATTCTGTCACATTTGTTGAGAACCCATAGTTGATGAGTGGCTAAAATTCTGCATTTGTCTTTCAACAGCCCACAGATCGCCTTGTCCATAATGTGACGTCCAACATGAGCATCGACAGCCGATAGCGGATCGTCCATGAGAATGATGTCTGCATTGAAGTAAATCGCACGCGCGATGTTTAAACGCTGCTTCTGACCGCCGGAGACGGTAATGCCGCGCTCGCCGATCTCAGTGCGGTCGCCGTCTGGAAGCATTTCAAAATCGGGTCGCAAAGCCGCAGCATCAACCACCTTGTCATACCACTCCTGGTCGAACTCAAGACCGAAGCAAATGTTATCCCTTACTGTCGCGTTCTGGATCCAAGCATACTGAGGACAAAACGCGCGCTGCGCACCAAGACTAACCTCGCCGGCCGTCTTTCGCATGTCGCCTGCAAGTGCTGCCAGAAGCGAGCTTTTGCCGGACCCAACTGAGCCGATGACTGCTACGAGCTCGTTGCGACCTATCGACAAATTGACATTGCGGATCTGGAACGGTGGGTTTTCAGTCAAGGTGCTTGCCGTATCCAAACCTTCGCCCCCGAAATTGTCAGAGCTGCTCGCGGTTTTACCGTCCTTAGATGACTTCTTTGCGGTTTCCTTCTTGAGACTTCCAGGGCCCCGGCTGCTCTTTTCATTTTCGGTGTCCTGCGTCGGCGTCCGTTCCCAGGTAAAGTCACCGCCGACGATTTCGATGGCCGTCGGCATGTCGTACTTAAATTCGATGTCTTGGGCTGCTTCTTCAGCGAGCAGGAACTCCTGAATGCGATTCGCAGATCCTATGCCGTCGATTACTTGACCAAGCACTAATGGCAAGAAGTTTAGCGGCATTCGCAAAGCGTTGAACAACGCTAAAGATGAAAAAATCGGAGCCGGGTTCAAGATGTGCTTCGACAGTGAATACGTGATAAATGACAACATGGATGCAAAGATAGGCATCGACATAGAAACGGCATTGATTGCGTTGCGGGTAGCCAGTAACCACTGAATCGACCGAACCTCCCTCTTCCTCAGTTCAAAGATGCGGTCCAAAAATGCCGTCTCCCAACCGAAGAACTTGACGAAACGCACAGCCTGCAGGATTTCCTGTGTCAAACTGACGCGCTGATCAGTGATTTTGTTGATGGACATTCTGCGCTTGAACAGATATCGAATTGCTTTCGCCAGCAGCGGCATGCTGACAACGAGCAGGGCAAAACCAGCCAACGCACTGTAAGACAGATTAATGATCAGCAAGACCAGCGTGACGAGCACTTGGATGGGCGCCGTCCACAACATGTGAAACATTCCAAATGCCTGGTCTATACGATAGGTGTCGACCGACATCAGGTTGATTATGCGGCCATTGCTCCAGCCATGACCATCCCCAGAGACACCCTGCTTGCTTGGTACAGCAACCGCTTTTCCCTTTGTCTTTTGCTTAAGCATTTTTTTGTACCATTTCTTTTCTGCTTCGCTCCCTGGGAGCACTCCTTTAGGGGGGGCTTGAGGACCTTCAATAGCTTTGCCTCCGGCTTTCGCTCGCCCTGACAGAACCATGGCCTTGTCGAATATGACCGCCATGAGCATAGCACGTGCCTGGCCACCATTAAGCATACCGCGATAGAGGAAGTGATTAGTACAAAGCGTCTGCAATGTCTGCATAATAGAGACAGCAAAGACCAACCCGATACCATGACCTATTGGAGGTGCCGGTTGGCCATTGTGCGTCGCATACCACGCTTTGCTCGCAAACTGAATCAGATATCGCAGAATGAACGGTGAGATGACTTGTAGCAAGCCAGAAATGAGTTGCATGAGGCCGCCGAACAAAAATTCTACCTTGAGAGTGTCGTAGATGGCCATGAGTAGGGGACGCTTAGATCCATTACGTCGACGCTTAGCAAAATTTTCATTCAGCCTTCCACTTAAGAGATCGACAGCACGATTGGGATTCACCTCCCAAAGATCGTTGTACTCGAGTGGCCTGGAATAGCCAACCTAGAAGAGAAATTAGCCGAAGTTTTGATAAATGGCCGGTAAAATAGTACATACGCTCATAAGCGGGGTAACCCAGTGGAACGTGAGAAGGCTGAAGAACCCAGCAGTGTATTCGCGCGAAGGTCCTCGAACCTCAGGTACTGGAGGCGGATTCCGCTTCAACGGGTTTATTCTCTTCCAGAGAGAGCGTTTCGGCGGCTCAGTCGCTTCCGTGGTCTGCGACAATTCGGTGACCGCAGTCGCATTAGTTTGCTTTCTGCTCAATGTCGGTCTTGCTATAGGTTCAATCGTTTCCGAATGTTTTTCCGCATCGTTTTTTTTCCCGGTATTGTTTTCATAGTCGTCAGACATGCTGCTTGACACTCTTGACAACGCAGGCGACGCAATTGGCTCTTGCGGTGCAGGGTTATTCGTTGCAATGCCGATGGGGTCGAGGTCGGCGAGATTCTTCTCCAAGTCATGGTCGTTCTGCGCCATGATGGCGGAAACAAGAGAAGAAAGTCCACGGTGATGCCAACAGTAAACAAAAGTGAACGACTATGAAGTGCAAAGAAGGTATGGAGACGCAGGCAGATAAAAATCGGGTACGTCTTTAGATGCTATAAGTCATGACGAAGGTCAGGCAATATTAGTGGTCGCGCCCAACTGCCGGGTCCGAAACTGTCGCACCACAAGTCTCTTCGCTTTTCTTTTGGAAGCAGCCGTTGCCGCTCTAAATGACGTGCCTAGCTAATCACAACGCTCGCAGGATCTCAGCTAACGAAAGATCCGGGGAGAAAAGGATCGCCCGCGGTATCGCGATTTGTGAGAGGGGTCGTCAAGGCCCTCCGAAAGTGTTATAGTAATCCTGGCTCACCTTGCATCCGAGGGTGCACACACGAGGGCTGGCGAATGATGTCTGCCTAGTGGTCGGGCGGTCGGCCTTTTCAATTGAACAGATTTCTCAGCACACGCTAATAGGGGCGCCGCTTTTATCTTATACGAAGCAGCGGAGTGTTCGAAACGAGGATTCGCAAGCTAGATGGAATTCGATCGTCGGCGTTAAGCCGCGTTTTAACGGACCGGGAGCAAATGCTGTCCCGTCCAGGTAAATCTACCATTTTTGGCATTGTCCTTTGGCTACATTGCACAGCTTCAACATGCGCATCAGGTTCAACACCACGGCGTAAAGTTATCCTCGCTCTGTCAATATGGCCGTTATATGGGCGCGTTTTCCGGCAGGGATACAATCGGAAATAGCTTCGACTTTGCATGGATGGGAGACTTCCCTGATTGCAATCGTTCATTCACGGTTTTTGCCTCCCGTTCTACATCTTTTTCTGGTGTCCACGATAATTTCTTTACGGCAGCTTCGCGTCTTTACTCAAATTCGAAGTCCGCACTACTGCTGGGATAGGGAACTGGCATTGAAATTTAATGGCTGAACAGCGTGCGCTTGAGCAGAACCTGCCGGTACCGCTTCGCTTCAACGCGTCGTTTCGGCGCCGAAGCTTGGCCCGACTCAAGTATTCAACAATGCTTGAATAATAAGGTTAGCGAGCTTCGGATCTAACATGCGGTCAACACGGCTCGCAATACGCCGACTTCACCACTAGGCCAGCCGTACCTTAACTTTTGCGATGAAACGGCAGGCAGGAGTAAATTTAAGCTCAGTCTTGGCATGCTTCTCTAATCCCCCGCAAAGCAACATGTTCTGCATTGCCGAGGTGGATGTGATGTTTGTTAATATCCCAAAGCAAAATGAAATGGGAGCAAGCGAGGAACGGGCCTATCCGTTCGAGGAAATCTACGACAGATCTCTCCGTGCGTACTGTCATTAGTCTCGCTATCCAAGACTTGGGTTGGAAAACCTTTGAACAAGAAGTATCCAAGTGCAACCAAAGCGATAACAGGTAAAAAATCTCAAGTTTGGATGCAATGCATAGTTCATCCTGACCGGAACTTTTTGGTTTCGGGCTCTCCACGCTGTCACTTTTTTTTCAGGCACGTGGAAATAGCCAAGACTGCGCATAGCTCGCCTCTACTGCCCAATGAGCTTGCAAGCTTTTCATACCTTGATGCCCTCTTGAGGAAGTGGTGAAAGTACAGAGGTACACTAGGTCAAACGATTAGAGCGGCACACGCAGCGCCAAAAACAACATTCCTCAATAGCTAGATGCGGTCTGGAAAACAAACATGTGCATTCGCGAAGCCTTTCAAGCTCAGAGAGGCACAATACGCATCGATGCCAGAAGTTAGATCCAGAGAAACTACATGCGTATCTCAAGTAGCTCAGACGTGAAGAACACGATTGTGAAGTGCCGAGTGTTCGCACGAGAAATCGCGAGATTTTCTCCGCTTTGTCGAAAATATGGTCCCAGACAGCAACGAGTCGCCAGAATTCGATACTGAAGGCGCGAAGCTTAGATAGAAACCCTTTTCTACTATTGGATTTCTTCGTATTCAAACTTTCGAGAACTGCGCAAAATGAACACAATCGTCGAGCTACGAGTCGCAAACACACATATACACGCACCCATGTTTTATTCGCTATTATATACGAGGTCCAATCTCTCTAATTGGTCCAACCCGAATCGTCCAATGAATGTACATAGAGAATCACGCAGACCTTACGACTCTGACGAGTAAAACAGATGAGGAGATGCTGAGAAAACGCTGCAAGCGTCGGACTTGGGGGAAGAGGTAAATGTGTCTTTATTGCGCGGAATACATCATATGATCCACTAATAGCTCACGGGCGCCGTTGACTTTTTCCATTAAAGCAAGGACTCCTTTGACTTGCGCAATACATTTTGACAGAACTACTGCCAAAATAGGTAACGTGTAGATGTGAAACATATACATGTCGTCCAATGGAGTTACCCGGAGCATTTATTCGCTGACATCGGCAAATCCCACTTTACGAACGCAAAATGCGTTCTTTTGCCAGACTGAAAAAGTACACGATTCCTATCCGCTCTTTAGCTTAGGCAGTTCCTCAGTGGCCTCTTTGATTATTTTCAAGGCTTCGTCGATCTGTTGCTCGGTGATGACCAGCGGAGGTGCAAGCCGGATTATGTTCTGGTGCGTCGGTTTTGCCTAGCTTACGTTAGTCTGCGCACAACGCGCAAAACGGGATGTAATATTCAGCTTACCAGGAGACCTTTCTCCTTCATCAGCATGCACAAATCCCAGGCTGAGTGGCCGTTTGTTTTTCCCTCGTCGATAACGATAGCGTTGAGAAGTCCTTTGCCACGAACAGTCTTGATCATCGGTGAATCAATCGCCACAAGGCCTTCTCGGAACCTTTTACCTAATGTTTCCGCCTTCTCAACCATATTCTCTTCCTGCACAATTTCTAGCGCACGGATGGCGACGGCCGAACCAAGAGGGTTGCCTCCGTATGTGGAACCATGCGTGCCAGGCTCTACCGTGAGCATAATGTCTCGCGATCCCAGCACGCAAGATACTGGATACATGCCTCCAGATATGGCCTTGCCCAGCAAAACCATGTCCGGCTTGATGCCACTCCACTCGTGACATAATAACTTGCCCGTGCGAGCGATGCCCGTCTGGATCTCATCACAGATGAGCAGAACATTATGCTTTTCACACAGAGCCTTAACGTCACTTAGATAGCGGTCGTCCGGTACCACGATGCCGGCCTCGCCCTGGATCGGCTCCACTAGAAATGCGGCCGTGTTCTTTCCGTGGGCCTCAAGCAGTTCTCGGACGTCATCGACATTGTTGTAACGTATCGGTCGTGTAGTTCCTGGGAAGACAGACCCGATGTTCGGCAGATACGGCCCGTAGTTATCTCTCGACTCTGGGTCCGTGCTCATCGTGATGGCCGCAAACGTCCTGCCGTGAAAGTTCTCTTGAACGCTGAATACAAGAGCTTCGTTTTGAGGAATGCCTTTTACTTTATAGCCCCACTTCCGTGCGATCTTGACGGCTGTCTCCACAGCTTCAGCACCCGTGTTCATTGGCAGCAACATGTCGAAGCCAAACATGTTAGTGGCGAACTCGGCAAAGCGAGGAAAAACGTCATTGTAAAACGCTCGACTGCTCAGTGTCAGGCGCGAGGCTTGCTCTGTAAGGGCCTTGACAAGTTCAGGGTGGCAATGGCCTTGATTAACGGCGCTGTATGCGGACAAGAAGTCGAGGTAGTGCTTGCCTTCCTGTCACCATATACTGTCAGCACTTGTCTCCACAGTCGTGAAGAGAACGGCAAAAACGTACTGGGTCCCACACCGATACCCCGCTTGCTCTAGAGAAGACTACGGGAAGAGGATGGTAGTTGTGCGCCGCATATTTGGCTTCGGCTTCAATGGCAGCTGTCGAGGAGCTCGCATGGTACCTCGAAGGGTCTGGTGTGCCAGTTGGGTGGAAGGATCTTGCTGTGGGCTTCAAAGTGCTTGCGCCATTTGCACCAGCTGAATTGTTGTTTACGGCAATTGGCGTCATTTTTTTTCCCCGTCAGATATCCGTGTGGTAATTACTACTCTGGTCAAAATTTAGCGCCGAGCAGCCTGCTCTATCAACTATATTTCCAATCGCTGAATGCTTAGAGCGCCAGGAGGAAAAGAAAGCACGAGCCGCTGGCAGCGAGTAGAAAAGGAATGGTGCGATATTCAGATCGAGACAAAAAAAAGGCAGAGCGAAAAGTTGATTTCGGAGATTCTGGGCGGATGGGTGATATTTGAAGAATTTCTGGTACAACGGAGCACACTCAACCAACGGGACGGCGCAGTCATTTGACCAGCAGAGCACGAAAAACACAGACGGGTGGAGTCCCATCGACAGGAGAAAAGTGCAGAGAACCATGCCATGCCAGAACCAGTGCCATGACTATCCGCATCTAACCTTGAGTGAATCGCGTCGACCTGCACTTAGAGGCAAAGATGCGGCGAGATCGCAGTTGTGCGCTGGCGAATCAAAACGTTGATATTACGGCTGGGGAACCAGCGGGTGCAGAGATTTGTTAAGTGATATCATCGGCCCGCCACGAGGTAAAACGTTTTTGTCCGAATGAACGAGCCAGACGGCAGCTCTGCGAGAATGTGAGTAGCGTGCGCCAGCGACAGGTGGCGGCGGCGAAGAAGACGACGAGGACGAGAAGGGGAGGACGGGGAGGAGGGAGAGGGAGAGGAAGGTGCAGAGGCGAGTAGGCTCGTCGTGGCTTCCATGCGGCGCCCGATGCTCGTTTCTTCACGTAAGTCCAAGTGCACTTTCCTGCTTCAGTCGGGTTCTCGCGCCCGGGCCTTTGCTCGAACCGCACCCTCTGCTCGCCTCCCACCCTTCATGGCTCGTCCGTTCCGACGTTTGACTTTGTTAGACTCTGCCTGAATGGATTCTCTGTTTTAGTTTGTCCGAAACGCGATCACACGTCAGCAACGGTGAGCTGCACTACAGTATCATGTGTGCTGTAATGCCAAGGTAGCGCTTCCCCCACTCTCGCCGTTGACCATAGTTTCGGCGCACGTCATGAAGGCACAGTGGATTCAACCATGTCCACCGCAGCAGCTTCGCGCTCTGCGCCGCCATGGCATACGACCCATCACCCCAGCGTCGCATCGCTTCCTTACCGCCCCGTTCCAGAGACGCCGCTTTATCAGCCCTCCTTTCTCGACCTCTCCACCCACCCAGAGCTTGACCGCGTCGCGGACGCTGCCATATCCTCCGAGGCCTATCTACTCCGTCATCGCCGATGTCGACTCGTACTCGAACTTCCTGCCCTTCTGCGAGAGCAGCACCGTGACGAGTTGGTCTCAGCCAGACAGGGACGGTCGCAAGTGGCCCTCTGAAGCCGAGCTCCTGGTCGGCTGGAAGGGCGTAACCGAGGCCTTTACAAGCAGAATCTACTGCATCCCGGGTAGGATCGTTGAAGCCGTCAGTGGCGCCACCCAGACGACGTTGCCGCGCCACGAAATAGCCCATCATTTTGGCCCAGAGTCGTCTTTTGCTTCGAAAGAGCAAAAGCACGGCGTCCTGTCTCATCTGCTGACGAGGTGGACGGTCCGACAGGCAAAGCAAGACGCAAGCAGCACCGACGTCAGCCTCGCCATAGAGTTCCAATTTTCGAATCCGATATATAGCGCAATGAGCGGAGCGGTCGCGGACAAGGTGGCCAGTTATATGATCGAGGCGTTTGAGCAAAGGGTACGTCATGTGCTCAGACACGGTTCGGACGGAGACCAGATGAGAAACATCACCGCCACGGGTTCGTCGAGATGATGGCCCTCGCGGATCATGCAAGTGGTTTGGCGTAGGGTTGACTTGGACTTTGTAAAAATAGACATTCAAGACATACATCCTTGCATGGCAAAAGGCATGGCGAACGGCGCAGTCATGTACACACGATCGTCACCAATTAAATATCATCGAAAATAGAGCCTTCGTCATCATGCTCACATAAATTTCAATTAGATTAGAAGTGGCTTGTTATGTGCCCTTGTTATCCTTTCGTCAATCTAGCTGCTGTTTTCCCGGGTATCATTGCTTAGTTTCCCTACTTTCGACGTCCTAAACCTGTTCAACTTTCCCTTAAATTCAAAAACCGGTCAATTTTGGGTACGTATGTTAGCCGTATGCGCCAAGGTTGACAAATAAAGAGATGAATTTTTTTTTATTCTCTTCTCAAGACACCTTCAAAGCACACGAGTAGCTACGTTCCCAAAATCGATTCCGTGTATCGGCCGCATGGCAGCAGACGTTGGCGTAATGATCCTCTTCTTTACTATAGGGGCAAAATGGTTGCTTTCCGAGTGTTGCGCACGCCCGCCGCTGAACCTGTCAAAACGTTCCGCTTCGTTTTGCGGTTCCGACGTTCCACGTCGAATTTGCGGCATGGACTTTCGACTCTGCATCGACGGTCTTGCTCCACCGACGGTCGTCGTTGTCGTCGTTGTAGTCATCGTGCGCGGATCCCTTGAAGAAAAGGACGAAACCGTTGTGGTTGTCGTGGTCGTCGAAGAACCCGTCTTACCTTGCGACGGTGACGACGAGGTGTAAGTGACGGTGCCTGCTTGCGCATCAAGTCTCCTCTGTCTCCAAATTCGCGAGGAATCTGACCAGTCCGGTTGCGAAGACGGCATGGGAGGCGGAGCCGGGGCCTCAGATGCCCTCTGCTCAAAAACGTTGACGAGTTTCTTGACTGGGCTACTGTCGCGAGTACTGTGCGATGTTCGGGGTCGAGGCTGATGCGGCGGAAGGACTGGTAGATTGGGGACCGTCCTTTCATTCATCACATTGTTGACAGAACTTAGAGAGTCAGAAGCCTCTTGTGCATGCATCGATTTTGGACGCTTAATCGGCGTGTTGTGCGGGCGTGGCGCTGACATCGTGGGCATGTGTTCGTGGTACGACTTTGGTCGTGAGGGCATTGAGTCCTTACCAGAATGCCACTGCTGGTCAAAGGTATGCTGTTGAGCCACGCGATCACGACTCCGGAACTGAGCGATCTTAGAAGCTGTCTCCAAATCCCACCCCTCGCGCGGCCCGCTGCGCGGTGTTTTTGTACTGAGATGATGAGGTTGTGTCGCCCCACGAGATATCGAACGTCCAGGCCCGATATAAGCTACATCGTAAGGTGAAGTGCCGAGCGACTGTGAGACAGTACCAAGATCCGCAATGCCAGTGGGCGGAATTTCCAATTCCTCGGTCTGCGTTCGGGATCGACGAAAGCTCCCTCGCTTGAAGCTCAAGCGGTGTGTCGACTGAGCCGATCCATCCTCCAGGCCCGCATCTGGGAAGAAACAAGAAGGAAGGATCGTCTTTGAAGTTGTAGACTCAAACAAGCCGTCGTCGGAGTCAGGCGCATTGTCAAATGTCTGTTCAAGATGCTGCAGTCCAGGAGATGCCGACAAGCGACAGGAATAACGCGAGAAGACTGAAGAAGGGATTCTTGGAATGTCCTTGTTAAGAATGTGACGATCACCGACGGTGATGGGCGGCTGGGAGAGTGGTCGAGGCTTCTGCAACTTCTTCGCCTTGCGTTCAGTGCTGGATGCCGTACTCGCAGACGTCGTCTTCGAGGCCGTGGTGTTCGTGCTTTCGCTAGACAATAGGCGCGGAAGACTCCTCCTGACGGATTTTCTCCACGACTTGGTACGTTTCATAGTTTCAACATGAGCCTCGTCTTTTTCGATGCTCTCTACCACACCTGGCTCAGCATCCGGATCCCTCAAGTCATTCGGGGAGCCAATCTGTCCAATACGAGTGGCAAGATCAGCTGTTCCCCTCGATGAATAAAAACGTCTCTGTTGCGGGCGTTCAGCCAGAGATTCTACAGTCGAGAGGTTGGAGTGATGCATCTTGATCGGCGACATGGAATCAACAACGCTTGTGCTGGCGCTGGAATAGCCCGAATCTGTTTTCAACTCGTTGGGCCGCTTTGTCTGTGTTGGGGCTTCTTCTAGTGTGGGATTGGAGCGCAACGGCTTGCGTGGTGATATTGGTGGAATATTCTGCGGCATACTGGGAGGGATCGTCACAATTTGTTCACGGATGCTGGGAGCGCGAACTTCGCCATCGCTTTCGTAAGCTGGAGCAGCCGATGCTCCATTCTCTTCCATTGCACTCGTTTTGTATGGACTGGGAGGCATCTCAGACATGTACTCGGTGGCAAGTGATACTGCACTTTGGGCAAGACGGGTCGAGCTAGATTGATGAGCTTCGTCCACGCTCAAGTCTTCGAACGAAAACCTGCCAGTTCTGTCGGAATGCAACGAGGCCATACTGCGGACTGGGCGAATGTTGCGCGAATAGACGCTTTCTAGGTCTGCATCTCTGTTCGTTTCTGGACTAGGCTGCCTCAGTTCCTTCGTTGAAGGACTGCCGTCTCGTCTTGGCGGCGCGTAATCTAGCATCTGACCGCGGCCATGCATGAGCTCTTCTTCTAAAGGAATATCCTTCCGCGCATAAGATTCCGCAGGCGCATTTGGAATGCGCCTTGAGCTAGGTCGACTGTCGTCACGCTCAGAAGCAGTGAAGAATGCCTCTTCATGCTCATCGCTAGCCATCCTTCGTGCATATCCTCGAGTAGCAACGCTAGGGTTTGGCGACGGCGGTCCGTTGACAACCATGAGTGACCCATGTTTGAGATTGCCCAATTGTGAGTAGTCCAGGTCTGAGGGGGTGTGCGCGCGGCTGACAAAGACTTCCGGAGGTGGTTCGAGGTCGTCCAAGCTGGGGACGTCCAAGCTGGAAAGCCTTGCCAAAGGCGATGCACCCATCATATCCTTCGTCCACGGTCTTGGATTAGACGTTGGTGCAGGCACTGATTTTCGCAGTACATTTCGATCCGACTTTGCATGTCGAGTTGCCACGCCCGGCTGTGCAAAGGATTTTCTTCGGATAAGGGCAGCTGTCGCAGGATCGATGTCGCCCGGGGACTCAGAGGGGGCAGTAGGCGCCAGAGAGTCTCTGCTGGGAACAGGTTGAAGCGCTTTGTCTGCTACTTGTTAGTACTCGCCGAGAACAAGGACTTCCAAACGTACGCAGAGCGGCTAGATCCTCTGGAGAGGCGGTCTTGCGCAGCTCGTGAATGATTGCAAGAGCAGACTCCAAATCGACGGTATTTTCAGAGGCTGGGGACAGCTGTGAGCTGCCATGAAGCCTAGAGGAGGATGATCTGGCCGTGAGCATGTTCTTGCGCCGAGAGCCAGATCTCGACAGTGTGCGAGCAACGCTGGCCGCAAGCGTGTCCAGTTGACTGTTCCTCCAGCCACGACCGTCTGGCTGGTCAGTTTGCGGTCCTTGCGCGTGATCCAGCTGTCGGAAACCATCTCCTGGTCGCCACTCGTTCGTAGCCGATGCGACGAGGCTAGAATCTGTTCTGGCAGTCTCGTTCCAGGTCGATGGGCTGGGACTAGCGCTGTCAGCGCACGCTGGATCAACAGATGAGGCTGTTGCCCTCAAGTTCGTTGGGGCATGTAGTCTGCCGCTCCTGGGACCTTCCGTGGTGGATTGAGTGTTCCCCATGATCAGCTAGGAGTCGCCAAGATAAGCCGGATCTCTCAGCGCCGAAGACTGCGGCGAAGCTCACAGCATTCCCGTAGCCAAATTGCACATGGCAGGGTACGAGTCCAAAGGCAAGCAGAGGGCCAGAAAACCAACGGGTTCAGTATTAGATGTATGACTGTCCAGCAGCAAATGCCGCAACGCAAATCCGTGGCGCCGGAGCAGGTCGCAGGAGGGCCGCCAGATGTACAGACGGGATGTAAAGAGGTGTGTATACTCAAACAAAGACGGACAGAACGGGATTGACGATGAGGACGAGCACGGTGGGAGGGGAGTGGGTAGCAAGTGGTCAGCGCAGGAAGAGTAGCATTGACTGCGTGATTACGGAGGACAGTCGAGGTCTGTGGAACGGACGGGAAATGATGATGATTGAGAAACGGATCGAGAATGAATAGAGTTCATGACGGAGCCGCCGTCCGGGTTGGCAAGCCGACGCATGTAAACAAGGCCAAGCCGCGCACGGAGCCGGGACCGATCCAAGCTGCAGAGCGCGGGAGGCACCTGGCCAATCGGGACATTTGCAGCGGGAGCACCGCCACCGCTAGTGGACTGGCTTCCCCTCAGAAGTGTGGCTGAGAATCCGGTTTCGTGGTGTTGAATTTGTTTCTCGCATGCAGATCACGACGCTGCTGGCAAGGAAATTCGCGTCCTGACAACATCACGCTTGTCCCGGACATTGTGCAATTCTCTTTCCCCCCTCCAGCAGCACGTCTCTCCCTCCGCGTCGATCGTGAATCGCAAGCGTCCAGACCGTCCTGCAGCGCGATGCCCCGCTCCCGTCTTGGGCTCGTCATCGTTGCGTTTCACAAGCCCTCGCAGCTACAAGCTAGTTCCTCGCGCATGTTGGCACCCGCCGCGCTTGCATATCGCCTGCAGAGACTCGGTATTCAGGCCTGCGGATCCTGGCCATACAAAAGTTGGACGAAACCCAACACTTTCATGCGTGGGACGCGCGCCCTCACGCAAGGCTTTTTGCTGGGACTCCTCTTCCCTCGCTCGAATCATTCAGCACCGCTTGTTTCGGCTCGTCTTTGCATTTCTCCCGCAAAAAAGGACCCAGCATACGGTGTCCAATGGACGGAAGGAAAAAGAGCAGCCTTTGACAGACCGCCGTCATGCCACCTCAGCTGACTTTTCCGTCGTGGCTTCTGATTCTCCGCCTCCTCTGCTTCCAGAAAGGCTTTCCACCGCCTTCAGTTTGTCGTCGCAGATCTCCCGTCCCACACTCTCTCGACGTCAACTGCCGGGAAATAGCAGTAACGGGCAAAAAGTAATGCAATGCTTTACCCTTGCAGCTCGCAACGTACGCGAAATCCTGCTGGGGAATTGGGGCCTGCCGTGTCTCACGTTGCTACATCGCTCTAACCAAATCGGGACTGTCTACGAACAGAAAAGCGCAGTGCCAAGACATTCTCCGGATTATCAAAGCCCACGAGCTCTCCGTCATGTCTAGACGCCTGCGAAGTTGTAGACGATTCATGGCGCGCACAACTGGCTCTCTATATATATGTCTCGTGACTGGCCACGGCTTTCTTGCTCCCTGTTTGCACAGCTGTCAGGAACTCACAGCTCTGGCCTTCCCAACTCAGGCTGTGTCACTGAAGCTTGAGACATACTACGAGCACGACGGGCGTGGCGATCCAACTTAGTAATGGTCATGCTCTGCGTAGAACATTGCTTGAGTATATATTGCATTACGAAAGTGCTCCTAACCATATTTGCTACATCTGCCAAGTCACGTTCGCTCAAAGCCTGCTTGTGCTGCACGTCTCTCACAGAGTGTACTTGAAGCCGGGCTGACCTTCAATAGCCTTCTTTATCGTTCCGGCGTCAACCCTCCGGTTCATGATTGAGAAGTAGAGGGTGGTGCACGAGAGTATACCAAGAATGAAGAACTGAAGTCCAGCCGTGATCCAGAGCCCTGGCACGTAGCGCGGTGCGTCCTTTTGTCTACACATGTTGATCAGCAGTGCCTCTTATGCAACCTGCGGACTGGTGCGTTGGGAATGTTTTAATCTTTTTGGCATACCTGAACACCGTAGAACCAAGAATACCGCCTAATCCACCCAGACCGATCTGCAATGCACTGCCAACCGCTCGCTTTGACTGCATACGGATGTTGTTTGATTGATACGCCAGGATGGAGGGGATATTGCCTTGGCAACCGGCGTAGCCAAAGAATAGGCCTATGTAGCGAGGTATGTTCTTTTCGCAGTATGCTGTCATCATAAGCCCGCCTATGGCAAGGCAGCACTGGAATGCGATGCCTGGTGCGCGAACTTTGTACTTGTCCGAGAGCCAGGATATGAAGAGCGCGGATATAACAGCAAAGATTACCGGCGGAGCAGACAAAAGGTGCGTAACGCCCACGGAGTAGCCCATGCCGCGAACAATCACCGGGCTAAAATAAGCGAGAGCATACGCAGGCATAGCCGTGCTCATGAACATGAGACCGAACGCCCAGAGCTTCCAGTCGCCCAGGTGGTGGAAGAACTTTGCCCACGTTAGAGGATCTGGAATCGAATCGCCGCGATCCTTCTCGATTCTCCGAGTGATGAAGCGAGACTCCTCCTCAGTAAGCAGCGGCTTCTGGCCAATCTTGCCTCTTCTCGTCGCCTTGTCGGGGAAATCGACGATGATGAACCAGGCTCCTATGGCAACAACCTGGGTCAAAAGGCCCTCAATGACCTGATTATGTCAGTATGTCGATGTGTAAGAACAATTCCATCCCAAAGACTCAAACTCACGAATATCCATTGCCAGCCCCCCAGACCACCGAGCCCTTCCATCTGTATTAGACCGTATGCAAGGATCGATGACCAACCGCCAACAAAAACTAGGTAACTCAGTTTAACAAAAGTGATTCAGACCTCTAAGTTTCTTGCTTACCTGAGACAAGATAAAACCATGCCAGTCCTGTAGTACACTCAGCATATGCTCAGAAAGTCGCGTGACACCTTGACGGTGAGAAGCTCCGAGACTTACGTTGTTGGACCTCGAATCGAACGTACCACACGCTGATTAGGTAGACGCATCCTGGGAAAAACCCAGCCTCGAACACACCAAGCAAGAAGCGGCAGGCTGCCAATGCTCTGTAGTCCTTTACAAAGCCTTGTCCAAGCATGACAGTACCCCAGGCGAGCGCGATAAATGCGAGCCAGTTGGCCGCACCAACCTTACGCAAGACGATGTTGGAAGGCAGTTCGAAGATCATGTAACCAGGGCTTTGTGCCGTACATAGTCAGTGCATAACCTTCAAGTATGCGTCAGGGAAGAGTTGATACATACAAGAACAGCACCAGAGCAATGGTGTACCGATCGCCGATAGAAAGCCCAAGAGCTTGGTCCATTCCAGAGATTCTTGCGGCTGAGATCTGTGCAAAACAGGTTAGCACAATCATCTCACGTCCACTTGCGATCGCGGTGCAAAGTGGTAAACTCGTACATTTACACGATCTATGAGCGCAATGCTGTAGAGCGCGCCCAGGATGGGAAGCAGCCGACGGTCGACCTTTCGTATCAGCTTCTTCTCCGCATGCTGATCGAAATCGACCGCCTCTTGTGAGCTTTCGGGGGTGACAACGCCGCTCTCTTTAATCTCTTCATTATGTTGCGTCTCGATCTTGGGGTCCATGATTCACGTTTTCTTTGCTCGCCAAGTCTGTCGCTGGTGCCTTGAAACTGTGCCTCAAAGTATCCATGCCCTTGACGCGACCTCCTAATTTATACAGTTGCCGTTGCGATGCAAGGACTGCCACTACATAGTCTAGAACGACTCGATCTTTCTCGGCGCCACGAGTTTCCAGCGCGGGGTTCGAAGCACTAAGAGTCTGTGGAGTTCAGCTGGAGATTGCTGGAGAGAGAAACAATGCCGTCCTTTCGCCCCGCAATCTGTTTCTTAGCACCATTCAGATTTGGGAGCAGCCAAAGGCTAAACTTCGAAGAGAAAGAAGGTCCGCGTCACAAGATATGCCAACTACACAGTACGATAGATCCCAAGGCACTGCCAAGTATGGCCAAGGCTGGGGAAGGAGCGGGGTGGAGCGTGGCCGAAGAGAACGATATGATATTGCCGGTGCATGGTCATTTTACGGGTTCTGTCGGCGTTGAGCCTCTCTGTTCATATAGCCGGGTCGCCATTGTTTTGCTGTCATATCTATCAGCAAGGTGTTGTGAAGATTGGAGTTGGTGGGAGTGACATACACATGTACCAGCGCAAAGAGCACGCAGCAGTCTCATGCAAACCTCGTACGAGTCTCGAATGCGAATTTGCAGGCATGATGCATGGTTTTTATTTTTTATCCAAGTCGAGAACGGAGTTATCAAGCCATGAGAGACGATGTGGAGCCAAGGTGTAGAACGAGTATTCAAACCTCCCGACAAAAATTCGTATCTGCGGTGAGCCAAGGAGGATGACGATAGTCCTGGGAGGATGTAGATTTGCGGAGGCGACGCTGACTTTATAGCGAACCGTTTACTAATCGACTAGGCCTCGACCCAAGTCATGATCCTACTTTACCATGCCCTGCGAGCACCTGGGTCTTGACATGGGAGGAGTCCTTGCACGTGATGCGTCGGAGTTCGGACAGTTACAAAAAAAGGTTCCGTCATAGATAGAATGATGCAGATTATAGTACAAAACACCACAGCCGTGCGCAAGACCGCGGCATCATGAATTTATACTACAAAGAGGTTCCCAATTCTCGTGCCCTGACTTTCGAACCAAAACCTCCGTCTGACGCTCACGCCAACGCATCTTCTGAACTTTTCCATGGCGTCATCGCCGCCCGAGACCATGACCAAAGGAATCGGATGCAGCCGCACCATGCCTCCTGGCGTCATCTGCTGCTGGTCCAGCAAAGGCTGGACTAGGGGCTCTTCTGTGTCGTAATGTTCGCGACGAATCTCATCCTCGAGATGGTCGTGCTCGGCGAATGATACCACGATGACAAGCTGCAGCGCACGCTGCGAAGGCGGGAAAGAGGGTATGTTTCGCAGTTTTTCGGAGAAACTGCACCCGCCGCGGCGAATCACGAGGATCTGATGTTCTTTCACGATCTGAGGGTCGAGAATGTGGTCGCACAATTCGTCATCAAGCACATAGATCGTGCTCCACGGCAGAGGCGACTTTGTAGCACCAGGTGCGAGATCGAGGGGTTCTTGCATGTCGGGTAAAATGGCTGCGCCTGGACCTGAAGGCAGAGCGGCAGCTATGATCTCTCGAGAAAGAACAGCGTGATTTGAAGGCTCCGCCAGCACAAAGTCGCTCTCTGAAAGCATTGATTGAATGTTGCTTATCAACGAGGATAAAATTCCGGGATTCAGATTCCCGTCCAGCCCCTCAAAATCGCCCTCAACAGCCATGATGGGAGCGCTAGCGTTCGTCGGCGATATTTGGAAGTCTGCTGTGGTACGTGACATGGCATGAGGTGCGTTGAGCACGTCGATTATTAGGTCAACGCCATGAACGTCCTTGATGCGAGTGAAGTAAGGGTCACCTGGGTTGAAGCTGTTGAGCAGATTGCGCGTTAAGAAGACTTTTTCATCGCGCCCTAGCGCGACGTTTGAAATTGCGTATATGCGAAACAGATCAAGCTCGGGCATTTTCTCCATGGGTGCGTTAACAGGGCTCTCTTTTACCATTCCCAGCCTCAGACCGCTCATTGAATTGACCAGAATGCCATTATATACGCGCTGAAGCGCACCGAAGCCTGAGGCAGCATCAGGTAAGGTCGGGAAGGATAGATCGAAAGTCATTCGGCTTGCCATCGGCGCGCACTGCCCGTCGGGGGGGACAAGATCGAGTGGCAGGGTCCAAGGGTAGTAGGTGTAGTTTGAGGGCGACTGCAGGTCAGAAGGCGAGATGCTAGGGTGGTCGGCCGTGAACTCAACTAAAGGCGACTCAAGAGTTTCGATCGTTGGCATCAGGTGCAGACGCGCAAGGCTCGCTGCATGAAAGATATCTCCTCGAGCGGCCGTAGCAGAGACTGTAAGAGGGTGGACGGGCGGAGGAGTTGGACATGTTGGGGCGACAGAGGGAGTAAAACTATTATGGGAATCCGTAGGTTGATCACTCCTAGCCGAGTTTGCAGCTCTCAGGCGTTTTGGAATGACGAGAGGATGCCCTTCCGTGGTGAAGACAAACGGCGAGTCGAGATGGTTGAGTGGGTGATCTTCATCAAAGAGCAAGAACAGGTATTTAGCCGTCTCGCCTAGAAAAAAACTCTCTTGTCGGTCCATCAGTTCACCATTCCTTACGTCCTGTAGGCCGGCCCAGCCACACTTAGTCCAACAGCGACGCTTGATGTCGCGCAAGGCCATCTCTCCAACATGCAAGTACCACGGGTCCTTGGTAGCGCGATAAATATACCAGGTACTCTCGATGAATTCGGGCCGACCGATCCACCAACGCAGCCCACTCTCTATGCCGCCACTTGCTGTAGACCAGCGTTCGGGCAGAGCAGAGTATCTGGTCCATATTGCCGTGTATAGCAAGTGTGTGGAGATGGCCTCATCCAGCTCTCCAGCTAACGTCAGCAAACCGGGATAGTATGCACTCAAACTGTCCACCCAAAAGGCCCGCAACGCGCCAGTGAATAAATCCACTTGCAGGTAATGAGGATGCTGATATGTGGGTCCACGATATACGTGATGCTTGATGGCAGCGTGAGCATCGTGCCACACCTGGAGGAAGGCATCTGGAGAATTATCGCTCTCGGAAGAGGCATTGTATGGTAGGCCGGACAACAGCACGGACGACTTGAACGCGTACTCAAAGAAGCTGTCGATGCCCGCGCCAATGCCTGTCGTGCTATGCACCCAGTGGCCAGTCTCGGCGTCGATGCCAGATCCAATCAAATTAACAGAGCTCCTGTATTTCCAAACCGACCAAAACGCCTTCTTCGCCGCATCTTCGAAGCGTGGGTCGCCAGTTAGCCTGCTCAGCGTGCTGAATTCAAGCACCAAGCTCCCCGCCCCAGCACTGCAAGTCTCCGTGATCTCTCCGTTGCCTTGTACATTTGTCAAGTACTTTCCACTTTCGGAATCTATATTAAGCGGCGAATTGGCATAGAATGGCACACCATGGCGCAAATTAACGCGCGGGTAGGGCAGACCCGTTGGTGTGAGAAATGCGGGTAGGAGTCGCTCAGCCAGATCTTTAGCAAGCCGGAGCAATTGGCCATCATAAACAAGACCGTTCTTCCAATGTATGCCTGTCCTGCCGTCCTCTGTCTTGACCGTAGCGTTGTAACCATGAATAGGAAGATCGCCGACAGCGAATTGATGGGCACTTAGCAAGCCGCCGACCCCTCTGATACAAGTCTCAAAGACCTGAACTTTGCTGTCGACGTCGAATCCCCTTGCTCGAAGGCCCTCTCCACTGGGGCCATCCGTGCCATCGCCATATTGCTCGACCAAGTTCAAGACACCGTCTTGGAACTGCGTCAGGGCTCGGCTTTGTTCTTTCTCGAACGGACTCGACGCAAGGATCGCCAGGGTCGATAGGCTGTCGACAAGAGTGAGCGAGTAGTTGCCCAAGACATCGTTCAACTCTATGTGCGCCGGATTCATTCGGTCGCGCGTAAGGGGGGTGCACGAGACGGGCCGCAGCTCGTCCTCAGGAAAGGCATGTTTCATGTAGTTGTCAAATCCATGATAGAAGAGATCTCTCGTCTCCTGTCTGAGGCTGTCGCGGACCTCGCTCGTCATGCATTGGACGCGAGCCGCTAGAAACAGCAGAGCGCACAGTACGTAGGAAGCCATCCATGACTGGCTCGTCACCGATGCGATCCAGGGCCGTGTCCAGGGTGCACAGGAAAGGAGCATGCCCGTTGTCGCCGACTTGTGGGAGACATCGAGCGGTGGCCAAGCCAACGTGTTACTTTTATCGCGCTGAACTCTTTTGGACTGTCGCGTGAGGGGACGGACTATCGGGACACTTGTTAACGCAGATCGGGCGGATTCTCGAATAGGAAACGGATATTAGTAAGTAGAATAGACGTTCTTGTTGCCTCAGGCTGCAATACATGTCTCACAGATTCGTATTGTTAGTAAAGCTGGGTTCGGCCACTCGAGACATCTTGCCATTGATTCATTTATTGCAGTCAATATTTGGCGTGCTCAATTCATGCTAGTCTTCGCAGTTGGCGCAGAAGCCGGAAGCCTCTTAGGGACGCGAAGCGTGATCTGCTAACCAGCATGGCCAACAATCACTAACGAAACCTGTAGTCTGCCAGGAGATAGCAATGACGAACATATGACTGTGGTTCCCTACTGCAGACTGAGAAAGCGAAGGCTAGTCCCGAAGTCCTTTGAGCCTCTTCAATACTTTCGATATGGTCGGTGGGATCGAGCTGCCCCGCCTGGTTATGCTCTTCACGAAATTTTCTCGTACGTTGTTTGGTTGTAACTTTGATCAGAACACGAACGTTAAATTATGCCAAGTGGACGCGCGAGAATTTTGTTAACGTGCAGCTGATTTCCTGTGGCATCTGCGAGGCGTTGCGTCGGATTTGAAAAATTACTGCTTCAGTGGCGACAGTCATGCGCTTTCAAAAGCTTTGACAACGACGATAACATGCACTGAGTTTAGCAGGCCTGCCATCGAGTTTGATTGTAGCGCGTTCTTCGTATCAGAATACTGTCCATCGATGCGCACAACATCCGAAACGAAATTATTCGCTGCGCAGTAAGGTAAAGCATATATGAGAATTTCCAAACGAATTACCGATATGTTGCTAGTATTGCGCGAAGAGATTGAGATGAATTTTTCAGCTCTGAATTTATCCATTATTCGTATCGAGGACTTATCGGCCGTGATGCCATCAGCAAGTAGCCGCTTCTACACTCTTGAACAAATACTCGGCGCCATTACATTTTCTGTCTCTCGAGATATAATTCTCGCTGGTTGCAGATCTGGTTGTGTATTTCTTTCTTTTCTTCAAGAGAATTTAATCCTTACTGGCGCAACTCGACGGGCGATAACTGAAGCGTGCGTTGAGTGACAAAATCCAGCTCGTTGCGCCTTGTGATTCCGGTTAGCCATCTGATCACTATCGCAATGTATGGCGCAACCAACATGTTTTCGATCATGTCCATTGCCCGCGCATTGATCGCCTGCAACTTATTCATCCGCTCCTGCGCGCTTTCTTGGGCTTGCCTCGCCCTTTCGGACTGAGTGGCCGCTTTGAAATTCTGAGTCTGTCTTTCACGAGCAATGTCTTCCCGTAACTGTGCTCGAAGCTCCTTTTTGGACTGCCACCAAGTTTCTCTCGCTGTTTCGATAGTGTCTAAATACTCGTACAATGCTTTTACATGCTTGACAAGATCCGCCTTTGCGTACATAGCCGACTCTCCGGTACATGGAGTTGCTTTGCGGAATATGTGGCATGCTTCGACAGCGGCAGGCAATTTCTGTCGAAATGCGAGCACATGTGGTTCGACGGGCGAGGGCCAGCGTGATTGCTTGGACGCCCCGTCAAGATTGCAAAGCTTGCAGTTACAAGTGGACGGCATTCTTTTTTTGAGGCTACGAGTACGTTGGTGTGTCTGATAATAAGTTGCGATATTGAAAGCGCGGTCGGACGATTCTTTGGTGATGAAGCACAGCGACAGTCGTCACAGGGCGCAAATGTGAGAGCGCAGTGGAGGTGGGAGCTTAAGCTGCGTCCACGTGCGTCATAGCAAGACTGTTACCCATCGCGGACAAACATGTAGCTTGCCGGCTCGTGCATTACACTGTTGAGCGCAAAAGGCGAACAATCTTTGTTGCATTGTTCAGCCGACGAGCACGAAGCCTTAAAAAGAGATTCGCATCCACACGAGATGCTTACAAATCAGGTTTTAGCCGCTTTGCTGGACGACTGAGATACGAATCGTCTGGCAGACCACTCCTCTTGGTACCTGGCAAACTAGAGGTGCGGATATCATTGTCCTCTTGACTTACCCTTCTGAGTGGGTAGTCTATGTTGGAGCCTTCAAAACAGTTCTCTGTCGGCCTTTCTCCATCCGCAGTGAAGTAGTTGTGTTTCAAAGCAGATTCGGCAGTGAGGCGTTTGGTCGGATCGTATTCCAGCAAACCTTTGAGCAGATTCAAGCCTTCCGCTCCTGGGCTTTTGGTTGGATCGTCCTTCGGGTACTTGTACGTTTGAAGGGTGGACCAATACCAGTTGTCGAGCCCTTGCGGATTGGAAACGCGAGGATTGCCAGCGGCCAAACTTGCGAGCTGAGGGTACTCTGGCATGCTTGCAAGCAGTGGCCAGCGTTCCTTAGTTGGCACACCCAATATCTCTGCGATCCTTTGCATCTGGTTTCTCTGAAACGGAACTGTCTTCTTATTGTCCATCTTTGCTTCTTCACCCTTGAATATCGGTCTCAAGGAGAGCAACTCGGCAAAGATGCAGCCGACCGCCCACAGGTCGACAGCGGGCGTGTAGTGTCTGCTTCCAAGCAAAAGCTCTGGGGCTCTATACCATATCGTGACGACAACCTTGTCTCCTGTGAACAGCGTATTGAGTGGTTTTTGAAACAATCTGGCCAGACCAAGGTCACCGATCTTGACCTCGCCAGCGCTCGTTACCATGATGTTGGCCGGCTTCAAGTCCCGATGCATGACCCAGTTGCGGTGTAAATACAGCAAGCCCTGGAGCAGCTGGTACATGATCGACTTGATGGTTCTCGCAGGGATAGCATGCCGATTTGACTGAGTATGATGGTGGATGATCTGCAGTAAATCATGTTCGGCATATTCAAAAACGATGTAAATGCACTTGTCTTCCAAGATGATCTCAACGGTGCGCACAACGTTTGGATGTGAGAGTTCAGTGCACAGGGCCATCTCCCGGATGGCGGACTGCGAAATGCCAGTGTAACCTATTTCACCTTCCTTGTCAGGCTTGAATCTGCCGCTGCGGTCAGTCTCACGAGACGATGCGTGACACGCGCATAAACATACTTCTTGATAGCGAATTCGGCAACCTGTCCGCTGCGAGACGAGGCCTTGTATACACGCCCATAAGTGCCACTGCTGATGAAGCCGATGATTTTGTAGCGTTCATAGATGCGCCGTTTCTGGTGCCCTGAGCCTCCCATCCCGGCGGCGTTCGTGGATGAAGAGTCGGACGGGTCTGGAAACAAAGGTTATCATCAGCACTTGGACCTTTCGGCACACGACCCAGAAACAGAACAAAGTTTAAGATTATCGGGTGGAGTGAGGTCGCGTGCTGACCGTCGCCCCGAGGAAAAGGATGTGGTCAAGCGTCCCAAGCAAAGACCCGCAATGCCGTAGGGCGGGGACGAGCTCACACGATGACCAACAAAACAACGTAAGACTGGTCCATGGCTCCCTGAAGCGAGCCGGACGAGAAGTAAGGATTGACGGAAAAAAAGAAAGCGCACCTTCAAATGCCGCTAAGACGCTCGATTTCGTCTGACTGGCCCCGAGCCGAGCAGAAGCTGCGGCTGACTGTGGGCCTGAGGTGGACGGCGGGTTCGACATGTCGTCGAGTATGCGGGTCGTGCTGCTCGCAGACGGATCAGAGACGGAAGAAACGAGACATGCCAGGCCAGCTATGCCATGTACGCTGATGACGCAGCAAATCCGTGCATTTTACTCTGGAGTTTGGCCACTATATTGGAGGACTTGAGACCTGACGACGGTTGTGTTCGTTGCCCGATGGGAGTGGGCAAGATGGACTTTACCGCTTCGGGATGCTCAAGCACCACCAGAGAAAGCATACGTATACGAGTGGTTATGCTGTGAGACCTCATCATCCGCGGCACAACGATATGTTTGTCAACTCGAAGCTACCAGCATTCGATGCGGCCTTCAGGAAGAGACCAGACTTGGTTCACCTCTATGTTAGGGGATTCTGTTGCTGCACCAGCAGAACTCCTCAACGCTGTCGCGCTATAAAATATCGCTCGCGAAATTCTAGTTAGAGTGCAAATTTCACAAGTGCGTGCCGTGAAAGAGAATAAGGTGGCAACTGAATATGCTTGCTACGATGATAAAACTCAGGATTCTAGGGCTCTGGATCAGTCGAGACCGAACTGCCCAGCCAATATTTGATAAATTTGCCGTAGAACACGGAATTCGCAACCATTCCGTTGTTGAATTCGCCGCTTGTAATGCACAATGTATCACAACCTTACACTCTGAATGGCTCTGTGATGTTATTCCCCGTCTGCCACAAACCGTGCCTCGCTTTTGAGTGTGGACGACAAATCTCTAGATTTTCCAATCTCCCTCAATGTCTCTATGATAGGAAGCTCACAGGTTGCCAATGTGAATAACGTACGGGACCGGTATGAAATGATGACCTCACATGGCCAATGACCGGTTCTCCCCAGGATTCGGCCATGTTGGTGCGATGCTGAATTAGATTCTTGCCTTTGGTGCGAGTAGACTTTCGAACAATGCCTCCAGTCTCTTGATGGCTTCCTCGCCTATTTGATAGTGAATTACAAGTCGCCCACCGGAAGATCGAATCCCGTGCTTCTTTGCTGCCTCTACAAATTCGTCGTGGCTGATGCCTGCAGCCTCAATATCCAGCCAAACCATGTTCGTCTCGACGGGATGCACGAGCTTACCCCCACGCTTAGTCCACATTCTCTCGATGAGCAACGCGTTCTCATGAGTTTTCTTTAACTTGCCGCCTAAAAAGGTGTCTTCAATAGCTACACGCGCCGCAGCAGAAACAACACCAGCTTGGCGAAGACCGCCTCCAAGCATCTTGCGAATCCAGCGTGCACGTTTGACAAAAGATGCTGACCCAACAACGATGGAGCCGATGGGTGCGCCGAGGCCCTTGCTAAAACACAGGCTGATGCTGTCGAAGTACGAGCAGTATTCCCTTAGATCACCCGCGCCGGAAACCACGGCTTCCCACAACCTCGCTCCGTCGAGGTGCATAATGATGCCGTGCTCCTTTGCAAACATACTGATTTTTTTGACCTCGGACAGAGGCAGCACCATGCCATTCAACGTGTTTTCCAAACTGATGATCTTTGTGGGACATGCATGTATATCGTCACTAAGCACGGCTTCCTTGGCAATTTCCTCGCACGTCAAGTAGCAACCATTTTTTGGGATGACGGTCTGCAACATGGCACCGCTTAAACTGCTGGCGCCGCCAGCTTCATACTGAACTATGTGACTACGTTTATCGCACAGAATCCCGGTGGGCGGACTGGCAATGTGTGCACGGAGCGAAACCTGGTTGCCCATTGTGCCTGACAGTACCAGGATACCACTCTCCTTGCCCGCAAGATCCGCAACGTATGACTCCAAGTTGTTGGTAGTGGGGTCCTCAGCAAAAACATCATCCAAAAGAGTAGTTGAGGCAATGGCGTTCAACATGGCACTCGTAGGCGTCGTGACAACATCTGAGCGGACATCGAATGCGGCGGGACCAGGAGATGACCAGGCATTATTTTGAGTCCAAGCTGGGGAAATCTGGGGAACCTTGTGATTCGAAATCGTACGTGCCATGGCTCCTTGGTTCAGTGAATTCAAAGCAGAAAAGGCTCGGTGGGATGGGGCCAACGGAGAAGACGAGGCGTTGAGCGATCGATGTCTGAGAGCAGGATAATAATTAGAACGAAACGAACTTATTACAAAACGCATTATGGGTCCCTTGCACCAGTAGCGAGACAGTTAGCTGACATTGAAGATCCACGCGCGCCCTACATTGTGCCAGGTCAAACTGGGTGAATGAAGGAGATCGTTTTGCTCCGATTGCAGTCCGATATCGTCCTTGTATCGGCCGCCTTCCTGATCGGGAGCGGAGCTCAAGCCAGATGTCCAAGAAGTTACGTAGTGGCAACGCGCCAAACATGCACATCGCACACAGCACAACACCAATGTCTTCTTCACAGCATGTTGCTGCAATCTCGCGGCGCCTGGACGCGCTCACAGAAGCATACAAGCAGATTCTCCAGAGCATACACAGAATCCCTCGCACTCCCGACCCCGATGAACTTGAGAAACTCACCAGCACGATACGTGATTCACTGAATGATCTCTCGGAGGACCTCGAGGTACTGAACGTCTCTCTCGAGGATGTCGGTGGCGCTCGTGCAGATTCGGAGGAGAGCAGGCAGAAGTTGCGGCTCTTGGTTCAAGCACAACGTTTAGCAGAGGACATTAAGAACGCGCGCCAAACCTTCAGACGCACGCAGATCTATATGAAGAAAGCCGAAGATACGGCTCGGAGAAAAGAGCGGGAAGACCGACTAAGACAGCTGCGAAAGCTGCCGAACGCTGCAGAGACACCGCAAGAAGGCGAGTGCCCATCCACTACCACAACTACACCGTCTACGTCACAAGTCCTCCCTCCTCGACGGAAGAAGGATGATCGCTACGTGCAAGAAAACGACGCTCTCGTCAATGCTTCCAGCGATGTGCTCACGGCGCTGCGTCAGACCCACGCTCTCATGGCCACAGAACTTGAACGTTCACAATTTGCGCAAGAAATCCTCGACTCTTCCACACGCGAGCTTGAACAACTAAACGAGTCGTACACAGACTTGGACACTATGCTCAAGACATCCAAAGGCTTAGTCACGCAGCTGATGAAGAGCAATAAGAGCGATACTTGGTACCTCCTCACGGCGCGCACGTTCTTACTTGTCGTGCTAGCGTGGCTCGTGTGGAGAAGATTACTTTGGGGTCCGACGTGGTGGTTCTTGTGGCTTCCCTTGAAGATCATGTATATGACTTTAGCGACGATTTTGTCGGCTTTTGGGCTGGGTAGAAGACTGCCGGACAACAGTATGGTGTCTAGGAGTAGTCTACGGGTCATGCCAAGTGCTTCACAGGGTCCGCCAGTAGTGCTTAATGGACGCCAGGCGCCTTATATCAAGGTCGGACGTGGCGGTGGTGCATCTCCGCCCAAAGACCCCAGTGAAGAAGGCAGCTTGAGTCAGAAGATTGGGAAAATGGTGGAGAATGCTGAGAAAGTTGTCAGAGGAGACGGCTCCGAGCTGGTTGACTCTGACGAACCAAGAAATCCGAAGAAGAGGGTTATGGACGCTTCCGAAGAGGGATTGGGCGCTGGCGATATTATCGATAGCTTGGATTCAAGAGAAGAAGAGGGACCCTCCCCAAATGCTGTGGGTGGTGAGGAGATCAGAGATGAGCTGTGAATTGTGATATTTCATGAATTAGCTTCTATAGCAGCTTGAATAGCTCTGCCGACCTCATAATACATCTGGTATTGAACGCCAGACCATGCACGCGGACCCTCAATTCACTCCTTCTAGAATCTCAATTTGGGAAACACAAAGACCAATAAGACAGCCAGCAGCCACAAACCTCCCACCTCAACGTACAGCCTCATCCTCCTCCACCAGCCCACTCCCTCGGTCTCCCGCCTTAAGCTATCCATCTTGCCTCCGGCGCCCTCCATCCCTCCGACGCTCTTATCCAGTCCGAGTATGGCTGCGTTCAGAGTACCCTTTTCCTGCTCGATGCTGGCCCCGAATCCTCGGGCTGACTGCTTAAGCTGGACGGCAAGGTTGAGGAGCGACGTCTGGAGTTCGGCACGCTCGCGGTCATGTGACGAGATTTTGCTCTCGCGCGACTTGAGTGCCCAGTCGGACTCTTCGTTTTCTCGCGTGGCGGAGGACTTGCTCCGTGGGAATGCCTGGCTGTAACGGTTTGAGGACGTGGTTGTCGCCGTGGGCTGTATTGCGCTAGATCCCCCTTGACCTCGCTGTCGCATGCCTTCAGGCTCCTGTATGATTCCTGCCTTTGTTGGCTCATGCTCTTCTTCGTCGCACGATTCACATTCTTCCTCGTCTTCTTGTGCGTACAGGTGGTCCAGTTCGTTCAATCGAGCCTGAAGTCGCTTGACTAGGTCCCGTTTGCGTTGGATGTCATCCTTTGGCAGTTTTTTTGTGGAGGAAACTGTGAGAAGCAGCGAGCGTGCATAGTCAAAATTCTTACAATATAAAGTCAGCATGCGTTTTGAGTGGTAGACAGCAACTTGAGACATACCGCTCTTATTCTCGCTCTTTCGTACCGCGATTTAAAGTTGCTGGAATCTAGAGATTCAGACAAGAGAACGCGCTCTTGTGAGGCAAGAACCTTGTTTAGGTTTATGACTTGAGGATCTTGGGGCATGGCAGATTTGCCCATTGTGCTGTTCTCAGACAGGATACGATTGTAGAGGTTGCGGGAGCAGGGAATATGTAGAATGATATCAAGAGCTCCGAATCAGGAAAGGACAGCTTGCGGAGCGCGCTGCGGAGAGCAGAAACACACAACGTGTACTTCGACTTCACTACAACCTTGGATAACAGAAAGACGAGTTTGCGGATCTACACGGCTATGATACTCAGGTGACAGCTTTTTTGCCTTATTTGTTCTCACATTAGAGGCTGTTTAAGGGCCCTTCAGCCATGGACGTCACGCTTTTGTTCAATGATTACCTGACGGCCAAAGGAGCGAAGCCAGTATTACAAGAGCCTTTCGAGGTCTCAAAATTAAATGGCTTCATGAACGATGCTTATCGCATTGTAATCTTGCCCATTCTCATTCTACTTCCTCATTACTAAGAATTACGCAGAATGCACTCCTCAATGACCTGGTACGCTACCTACGCGTCATACGATCGCCATATCTGGCACTTCAAGTGCACCGGAACAGATCCAAGGGACTTAGTAATCCAACGAAAGCGGATCATGTCCAGCCGTTTACAGAACAGCAACGCAAAGATGTCGACGAAGCCTTGAAGAAGCAGTTGAAGCAGATCGATATAAGCCTAGAACAACTGGCGAAGGACGCCGAAATGGATCTCGAAGTCAAGTATGCCATCCGCGCCAAAAAGCAGGAGAGGAAGGGGTTTGGGCGGCTGGGACGATGGGCTGCAGGTGGCGGCGCCTTAGAAAAGAGCCCGGAAGAGCTGGAGGAGGATGCCAAATTTGAAACAGAGAAAGCGCATAGAGACGGTGTCATCTTCTCTCTTCGCATGCGGCTTCAGCAAGCGGGAAAGGTTCAAGAGAGCATTGCGTCGACGCGTCTCAGCAGAGAAATTGAGCACAGCCAGAATATCCTGTCAAGGTCGCGGAGCGATCGCTTCCAGGCCGAGTTCCCCACAGCATCCGCGTCCTCCACTGGTCAGCCCATGACTGCGCTTGAAATTGACCTTGAAGCTGAGCAAGCGTCGCGTCAAGAGCGAGAGCAGATTAGAAAGGATCTCGAATCTCAGATGACGCCTGCGCAGCTGCAACAATTGCAATCTGAAGAAACCACCATGTTGAGACACTACAACGCTGAGCTGGCTAAAATACAACGTGCACAGGCGTCCGTGCTTGAAATCTCGAATTTGCAGACCGAGCTGACTATGCATTTAAACCTTCAGGCCGAAGGAATCAGTCAGTTAGTGAGCGACAGTTTTGAAATTGGATCCAATGTGGCCGAGGGAAATCGACAGCTCGAGAAGGCCAATGAAAGATTTAGGCCTGCACAGTGGGCATTTTATGTGGCAGTCGGTACAGGCGCCTTCCTCGTGTTATGGGACGCGATATTTTAGGACAATGGGAACATGACATTGAGTAGGAGAAGTGAGTTCTATGCGGCGCATATTCAATCAACTTCCGATCAGTATTGCAAGGCATTAAGAACTTGGAGTTGTTAGAGAAGAGATCACTGTTTGCGTGTATTGTGACGGAATTGGCGATGCTCATCATGTCAAAGCTCTGAACTGCCATGTCTATTTACTGTGCAAGATTTGTTCCCAGAACTTTTAGCGAGGTGATCCAGAGATTATAGATGTTTCTCAGGATCACAACAGATATAATATCACCATTATGCCTACCAGTATATCGTGTCAACTTGACTTTGAAGCTACACCAACAATGCACCACTTGAGCCTTATATGAATTGCGACGGCTTAGTGGCGAGCAAAGCAGTGCCTTTGCAGTCAACAGTCAGAAATACTTTCTTGCATGTCACTATCAAACTGCTTGTTGGTCATGCCTTCTGGACAAATCTTTGTTTTGGCTTCCAAAATCACAATCTAACAGCCTTTGCTTTTTCTGGCGATCAGAAACATATACACATGATCCCGTCTACCACGCAGGAAAGGCAAAATCTCTATCAAGAAGCCAACCTGCCTGGTTGATTTCTGTATAATTACTTAAGAAATTAGCGTGTAAGGATGGAAGGATCAAGGATGGCTTCGTGCCAGAGCAGAATATTGAGCTCTTGGATTAAGAGACAAAACAGAAGTCAGTGTCAGCCTCGTCTAATATAGTATTTTTTTTCCACTAGGATATTCTATCAAAATCTCCACAACGTCAATATCAACTAATATGTTTACAATTTTAAGAGCACTCTGATCGAGGAGTAAGGTCGTACGGATTACATTTATGAGCTGGAAAACAATTGACACGAAATAATGTGGGTGGGTTTTTTTTTTCGCGAAGCTTGACAGAATGATGAACAGGTCGAGTACCTGATTAGGCTTTTGCGCTAGACAGATGACGAATTCTGCAGAAAATAAGCATTGTTGGACGGGGATACATGAAAAGCTGGATGTTGGCTGCTCTGCTCGACGATCTGGGAGACTTTCACGCTCGGGAAGGGGCTGGAAATGTCTTAATTCAGCATGGACTGCGGCCCCCGTTTCTGGTTGTTTGAAACGGGCTTCGTCCAAAGGGAGACTTGGAGCCCATCTCGTCCTGTTCAGGAGTTGTTTGATCAATTGAGGGATGGAGGGTGGGCAAAAGGTTCTATGGATAGCATCGGGGATGGTTTGAAGTACAGTAGTGTAGCACCAACATCGGTAAGTCTCTTCGCAGAACAATTCATCCTCGTCGGTTGTCTTCACGGCCGCCAAGTCTATATTTGCTCGCTAGGGTCTACATTCTGCACTTCATCATTGCTTGAGACGGCTTCAAATTTAGTCTCTCCTGCTTGTGGCCAGAAAGAGAACAAATATATGACGACGAGAAGTTTAGGACATTGCTGTCTTGAAGTTAGCCATACTTCATTAATCATTTCACAATCCAAATTGAATTAGTATGCCATGTACATATGGACTGAACAGGCTCGATCTCAGCCATGATTCATGTCTTCGACGAAACAAAGGGTTACCCGTAGGGCCAAGAACCTTGTTCTCCAACTTCAAGTGCGTACACGAATCACTGTAATTCAAGAACACGTATTGCGACGTTCAAAAATGGTCTCGTAGGAAACTAATCTGGCGCTGAAATCGTATGCATTGGCATGTCGTGGTGGATTGTAACAATACAGCCAAGAAATTACGTCCAGACATTAATCCAGCACCCTGTGATGTCGTCTCTCAGAATTGAAACTTCGGCCCGGACTTGCCTCTTGACATGCTATAACATGATAGAGAAAAAAAAGAAATTAAAATTTGCTCGTTCCAGAAATCTGGAAGAGTGCGATGGTAGAGACGAATCCATCCATATTGTCGCTCCATTGTGCGACGCTCTGGCCACTAACATCAATCATAGACTGGGTTCCAACAGTGTTGAGGTTGTAGATCTCAACCTGGGAGTCTACGATGTTAGCGATCGAGCTCTGACACTTGGTTGTGTTGCCCTGATTAGAGCAGTTCACATCGTAGCTGCTGAAGAAGCTGTACAAGCCCTGTAAAGCAGTCAGCATATTCAAAGATACTAGGTTATTGTCTACTTACGGCGCCAAGGATCTTGACTGAGCTGGAGTTCATCACGTATAAGCCCCACCCATCGGTGCCGACGCTTGGGTCGTCGTAGTTTGCATTGATGGAAAATGGCTGCGGCGCTGCAGGAGTAGGCTGATAGTATGCCGTTTCAGTCTGAAGCTGACCAAGGACGATGGGCCCGGCGTTGATGAAGGCATACTGGTAGAGAGTGTGATGCTCGACAGCAGTGCCATACAGGATGTTGTCACCAGCTTCAGACTCGACGAGAAGACCACGGCCTGCATACACGGTGATCTGGGTCAGGTTGACATCTTCGATATCGTGATCGGCAACCCAAAGCCAGTTGTTCTCGCCATAGAAACCAGAGGCAGATTTCGTGATGTGGAGGGACATGAAAGCAGCGATACATTGCTCGACAATGGCGGAGCTACCAGGCTGCTTGACGCACTCGGAAACCTGTAGGTTTGAGCCCTTGAAGCCGCCAACACGGGTGTGGACATCCCACAAGCCAGACCCAGCCTCCGTCTGAAGATTATACTCAATCAGTATTGCACCACCTTGGGGAACACCATTGATAATAGCTGTGGAGACAATGATGTCAGAGAGCTCGACGGAACCGGAGTCACCAGCCTGGCCGATCTGCACGACTGGTAGTGGATTGGACATGTCGGAGAATTTTGCACCCGACGCAAGAATGACAGGGTAGGATTCGCCTACAATCTTGGCGCCAGCTGGAACGGAGATAGTATCGGTGACGAGGTAATCGCCGTGGTCAAGGAAAAGAACGAGTCCCGACGAAACAGCTTTGGCAATAGCGGCGTTTAGAGCAGCGGTATCGTCAGTCACGCCGTCACCCTTAGCACCGGCATCACGAGCACTCAAGAAGCCAGAGACAGAAACCGACTCATATTGAGGCTTCGACTTCTCGACGTATGTGAATGCACGACCTTGGGAAGTGAAAGGGCCCTGAAAGACCTGAGGACCATGTGGTGTGTAAGAGTGGCCCTGGCCCCATGTCTCAACGCTGGTACCAGACAGTACAGTTACATCACCTGGGCCGGTGACGGGCTGGTCAACATTGCTGAATTGAACATTGTCCAGGATCAAGCTGTTGGCTGCTTGGCCTGTGGCCGGGCTCGGATCTGTGCTCGAGCGGTTCATCGCAATACCAACGGGCGTGTTGCTGAAAGTAGAGTCAACCACAACGACGGAGCCGACATTAAGGATACCAGTGTCGGTGCTGACAGAGCCCATGCTGATACCAGTCTGGCAATTGTTGATGGAGAGACTCTTGTAGGTCCAGCCCCAGTCCCAAATCTGATTGATGGCGGTTACGCAGCCGTCGAACTTGAGGTTTCGCATGGTGAACTGCTGGTTGCCAACATTGAGACCGTACAGACCGCCAGTGAATGTCAAATCGGTCATAAAACCACCGGAGCCAGACTCGATGAAGACTCCGACGTGTTGAGTGCCTGACGCAGAAGACATGGTGAACTGAATATTCTGGAGCGATGTTGCCTGTCCAGTTGGCCAGTGAATCGCAGCGAGGCCCGTGGTAGCAGGAACAGAGGTCAGGTCCAGGACAAAGTTACGAATCTGGCGCCAAAAGACGTTGGTCGAGCCCCATGCTAGGTTCCCACTGGATAGATACGGGTCGCCGTCGATGACATAGCTACCTTTGAAGTCTGCGCTTGGCTTGATAACGGGGACGCAGTTGGGGTTGCCGATGATCTGGGTGTAATAGTAGTCAATGATTGGAGAGGACACAACGTACGTTCCCGGGGGGAAGTAGACAACCGCGGGCGTGGTGGTGTCGGTGCCTGGTGCGCAGTTATCAGGGCCGCATCGGTTTCCTGAGCTAATTGCTGCGTTGATGGCATCTGTGTCATCCGTAACTCCGTCACCCTTGGCACCAAATGACTTCACGTCCCGGAAAACGACATAGCTGCTAGGGTTGCTGTTGAAGGCAGCAATACCCTGATGCTTGATGTCCTCTAGATAGTAGGAGCAGCTTCCGTTTCCACTCGAGCCCGGTGCACCCGAGCCACCTGTAGAGCCGCCGGTTGATCCTCCCGTGGAGCCTCCAGTAGAGCCTCCAGTCGAGCCGCCAGTTGAACCTCCGTGTGCTCCTCCAGTGCTGCCACTTGAAGAGCTTGAAGAAGATGATCCAGGACTACCGGACGAGCTGCCCGGTGCAGTACCTGTTGGCGAAGAACCTCCAGGCCCAGCAGTGACGGTGACGGTCTTAGTTACAGTGATAGTGGTAGCCTGCGTAACAACCCAAGACTTTCCATTGCTCGTAACTGTCTGGCCAGCAGTGCATGGCGTTTCCTCGACAGTAGTGGTAACATAGGTTGAGATGGCGGAAGTCGGCCAGGACTTGGTGGGATCAAAATCCGATTCGTCGCAACCGGGCGAGTTGGAAGGTTTCGCGGACAGGCTGGGCCATGCCCCCCCTCTGATCAAAGAAACAGAACTCGAAACGACAGGGGTGTTGTAAGAACCCGCGAAGGCTGCGGGAAGTAAGGAAGAAACAAAAACGAATGACTTGAGCGAAGACATCGTGTCCTCGTAAACGAATGTGTGAAAGCGAATCGATGCAGCGAAGGTGTGAAGGAAGGCCTTGGCTGTACGAGGTGAATGGGAATTGCGCCGGTTTTATTACTGTTCCCTACTGTGAATTGGAAATTGCCCCGGACAGGAGTCAGGACGCGGGCGGGAATCATGGGTAGAGTCAGCCCAATGAAAGCGCCCGCAACGGCGCAAGGAGGGCTTAAAATCACCGCGTAATCGTCGTTTGTCGTGATGGAGGCGTCGAATCCATGCGCCGCTCAGGAGCCTGCTGGGCGGAGAATAGAGCGCGATCTGCTCGCCTTCTCGACAGCTGATCGGTAAAGCAGTGATCACGGGCGATATCTGATCTTCTGATAGCTGCCACATGGATCAGTCTACGGAGGTTGGCCACGCGTCCGATGATCAAGGAAAGGCATTTCCTCAGTAGAATCACACGCGGCGACAAAGTTTCCGATGCGAATGCGCATGTGAGGACAGTGTTCGGGTGTTTCTCAGCTGATCCACTGCTGCAGGAATAGCAGCAAAAGCAGCGCATAAGATGCCTTCTAGTGCGTTTCGCCAGTCAGGTACAGCCGCAAACTAACTGATTTAGGTCTCACTAATTTCGTGAAAAGTGTGAGAGCGAGCGGACGGGGGAGGCTGGGCGATGGAACAAGGACACGGCCCTTTTGACATCTCTTGGCGAATCAGACCTGGGGCCGGCTTTATCGACTCCATGTTATCCTATTTTGGTTCAAGTGCTTCCTCAAATACCTGTTGCCGTACGCCACCGACGACTTGTGAAGCTGGTGTCGAGGCGAGAAGGATTCTGACTAGTTGAAGCTGCCACACGTGTGCGCCATCGGCCTTAGCCTTCGCCCATCGGATCTCCTACGTAATGCGGGTGATGGAGTGCCGAAATCCCCCATGCTAGATGGAAGGTAACGTGCTCATTTGTTGGTGGCCATCGCCAGTGCTGTGGTGCTGCCCTGGCTTTCGCTTACATCTTGGATACGACGTAGCGAAACGTCCGTTTTGAAACGATCATGCGTGCAGGGTCAGATTACAAAGGCATCTGAACACGCAGGAACAAAATAATAAAAACAAAGAAGATCACCGGGCCAGATCTTGTGCTGAAAGTCGTCCGCGGCTAATGTAAAGTCCGTCGCTTGCAGATCGCGGAGACGGGATCCCCTAGATGAGGATCAACGCTTCGTTACGTGACATTTACTTGCTTCTGTTCATCCTTATTATGAAGCCGCTGGAGTGAGTGATTGCGAAGGATCCAGCGCCGTTAAGAATCGAGAGATGAAAATGTCAGTCGCTTCTCACCCTGCTTGTTTCGTCACTCACTGTGCACCATGGAGTGAGTGACTTTGTGCTTGATAAAATTTCGCGTCCCCGCGTCAGCCTATCTGATTTGGCCATAGACACCTCCTCTTTTGCGAGAAAGTCCTTAACGTATTTCACTTTGAACAGGCTGCGTACTGTCGTCTCGTGGTCAATTTCCAAGTGACCCGTCGGCTTGAAATAGGCCAGACCAATTTGTTGTGTTCTGCGCCAAAATGAATCTTTTCGCCCATTTCGCACTGAATCCATGTGCATTATATTGCACGCTGATTTTTGGTTGCAAGTAATTTAGCCTTCGAGGACGTATCTGCGTAGCGATGCCTAATCTGCCATTTGGCATGCCTGTGACACGACGTTGCTTGGACAGTCCAAACAAGGCAGAGCGTGAACACTTGCTTCTTCAAACCAGAGCTCGCGCGAAATGGTTGATGTCAGCAAAGCAGGCTGCTGGTCGTATGTCGAAGAAGCTCTACCAGTTGTTCATAGCCTTGTTGCATTCGTCCGTAGCGCTCGTGAGCCAATGTTGCTTCTCTGCAATCCGTGGAAGACGGACACAATTCCTGGATCCGGAACAGTAGTTGCAGCAGCGGAAGCAGAACCGTCATATACAATAGAAAGAGCGATGAATGATCGAGCCCTCCATCGTCACAGCAGCTCGATCAAGAGGTGTGACGGAAGATTCCAGCAATGTTAACAACGTCGGCTATTGGAATTTGTTCCGCCTCCATAACGTCGAAATATGGAATTGAGGCAAGACGCTCATAGTGCCCGTCTCTGCAAGTTGCTGAATGCGTCTGGAAATGACCTAATGCAGGTATATCTCGGAGCAACTCCACTTCAATGCAATTAGCGGTTCTTTAGCCCCCCAACATACACTGTCTGTCGCTTGCCCAGATTAGCAGGAGGGTTTATTTTTTCCAGGCTCTCATCTAATCGCGTAGGTGCAAGTCAGCGATTTCAAGCAAGCATTGTTGGATCCATTGCTCAAAATTCGAAGCAGGCACACTGTTTGTGAATGAAGTAGCAAACGTCGGTCAGAGACTGGTGGAAAATCTTATGCCATCCTTTTGTTGACCGCAGCCGACATGATAGCAAATTGTGTAATGTTGCTTGTGGTTGTACCACACTAGTTCACAGACAGTGCAGTTGCCGTACACACCCGGCCGTGTTACATACGTTTGCCAATCAAGAACATGGATAGTGGAAAGAGATAGTTGGTCATCCGCACTATCGATCAACCCATGTATTGGGCACACGCTACAGTAGCCCAGCTTTTCTCTTCGTTCTCCGTGGAGTGAACAGCATGCGAAATTTATGTCTAACTTCATCGACCGGAGGGCTGTTCTCACCCAATGTAAGATAGTTTCAAAACGTTAGCTGTGCTCGGAATAGGAAGGTAGTATTTTGTTGAAATTGTGTTAGCCCGGACACCGCGTCAACGCAAGTCGTTCCACGCCCGTAATGACAGCATGACATTGCTAGAAGTTGAATCGGCGTGACTGGATGTGCCTCAAAAGCCGGCGTGAGAGGCACCTCCAGATAAAAAACAGGCAAGTTTTCTTGATCAGACAGAGACTACTCTGCATCCACGCAAAGCTAAGAGGCTGAAGCCGCTAAATTAGTCATAGAGCTTGGGTATGAGGCATTCGGTACAGGCTTTTGAACTTCCTTACAATAAAGGTTCAAATACGTATCTTGAAATTTTCAGAGCCTGTGGCGTGTGGCAATAATACAGTGACCAATGTGTCCTTGAAAACACGAACAGGAATGCAGCTCCTGAGCTTGGCCATCTCGCTGCGTACTTTCCTGTGGCGAACGAGCCGCACTAGGAGCTTATACTTGCAGGATGTATTTCTTTTGAACAGTTCTCGCATTTCCCAATTGTGATAACGGTGACGTGGACATTTGTCGAGAGTGTCTTCTCCAGGATGTCAGACAAAGGCCAAGGCAAACGTTAACCTTTCGAAATGGAAACATTATCTAGGCGCACCAATTCCTGTCTGCCGATTTGCTGAAGATCCTCATTGTTAGAAGTGAAATGGCAGTGATTGGGGGATATTCCAGCAAATTCGTTGTCTTCAGATGTCTCGTATAACATGAAGCCTCTTCTTGGACCATTCAATGTGCAGGTAATGGCCTCTTGCATGAGCACCTGCAATACATTAACACTTAAAGTATAATAGCCATGCTATGGCCCAAATCAACGCGCAATAGGCCATATGAGTGGAAATTTATAGCCGCGTTGGGTCAGAGAAGTGACGAGGCTGGCGACAAGGCTGAAGCGCGGTCACTAAAAACCGGCGTCGTCCTAACTCAAAGTGGCCTAAGGATCTCGAAACTCCAGTGGTGCCCGCCTTAGCTTTCCTCCACTTTGTCCTCTTCGTCATCGACGCCGGTTCACCAGCAGACTCACCCTTTCACTCCTTCACCATCCTGCGTTCTTTCGCTCCTTTCCTGGTCCGCAATGTCTGGCGAGTACCTCGCTTCCCTCGCCGGGTGGTATTTCCTGCCGGGACTCGTCACGAACTGGGCTCAGACCATCTACTACAGCATAACCATCCGCGCCGGCGAACCGCACCCCCAGCCGGGCACGCCCGTCTTCAACCGACATCGACGCAATGTGTTCACCCTCGTCATAGTGTCGTATCTGCTCTTCACGATATACCAGACGGACTGGCAGCTCCGGCAGGTGGGCGACTTCTACAGTGACCTGGCGCTTCCCCGACACGCCGACGAGAAGACGCTGCAACGACTGCTCAGACGGGCACTGGCGCTGGCGCACCCAGACAAGTACGGCCCCAGCCAGCAGGAGAGTGCCGCGCTGGCGTTCGGTCGGGTGAAGGAGGCGTACGACACGCTGACGGATCCCGTGCGGCGCTTTGCGTACGAGCGCTTCGGCCCGGACATGCTCGCGTGGAAGAATTGCAAGACGACGCGGGACTTTGTGATGCAGGGCGCTCAGAGCAGCTGCGTGACGATGCTAAGCACGCTGGTCGTGATGCTGATCGCCCAGACGTTCGGCCAGATGCAGCACGGGAAGTACTGGCGGTACCTGACGCTGGCGGCGTTGCTCGTCTTCGAGCTGCACACCATGACGCGGGCGACGGAGCCAGCGCTGCTGAGGTACGTGCTGAATCCGCTACTGTCTGCGCTTCCGGGCTTTCGTCATCCTCCGTACCTGCCGTTCCAGCTCGTCAAGCTGGCGCGCCAGACGGCTTTTTCGTTCTTCATCGCCGTCAACCAGCTCGCGCCGTGGTGGGCGCCACCCGCGACGGCGGCCCAGGAAGAGGCCGTGCAGAACCAGTTGCTGTCTCAGATTCGGCGAATAGTGGCGGCCACCACACTCGACAGCCAGAGGCTGCTCGCGCTCGAGCATGCCCCTTTCGCGGGCAGTGCTCGAAGCGAGTCGGCCATGCGTGAACGACTCGTGGAGTGGCTTGTGCAGAACGAGGTCAGGAATGACCCTGCCGTTAGCGCAGCGATGAAGAGGGCGATTGAGCGGAGAAACGCGGAGGTAGATGCCCACGGAAGCGGATGATGTTGATCGTGACGATGGTGCTGCTGTTGTTCATGATAGACGACGCTCTCGCCTGCACTACGCATGGATCTTCGCTAAATCATGTCCACGATTCGGAATACACGTATTTCTCCAGATGGACTGCGAAGCTCAATCGATAGCTGCTCGCTTCTAATAGCTAAGATACACGGAGCTTACGGATCGCGTCGACCGCATACGTGCTCCTAATGCGTCAGGCTCTCAATCATCTGGTGTTGCTTCTTGGCCACTGTGAAGGTCATCCGTCCTTCAACCACCATATTATTCTGTCAAAAGCAAGAATCTTCGATCACCACCGCCGAATATCAATCTTTTGTGTTATATTTCATTTACGCTCACCATTACACACCTCAAGACTTCTGCCGAACCTCGACAGTGCACCCTTGCGTCTCGCTGCGTAGGAAAGACAAACATGAACTCGATATCTCTCAATTCGTCGTTGCTCCATTTTCTTGAAGTCCTGATTTCAGCCATCCGTTCCCATCAATCTCAGCCCCATCTTCCGTTTCCTCGTCAAATGTGCGATTGACTCACCTGCCCTGTCGACGTCCCACTCGCATCGTCTACGCGGCAAGTCGAGCTGTTCGATCTCGTCGTATGCGTCATTGACATACATGGGCTGCTTTCCTGCTGCTTTGGCCGTCCAGTTCGACCGTGAATACTGCCTCTTTGAAGTCTTAGCCAACAGAGTCTTGGGGAAGAACTTGAACAAGCGCTGGTGCTTGTTAACTCGCTTGATGCTATGACGGTGGCGCCAGACCCAGCGCCGCAAACAGTCAACGACGCAATCCTTGAGGACAACGTTGTTGTGCACTTCGTAAGGGGCAAGCTGTGTCGGCCGTGGATATGGCGCTTGCATGTTAAGGTGGGCTCTCCCGCGCTCCTGCGAAAAGTTGCCTCTTACAGTGCAGTTGCTGAGGACAACGCCATGCGTGAACAGTACGCTCGAGCCCTTGTCTTCACCCGTGCCTGTGAATTCTCCGGGAACAAAGTCCCCAGAGTCGGTGGTGAGCACGCAGTCGATGAATACGCAACCTTTGAGCTCAAAGACGCCCGAGAAATGCACGTGGCAATTACGAAGAGTGCATTGCACCATGTGCACATTGTACATGACGCAACGTTCGAAGCGCGCATCGAGTATCAAAGAGTCAGTCAAGTACAGCCAAGTGTATGTACCCCTGTGTACCTTCTCGTGGACGAAGGTGAGCGGGCGTCGCTCCAGCATCTCCCAGCGTATTCCGGTCATTTCTTGAAGGGGTTGAATAGAACCGTCCCCGGCGTTATGATCCAAGGCGTCGAGGACGGTGACATGTTTGCCATCAGCGCCACGGTTCTCGCCCATGCTTTCCAATTTCGTCCCTGGTTAGAATGGATTAATTAAATGGAGAACGCCTGGTGTTCTCTCTTCGGAATTTGAGCGTTGGTGAGATGTTTCGTTGCGTGCCTGTACAACACAAGTAGCCTTTGGATCACACTTGCGCATCCGTACATAGACCAGTGCAATGCGTGTCAAAGATCGATGGCCTTGTCCAGCGGACGGAATGGTAAACCGGGAACGCTCCTGTCGTGTTTGATGCTCCCAACCTACTCGATTTTAGCAGCTCCGAATGCAAGCGGGCAATATATCATCTCAAGTTGACGTTCAATTGGTTTTAAGAGGTGTGGTCGATCTTTGTCTACGACCATAAAAGAGATGATGAACAACAAGGCTTTAAAAGATTGAAATAGCCTTTCGCTGTGCATGGGTGTATCTGGATGCAATGACGTCGAAGGTTACGAGAGTTACTTCGACGATACAAGTGAAGAACGAACAAAATAAGACGCAACACGACTTTCTGTACACATGAGCCACTTACTCGCGGCAGTTACTTTGACTTTCTCAATCCGCCGTTTACTCAGTGCATAAAAAAAGCGTGCTCCAAGAAATCAATGTTCCCATAAGTGTTAACTGTAGACGACACTGACGAAGAGACAGCTAAAAAGACAAAAATTGCTCGAGGGGCCGCAAGTGTGTGAGTGAAGAACCGGGAGGATAGATGTGACATTGCAAAGCATAATCACCTAACACCTAGTTTAGGGGCACATGTCGTGGCAGATAGATACCTAATTAGGAGCTGACATATCTACGCCTAAGTTGAAGAGGTTTGAAGCATTGATAAAGGCGGTCTCACCATGATCGTGTTCACCTCCACACCCTCAGCGCCGTACTTTGTCAGGTCGAACCTCCTTTCCAAGACCGGGGCAAAGCCAAACCTTGCGTACAGAGGCTTACCCATCTCCGAAGATTCAATGTATGCCTCTACACCGGCTCTGTCCACTTGCTCGACAAACGTGCGCATGAGCAACGTACCGGCGCCGCGTCTCTGATGGTCAGGGTGTACGGTGAGGGTGTGCAGCACGGCCACGGGCTTGGTGCCCAGGGCACGTCTGCTCTCCGCAAAGTGGCCGAAGAAGTCAGTCCAGGCGGCAGCGTTTGCGTCGGGTGGAGGGTCGGCCTTGTGGCACAACGCATCGACCTGGGCCTCGGTGCGCTCCTCGGCGTATATGTCCCAATGAGCGGCTGCGATGATAGGGTTCGCCGGTAGCAGGTCCAGATCCTCCACAACCATAAAGTGAGCGGCGGGATTGGAGCGCATGGTAGCCAGGCGGGACTTGGTCGCCGAGACGAGGTATTCCGGTGAAGGAGATGGATTAGGGGTGAGAAGTTTGCCCATGGCACCGGTACGAAAGGCGGCGTATTGAGTGCGTAAGGCGGGCTCGATATCGGCCTCCAGCTGCGGACGGACGGTCAAGCGCATGGTTTTCTGCTCATTGGAGAGAGATGGCACAATGATTATGCTACGGCGACGGCGAAAGCTAAGATATGCTGCGAAAAAAAAAACACGATTATCTGCTTTACAAGGCAGATTGCATGGCAGACTTCCGTTAAGGAGTCGGGTTGGAGTGTGTACCGAGAAGGACTTGTACGAAGCAGGCAGCGATCGTGATGAAGCCAAACGTGGTCTCGTGTCCGCACTGGGCGACGGCGGTGCCGAGTTGGGCTCCCGTAATGCGTTGTGAGAGGAGAGGCGGTGCCCGTAAAACAGACTCGAGTCCAAATTTCATGTGCGTGACGTGTGGTTCATGGTTGGTCGACTCCTGACTCGCACGAACCGTCTTGTTACTCTTCAGTCGCTTCCGCTTGTACCACTCACAAGGTCACTACGAATCAGCAGCTGCCTGTGCCTAGCTTTCTCCCTTGCCTTCGTATGTTTGTTACTTCTCTTCTCGCTATGCCCATGCTTTACATCCTGCACTTGGCTTTCGCATCGGGAATCTTGCTGCAATAGATTATCACTTTCCTCTCGCACGGTTGCCACCATTCCTGCTCCCGACACACGAGCGCACGCGCACCCAGACACACGTAAACGTTTACATACACTTTTGTATCACTAGTCATAACCGTTTCTGCCGGCCATGGACGACGACGTTATCTCCACATTTACGTCGCTGACCGGCTCGACACCCGCTCAGGCTACCCAGTATCTCCAGCTCACGGAGGGCAATCTGGAGCAGGCTGCTCAGTTGTGGTTTGAGACGAGTGGCTCTCTGGTCACCGACTCCGCCGCCGGAACGGCAACATCACAGGCGCCGCCTACTTTGCGGCCGTCAACAATCTCACAACGAGGAGCAGGTTATCGTGAAGACGACGATGGCGTCATACATATCGATTCTGACGAGGATGAAATGGATTTTGACAACGAAAGTTCAGCACCACACAGACAGCAACCGAACACAGAGGACGATGAAGCAATAGCACGGAGACTCCAAGAAGAAATGTACGGGAGTGCTTCGAGGGACACGGAGACCGTAAGGGCGCCAATATCGCGGACGACGGAGACGCTCGTTGGTCCTGAGTCGATGATGTACGGGGGAGTGTATGGAGGTGGCGACGATGAGGACGTCGAAGCCATGATAGCGCAGCAGATGGCCGCAAGACAAGCTCGTCAGGCTGCTCGATCACGTACGTAAATTTCAATTCCTGCTCTATGAAGGAACATGAGAAGAAAACTATGAGGAAGAGAGAGGAAGAGCCAGAGCCGTGTGACTGACATATAATGGTTTCTGCAGGTCCTGGAATTTTCAATCAGCGCGACACCCAGTCCGCAGTCTGGGACAGCGACCCAGAGCAGCGTGCCCGAAACCTGGCTTATGCCACAGGTGGCCAGTCCACGCAATCTTCTCGCGCCCAGTCCCTCGCTGAGATATACCGTCCACCCTTTGAGATCATATCTCGCCTGTCTTGGGATCAGGCTCGGTCGGAGGGTCGACAGGAGAAGAAGTGGCTGCTGGTCAACGTGCAAGATCCCTCCATTTTCGACTGCCAGATGCTGAATCGCGATCTGTGGAAGGACGAGCGCGTCGCCGCTGTTATTCGCGAATCCTTTGTGTTCTTGCAGTACTTGCGGACAGATCCGCGCAGCGACGGCTACATCCAATACTACTTTGCGCATTCCGTCGACAATCCGGATGCCTATCCGCACATCGCAATCGTGGACCCTCGTACGGGCGAGCAAATGAAGATATGGTCCGGTCGACCTGTACCCAAAGCCGATGACTTTGTGGAGGCCTTGTACAACTTCTTGGACCGATATTCGCTTGACGTGGCCAAAAAAAACCCTGTCGCGAAGCGCAAAGCCGAGCAGCCCAAGGTGTTTGATATCGACCGCATGACCGAGGATGAGATGCTTCAAATGGCCATGCAACAGAGTCTGGCTAATGGTGGATCCGGCACGCCGCCTAAGCAGGAGGACCCGGACGACCTGACTAAGAGCGTGGAGCTTGGCAGCGCGGAGGCGGGGCCGTCCAAGAATGACAGCAGCGGCACCAGCGTAGCCACGCCGAGCGCAGCCGTTGACGAGGATGCGTCACAACCAAGCGCCGAGAGTCTCATGTTTGCGCAGATCGCGTCAGACCGGCCGCACGAGGAGCCGCCGGCCGACCCGAAGACGACGACTCGCATCCAGTTCCGGCATCCCGGTGGCCGCGTCGTACGTCGCTTCACGCTGACGGACAGCGTGCGCCGCATCTACGAATGGCTAAAGGCGTCGCCCCCATCGCCCGAGCAGGCCGGCAAGACGTTCGACCTCATGTTCATGGGCAAGAATCTGCTGGAGTCGCTCGACGAAAGCATCGAGGAGGCAGGCTTGAAGAACGCAAGCGTCAACATCGAGTGGATTGACGAGTGATCGTCTGATGCCCGTGTGGACCTTGATTCCCCTCCTCCACATAGACGAAAATTCTACAAGACGGGACTACTCTGTATTATGGCGAGGCTGGCTTTTTTTTTTCACCTTTTTTTTCGGTGGTGCGAGTTCCGCATGGACGTACGTAGAGCATAGTTGAGGCGCTTAATATGGCGGGTTCGGACAGGAGGGTTGATGTTTTCTTTGACCGATACTTCCCGCTCCCCCCTTCCCCCCTTAAAACACGACGCGTGGGAGTAGAAGGGCCTTAGGGGTATCCTCTCCCGCCTATCTTCGTCTTTCGTATCGTCATCGCGACATGGGTTTTGCCCTCTCCCCCTCCCCCCTTATAAGTGTCTTCATGTCCTTTGAGGAAAGTTGAAGCTCGCAGGGGGCAAATCGTGAAGCATAGGCATCACTAGAGCTATGGGGAATATGGCTTGCGCTAGAAGCATAGCTGGTCGTCATGCCTACCCTTCCTGGGATATAGAAATGCAATGAGTTCCGCTTTTGCTTCACATCTCAATGAGTCATAGATAGAATAGATCACGACGCATTTTTTTTTGGCTATAGTGGGTCTCAAAATTTTGTTCGCAAAAAAGAGTTTTGAGAGGACATCATCATGACAATTCGTATATGGTACATTACAAACCCTTTCAACCACCCCAGGACTTCTTTTATTCTTGTGGTAGCTGGGGTGGCATTTTGTGGTTGATAACGCACATTACAAAGGAACAAGAAAAAAAAAATTTCCAATGCCACATAGCCAAACCACTCCCCCCCACTCCACGCCAAATGAACTCTCGAAAGAAAAGAAGAATAGAAAAGGACAATGAAAATAAAAGAAAAAAAAGAAAAACATTCCTGGGCGCCTACCGAACGTGATACATGGTAGGGGCCAGCCCGGACAAAGAATACAAACGTGTTTTATACCAGTGCTCCAGTCTCACTCCTGATCCATAAGTAGATCCAAAGAACCGCAAAGGAGATTTTTAATTAGGTGCCTGTGGTGGTCATGATTGTGTGTGTGTCTATGCGCTCCCCGCATCTTTTAATCGGGGTGTAGTCTGAGTTCCTTTGGGTTCCTCCGGGGGTATCATTTTCGGCCACTTGTCGCGTCAAGATAAAAAAGATTACTGGATCCAATGGCCTTGGTCGAGTTTTGACTCCCATACTCGCACATGGGTATCGAATAAAAAGGGGGATTCCGATCGCTCGTGTTCCCTTCTTGGTCCCATTCTCCTTCTCAATGTGTACACCAGGCGTATGATACATCTCCACTTCCTTCTGATCCCACGATTGAAAATAAGCCGATGAGAGGAAATGCACGCAGACGCTGGAATGAAATACAAACATTAGTCTCTACTGAAAGCCGTCAATGAAGAGCACAAGCTCGCCTCGGTCGTTTCTGCGCATCCTCAACGTCTTGAATAACTCCTTCTCATCCCTCGCGTTCTTGCGCTGGCCGTTGTCGCGGTAGTACCTCTTGAGTGCCTTGTTGAGAGAGCATCCGCGCTCGCTGTCCAGGTCCTTCTCCGACGCTGACAGGAAGACCTCAGCCCGGGCGATAGACTTCTTGTTGTGCAAAACGACAGCGTTATTGGATGTGGGCCTGAGCTTGTCGTCCCCGTCTGGTTTGTACTCGATGGCGAGCTGCTTACGCGCTGTTGGAGTGGCATCCTGATCCGAGGCTGGTTGATCCGTCTGTTGCATCGACGAATCTTTCCGCGAGCGACGACGAACCCACTGCCCGTTCTTGAGATCCTTTACAGCTACAGACGAGCTGACATTTTTCTTGTCCTTCTTGTCCTTCTTCTTTTCTTCCTTGGATTTGCTCTTCTTGGCCTCCTTCTCCTTGAGCTTCTCTGCCCTCTTTTTGTCCTTGTCCTTCGTCTGCCGATCTTCAATTCTGGCTTGTTTGGAACGTTTGAGCGGGCTCTGCGGCGAGTCGACGTCGGGAGGGCTTGGCGGTAACTCTGGGCGCGAGAGCAGCCTGTTCAAACCGCCCGTGAGGCCGGAGTGCAGAGGCGCGGTAACATCTGTCATGACAACGTCGCCGTTGGCTTTGTACGCACGAGCAGAAGAGAGATCCAGCTCCTCCGGATGGCCTCGCTTTCTCTTCTTTGTCGACTCCTTGGTCGTGCTGTCCACCGACGTCGTCGAGATATTTCTATTGTGATGCGGCTTCGGCGCGGGCGTCTCATACTGTCCGGACTGACCCGCTGGCGAGGGTGGGAACTGAGCATACGATTGGAAGTGCTCGTATCGTACCTGCTCGGCACCACCGAATGTGTAGCCTTGCTTGAGCAGCTCTTGCTTCATATACTCGCGTGCAGCCTCTGCGGCATCGACAACCGGGTCATTCTCGTCGGTGTCCATGCTATCAGGATCGGACTCTTCGTCCTCGTCCGACGAGGAATCTGTGCTCGCTTCAGAAGACGACGGGCTTGAAGGTGGCGATTCGAGAGGATGCGTGGAATTGGTCGGGGTATCGCCAGCGGGGATCATGAAGTCAAACACATTGAACTTAGGCGGTGGACTCGGAGCCCTTGGCGGTGCGTCGACCAGTGCGACACGATTGTCGGCCTCCTGGACAGGGCCTTCCATATTTCTTCCAGCAGGGACAAGCGCCTGCGACTGCTTGCCGTTCGATGCGTTATTACTAGCGGTGGGTGTTGTGGGCGTGCTGTTGTTGGCAGGGTTGCCACTGTTGGCACCTTTCTTTTTCGGCTCTCTATATAACTTTCCCTGATACTTTTGCGCTTCGCTGATGCAGCTCTGTGTGTAGGCACATGTCAGGATCAGTTCGGTGCAAAAGTTATGAAGCAATTCCTCGAGGCTATAGAGATACTCGAGAGACATTCAAAGGCACAAAATTTTGATATTTTGTGCCGGCGTGATGTGCGAGTAAACTGAGGAGTGGGTCGCTGGGTAGCGAGGGGTCGAAGGATGAAAATGTGAGTTGATGGAACAGCAGGGGAGACAATTGAGGAATATAGGAACGATATGAAAGTAACCAGGTAGGAAAAGCATAACATACCGTGTGGGCTCGATAGCCAACGCCGTGGAAGGTGGTTTGGCAGTCCAAGCAGGTGAATTGGGCTTGTCGACAATGACTCCTATGAGGGTCCAACTTTTTCTTGGTCAAAACGTCGCCGCATGCCTAATTGTGACTCGTCGTCAGTGATCCGGTGGTCAAATTGCAAATGGCGTACGGAAGAATGTGCAGCGTATGAGCGTATGCATGGGGCACGCACGGCTGCTCGTTGGGTATTCGTGCAGATGAATGTGTGCGTTGGCATGTGGGAAGCGCAAGGTAAGGTTAAAAAAAAAAAGCGACCACGTCAAGATGGACAGCGATGTGTGGATATGAGGACAGATCAGGATACTGCAGAGGAAAGGCTCACCTCGCAGCTGAAGGAAACCATGGCTATATCCGACTGGGTTTGCTAATAAAAAGCAAGCGAGAGTGAATGAGCAGATTGGAGTAGTACGACGCGCAGACGCAGAAAGGAAACTTGCCCCTCGGGAGCAAGCCGAAAGCCCAGCAAGCCAAAAGAAAAGACAAGCAGGGGGATGATGGAGAAGCGGACGGGCTTGCGAGGATTCGTGCTGAGGAGGGCAGGGCTCGACGTCAGAAGACAAGAGAAAAAAAAGAGCGTGTGTTGCGTGAGTGATCGAAGAGAGCGAGCGATGTGGTGCTTGGGGGGCGTGTGTTTGTGCGTGTGTGCGCGTGTGTCAAAGTGTGTTAGCGTGTCTGATCATGAACGTGGGAGAGCCGGAGAAGGACAGACAAGATCGGACGTCAGACACGCATCCAGTCGTCCTCCGCCTCCTTTCTCATGACACGACGCTGCTCCTCACAGACACCCAGACACTGGGCCACTCGGGCGCTTCTTCTATCATGAGACTCTCGCGGTACCACTCGGACATCCCAAAACGGAGGCGCGTGATTCGATGGGGCGTTTCGGCCCGCGCGCGTGTGCGTGTACGTCCATTGACTCCTGTGTGGGATTGAAATTGGCAGCGGGTTTCTTTGTGGCCCTATGTGTCTTACATGCTAGATCGAAACAGACGGCTGCAATGCACGCCCGCTACTGGCGCCCGCCGCAGGGCTTAGGAACAGATGACGACTGTTGCCGATGCTAACGATCATCACCACACGTTCACGACCTGGCCTGTTGCGTGAGGTTGCATCAAACAGGGCAGTGATGGTGGAGGGTAGTCGTGATAGCCAACCGTGCAGTGCCCAGGTGAGCAGTCATGCTAGACGAAGCGATCGACAGCAAGACTTTTGCCTGACCCAGAGAGATGGGAGAGCCTGAGTTACACGATTATGGGGTTGTAGTAGACGTTAAGGGGGAGTCGAGGAACAAGAATAGAGGCGTTTAGCAAATCCTTGCGTCATTCGTCGCGCCCCGGTCTGTCGTGTGGGCGTTCTGGCGTTTGATCATCTGCGACCCGAACGGTGGGCGATTAAGTGTGATCATTACTGGCCGCGCTCGTTCTCGTTTCTGTCCTCCTGACGAGCTGGCTGCTGAGCGACGCCTCAATTTTTCGGCGCGTTCTGAGACCAGCTTCGTTGCTCACCAGCTGCTCGGTGTGGTAACACGTCTTCGCCGCCGATGTCGCCCGTGTCTGTCCTCTTTGTTCCCCGGAAGAGCATTCACTCGTCACGAACGGTGTCGCCACCGCAGATGGTCGGCGTCGACTGTAGCGGCAGCAGAAACGGCGGGCAATGCCACACGAAGATGGTTCGAAGACAGATGATGCCGCCAAAGGTTGTGTACGGGCGTGATGGGGGGGGCGAGCGTGTTGCTGCATAGCCGCTGGCTGTACTTCTGGAGTTGCCGCTCCCGGTCGCTCCTCCCCTCTCGTCCGCCGCCGCCCTTTCCTCGTACGCGCTTCTTATCGCTGCGCTTTCCGATCTGGTCAGCCAACCCTCCCTTTCCGCGCCTTCTCTCCATAGCAAAAGCCTCAGGCGCTCCTTCTCATTGAAGAGGGAAAGAGAGAATCAGAAAGAACAAGCCACGTCTCCAGCGAGTCACGTGCGCGCGTCCGCTCTGCACCGCGGAACATCACGTCGATTTCGCCTTCAGCGATCAATGGTTTCATGTATGCAAGCACATCAATGTGACCTTTGGATCTGTCCATTCTGCGTCACATTCATGCAAATCGTCCTTACAACGGATGGCTTGCCTCTTATCTCCCCTGCACACCTCGTAATCTCCTCCCAACAGCTCTCCAAGGCTTGCTGCGGACGGGCGTTTACTGCAGCTCTGTGGAGTATCGCGCGACCGAATGATTGCTCTTAGGTTCAGCGTTTGCCGTGGCGCCAGCCAGAGCCACCGCTGCCTTACTTCTTGGGACCGATCTCGTCTTTGGTTCCTTACTACCATTCTGACATTCATTCTTCTACACGTGCCTCGTCTTCCCTACGCGCTATCCTGCCCGGCAGGCAAGCCAAAAGGACTCGCAGTCCATGCTGACTTAAGTCTTGGACGGTAAGGTGAGGTAGTCGTCGGCGCAGCGTTTGCTGACGCAAGTCTTCTGTGCACCAACGGAAGAAGGCAGATACCGTCTCCAAACTGGCCGCCAGAACCCTGGAGCCTGATGGGGCTGCATTGCTCATGCGACGACGAATGTGTTGTTTCTAATTGAAGCAAACTAGGAGAATGCCGGCCAAGGAATAAAGGAAGCACGACGACGTACAGAATGCCACTCATCGCATTGTTGCAGCCTGTTCACCAGGAGACAATCGCCGTGCGCGGCCACGCTGCTCCACCGTGTAACTATATACAGGACGTCGTTCGATGAAACGGCCGGAATTCGACCACTACACGAAGATCCACAAGTCCATGCTTTGCCCGCAACATCCGTCAGATAGCGTGTACATGTACTTAAGCCAACGTCATACCATGGCCCAAGCATATGTTTCAATTATACGACCGCGGCCAGTTCCGAGCATCCCCTCCTTGCAGCTTTCTTCTTTCACTTCTCCGTTGGTTTGGCTTGTGCATTGGTCTGCTTCTTGCCTTTGGCTGGCCCCGTAGCCACCTCCTTGACGTCAGTCCTCTTCGCACATGCCTTTTTTGCTGCCGACTTGGTCTTTGACTCCCTCACTGGAACCACGCCCTGCTTGGTTTTTGCCTTCTCCTCCATCTGTACGCTTCTTGAGTCCCCTGATCTCGACACTCTGTCGTCCTTTACCTTGTCCTTTGCAACAGTCTTCAAGCTTTTCTTAGCTTTTTTGTTCTTTCGTTTCCTGCCGCGGGGTTCAGTCCTTTGTGTACCGCCTTGGTTTTGGTCTTCCTGACTGAGTGTCTTAGACGTACTCTTTGCGCCTTTCTTCTCCCTCTCCTTCTTTTTCTTCACTTTCTCCTTTTCTTTCTTCTCCTTCTCCTTCTTCTTCTTCTTCTTTTTCTTCTTTTTCTTCTTTCCACCGGCTTTCGTTTCCTCTTTCGCTTGCTTTCTTTCTGCTACTTTGGTTCCTGCCCCTTTCGTTATTGAGATCGGCTTCTCGTTGGCAGATTTCAACATTTCTTTCACAGCCTTCCTGTCACACTTTGCGCTAGCCTTCTTCCTCCTCTTTCGCTTGCGCTGAGACGTGGATCGTGATGAGCACAAGAACGTTTGGGAAGCATCAACGAAAACTCTATTCCTTTTCGTCGGAATAGAGGCTAGCTGTTGATCTTGAACATAGGTCTCGAAGGATTGAAGATTGCCGCTTAAGCTGGGATCTCCCGTTCCAACTTCCTGTACGTATCTAGAATTTGATTTCATCGCCCTCCAATGCGGTGGTTCGAAAAGCACGTGTCCGAACCTTTCCTTCCAAAGCACCGTCTGGTCGCTAGGCCAGATCTGATAGCTAAAATCGTCCGCTCCTTTGACAGTGGGATGCACCAATACTACGCGAATCTCATCCGCAGAAAGCCTTATATGTTCCGCAATGACAGGCATCTCGACGATTTGCAGATTTGTGCATCCTAAGGGATGGAATCTTTCCGGTGGCGGGGGGGTTAAAATGACTACGGTCGACGAGAGAGCCGCGTGCCACGCAAACAAGGCCGAAGCCCCTTTCATGTAACTGCTCCAATACCTTGAAGTTCGTTTCGAATTCTTCAAGCCCGATGACTTCTTTCTTTCCAGCAGAGGGCCCATAGCCAGGACTAAGGTCTGATGACCGCGGTCGTGCGCCCATTTCTCTGCCAAGCTCCTGGGAACACCACTCCACAAGATCTTTAAGATGGAACACGATTGTGGGGATTTGAATTGCTTCTGAATTGCCTCTTCCTCCTCCGCTGTGATGTACTGGTAAATTATCTTCCTGATCGATGGTGGGCACTCATCCCTGGCCGGGGCAGTCAGGGCACCCGCAGCCATCTAGACGGAAAAACGCGAGGCGTTTAAAACTACTGTCGGACGGAGCAAACACGTCTTTGTAGAAGCTACGAGCAACTCGAAATCAGAGCAGACAGCAGGAGAAACGGCATTTCAACAGAAGGTTACGCGGCTACCCCGCATATTCTCTTACTTTCCACACTTTGGACACAGGTTACGATAGCTTTGGTAGCGAATAGCAAGCTGGTTCCAACACAGCTTCCCTGGAACGTCCCGTGGCCCAATTGCCAAAAGTGAAGTGAACGTGCTGTACCGTCAAATTATGAATTGGGGCCATTCGCACTTTTTTCTTTTCTTTGAAAGCGGATAGCTGAGTCTGCGAAAGCGTCTTCCTGAACCAAAAGTTTGACGACATAACCTGCTTTGCTCGCTCACGAGCTTTTCTTTTTTTCCCAGATCAGAAGACGAGGCAGCTCTGCGTGTTCTTTTCCTTTTGATTTTCGTTTTCTTCCTAGAGTGGCGAGCTGTCGCCGTGCACTTTTTAGCTTGCCCGTCACAAGCTACGTATTTTCGGGGCCGTCTTTGGTCCAGCCACAAAGGCGTCGTTTTTACACGAAGTAGTGTACAGGGACAGATTCGGCAGTCCATTTGACGGTTCACGTAGCGCGTCCCCGGATCATGCTCTCTTGTAGCTCCTGCAAAGGGCCGTACCCCTTCGCGTCGACACTCTTTTTTCACCGCCCAAATGCGTCGTTGAGATAGTCCACGAATAGCTGTCTGATCCTCGCCTTTTCGAGCGTGTGCTGTCGGTTCAAGGCGATGAACTGCCTTCGCATCCGCTGGAGCTGCGGCAGGGACAACGGGTGCGTAGGAAGCTGAATGGCGTCGTCAACACCGCTCACCTTGACCTCGCCGCCGCTCTCCCCGGCATGGTCTTTCTGCCACGCCGAGATCTCGGCCAGGATGTCGGACGTGGCCTTGTCGAGCTCGTACAGGTAGTTCTGCTCCGTCGCGGGTTTCTGTCAAAAGCCGTCAGCATGCCGGATCAGGGGCATCGAGACGCGGCAACGGAGGGGTGGAGGGGCTTTCTACGTACCAGGACGGTTGCCGCGTTTGGGCGCACGACCTTGACCTGGCCGCTGCTGCCGATCATGGCCTCCCATATCTTGTCGAAGGGCGGCGTCTCGTCCTCGAAGAGCACTGTGAAGAGCGGGCTGTCCCATCGGGTCATGCCGTTGGGCTCCTCGTACCGGTAGATGAGGTTCTCAAAGTCGGCTTCCGGGTACGCCAGCGGGCTGTTCTCCTTCAAGCGTGCGGCGTGAAGCTCGCGACATTTGTCTGCCGGCGTGCCAACGTGGATCTCTGCACTGTCAGTTTGAAGGAAGCAAACGAACAAGAATCAAGAGACGCGCCAAGTGTGCCCGTACGGAGGCAAGAAGGGGAGGGTAGGGTAAAGTCACGATTGGGGGGAACGCAGCATACCACGCAGCTCGGTGTTTGCACGGCCTTCGCTTCGCAGTGCAGCTGATAGCGATAGCCCTTGATGTAGTTAAGCCCGTCGGCAATGACGACGCTGTCCCGGCTCAAGTATCGTTTGACGGCCGACATCTCGGTCGCTCGTGCGTCCTTCTCCAGACGGGGCGTGTTGTACACGTCCCTGGACAGGCCTAGCGACTCCTCGTTCAGATGGTGGACGCTGATCTTGGAGATCCTGGGGTCGTCAGACTGGGCGATTTTGGATCGAAAGTAGTCCTCCAGCTGCTTGCTGCGGTACGTCTTCCCCGAGCACGGAAAGCCGGAGATGGTTATCAGCTGCGTCCACACGGTCAGTTTCTGCCCTGCATCGTACGTCTATCGCATTGCTTGCATCATGCACCGACCGGCATTGTAGGCTAGTGAGACGGGTAACCGCTTGAATGCGACTGTTTATTTCCCGCGAATCCCTTTGCCGCGGGCCCGACAACGTTTGCTTTCCGGCGACAAAACCACACGGCACGTGCTGCCTTGAGGCCCTTCAGTTACGCTTGCCGACACGGAAAGCTGAGGACTGACGGGCTGGGGCCGAGTACGCTTCTTCTTGCCTTTCGGCGGGGGCTGGGCTGTGGAAACAGAAAGCAGTCAGGATCCAGAGGGATGCAAGGCACGCAATGGAAGAGGCGTTCAGCATCATGAGCGCCGGCTGGACGAAAAACTAGCAGTCCGGAAAGAGGACTAGGACGGGAGCACTACCACAGGGCTGCATTGCTGCTGGTGCGACTGCAGCAGCCCGACGCTCCACTGCTGCCGTCCACACCGTCCATGCCTTAATACTACTCATGCTAATGCTGCCGCCAATGCTGCCGGGCAAGCTTAGCAAGGGTCAAGTTTTTTGCGTAGTGCCGGCTCCAGCGTTGCGTGTACAGCGACGGGTTTGGCCAAAACGCCCCCCACGTCAAGCCTCGGTACAGTAAAAGCCAAGGCCCCGTCGCCTTTCGCGGGAGAGAAGACCGACTGATCCCAACCCAAGTTCACCTACAGCCTCGTGCGCATCTGAGTCGGTCGATCGCTCTCACACGTCCGCCTGCCTCGCCGCACCGGAGCGCGCAAAAAAAAATTAAAAAAAGGAAGAACAGAGACATCTCGTCTCTTTTCCTCGCCGTCCTCATCCGCCAGCTCCCTCAGTTTCCGCGTCTGCGTTCTCCAGCACGGCAAATCAGTGCCCCAGCGTGACCCTACCACTACAACCGTCCGAGACGCCGGATCGAGTCGTCATGGATCGTCCTGAGATGGTGCCACCGTCGCAGCAGCGTCAGTCGTCCACGCCGTCCAGCTTCACCTATCCTACCGCTGCCTCCGTGCCGTTGAGGATGGTTTCCGCACCTGTGCCCAGTCCCACCCAGCAGCGTCCGCAGTACTTCTCCAGCTTTTCCACCTCGACCCTTCCAAGCGAGTCCTCGTCGTCCTCTTCGTCCGCAGCGGCGTCGACGTCGGCATTTGCGGCGGCGGCGGCCGCCGCCGCCACTGCGCAGCAGCAAGCCAGCATCGGGACCGGACAGCAGCAGCAGCCGGGTTACGACTACGTACCGGATCGCGGGACCGCGGGCTCGACGGCGCAAGAGACTAGGAACTACATCGACAATTTCGCCCTGGTCGCCGAGGCCGCGAAGAGGGCCCAGATGGCCGTCCTCATGCGGGACATGGAAGGCGTCGAGCTGGGTTGATGACGTCTTCTTTATGCCCGTCCCTCTGTTTTTCTTTTCAGTTGTATTTTGGCATGTTTCCTTCAGCGTTTTCGAATCCTGCCTTGGATGTCCTCGGCTTTCTACACCCAACGCTGGGCGGGCCCCCCTTGCGCACGGCGGTCGAATTTTTGCTTTGGTGCCTTTATTGTTTTTCTTCTCCTTCTTTTATTCGGATCAGGTTTCCACATTGGCATAGCGTGCTGGCGTTGAGGGATTTCTCTTCACTGTTCAAGTTCACCGCACCCCACTCTCGGTTCGATGCCCGAGCATCCAAGTGCCGCGCCGCGAAAACGCACAGCCTTGCCAGAGATATCCACAGGCGCACACGCCGCAGCAAGAGGCGAGGGATCGGATCAGCGTAATCATTCTCGTTCGAATGGTCTTTTCTTGGACTGTTTGATGTGTTAGAACACTGCTATATCTTTTCTATTTACGATTGCACGTACACGGCCCCCATTCGAAGCCGTAACAGTGCAACATAGATACCCAAGATTAGCATTAGAAGTCTGCAAGAAGGAAGACATTGCTGTCATCTGTGTGCCGTCACTGCATCTTCTGCTCTCTCCATTCGGCTTCGAAGAAATCAAGTTCCATTTGTTCAACTCACGTGTTATCCCCCTTTAGGAAAGATCCCGCCCTGGGGCTCATCGTGGGTGTGAAGTTTTGAAAGTAAAAGGAAGAAAAGACCACACTCTTATCTCTTGTCTCTCTTGCACACGACGACAGATATGATCTTTCTCAAGATTCCGAAGACGGGATGTCAATGCCCAGAAAGACGTGGATCCTCGACTCGTCGCATAGCCGCGCTCAAGAAAAGAATAATAATTTGGACGAGAGCAGCCGTCAGGCGGCGTCAATAATTTTTCGGTCTTCGTCTAACTCCCGTATCTCGTCGAATTGAGACGCTGCCGCCCCAAACCACGCCGTACTCGACCTCGCTCGTGCCCTTGGCGACTGCCACCGACGACTTCAGCCGGCGGACGCGAGCAAGTGCACGGAAACGCCGTCGATGCTGGATTCGACTGGCGACTTGGCCGAGAGAAGGCGACCAAGGTCGCGCTCCGACAGAAGCGACGTCTTGCACGGCGGATAGATCCGTGAGGAATGCGAGAGCCGTTGGTCTGGGGTACTCCCGCGTGGAACGAGCCCGAAGCAGAGCGCGCGAAAAAGTGACCCTGTTGTCGCGACCAGAGCCTGGCGATCCGGGGGGGGGGGGGGGGTTTAGGTGCGTGGAGTCAAAGGCGGCCGATGGACTGAAGCCTGTGCTGTAGCACGCATCTTGAGCGGATTCTCAGACCGTTCATGCGACTGTCGCCTTGCGCGAATGTGCGATGGACGTCAGCCTCGCTGGTTTCAGGTGTAACACGTGATTTGGCCGATGTGTAGGCAAGGACTTAGGCGGGCATAACCGTCAATTAGGTAGCGCATAGAATACTATAAAATCATCAAACTGCGTTGTGGAAGCGGAGCGAGAAGAAGGGATTGCACGTCAAATTTATCACGACAAGACAGCCCTGGCCCAAGACAGCGTGGACTCGCACGTAGAGATCACCATGCAACAACGGACGAGCAGCCCTGATCAAGACAACTTGAAATTCATTTGTAGTCCAGCACAAAGAGTCGAATTTTCAGCGCCGAACCCACACTCCCAAATGCTATGCAGACATGTATCGTACACCTTTCCGTCAAGTCAGCAAGCCCGAACACGTTTCCACCAAGCGTTATTTCATGGCGGGTGGGCTTAATTTCATCAATGAAGGCAGTCCCAAGTCAAACAACGCGCTTAACCTCGAAGAATCTCTTCAGCCACCAGACCTGGAACAGGCCCTCGCCCAGCAGTACGAACAGCTGGAAGATGCTCCACCACTTGACTCTCGAGTTGGTGCTCTCGGCGGTGTTCCTGTGCGTCCTCTCCCGAACGACGATGTAGCCTTGCTCGTCCCTGACCTGCGCAACCAGCTCCGACATTTGTCGAACCTCCTTCTCGAGAGGATCCTGCGGCGCCTCCGACTCGGGCACGTACACGATGCCGTGCACGTTGAACGAGACCTCCTTGGTGTTGGCGCTCCAGTGCTCGTTGCTGAAGCAGTACGTGTATCGGCCGTCCATGGTGGCGATGAACGTGTGGTCGCCCGACGAGACGGACCGCTCGTGCACCTGATAGCCGTTCGCCGGGTTTTGAATCTGTACCAACGTGAGTGTTCGTTCCGCACGCGCCGTCGAAGTGCACCGTCAAGGCCTGCTGCTTACCCAGAAGTCGATGTCCAGATTGCTGGCACCGCCGAACTCGCGGTCACCGACTTGGAACGTGACCGTCATCTTGTCGTCCGCGTGCAGCGACTCGTGGAAGCATTCTCGAGAGTGCGCCTTGAGGAGGATGTTGTGCGCAGTTGAGAGGCCGGCGAGGGCCAGCAGGCCAGCTATCGAAGGGATCCTCATCTTGCTTTTGCTCAATTGTCGTGCTGGCGCCTGCACAAACTTGGGAGAGCGAAGTGAATTGGCGATGTTGCCCTCCGTACATGTGTCCCTACCTTTTTTGGGGGAAACTGCGCACGGACGCTCCTCCTCCTTCCGCTCCCTGGGCCTTGCCTCTTTTGTACGCGGCACTGGCCTTCCAAGTGGGTCGGCGCACGTGACCTAGCGTGCCAAACTTCATGAAATCCGTAACCTAGGTCGTCATCCTCGAGTCCATCGTTCGATGATGCTTGCAAGATTGTACCATTGCTGATCGGCGATTCAATGTCCAGATGCTGCAATCGAATTCCTATGACAAGTCCCCTCTCTTTTGATTCTTTGTGGATCATTCTCATGCGCTCGTTGGTACCCCGTCTGAACCGTCATAGAAACACCAGTCTCGTCCTAGAGTGGCCAACTTCATACACTCATGTATCATCTTACATCCTGTGCTCGCAAGCAAGCAAGTCTAAAAAGTAGCAGGTAATCTCGTCCAGTCTCTGCTAATGTGTATGGGAGCCCTCATGTCCTAGATTGTTACATCGCTTCTAATCGGGTCACGATGTATTACGTAGTGAAAAGACGCTTAAATGAGTAGGGAAAATCTCTTGCTTCGTTCCGCTATTGGGGTATTGCTAAAATATCAGACCGTAGTCTTATGTTTATCTACCGATATCCTTCGTAGTGATAGCAGATGGGATCGGTGCGCTCAGTACCGGTTACTTCGAATCAGAAAGAACTTCGGATACGACAAGGTCCGGTTCTGAACAAGAGATGCTAATAATGACAGACGGCGACTACTCTTCTGCATGAGCTAACCGTCGCGCCCTTCTGACGACAAATTCCCCCAATCTGCAGATCATGCGGTGTCGGAGCTCTCGCTTTGTCGGTAAAGCAAAACTGCGCTGAACGATACTGCGGAGAAAGAAGCTAACGGCAATAACGGCACAAGCTCCACACGTCCACACTTTCGTCCGCCAATTGCGTATAATGCGTGAGATCCTGCAGCAGAAATTGTTTGTAATGCCCCAAACTGTCTTCGTTCGCTATTTGAATGTCTTCTCTCCTTTGGCTGATTGTTCATTCTCTTAACGGCCCATGGAACTAGGTCTTGCCCATCCTTTGTAACCCGCTGGTGTTGCAGAGTCTGAAAATGGCCCCTACTGTTTCGGATGAGACTTCGCAGCAAGCAAAAGCGGAAAAGGTGTTCTATCCGATAACACAGAGAGAGTCCGAAAAGGACCTTGGAACTCAGAGCGACAAGTCAAGCGACTATGCCACAAGCCCTGCGGTGCTGAAGGATGAAGAGAAAATCGTCTGTGCTAATCTTTCTCGTACGAGATCACGTAGTTCGAACGCAAGATCCACTTCAAGCAATGTTGTTAGCCGAATATCCTCGCGTATCATCAACCAAAACATTGTCGATCCCGGCCCTGCTCCTGATGGTGGCCTGAAAGCATGGGTTCAAGTGGTTTGCGCCTGGGTCGTGTGCTTCAATACTTGGGGCATGATCAATTCTTTCGGGGCCTTTCAAACGTACTACACAACTGCTCTCCACGTAACCCAGTCCGAAGTGTCGTGGATAGGTTCCATCAATCTGTTCATTGTAATGCTCGCAAGTCTTGTAAGTGGCAGGGCCTTAGATGCAGGACTGTTCATACCCACTTTTGCGATTGGCAGCCTCATTCAAGTTCTGGGCATTTTCACCAACAGCGTCTGCAAAAGTGTGTGGCAACTCATCCTTGCGCAAGGCGTTTGCACGGGATTAGGGAGTGGTATAGTTTTCTGCCCAACAATGGGATTGGTCACCACGTACTTTCAAAAGCGACGGGGACTTGCAGTTGCGATTACTTCGACGGGCAATTCCGCTGGTGGTGCTGTGTATCCGGCCATCGTTCGACAGCTGCTCCCAGCCATCGGTTTTGGATGGACGGTCAGAGTGTTGGGTTTTATCAATCTGACTTGCTTGGCCGTCTCTTTAGCATTTCTTCGTCCGAGGCTGCCGCCTCGAAAGTCAGGTCCCGTGGTTGAATGGACAGCGTTCCTAGAAGCCCCGTACTCGTTGATGATTGTTGGAATGTCTTTGGTCTTTGGAGGCCTCTTTTGGTCGTATTACTATATTGGCAGCTATGGAAGAAACATCATTGGCATGTCCTACCAAGACTCCACGACGCTCGTCACGGTTTTCAACGGTGTCGGAATCCCCATGCGACTTGTGACCGGGTTTATTGTCGACAAATACGTTGGACCTCTGAACGGGATGATACCGCTCTTGTTTGCAAACGGAATATTTGCTTTTGCCTGGATTGGCGTGCGCGGCAGGATTGGCATGTACTTTTTCGCGTGCTTCTATGGGCTGAGTGCAGGTGCCTTCCAATGTCTCTTTCCGACAACGTTAACAAGCTTGAACAACGATCTTAGCAAGAACGGGGTCAGGCTCGGCATGGCTTTCGGGGTATTCAGCATCGCTGGTCTGGTAGGGCCTCCCATAGGCGGTGCGCTGCTCCAAACGAATGGTGGCGGAAGAGGAGGATATCTATCAGCCCAGCTCGGTGTAGGATGTGCAACGATGATCGGGGCATGTTTGATGGTAGCAACAAGAGTGAAAAAAGCCGGATGGAGCTTGAAAACCAAATGCTAGTCTTCCAGAGGCTTGTTTGGCGTACACTCCCAAGATTCAAACGGCCGGGTGTGGACAAAGCACTTCTATTTCCCGCTGTTGTCCTCATCGTCGTTATTGTTTGCAGCCTAGGCTCACTACGTTATGCTGAAGATTCTGAGAATCGTGGAATGTCGCGCTGAAAGTTTGAAGGCCGCCTTTCCGCGATGCCTCGTATGGGTTTTTTTAGGCCCGTGGCCATGGTTGACTTGAATCCATGGGCAGTCGAGAGAGATTCCTAATGCACCTTCCCTCGGCAGAAGATGGCCGCGTGGATATCCGTCGCTGTAACCAAACCTATCTAACACCCATCCTCTAGACAATAAACATACAGCTTTCCTCTCTGGCGGCCACCAAAAACATGAATCGAAACTGTTGTTTTTTGTTCGACAGACCGCGGATCACACAGCCTCGATTTACGCCGTCATACTTCATTGAGCTCAGCTATCAATGGTCTCAATACGACGCGTACATGCGAAGGAAGCAGGCCGCGGTACAATACGTTACGCCGTTCCAACGCAGATACGCAGATTGCAGGCAAGTTGACCAGAAAATGCATCATGAATGACTGGAATAACTCTCAGCACCAACAGAGACGCCGGCTGCAGGATCAGTGCCAACGATGGCAACCAAAGATTGCCTTTGAATGAGAACGGTAAAAGCAAGACCAAAGACGTCAAGGATAGCACGGAAGTCAAGACGGATGTCGCGATTGAAGAGAAAGAGGAAGGCGAAATTTGAATTTCAGAGGCTAACTGCACGTCGCTTCGTCAAGCAAGTTTTGCGAATCCTATTGGGACCATCAGATTTGTGAGCTTTTGTACGTGACTCTGCAGGGCTGTGGGAAGGAACGAAACAATATTGTGGAAGGAGTTATTGTATTTGATGAAGAATCAACAAACTTTCTGGTAAACACTGTCTTTGGTGCACCTGTTCCACTGTTCCCGTAATATCCACTATTTATGCTCCCCCATACCAGAGAAAAAAAAGTCAACATGGCCTGTGGAAATAATGAGTACGCTGGTACGTATCCTTTCAACGAAAAGAGTATCTTTCTCGTAGAGCTTTGTGCAGATGCGCACATCTACCTTTCTAAAGGTCTAGACCTCCCCCCATATATCAAACGGGAAATTGTTGGGCTCGAGCAGACAATCCTGCTCAAATCCGCCGAGGGAATAATACAAGAACGAAATATGCGTACGATGGCCACGGAAGTCGAAACATTTTGGGATCAAGTCTATGCTTATGCATTCCTCAATCATGGCGTGCCAGTACCTCCAGCGAAGCTATTCGATCTTTCCAAGGACAGAAGCAGACCTATCGGCATCGCTGGAATTCCAGAACAGCAGAAAGCACCACTCGAGTATTTTGCAACTCTGGTTAGGCGTTTCAGTTCGTCCATGCCTGTGTCTGAGTCCGTGCGACGGCGTCTGCAGTTTATAGAAGATGCAAGGTCAGGTGAAGCGGATATGAGCGAGAGAGAAGTGGCTGCATGCAATTGTCCGTATTGCTGGGTGTACATGGAGGACTTGGCTAAATACATGGACCACCTGTGGACACATGCAGTGGATGGTGAGCAGAGCAAAGAGTCAGAAGTAAAAGAAGACGAGGGCGTGGTGAACGATGTACGAAGAAGCGATCATGAGATGACCGTTCGTGAGACGGGCAATGAAGAGAAAAGGAGAGAGGAGGAGCTTCAAGAGAGAAAGGACTCTGGCTACGAGGGAACCATGCCTTTGATGGGACCATCGCAAAACCCAGTCGATCAAAGTCCTACTTCTACAGCGTCTCAAGGTGCAACAGGGCAGACGCAAAGCATGACAAGTGCGACCCTCGCGGGGAAGAATACAGATGATTCTGCTGCTTCGTCCCACAGCTTCGACATTGGGTTCTGGAGAGGGCTTCTCCAGCTACCTATAGCCAGAGCTTTTCAGACGTCTCAGGGCCAGACAGATATATCCTTTGGCGGCCATGGAGGAGGAGCACACAGAGCGCTGTACGAACGCGACAGGGCCGCACAGGTGGTTCGTTCCAACATGAAGTCAATTTGGTGGTTTGATCCTTACAAGAGGGAGAACAATCCCTTCCAAAGGCCCCTTTGTCGCCACGTGCAGGCGTCTCGGCGCATGGATGCAGGACAGGTCTACCAAGGAAGAGACTCGGATCCAAGTGACGAAGGGTTGACATCGAGCATATCGAACTTTGCTAAGCAAGGCCAGGCGTCAAGATCAGACTGGTCGTCGTCCGCGTACCTTGTGAAGCCATCAGATACGGAACTGGCGAATATCTCCGCTCCCTTAGGAGATCAGCGACACTGGCCTCGATCCCCTTTCTCAGATGGACGCGATGACGATAGGGCAGGCGTTGGAATGTCGGCTGGCTCTTCTCCAGACGCCTCATCGGCACCCATGTCATACGGGGAAGGACGTTACTGGGTGTGTGCACACGCCACAGACTGTCGACGCGAATTCGACAGCTTGGTGTTGTACGTCGAGCATCTTAGCAGGCACGGTTATGTCGTGTACAAAAAGTGGACGGAGCTGCATCCGCGGGCGTCTCCTGACGCGTTGCAAGAGGCACGGACGACGTGGGGATGTGGGCTATAAATCTCGGGCCCGTCATTCCCGACGGAGCGTCGAGTATCATACTCAAGGCTCGTATTCTGAATTTAGAATGATGGGCATTCGAAAGACGGACGGGCTGAGGGCTCGGGGCCCGATGGCGGTTGATGCGGTGGCATGATGGGACCGGAAGCGATGACCCCAGATCTTGAGTCGCTAAAAGATGCCCGTTTCAAGGCCACCAGAGATAAGTTGTAGGTAGCAGCTTCAACGAGTTCACAGCCTCAACTTCAGCTCGTGCGCGCCGTCGTAGCGCAGATCCGCGCGAGCCTGCTTTGCGCTCCTCTGCCTCTCTTATAGTCGTCTGCCCCGTGGTAAAACATCAGACGCTTGCGCTCGTTCAGAACCAAAACCAACCGCAGCCTTCTGCGCGAATCCAAGTGCTTGCCGCCCTGCACCGTTAACCCGCTCCAAGGCTCGCCGATATAGCTTCCGCGGCGCCTCCGAACAACTGCATACGAGCGGCGCATAGCCTGCCTCATGCTGTACCACGCGTTCCGACCTTGATGAGACGTACACAGCGCCATCATGGGCAGTTATAGGCCTCCACAACATGGCTACGGTCCTCCACCAGGCCAAGATCCGCATTCGCGGCCCGGATCAACAACGTATGGACAGCCTGGAGGTGCGCAGAAGACAAGCTACAGACGTGATCCTACACCGTGATCTAGAGACTGACAAGTCCTCATGTAGCTCACGCATATGGCTCACCTATAACTTCGCATGCACCGACCTGGAACCAGCCTCAGTATCAAAGCAACCATTATGCAGGCGCGCCTCCTCCTCCGCCGCCGCCGCCACCGCCTCCATCCTCTTCCCCCTCAAACCCGAACTATGGCTCCAGTCCTGCATATCAGATACAGACCGTGGGCGGCCACACGGTAACACCAGCTATACCTGTACATTAGACCAGAAATGTTGTCCTATCTATGTCCTAACACGTGTTTAGCCTCGAATTCCCCAACCTTATGGCCCCCCCTCAACGAATGTTTCTGACACAGGTCCACCGCAAATCCCTAGCCAACACCCTCCTTATGGTCCGTCGCACTCGCAATCGCAAGCCGTCCACCAAAGAATACCATCCGTGCCACCAGCGTACCACCAAGAAGTGGCTCAAAACGCACAAGGATGGCCTCAGCATCCGCAATACTCGAACCAACCTGCGACACACCATTACGACCCCCCTTTGCCGCCGCGACCTGGATCACAGGGACGCACTTCTGCGATAACAGGAGGACATCAGCAGCAATATGACGCCTACGGACATGTGTCGCAGCCACAATATACCGGAGGCCAGCAATATGCAGGACAGAAACTTGCGTATGAGCAACAGCATGCTGCAACAGGCGCGCAAATGTACGAGCCTGAGCCATTATCTGGCTCAGTCTACAGCCCGGATGATGCGCAGAAGTATCAGCACCCGCCGGCACCATCACCTGGAGGCTACGCGCCCCCTCCACCACCTCCTAAGCCCCAAGGTTACCACCCCCATGAAACCCAACAGCCGACAGGCCGCCCGGCCTCCGTACAATATGGTGCTCATGGAGGACAGACGTATCAGTCTCCTGCACAACAGCCGGCGACTGTTGCGTACGCAGGGGGGGCTCAGTATGAAATTAGCCAGCATCAAGCCGCGTACGGCAATTTCCAGAACCCGTCCACGAATGCTACTGGTCAACAGCTCAAACAGCAGAATGGTTCTTCGAACGAGCAGAGCGTGCCATATGGGCGACAAACGCCTTCGCAATCTACCTCAAGACCTGGCTCTCGACCGCCGGCGCAGCACCAGGGCTATTCTCGTCCGTCTTTTGGAGCCGATGATGAACCCGTCTCACCTATACAGTCACGGCAAAGCATTTCTTTGTCGCGGCCTGCTTCTGTTCCCGTCAACGACACTCCTCACCCCAAACCCGCTCCTTCTCCTGCTGTGAAACCATCTGCCTCTGCCTTCGTCTTCTCCTCTGACTGGGAGCACTTTGGTTCCGGCGCCGATGAGATTGACGACACGGCTATGTACGGCGTCAAGAAGGACGACGCAGACGCACATGTTCCAAGCACCGTTAGCATTGAGCTTCCGGCCTCTGGTCCTGATTCGCTGGGTCATGGCAGGGCCGAGTCTGAGGTTAGCGCACCTGAGAGCTTTCATCTCTCACCTCCTGTTTCTCTGGCTAGCGGGGCTGCACATAGCACTGCAGCAGAGGCAGCATCTTATGTCCCTTCACCCCCCAGTAGGCATGTCAGTCAGGAGTCTGTGCATCCCCAACCTCCTGCTCCTGGCGTAGGAAGTTCTTTGGTCGTGGACGAGAGTGATTACATACCTCCTATGCCTGATACACCACCGAAGACGTCAGCAAGGCCAGCGAGAGCCCCTATTGTAATTGGGGGGAGTAGCTCTTTGCAAAGGCAAAATGCACAGCCAGGGAGCTCAACGCCTGCATTGAATCATCAGCAGCAGCCGGCAGCGTATGCGATGCAACAAGCACTACAACAGGGCTATGCTCAAAACAATTCCGGAGGACTACCCAGCTCTGACCCTGCGTTTGTCATGGGCGAATCTGGAAGATGGCAAGACGGGCAGCAGTTCACCTCTGCCGCTGCACCACGTGGTGTACGTACGATCGATCTCGAAGAACTCAGCAGAATCCAAAAAGAAAACGAAGAGCTGCGAGCGAGGATCAGCTCGCAGGAGAAGGAGCTCGCTGCTATCCGTTTGACCGCGGAGGAAAAGCATAGCCAGCTTGCCGAACGGGACGGTCAAATCGTGCAGAAAGATGCACTTCTCTCACAAAAGGATGCTGAGATAGCGCAGCATATTTCACAAGTGAGTGAGCTGCAAACTTCTCTCACCGAGGTGAAGGAAACAGTCACGGCGTGTAAAGCGTCGATTTCAGATCTGGAGGCCCAGCTAAAGAATGCAGAGGCATCGATGGCAGAATTGAAGCTTAAGTTGGAGCAAACTGAGGCAGCCAAGTCAGAACTTAGCGCTCGGCTCGAACAGAGTGACGCAGCGTTGACCGCAGCGAGCCAAAGGCATGAAGAGAAGACGAAAGAACTCGAATCGAAGCTGGCAGCTGCGGAAACTGGCCTCGTTTCCTCTTCTGCCGAGGTTGAATCCCTAAAAAAGCAACTCGAGGAGGAAAAGGCAAAATTTGAAGCCAAAGTTGCTGAACCAGTTGATATTGCGCCTGGGCTGGAGCCGTGGTTCAAGGGATCGCTTGAACGGTACAAGGACATGCTGTACACGGAAAGCAAACCGATCCCAGTCCAAGAGAAGCTTCAAGTGTTTATGGATGCTGTAAATGCCGAGGCAAGGCTACGAGGCATTGACATGCCATTTGGTCCAAAGGGCGAAGTCAAAGGCTTCAATATTCCGGCACCCGTGGCTGGCCAGCCGCTGCAAAGCAAATCTCAGCCAATCTCGAAACCTGAGAGACCCAGAGTTGTGCCTCCGAAGGAAAGTGATGGCTTCGTAATGGTTGACCCAGACGCTGGGATTCAGTTCAGCCCAGGCGGTCGGCCCATCCTGAAGGCTCCTCTGGAAGAATATAGTCCTGGTGGACGACCCATTTTAAGTGGAACTTGCGGTCTTCCACAAGGACAGTCAGGTGTGCCGCCAGCAGCCCCGGAAAAGATCGCACAGGCCGCATCGGCTACCACACAGGAAGGTTCCTTAAAGCCCGCGTATCAACCGTTCCGACTAGAGGGTTCAGCGTCAAATTCCTCAAATTCATCATCAAAAATCCCAAGTGCCGAGCCATTCGGTGCTGTTCAGCAACCAAAAGTACCTTATACACCGTTTTCATTGAAGCAAGGTGACACTGCTGCGTCAGCACAAGGCATGCCGCAAACTCCGCCTCAGGATCCAACTCCTACACCGTCTAAACAACCTGCGTACAAGCCGCTGTACAAGCCTGTTCCTGGACCCGCTCCTATCGTGAGAGGATCAGGTGAGGGAGGAAGTGTTGATATCTTGGCCGATCATGTACCTGGAATTATTCGCCCAGCCAAAAAAGAGGCGTTAAAGAGTCCACAAGATGAAGCCATGCTACCACTTCCGCTGAAACCTCGCACTCCGGCCGTAAAATCGTCATCCTCGGATGCATCAATTCCGGGGACGACGGATGCATTGACTGCGAGCACTTCAAAGGATACTGAGCCGACCTTGCCTCGTCACAAGGGTCCATCTGACATTCTTGGCATTATCGCACACTCCACGACGGAGCGTAAACAGTCGAAGCATGTTCAAGAGCTTGTAAAAGCAATGAACGCCGTCAACACGGACTACAGCTTTATCAAGGCCATCACGAAAGCCTGGGAAGAAAAGGCGGCTGTAAAGAGAAAGCAGCTAGAGAATGAGCGCGCGAAGAGACAGGCTGAACTCGAAGCTCACAACAACGAGCTATTTGACAGTGGAGAGATCGGCTACGGCGACTTCGAGACTCTAGAAGAAGAGGCGAAGGAGAAAGAGATGAAAACGAAGGCTGAGGAAGACATGAAGGAGTATGAGAGCTACGCGAAAGAGATTTTTGACGTGGTCTACAAGAGATGTCAAGATGACATCGGCTCCTTGATTCAGGTGCAGAACGACGCCGAGGATCTAATCCACATTTCGTCTGCTGGAGCAAGTGTTGTCAGCGAGAGCGATGGCATTACAAGTCTAAGCGAGGCCATGCAGCTGCTCCTTGATGTGCACAACAAACTCGAGCTTGTCCACAACGAGGTCGTCAAAGCTGTGCAGGAGCGTGATCATCGATACAAATTAACGCAAACCAAGACACTCTACGCAAAAGGTGACATCGCAGGGATGAAGCGTGTCGAAAAGGCGTTCGAGGATGCGGACAAAAAGGCCGATGTGCGATCTCGAGTTGAGCGCGCGGAACGCTGCAAGCGAGTATGGAAGATCATGGACACAGAGATGGAGCGTGGGGCTGGGGAGAACGAAGACTTCGTTGCCGATATCATCGAAGCTGTCGAAGACGCCTCAGCAACTTGTGGCGAGAGCGACAAAGCGGAGCTTATGATAATGATTGACAAAGCTACCGCAATCACGGATGCGGTGTACGAAGACAGTGCCGTCCTAATGCGATTATTCGAGAATGTGGACATGGATCTCAATGAACGAGAGTTCGAGGTCTCCGTGGCCTCGGCGAAACTCAAGGGTGACCCGAAGGAGTATTTTGACAAGCTTCAGCAAGAGAAGAGAAAGGAGGACGCCAAGCTGAAAGCAGAGGGAGAGAAGAGACTCAGTGCCGTGGCAACTCATCGAGCAGAAGCCAAGGCTCAGTTGAAGGACATCGCAAAGATCGTTGGGGAGAGCAGCGAAGAGAGGGAAGCCAGGATCAGACAGGAGAAAGCGCTCGCGGACGCTAGGAGGAGGAACGGAGAGACCTAACGAAAGCCGTTTCATTTTAAAGCGATTTGATGCGAGCGGAGCATTTAGCGAGGAGTTTTTCTTTTGTTTTGGACATTTGGCTGAGATCAGGACCGACCTGGAAGCCGAGGATTTACATTCTGCCGATTTGGCTGTCGTGAATAGCAAGAGTTTTTTGCATCGCGTACCAGAGCATTGCTTCGACTCTATCATGCATTTGCTGATAGATAAATGTTAATATAATTATTCATATATCCCTGCACTAGGCATCTTTTGTTCCTTAGTTTACTGGCAGAATCGCGTTGGAGATACCATTGACTATCTTTGCCAAGTTAATTTTAATCTCAGAAGATAAGTTATAGTCGGTTGCATTGAGTCCAAAATATGAATGAAGTGGAGCCTGCACATAAAATGAACTCTTCCGGCCCCAGTCTTTTTTTCTTCGTCGACATCAAAGCTCCGCTCCAATTGAAAAAGTTTCACTCTTTCAACCTCAAAACAATGTGAACGCAACAATGGACTTCGACGACTCGTCCCGCACCTTGTCCGCAGGCAGCATCGTCTCCGAAGAGACCCTGGTGCCCGAAGAACAGGATGACCTCTCCGACGAGCAGATCGACTTCCTGCTCCACCGCGCCAGCCTGCGCATGAAGGGCCAAAACGGTGCGCTCGTCACCGCCCAAGGTCCGTCTTCGACAAGGCTGCCCACCCTCAAGGCAGCGTCCGAGCTGCCCAGGCCGTACACGAGCATGGTGGGCGGCGTGGCCAAGGTTGTGGAAGCGAAGAGCGTGAGCGAGGAGCTGCGCAGGATGGCCGAGAAGCCGAAGCGAATCGAGGATCCCGTGGCGTTGAGACGGGAGAAGAAAGAGCGTGAGTTCCCCCTCCCCGTTCCTGTTCTCTTCTTTTCGTCGGTCTCTCGTTCGACGAGGGTCGCATGGATTTGTGTGATGATGCGCTACGAATCGCCATTCGTGTTCTCGACGCGGACTACCCGGCTCCGTTCTGGACGCCGATCCGCACAGATGAGAGTTCTTTCTTTTCATAGTTACTCTGACTCCTCCTTCTTCCTCTCCCCTCTTCCGTGTTCGTCGCTCCCGTTTTCCGCCATGGCTGACGCCGCGTGACGAAACAGCGAAACCGGTCCTAAGCGATTGGTACAACCTTCCCCGCACGAACCTCACCACGGAGCTCAAGCGTGACCTCCAACTTCTGAACATGCGTTCTGTTCTCGATCCCAAGCGTATGTACCGCAAGCAGGGCAAGTTCAAGGTGCCGGAGTACTCGCAGGTCGGCGTCGTCGTCGAGGGTCCCACCGAGTTCTACAGCGCCAGAATCGAGAACAAGCAACGCAAACAGACGTTCGTGGAAGAAGTACTTGCAGGAGAGAAAGAGAGCGGAAGATTCAAAAGCAAGTACGAAGAGCTGCAGGCTGTGAAGAAGAGCGGAAAGAAGGGCTACTACAAAAGTTTGCAGCAGGCGAGGCGAAAAGCAAGGAAAGGTGGCTGAACGACTTTGGGCGAAGCTGTGACAGGAAGGATCTAAATGGTCCGACTCTAACTCTATACATGACAGCGTCCCGACGCGGGTCCGCATCAGTGATATTGTTAGTCTTGTGCTCTCTTTCTCTCTCCCTCTAGCAAGCCTCAGAAATGGAAGCGGGCCAGAAATAACAGTGAAATCCACAACACGGTGAAAGGATGATGGATTCGGACACAACTATGCAACGCATGGGGAACTTCAAGTCTGCAATAACTTGAAGCGGACGTGTGGAGTCCGGGGCTATTTTTCGCAGGCTGGTTGTTTCAACCAAGCGCTATGCTAAGATTTCTACTCGGCTCCTGCTTGCCTACAGGACTGGCATGCAAGGATTTCGACGAGTTGCACAAGACAAGCAGCGAGCTTGATGGTGGATAGAAGAACTTCCGTTAATGGCTACAAGATGAAAAACACCGCCATGCCTGATATTCAAGCGCCTGAACGCCTATATACATATGATGATCTCAGTTGTTGTCAAACATTCTAGAGTCCAGACGAAATGCAGTCTAATCAATGGTTGCAAATGTGGTTTATGGTCTACATCTTCAATGCACTCTTGATGAAGTCTGCAAGCTCATCCGACTTGGGCCCCTTATTCATCATGCTGAAATGGTTGACTCCTTCAATAACCCCAACACTGACATTGCAATCTCCAACAAGGCTCTTCCAGCCTGTCGCAGAAAAGTCAGTCCGCGTGTTCAGTAGCCACTTCATTTCCCTAGGGTCGTCATCCCTGATCTCGGGGCGCGGATCCTCAGGCTTCAGCATGTCGCACACGCCATTTTTTGCGTATACAATGTACGTAGCTGGGCTGTTTCCTTGTTTCCATGGAGCAATCTTGTACTCATCAAGCGTTGTAAGGAAGGCATCAAAGTGAGCGCGGAGCCATGTTGGTGGTGCTTTGCCTTCCATGCCGAAAAAGTCAAGTTCGTCAAAGAAGTCATACATCCGCTGTGGAGGGTTCTCGAGTCCAATGGGATTGGGAGAGTCAATCAGTACAAGGCTCTCTACAACATCGCCATCGGCAGCAAGCTGTTGCGCAGCATCGTACGCACTGATTCCACCGGCAGACCAGCCACCGAGGTGATATGGTCCACATGGTTGGATCTTTTTGATAGCTGCGATAAATTTGGCGCTGAGCTGAGAGAAAGACACGCCGGCCATGGACCATGGATCTTTCTGCCATGGACATGCAAGGCCATAGACCGCCACAGAGGGGGATATCCTTGAGAGGCTTGCGTAGGAAAAGGCAGAGCCAGAACCATCTGGAAAAAGAAAAAGCTTTTTCGTCGCAGTCTTCGCGTTACCTTGCAGGAGGTGGCTAGAAGCATGCGGTGGACTCCTTACTGCAAACTTTGTTTCGGAAGTATTGTTGCTTAGCTTCTGCTTTTGTTTTTCCAGAGTCACATTCGATACGGTTGTCTGCAGACCAAGTGCGCGAGCTACCTTCTCGAGTGTCTCATTTTCCGCGAGTAGCATCCTTGGAATCTCGCTCTCGATAATCTCCTCTAGACGACTCATAATGTTAAGGCTGAGCAAAGAGTCAATGCCGAGGTCTGAGAAATTTGTCGAATCACCAATTTCAGATGGTTCAAGTCCAACTTCGGCAGCAATAACTGATCTGATGAGCTCGATAGTCTTGTTGGTGCTCTTTTCAAGTGGCTCCTCTTTCTCGTCTTCATCGCTAGTAATAGATGACGCGAGACTTATATTGTCATCCAGAAGACTATCGAGATCGGTAGTACTGGAATTGGATGATTGAGGTGTTAGAGTCCCTGGAGAAGCTTCGTTTTCTTTAACCCGGCTCAAGAAAGAGCTGATTGTTGGACATTCTGCAAATGTACTGGAGTTGATATCCAGCCCAAGCTGATCATGCATCGCTTTAGAAATATTGAGTGAGAGTAAAGAATCAACTCCGCACTCGTCAAAGGTCGTGTCGGGTTTCAGTTCGTTGACATCAAGGCCAACAGCCTCGGCAATTAGATTGAGAATCGTGTCTTTAATAGATGACACCTTGTGCTTCGGTGATGAAATACTCTTCCCCTTAGAAAGAGCATTTGAAATTTTGGCTTCTTGAAGTTTGGGAGCAGGTGTTGTGGTGACTGGAATTGCTCGCCGCTGCCCAGACGGAAGCAACTGGTCGAGTACACGACGAGGCACACCTTGAAACTAGTCTGCCATCAGCATTGATAAATATTAGAGTCATCAATTGAAAGAGCTCACCTTTATGCCAGAATAAATGGCAACTATTTCGTCACCCTCAAGGATGTATGTGTCCCCAACATAGATATTGTTGGTGGTCAGCTGCATCTTGTTATATGTCCGATATGTCTTATCCTCGGAGAACTTAGTTGCGATCTGCATATTTTCCCAACCATGATTCACGAAGACTGTGTCTCTGGAAGCAACAGAGTCATTTCCGTTCATGATGAAACCGGCGATATGGCCCAGACAATCTATCCACTGAGGGTTGAGAACGTAGCCTTCGGGGCCACATTGGAAGCGAACCTTGGCCGTAGCTTCAAGTGCACTGCTGTCAAGAGTTACCTCCTCCATGCCGCGATAACCTTGACTGTAGTCGACTAAAGCGCTGAAGAGCTTGTAAACAATACCCCGTTTCATCTTATTCGCGGTGCCATGATCAACACTGGCTTCAAGAGCTTCCAGTCTGTGTTTGATCAGGAAAGACATCCTTTGCCAGTCATCGCGAGAGCCCTTGCTCCTGATACGAGCTTTACAAGTTGCGTGGTCAGCTAATTTAGTACCACTCGCGGAAACACTGTAAAAAGACAAATCAATTTCCCGTGAATCGAAATCAGCTGTTGCGGATACGCGCAATAATTGAGTTGATCCATCTGCGATAAGAGGCTTTTTGACGTTCATACTACCGACCTCGAAGCTGCTTTCCTCGATGCGTATCTCGCAGGCGTTGCACAACTGTTCACAAACAGTCATGGCCATGTCTGCGTAGAGAGATGACGGACACAATGCAATTCCATTGACCTTGTGGCCTTGAATCACGTTGGAAAGTGCAGAATGGCTGATGTCGGTCTCAGTAACAATGGAGGCCTTTTCCTTACTGATTTCAATAATGTGTTGAACAGCAGGCGTGATAATCGTTTTTTCGACGGTCGGTACGGTACAGCGTGAAAGATCCTTTGTCTCAATGCTGTCGCCCTTAGTTAGACAGAAGTTGTTTTTATATTGAATCCAGTAGTTCTTAAGATCCCACTTGTACTGTGGAAGCTCAATAACTTGAAGCGAAGTAGCGTCTTGTCGATAATACTCGTTCCAGTCAACAGCAATTCCTCGTATGTAGAGATCTTGTAAAGCAACAACCACAGAGGCCAAAGAGGTCTGGCGTTTTGTCAGAGTTGGCATTGTGACTGAGTCAGAGCCAAGAGTCGCTTTGATCATTCCCGCGCACAAAGGATGAGGTCCGATTTCAAGCCATAAAGTCTTGTCACCCACTATTCCTAATTCCTGCGCAGCTTGAAGAGCAGCATGGAAATTGACTGGTTTACGACATGCTTTAGTCAGATATGCATCCTTGAAAGGTTCCACCTCTGTGATTACAGCTGCCATCATTGGTGACAGGAAAGGAATTTTCGGATTTGAAAATTGTACAGCTCTTTCACAAAGTCCCAGAGGCTCCAGAATCGGGTCAACCTGTGCCGAATGGAAGGCATATGGAATTTCAAGTTTGATGCATTTATGCCCCAGTGTTTCGAGCTCTTTCATAATGCAATCTATTTCTTCCCGCGGACCGCTCAAAACGGTGGCATCAGGCTGATTTACACATGCAATCTCGCAGGATGACCCACTTTGGACTATTGGCTCAACTGCAGCCATGGAAGCCTTGACTGAAATCATGGCATGCGAGCGAGGAGTACAGGATTGTTCAAGCAGACGCGCGCGGGACCCAACAAGATAAATCGCATCAGAGGCCGTCAGCACTCCTGCAGCATAAAGTGCGGCGTATTCGCCAAGGCTATGGCCGATGACCAGAGCAGGTGAAATTCCAAACCGAGACCACATGTTCGTTAGGGCAATCTGCAGCGCCGTGTGACCAACATGCGCCATAGTAGGTTGTTCAAGTTGCCTCGCAGATGCACTTCCATCGAGGAGTGGAATGAAGCTTGGTAGTCCATGCTGTTGAGCAATGATATCCAAGCGCAGCACTTCGCTCCTGAACACTTCGTCGGCATCGAAAAGCTCCTTCGTGACTCCCACGTACAAGGAACCCTGACCAGTAAAAGCAAATGCAATCTTCGGCAGCAAAGCAGCATTGGGAATGGGCTTCTCTGGAAGACTTGACAGGATCTTGTCAAGCTCGAGCTTTATTGACTTTAAGTCTGTTCCAGAAACCATGGTTCTGAAGTTGTGATGAATGCGTCGCGCTGTGGTGGTATATGAGAGGCTAGGGAGAGCAGTGTCAGGATTCGCCTCAAGAAATGCAATCATTGCTTTCACATTACGCTCGAGAGATTTCGCACTCTTCGCAGAAACTGCCACAGGGTAAATTGACCTTGAAATGTCTTTTGCTGGGGTTGCGCGAACGGGACCGTCTTCGAGCAAAAGAGCCGTATTGCCGCCTGCGGCGCTGAAATTGTTCAAAAATGCAATACGTTTGCCACCGACGCAGCCCTCGCGTGTCCACGGTGTTGGTTTGAAAGCAATGTGGACATTCAGCGCCTTGAGATCTGGGTAATTGTGGTTGATCTTCCCCTTGATTCCGCAGTGCGGCGGGATTTCGTTGTGCTTCATCATTAGCAACACCTTGATCAGCGAGGAGACGCCAGATGCAGATTCTGCGTGCCCAATGTTGGCCTTCGCAGAGCCAATGTACAACGGATACTCTGCTGTCCGTTGCTTGCCTCTGACAAAGCATGACAGGACGGAGTTCATCTCGGTGGCATCCCCAGCTTGCGTGCCTGTTCCGTGCATCTCAACGTAGCTGACGTCCCGAGGATCTTGGTTGGTGTATCTCAAGACGCGATTAAACACGGACGCCTGATCGCCCTCGTGAGGACGCGTGATGGATTCGGCCTGGCCGCAATGATTTGTGTGCGCTCCTGCGATCAGGCCGTAGACGGGGTCGTTGTCGGCGACGGCGTCCTCGTATCGCTTGAGGATGACGCAGCCAACCGCGTCTGCACGGCAGTAGCCATCCGCAGCGTCGTCGAACGGTTTACAGTTTCCCGTTGTAGACAGAAAGTGGCCTCGGTCAAGCCCGGCGAAGTTGTCCGGATTGGTCAGGACGTTGGTGCCGCCCGCGATCGCCGTGTCACAGTCGCCCTTCCACAAGTACGCGCAGGCTGCGTGGATGGCGGAGAAGCTGGAAGAGCACGCCGTATCGATGCTGAGGCTCGGCCCGGAGAACTTGAAGAAATAACTGATTCTGCCGGGGATGAAGGCGCGGTTCCCCCCCGGGATGAAGTACGTGTCGACATCTTGTCCGCTGTTGACCTCGCGCCAGTCGTCGCTTGTTGTGCCCATGAAAACCCCAACGCGGTCCACCTGGCTTGACGGCGTACGATTCGGCACGAAGCCCGCCATCTCAAGCGCTTCATACGTAGACGTGATCAACAGGCGCTGCGCAGGATCGGTACTAGCAGCCTCGCGTGGAGACATGTTGAAAAATCGAGTGTCGAAAACGCCAGGCTCTTTGATGAAGCACCCGTACTGGACCCTGCTGGTATTTCTCTTCTTTCCCGTGGGATCGAAGTGTGCCTCCCAGTCGAACCTATCCTCGGGGATTCTCTTGTGCACATCGCGTCCAGCACGTAGCAGCTCCCAGAACTCGTCGTTGCTGGAAGAGTCAGGATACCGACCCGAAAAGCCGATGATCGCGATCTTGGACTGCTCAAACTTGCCGGTTGGATTGCTCCAAGCCGATCCTTGGTCGCATCGCTCTAGGTCGCTGACGACAGTTTGGATGTCACACTTCCGAGGAATGTGCGTGAACAATAGCTGCGGCGCATTGGACAGCACAGGAATGATTTCGCACGCACTAGCCTTACGCTGCTGCAGTAAAGTGCACACAGTTTCGATAACACGATCCCATCGTACTTTCTCATGGAGTGTGTGAAGAGTGCTCGCCTTCAACACATCTTCGAAGCTTCGAGACTCGCATTCTGCTCCAGAAGGAAGCAGGAGCGGAACATGCAACTGGCGTGCTTCGAGCTGAGAATCGTGATATTTTTTGACCGTAGAAAGGCAAACAACTTCCGGAAATAGCTGTGGCGCATGGTATGGAGACTCGATGGAGAGCTTTCGAAATTGCACTTTGGCGAAGGCCAAGAAGTCGTCGAGAACTTGAGGATTCGCACTGATGGTCACATTTGTTGGGGACACCGCACTGAGATAGGGCCTACTGACTCGCGGATGAGCTTCACAGAAAGCATCAACAAGCTTAGTAGCGTCCTCTTCCGTGAGGTTGACAATAGCGGACCAGCAGGATGAGCCTGTCTCTGTCATGTTGCACATGTCAAAGCGACATTGCAGCGAGAGTGTGGCTGTACGTAGGGCTACAAGAGTCGCCTCGACGCCAGCGGGAACGAGGTCCGTAAGGCCACGGGATACGGCGACTGCAGCTGCAGCAAAAGATCCAGTGCAGATACCCAAGAGACACGAGTTGTCCCCGGTAGGATATGGAATAGACCTTCGCTCATGGAAGCTAGAAGGGTCAGAGTCTTCTTCATGTACGGAAGCGGCTCAATGTCTTACCGAATGAACAGTCCTAGCTCCGCCACACAGAGCAAAGCAAATCTAAGCGCCGGACTTCCTATCTTGCCATTGATCTGAGGGAGCAGATCGATTAAGGTAGTAAAACGTGGCATTAACGCCTGCCAGGAAGAGGACATGCGGGAAATCTCCTCACGAAGCGCAAAAGCCACCTTTTCAAGGAAAGATTTCAAGACTGGCATGTCCTTGGTGTAGAGCAACTCTCTGAGGCTCTCCTCGAAGGAGACATTTAGGTCTCCAAAGAGGAAGACCCGCATAGCTTTTGTCATCCTCGCTTCCTGTATGGTACTCAGAGCTCATGAATTCTGAACAGACCCGATCAATGTCTAAGACATAGAAGTAAAGCGGAGAATGTGGTCTTCGAAACGTGGACGTCCTCAGACAATCAAATAGTGCCCATAGACATCACAGTACCTTGGTAATACTCCTATTCTTTCTCGGACAATAAATCGTCAGGCCTCATTTCGACGGGTTCCAAAGAACCGGTCTTCATTACGCAGTCACCTAACGTGGGGGTTCCAACGGACACGAAAGTCTGGAAATTTGTCTCCCCGAGAACAAGATTGCGCTGGAGATGAATCGCATGGCCGGAATCCCTAGTCTCTGTGCTATTCAGCCGGTTTTTTTGGTTTTCCGCAAGTCGGCTGCCGGGGCACCGACTGATACGATGTCCAACCTTCGACCATGGAGATAGTTTCGGAGTATTTTTCCCCTGCATATCAGATGTTCTCTTGTGGGACCTGGAAGTTCGGTCTCCTACGTTGCAAGGGGCCGTCCGAGGAAATGTTACCTCGAGTGTTCATCATTGTGAACTCCGTCTAACTATGCGACCTGATCCTGATCGGATGATTTGCCGCGAAGCCAGGATCCTGGTCTGTGCGTTGTTCTACTGTATAGTTTGACTAGTTTCTCTCCAACCACTGAACTTAGAACTACTGAACAACGTTTGAACCTAGAAAGAAAAAAAATCTCAAGCATATTTAGATTGCTATATCTTATCTAGCTGTTTATTCTTCGACGGAGATCTCCTCACACGTCCAGATTATAGTTCATTCCATTTTCATCTCCTATGTTGTATATGTGTGGAAGCAGTTCGATAACACGGAAGCAGGTACAGATTGGATGTGTTGATAGTACTAGATGACATCTTTGTACATGTAATAATTCTGAATCACAGAGAAAAGAAAAAAAATTGCACAATTAATGCCCCTTCCGTTGGTGTGATTGCAGATGATACTGGAGGCGAAGCCTCCACCTAGTCATCAGCATTAATCTCATCTGGGAAGAAAATTCTTTGTACCAGCTCACTTGGGAGACCATGCGTGTTGATTTCTCACTACAGATGACGTGCTAGATACAAGTTTCCAGAAATTCAAACATGCCTCTCGTACCATCCCGTTATCATCTGTGTACGCGTTGCGTCCGCAAAGTTATTGTGATCTGGCATGACGACGCTTTTGAAGTGTTCGTCCTCTAGGACATTTAAATAGTCTTGGATATCTCTAAAAGAGATGGTGATGATTGCGTCATAATCTGGCATGTTCGGCTTATGACCGCCCGAGAAGATGCGGTCTATCAGCTTGCGTTCTTCGCTGGAATTATGTTGCTATTAACGTCTTAGCCTACGTGCTGAAAGGCAAATGGTCTGCCTTTATGCTGGAGTGAGTCAGTGTTTGCTGCGAAAGCTTACAATTGTGTAGTCCACAATGCCATTTTTGGCCAAGAGCTCTTTCAAACAAGGAGCATGTCTCCGGCTGACATACTCGTGATACTCCTTCTCATCCATGCCTTCCTTGCGATACCCGAGGATGGTCAGCGCATAGAGCCTGTTTGGAATTTCGGCCGACATATTGGAAAAACTCGAACGAAAGGGCAGAATGGCTAAGGATGAACACTCCCTACCCGCCGACTGTCCATCACGTATCAATTTATGATAGGAGCGAATTTTTCCCAGGAAGGAGGGTCTTTGAAGGTCATCAGTCAAGCACGCGCAAGTCAAGCCTCATACAGGAGTTCGCTGATTCGGACGCGATGATAGCGAACAGCACAATCAACCGAAGCAGCAACAATATCCGGAAAAGGTCGAAATTCGGGATCCGGGATGATTTTGCGGGCATTTTCCCTCCCACTCTCACCCCTGAAAAGAAAACCAAAAAAAGAAAAAAGAAACCCCCAATAAAAACATCGAATTCTCCACAGTGTACCAAATTACTCTTATTGAGAATGAGCACCAGCTTGGGTGCAACTTTTATACAGACCGTGGGCAAGAGAAGAAAGTCTTATATTCAAAAATGAAAATGGGTTGATCGTAGATTCTAGACCCCTAGAACCTCATCGAATTTCCATGTAAAGTACATCAAAAACACCATAGCAAAAAAATGAATGTGGTTATGGTATCCAGTTATTGAAAACACCTCAAATGCAGTCGAAAAGCCCTCATTTGATACCAGGATTCCAACTTGCCGTATCAGCCAAAATATCGAATGATCTATGTACAAGAAACAACATCATTGGAACGGACTGAATAAGGATAACTGCGTATAATGTATGTAGGTTTTGGATTTTATCTAGCAGTATTTGCTTCAGGATCACTATTTGAAATCAATGACGAGTTTTGCGGTGATTTTTCGGTCTTTTATTCTAGGATGAGACACCTAATGACTAGCAATCTGTTGCTTGACTTCTTGAAGAGTCTTCAAGGCTTCGGGAAGCATTCTTTGATGAGAGTTCTCCCCGTCATGCCCAGTCATTGGCTTGAAGCCGGTTGTAAACACAGGTGATCTCTGCACTTTCTCCCAGTCGTGCAGCATGAGAGCATTCTCCAGCGAGCATTTTACCTCCTCAGCACCCCTTTTAACGACCTCGTCATCATAGGCAGAGATGGCTTCCTTTTGACCCATCTCATTATTCAAGATGCTTTGGATCTTTTCAAGAAGGTGAGACACATCGCAGATGCAATGGTTGAGACCTTGCCCGCGGTAAGGTGGCATGGCGTGGGCTGCATCGCCAGCCAAGGTCATTCTACCGTCGTGATTATTCCACGGTTTGCTAATCCAGTAACTGATGTCCGCCTTGTGAACAAGCGTGTTCTCTGGTATCCATGTAAAGGCAGATCTTGCAGGCTCACCAAGGGTCTGAGCCTTGCTTTTGATCAAAGCGAGTCTTTCAGGATAGCTCATGGACTGATCAGAGTCCCCGAGCCAAGCCATGGCCAGATGGAACACCCAGGTCTCAGGATGCTCAGGTCCATCAGGCATACTGGAAACTATCCTTCTGGTTAGCAAGAAAACCTGGAATCATGCGGAGGAACGTCCGTACTTGACTGGAAAGCGTGGTAGCTATTTTCGCTGAGAGCGAGATAACTCGTGGGAAATTCCTGGCGCAAATACTTTGCCTTTTCAGCGTCGCCGTAGCAAACTGTCATGTTCGTATGAAAGATTGGAAATTTGCTAGTAGACGCCTCTGCCTCGCTTCCCATGGCAAAAATGCGCATCGTAGACCTTGGGCCGTCAGTGCCAATGATGAGGGACGCTTTGACTTTCTCATAGTCATTAAAGGTAGCCGTTACGCCAACTCCAGAGGCATCGAAATCGACTCCAGTAAGCTTCATGCCGTACTGCACATCGATTCCTTCAGCACACAGAGCTCTCATTTTGCTGCGTGGGACACGCAAGCCCCTGGCATATGGCACACCGGCCAGGAGCTTGCCGGTTTCACCATGAATGATGGGATACTTGCCTCCAGCATCCATAGGAATAGCTGGATTGCAGGATATCGTGGGCAGTTTCTCCCAGATCTCCTTTGGAAGGAGATTTTCCAGGCGCTCAAGAGACCAATGGATTGCCATCGTCCACTCGTTGCTCCGATAGTTCATCTGTACCTCTCGTTCGAAGATTTTGTACTTTATTCCAACCTGGAGATGTGGGTCAGCATAGAACATCAAAGCTATTTCTGAGGGTGCAATTACCTTCTTCAGAGCTTGTGCAAGCACGAGGCCGGTGATGCCGGCTCCAATGATAAGAACTTCAAAATCCTGAGAATGTGCCATGATTACGTTGTTTATAGAATATCCAAAGTGTGTGATCTGAAGCTCGAAATATGCTGAGGAGCTTTTTTAAAGGGCAGATTGTGTTTTAAATCTTTTCGACTGACCCAGGAGCACGACTCTGTTCAAACCGTAGATCAGCGGACGAAGCTCTCCGGAATCCAAACATCCTGTTCTCTCTACCAGGTACGAACAGTAACAGAAATGCGAATGAGCTGATTTCCGACCTTTGACTACGCGGGTTTCGGCCCACGAGGTGGCAAGGCCATCAGCAGACACCAAAAGGTAAAGATCGATGGTGGGCTTGAATTCGGTTTCCGGGAGCCGATAATCAGCACCGACATGCGCTCTACCCATCGAGCTGCAGGATCGCACTGTAGCCGATTCTTTGGGTTTCGACGCTACTTAAATTAGGAGCACAGTTTGGCTATGAACCTCGGCGAGTAATATATGTTGAATTACATAGTCGTACAACTTTACAAACTCGTAGTAATGTAAAGCTTTAATCTATCCTATCATATTCCCGGCAACCCGCCATTTGGGTCCGCACCCTCCACTGGATAACAAATTTCCATTCCGTAATTGTCCGATCTGAAATGATTCGAAGTCATAGCATCTTGCCTCATGAAGCTCATCATATCATTTTCCACGGAGAACGCCGAGCTTATCTCATGTCCTGATGGCGTGTTCATTACGAATGTCTCAATATCGTTCACACAGAGTGAAGATAGCGGCGCCCCATCTGTGAAATGCTGCGAGTTTATGAAACCAGAACTTGGCAGATGCTGCAAACTCGACTGATCTGGAAAAGAACCGCCTTGTTCCAGCTGACTGGATGACAACGACGCGGAGTGACATCGGCTGCTACCCGAACCACTCGTGCTTTTGCTAGGGGAAGTGCCATTCATCCCACGCACGTGTTGAATGATGGACAGAATTCTTTGGAGCGCCTTACCAACTTGATGGGCCCTGTTGATGGCTTGTAGGCTTGCATCAGCTTCCTCGTAGCAATCGCAAACTCTGACGAGAAGCTCGTAGTCATCATCAGTGTTCGCTTCCTCCTCTGGAGTTGCAGGGTTGATCACGTTTGCAGCCAACAGAAATAAGCTAGACACCGGGAAGAGTGAGAGGAGAGTTCTTGGCGTCGATATTGCGTGCTCATTGAGGCTGATTTCAGAGTCTAGAGAGGATGATTTGGAACCTTGTTGAGAAGTTGTATGGAGGTCGCAATGGTGCTCGAGTCGTTCCCTCAGTGCTTTGTCACCCTTTCCGAATGCCAATAGTAGCAGGATGCAACATGCTCTACAATCTTTTAAAGTGCGCTTGACGTAATGCGCTTTAGTGTTCCTTCGTAGAGCAACAATACGGGTAGCGAGGAATTCTAACCAAAGTTCAAGGTGGGGACCGCACATCGTGCCAATTTCCAGAAGATCGGCCAAACCGTGTTGTATACCAGAGGGATGGAAGCCCGCTTTGTTAGCAAAGTCATCTTGAGCCCCAGATGAAGAATGGAGGCGATACACGCGCTCCTGAAAAGCAGTAATCGTGACTCGTGCAGCATGGTATCTTCCTTCGGCTGATTCAAAGTCGTCCAGTTTCATATTTTGCACTTCAAACCCTGGCAGCCAGCATATGGTGCCTCGTGAAATACCCAGGCTTTTGTCACGAATGTATAAAGCCCTTGAGACTTTGAGACGCTCTTCCTCTTCAATTGCATCCGATGTTCCAGTCATCGCAATCTGATTAAGACCCATTCGTCTTGCCAGATTACAGGCTTGCACAAACACTGCTTCTGCAACTCCGAACGGATGAAATTGCTCGGCAGCTAAGCTTAGAAGGGCCAAGGCTTGTACCTGGGAGTAAGGTTAGCGAAGAACTATTCACAAATGATTTGAACCTACGTTTATGAGTCGCGGCGCCATTAATAAATGGACTTTATTGAGGGCAACTTTGAGCGCTGAAAAGAAGGGGGCAGCAAATTGCGAAGTTGCCAAGGGAGCATGAGTCTGTCATTTTCGATTAGCAACGTGCCTCTAACGAAAAGTTTAAGATTGATCTACCTGGAGAGAGTTTTCTGCGCTCATAGAAAGTAGTATAATTGTATTGAAAACAATTGCCCATGGTTCGTCTAGAGTAGAGTTGTAATTGGCATACACTCGATCAACGTTCTGCCAAAACCTTTCTTGAACAAATAGATCTGTTGACCAATCGTTGTGGTGAAAGAATCTTGTATGAAACATCGGCAGGAACTGCTTGGGTGGCAACATGATTGAGGTTTCGGTGATTCTCGAGTCGTACAGCGTGTCCTGTCTCTCGGCATATCGTACTAATTCCGATAAATCATGGTCGATGGAGCCCAGCTCATCATCAACCGCAAAATTCAGCCCTTGTTGAGAGACATCCTTTCCTACTTTTTGTCGCCGAGATGTCACTAGCCCTTTGAAGGCAGTGGCCCATGCATAAAACGTATCCGGTCCGTAGTATGAATCCGTGACTGGCGAGTGCAAGAGTTGTCTTTCTGTTGTCAACAGGCTGCCCCGCGACTCATCTTCGGTGTCACTTGGATTGAACGGACTCTCATACGATGTAGGCGTGCCCTCCGAGCCATGTCGAGACCTGGGCGCGTTTTGGGATCTTATAAGACGAAAGATTTCGTTCTCAATGTTGCCCAATCGAGCATCGATAGAGTTGACATTTTCACTTCTAAATAATGGCATTAGCTCGAATCCATCGTACTCGATACATGCTCCTCCAAGCAAGGTTTAGAAATGAGTGTTCAATTGAGAAAGGAGAACCCACAGCAGCTTGATGTGACTCACACGCTTTTCTGGCGCAGAGTAGTCACAGCGCCATTTCTGACGTTTACAATTGCCACATTTGGGTTTCTCTCGGCCACAACGGATTTTTTTCTCCCGACAAAGTGCACAAGCGCGGTCGGAAGCCCCAGAATTATCATTCTGTGATGTGTGTGGTCAGACCCATCAATGACATCAAAGGAATGTGATATTAGCGCATACATCGATTTCCTTGGGCATGGTGGTACGGCACAGATGGACGGCTTTGGTCTCGTGGATGTGGTGCTTCTGGGAGGAGCGTGTCCTTCTGGGATGTCACCAGTAATAATGGAAAGGTAAACAAGCTTTCCTGCTCAAATTTGCTTGTACGTTTAAAAGAATATGTCTACCCAACCCATATGTAGCTGATCACATTCTTGGTTGACAAACCACGGAGGTTCTAGGGGACTGGACTGATCATCCATTCGTATTTCTGCAGCCCACGGGGTGGCGCTTTCGTTGCCGTGTTTTGTTGGAAATCTCTGGCAGCATTGCAACCCTAGATGCCACACGGGCTCACTGCAGGCCATGATTCGACAATACTAGGGATATGCATTACTCCTGCTGGCACGTTTTGTGTTATCAAACCAAGCCGATCATGATCGCAAGGGGAAGACGGGAGCATCCATCCAATGCCTGTAGTGGCTAGACGTGCGTTGAGGACCGGGCCATAGTTATGCAGAACTGGTGGATCGTTGCAGGCCATTTTCTGCAGCATCGCCCTTCGCTTTCTGCAACTTGCATGTGCCTTGATTTGCTCTTCATGCCAGCACTGAAACCACACGATGCCGTCGACAGAGACAGGCCATTACGTGCGTGGGGGCTGACTTTGTACTGTGCACGATGACGTGTAAGTTGTAGCCGCGTCAGGGCCTTTATGAAGATAGGTTTACTTTTTTACGGCTTTCCAAAAGCGACTCCGGGAGCATAATCCAGGTTGACGAACATGGGCTGTAATGTTCCGAGGCAAGACGTAGTTTGGATTCACGCACCATTTCCTCCTAGAAGACTAGTACGGCCGACATCACCGTCACAATACGAACATAAGCATGGCTCCTATAATAAGGAACCACTGACAGATATGAAAGGCGTTCGGGGACAAAGGTCGCCACCCGTTCTGCGTACCAGGATGATGAGGCAATCGATGCATGTAGCTACCCGTTGTGGCTGAGATACGGTTGCTTGCCCGTAACGACTTTCTCTTGGCGGCCCGGATCCCGTCATACCGAAAGACAACCACATTGTGCTCGCTCAGTGCAACTCAACTTCTCGGACTGTGTGGCCTAGAGGTAATTGAACGATCAATGATGCGGAGTCCGACAATCCCTCCCCTTCTTGGGCAGTGATGGGGAGTGTTCTCGGATATACAATGGCGAAAACCTCCCCGTAGGTCTTGAGAGTATCGGAACACCTTTATCCCTAACTTAAAGTTAGTGCACATTGCTGACGAGATGCCCGCCTCCAAATTGGCACAAGAGTCTACTCAAAAGCCAGAATTCAGGCCGACCGTTTATGGACTGATTTCTGAGCTTTGCGTGTTGCTGAATAAGCTAGAGAGTGATCGTGCGGAGGTGCCCTCCCTTGCAGCGGGCGCGCATTCCAAGCTGTGGACTGCCCAAGGCGATAGCTTAGCGGCGTCTCGCGATCGAGCTTTGGAGCTTTTGAGGAACCTATGCCAGCTATTGCAAGGACCGCATGAATACTTTCATTCCTTGGTGTCTTCAAATTGGGATCTTGGAGCTCTCTACACAATCATCGAGCTTGGAATATTGGAGAAAATCCCTTTGACCTCTTGCGCAAACGTGATTGATCTTTCTGAAGAGCTTGGCTTAGATGAGCGGAAATTGCTTACACTCCTCCGACTTGTCACATGCTCAAACATTCTTTACGAGGCCGAAGACGGGTTCTTTGGGCATACTGCCCTGTCTCAAGAGCTTTTGCAAGACGAGCAATTCCGAGCCTTCATAGGATTCCAGCTGTTTGAGGCCAGGATCGGCAGTGTGCATTTGGCAGACTCCCTGAAGGGGAGCAAAAACACCTTTGAGCATGGGTGTTCAGCTTTCAAACACGCGTGAGTATAGCCGCAAGCAAGCATAACACGGTAGAAATAAGCTGAGGTGGATTAGAATGGGTATACCGCTATACCAGTGGCATGGTGAGAACACGGAGAAAGGTACGAGGTTCCGTATGGCTATGCAGGGGGTCTCAAAAAGTATGTCACCAAGCTCACATAAGAGTTACGACGGAATGTCTAATTATATCGAAGGTCTAGACCCTGGTGACGATTTGTTCCGTCAGTGGTTTAAGCAGCATTCTGAATCTGGCACATGTCTAACCGTCGTCGACGTTCTTGGAGGCAACAAACCAAGCCAGCAAAAGTTCATTGGCGAGTTTCCAGAGCTCAATTTCGTTTCCGTTCACGACATTGGCGAAATAGCCTTTGTTGACGGACCTATTCTGGCATATGTCGTCCGCAATGTGTTCTGGAACAAGAGAGACAACGAGGTGATCTCCGTGATTCGGAGCATCCACCAAGCTATGGAGAAAAACGCAAAAGCCACGCTGTTGATTAATGAAATGCTGTCGCCAGCTAGAGGCGAATTCCCAGGAGATCTCGAGCACGCCTATCGTCGACGCGACGTTACAACGATGACTATGCACAACGCGAAGCAACGGACTGTCGCTGAATGGCATGGGCTATTTCGTGAAGTAGATCTAAAGTGGAAGGTGTGTAACGATCTTTTTCCTACCCTGGCCTTTGCTGTTCCCAAAAGTCCGTTTCGGCTGACAGTACACAGATCCGACTGGTCACGGGTAATTCGTCACATAGCTACAGAGGGCTTTGGGAGATACAAATGAATTAGCATTCGACACTGTGATTACTGGTTTCAGGGTGGAATTTTAACGAGAGGCCTTAATTAAGAGACCTTATAGTTTAATCAACTCTCTGACTTTTCGTCACCAAGGCGTCCGGGTTTCCCGTTTCATTGTATTTTTGGGTGCAACTCCGTGAAGAACATCCAGGGCGATCTACTAATTAAGCTGCTTGCTTCTGATTGCTTCGAGTCTTGATTTTCGCCGATCTGCGGGTACTTCCGTCAGGTCTTTCCTTCACCCAGCCAAGCGCCTGGTCAGGGGTTGGCATTTCGGGACCAGGATTTGCACGTGTTTTTCGTAGGACGGGTGAAAGGAGTTGATGTTGTGTTCTCTCATGCAGCTAACCTACAGTATCCTAGTCTAGACTGTTTCTCAAGCGGTGCAGATCGAGCATTATCTTCAAGCCAGAGCTAAGTATTCACCCGTCTGACGTTACCTCTCTCGATATGCTGCAGTAGATAATCGTGACCCTGTGTAGCAGGTGCTGCTGCGGATAGGAAGAAAAAGAAAGCAGAAGTTCGTGCACTTAAGACTCTTCGCATTCAGGCGTTCACTATGACGGTCATAGCTTCTTCCGGTCTATTCCCTTTGAAGCTGTAACGCCAGTGCCAAAAGCAATGTTTGCGACAAAAGCACAACCACTGTTAGTCACCCTAATCAAGACTGACCAAGTCCGCCGTATCTACTGACTCGTCTGAATTGTACTCGTTCTCATTTCCAACTGTGCCGGCGCCCAATTCTCTTTCCAACAATTCAATGTCCGCGGGCGATAATGGCACCGTAGCGAACCGACGCATTGCTTCTTTATTCACTTCTGGTGTCAGCTCATTTCCCTCACCAATCAGGTATTCCAGGTAGTAGAAGTAACGTGCATAGTGACTCGGTGTGTTTGTTGATACAAATTTGGCCTCCTCATCAAATGGGTTGCTGAATCGATGAGGCATCCTCGTTGGCACTGTTACCATGTCCCCCACATGAGCGTCCACTGGCGGGCTTCCTGGCGAATGAAAACGCACAGTGCCTTGTGTGACGTAGAAGCATTCGTCGTGCATCTCATGGAAATGAAAAATAGGACCGTGTGATTTTGGCGGGATAAGCGACTCTACCACGGATATGCGGTCTTGGGTAAGAGTGCCATCCTCGATAATGCGGTACTTGTACTGACCCATGGAGCGCCATGGGACATCTGCAGAACGGAAATGTTTGATACTTAGTGTTTTGATGTACTTGAGTGTTGCCGTATCAAGAACTGGGGGAGTCGTAGTAGGTCCCGGCCTGGGCTGTGGTATGGCCTTCTCTTCAGGAGATGCCGCCGTTTGCGCTGATGCAACTTTCGGAGGATCCAGATGGTAAGCGTCCATTTTAATCAAGTTTGGTGTCGTGCACTGAGTTGTAGTTCTGGTTTGAATCGTGGCAACTACCAGCTCTTTAAGACCTGGCAAAGTGGTGGTACAAAGTTCTCACCTTTCGTCTCTGTTCTGTGCGCGGTGGAACCATAATGGTGAGATCGCAGATGAGTTTCAAAATGCCGTTGTCTGAATTCAGCGAGCATAGCATTCCGGACTCCGAAGCCACGAGATCTGCTGTACTTCCGTTGAGCACCTTCGCAGTGATCGGCACCGAGTTTCCCACATGATAATCGCGTGGCGTTACATTACATAACATTATCTCTTCGCTCAAATCGATGAAGCTGATTATGGAGCAGAGAATGCATAGCAGTACATCTCCCGGGAGGCGATAGCAAGGGATTGGGGCTTTCGAATCGACGCGGCAACTTAGCTCCCCTGCATCGAGCGGCTCGCGATCCACAGATGCGAGATTCTGAAATCGGATCAGTGTATTTGCAACAGGGCAACAAGTTCCCCGAAGTTTTAAGCCACAATATTTCAAACAGATTCATATTTTTGGAAATGACTTAGTTCAGGCCTATTTGAAAGGGCTCTTCTTGTTCAAGAATGAGTCTGGAAGGCTGAAATAATTATGGGACACCATCATCGTCACGCGCTAAGCTGTATAAAAAGCACCGTACAACAGTTAAATCTTCTTAGTCCTGACGTAATTGGAAGATCTTCAGATGAATTTCTTCGTTACGTAATGCTAGATCCTCTACCGAGTGCGAAGCTTTCAGCTATGTGATATTGAACAAGGAAACATTTTGCAGGTTTACTTCCAGTTGTGAACATCCTTCAGCCATAGAATTATATGGCAACTTGAGCTCCCAAATCAATCTCCTGATCAGCTCCTAGTATGCCAAAGAGGAACATCCCATATCAAGCTCTCATTTCCTGATTCCATCGGCCGGCTTCAAGCAAACCCTTAGTGGTGGTTTGACCCAGAAGCCGTACAGTTTTTGGTTTAACTGCCAGCCTTCATCAACTTCTGGCCTTCCAAGCTTGTCTTTGGGCCATGTAATATCATAATGCCATAACACCCTTGCAAGAATTAGCTGCATCTCGGCCCACGCGAGATTCTTCCCTAAACAATTGCGCGGTCCGTAACTGAATGGCTGGACTACATCTCTATTGTCATTTGCGTAGGGCGCATGATCTGAGTGCTCTGGAAGCCATCGTTCAGGAGCAAACTTCTCGGCAAGGTGAAAGTTGTAAGGTGAATGGAATGCAGCATAATAGTTGACACCAACTGTTGTTCCGGCTGGAACAGGATGACCTGCAATGAATACTCCGTCCTCTTCAACTGGAACGCGACGGGGCAAAGTAACAGCAACGGGTGGGTACAGGCGCAGAGTTTCTTGTAAAACTGCTTTCAAGTACTTCAACTTCTTGACTTCGCTCATGGTGATCTCCTCAGGTGCATGGAACGCTGAGCGGACTTCACGCGTGGCGCTCGCATAAGAAGCCGGGTGTTGCAAGAGGTAAAATATTGCACCTGAAAGGGCTGTGGCCGTTGATTCGGAACCGGCAGTGCTGATCGAGAACGCATTAACGTCAATTTCTTGTCGTGACATCCCCTTTTCATCATTCGCTGCAAGAATGTAGTGCAAAAAATCCTTTCGATCCACTGAACCATTTTTTTCGATGCGATTGTTGACCGTACTCATGGCGCGCTTCATATTGGCCATCCGGGCTCCAGCAACAGAGGTTGGCATAAACCATTTTCGAGCCCAGGCGATGCCCCAGTACTTTAGCATCTGGTAGTACTGCAACTCCTTGGAAATTGCTGGTGTTGCTGCCACGTATGGATCATACTCGCCCTTTTCGAGGCAGCCCACATTGTCGCCAAATGACAGATCGGCTATCAGATCGAACGTGGTAAACATGAACCATGCACCAATGTCGACAGCATCTTGCCGGCGGGCTTCTAAGCCACGGATCAATTGATCAGTATAGGATTGAAGGATCTCTTCCTGCTCACGCAACGCCTTTTCTGAGAACGCATGAGCAAGTAGTCGTCGCTGTCTTGTATGCGTCGGACGGTCAGCTACTAGGATGTTCTGAACGCCAGTTGGAGTGTGCAGCGAGAACACCGGATCTTTTCCCATTTCGATAACACGATGCCCATAGATAATCCTCCAAGCCTCAGAGGAGGTGTAACTAAGCTCGTTCGGACCAATGCGCACAACATGTCCATATCTTGCGTGAAGCTCAAGAATTTTGCGCCAATTGACACCGTGATATTGGTACCAGCACCAGGGAATACGCGTCGCTGCCCACGACAATGGTCCGGGGTAGTTTTTGAGTGGGTGAAAATAAACGTTGTAGGTCAAAGCTGCCAAAACATAGATTATCGACAGAATTAGGCCTAGATATGATATTCGCAAGAAAAGACTGAAGACAATGCTATCAGACATCAATGCTGAGATTTGATTGCCCATGACTAAAAGCGGAGGATGGATGCACAAAGCGTTCGGACTCTTCGGCCAGGTTTCGCCAGTTTATTTCATATATCAACTACTAAGTTTCAACTTGGAGATCAAATATTGCTGAGCAGCGTCTTTCTGACGTACCAATTTCCTCTGAAAGTCATTCCTGACCCCGCGTGTTGGTAAAGCAGGGTTACAAAAAAACCTAACGGACTTCGTGGCCCGGTTGAGAACAGGAAATTCTTGAACACGTTGTCTTTCGGCATCTCGCTTGTCAAGCTCCAGATTCGAAAACGCTCCGCACAGTTATAATCACGTGCTCCAAATTCGGGTTCCGTACGCCGAAAGCAAGGACTAGGGGAAATGAAGGAACATCGGAATATGTACTCAACTTTTTAGTTTATCTCCATCTCCTCGATACTCTAGGCATGATCGGTGCAGGCTTACCCGGACTCTCGGGCGACACATCCGTCCTTCTTTTCACTCTTCATCTTAAGATATGACAAAGAGCCTGAGCTAAAAAGTCTATATTAATTAGTGTTGAACCGTGAATCAACACGAGTTCACAACGTCACTGAGAGCAAATTTGATCTTTATATCTTTGATTCTAAATAAAATCTTACCATGACTACTATTCCAGAGAAGGCAACTGTTCTTGTGATTGGAGGCGGGCCGGGAGGTTCTTACGCCGCTACGGCACTTGCAAGAGAGGGCGTTGATGTGGTTTTGCTTGAGGCAGACAAATTTCCTCGTTACCACATCGGCGAGAGCATGTTGGCGTCCATGCGCCATTTTCTTCGCTTCATCGATCTTGACTCCACATTCGACAATCATGGTTTCATCAAAAAGCGCGGGGCAGCCTTCAAGCTGAATGACAAACCCGAAGGCTTTACCGATTTCATTGCTGCGGGAGGACCGGGAAACTATGCCTGGAATGTGATTCGCTCAGAAGCGGACTACCTAATGTTTCAGCATGCTGGAAAGAGCGGCGTAAAGACATTCGATCAAGTAGCCGTCAGATCATTGGAATTCACTCCATGTGACCTCGAACTACCGGATCCGAAAACACCAAGCCCTGGCAGAGCGGTCGCAGCTTGCTGGTCTAGCAAGGTTGACGGTACATCTGGCAAAATCAGTTTCGATTATTTAGTTGATGCGAGTGGTCGTTTCGGCATAACGAGCACGAAGTATCTTAAAAACCGCAAGTTCAATCAGGGATTGAAGAACATCGCCAACTGGTCGTATTGGAAGAACGCGGGAAGATACGCGGTTGGAACCCAGAGAGAGGGTCAGCCCTTTTTTGAGGCCCTAAGTGATGCAAGCGGCTGGTGCTGGTTGATTCCACTCCATGATGGTACTGCCTCTGTCGGTATTGTTCAGAATCAGGATGCGGCCGCTGCCAAGAAAAAAGCCATGGATTCGCCATCACAACATGACTTCTACATTGAAAGCTTAAAGCTAGCGCCGAGGATTCAGGCACTGCTTGCCCAAGGAGAGATGACGGCTCCTGTTAAACAAGCCTCTGACTGGTCGTATAGTGCATCATGCTACGCTTCGCCTAACGTTCGAATTGTTGGTGATGCTGGGTGCTTTATCGATCCCTATTTCTCCTCTGGGGTGCACCTTGCGCTTTCCGGTGCCATGTCGGCAGCTTGCACAATTCGTGCTGTGCAGCGTGAAGAATGCGACGAAAAAGCTGCAATGGACTGGCACTCGAAGAAGGTGGCCGAAGGCTATACACGCTTCCTGCTCGTCGTCCTCAGTGCCATGAGACAGATCCGCAAGTCAGATCAACCAATCCTGAGCGACTGGGACGAGGAAGGTTTCGACCGCGCTTTTGCATTCTTCCGTCCAATCATTCAGGGAACCGCCGACGTCAGTAACAAGCTGAGCCAAGAAGAGTTGGCCAAGACGATTGACTTTTGTCTCAATGCTTTCCAACATCACGACGCCGATGCGAGAGACGCTATGATCAAAAAGCTGCAGGAGCACGAGCAGGAAGCTAGAATGCGTGGAGATGTTCAAGCCAAGGCAGATATTGATCCAGATTCACTCACTCCAGAAGAATTGCAGGTGTTGAAGACTATTCGCGCTCGACAAATGCTGAGAACCGAAGATGTTATCAATATCGATTCCTTCGGAACTGACGCAATTGATGGGTTCGCTCCACGGGTGAAGCACGGAGAGCTGGGACTTATGAAGGGTAAGAACTCCGGCCCAGCTGCTCCCAAGATGGATCTCTTTGCAAAGGCGAAAGAGGAGCCTGCAATGCAGACGCAAGTGGGTACTGCAGTCACAGCGCATTGAGGAATGATCTGTGGAAGTGTGGGAACTTTTGATCTAAACAGAATCAGCTGCAAGAAGGTTTGGAATTATTAGGCGGAATACAGCTTCGAAATTGCCTCAATTCAGCCAGTGATGTAGATTAGCCGATCTTTACGTATATGAGACCTTCCAATTGGGACATACCCTGCATGACTATTCCAAGTAACAGCGTGCTGATGACGAATCGTTTCCTTAAAGGTATTTTCATCCTTGCGGGAGTTCCGCCCGTCGCAGTCGATCTACCCATGACGATGTAGGGTTGGTCCTTTTCTCATATTTTTGCTTTGACATGTGTTTCGGCCGTGAACCCGTCGTTCGCTCGAAACTCAAATCCTCCGGGTTCCAATCTGCCCGAAGCGCGAACCCCAACTTCAGTATAGAATCCTTCCGGTGCTTAAATTGGAAATGAGACTCGGGAGCATGATATCATGACGGATGCCAGCGGCTACATTTACACGTAATTCTGCTCGGCCCCAGCAGTACAATTTCTTTTATCTCTCAAAGTTAGTGATAGTTGCCCTATCACGCGTTGCAAACTCTGTCCCAATGGAGGATTCCTTTATCCTGAAGAACGTTTCAATATTTACAGGTGATGACTGGATAGATTCTGGTTGCATAGCAGTTAGGAATGGCATAATCAACTACGTGGGCCGCGGGGATCCTCCAGCTCGAATAGTACCCGAGGGCACTGCAGTTCTCTCATTGCCGCGGAGAAGTGTGATTCCTGGTCTCATCGATTCACGAGTTCATTGTCAGGAAGGTAACATTGAATGTCTCGAGCAGTCGCTGAGATTCGGCGTGACGACTGTCTGCGACATGTATGGCGACCCTCAGTATCTTAATCTTCTAACACAGGTATGTGCGAACGATGGGAATGTGGGTGGGCAGAGGTGTCGAACCCGTCGAACTTGCAACAGCTCCTACTAACAGTATTTGAATGAAAGCAAGCACAAGACCCTGTGAACAAAGACAAGTATGCCGACTTTAAATGTGCAGGCATCGCAGCTAGTATCGAGAGCGAGTGGCCTGGAACGGAGCTTCAATTATCCCCTGAGAACAAACCTGTAAGCCTAGAGTTCAGAGCAGAGAGTTTAAAAGCAGTCACTCACCAAGAAATGACCGCATGGCAGTCTAGTGTCCCGGAGGATATCTTGCCCAAACTGAAATCTGCTGAGGATGCAGAGCATTACGTCCGAGAACAAGTCGTCAAATTCAACGCATCATATATCAAAATCATGCACGGGATCGGCGACGATGTCGACGTGGAATTTACGGAGCCAAGATGCGAAGTGCAAAACGCAGTGGTAGATGCGGCGCACAGGCGTGGTTTGATCGTTTTAGGACATGCGTTGAGCTATTCCGCGGCGATGGATCTGCTCTCAAACGGTGTTGATGGGTTGACCAACATCTTCATTGATAGATCGACATCTCGCGACTGGATTGAGCTTCTAAAGCGCAACAAGGGACACTTGTGCCCAACTTTGTCGTTTTATATCTTTCGCACTCTCCAAGGCGACGATATTGAAGAGCTGTTCGCAAGCGATCCGTTCTCAGAGCGTTTGCTCTTCGACAAAAGTTCTCAGAGGAACGTCAGTCTCGGTTCCAAGCCTGAAGATGCAGCTTTCGCCAACGCTGTGCGCAATGTACAAGAGGCATACAAAGCCGGGGTGCCATTTGTCATCGGATCGGCCAGCACAGGCAGAGAGATTGGCCCGGCATATGGGTTGGGTGTCCATATCGAGATGTATCTGCTTTCAAAAGCAGTTGGAATGACTCCAATGGAGGTCTTGAAGAGTGCAACAAGTGAAGTCGCGGATCGTTTTGGATTCCATGATCGTGGCCGTGTTGCAGTAGGCAAGAAGGCGGATCTGGTTCTGGTTGAGGGTGACGTCCGAGAAGCCATTGCAGATCCAAACTGCCGGTGTCTCCCAGTCTCATGCGTGTGGAGAGAAGGTGTTAGCTCGATAATTTACCAAAGACTGGCTGGGCCATAGATCTGGCTGTGAGATTCTGATATGTCTCGAAAACTTTAGCATCCTTTCGAGCACAGCCTATTCACGCCCTCGGTGCCCTTGCATTTTTAAGGCAGTAACTTCCCGAATATCAAATAATGTTCTGCTCCAAAGAACCTCCTAAATGCCTGATATGTTTTTTGCGGCCTGGCAGCTAGTGAGTTGATGACAAAATCAGTGTAGACATACTGCCGCACTGTGCAATTTTAGGCGTAAGCAGATTGAGGTTACGGCAGGTATCGTGATGATAGCTTGAACCTGCTATCGACTGTCGTCTAGGAGAAATGGCTTCAGGAAAAGTGCCAATTCTTTGGGAAATTATTCAGAATAAATCAGGGCAGGAATAAAACACATTGTTTCAATCCTTCGGAACTTTGCCAATCATTCTGAGGATCTGGAACTCGTATGATTAGTACCGTAAGCTTGGCATCTTCTCCAGCCTAAAGACCATTAAGGCTACACACAATAAACAGCTCCATCCAACGAGGCAAACATATCCCAATAGAATCATGTCAACAACGCGATCTAAAAAAGGCTCAAATGTATTACTTACATGTGGACATGAATTTGTGGGATAGGCTTTGGGCTATGAAGCTTGGCAGAGCTGAACGAAAGCGCAAATGCGATGAGAGTTTAAGAGCAATGCTTGCATGTTTAGAATCTCGTCGAGCGAGCAACTTCCTCATGTATGATCTATCTGTCTACGTGACTTGTTGCCTCGCATCTGGCCTTCATGCTCCAATATTTAGACGCGGCGGGAAACACCTCACACCCGCGTCCAGATCTGCTGAACTGGTTGGTGTGAGAGGTTGAAAAAGGCTGGATATCTAGTCTGTCTCAAGAAACACGGCTTCAAGAGGGCTGTCTTCACTGCGAGATCGTCACGTTCTCTTCGTCGCTGGCACTCGCTGTACCTCCAATCCTTGTCATCTCCTCCGTCACTTTCGCGAATTCTGTCTCTACCCCTTCACTTCCCTCGATCCATTCTTCAATTTTCTTGTCAAGGCTGGCCAGAAGCTCTTTCCTCCGATTGTTCTCTGATATCAAGGCCTGCTTCCTCTTCAACAATGCTTGCCTCTTCTCCTCGAGCTGTAAACGTTCCGCATGCTCATGTTCGATACGTTTGAGCATCAGTTCGTGCTCGTCAAGCGAGGCATGCTCTGGATGCTGAGATAAATAGACCTCCGTAGGCAGGAGCGGTAGTTTCTTGTATGAGTGGCTGCATCGATGTGTAAGAACCGTGAAAAATCGGCGAATCGCAGGATTTGAGGTGTCAAGACTCACTCGTAATTTTCGCACGAAGCAATTTCACCATTCAGATGCCTCTGCTCGTAATACAGATTCTGCAGTTGCAAGTGCAGCGTATCTACCTCGTGTCTTGCATCTGCTGTCTCTTGCTTCGTTCTCCTCACATCCAGGATCGCTTTCCTGTTTAGACCGCGCACGATAGCCAGATCACTGTACAGTTTCTTCCGTTCTGTGTCAAGCTCGCCATCATCGTCCTTGGATTCGGCGATTAGAGCGAGGATTTTCTCGCACTGCTGCCGTGCTTGAGCAGCAGCAGCAAGGACAGCAGTCAATTGTGGGTCGCTGACGATCTCAGAGGATGTCATTTCGTTCTGCGAGCAGTAGTTTGACGCCGCTGTTGCTAATGAGTGAGTGATAATACGTGGTGTGGAAGTTTAATCTTTCCAGACGCTCAATGTGCAAAGGCGAGAGGTCAGATGCTCGAGATCCCTCCACACCAGTCCTTACCCAGACGCAAGAAAGCCATCTGATCCTTCACCACCCGGAAACAAGATGTTATTCCAACACATTGGATTCTACTTTTGAAAAGTCAACTGATAAAATGTTAAAACCAATTTAAAAAAAATTTTATGATCTCTTTGCACATTGAAAACACTCAAAATATACCACTGTTCCAGGGTACGTACTATTTACTACGGACGCGGAATGCATCCAGTTCAACTACGTAGAACCTGCTTGATAAAGATCCACTTCCACACGATATGACTTGGATGAGTATATTCCTTAGTACTTTCATTGCGACCTCTGTATTGCGCGACTATGCTAAGACATGAAGATGGATTTCTTGAATAGCGATATTAAAATCACACAGCTTGACAATCTTTTTTGACTCGTAAACGCTGGATACAGGATTCCATAAAAGAAAATCTTGCGCGCAATACAAAGAAACATGATTAGAATGCAACTCATTGTTGGGAGCCTGGGTGAGTTTACATTTGATATATATCAGAGGCCGAGATCACCTAGATTATCGAGAGAATTTGGTGCAGCAAAGTTGGTGGGATGGAAGATTAGCGCCGTTGAAACGATTTAGGGAAGGGATTAACCTTGGTAAGAAGTAGAGGCCGTGGAGGAGCTTTCTCGCCATGATGGTAAAGGTACAGATATGAACAAGACTAGCAACAGCATCCCATAGCTTTACCCAGCAGAGGCCCTCTTGTGGTAAGAGAATGCATCAGGAAGCACTGTTAAAATTCCATCTCACGAACTGTGTCTTAATGGAATTGTGTTGGCAGTAACTGGGTATCTTCTACATCAATATGTCCTACAAGCTAAACAAGGATACCGCGTCATCTCGCAACCTTTTCAGCATCCCGATCCAAGAGCTCCCGTGCTGCACGAACTTCAGCCTCGTCATAACCGCTTGTCTTGTCCTTGGCAATCCTCACGATCTCTGCTAGTTTCGTCGTGGCCAACTCGTTCAGCTTCTCTACTTTTTCCTTGCTTGGCGCGCCGGTCGTTGGGCCAGTGTTTGGCAGAACCTCGAGCAATTTCTTTGTCGAGAGTTTCAAGCCATAGTAGCCTCGAAGATAATCATCGCAAAGCTCAATGCTACGGCAGTATCTACGCATGGCCTCTGCATATCCACGCGCCGTATCGAGAGCACTGGCGGACTCAGCTTTTGCATTTGTTGATTGATATATTATTTCGGCGAGGCGAGCATGCATCTACAGAAGGGCGTCAGTCTTTGTCCAAGAACTCATTAGAAGGCACACTAGATAGGACCCACGTTCCACGCATTTGGCATTATAAGGAGAACCTCCTCCAGGGCGAAAATGGCCTGCTCATACATATTTTGCTGGACGTACAGACTAGCCAGCTCAGCCCAGGCTTCTGCGTCTGTCGGGTTAAACTCGACCAGATTCACCAGCTGCTGCGTTGCTTCCACCGTGCGGCCCATACTTCTCAGAAGGGCAATCCTCCTTTTCTGAAGGTGAATGTTGGTCGGATCCTGTTCGAGAGCCTCGCCATACTCCTTGAGAACATTAACGAAGTCCTTCTCGTTGCTGATGTGTGCCTCCGCCCACATGCCTTGGTACGCCATCACCCGCTCATTTTTTTCACCGAAGCGAGCAATCAGTTTGTCTAGCAACTTCCGCGCGGACTCGTCGTCTCCGGTCCGGAGACAAGACATGTAGAGGTTCTCAATCGTGGTCCATTGGTCCTGGGATTCAGAGGAGAGAATGAGGGAGAGTGGCCACGGGTAAGATGTCGCTTCTCTGACGAATGAAGGCGCCTTCTGCGATATTGTGAGGGACGTCAAGGGAGAGGGCTTGGGGGGATTGTGTGCCAGATCGACGGCCATGTTGTAGATGTTAATCAAGTTGATGAACGTGGGCGCGCAGCATTCTTCTAACTTCAACTCAATGTCACGGTAGTTCAGTGATTGGGCGAATTCGGAGGAAGCTTGGACAACGAGCTTCTATGCTGCACATCATTGTCTCATTGGTACACAAAGTCTAGATGCGACCACACTTTTTGCTCACGCCCGCTTTTTAACTGCAAAAGTCCTGACAGTAGAAGAGTGACTTACTATGCGGCCACATACTTTGCCCACAAGGCCGATAGACGATTAAAGGTGCTCAGCGTCGTAGCATGTCTGGCGTCCTCGTCACCCGCCGCCGCATCTTCCGATATTCCTAACACCCCTCTACATTGCACGCGACCCCTACCTCCGAGACCACGATGTTCGAAAAATCGCTGTATGATCTTATCCGTGGTCTGCGGAACCACAAGGGCTCCGAGCGCGAGTACATTGCCTCATCTCTGGCAGAATGCCGCAAGGAGATTCGAAGTCAGGACATGAACCTCAAAGCAACTGCACTCCTCAAACTAACGTACCTCGAAATGTTTGGGCATGACATGTCTTGGGCTTCGTTCAACGTGCTGGAGGTCATGTCTTCTCCCAACTACGCGCAGAAGAAGATCGGATACTTAGGCGCCATGCAGAGTTATCGCCCGGATACGGAGGTGCTTATGTTAGCGGAAAATCTGTTGAAAAAGGATTTGACGGCCCAGAATCCAGTGGTTATTACTCTCCCGCTGGCTGCGATCCCCCATGTGGTTAATCCGTCCATGGCAAACTCACTTCTTGGAGACCTATTGCCACGGCTCACCCACAGCCAACCAGGCATTCGCAAAAAGACTATTGTGACGCTGTACCGACTGGCGCTTGTCTACCCAGAAACACTGAGACCAGCATGGCCAAAAATCAAGGAGCGACTTCAGGACGAAAATGAGGATCCCAGTGTCACAAGCGCAATTGTAAATGTGGTATGCGAACTTGGGTGGAGACGCCCGCAGGATTTTCTGCCTCTTGCACCAAGATTATTTGATTTGCTGGTTGAGGGGCAAAACAATTGGATGGCTATCAAGATCATTAAACTGGTAGGAAATGGCAGTTCCTACTTTTTGTCTGCGTGTACTAATCATGTGCCTAGTTCGCAACATTAACACCTATAGAACCTCGCTTGATCAAGAAATTGCTACCTCCTCTTACAAACATAATGAAAACGACACCCGCGATGTCTCTTCTGTATGAATGCATTCATGGAATTGTGCAAGGTGGCATCCTCGAAAGCGTTGAGGGAACTGCAGAGGGCGACGAGCTTGCCCGCCTTTGTGTTGGCAAATTGCGCAGCATGCTTACCGTAGAGGGTGACCCAAACCTGAAATATGTTGCACTTCTTGTTTTTCAGCGCATCGTCACGTCACACCCTTACCTTGTTTCATTGCATCAAGATGTGATCTTGCAATGCATTGACGATCCAGATATCTCGATACGCATGCGCGCTTTGGATCTAGCCGTTGGAATGGTCAACGCTGATAACCTTCAGTTGATTGTTGACAGGCTAGTTGCACAATTATTACACGCGCCTTTTGCGCGTGCTGAAGACGATGCTAGTTACGACCGAGGATTTCATGGTGGCGTGGAGCCACGCGCCGATTCGGATGATGAGGATGCTGGAGAGTCTCTCCGCGGACAAGAAGAGAGAGTTGATGAAGCAGTCGCGCTACCTGAGGATTACCGCATTAACGCTATTCGCAGTATACTGAGGATCTGTTCACAGGACACCTATGCGAATGTTTCCGACTTCGAATGGTATATTGAGGTCCTGGTCAAGTTGGTGAAAGCGTGTCCATCGTCGTCATCGGGAGCAAGCGGTTCGACTTCGGATAGTGACGATATTTCTCTTGCCATTGGGGAGGAATTACGAAATGTTGCCGTCCGAGTTAAGAGCCTAAGACCGGAAGCTACATTAGCAGCGCAATCACTTCTCATGATTGACACGCGGGCGATCTATTTTCCGCCAAGTGGAAATGGCGGCCTGGGTGTCCTAGGCCCCTGTGCGTGGATCGCAGGAGAATATTCTGAGCATTTGACCAACGCTGAGGGTGTTTTAAACTCATTGATACACGAATCAAGTTCCCAACTAGCAGCAAGCACCTTAGCCGTGTACGTACACGCTGCGCTCAAAGTACTAGCAGCTATATGCAAGTCATTTGAGTCGAGGTGGAGCGCATCGCATCGAAGCAGCGTGAATCTACTTATGGCTCGTGTCGTTCATTTTCTGGAGCCCTTGGCTCGACATCCTGCACTAGACGTGCAGGAAAGAGCAGTGGAATATTTAGAGCTCTTAAGGCTCGTGCTGGAAGCTGTTTCACAGAACATGTCCGATATCAACCCCCCTCTGCTGCTTACACAGGCTATACCTCAACTGTTTTCTGGAATGGAACTCAATCCTGTTGCACCAGTTGCATTGAAGAAAGTTCCTGTTCCAGAATATCTGAACCTTGACGCACCCATAAACGCCAATTTGCAGAGGATCCTGCATGACGCAGACAATGATTACCCAGGAGCTGTTATGGTTGACGCGGACTTTGATGCGTTCTACAACCATCGCTTGGAAGTCCATTCCACTTTTAGGACTGCAGCAGAACGACTGGATTCCGTGCTTGCCCCATACGAAGCTGCTGAATCCTATCAGCAAAGTTCTGCCTCCGATCAGCTCGAAGCTGCTGAGCAAGCCTCGCGACTTAGAGAACGGCGAGAGAGAAATAGAGATGATCCATTTTACATTGGAGATGCCGGAAACGACTCTCCCGCTGCTGCAAGTTTACGAAATATAATCAAATCGAGCAACATGGACGATGATTTGGATATCGATTCAATACCTATCATGGACCTCTCTCTAGACGCCACAGGAAGCGGGGGCTCTGGTGCTAGGACGCCAGTTGGTTTTCACGAGCTGGAGCAACAAAGGAAGAAGGTGCCTAGAAAGAAAGTTGAGATCGTCCTGGATGAAAACATTGATTCCTCCGAGAGCACACTGTCATCATCACTAGGAGCTCCGCGAATTAGTGTGTCGAAGAGTAAAAAATCACTGCTGCACGTAGACTCCAGTGGTCTCGCATCTCTCAGCCTCGAAGAGAGTGCGAATGGCAGGAGCTCTAAATTAGATATCGAGCAGCGTGAGGAAGAAGAGCGTGCACTCCGCGAGGTTGAGAGGCTGCGATTGGAGATGCAACGCGCGAGCGAGAGAATTCAAGCGAAAGAGGAAGCTGTGGTTGTGAAAAAGAAGCGAAAGAAGAAGCCTGTGCTACTGGCCGATGAAGGGCAAGTTGTGGAAGAGAAATTGGAAGGAGGAACTGTTAAGAGGAAAAAGAAAAAGAAAAAGGAGAGCGAAACAGGAGAAGTTCAAGACATCGCCAATGGAGAAGCTGAAGCAGATGCGGCGGCGACAAAGAAGAAAGTGAAAAAGAAGAGGGTCGCAAAGATTGAGGAATCCGACGTAGCGGCAACCTGACGAGCCGTTGCCGCCTCAAATTCAATTGCAACGAGCACCTTTACGACGCCCGCTACTTTGTTTCCACCTAAAGAGAAGTATAGTGGCCAACATCTACTCTTTCTTGCAGCACGTCCGTGTTGTTGCAGACCAGAGCTTAACTTTTGTTGCATTCACAACTACGAGCCTGAGCGGGACCTAAAACTGCACGTAATTGCACTATAAGTTCAGTCGAGCGCACCTGAATAAAGTACATTTGTCGCATTGCGCCGAGAGAGTTGTGAGAAACATGTCGCTCAATTACGGGCTGAGGATATATACAGTATTCGCACATATTTGATTCACTAGCTGAGTTTGTAGCTACCATCGTCTCAGTCCAGACCTTTGGACGCGTTATCCTTTTGGGAGACACAGTATCGTGTAGGAAACTTCCAAACAGTATGCTTGATGCAAAATGACTGCCTAGCCATTGGAGGCTGCATCCACGATACTTCGATATGGATAATTGCTGGATGAGACACTCTGTTGTGTTCTGATGGCCGCAAATGGCGTACGAACGCCTTTGTCCTGTGAAACTCAAGTCTCACTAGCTTTTCCACGGATGCTGAAAGTAGCCAGGTACAAATTCGGTCATGAAAATGTTCGATATTCAGGTAGCCAGGCACAGCGCTCGGATCAAAAACACCAGGAGTATTTGATCCTTTTCAATGGAGAAATCATTACCGCTTCATGAGAGCGAGTAACAGCTACAGCCCATCTTGAAGATAGCAACCCATACGGAATGCATCTTGCGGCATTTCTGACAGCGAAGTTTGAATACGGTGCGAAGTTGCAAAACCTGTTCACATAAGTGAAAAATAAGAGGGAAAAATGGCAGGATGGCCGGTCCGAAGTCGATAGCCTATAAACTTGTTTGAGGCTGCAGTGCAGGAGAATGAAATACACCTGTAAATGCAATTGATAAAACCAGGTTACTTCACACAGTTGAACTGGTCTCGTGCTTTCATATCCAAAATCTATAGTCCAACGATATCTGCACAATTGAGACCACTTTCAACAGTATATCTGCAGCAAGAGAACTTGCGACCGTCTCTCCAATCGTTGCATGAAAAGACCTTGGATGTGTGCTATACGGAACTCCTCAATGCTGCTTTCCTGGATCGTTATCTTGGAATAGCAGCTTTTCTCATCCCGCTACGACATTGAATTTGCACCGTCTCTCTTCCGACTTGTTCAATGATTGTTAGTCTATGCTGCATGAACTAGACATTGACTTCCAAGACCGCCTTTCCTCCTTAATCATCCAGAAATTTACACGATGTGAATGAGGTTGGTTTCGGGCTTGTACTGAACGATCGTTTCCTCAAGGGACATTTTAAGAATCAAGTCCACATTGAGCCTTCAGCCCGCTCCACTGAAAGCTTAATACTTAGTTTCATCAGAAGGAATTCGAGTTTGTTGGACTGGTCTTGGATCTGCGAGAGTTCCTTTGGGGGGGAGTGCTTGAGCGACACGCAAGCCAATGTACGGCTGATAATTGTTCGGCAATCTCTTCTTGCCTCCCAGGCGCAGTTTCCAGAACCCAAATTTCCACCATCGATGGTACGTGGCAATTCCTCCCTTGACCTCCAGCCCGTTGATATCCCATTTTCCCAACCACTTGCCTTCCACAATTCCTTCGAGTATGAGGGTGGCTTGGTGTAAGACATCTGAAGAGACATCGGTGGAGCTCTGCGCAAACTTCTGCAATTGCACTTCAACCTGTTCGGCTACCCACGCGGCGGTTGTACCGGTAGGAAGTGACACAAGGAAGGTGAGAGCATCGAATTCGTTAATTACGTCTCCCCAAAGGATGTCCCAGCCACCGGCCGCAATTTCTTGTTGAACCTGTTCGCGATCGCTAAAGACGGTCATGCTGCTGCTCTCGAGGGACAGAAAGTCAAAGATGTATCGAATCGCAGAGGATCTCTCGCATAAACGTGGGAGTATTTATGAGAATCATCATGAAAAACAGACGGTTTCCCGTCGTTAAGAGACTATTTAATTCAAGCATTCTCTGCAGCAAGCTTTGGAAGTCCATGGGGAAGGAAATCACTCATGACTGGAGCGCGTGAAAAGCAGAAGGCCTTGTCATGGAATCGGAATGTTGAACATGACTTGTATCGCTTGAATACCGAGTCTTAGCTTCGTGATCGAAGGAGAGATCCGAGACGATGTCTTGCCTTGAGTATTGTGACCCAAAGTGTCACATCTGAGAAGCCAGATCTTGTGACCTGCGACCACGTCTCACGTGCACGCTTTCATCCACATTTCCGCTCTCTCTCCGCACTGGAAGCATCCGCTCCTCTTGTTGCGATTTTAATCCAGCCAAGATCCTCATTTATTTCTATCTAGCTTAATGCTGGAGTGCGATCTTAGACTGGGTCGCGGTCCGAACATGGATACAATGCAACGTCCCCTGGAAGGGTCCGGGACGCTGGCTGCGAATCCTCAGCACAAAGGAACTTGGATCTGTAAACTAAGCAACGAACCACTGGTGCTATCCATTTCTGTCTCTGTATTCCGGTGCATCCAATACTATCTGAAAGGAATGTTCAGCAACCGTGATCTACGGTGGAGCTGGTTGAGCAGGCGTCACATCTGAAGCCAGGGAGAGCGAAGTTGCAAGCAAATGCGGTGCCGCTTGGAGCTGCTCAATAAATATCCAAGTCCAAACCAAAGACAGTTGTCTATAACCTTTTCCTAATAGGTCTGTTTCTAACGTATAGGAACTTTCAGTTGTTGCGTGAGAAGCCCTGGCTCTGTGAGGGCTTGGATGATGCCGCCGGGCAAATTTGACACTGTACATCCAGGTGATCAAGATGTTTTGTGAACTTCACTGCGACCCTTTGTTTTCCGTGGTACTATCCCATCTCCGGTACCGTTGGTTATTTGCAAATGTCATTATTGGGGAGCAATATTGCATTCTTGCGACACGCGGCTGGGCTCGATCACCCGTCGACCACGACAATCTATAGTTCGCTCCCCAAAAAGCGTCAAGAATGGCGATAACTTACAGTCTGGAGCGTATCAAAGCCAAATAGCAAAGTGTTACTGCGTTTGGGCCGAGATAACTTATATACACTGACAGAGCGCGCCTCTTCTCTCACTATGCTTAAGTGGGCAATTTGCGGCTCCTACTTGGAGTGAAGGGAAGATTTAGTTTCGTTGCCGTTTACCAGCCAACTCAAAATGTCAGGGTGTCGAAGCAAGCCTATGAACCGTTTCCTCCGGAATCCTGCAGTGATTTAGTCTGGCGAGGAACATGCTTCGTGCAACTCCATGTCAGCTACGGCAATGAACACACCCGTGCTGAATTTGACGCGTGGAGTTGAGTGTCACAGCTTCATATTCCTGACAACTACGGGTTCTCGCAACATAGGCCGCCAGCCACTGCCGCGGCGTGCTGCGTGCACACGAAAACGCCTAGCCCTGGCGGAGTACCTGGATAAACCCTCCAGATTCCTACTCAAAACGGACCTCCTTGGATCATTTTAACGAAGCTATGTTGAGATAAGAGTGGAAGAAGCGGGCTCAGCTCCCAAGGAGGGACCCAGCAGGTACAGGTGGGAAGACTGAATATAGAGGCAATGAACGTGATGAGGAGCACACGTCCCGGAAGACCCAATGCTTGAACGGGTACCCAGTCAAAGTATAATACAGCTGATGAATCACTCTATACAGGGTGAGTACCCTCCCGGGCTGAGAAGTAGGGTCCATCCAAGGCCCTGCGGTTCTGTGGCTTATGCAGGGTGAGGTACAGTGATCACGTATTTGAGTGATTTACAAGGACATATCCAGGTATAGGATAGAGGTAACGCCTAACGGCAAAGCCTTGATTCGCCTCAACCTGAAAACCTCACCCTCCTCCCCCAAAATACAGACACGCCCCTGCGCGGTGGCGCGGGTGGGTTGGTGGGCGCCGTCCAGATGTTAATACCTGCCCTTTTGAAGTAGCGACCTTGCAAATAGATCTTGGCGCTAGCCAGGTAGCTGAAAAAGGCTTAATCCAGAATTCAAAAGAAAAGAGGTACAAATCTTCTGGACTTCTTGCAAAATTGACGCATGTTAGCAGATACTGAAAACTAAATTCCCATAGTTAACACCAGAAGTTGGCTGACGAGGGAGAAGCGATGTGCATTATAGTTCAATAAACAAGGACGACTATGTTATCTGGAATAATTAATGCACTGATCCAGGCAAAGTATGACTTCTCGGCCCGACTTTGGCCAAATACACTTATAAACGCATGGGGCGACTGCCTCCCCCCTTTGTATTTGGTTACAAGTTTCGTTAGCCTGAGTCGGACCTAGTAGTCAAACTGTGCGCGGATTGGCATAATGATTCAAAGTATTTCAAACAGTATACCACAGTACACGGTAATTCTTTCTTATTTGCTGAACTACTCTGCACATCCTCCCCCCTCCCCCCCTCTCCTCCCTTACCCTCCCCAGCTAGCTTCTAGTGTTGATTGCGAGAATTTAAGTTTCACTATCTATTAGCTTGTGTTTTTTTTGTATGGAGTCTAGAAGTTTCTTGTCTCAAATTCTTTATGAATGAGTGAGGGATTGGCTACTGCATGATATGACGCTTGCGTTCTCCTTTGAACATTTGAACTGTTATCCATAATGATAAGAACCTGAAACATCGCTCAGAGCTAACCTACGTTGTAATTCACAATCATTTTTATACACTAGCTGCTGCTGATATATCCTATTAGCTCTCCAAATGGTCAGCACCTCGTACCTGGTGTTATCTATTTTGCTGGTGCTCATACAGAGCATATGGGCTCAAAATCTAACCCAGCTGTCCACGCTACCTGAATGTGCAGTAAGTGCTAATATTCTATCACATTATTCTTCATTGCTTGTATTCTTTTAAAATATGTGCTTATTCCCTCCAGTCTATCTGCTTGCAATCTGAAGTTGTCAGATTAACTTGTGACACTACTGATTTCGCTTGTATCTGCTCCAATCCCCAATCAATAGGTGACATCAGTAGCTGTATAAGCAACAGCTGTTCAGTCAGAGAAGCTTTAAGTAAGAAATTTACCTTTCTTCATATTTTTACTATACTCTGACCACGGTATAAAGCCAGCCAGTCAAAAATATTCGCCTTTTGCAAAGTCCCGATAAGAAATCTTGGTCCCACGATTAATGGCATTGCTGCAGGACTTGGAAGTGCAGCGTTTGTCTTTATTCTCACCAGACTCGCGACAAGGCTTCATTATTCAGAAGGTGGGCTAGGCTGGGATGACATAGCTATCATATTGCCTCTGGTACGTATCTTAAAGATGGATCACTATTGCAGGCTCTTTCTAATTTCGGTATAGATTTTGTTATTTCCGCAGACGGCTGCACAATTCATAAGTAGAGTGTACTACCTAATACACTGAGTATGGTTTAATTGACACGGCGATAGTGACATATAAAGGCTTTGGAAAAGATATATGGGGTGTTTCAGTAGATCATCTGGACTCAATCCTACTGGTATGTCTTATATGCAAATTCGCGCTCAAGACTTCACTGACACTTGAGAGTGGAACTTTGTCTCTGCGATCTTCTATGTTCTCATGGGTTTTGCAACTAAGTTCTCCCTTCTGTTTCTCTATCAGCGTCTATTTCCAATAGGATTTACTCGGATTGCAACCAATACACTCTTAGCAATTTGTACCGTCGGCATACTCTCTTGTCTATTTGCTATCGTCTTTCAATGTTCACCTGTTCGTTTCGCCTGGCAATTTTGGAGTGGAGACCGATCAGGAAAATGTGTGAACACTAATGCACTGGCTTGGAGCGTAGCAGGCATAAATATTGCATTAGATATAGCCATCATCACCACGCCTCTGCACGAGATTTTTCATCTCCAATTATCGACAAAGTCAAAGGTATATCTTATGCTGGTCTTTGGTGTTGGTTTCTTGTAAGTTGGCGATTGCTTATTATCATTCAATCTGCATCATCACTAATCCCAGTATTTAGTGTCACGGTTATGAGTATCATGCGGCTGAGATCACTTATTACATTTTCGAACACGCAGAATTTTACTTGTAGGTTTGAGAAAAGCTTTGGTGAGGCATGTCTGATAATCAACTGGTAGATTATAATGCACCCACAGTACTCTGGAGTTTGATAGAAACTGATGTCGGTCTTATCTGCGTATGTTTGCCAACTATTCGGCCCTTGCTCCGCAGTTTATTCCCAGGCTGTTTCAGGTCTACGCTTGAGCATGCACCTATGTCGAATCTGACAGGTATCAGAGAACAAAATGGAGTTTCAATCCGTTATCAACATAATTACGGGGGGTGTGAATCTGATATTCAGCTGGTTGATTTTTGAGCATTGGCCAGACCTGTTCTAAACCAAGAGAAGACTTTTGTGTGAAAACCTTAGGCTTTGCTAAGTGAGTATTATTAATCCTATTTGTAAGGGGAGTGGGCAGAAATATAAGATAGACAATGTCAAGCGTGCTCAATTCAGCCTATGACAATGAAAGAAGATACCATTCATATAAGATTGTAGATATATTGCGCCGAATGATGAACAGGCAGCAGACCAACTTGACATGGTTCACCATATACTAGTGCTTCGGCAAAATAGCGAGTTACATCTAGCTCCATTAGGGGCAGAATTTCCACGCCGTGTGCTAGAATTGGGCAGTGGTACTGGAATCTGGGCAATGGACATGGGAGATGAATATCCGTCAGCCAGGGTGATCGGAATCGACCTATCACCTACACAGTCAGAGTGTGTGCCACCTATCATTTACTTTGAAGTCGACGATATGGTGTTAGTGCTGTTTGAAGAATCTAGAAACATTCACTAATCCCCAGAAGGGATAGAATTTGGCCGTTAAATCACACATATGAAAGTGAATGAAAGATTTCCTTATGCAAAGGGAAGATTCAGGACGGTCATTCGTTCACACTCCCGAACACATGGTTTCCCGACTGAGTTACAATAGAAAGAATTATGGAAAAATTTTCCGAAAATTTCATTACGTACACGTAACGGTTTTTTACCTCAGCTGGTTCCATTCGAGATTGGCCGAATCTTATACGTCAAACATACGAAAGCCTGAACTCCGGCGGTTGTGCGGAATTTGCAGAATACGACTACGCACCAAAGATTGCCAGACAGCAATTTCGACGAGCGGGACGTCTGGGTCACAAAATAGAATAAGTATCTCATGGTAGATGTCTCCCCGAAACTCGTGCACATGCTCGCTCAGAGCCTTATCTGAAGGACTTTATGCGTGCTGTTGGCTTTCAAGACATCGAAGAAGTAGTTTCCACTTTTCCCTTAGACACATGACTCAAAGACAGGAAATAAAGAGAGATTGGGCGATACGACAAATGTCAACTGGAGGAGAATCTCGAATGGGTCAGTTTTACGCGAAAAGTACCAGCCAAACTTATTCATTTCTGCGGATCTTCGTTTGATTATCGCATACGGCCACCAAGCAGGACCTTCAATCTAGATTTAGTCTATTACTACTCGGATTCCCTGGCTTCCTTTGTATGGTCTCATTGCAAATGTCTCGTACTCAGGAGTTACATCTCGCAAGTCTGTCTCAAATAACTCCATTTGATCGCCAATATGTAGGACAATAGCGGCGAGACACATGTACAACTCGGCGTATGCCAAATTCATCCCGAGACAATTCCTCGTGCCCCTAGAAAAAGTTAAGATATACTTTTCCATATCTCTTCTCCGCCTGCCTTGATCATCCAGCCACCTCTCAGGCATAAATGCGTGGGGATTGGGGAATAGCCTTTCGTTCATATGAATGTAAATTGAGGTCATAGAGACAACGAAACCGGGAGGAATAACATATTCGACAGGTTTCCCATTTTGCGTTGACCGCATCACTGTCGCTTCATTAGGAAACACGCGAGGCAGTCTGGTCACCGGGCCAAATGAGTGCCTCAATGTTTCCATAATCACGGCACTAAAGTATGGCAAGGCTTCGAGTCTTGCCAGAGAAGGCAACTTCTCATCCCGGGCTTCGCTCAAAAGTTCCGCTCGCATCTTGCGCATGATGCTTCGATCGTTGTATATATAGAATGTACACAACGATAGATTCCACGCAGTAGTCTCCGTTCCCGCGGAGACAAGTCCCTCGGCCTCTAGCCAGAGCCTATCAAAGCTCTTTTCCGAATCTGGCAAGCTCGATTGCAGCAACTCGTCGACGACGTTGTAGTATCCCTTTGGTTGTTTCTCTGAGCTCCTGCGAGCCTGGGCTTCCGCGGTAGCATCTTTGCATGTCTGCTTCTGTCAGTACGCCATTTGATCAGTGCAGAGGGAGCAGAAATCTCACTTGTTCGAGAGCCAACCACTCCGCCATTCCCGGATTCATCTTCAGTAATCGTTCTCTGATAGCATGGTCAGCAGTCCCACTTGTGTGATTATGTCGGGTCTTACTGTGGAATCCATGTCATCACAATCGAAAGCCAAGGAAATATTCGTAGGATATGGAGCATTTGACCGTAGCCATCATTCGCGGCTTGAAGATTTGGCAAGAAGCGATCTCTATCCAGGAGATGAAAGCTTTTTCCAAAGCTGTACTCTGTAATAACATCTGTTGCAAAGCTCGAATAAGCTGCAGAGATCGTGATGGGTCCTGATTTGCGGTAATCCAGTAGACGTCGTGCAAGCTTCTCACTCGTTTCTCTAATGTAACGCTCGAATTTTGAAACTGCGGCCTTCGAGAAGTAACGGCTCAGAGCGTTTCGACGCATCCGATGCTCGTCATGTGCAATCGAAAAAAACGAGGTCTGCCAAATCACTCAGCATTCACGAGGTACATGGAGAGCGTCAACCGGGCGTACACCTTGTAACAATGTACTTCAACCAGTCAGTTCCGTCCCTCGTCTCTGGCTCCATTTGTATATAAGCTTACCCGAATTGACCGTATAGATATGGATCTTTGTTTACTTTCTTCCACCCTCCAGGATAAACTACATCAATCAATTCAGGATCCGCAACGTGAACTTCATTTGGATTAATGCGGACGATAGGTCCTGATAACGTGAGTACACTGTTAATCAAATGTCACGACGAGTGCAAGCCGAACCATATTTCTTGTGAAGCTTCCCAATTTGCTTGAAGAACTGCTGTTTATGATAAATGTCAAAATAGCGCTCGTAGTACCAAGTTATTGCCGCTAATTTTGGTCCGGGAACTTTTGCCAGCGGATGAAGTAGCAAACGGTACAAAGCTGTGACAATGCTTCGCAGAACGAGCAGTGTTGTCACAGCGCCGATTAAATTGCCTAATGGGAGTATCATTGTTGCTAAAGCGGGCGTCGAAAGTTCATCATACAACAATCTGTAAGATGGTCTTGGTGGGAAACGAATACAATGCGAGTATGCCTCTTTTGCAGGGCTCGTAAAAGCCGGGCTCGGTTATAGGAGTCCGCGCAACGAGTTTCCCTGCTTTTGCATGGGCGTAAGGGGATCTTGCTGCGATGGCAGTGATGAGCATTAGGCGAAAACGGGCCGCCCTTCCACGGGGCGCTTGTCCCGATTGCACTTGACTGAATTAGGACCTGATTGCCTTCTCAACTGCAAAGGTGCAAGCATGATAAAGCTCGTCTCGCTGAAGTAGACCTCTGTGATGTTTCATGCCTAGACAGCTAGTACGACCCTGGTACGATTTAACTTCTCGAGATAACACAGCTCTTTACGTCTGAGAGACGGCAATCTCTAGTCATGAACAATCTACGCAGACGGTGTAACTTCTGTGTCCTACGCTGGATCGACATGTGCTTCTGGATTTCTCATGCGGGCCCTCATGTCTATGTAGCTATACGTAACTTGGGCTCTTGTAACCGCCAGACTCGTCGTTGCAATTTTGCTGGCGGCTTGGGAAATTCTAAAAGCACACAAACACTGACACGTCGAAATTGCAATCCTACGTGTGGAGAACTCCCGGCGAGGCAGTCACTATTTGACCATTATCTGGATTTGTTACGGACGTTCAGAAAAGAATCGTTGTCGGGTAAGTTCGTTAGATCTAGTGCAGTGACGATTGCTAAGGGGTGTCGTAGCAGCTCTTATGCTTATATGCGCTTGCAGTACCGGCTTATATCATGAAGAGTCGACAACCTTAAACGTGAGCCTAAGTTTTTGCCCTCAAAAAACCCGAACATCTGCATTTGCAGGAATGAAGATTGCTGTTTATTCTTCATCGAGACACTTGTGGAAGACAAAACTATGGTTAAGCATTAGCAGGCTGTCTGAGGTGAGCAAAGAGATACAGCCAATCAAACGCTTGCGATGTCGAATTCTGCCACTAGTCCCGAAGAAGCAATCGCCGGAATCACGTATCAAGCGGCGACGTAAGTGGCGCATCGAGCTACTGTAATGTCAAAACAGCTCGCAAAATGCACGTCGTTCCCACATAGACCCGTCTTAGTTACCCGGCGCATTAAGACCAACTGCAGATCAAGATCGGCAGTTAATAATGTGAGCTGAACGTTGGACTATGGCCGGACATAGAGCAGGCTCCGCTCTGCGGCACACTCTCAGGCCGCACATTCAGCTGCCCACGTCTTCTCGGGTTGCTTGGCAACCATGCTCAGCAAGAACTTTCTTTGGCCTTGGAGAACTCGCAGGTGTTATTGCGAATCCTGCGGAGACGTTGCGTCAGTTGAACGAGACGAAGGAAATGCTCAGAAAGGCCAAGGAAGATATTGAACTTGCGCGAGAGGCGAAACAAATCCCCAAGAAGCACACCTTCTCGAAACTGCCTGGATTCCATGGACGTCAACCTGAACAAGCTCTCTTGCGCAAGATTCTGTCGTCGCAGCCAAAAATGACGACCATCTTTGGCGCGACTTCTGTTGGCAAGACTGCCCTGCTGAGAGAGGTGCTTGCGACCGATGACTACTTCGTGGTTAAGTTTGATCTGCGGATCAGCGGGTTTGCTGACCTTAGGACACTCTATCTTGCTCTTTGTGAGCAGTTTCAAACTTTTTTCAACGAGGTCGGTGAGCCGTGTGTGGTGTCTGGAGCCGTGACTAACGTGTCCAGATGCAAGACGAAGAAATGGGCAAACAGGCATTGACATTCAAGCATCTCATTCTGGCTCTAGAAGAGAAAGAAGGTTCCAAATTCGGCTACACGGTCACTGTCGCGGATCTGGCAAGTCTTATGGAGCGGGTTCAGAGTGCCCTCCTGCAGTATTGGGAGTACGATCCAGAAGCGGCTACGGCCGAAAGTGAATCTTCCTTGGAAGATCCAGACGCGAAGAATAGGCCTGCTGAGCGTCTAGTAGAGCCTCCAGATGGCACAGAGAAATTTGGCTACAAAAGTCAAGCCGGCAATACGGTGTTCAAGAAGCGACCGATCGTCTTCCTGTTTGATGAGGCACACAAACTCCCAGCGCTCGTTAACGACCAATTATCGCTCAAAGTATTCCTCGACACGCTTTTGGTATTGACAAAGCAGGATAGGCTTTGCCATGTCCTTTTTTGCACCTCAGACCCCTTTTTCCAGCATTTCCTCCGGTCGATGAATGTGGGGCACCATTCGCAGATCATCACAATCGGCGATTGCAGTCGTGAAGAAACTTTATCGTACTTCTTGGATCAGATGCTAAGATCTGTACCACAGCACTTGGCCTCGAAGTTGATGATGAGTTTTGACGAGATTTGGGATGCATTTGGTGGAAAGTTGAGCCAAATTAATGATTACGTTGCCTCCTGGGTGCACGCAAACGGCGAGCTGACGCCTTATAAATCCGCAATCTTCATTCAAGCATATACACTGTTGCAGTTCCATCTAACGCGGACAAACTTTGAGACTTTCTCACCTCTTTCCATGGCGACGGCTGGAACGGATACGAGCGATGATATAGCACGCTTCCAGCCGTCAGACCTACTACGAGTCATGCGCAAGCTCACCCAGCCTCCGTACAGCATCCCGTATTTTACGCTTTGTCGCATGATCGGCACGGAACAAGTGGACAGCATGATCAAGTCGCGCGTATTAGAGGTGCGGTGGACAAGGACGGTGACGCCAGAGGAAGGTTGGGTTGAAAGACAATGGAGTGAAGATGGGGTAGAAAGGCCAGTCGTGTTGCCTATGACGAGAATCATTAGGAAGGCCATGGAAGTTGTCTTAAAAGAACACGATCAACTTCAACGGGAACCGGGTCCGTCCGAAAAAGAGTAGGAACGGAAGAAGTAGAATGCAGAGTTGACTCGATTTTATCGGTCAACCCCTCCTCAGCAGATCTATGGAGCTGCTAAGGTCTCAGTCTCGCTATAAGAGATGCCAGTGGCCGGCCCAATTTCAGTATCTTGATTGAACGATCCTGATGTCATTCGCCATTTTAAACAAGGGTTGGGAAGCACATTTTGTTGCGGCCCTCGCGACATTCCAAGCAAATAGCAAACGATATTTTATTACTTCAAATACCAATATTTCTGCTCCCTTAAACCAGCGAGCACAGATCTACATGTATTTAATGATCAATGTTCACCTGAGAATTGGAATTCACCTCAGTTTAATCGCCCTTCGTTCAATTCTGTGGCTCATTTCGCCCAAGAAAGATGTCTTGAGCCGGTAGCTTTTTAAGATACAAATGGCGCGCGTGGCTATAGTACGCGGACGATTTCCATAGTCTAGACTCTAACAGAGATGCCTGGCCTCGAACACAGAGCCTTTGATCTATATGGTTCGCATGAAAACCCTGCATGCTGTCCTGAGCTGGATTTCGACCCGAACTTGTGTTAACCCAAACAAAGACATGTTTTGAACGACCTTCTCTAGTTGACCCCACAAAATATGTCCAAAATTCTCTCTGTTGTTTACCACTTCGTTCAGGAAGAACAATTGGAGGGATCTTTGCTGTCAAGCTTCGTTGCTTTCCTATGCAGCATTGAGATGACATATCAGAAAGACTTCTTTTAGGACTCGCTCAGAAGAATGCATGCTTTGAAGCGGCGATTCGGTTACTTCTTGGTGCGCAGCGGCCCAGTGGGAAAGTTTTGTGCAAAATGGCATACCATTAATGCCCCAGCTGTGAAAGCACTCTCGCAGAGGGTAGATGAGACTGCAAAAGACATGGACCGCTTGAGATGTGACCGGCTGAGGTCAAAATGTCTCGCTTGAGACGTGTGGAATTGGCACCTCGTGTTTCTCAGATGGTTCAAGTTGAGCTACCGCTGCTCCGCCTCCTACCCCATCTCCGACTTTGAGACGAGGTAATCCTAACTTTCTTCCGTAGAGGGGTATCCTCAGGCTCAGGCGAGGAAGAATAAAAGCATTTGTATGAGTCTCTATCTGAGCTCCTTCGCTTGCGGCAACTGGGTGAACAACAAGAACTTGGGGGTGTGTATATGGTCATTGCCTCAAGAGCTTCGAGACGTTCGGTGATCAGCTTTGTTCCACGTTTAATGGTGAAGTCAATAGCATTGCGAATGCACGTGACAATTGAACTTAAGCCAATCGCTTCTTGCAGGTTCAGTGTCCAGGACTTGAATAGACGGCCGTATACCGAGACAGTACCATTTGCGCCAGGCACCATCCAAAAATGAGAGACAGCACAGGTCTGGGTGGTAATGGATATTGTGCAGACTAGAGATTTGTAGAACAGTTCGCCCTCTGCATTCGTATCTTCCCATAAACGTAAGAGCTGGTGAAGCATAACAGCAGCATTGTGTAAGCTTTGCGAGCGACACACGTTCTGACCTCTGTCTCCCTTCGCTTCGACTGTTACAAGCGGGAACGCGAGGCTTGGTAGACACTTAATTGGACGTGCCTTGTGTGCCAGATACGCGAGTGCAGTCTCGTACGCTGAAAATACAGAGGCAGCAAGGCCGATTGTCTGATCTGGCTTGGGAGGAGGGATACGGTACTGTGCAGAAGGAGGGACGCGCAAGCCGCATTCCTTGTCCCATTGCTGATTTGGCACAGTGACAAGTGTTTCGTTGTCCAGGAGGCTATCGATGGGAACAAGCTTTGGCATAACACCCTGCACGACAGCAGCCTCGTTACAGCTATTTCTGAGACGCCGCTGAAAGGAAGCTAGGTATGCCTCATCCGGCTCCGGGCTTGCGCGCGATGCATTGACAGCCGCTTCGAAGTCAGCCAGATCATCTGGGAGGTGTGAGGCATTATCTATGTAGAATGCGCGACGGCGGTGAAGCTCGAGTTCGAAAGAGGGATCGCTGCTGTTTATGAGAGGCAGCTCAGAGAGATTGCGTGCTCGAGAGAACATGGCGCGGGTTAACTGAGCATAAAGGCCGCGTTATTTGCGTCGAGGTGTCATGCACATGAGGCGAAAGGGGAATTGAGGGCGGCATTCTGATAGAGGCTGGGTGATTGACGCGTGAGCGCAAAACGCGATTTGGATGCCTGAGAAGACAGTATGAGGTGTACTGAGAGCAAAGTTCTTGGTGTTGAGGAGATCATGGACGGTTAAAATGCAATGAGAACAGGGACAGGGTGCTAAATACCACCGCTAGGTGGTAACGTAGAGCAACGACCAGTTGTGGCTGGTGACTTTGGGCTTGAGAGCGTGGGGGTCTTAGCAGGAGGCTTTCGGCGCCGAAGATGTTGATGCCTGAATTCATTTTATGGACTCTAAATATAGTAAGATGTTCTCCGCGGAAATCATCCGCGCTTCCGCAAGTCAGGCTGCCACCTAACTTAAGTTAGTTAACTTCCACCAGCTTATTAAGCAGAGTCCTGATTTAAGCCTGAGGCAAACCACTTAAAGTGCTTCAGGGTTAGGGACGCGACGAAAGTCGACGCGTCTTTAGCGCGGATTCCAGCCTCCGCCAATCCATGTCAACCTTCTTGCGCACAATCTCTCACCTGGCTGATCGTAACAACACATATCTACTCAGAACAGAGACTTATCCGCTTCTCAGTCTCCCGTACACCTTTGCAAGCTGTAATTTTGTGCCTTGGTAAGCGCACGTGTAATTGTTAAGCGCCCGTCATGGCGCTCCGCAACATTCGCCCACTGGTGAATTACGCTGATCAGCAAAGTATGCGCAATCTTACTGAATTGCTCAGAAGCAATCGCTAACAGCGCGTAGATGCCCTAGAAGACTTTTTTCGAACATTCAAGTCGTCGTCATCGGAAGCAACCGATGGGCTAGAGGGACTGAATCTCGATGGCGAGCGTGAGGGAGACAGTGACGAGTACGATTTCATGGACGACGTGGCCAATGGCCAAAGAACAAGAGGACCGTCAAAGCTTAAGTACATGAAGCTGCTGCAGGATGTTGCGGATAGGAAAACGTCGCAAATTGTGGTGGAGCTAGATGATTTGGAGGAGGTGCGAGAGCATGAGTTGCAGCATGGTGAGAACGTGAACTAACTGTAAGGCACAGTACGAAAAGACGCTTGGCGATGAAGCTGGTAGTCTCAAGCTTGTGTCTTCCATCGAGAAGAACGCACATCACTACCTTGAGATTCTTTCGAGGGCAGTCGACAAGGTTATGCCCGAACCACAAGTACAGATAACGTAGGGCATGACGACAGTAAGCATTTGACTGTGCTAATGATACTTAGATACAAGGACGATCCGCTAGATGTGCTTATGGCCTTGCGCGCCAAGCGCAACGAGCAAAACAACAAAGCCGCAGAGGCTGGTGTCGACACAGGTCTTTCAATGTTCCCTCCAGAGCTGACGCGCCGATACACCCTCAACATCAAGCCTGTTACACCATCTGCATCAAGTGCAGATAAGAGGACAAAAGCAATGGCTGTGCGCCAGATTCGCGGGCAGCATCTTGGGAACTTAATCACCGTGCGCGGCATCGCTACGCGCGTTTCCGACGTTAAACCGTCTATCAAGGTCAATGCCTACACTTGCGACACGTGCGGTGACGAAATTTATCAACCTGTCTCCAGCAAGCAGTTCACGCCTCTGACCGAGTGTGAGTCTAAACGCTGCAAAGAAAATAACACCAAAGGTTCACTTTTCCTGTCTACACGTGGCTCGAAGTTTCTGCCCTTCCAAGAAGTCAAGATTCAGGAGATGTCTGATCAGGTACCGGTGGGCCACATTCCGCGCATGCTGACCGTGCATTGCCATGGCGCACTGTGCAGACAAATTAACCCCGGCGATGTGGTTGACGTGGCCGGTATATTTCTGCCGACCCCATACACCGGGTTCAAAGCGATCAGGGCCGGTCTGCTCACTGATACCTATCTGGAAGCGCAGTACGTTACCCAGCATAAGAAGCAGTATGACGACATAGTCCTTGCCCCAGCAACAATCCGCCGCATGAACGAACTCATGCACTCGGGACAGTTGTATGAGATGCTAGCGCGTTCAATTGCGCCCGAAATTTTTGGTCATATCGACGTCAAGAAAGCTCTTCTTCTTCAGTTGATTGGAGGTGTTACAAAAGAAATGGGCGACGGCATGCGTATACGCGGCGATATCAATATCTGTCTTATGGGTGATCCTGGTGTTGCTAAGTCCCAGCTTCTTAAGTACATCACCAAGGTGGCTCCACGTGGTGTATATACCACAGGCCGTGGCTCATCTGGTGTCGGTCTTACGGCCGCTGTGATGCGAGACCCTGTTACAGATGAGATGGTTTTAGAAGGAGGCGCTCTTGTCCTCGCAGACAACGGTATGTGCTGCATTGATGAATTCGACAAGATGGATGACAGCGACCGGACTGCTATCCACGAAGTCATGGAGCAGCAAACAATCTCAATTTCAAAAGCCGGTATAACCACGACACTCAACGCACGCACCTCCATTCTGGCAGCTGCCAACCCTCTCTACGGACGGTACAACCCGCGCATCTCTCCGGTTGAGAACATCAACCTTCCCGCAGCACTGCTCTCCCGTTTCGACATCCTTTTCCTGATTCTTGATCAGCCATCTCGTGACTCAGATGAAGAACTGGCACGGCACGTCACTCATGTGCATATTCACAACAAGCACCCCGAGACAGATGGCCAAGTCTTCACGCCTAATGAAGTGCGGCAATGGGTAGCTCGTGCCCGGAGTTTCCGTCCCGTGGTGCCAAAGGACGTTTCGGACTATATTGTTGGCGCTTACGTTCGTATGAGGCAGCAGCAGAAGAAGGACGAGGGCGGGAAGAAAGCGTTCACTCATACGTCGGCCAGAACACTGCTTGGTATTTTGCGTATTGCGCAGGCGCTCGCGAGATTGAGGTTTGCTGATTCCGTCATCACCGAAGATGTGGATGAGGCCCTGCGCTTGGTGGAGGTCAGCAAAGCCAGCTTGTACAACGACGGAAGGCAACGCGGGGATCAGACACCAAGCAGCAAGATTTACAACCTTATTCGCACGATCAAAGATAGCGGAGCATTAGACGCGGGCGACGGTGAATTGGACTTGCGGAGATTGCGTGAGCGTGTTTTGGCGAAGGGATTCACCGCCGACCAGTTCGACGAGGCAATCGACGAGTATTCATTGCTGGATGTGAGCATCTCCACACCCGCGTCGACGAAGAAGACAAGAAAGCTGACCAACGATTCTAGGTGTGGCAAACCGCTGCAGAAGGCACGAGATTGGTGTTCATCGAGGCTGATAACGAGGATATGGATTACGAGTGAATTCGTCCGATCTCCATCGGCGAAGGCATGTCTTGTGGAGAATGGCGTTCTTCGTATGCATCGGATGAGAGCTAGTTTCCGGGTGGCGAGGTCGATAGCCTCCAACGGGCTTGTATGGTTTGCGACATACAGTAATGAACTTTCCCCTAGCGTTTGCGCGCGTAGCTGTTGAACCAGCAGCGTTCTATTGACAATTTTTTTTTCTATTTTTTTTATTTTCGTCTCAACGGAGGTCACGACACGGACGAGATCTGGAATATGGGACCGGCCAACGTCGAAACCATGTCGTCCTGCAACGATCAGCGTGCGGAACAGCTTTTGCAGTGCTTCCTCCGTTTGAAGCAGCGGTGCACGACTGGAAGGATTCCAAAAAGGAGAGAAATGACGTGTTAAAAAAAAAGGGTTGTGAAGCAAAAGCCAGGAGGCAAGTAGCATTTAGCTGAACGTTTAAGATGAGCCGTGTGGCAATGCTGTGGCCATTCTTCGTCCGCGTCAAAAAAAGAGCTGCGCTCCAAAGGGGGTATATCTAAATCAAAATCACGTGCCGTCGTCGCAGTCCCGATGCCACCAAGCGCCAAAGTCGCTATGCAATCCGATCATTGGAAAAAAAAATTGAAAATAAAAGTACGGCCAGTGCAGGAAAAGGGAGATCACAAGTCCGTCTCTTCCATCTGCTGCGGCCACCATCCATCCATGGTCGGCACGCACAAGCCCAGTCTCCAGAAGTAATCTCTGTGGGCAAAAAACAACTGCCAGAGCTTGAACCTGGCCGGTATGGCCCAGAATCCACCCTCGTCGGGAATCGCGATGCAGTGCTTGTCTTCCGGGCCGTCGCAGTGTCTTACGTCGGTCACGTTTGGAGGGAGATCGCGTTTGGCGATGTAGATCTCGCCACTGTGAGGTTTGTAGCCCCACTCGTCGAGCGGGAGAAGCGGAATCGGGTCTGCGGCGTGCGTCACTCTCCGAAACGCTGCGGAGTCCCTAGGAGCCGCCATGTCGTGAGCGCGCCGCGTGAGGTTGAACCGCTCGTCGAGGTATCGCGCCAAGTCCGCGTTTCCGATCCGAGGCTCACCAAACGTCGTGACGGTGGGACGGAGGCCGCGAGCGAGGAGGTCCAGGCCAGCGAGCGCAGCGACGGCGCCACCCAGAGAGTGGCCCACGAGCGTGATGGCGTAGTCTGGGTGATGCTTGAGGGCGTCCAGAATATGAGGGAGGACCACGTCGCGCGTGTTTGCCCACGAGGTATAGAATCCCGTGTGGACCGTGCAGTTGAGACACTTGGGCACATGCGGCTCGGCGTCGGGATCCTCGACGCCAGGATAAGGCGAGTACTCTTGCGGCATGGTTGACAGGTCGGCAATGGTGTTGCTGAGAGAGTAGGTGCCTCGAAATGCTACAACAATCCGCTTCGGGGACGGCGGGTGCGAAAGCGCAATGTACCCGCAGGAGTCGGACAACATCGGGCCCGTGTTCCATGTCTAAAGAAGCAGAGCGGATGCGTGAGTACGAACACTTGTCAAGCGCAGCGCCCGCGCTCCAGCGTGGCGGCGCTGGGGTGGGGGAAGGGGGAAGTGAGGTCGTCGAAGACGAGGGACTTACCGTAACCAGCTCGAAGTTGGGAAAATCGCCGCACCTGCTGGGGCAGGAAAACGGCTTTTGCACGCCCAGCCCGACAGATCCGACGCAGTACGATATGTCCACTATGCGGGCGAGCTCTTCCAGCTCAGCGAAGAGCTCAGGCGAGATGACAGAGGCGGACGCATTCGAGCCAGCGGACAGCGACGCGGCCGAGGACGGTGCAGGGCGACGATTGGAGGACTCGGCTTGGAGGGCGATTTGCGGCTGGGATGCGGTCGCGCTGCTTGACCAAGCAGCTGCCAGCGTGAGTAAGCATGAGACAAGCATGGCCGCTCGAACGTGTGTCTAGGCTTTCGACATAGCAAGGCACGCACGGTCTAGGGAGTAATACGACGGCCGGGAATCCTCGACGTGCTCGGGACGAAGAAAGGAGGATGAGGGACAGGTCGGGCAAGAAAGCGTCGATGGACAGAAGCTGGCGGACGGCGGGGAAGGCAGAGGAACCGACGGGCAAGCAAAGCCCGCAGGCGTGACGACGTAAATGCGGTCACACGATGGTTGGGGACGCAGCGCAGGACGGGGCGGGCACGGGTTTGCGTCCAGCGCCAGCGCCAGCACCAGCAACGTCACAAGCATCAGCACCAGAGCACGCCCGAGCATGAAAACGTCATCGCCTGGCGACTTTCCCCGTGCGCGGGCCAAACGGTTCTCTGCGTGCAGCCTGGCCAATCGCACGCCTGCTTCCTGCGCTTCTGCACGCTGCGTAAGTGATGATGATCCCATCATTCAGCTTCTCGCCTGCATCACGGTGACGGCCGGCTCGCTCACCACCTTGGCTTGCCTGCCCTTCCGCACACCTTCGCCATCTCCACATCCTCATCGACCGCTTTTCGCGCTGCGCCGTGCGCCTCATTTGCATCCTCGCCCCTCGCTCTCGGTTTCCGTCGCATCCGGTGCGGCGTTCGACTCGCGACGCTTCGGGCGAAATCAGGCCTGCAAACCCATCTTGGTGCTGGTCTGCGACGACACCTCAGCCAGGCCGTCTTCCTTTTTTGAATTTTACTTCCTCCCGTCGCAGTGGGCCAACTCGAGTCCGCATCGCAACTATCCACGGCCATTGATGCCAATTGCGTGACTTTCGATAGTTTCCACGACTGGCCTCCGACACTCTGGAACCCGCGGTGGACAGCCCGCGCATGTTGCCGCGACATTGAGTACATGGCACTCTTCCGCACCCAATCGGCGCAGGAGCGTGCGGAGGCGGCCAAGAGAGAGAAGGCTGCGAAAAAGGAGGCAGAGAAGAGGGCCAAGGAGGAGCAGGAACGGCTCGAGGCCGAGCATCCCTCCGCGCGATTCCCGCCCACACAGATCGTCATCAGCGACACCGACTTCGAGCACCCGCCCGCGCTCAACTACACGCTGCGCACCCGCATCAAGAGCCTTGTCTGGTTCTGGACTCTCATCTTCATTGACTGCGTGTGCGTGCCGATCGTGCTGTACTTCTGCCTGTGGAACCTCACCGACCTGAGCCACAATGCCGTCTTCAGCATCAGCACCGGCACGCTCGGCACCGTGTCCATCGTCGAGTACTTCATTCGATTCCGCCGGCTTTGGAGGAAAGGATCAGATTGCCGCGTCATCGGGGCGCGCCGCTGGTATCTCGACTTCTTTCACTGGAACCTGTCCGTCGGCTGGATGGCCGTCATGGTTGAGCTGATCGTGTGAGTCTTTGAGACAAGCCCCTGTCTTGCTGCTGGGTCGAACCTGTTCGAGCTGACGAACTGCGCAGCGGCACAATCCCCGCCGAGCCTCCTATTCGACTTCTAGCCATGCCCGCGACGAGCATGCTGTTCGCGTTTGGCATCCAGATGCTCATCATCGACGTCCTGCGCCTGGCTGGCTACCGCGCTCCCATCCGCATATCGTCGCTACCGCGGGGTACGCCCTTGCGACCCGGAATATACTCCATCATCGAAGACGTGTGCGCCGTCGACGGATCCGGCGGCACAGAATTCAGGCAGAGACTCAACCTGCGCTACATGGCAAGCCATTACTTCCGGCAGATGCTGCACAGATTGACCCTATTCTGGGCATTTGGTGCCCTCGCGGCAGCAAGCGCAACTACGGCTATCATCTTCACCGTGAACAGGGACGCTGCTTACGTGGTATGTGTTGAGTTTCCATTTCGGTTTGGAGACGCGCGCAACGGCAGCCAAACACTTAAAGTTTGGCCATCTTCAATTCCGCTTTTGAGTTCCTGAAATGTCTAGTCTGAATTGCTGCCGTTCGCTAGTTCTTTTTACTTCTTTCCTTTTGATTCAGAACGCCCGAGACTAACACAAAGCTTCGAACAGGTTGGCTGGACCGTACCCTTTGCCTGGGCCGCCGTTTGGGCGGCGATCACGACGAAGTGGGTGCAACTGAGCCTCGCACATGAGCACAGGGTCTGGACAGAAGAGCGCCAGAAAGCCCAAACCGCACCTTAACAACATCTACACAAACCACCCCATCATTCCCGTTACCGATGTGGATAAGATTGAGTTTTTGAGCACAGGGCTTTATTCATCCACTACAGCATAGCATGTTCTTGGGCGTTGGGAAAAATTTGCATTGGGGACGTTTTGCGAGATACCATGATCTGTCGTTGTGCTTTTACGCTTCTCATTCTTCTCGTCGGCGACGGAGGAGGCCACAATCGGAAATCTTGTTCCTCACTACATGTTTCCTGTCGACTGCGGCTTGTGGTTTGGTCAGCCTGCTCATCGCGTTACGGTGACTACGACTGATCGAGCGGCCATGCAGCTACCAAATAGAATTTTTCGAGAGCTCCTACGGACGCCGAACCATCAAATGAAGGCGTGTCTATTATGTTGCTTCATCCCCGTCAATTCCCCTTTCTAGCCGATTGCGACTCTATTTACAGAATAGTCCTGCTTACGGTGTGCATCCTCGCTGACGATGATCTTGAGCCAGGGTCCCGAGGCTGAGATGGAGATCGAGAGCCGATGTCGGCGGAGAGTGACGGATATTTGTCTGCGGCGCTCCGTCTGTAATGTTCGGTGGGCAATTGTACACTCGAACCAGAACAATTCGAGATTTTTGCTCGTCTCGACCATAGAATATGACTTCCTCATTCCCTCCAAAGCCCGTCGATCTCGGTACGTGCCAATCTTGCTTTGCGTGCGAGTCTGGACCTTGACTGAACGCGCTGTGGAGACTCACACTAGCCGTGAGCATCTCACCACCCCCCCAAGCGTGCTAATCAGCTGCCGGGCAACAGAAACCAGTCCGCTCGGCCAAACAGGCAGCTGTTCACATTTCCAAAAAAAAAAAAAAAAAAAAAAAAAAGAAACCTAGATAGAGTGAAAGAGGACGGGAAAGAGATAAGAAAGGCTAACTTGAGTTCCAATTCAGACTGGCCCAACATCGGCTTCCGCGTTCGCGAGGTCAACGGTCACATCGAGTCGCACTACAGCAAGAAGACGGGCACATGGAGCGAACCCGAGTTCGTGACGGACCCGTACCTTCGCATCCATGGCATGGCGCCCGGGTTGAACTATGGGATGCAGTGCTACGAGGGCCTCAAAGCCTTCCGCGACCCGACCGACGAGCGCATCAACATCTTCCGGCCGTCCATGAACGCCGAGCGAATGCAGCACAGCGCAAGCTTCATCAGCATACCCGAGGTACCGGTGGAGCACTTTTTGAAGTGCTGCAGGCTGGCCGTGGGCCTCAACGCGGAGTATGTGCCTCCCCATGCGTCGGGTGCGGCCATGTACATCCGGCCGCTGCTCCTGGGAAGCAGTGCGCAGCTGGGCCTGAACCCGCCGGAAGAGTACACCTTCCTCGTATACGTGCTGCCGACGGGCGTCTATCACGGAACGGCGCCTGTCAAGGCCTTGATCCTGGAGGACTTTGATCGAGCCGCGCCAGAGGGCACGGGCAGCGCCAAGGTCGGCGGCAACTACGCACCCGTCCTCAGGCATAGCGAAAAGGCGTACAAGGAGGGCTACGGCATCACGCTGCACCTGGACAGCAAGACGAGGTCCGAGATCGACGAGTTCTCGACCTCCGGCTTCATCGGCGTCAAGAAGGACGGCGAGAGCTACACCGTCGTCGTTCCGGACAGCAAGAACGTGATCAAGAGCGTCACGTCCGACAGCGTGTGCGAGATCGCCAAGAGCTTCGGCTGGAAGGTGGAGAAGCGAGCGGTAAGTTTTTGTCGCGTGTTGTTCAAAAAATGTATACATATATATATATATATATGCATGCATATATGTATGTGATCTCACACGCGAATCGTCCGCTGACGGGCTGCTTAGATCAAGTACGAGGAGCTCCCTTCCTTCGACGAGGTCATGGCCGCAGGCACGGCGGCGGCGCTCGTGCCCATCAAGTCCATCACGATGCTGTCCAGGAACGACAAGATCGAGTACATTCCCGAGTCAGACCAGACGCCCGGCCCGGTGTGCACAAAGCTGCTCAGCACGCTCAAAGGTATCCAGCAAGGCAAGATCAAGGACGCCTTCGGCTGGCTGGATCTCGTACCGGAGCCAAAGGGATACAAGAGCCGGGAATCGAACGGGGTCAACGGCGGGGGTAGCGTCGATGGCGTGAACACGCTGTGAGCAACGCCGATTACAAGCGAACGGAAGGCATTGTGCATACGGAGGAAACGAAAACGGACATGAAAAACGAAAAGGGAAAAAAAAATTTTTTTAAACTAAAATGAAAATAAATTGCGAAAAAAAAGTTCAAAATGCAGTGGCTACCACCCGCGTTTCGAACGTCGACGTCGAAGCACGGTCCTTCCGTCGTAGTCTAGGCTGCGGTATGTCTCCTGAAATAACCCTTCATTCCACGACTTTTTGCGTGAGCGACGACCTTTATATCAATAAGCCTTTCACGATGGAACAAAAAAAAAGTTGTTGAGGACCCTTCTTTTTTCCCCCCTCACAAATGCAGCCATGCGTCTCCTCAATTCGCTACATACAACGGTCTGCAGTTGCACGTTGCAGTAGACAGGCACTTTGGCGACTTGATCGAATTTCCTTGTTCAGCACCCCGTGTGGCCCTTTCTTTTGCCCGCTAGACCTGTGACCATGATCGTTGTACCATCGTCGCTCTTGATCGTCGAGGGCTAGCCATCCCTGAGAGCAGAAAAGCAGCCGCCTCTGGAGTCTTTCTAAATACAGTTCGGAAGGTATTAGGGGCTAGCCCGCGCTCCATATACCGTTCTGGACAAAGCGGCCATGTTGAAATTATTCTTCAAAAGAGAAAAGAATGCCCTCGCGTCCTCAGTCGTCGAGGTTCTTCTTCTCCTTGGGATCCTCTGCGCATCCGCAGTCGTAGAAGTCTCCTATTTTGCTGCAGTCAAACTCCTCCTTTTTCAGTCTCTTGTTGACTTGGTTATGCACGTGGCATCCCCAAGCCGCGGCGGCGCTTCTCGAGCTCACCTGAGGCGGGTACTTCTCCAGTATCTTTCCAAAGTGGCCCGCGCATTCGCCGCAGGGATAGAGCCGCTGGAAGAGATGTATGTACGTCTTCAGCGCAAGCGACTCGTCCGCCGTAGGCTTGTCCGGGAAACGCGCAAAGGTGGTGTGGAACAGCTTCCAGGCTGCGCGACCGAGCTCGGCCTTGAGCGTCTCGTTGCCCAGCTTGGGGGCGATGGCGTGGCCGTGAAGGTCCGGCTGCTCCTGCAGGAACGAAGGGCCGGAGGCGTCAGATTTGGCGGCGACGACGCGGAGGGAGTCGGAGGGCGCGGCGTTGCGCGAGTGCGTGAGGAACAGGAGCACGATGATGACGAAGGTGAGCGCGGCGACGGAGAGTCCGCGTCGGCTGGACACGGACATGGTGGACGGACAGGAAGCGTGGGATTTGCTTTTTGAGCCTCTGCGCGGGAGAAGCAACGCCTGGCGGAGCGCGATGTCACGCTGGCGAGATGTCAAGCTGAGGGAAAAGAAGCGACGGGAGCAACTCTTTATGTCAGAGAACGCCGTCCTTTAATATCTCCTCACGACGGGGGATGGCAAGTGCGGTGGTGCGATTGCTCTACACGACCGTTTCACAACCCTACCTGCCGCTAGTCTACAATAGGCAAGGCGAGGCTGAACATAAGGCTCCGCACCAACTCGAAGTAACGCTCGACTCCGTCAACAGTGGAGGAGGTTTGTTACGATGTAAAGCCCGCGATGCAGCGAGCGATTTGCACCTCCACGAACACGTCTTTGCTCTTTCGAGCTTTCGCGGACCCACGTCCTCGAACGCTACGGTCGCCTCGACGGATGCTGGCCGTGGTTTTCCCGTTCGTCTGCAGCGTCCACGGCCGGACGGCGACTGACGATACAAACGGCTCGCCACTGTGCACGGCCCTAATCCAGAACGTGTTACCATATTCTATCGAGAAAGAAAATGGGGTGAGAAAATGGAGCAGAAAATCCATCGATACATGACCACCATTCTCCGTCTTTGCTGATTCCAAGCTTGCGCTGGCGAGGCAATTCCTCACACTACCGAGTGAGCTATCGCAATGCATTGGCGCTATCGCTCATTTCCCTCCTTGTTTTCTAGGTGCCCAAAATTTTGTCCCATCCTTTGGTTTTGCCAATAGGGCGAACGTGCTTTTTCCCTAATCGTATAGAGATAGCGTCTGACATTGTGGGCGAAAGCTTGGATCAAACTTTGCGGCTTCTGAGCGGATCACTCAGCACGTCATGAAGCTTTTATGTTGGTCATCTGGCTTTTATTCTGGCTGCGTCCTTCCATGAGATTCTTCTCTAGACCATTAATGCGTACATTTGCGCCTAAGCCTTGAAGATAGGAATCGCGCCGGCGGGGTTTTGGATCACGTATGAAGCCTAGACAAAGATTTGGAGGGCATCTGGTAGAAGAAGACTACAATATCCTTACGAGACATCCCGGGTAATTGACCACTGCCTTGTTGAGCTTCTCGGCAGAGAACAGCAGCGTTGCAAACCTACGCCGCCACGGTGGTCGAGGCCGCTGCAGCTTTGACGCACTTCCTGTTTGGAACCTGCGCGTCGATATCTGATGGTAGGGATTTGGCCAGGGCACTGCACGTCAACAGGGTCACGATGCAGTATTCTTCCAGTGGAGGTCAAGTTCAACTAAGACTACATTTCTGGTATTTTCTTCGATTTATATCGAGGTGGATTATACGAGTTCACTGGCGCCGCGATTCGGCCGTCCGTGAACAGACCATCTCCCTCGTACATTCAAGACTGAAGCTCTGGCAAGAGTCACGAAAGTTGGTGCTTAGTTGGGAGTCGCACACCGGTTGATCTATGAGTTCGACGCCGACAGAGTGTGTTTCATGCACAAGAACTTACGTCGATGGAGAGAAAAAGGGAAGCAGCGCACGCACAACACAGAACCAGGCTTGTGAGTATGATTCGATTTCGACAATCCAGTGTTGGGATGATGACTGGCCCGTGAATTGGCATCTATGACTACATGTAGATTTAGATGCCCTTGTAGCTTCGGCTGATAGGAAGGCAAAGAAAAAGAGATGCTGAGATTAATCAAGTTACGGAGCACAAATCTCTTATTAAGCGGCCCCGCAGGTGGAATGGAGCTAGGGCTCCCTCCCTGCAGACTTGGCTCGGCAGGCATTGCGGGGCAACCGCGTCATGCTCGTTGAACTTTGTACTGTCTTCGTTTCGCCTTGCATTGATGGCTGACAAAGGCAGACGTCGCAGTTAGTCTTAGCCTCGTTTTGTGATACCACAGTGTCTCTGTGCGGCATTTGCACTATTTCTTTGGTTGAGATGTTCTGTCCTGCTTTGAGTTGTTTTCTGTAAATGAGGCCTTTGCAGGCGACCTGGTTCGAAAATGTTTGAAAAGAGCATCGTGTCCTTCCAATCTGGAGAGGGATTTGACCTTTCCAGTGCCGCCGTGGTCATCGATCAAGATGACTTTGAAGGGATCCATATCGCTGCCAAGAATCTTGCTGTCGACTTTGGCAAAGTCACGGGCTACAATGCAAGGCTCGTTGTTCGCGGCGCGTCTTCGTATTCAGCAAGCACCAGCTGCATTTTCATTGGTAGTCTTTCGCGGTCTTCGACGATAAGATCTCTAAAAGATGAAGGCCGCATTGATACCAGCAGAATCGAGAATAAATGGGAATCTTGGATGACGACATGCCTTCCAAATCCTTTCGGCAATTTCAAAGATGCGTTGGTAATCGTTGGGAGCGACAAGAGAGGCGCCATCTACGGCGCTTACACTCTTTCTGAGCAGATTGGAGTCTCACCGTAAGGGTCATCCGAACAATCTCGGTGCTGAATGTTTACAGTACATAGATGGCATTGGTGGGCCGACGTGCCTGTGAAGAAACATTCCTCTATCTACGCCCTTCCAGTCTCAAGTTGGAACGGTGAACCAAGTATCAAATACCGTGGGATTTTCATCAACGACGAGTCGCCCGCCATGGATTCATGGGCGCAGGAGAAATTCGGCCCCGTTTTCAACTCCAGGCTATACGAACATATCTTCGAGCTGCTCCTGAGACTAAAGGCAAATTTTATGTGGCCCGCCATGTGGAGAGGTTATCCTTATCCCGGAAGGTCATTCTTTGTGGATGATCCGGACAACCAGGCTCTAGCCGATCGGTATGGCATCGTTGTTGGAACCTCTCATCACGAGCCAATGCAAAGGGCTATGAATGAATGGTCAACGACTCAGCCTGAAGGTACTTGGAATTGGAAGACGAATAGAAAAAAAATCACGAATTATTTCAAAGAGGGTGTTAAAAGAGCGGTCCCTTATGAGTCGATGCTCACCATGGGTATGAGAGGTGAAGGTGATGGACCAATCAGTGATGATAATCCAATAGAGACACTGACAGACATAATTCGAACACAACGAGAGATCATCAAAGAACATCACGAGCGGGAAGATGGAGTACCTCGTAGGTTGACGAGTTTCGTCGTAGTTCTCTCTTCTGATTCCGCTACCAGAACTTATGGCACTGTATAAGGAAGTGCAGCAGTACTACGATGACGGCCTAGAAATACCAGATGATGTGACCCTTCTCTTTTCGGATGACAACTTTGGATCGCTTCGTCGGTTACCAACGGTAGATGAAGGAAAGAGAACTGGCGGATCTGGCGTGAGTCCGTTCGGCGTATGTGAAAGTGGATGCTGATAAGGCTTGTTAAAAGATCTACTATCATTTCGAGTATACCGGCGGGCCGAGAAGCTATAGATGGATAAACAGCAACACTCTGGTGACACAAACGCGCCATCGTTTCAGATCTCTCATGCACTGACAGGATGCAGGGTAAAGTATGGCAGCAGCTTCAGCTCGCATATTACCGGAATGCCAAGAAAATATGGATATTCAACGTCGGTGATCTCAAACCTATGGAAATCCCTATGAGTTTTGCTTTTGACTTGGCCTGGAACATCCGCTCGATTCGTTCCGACAGTCTATTGGGCTATTTCCAAGCTTTGGCTAGTCGAGAATTCGGTGAGGAATTTGCGAAATGTATCGGACATATTTGGCAAGACTATGATCGGCTTCTGGCTCTCCGTAAACATGAACATATCGTTCCTGAAACATTCAGCCTTCTCGATTACCACGAAGCCGAAAACGTCATTAGCAGATGGGAAAGGCTTTTGAACGAAGCGGAATCCATACATGCAAAATGTACCGACCGCCAGCGACCCTCCATATTCCAATTGGTACTTCATCCAATTAAGGCTTCCTATATCTATACTCTGTTAAGAGTCACTCAGAGTAAAAATCGACTTTACGGAAAACAGCGACGCAATACTACCAATCGGCTTTTCTACAAATGCATTCGCCTTTTCGAAGACGATCACGAACTTTCAGAGCAATATCACAGGTTACTAGGTGGAAAGTGGAATCACATACTTCGACAGCCCCATTACGGTTACACGGGCTGGGAAGGACCTTCAAGAGATATGATTGGTGGGCTCTGCTACGTGCAAACGAGAGCTAACTCTAATCCCAGTGTTGGCCACATGGGCATCGCCGTGGAAGGTACTGAAGGTGTGCATCCGGGTGCGATAAACGAGGATTCCGATCGAACCCATCCATCAAGAGGTAACCTAAGAAGTGGCGTAACCGTCCAGCTTCTCAGTCCCTACGGACCAAAAACTCGATACTTCGAGATCTACCATCGCGGGACGATTCCCTTCTCTTGGCGAGCCAAGCCGCAGTATTCTTGGATTAAACTCGACAAATACGAAGGAGAGCTAAGTCCTGATGACAATGACACCAGAGTGACGATCAGCATCGACTGGGACGATGTTCCCCAGAATCTTTTTGAAACTGCTTATATTGAAGTTATTGGAACGGTGGATGGTTATGAAAAAGTTGTGGTTCCTGTCAGAAAGCAATACGCTCCTGATGACTTCACTGGTTTCGTTGAATCAGCTGGCTACGTCTCCATCGACGCCGGAAATTGGGTTGAGAAGCCTTACATGCTTCTTCCATCGATGGGTCGCCCTCTAGCTGGTTCGGTGACTTTGCCAAACGAGATCAATTTCGGTGACATCGATTCCGTACCCTTTCTAAGGTACAATATCTTTACATTCTCCGAGCATGAAAATGCGGTTCTCGAGCTACAATTCAACATGACTCTAGATACAGACACGACTGGCTTTATGGAATACGATTTTAGATGGGATGGTGGTCAAGTACACACTTTCCGCCTCACAGAAGATGAAGCGGGCGGATTGCCTAAATATTGGGATGAGGCAGTGCAAGACTGTGTTTGGAAAAAGAATCATACCGTTGGACGTGTCAGAAGAGGTGAACATACAATTGAGGTTAAGTTGAAGGCGGCAAACATGTGCTTGGAGAAAGTGGTACTTAATATAGGTGGGCTACGACCAACCTACTTGGGACCATCGGAGAGCCATTTCGTGGAGGGTTTGACAGAACAAATGCTTGACATTGACGGTCGAGACAAGCTGCATATCAACATGACTTTACAAGAAACTTGAATTTCGGTAAAGCACTCTTTCCGTGCTTGGAAAGCAGCAACGTAATACCAACATTCAACCATAGCTGACTATACTTTCATCATCGTCTTTATTTTCTTTACTCTCACCCTTGATATTTCTTCATCAGTTCGGAGACGAACACGTTTATACCTTTCATTTCCACTATTATACAATTGTCGCAGCACAAGTCTGATAATTAGCAGCCTTATGCCTTTGTGGATTGACACAACATATCTTGCTGTTCAAATAGCAAGAGATCATTAGCGAGTTCGGATGCCAATCTCTAATTTCTTCGACAAGATCATGGAGGCAGATGGATGACGTACAAATCACGTGCTCAATTATCCGTTTAGTCTCGGCGAACCTTCGGACGGCGTCACCTTCGGCTTAACTCCGACGACTCCGGGTTAACAGAGCTATCATCATTAAGTCCAGATGTGAATAGGCATCGCTCTCGTTCCCAGAGAAGTAGATTTGCTTACGATATGAAAGAGACACTGCGAGCAACAATGAGCCCACAAGTTGGGTCTATCTTAAATCCCGACCAACAAGCTGAAATAAGATCGTTTGAAGAAGATTGGACAGGTATCACCAGTCCTCAACAGCGGAGAAAATTGCAGAACCGCCTAAATCAAAGGATATGGAGTATGTAGTCCTTGATCGAAAGAATTACGACATCAAGTCTTGAAGTGCTTAGTCTGACTTTTCATTTTCACGAGCCAGGGCGCCGTCATGCTAAAAAGGGCAAGAATGGCAATAAAATAGGCACTGCGTCGGAACTCGATTTCGCACGCAATGGCGTCCAGCAGAATGTGTGCTGTACTTACGGCACTCCGAATGGGGTGAATGCCCTCGTTCGCTTCGAGGCATTTGCGCGGCATCAGAATCGATTAGGTTCACCGCGAACAGATATGTTGCTAACCTTAATCAAGTTCAATGTCTTTCGGGCTCTCATGGATATCAATACTATGCTAGGCTTCAGCCTGGAGTGGCTACGTGAAGACTCCATCTCTCCGTTCTATGAGAATACGAACAACAACACCAGATCTGATTGCCCGGTTACGCTGAGACCGACATTGCTACAGCAAACGGTTGAACACCATCCATGGATTGATTTGATGCCCTTGCCGACCATGCGCGACAATATACTGCGGGTGAACTATTTCGACGACACTCCGCTTTGCCACGATATTGTGGACAATCGGCAGTGCATGGGTGATTGGTCAGGCTTAATCGTGTGGGGCGATCCATGGAACCCATACAATTGGGAGATTACAGAAAGTTTTGCCAAAAATTGGGCATGGGTTCTATATGGATGCTGGGAGCTTTTTGAATCGACGAATATCTGGCGAGCGAAGCGTGGAGAGCCGAAACTGTTTCCAGAGGATATGTGCACTCCCCAGAGATATGAAAACGAAGTTCTAACGCAGCCAACATTCACTACTACTACTACAACTACAAATCACTGAACGAGATACCTATAGGTTCTCTTCGTTCACCAAGACATATCTGTATCTAGCTTTTCCCTTGTCCATATCAACGATGGCCTCATTTGCTCTGGACATTGGACGCTCCTCAATCATTGGACGGACGTTTTTCTCTACGGCAAGTTGAAGCATCTCCCGAATGTCTTGAGGCGATCCAATCAAAGAACCTCCCAATTTTACCCTTCCAAAAATCAAGCTCGGTGCAGGTACTTCGAAGACGCCATCATCAGGGTTGCCCACTTGCACAAGCGTTCCATCCCTCCGAAGTAGACCCAAGTACTTGCCAAGAGGCATCTAGAGTATCTTCATGTTAGCGCAACACCTCCACAGCCTTCTTCAAGGGCGGCTTGCCTTTGATGATGAAATCGTTGAGATTACAATATCGAACGAACGAGAGTGCTTAGATGCCCAGGATGGATCCTCCTCAGTTGAGACGTAAGCGTCAGCTCCTAATTTGAGAGCGTCCGCTGCCTTGTTCGCTTTTCGGGATATGGCGACGACGTAGTCAGCACCCAGAGCCTTGGCCCACATGATAGCAAAATGACCTAGTCCACCAAATCCTACAACGCCGATGCGTTTCCCAGGTCCGCAACCGTAGTGTTTCAATGGGGAATATGTCGTCACGCCGGCGCAAAGCATTGGTGCTGCCTCAGCAGATGGCAAACCATCAGGAATCTTGACAACAAAATGCGACGGCGCTCGGTGGTACAGGGCATAACCACCGTACGACTTGCTGCCGTTCAGATACGTGCCGTCATAGGTACCGACGAAACTGTGTGGGCAGTAGTTTTCCATGTTCGATCTGCACTCCTCGCATGGCTTCTGCAAGCGACCAAGGCAAGAGTCCGACTGGGCTCCAACACCAACACGGTCGCCTACCTTGATGTTACCTTCGACCTTGCTGCCAGCTCGCACGACAATTCCCACAATCTCGTGGCCGACACAGCACGGATAATTTGTTGGACCCTAGGAGCAAGGTCAAATTTCTGCATCATGGCAAAGTAATGTCATGGCATCTTACCCATCCGCTTCGAAGCGTGTGGAGGTCCGAGCCGCATATGCCGCAGTGGGTAATCTTGATATCAACATCTGTTTCCTCCCAGGCTTTTGGCTCGAACTCTCCCCATACCATCTTGCCCTGGTCTGCTGTTTTGTCATAGCCCAGCCAGCCCCTGAAAGTGTAACTTGCCATTTTTTTTTTTAAAAAAAAAAAGATAAATCAAATAAACAAGAAAATAAAACAATTCGTGGCACGTGGTCTCTGAGTTGCTTTTTTCTAGATCAATTCGACGATGGTAGAGAAAAGAGAAAATTCAGCACGATTGATCGCGTAGGAGCTTAAATATATTTCTGAGGCGAAGATAAACATCATAGCCACGAATTCTGTATATTGTGGAGCCACTTTATTGCTCCGATTTTTATTGCCGACAGAAATATCAATGAGATCATTGAGTCCAGCGGTCCAGTCGTCCCGTTGCTAGCAAGAGTTACATTCACACTTTTTGCTCAAACGTCCGACAGCATATCTCATGGTACCTGCATCATTGCTAAGCTCTTATTGGCAAAGAGAACGCACGGACCCATAAGCGAGATGCGTCGGATTTATCCTTTGCCTCGTCCGAAAGGCGATATCTCGTGGGTCATGACAGAGGTCGCTCATGATAGACAGATCAAGCGCAACGTAGATGTGATGATGCACTTCCAAAACTTCGACAAGGTTGTGCTTGAGCTCAGTTGTTCGTGACTCGTCTAACTTGTGTATAAATATGTGATCGTTTCTCTGCCGATGCAAACCATAGATCGCGCGAGTCCCAACTGCCATCTTCACACTGTTCAATGATATCCCCCTTCAGGCTGTTCCACAGATTTTAAGTCCGACATATGTCCTGAAACAATGCCTCAAATGCACTTCGCCCATTCCGCTCGCAGCGGCGCCCCTTCGATCCATGGCAATACGGCGCTGCCCAATTCGTTCTCCGGCAACAACGTTTTCATCGACCCAGTCATTAGGACTGAGGAAATGTCGGTCGTCAACGTCAATTTCGCGCCGTGTGCGCGCACGCATTGGCACACACACGAGGGCGGTCAACTGCTCACAGTCCTTGCAGGATCAGGGTGGATCTGTGACCAGGCGAAGGAGCCAGTGAAGCTCTCGGTTGGCGACGTTGTATGGTGTCCACCTGGGACAACGCACTGGCATGGAGCGGACGATGGAAGCTACATGGTGCACCAAGCTGTTTCTTTTGGCGGGGTTCAGTGGCATGACGCGGTTGGGGATGAGGAGTATAGCAAGAAGAAATCTGTGTAAATCATTCCGCGGCCTGTAGAACTCGGGCGCGCCTAGCTAGGTCAAACGTGGTGCTGTAATGCTTTATCTCCAAGGATATTCCTTTTCCTCTTCGCCCACATCAAAACGTGCATCCGAACGCAGCTTTAGCCTGCATCTGTGCTTTATTAAAAAAACTGTCAAGAGAGGAAATTCGATGCCAGTGATTTGTTTTCGACTTGCTGAAAGAGAAGAGCCTCTCGCGAGCGAGGGTTCTTGCGCTGCGAGAACACTCTGGCCGTTCCAGGAACGGAGAAAATTTTTTTTGCAATAAGTATTACACTATATGAGTGCAATGACCACCGAACGATGGAGCAGCACCACCTGTTCAAGCTACCTTAGCTATCGCCATGAAGTCACGACGATGTTATGCGGGAGACCCACGTCCGACGATTATCGGGCTGAAAAGAATAAGCAGGCTGCATGAGCTGGAAGACGCTAGCTGAATTTGGTCAGTCGAAGGACTGCTCTGGTTTGCTTCAATTAACTGAGTGAATTTGCCTACTTCTCCCGGTAAAATAGGCTCTGCCTGGAAGCTTTAATTGCAATTCGTCATTTTCGCTATGTACCGAGACTAATGTGTATGCATATTGCTTATGCCAGGTTTCTTGTTGTTCTGCGGATGTCACCTAGCCCAATTGTGACCAGCTGACGATCGAGATCATCAATGTGCATATAAAAAGCGATTTACTGAGGAAGAATACTAATTTTTTTTCTCATACCTAAATTCCTTAGATTCTTGCCCGTTGCCGCCATCGCAATGTCATTTTTCGAACCACCTCCCAAACCAGAGACGCCTTTGGGCCTGCATCGAATACTGTCTCCTACAGCGTCAGTGAAAGTCTCTCCCATTGCCTTTGGTGGTATAAGTATCGGGAGCTCATGGGCCGAATTATTCGGCAAGAATGAAGAGCCGTTCAAGCTTCTTGATGCCTACTTTTCCTTGGGGGGAAATTTCATCGATACCTCGAACGTGTACAATTCGGAGGACTCGGAGAAACTCATCGGGGATTGGATGCAAGATCGTGGGGTGAGAGACCAGATGGTTATCGCTACGAAGTACACTGCTGGTTATCAGTCTTACAACAGAGACAAAGTGCCGATGCAGAGCAATTTTACTGGTAACTCTGCTAAGAGCATGCATGTTTCCATACGGGATAGTTTGCGGAAGCTGAAGACGGACTACATCGATATCTTATTTGTTCATTGGTAAATCCCTCAAACAATTTGGTTTTGTTTCTATTTATTCACCATTCTAGGTGGGATTTCGCGACTTCGGTGGAGGAAGTCATGACGCATCTTCACGCATATGTGATGGCTAGGCAGGTTCTCTACCTTGGAATTTCTGACACGCCTGCATGGGTTGTGGTGAAAGCAAATGCCTGTATGCTCTTTTTGCCATTCAGAGCTATATTCACGATGTTCACATGTACTAATTTCGATTTCCAGACGCTCGTCAACATGGCTTAACTCCATTCTCTATTTACCAAGGCAGATGGAATGCTGCTTTTAGAGACATGGAGGCTGAAATCATCCCCATGTGTGAGGACCAGGGAATGGCAATTATGCCATGGGCCGCTTTGGGTGGCGGGCAGATTTTGTCGAAACAACAAAGAGAGAACCAAGCAAAAGACCCAAACGCTCGTAAGGGTTATGGAACGAGGGAAGCAGATATCAAAATCTCCGAGGTTCTAGAGACCTTGGCCGAGCGGAAAGGCACTTCAGTACAGGCAATGGTGAGTACACTATCCTTTGCTATCCATCTAATCGTTAACGACCACAAGGCCCTAGCATACCTCTTTCATCAATCTACCTATGTGTTCCCCATTGTCGGAGTCCAGACCGTTGAGCATGTCAAGTCGATGCCAGAAGCCTTGCGCTTAAAGCTCTCTGACGAAGAGATCGAAGAGATACAAAATGCGGTCCCATTTAACCCGCTGTTCCCTGTAAATTTCCTGTTCAACTTCAGAGGAACCCAAAAATACAACACGAAGCTTACCGCCGCACACAACCAGCAGTATCAGATGGCTGCTTGGATCGATGCACCTCCCAAACCTCTTGTACGTGATTCATCGGCCTACTATGGCATTTATTATTAACGAATCTGCAGCCTTATCGGCCACGAGAAAGCGAGTAGTACGAGCGTCTCATGCAGAAGCTAGATCGCGTCAAAGAATGAAATCTTCTTACTTATTTCTGGTCTCCTCTAATTCTGTTCATCTTTTTAAGATGGAACGGCTTGCGACGAGCCGACGTTATGGACATTCACGGCTTGTTTCAACACTAAATAACCTCATCATTTTTGGGTTACTCGAAAATCAGACTGCCTGTCAGTCTTCGGCAGGGAAATGAAATTTGCAGGCCTTAATTCATATTTTGAATATGAAATGACAGTCGTTACATGCTCTTCAAGCAAGACTGCCAAGCGAAAGTTATTCCTTGAATTTGAGGCTACAATGGGTTGATAGCGACACAACTCTCAAAAATCTATATTAAGTTATCAAAATACGGCCACGTAGCTTAGCGCTTGCGATTTCATCGGGTCACCTTTGTCAATGGAACGGAAAATTTTGATTCAAAGTTCAACGTATCTCTGGTTCCTCGTTGTATAATTGTTCTTACGTCTACATAGGGAGCATTTGCCACATAATTAATGGTGTAATGAGTTTGATGCATTTCAAAAAATTTATCAAGTTCCATACGACCACTTTGACTTGTATATTTAAGTAATAACCAATGAGCATTTGTTCAGATTATACCCTTCTTCACCGTTCCGAAATTTGAAAAACAATTTCTACTGGTCAAAACAAATTGTTGCGAGAATTTATCGCTATTAAAGAGACTCCACTTCAATTTCTCACAAAGTTTGCTTATATTTTCCTTAAGACGCGAGAACAATTTGATAATGTAGCGGCATGGAAAAGTTGAAGAACGAAAAAATCTAACAATCTTCATCTCTCGTAGTTCTGACCATCTTTTTGAAATGAAACATAAATTGAGCTAAAAAGCGTTATCCTTCTGTATCTGTTTCTCGTTTTGGGGGTTTTCGTCCATATACGACCGATCTATGCGCAGTTAGTCAATGCGATGCTGGAGACTTTACACTTTAAATGAAGCTCACATCTCAATATAAGCATGGATAGATCTGTCGCGAAGCGCTGACCTCACTTGTGCCAGATACACCATGACTTCTTCCCTAGACCACTTCAATACGTTTGTTAACAAGTACATGCTCCAGCCTTCGATGCCATCTTCCCAGAATAACCGATTATACATGCCAATTTCTTTCAAGTGTGGATCACGCGGCCAATCTATTCATATCCTTATCAGCTCTATGCTTTTCTGATTAAATCGCAAAGAAGAAAGCTCACCACCAATGGGCCATTTGTACCTGTGCTCTACAACGTCGATAAATCCGGTATCAATTATATTCTGCTTTGCCTCATCTACCACAAGCAGAGTCTTCCCGAAAAGATCGCCGCATTTGAGCGAGAGTTCTCCCCATTTATGAAGAGGAGATCCTGGTTTCACTGTTCCATCGTCTGATTTGGGGACGACGCTACCCTCCACCTGCTCAATCCAGCCTCCTGGCTTAAGATGTCTGACAATATCCTTAGCCAAATGTGAGAAGCAGGTTTCCGGACTGACAAACTTACGAAAACACCTGCTTGTAGAATGCTGGCCAGTCGGCAATGGAGCCATACAAGCAGCGGACGTGAATGAAATCAAAACTATCTTTTGCGTATAACCATTCCTCTGTACAGTCGTCGATTTCGAACTGTAGATTCGGCGGTATATCTGTTGGTTGAATTGGAGATAGATCTGTCCCGATCACCGAGGCAGAAGGATGCTGGTCGGCGAAATCGATTGCCCAGATTCCAGTACCTGTCCCGACATCCAAGACTCTCTTGGATCGTCTATTAGTTGGCCATCATCCTATATGTCAATTGTGGGCATACATGGATATCCTCGCCTATAGGGGCCAGATATAACTTTCCGCCTAAAGTCAAGTTGAAGATATGGTGGCTTGAAGATTGTTAGCGCAAGAAAATGAATGGAGTACGCAGATAGTACGCGATGTCAAGGTTATCGGCGGCTTGCTCATCGTTTGGACCCCTTACAATTACAGTTAAAGCCCGCCAGCTCTCGTCGCGTTCTTGGAATTACCAGTATGAACCCTTACGGTATGCATGATATCGTCTTCCATTTTCATAGTGGTAATTCAATATGGAGGACTTCAAGGATGTAGTATCCCTTCAACAACTATTATTTTTGCTCAATCTCGAAATGCCTCTATGAACGTACGAGAGAATATCACTATCTCCGAAGCTTGAGTCCTCATCATTCGTATCCTGGGCTGATCTTTAGCGTCACTCTGGGACAACGACGATGGTAGTACTGACAACGTGTATATTCGAAGAGATGTCTGCCATGGATTATATTTAAGCTGAATTTATAAAAGTATGAATGAATGTACTGCCCTGAGCCGCGCTAACTTTACGCTTCCAAACATGCTTAGTTGAGCGGTTAATAGACATAGCCGCCCGGCAAGAAAGGAATTATATCCTCCGGAATAATTCGCCATTAATTGGACAAGGTTTCTTCTGCATCTCCTATTGCGTGACTCCGCGTGACCATCTGCTGCATAGAGATAAATAGGGTGTCGCAGGCTGGCGAGACCTCCCTTGCACGAATGGGATCGCTTAGCTATCAAGGCTCTGTTTCTCAACCACCCCCTTGGGAATGTTTCGCTGGCCAAGATTGTGACATGAGTTGGTTCGGTTCGAAACCCTGACTGCTTGTCGATTTTTGGTTTCTCAAATCCTTTAGATTCTGCTGCGTCCAAAATCCGCTTCTGGCTCCGATTTCTGCCGTCCATTCTCGACAATTTCTTTCCCCGTCCTGGGCCCCAAGCGGATTCAAAATGGTGGCAAAACTATCGCTGTTTAGTATCGCCTCGGAAAATCCGCTTATCACCGTGGCATCACTGGTTGTATTTGCTATAGTTACTTGGCTTTTTCAGCGAACCATATATCGTTTGTATTTGCATCCACTCGCTAAATTCCCAGGTCCGCCAGCGGCTGCTGCCACAAGATTATGGAAGGGCTATATCGAATGTGGATTGCGCATTTCCTTCTGCCATTTTCTCGAGGAGCTTCACCGCAAATATGGTATGACCCATGCCCAAAAGTACGTCTCAAGCATTAATCTTCAGCCTAGGGGAAGTGGTAAGAATTGGGCCAAACGAGCTCCATTTCTCCAATCCACAGGCATACCATGACATCTACAATAACAAAAATAGATGGGACAAGGAGAAACAGGTGTATCACAGTATGGGTGAGGATAGATCCTCCTTTGGCTTTCTCACGTACCAGGAATCAAAAGAGCGCAAAGACGTTATGAAAAAGATGTTCTCCCCGACAGCCCTCTCCCAAGCCCATGGTTTGATTGTGCAAAAGGTAGCTTTTTTCCCCGACTTTTTTTCCCTTCCAGACAGCATGTTTTAACCTGTGCTCGCACAGCTTGATGCATTTTGCAAAGCACTGGAACGACAGAGCAAGTCTGGAAAACCTGCAGACTTGTTCTTTGCCTTCCGATGTCTGACTATGGATATCGTGACATATCTATCTTTCGGTGCCTCTGTGGATGCGATTGATTCACCAGATTTCCATGCACCACTGCTCGAAGCCATGGATGCTTCCATTGACACCCTCATGCTTTTTAGGCACTCACATACGTACAAGGATATGATCCTCAATTGTCCCCCGAATATCGCAAAAGTTGTTGCTCCAGCTACACGTGGACTCATAGACATGCAGCAGATGATCAAAGCGCAAATCCGAGATTTAGTAAATGATCCGGAAAACCTGAATCATCTGCCACACAATATGACAATATATCACTGCTTGCTAGACAAAGAGGCTTACCGTAACAACAAAGTGCCTTGTGAAGGAAGCCTTTACGAAGAAACTCAAGCATTGATGTTTGCAGGATCAGATACTACTGGAAATACATTCTTAGTGGGATTTTTTCACCTGTTAAGAGCCAAAGACAGATATGCGAAGCTTAAGGAAGAGGTCGAAGCTGCATGGAAAGCCGCTGGTTCATCAGGACCTGAGGCACGCGTTTTCGAGTCTTTGCCCTATCTCAATGCCGTCATCAAAGAAGCTCTACGGTTAAGCGTTGGGGTTACCACTGGTCTGCCTCGTATTGTGCCAAAAGGAGGTGCAGAGATTGCTAAAATATCTGTGCCGGGCGGTGTATGGAGCCTATCCCAAAGACGCTACATTGTGCGTTACTAACATTCTCAAGACAATCGTCTCATGCGGTGCAACATTCGTGCACTACAACCCTGAAATCTTCCCCGAGCCTTTTGAGTTCCGTCCTGAACGTTGGATTAAAAATCCCGAGCTTGAAAAATGGCTAGTTCCTTTCTCTCGAGGCCCTCGAATGTGCCTGGGAATGAATCTGGCCTGGTTGGAATTACGCCTCGGCTTTGGGCATATCATTCACAAATTAGATATGGAGCTTACTCCAGACAGGTCAGTTGTTTCATACAATATTTCTGCGATTTCGCCACTGATGACCCATAACGCCACAGTCCTGACAAACTGCTCTGGAGGGATTGTTTCCTCCCATTCTGGCTTGGCCCTCATGTTTACGCTAACGTGAAGCCTTTGAAAACGTGAATAAACCATTTCATAGAGTTTTGTATGGTTTAATGCTCATGAATGATTGGAGAAAGAGCATTGATTCCATGGAACTTATCCAGCGGCGCGAATTTCGTGTACTTGACCTTCGGACAAATCCGGTGCAATCAGAAATCCCACACTTAGTTTCGTCCATAGTCTGAATTATTGACTATTGGGTAACGGATCACCGAAGGTTTCTTTGATAAAGAGAGGTAAAGCATTGTACCGTGGAATATGTTAGGCACAGTGTTCCTGGATGTACAAGGTTGCAGCAACTTCGGGAGAGTATGGATGTCTAAATGGACTCTGGTATGTATTGTGGCCTATGATTTTCATCTTCGACAAGATTGGACATGGACCAAGTAAAAATAAATCTAAAATGGTGTAGCCAAACGCATTTTAAATTGAAACTGCCCATTGTTACAATCTCGAAGGACTGATGGGTGAAAGGCTTCCCTCGGTTGATCTTTTGTCTCACAGGAATACACTTCAATCCCGTGATGGAGCCGTTTACAACAACCTGGAATGTACCGTAAAGATGACTTGAAAATTTATTATCATTCTAGAATTTATCCTTCTAGTCATCAGTCGTAAAGCCTTCTCCAGACCACGTCATGTTTTATCCAAACTAGACAGCTGTACAGGAGAGACACCAATCATGTAGCGTAAATCGGGAGAGAGAATATTCACAGAAGGATCCTTGTTCTTCTCAGGTCAGCTTTCAAGAATGTCTAAACCGCTCACATTCTCGTTTAAGGCAACGAGCTCGTGAGGAGCATCTAATCCGGCCTGCTAGGTTTACTTTGCGCAAGTTTTGGTGTCAATTCGAGAGTGACAGTGCATGTCTCCATCTGACTTCTCGCATCATATGACTTCTGTTTTCATAATTGCTTCCAATCTTCCTTTCTGTTTTGGTTATATATGTGCCTACTTGTGCGTCTAGTGATTTCAACATCGAAGCTTAGTTCCGGCACCAAATCTATCGCACTCGTTCGCTTTAGTCATTAAAAGTGCTGGTATATGAACCGGAAAACGGAAAAAATTAGAATGATGAGAAAACGGTGTGCTATCGACGGATTTCATAGGAGTAATAAGAGCTGATAGCTGGCCGAGATCTAGTTAAATCTCATCGCTATACGGGCTCCTTGCTATGTCTGAGGCTTCGGTACAAAGCTTACAACCAGGGGAATGTTGACCTTCGCATGATAATATGTACTGAGTGCAGGATCATTACGAGGATGATGGTGAACGAAGTTTTATCTCAAGTTGTCTTTGGATCCCCTCTCCGCACATGAGACTAGTTAACGGGAATGTGCGCGTTACCCGAAAAGGTGGACAAACACGCGTGCTTCGGTTAAAGCACCTCGGCCCGCTGCGACAGCATGAACCCTGGCGGAAAGACTCGCGAACTCCAATTGCAGCATCTCTGCTTCGAAAGGGCAACTTTTTCTCAAGAACATGGCATAGCATCCATCTCTTAACTCGCAAGCAAGAGATGGCACCTGCGAAGAAGCCCGCTGCACAGGCGGAAATAGCCCTGCTTCCCGGCTTGAAGAGCTGCTTGGTTAACCTGCCTTCGAATCTGGTTGCGATCCTCACGAACGCGAACGCAGTAGGTTTTCCTTTACAACTCTGATCATACCATACATGGCGAATACTAAGCCAAGGAAAAGATCGCACAAAATGTCGTTGTCGAACTTTCCTACCGCGAAGCCGTCCCCCGAAGCACCAGCGCGGCAGACAAACCGCCTCCAAGTACGTCCAAGTCCGTTTTCGTGGGCTGGACGGGCATGCAAAGCAAGCGCAGGCTTGCGCCCATAGTCACTCGTGATGGCATATCCGGTACTAGAGGTAGTGCCGCAGGCACTGCAAGAGAACAAGAGGTCCCTCTCGTAGAACTTGACAGCACTTTTGCTCGCCTTCTTGGAGTAACGGATGGTCAAAAGGTCGGCGTGAATCTGCATCTGGATCCTCCTCTAGCACACACTATAAATATAGAGCCACTCACGCCTGCAGACTGGGAAATGATTGAGTTGCATGCACAGTTTCTTGAACTCAACTTTCTTAATCAAATACGCGCTCTTCCAAACCCGGCATATGTACCACCCGAGGGGCAAGAGAGGCAGCCGAGTCATCCTATTACACTGCACCTATCACCAACGTCAACAGCAAATGTAGTTGTGACATCAGTTGTTCCTGTGCCCGCATCGAACTCTCCATTCATCAAGATCTCACCTGATGCGGAGATCATCGTTGCACCCAAGACTCGGCGGGCGGAAAAACCATCGGCAAGAGAGAGCAGGAGCGTAGGTGCGCGAAGCGGCGGTCGAAGCACAGGAGGCCGTAGTGGTGCGAGTACAGTACGGCACCGGAGCAGCAAAGAGCCTTCTTCGAAGGGAATTACTTTCCTTCGCGGCGTAAGTCGAAGCATCGCCCATGAATGGTTTGATGATTTTGAAGAGAGCGAAAAGGACATCGGCCTGCGAGTTTGGATTGACAAAGAGCAACTCTTGACGAAGGCTCTTCGCGGAGCCACGTGGGTGTCCGTAGGCATTGTAAAGCCAGCTGGCATCCTTGAGCCAGTTGATCCACAGAAGGAGGCCGCCGAAGTCGAAAAACCTGCGACTAGAGTTGTCGCTAAAGTTTCTTCTTGGGAGGATGCGCCAGACTCTAGTCACATTGCTCTGTCCACGCTATTGTGCCAGGCCCTCGGTGTCAGCGATTTTGTTGGTGGACTCATTCGAGTAGAAGCTGCTCCACCCCAGGCGGCAAAGGCCTCAAAAACTGATTCTTCGAAGGAGTCATCCCGATCCAAAGAACCAGTTGTGAAGTCCATCAAGATTCTTCCATTCCCATCTTCATCCTCAGTCACTAGGTCGGGCTTCAAGTTTGGTGGTGAGTCGAAATCAGAGAAGGAGGAATCTCTGAGGAATCTACAGGTCGTATTCGGTAAAGATGGAAATGGACTTTTACTGGGCCCGTTGACAGACGGCATGATCCTACCTGCAGCTGCGAAGGACGACATAGTCTGGCCAGGCGGTATACTGCGATTCGATCCTACGAGCTCTGTGAACGAGAGCAGAAAGCCTCCAGTAGTTTGGTACATCGGCTCTGAACGTACGGTACCCGCGGAAGTTGTTCAAGAGGTCCCCAAACCTAGTATCGCCTTACGAAATTGGTCGCTTGGTGACCCGATTCCTGAAAACCCTCCCGTGCTGGTCGGTATCGATTCCACAATTTCACAACTCCAAACACACCTGTGTCAACAGTCCTCTGTTCTCCTCACGGGAGGACTGGGGGCTGGCAAGACCAGTCTTGCGCACTTGATCGCCCATATATTGCGCGATCAATATCTGTTCCATGTGCTTTACTTCTCATGCCGTAGCTTGGTCAACGATGAAATCCGAGTCTCCGCCATCAAAGAGACGCTGAACCGACTTTTCCAGGCTGCACAGTGGGGAGCCCGGCTAGGCGGACGATCTATTGTCATTCTTGACGATCTTGATAGATTATGCCCTGCGGAGACTGAATTGGAAGTCAGCGACAACGCAAGGAGCAGGCACGTAAGTGAGTGCTTGACGTCAGCGGTGCGACAGTATTGCACCATGGGAAGCGGCGTGGTGCTGCTAGCTCTTGCACAGGCAAAAGAGTCTCTTCACAACGTAATTGTTGGGGGACATGTTGTGCGAGAGATTGTTAATCTTTCAGCCCCGAATAAAGATGGCCGAAGAAAGGTTCTTGAGAAACTTGCATACGGAGATAAAGGATCACAGCATCTAGAAGGTGGAAGTAGAGGACACTTCCTTGAAGACACACCTGCAAATAGTCGACCTGGCACTTCAGACGGTCCTTCAGGATTTTCGGTGGCACCTGACATCGACTTCCTGGATATTGCAGGGCAAACAGATGGATACATGCCTGGAGATTTGGTGTTTCTAACCTCAAGGGCAAGGTCAGAATGTCTTATTCGCAGCCTGGCTCCTGCTGCGGACAGCAAATCTTTTACAAGAGCGGACACACCTAGCCTAACTCTACGTGCTGAAGACTACAAAGCTGCCCTCAAGGGCTTCACGCCGGCTTCTCTTCGCAATGTTACCCTTCAAACATCAACTGTCCAGTGGTCTTCGATTGGAGGTCTTAAGCACACGCGACAAATGCTGCTCGAAACCCTTCAATATCCTACAACCTATGCACCGATTTTCTCTAAATGCCCCTTGCGGCTGCGGTCTGGGCTCTTGTTGTACGGATATCCAGGTTGTGGCAAGACACTTCTTGCATCCGCCATCGCCTCACAGACTGGACTCAACTTCATCTCGGTTAAGGGACCTGAAATTTTGAATAAATACATCGGTGCGTCCGAGAAGTCGGTCAGAGATCTTTTCGAAAGAGCACAGGCTGCAAGACCTTGCGTTCTGTTTTTCGACGAGTTCGATGCAATTGCACCGAAGCGAGGTCACGACAGCACAGGTGTTACAGATCGCGTCGTAAACCAGCTGCTTACGCAGATGGACGGTGCTGAAGGCCTGAGTGGCGTATACGTGCTCGCTGCAACGAGCCGACCCGATCTGATCGATCCTGCATTGCTACGTCCAGGCCGCTTGGATAAATCTCTGGAGTGTGGTATGCCCACCCTTGAAGACCGCATTGACATTTTGAAGGCGGTGGCACAGAAGGTACGCGTAGGACACGAAGTTACTGAACGCTGGAGTGAAGTCGCAGAGCAGACAGAAGGTTACTCAGGAGCGGATCTGCAAGCCGTCGTATACAATGCGCAACTCGAAGCTGTCCATGACGTCCTCGGAGAAGGCGAGCTAGACCCGAGCAAGTTCGGGAAGGGTGGTAGCAAGGGTAGTGGAAATAGCTCGAAAGGGCTACCAGACTTCTCACACTTTAGGATTGGTGATGCGGAATTGGAGTACGACGAGGAAGTGGGAAGCAAAGCTATCGCAGAACGAGCTCGGGTTGCGCAGAAGATCCGGGATCTGCAGAATTTGAGACGGAAGCAAAAATTGCTCTCCAACCCGATTGTCCAGACACCAGCACCGTTGCAGCGCAGCAACAGCGGCACAAGCCGGCATCACAGAAGCATATCGTACGATTCGGGAGATGATTCGCTGCCAAATAGCGTTACCGGTTCACCGGTAAAAGGCAAGACGCAGGGCGTCAATGGTACCAGCAACGAACAGAGCAAGGAGCCCATAATTCAGTGGCGCCACATTCAAGCCAGCTTAGCAAGCACAAGACCCAGTATAAGCATGGCAGACAGAGAGAGGTTAGCAAGGATCTACAGGGAGTTTGTGGATGCAAGAAGTGGCGATTTACCAAGTGGGCAAGGCGGGACTGAGGTAGGAGCCAGGACTACTTTAATGTAACGAAATGGATGGATTCATTTTGTAAGATATGTGTAGCACATGTCCAGCATGTCGAATGGAAGGCGATCATTAGACGAAAGTACGACCATAAAACTTGCTCGCAGGTTGTTGCATACAATCTACACTGATGATAGGAACAGGAATGCATTAATTCATGATCAAGTTCGCTGGGGCACAGTGATAAATGCTAATTCTAGATGGGCCAAGACATAACGTGTAGAGCAGGTTGCCATGCTACGTCGCTTACAGAGAGTCTGAACATGTTCAGAGCCATGACGATAGCTATTGAAGATTGATCTCGTCGTCCTGTGATTGTCCGCTTCGAGAAGCTCGCAACCGGTCTAGTCAAGGTCCAAGACAACGCGGCCGTTCAGTTTGCCCTGACTCATCTGTTCAAACACTTCTGTCAAATCTTCCAGTTTCTTAATCTGGTGGTGACTTTTGACGATTCCTCTCTTCGCAAAGTCAAGCACTTCCAGTGCATCCTTGCGCGTGCCTACCGAGGCATACGTGATGTTGACGCCTCTCAGAATGAATGCCGCCGGGTAGGCGCCCTCCAGCTGCAGCTGCTCGCCTTCCGGCATACCAACACACACCAGCGTACCGCCCCTGCCGAGAACCGCGAAAGCCTGCGCGTAGGCCTTGTTGTTGCCCGTAACGCAGATGGCAGCTTTGGCGCCGCCGCCCGTGATGCGCTGGACCTCTTTGACGATGCCCGCGTCGTCGAACTGCGTGAAGTCGACAAAGGCCTCCGCGCCGCTGTTCATGACGAGGTCTCGCTTCGATCCATGATCGATACCAATGATCCTGTACGCGATACCTTTCGCTCCCAGCTGCACGCCCAAATGTCCCAATCCACCGCCGGCACCTACGATGGCAACCCACTCGCCGGACTTGGCACCTGTCTTCCGCAGCGCGGTGTACACCGTGATGCCGGCGCACAGCATCGGCGCGGCTTGGTCCGAGGCCAGGCCGTCCGGAATGGGGCTTACATAGTTGGCAGGAGACACGACGTACTGCTGAAAGGTGCCCGGGTTAAGGTAGCCGCTCATTGTCTTGTTGATGCACTGAGACTCATGCCCCTCGAGGCAAGGCACGCACGACATGCACGTGCCGCGGATGAACTTGATGCCGACGCGGTCGCCGACCTTGACGGGAGAGTGCTCATTTCCCGGCCCGAGCTTCTTGACGATGCCTACGCCCTCGTGGCCGCCGACGAAGTTGACCGGCGTCTTTTCAAAATACGGCCATAGGTCACACTGGAGTTGCGTCAGCAGTGGATGTCTGATAGTGGTAGATCCGTTCAAAGATATATTTCCAAAGCCAACCCCAAAAAAAAGGGAAAAGAAGAGGAAGAGGAAGAAGAGGAAGAGGAAGAAGAGGAAGAGGAAGAAGAGGAAGAGGAAGAAGAGGAAGAAGAAGAGTAAGAAGGAATAAGACTGAACGGTTCATGTCAACGTACCATGATTGCCTGGTCAGAGTGGCACACGCCAGAGTGTGTCAGTCGAATAAGTACTTCACCAATACCCGGCTCCGGGGTATCTAGCTCGACAACCTTGGTGCTGATTGTCCCCGGCTTGTCGTACACGGCAGCCTTGTATTTCTTCGGTATCTCTTCGTTCGCAGCCATATTGCACGCTCTCGATTCTCACTTATTTCTGTTGGATAGCCCGAGTGGCGCGCGCCGATCACAGCGTCCAAACAATGTCGTGAACAACAAGGAGTATTGCTCCCTCGCCTCCTTCTTTGGCGATGGAACTGGACGCGACGTTTAAAATCAGCGGATTCGAGGATCTTGTAGATTCGCTTTTGGGGGGGAGGAGGATCACAGTTGCGGAGGAGGCGGCGCCGTTCGGGGCAAGTACCACGGCGTACGTCCCATACAGCCTCGGACTCAGCGAGCTACATGCGGAGGTGCCATGCCATTTCATTGAGGGGTTGCGAGCTGGACCAGGTGAACGAAGCGAAAAGACGTCCGCACGCTGCCTAATGTCGCTTTGATAGGTTCGCCCGTGGGGTAGTGACTCGCGCCGTGCATGACCCGTCGATTCACCACCATCCTCATCTCGCGTTATGAAGATCACATGGTGTACTCGTGCACTTGAAAGTCAGAATCTGACGTTGGCTTGGTTCCTGGGTTAAGGCCGCTACCGTAATCCGGGCGGCAAGCAAGACCTCCACCCGAACCTCCGTGGGGAAACGTAAGACATTTCCGATGGCCGAGATCGACACCAGGTGTGGGATGCATGCAACGCGTAGGCCATGTACGTACTGGGCTGCAACCTCAATCATCTGAGCGTAAAGAAAACCCGCCGTCGCTATAATGCGGTTCTTGTGCACCTTCAGCATTTGATTTCTTTTGTATTAGCGGATTAAGTATGTATGATACACAAATGCAAATGGTGCTCGCGCAATTAATAGTAATAGTACGACCCAACACCCTTTTCTTTGGTCCACCTGGTTCTGAGCACTCCTCTCATTGCAAGACAAGGACCTCAGCTCGTCCCCAAAACGAAGTACAAGCTAGAAGCTACGGCATTGCGTGCGAATATCAGTGTGCCATTCCGTCAAACATACACGCGAGAAAAACGTTATCACGGCCTCCAAAACTTCCACCCTTCCCTCTCCCCATCGCTGTACTGCCCAGCAGCCTGCACACCAACAAGAGCTTCGATACCTTCGTTTCCAACAGCGTTCAAAAACTTCTCTTGGTCAATCTCCTCGCCGCCCTCCTCGCCGCTGCCATTCTGGATTACGGCTGGCCACAAGACACCCACGCCGTCACCCGCCAGCGTCGTCTCAAACAGCTCGAAGCCTTCGTCCTTAAGCTTCTGCTCGAGCTCCACGAGCGTCTTCGATTTGTGCTTTTTCTTTGCTCCGGGCGTCTGCCTTCCATTTGAGAAGCGCGGGGTTTCGTTGGCTGAAGTGGGCGAATCCGACTCAATTGTCTCCGGCTTGAGAATCGTGATTGCGCAGCCTCCACCGCCGGCACCAGTGAGTTTCGTCCATCCAATTCCTGCATGGTCGATAAGAGCTCGGATCCGTTCTAGCTTTGGATGCGAGACACCCAGACTAACGAGCAGGCCGTGGTTGACGGTGATGAGCTCGCCGAGGAATTTGAGGTTCTTGGGATCGTCGGGGTCGAAGTCATCCTGAGTGATAAGGTTGTAGGCCGAACGTGTCACTTGATCTATCGCGGAGAGCAAATGCTCCGCAATGACAGGATGATTCTTCCGTAGGGTGGCTACCTTACCGACCTCGACAGCCGTGCTGCGCGATTGACGAGTGTTGACCAGTAGCAGCGGTAGCTCGGGGAAGTCTCGCAAGGGTTTCACAAGAGGGGGTTTTGTGTAGTCCTTGCGTTGAAACAGAACGGCTTTCCCACCCGAAGACACGGTGTTGTCCACACCCGAGGGGTTGCCGTGAATGCACATCTCACCCACGAAAGCCCAACGATTGATTCGCTCAATTTGCTTCTCAGACTCGTCCGGCGGTTGGTCCTGGTGAGGGCCGGACAAGGCGCGGACCTGCAAGAGGAGCGCTGCGCTGAGACAAACCGCGATGGTCGCGGAGCTGCCGAGGCCGGCAGCAATAGGAATTGTGGAGCGCAGAGTGTACACGCACGGCGGGCTCTTCTGAGAGCCGAGCGAGAGGAAGAGATACAAGAAGGCGGTAGCGGAGGAGTGGTGAATCTTGCGCACGTCTTCGCGCATGCCTGGGGAGACGCATTGAATGTGCGGTTGTAGCGACTTGAGCAGGTCTTCATCAAGAGACGTGACTAGATCATAGTAGTACTTTTTCTTGTCCGGTCTCGTGAAGGCGGCCCAGGGGAGATCGTCTATATTCCAGGTATGATCCAAGGAGATGTCTGGGAAGCGCAGTGAGACTGTGCGCTTCGACTTGGAGAGGAAAGTGACGAGCAAGTAGGAACGAAGAGATATTGCGGCCGCAATGGCAGCCTGTTCGGTCCTGTTAGCCGATCCATTCAATGTACAGGTAACCTGCTCGTGGAGAACCCCGAAGACGAAGCATTGGAGGGGCACTGACCTTGCCATGAACGACGGCATGTTCGCCATATACAATGACCTTGCCCGGAGCAGAGACCATGAACGCAGGCATCAAAGGGCTCGACACCTTGCGCTTCGCATCAGGCCTCTTTGGCGGATCTGCCAGAGCCGTGCCCGACATTTCGTCAACCAGTGAATCCTGCGAACTTATCGAAGCCGTAACACCGTTTGTGTGACCGTTCGACAGGCCGTTGCGCCCATTGACCGGCGCGGCCATGAGAGGCGTCAAGATCGCGTGTGTATGCTAGACAGCTGTGTGACGAGCTCCTGCCCTCCTGACCAAAGGACTGCGGAGACAGGCGCAAGTGCGCTCCTGAGCGTGGCTCCTTCTACGTCTACCACGAACTGAGCACGGGAAGTCGCGATGGGAGCTGTCACTAGTCCAGCTCTTCTCTCAACCTAAATCCTTTTTTGTTGCAACCTCGTACGCTCTTGATCCTACACTTCTTTTGAGCCCAGAAGTGTGCGCGATGCTCCTGCCTGCACCTCTTACTGACGATGTGCCGTTGTAGCCGTGGTCAAGGAGGCGGTGGCCGCAGTCATGAAAACAGTGTGGAGAACGTTCCCAACGCTATTCAGAGTCCCGGATCAACGGTCACGAAATAACGAAAAGGTCAAGTCGGCTGATGCAGGGGACAGAAGAATGACGAAGCAATGGCAGGAAGGATACCTCCGAGACTCCCAAAAAGTGTTGGATCGATCCGTCGTCCTGGTGGTTTTGCTGCCCGCTGAGCCACACTCACTAAAACACCCAGCAACCAGAAATCCAGCATTTACCCCAGGGGTGCAGCCAGCTCGGATCCAGGGCAGGAGGAGCGCCACTGCTGCAGCAAGACGCGTCGACGGCCCAAATTGCTGGGGACGAGGCCAAGATTCCCAACTGACATAATTCACACCCATGATTGGGCGCATGCTTGGGCTGAGCAAGGCTCCTTAGCTCGCTTCTTGCGTCGAGGCTATGGCTGCGTGCGGGATTTGGAGGTTTTGTTGCGCGTCATTGAGGACCAGAGTCCCCGCTGTCTGCTTCAAAGTCGACAGATGCTTCACGGTGAGCCAGGTGAGGAGTCTGATGCATCCGACCCGCCTACAGACAAATATGTCTGACACAGAGGGGATATCTCGAAACTGACGGCAGCGGCAACTTGACCAGCCGTCGTCCTCTTTGCCTAAGTACTTGTCTCAAGTCACATAACTTGGGCTGTTAACATAAGTTACCATTCTATCCTTACTAAGACTACTAGCTGCTGTGCATCTTGTATGTGCAACGTGCACGAAGCACAGCTGAATTGGGAAAAAAAGCAATCAAAAAAATATATCCTGTCCCGTCACCCAATGTTGAATTTGAAATCCATACATGACCAATTTTTGCCATTTTTGCGTGAACACTGCTTGGACGCCGATACACCCCCTCTATCATGCTCATTGCCACTACACATATTACAAAATGCTTATGCACTCCGGTACACCGTTTGCCGATGGTGACTGCTGAATCACTCACTCACACTCACACGCTTTTCCGTTGTCATATAAATACGTATCGGCACCCATGCAACCGTACGAACAGGCAAAGCCCATACAAAACAATCTGAGGTATCCCGAGAAATGAAAGATCTCCCCCCCTCCCCCCAACTCTCCTACATGCGTTAAAGTCTTGATCAAATCGATCGGAAGGCGGCAGTCGATTTTCGGCGTAGACTGTTGGAGAGGCGCGCTCACATGAAATCGTCACTGCATATCCCATGCTATTAGTTGTGTCCAAATACATCCGAAAGCATACCTAAGTGGCCTGTGTGTAGAGAGAGGTGGAGAGGGAAAGGGAAAGAAGAGGGGAAAAAAGCAAAGGAAGACTCACTCATCCAAGCCGTCATCGCCGTCATAAATATGCGTATCTGCATAGCTCTTCTGACTGATGCCCCGATCTGCCGTCAGCGTCGTCTTGTTCTTCTGGGCCTTCGTCTTCTTGCTACCCTTCTCTGCCGCCTTCTCTTCCTTCATCTTCTCGTTCGATAGCGTGGTCAGGCCGCTGGCAATCTTCTTGATCTGGTCGCTAGGCAACTCTTTGCAGATGGCCTTGGTAAACTCCTGCATGAACAGAGTGTAGTGTGGCTTCTTGCTGTTGGCCGCCAGCAGAGGGGTTAGCGTTTCGCGCAGCTTGACGAACTGATCCTTGGTGTTCGGGTTGAATATGGGTAGGCTAGACAGATCGACGACGTTGCTGGTGTCATTGGGGTCCGTGGCTGTGATGGGTTTGGCAGTCCGGCGGTTGTTCGTAACTTGCAGGTCGCCAAAGAGATCCTCGGCGTGCCGCAAGTCTGAGTCCTTCTCGGTGCGCCGCAGTCGCGCTCGTCGCTCTGCCTCCGTCTCCTCTTCCTCGCTGTCTTCTTCAAGCTCTGCAGCGCGCCGCCGTGCATTCTCGGCTTGACGTTCGGCTATGCGCTGCGATTTGGTCTTGTGATTTGCTTTGGCCTCCGCAGCAGCTTTGGCCTTGGCCTCTTCAGCCTTCCGAGCTTTCTCTCGCTCTACCTCTGAATCCTCGGCAGCTTCCCAGTCGTCTAGAACCTAAGGGTATGGTGGTTAGCATGCCAGGCGCCGTGTCGCGGGAGCCGCGTGAGTGAAGGCGTGGTAGGGGGGGAAAGACCCACCTCCTCTTCCGATTCTTCATCGTCGAACTTTCTGCGCGCGACTGGAGGGGGAGATGTCGGCGGCGTGCTGTCCTCTTCGGACTCGTCGTCTGCACGACATGTTAGTCGCACTGGTAAGAGACGAAAAGGAGAGGCCGCCCTTTGTGTGTGCGTACGCGACTCCCAGTTAGAGCGGTCTGCATGAGATCAACTTACCCCACTTATTTGGTGCCATGACAGCGTCCACTGGGCTGGTTGTGCGGGTTTGTGAGGCTTGCAGAGAAAGCGGCGTGTTTCTGGTTTGCGAGTGTGTTTAGAAGAGTACGCTTGGAGCTTGCGTCCTGGGATGGGGAGAGGGGAGGGAAAAAAGAGGAGGAAGGGAAGTTGATGGGTTTTGTGTGTGACTGTGTGCGCAGCGCGGGACTAAAAAGCGAAGGGGAGAAATCGAACGCGGCCCGACGTAATCTCGCAATTTCAGGCTCCGGAAACAGCGCAACGCACAAACAGACAGGTCTGGGGGAAATGCAGCGCTGCGCAAAGACAGACAGAAGGGGCAAGGCAACGGATGTGTTTGCCACAGATTTGCTCGTCGACGCTGCAATATCTGCGTCGAAATTAAACCTCGCCCATGGTTTGATACGTCTGTTCGGAACGGCGGCCAACCAAAGAGGATCGCAGCCTGCACATGTGCTGCGACAGAGAGCGCAGCGCCTGACGTCTTTCTGCAGCAGCAGCAGTCGGCGGCAGCACACAGAGCAGCGCGGCAGCAGCTGATGGTGCTTTGCTGAAACCCGCGTTGAAGCCCAAAGCCTCCGCCCAAAGCCAGAACCAGACGTGGGCCGTTCCTTAATTACCTTACGGAAAACTTACACTAAGTTACCGTAACTTACTGTATCTGCCGGCGGTCACATGTCTCGCCCTCAGCGCCACGCTCCCGCCACAGCCAGCGCGGTGCACGTGATTCTTAGTCAGCGTCCCAACCGGGCTATGCAAGCATCCGCTTCAGGAGCTCAGAACAGCTGTTCGTCTCGCAAGCACAGGAAACTCCAACTCCGCCTAATAATTCCATCGCAACCCTCAACCACTTCTTATCCTTTGGCATTGGCACACATACAAGCGCGGGCGTCGGTATCTTCTTTCTTCGCACTCTCGGCATCTTCACTTTCGCCTTTTCTCCACGTCGGGTCCCAATCCGTCCGCTGCCTGTTTGATGCGCGACTCTACCGTCCTGCCCATACTAATTCGCCATCATGGGTTCTCAACTCCCCATTAAGTTCACGGAGGTAAATACTTTCCGTGCGTAGCGCTCGCGCGAGATGGTCATGCTGACGTTTTTGGGAACAGTTACTCCAACTAGGCAACTATGAGATTCAAGTGAGTTACAACACGTATTTGGCGAAAGAGGCTACGTCACGCAGCAACATGTCCATTCCCTATCATCCTTGTCTTCATGCCGCCAGTCAGTCATGGCAAGGCCGCATTGAATTCTGCTTTAGAAGAACAAGACACGCGAAAGGGAACGATGCGCCTGCCTAGCCCTTGACGCCATGTAATCAACCTCAAATGGGGGCGGTCCCAGACTGACGTATTCTTCAGCCGGCCTCGATAGGCTTCAACACCTGCACACTCGAATCCGACCGCTACATATGCGTCCGCCAGACTTCGGAAACTGGTCAAGCTGAAGTCATCATAATCGACCTCAAGAACAACAACCATGTGCTCCGCCGGCCCATCAAGGCTGACAGCGCCATTATGCACCCCAACAAACTCATAATTGCTCTTAAGGCGCAACAGAGGACATTGCAGATCTTCGATCTGGAGAACAAGGCTAAGCTGAAGTCGGCTACCATGCCAGAGGATGTCATGTTCTGGAAGTGGTTCAATGACACGTCGTTGGGCCTGGTCACGGACAATTCAGTCTACCACTGGAATGTCTTTGATCCAGCCGCCACTCAGCCAGTCAAGGTATTTGATCGCAACGCTAATCTTGCCGGCTGCCAGATCATCAACTACCGCGTCAGTGACGATGAATCGTGGATGGTGGTTGTTGGCATCTCCCAGCAGCAAGGTCGCGTCGTGGGCGCTATGCAACTGTATTCGAAAGCACGAGGTATCAGCCAGTCCATCGAAGGCCACGCAGCCGCATTCGGTACCCTTCGCCTTGATGGCGCCAGTGAGGACAGTAAGCTGTTTACATTTGCCGTGCGAACCGCTACCGCTGCCAAGCTCCACATTGTCCAGGTCGATCACACGCCTGGCCAGCCGCAGTTTGCGAAGAAGAATGTAGACATCTTCTTCCCGCCTGAGGCAACCAATGACTTCCCGGTTGCAATGCAGGTTTCGAAGCGTTACAGCGTCATCTACTTGGTGACAAAGTATGGCTTCATTCATCTGTACGATCTTGAAAGCGGCACCTGCATCTTCATGAACCGCATCTCCAGCGAGACCATCTTCACCACGTCCGCCGACTCCACATCTTCCGGCATCATTGGGGTCAACAGAAAAGGGCAAGTTCTGACCGTCAGCGTCGACGAGTCCACCATCATCCCGTACCTCCTGCAGAATCCGGCGAACGGCGAGCTAGCCTATAAGTTGGCATCAAGAGCGAGTCTACCCGGTGCGGACAACCTGTATCAGCAGCAGTTCGAGAGATTGCTTCAATCGGGCTCGTACACAGAGGCTGCGAAAACTGCTGCTAACTCGCCTCGTGGGTTCTTGCGTACGCCGACCACGATCGAGCGATTCAAGCAGATTCCTGCTCAACCTGGCCAGCTCTCCGTTATCCTGCAGTACTTCGGAATGCTTTTGGACAAGGGATCGTTGAACAAGTACGAGACACTCGAGCTTGTGCGCCCTGTCCTCGCTCAGAACCGTAAGCACTTGCTCGAGAAATGGCTTGGTGAGAACAAGCTGGAGTGCTCGGAAGAGTTGGGTGACATCGTACGCCAGCACGATCTTGCTCTCGCTCTGACCATATATCAGCGAGCACAGGCACCACAAAAGGTCGTTGCAGCTCTCGCTGAGCTGGGTCGCTTCGAGCAGATCTTGCCATACACAAAAGAAGTCGGCTACACCCCCGATTTCACCGTTCTGCTGCAGCATATCGTTCGTGTCAACCCAGAGAAAGGTGCCGAGTTTGCGTCTGCGCTGGTCAAGGATGAAAATGGCCCACTTGTCGATATCAGCCGTGTGGTTGACATCTTCCAGTCGCAGGGCATGATTCAGCAAGCAACAGCCTTCCTGCTTGATGCACTCGCAGGTGACCGTCCCGAGCAGGGCGATCTTCAGACAAGACTATTGGAGATGAACCTGATCAATGCACCCCAAGTCGCTGATGCCATCCTGGGCAACGAAATGTTCCACTATTACGACAAAGCACGCATTGCCTCGCTATGTGAGAACGCTGGCTTGTTGACACGTGCTCTCGAGCACAACGATGATCCAGCCGCTATCAAGCGTATCATCGTCCACACAGATAAGCTACCGGAAGAGTGGCTGCTCAACTACTTCGGCCAGCTAACTGTCGAACTCTCGCTTGAGGCTTTGGATGAGATGCTCAAGTTCAACATCCGTCAGAACTTGCAGGCCGTCATCCGAATCGCGCAGAAGTATTCCGATCTTCTGGGCCCGGTCCGTATTGTGAGCTTGTTGGAGAAGCATCGTACTGCCGAGGGACTGTACTATTACCTTGGCAGTATCGTGAACATCTCTGAAGACAAAGATGTGGTGTTCAAGTACATTGAGGCAGCTACCAGGATGGGGCAGCTGAATGAGGTCGAGCGAGTCTGCCGTGAGAACAGTAAGCGGTGTCTTCCTGTGCGTATGGCTGTCTGCTAACACCTAGAAGACTTCTACGATCCGGAGAAAGTAAAGAACTTCCTCAAAGAAGCCAAGCTGAGCGAGCAGCTACCGCTCATCATCGTGTGTGATCGCTTCAACATGGTTCACGACCTCATCCTTTACCTATACAAGAACCAGCAATTCAAGTCGATTGAGGTATATGTGCAACGCATCAACCCATCACGAACCCCAGGCGTCGTGGGTGGTCTCCTTGATGTCGACTGTGATGAGTCCATCATCAAGAGTCTCCTCGCCTCCGTCAATCCTGCTTCCATTCCGATCGATGAGCTGGTTTCCGAAGTGGAATCTCGAAACCGTCTCAAGCTTCTCTTGCCCTTCCTTGAGCAGACGCTCCAGTCCGGCAACCAACAGCAGGCAGTGTATAACGCGCTTGCGAAAATTTACATTGACAGCAACAACAATCCAGAGCGCTTCTTGCAGGAGAACGATCAGTATGACTCACTTGTCGTTGGCAAATATTGTGAGAAGCGTGACCCGAACCTTGCATTTGTGGCGTATCGCAAGGGTCAGAATGATCTCGAGCTTATTAACATCACGAATGAGAATGGCATGTTCAAGCAGCAAGCACGGTATGTGCTTGATCGTGCGGATCCAGATGTCTGGAAGTTCGTGCTCAACGACAGCAACATGTACCGTCGCTCATTGGTCGATGCTGTAGTCGCTACCGCAGTTGTAAGTTTGTCCCTGTTTCTTTTCCAACATATCAATTCATTACAGTTTGTCGAACCATCCTGCACGGCTCGATTTCGTAAGCCCTATGGTCAAGACGTGTTTTCCTCATCGGACCACCTACACTATATCTTGCAAGAGTTTAAACATGTTCTATGCCTCTTTGCTGCTTAAGAACCTTGCCAATGCTAACATATCCAAATAGCCCGAATGTAGTGAACCAGAGAAGGTATCTATTGCCGTCAAGGCTTTTGTTGATGAGGATCTGCCCTCCGAGTTGATTGAAATGCTTGAGAAGATCATCCTTGAGCCTTCTCCGTTCAGCGATAACCCGACTCTTCAGAACCTTCTCATCCTTACCGCTTGCAAGGCTGACAAGGGTCGTGTCATTGGTTATATTCAGCAGCTCAACAACTACACTCCAGAAGATGTTGCGGAGCAATGTATCGACCAGGGCATGTTCGAGGAAGCTTTCGAGATCTACAAGAAGGACAACAATCATGCCGCTGCTGTTAATGTCCTCACTGATCATATTGTCAGCATCGACCGAGCACATGAATATGCCGACCGTGTAGACCTTCCTGAGGTGTGGAGTCGCGTTGGCAAGGCTCAGCTTGATGGCCTTAGGATTACTGATTCCATCGAGTCTTATATCCGTGCTCAAGACCCGTCCAACTATAGCGAAGTCATTGAAATCGCGACGCAGGCAGGTAAAGACGAAGACCTTATCAAGTTCCTACGCATGGCTCGCAAAACCCTACGCGAGCCAGCTGTCGACACTGCGCTTGCTTTCTGTTTTGCTCGCCTTAACCAGCTCCCAGAGCTGGAGGACTTCTTGCGTTCGACCAACGTGGCTGACGTCGAGGCCTCCGGTGACAAGGCATACGAGGAAGGCTACCATGAGGCTGCCAAGATCTTCTACACTAGCATATCTAATTGGGCTAAGCTCGCGACAACGTTGGTTCATCTTGATGAGTACCAGCAGGCTGTCGAGGCTGCTCGCAAAGCGAACAGTACTAAGGTTTGGAAGCAAGTCCATGATGCTTGCGTCGCGAAAAAAGAGTTCCGTCTCGCACAGATTGCTGGACTCAACCTCATTGTTCATGCCGACGAGCTTTCGGATGTTGTGCGACAGTATGAATACAACGGCTACTTTGATGAGCTTATCAATCTGCTTGAAGCCGGTCTTGGTCTTGAGCGAGCACACATGGGCATGTTCACTGAGCTGGGCTCGGCTCTTGCGAAGTACCACCCAGAACGTGTCATGGAGCACCTGCGTGTATTCTGGTCGCGCATCAACCTGCCCAAGATGATCACAGCCTGCTTGGAAGCCCACCTGTGGCCGGAGCTGATCTTCTGCTACACTCACTACGACGAGTGGGATAACGCAGCACTGGCCATGATGGAGCGCGCTGCGGACGCGTGGGAGCACCAGTCTTTCAAAGACATTATCGTCAAAGTAGCCAACTTAGAGATCTACTACCGCGCTCTGACCTTCTATCGCAGCGAGCATCCAATGCTGCTGACCGATCTCCTCCAAGCTCTTACGCCACGCATTGACGTCAACCGGGTTGTCTCCATCTTCCAGAAGTCAGACGACATTCCGCTCATCAAGCCGTTCCTGATGGCTGTGCAAGGCCAGAACAAGCGCAGTGTCAACTCTGCGATACATGACCTGCTTATTGAGGAAGAGGACTATAAGACACTTCGGGACTCGGTCACGGCTTATGACAATTATGATGCTCCAGAGCTTGCACAGCGCCTTGAGCGACACGATCTCGTGTTCTTCAGACAGATTGCGGCCAACATCTGGCGCAAGAACAAGCGATGGCAAAAATCCATCGAGCTGTCCAAGCAGGACAAGCTGTACAAGGACGCCATCGAAACGGCTGCTATGTCTGGGAAACCGGAGGTCGTCGAGGAGCTGCTCCGATATGTAAGTTTGAGGGTCTTCTTGCCTGACGAGGATGAACACGATGCTAATGCGTTGTACAGTTTGTCGACATTGGCAGCAGGGAATGCTACGTTGGCATGTTGTATGCTTGCTATGATTTGCTGCGTCCGGATCTCATCTTGGAGCTTTCGTGGCGCAATGGTCTTCACGATTTCACCATGGTACGTAGTCGCAGCTGTTTTCATTCGTTGGGACAAAGGATTGACAGATGAACAGCCTTTTATGATCAACATGCTTGCCCAGCAGACAGCTACAATCGAGATGCTCAAGAAGGATAACGAGGAGCGCAAGGCAAGGGAGGCATCCCAGCAGAAGGACGAAGACAACACTCCGATTCTCGGTGGATCGCGCCTGCTGCTAACGCAGGGACCCATCAACAGCGCGCCATCGCCGACCCCTTATGGCCAGCCCAACGGCATCGCACCTCAAGCCACTGGCTTCCGGGCATTCTAGAATACAGGCCCTCGTTCGCCCGCAGCTAATGTGCGTGCAGTGTGTTTGAGAAGCGACGGCCAAGATTTTTAAGACAATCGCCGCATCTACCCGACCATGCGTCCACGCAGCAGTTTGAGTTCATTGTTTTTTCCAACGACGTTTTCGGGAGTCACGGTGACCGAGGATGGGATTCTCTTGGGAGACAATGCGATTGTACAATTGAGGCTCAGGGCCCCAGACCGCCCTGGGAGTCCTGTGGGTATCTTTCACGCCTTCTACACGTGTGTATGTAATTTGGGAGCCTTGGTTCCTTTTGACAGCAACGTGCGGAGATACGCCGGGAGATGGTGGATCTGTGGGATCGATTTCCCCGGCTGCATGCCTGTGCTGTTTTGAGGTGTGCTCGTGGATGGGGAATGAGTTAGAAAAGTGCCGCGTGTCTTGCTTTACTTTTTTTGAACTTGCGTTTACGGTGAGCTGTGTACAGTAGTAGAACATACGGTGTGTCTCGTTCTTCCTCTTTTTTACCCAGTTTCCGTAGTCTAAAGCCTTCCACGTGCCCTCTCTCGTTTGCTACGTTGGTGGTTTTTGTCTCCACGTTTACGGGACGACGAGTAGTGTGAGGCGGTTAAGCAAGCCCGAATCCACGTGACGGCTGTTCTACAGATCTACGATGTCAGGACTGTCAGGCGAAGTTTTTGCGGCCGTTGCGACGGACATCACTGTACGTATGCTACGTGACGGAAGACGGTGAGGGCACCGTTCAGGTTCTGACGCTCTTAAGACGAGTTTGGCAGCCTCGTGCCCATGACTGCCGTGGCAGGAGCCACAAAGACCATGGATGCGAGAGAGAGACAAAGGAGGGCAGATCCCTTCTCCATGTCGGTTGTTGTCACGTCCGTTAGCCGGGCCGCCGACAGCATCGAGGGCCACCATGCTTCGCGCTAGGAGAGCTGCCGAAGGTCTCCAGTCACGGACGCTTGGCACAGTTTGAGATCTCGCAATCTTGCACCGGCAAAAGCACGGATCGAAACAGGCACAGTCCCCAAGCCAAAAAAAGGAAAAAAAAAAATAATCAGAGTGGTCGAGAGCAAGGACGACGTCACTGGTCCAGGGAGGGTGAAACCCCCCCCACCCGGCCACGCTGGGCTTCGGACGAGGCAAGATCGCCGCGCGTTACAAGGACGAGAAGATCTCGTTTCTTTGTCAGAGCTGTCGAAGGCGCTGCGCGCACATGTGGGTGCGTTTGTTTGCGCGTGAAGCTAAGAGAGTCAACCTCGACCCAAGGGCGGCTTTAGAAAGGCGAGCTCGCTTATTGGTCTCTGCTGGCGGCCACGGCCAGCCTCGCGCATGACGACTCACGTCGACAGAACCCGAGGTCGCACACCATCAGCAGTCGCAAGCAAGACCACCAAGCTGAATTCGAGATCGTGTAAGGTGGGCAAAAGACAGAGAGACGGCGCGTGCGAGAGAGTGTGTACTCGGCTTTGCGTGCCTCCTCGTGCGGCAGCCATGTGTGTGTGTATGTGTGTGTGTGTTGTGTGGCTCTCGCACCTGGCGAGTCCAAGAGGGCATATGCAGGAACCAGTCACGGAGCATGATGACCCGCGACGTGCGACAACGGGGGGAAAGGCATCGTGGTCAACTCAGTCAGAGAGTGTGAGATTGTCCGGGGCGGTTTAGAGAGCAGCGGGCGACGGCTCTCAGCGAACGTGCGGACTTGCAGCTCATCCCCGAGCTTATGCTTTTGGTTGAGCCAAAAAACACTCATGCGTAGGGGAAGACTTGTGGCTACCCCGGGTTACAGACTCCGGCTCTTCCCATGGCAGGCTGCTGTCGAAGGTCTGGCAAAGCCAGCCAGCCTTTCACGTTCCATTTTTCCGAGGCCGTCACGATGCGCATATAGCCGGGCGAGCATTCATGGCCGCCATGGTGGCTCGCTAGCGACAGGAGTTGAGCTTCAAAAGCAGACGAACAACCCGGCTTGCGGCGTCGCGATTCCATCTTCTGCTCTCAGCTCGGAAATCCTTTGCTTTGCTTTCCTCGTTTCGGCTGTGTCTTTCCCACCATCCTTCGCCGCCTTTTTCTGCACTGTCCGGCCTGGCCGTCGTCCTTTTGCCAATCGTCACGTAGAGCGGAGCGTCGCGTTGGTCTGCGACGGAGAATCGCACGAGGCGACACTCGTTTACACGTCCTTGCTGGCACTTCCCGCGTTGCGGCTTCAGCCAGAGCGGAAGGGATCAACGAGAACAGCAAGAAGAAGAGACGCCGAGCAGTTCGGGCTTTCACCGTCCAGCAGCACGACGTCCACAAGGCAAGCCTCGTCGCGCAGGTGAGTGTCAAGCAGCCTTGCTTTTTCCCTTTTCTGCCGAGCCCGTGACGACGGGCGTTCTGGATCGGGCGCGCCTGCCCCGCCTGCACCGAGCTCGCTCGCACCTTCCCCCGATGCCTGCGCAGCTCAGCTCGGGTCGGGCCCAGCTCGAACTCGACGGGAAAGCGCCAACAACCCAGCGCCTGCCCAGCACCAGCACCAAGAGACGCACTCGCCCACACGCGCGTCCACGTCGCCCGCACACAGAGACACACGCAGACTCACTCCAGCACACACACAAGCACACACACACACACACACAGACTCACCCGTCTCCGACTCTTGCCTTGCATCACCCTTACCGCCCCCGTGCGCACGCTTGCATCACGGCAGATCATCTACTTCTCTCTCTCTCTCTGCGCGCGGATCTTGCTCTTCCACCCGCTCTCCCTCTCTCGCTCCCAATTGCCTCCTCTCCCGTCTGCTCTCCCTCTGCAATCAACCCAATTGATCGAAAACCCGCCCAAGTCCTCTGCTGCCTCGCCCCCGCCAAACCACCCGGTCCGCGGCACGCCCACCCTCCTCCCCTTCCTCCATTGACTCGCTCGAGCCCGCCCAGCTGTTCTCCAACGTGAGTTATTTTTTCCGTCGTTAGCCTGCATGCTCTTCTCCAAGGCCGTGCCCGCCGGGCGGAAAGTTTGGGGTTCGTCATGCACACCGCAAAGCCAGCCCGCCTGCACGCGCTAGCTCGACACCTTGGAGGGGCCAAGTGGGAGCTTTGCAGCACGCCCGTTTGATACCGATTCGGCTCGCATGATGATGATAAACAAAATAACTTAACCAGTTCATGGCGCCATACCCTCGCCTGTTCCTTTGCAATTGACGTTTAAAAAGGCTGCTGCTGACCTGCTTCCTTCAGCCTCCTCTCCTCTTGCCCAACCACCCCCTCCGTGCACTTTCTCGCTGCCCGCACGCTCGTTTGCTGAGAGTCCAGCAACACAACCACCACCGCCGACACCTCCTCCTCCTCCACCTCTGCCATCACCGCCGTCATGTCGGGCCTCATCTCAGCCCCCGTCGTGCCCGAGGAGGCAATTGATGACTCCGACTTGCACACCACCGTCAAGAACTCGGTGCATCACCGGTTGCGGGCCAACAGCTCCATCATGCAGATGAAAAAGCTGATGGGTGAGTTTTGTTTTTTTTTCTTTTTCCCCTCGTCGCCTCCCGCCCGCCGACCCCTCTGTGGTTGAGGTATGGGCCCTAGCCGGATGTCATTTGCTGATACTGGAGATAACGCAGTGGCCAACCGCGGCGAGATCCCCATTCGCATCTTCAGAACCGCCCACGAGCTTTCGCTACACACCGTCGCCATCTACAGTCATGAGGACCGCATGGGCATGCACAGGCAAAAGGCCGACGAGGCCTATGTCATCGGCAAGCGTGGCCAGTATACGCCCGTCGGCGCTTACCTGGCCGCTGACGAGATCGTAAAGATCGCCGTCGAGCACGATGTCAACATGATCCACCCTGGCTACGGCTTCCTCTCCGAGAACGCCGAATTCGCTCGCAAAGTTGAGGCCGCTGGCATTGTGGTATGTACAAATTCCAATTGTCTCATTTTTTTTTCTTCCAAAAAAAAACATCTTTCATCTTTTCCAGTTTTGCCCCTCTCTTTTTTCACGCGGGATGCAATTGGACGAGGGGTTCAGAAGCCAACCCATCTAAACTTCCACCACCAAGGAGAAACCTAAGCTCATTGACCGACAAATATCTCAACCTTGTCGCACGTGAATCAATGGTGTTTTTCTTGGGTGTTTGGCCTTGTCACTTGCATTACGTTGAGGCTTGCTGCGCGGGATTAGCTGCAGACTGACGAGATCTTAGTTCGTTGGCCCGAGCCCAGACACCATCGACGCTTTGGGCGACAAGGTCTCCGCGCGCAGACTGGCCATCAAGTGTGGCGTGCCCGTCGTGCCAGGCACGCCAGATCCAGTCGAGACGTACGAGGAAGTCAAGAGCTTCACCGACGAGCATGGCTTCCCGATCATCATCAAAGCCGCCTTTGGTGGCGGTGGGCGTGGCATGCGCGTCGTCCGCAACCAGGAAGATCTGAAGGACTCGTTCGAGCGTGCTACCTCTGAGGCGAAATCGGCCTTTGGCAACGGCACCGTCTTCGTCGAGCGTTTCTTGGACAAGCCCAAGCACATTGAGGTTCAGCTCCTTGGCGACAACCATGGCAACGTTGTTCACCTGTACGAGCGTGACTGCTCCGTTCAGCGTCGCCACCAGAAGGTTGTCGAGCTGGCTCCTGCGCCAACGCTCCCCATTGCAACGCGCGACGCCATCTTGGCCGACGCTGTGAAGCTCGCCAAGTCAGTCAACTACCGCAACGCTGGTACTGCCGAGTTCTTGGTCGATCAGCAGAACCGATACTACTTCATCGAGATCAACCCCAGAATGTGAGTTGCATTCCCTTATGTCCCAACAAAAGGACGATTACCCTCTTCCCCTCTTTGGCTCCTACCTGAGAAACAAGGAGGGCGGAGAGCAAAGATTGGAAAAAATGCGGCACAGAGTACGATTTCTGACCTTTTTGAGACAGCCAAGTCGAGCACACTATTACCGAGGAGATCACCGGCATAGATATCGTTGCCGCACAGATCCAGATCGCTGCTGGCGCTTCGCTCGCTCAGCTTGGCCTCACACAAGATCGCATCACAACCCGCGGCTTCGCTATCCAGTGCCGTATTACAACCGAAGATCCCGCAAAAGGCTTCGCTCCCGACACCGGCAAGATCGAGGTCTACCGATCCGCTGGTGGAAATGGCGTGAGGTAAGAAAGAAACAAACGCACGTCATCAAATTCTTCAAGTACACTCGAGCTGACCAAAAATCTCCAAAAGGCTGGACGGTGGTAATGGTTACGCGGGCTCCGTTATCACACCTCACTATGACTCCATGTTGGTCAAGTGTACCTGCCACGGTTCCACATATGAGATCGCCCGACGAAAGATCCTTCGTGCTCTCGTCGAATTCCGTATCCGCGGTGTGAAGACCAACATTCCCTTCTTGACCTCGCTTCTCTCGCATCCTATCTTCATCCAGGGTGACTGCTGGACGACGTTCATCGACGACACTCCAGAACTCTTCAACCTCGTCAGCAGTCAGAACCGTGCCCAGAAGCTGCTCAGTTACCTGGGTGATCTTGCCGTTAACGGCAGTCAGATCAAGGGCCAAGTTGGCGAGCCCAAGTTCAAGGGTGAGGTTAAGATTCCCGAGATCGTCGACTCCAAGGGCCAGGTCATCGACGTGTCGAAGCCATGCCCTGTCGGCTTCAGGAAGATCTTCCTTGAGCAGGGCCCAGAGGCCTTCGCGAAGGCTGTTCGTGCCTATCCGGGCTGCCTGATCATGGACACAACATGGAGAGACGCCCACCAGTCGCTCCTTGCCACGCGCGTCCGAACTGTTGATATGCTCAACATTGCCAAGGAGACGAGCTACGCTCTCAGCAACGCCTGGGCTCTCGAGTGCTGGGGTGGCGCCACCTTCGACGTCGCCATGCGTTTCTTGTACGAGGATCCATGGGACCGTCTGAGGAAGATGAGGAAGCTCGTGCCCAACATCCCCTTCCAGATGTTGCTCCGCGGCGCCAACGGTGTCGCCTACTCCTCGCTTCCCGACAACGCGATCGTCCATTTCTGCGAGCAGGCAAAGAAGAATGGCATGGACATATTCCGTGTCTTTGACGCCCTCAACGACGTCACCCAGCTCGAGGTCGGCATCAAAGCCGTCGTTAAGGCCGGCGGTATCGCCGAAGGCGCCATGTGCTACAGCGGCGACATGTTGAACCCGAAGAAGAAGTACAACTTTGACTACTACATGGACCTTGCCGACAAGATCGTCGGCATGGGCGCTCATATCCTCGGTATCAAGGATATGGCCGGTGTGCTGAAGCCTACTGCCGCCACCAAACTTGTTGGTGCTTTGAGGGAGAGGTTCCCAGACATTCCCATCCACGTGCACACTCACGACTCCGCCGGTACTGGTGTCGCCTCCATGATCGCATGTGCCCAGGCCGGCGCCGATGCTGTCGACTGCGCCACCGACAGCATGTCCGGCATGACCTCTCAGCCAAGTATCGGTGCCGTCGTTGCCTCGTTGGCTGGCACCAAATACGACACCGGTCTCGACCCTGCTGCGCTTCGCGCCATTGACAGCTACTGGGCACAGGTTCGCCTTCTCTACTCGCCGTTCGAAGCCGGCCTCACCGGCCCAGATCCCGAGGTCTACGAGCACGAGATCCCCGGCGGTCAGCTCACCAACCTCATCTTCCAGGCCTCCCAGCAAGGCCTTGGCGAGAAGTGGGCCCAGACCAAGAAGGCCTACGAGCAGGCCAACGACTTGCTTGGCGACATCGTCAAGGTCACGCCCACGTCCAAGGTCGTTGGCGACTTGGCTCAGTTCATGGTCTCCAACAACCTTAGCTACAACGATGTGCTCGAGAGGGCCGACAAGCTCGACTTCCCGTCCTCTGTCCTCGAATTCTTCGAGGGGTTGATGGGTCAACCGTACGGAGGATTCCCAGAGCCACTGCGCACCAAGGCCCTGCGTGGTCGTAGAAAGATGGACAAGCGACCGGGTCTCTACTTCGAGCCTGTGGATATCGACAAGGTCCGCAAGGAGCTGAAGGAGAAGTACGGAGGCGCCACTGAGACGGACGTCGCCTCGTACATCATGTACCCCAAGGTGTTTGAGGACTTCAAGAAGTTCACAGACAAGTATGGCGATCTTTCAGTCGTTCCCACGCGCTACTTCCTCGCCAAGCCAGAGGTGGGCGAAGAGTTCCACGTCGAGCTCGAGAAGGGCAAGGTGCTGATTCTCAAGCTGCTCGCCATCGGCCCGCTCAGCGAGCAAACTGGTCAAAGGGAGGTGTTCTACGAGATGAATGGAGAGGTGCGACAAGTCACCGTGGACGACAAGCATGCCGCCGTGGAGAACGTGTCGCGTGTCAAGGCCGACGCATCGGATTCGAGCCAGGTCGGCTCACCAATGGCGGGTGTCGTTGTCGAAGTTAGAGTCAAGGAGGGTGCGGACGTCAACAAGGGCGATCCCATTGCCATTCTGAGCGCGATGAAGATGGTACGTTTTTCATTCTTTCTCCTTTTTCTTCATCTATCTACTCTTTGCACGCCTAGTCGTTCGATGCGATGGAAATAAAAACAAAAATTAATAAGAAAACCGCTAACAACACGCGAACAGGAAATGGTCATCTCGGCGCCGCACAGTGGTAAAGTTGGAAGCCTTAGCGTCAAGGATGGCGACTCGGTTGACTCGCAGGATCTGATCTGTAAGATTGTCAAGTGAGAAAACTCGGCGGCGGTTCTTTGTCCGTTTCCCTTAGGTTAGCTGAAACGTATATATATACGAATGATGTTATTGTTCCCTCTTGTACATCGTCTCAACGTGACAGTTTTTAGTGCCGAAATAAATTTTTTTTTCCCCCTCGATCTACGTTGGTAGCTTAGAGAATTCGAAGTGATTCGTCGGGTCTCGAATTTTCTTACTTTTTTTTGGTCTTGGACTTGAAGTGCCTTTCTGGGATTTTATTCTGCTATCACCCCACTTTGTTGGGCTATGAAGTGCTATAATAGCTCTCATCGGCTCGCCTGTTCCCATCACACATTTTGGCGATGCATCGGCCTTCTTCCAGCTTCTCCGCATGTATTCTTGCCAAGTAGCCCAACCGCGTGTGTGAATCCTAGAGCACGGCGATTTGATTCCGCATCGTTCGATAGATTTCCTTGCTGATTCCCGCCGTCGTCGAAACGCCTTCAAAAAAACAATCATCTGCCGCCGAATCCTGGGGGGGCGCCTGGAAATCCGCGTCCGCCAGGGGGTTGGAAGCCCGGTGGTGGTTGGAAGCCTGGGGGACCGGCAGGAGGGAAGCCTGGAGGCGCAAAGCCCGCTGCGAGGTTGTGTCAGCACGTCTCGGTTCGCCGAAAGGGCGGTGAAGGGCAAGTGGGAGTTTGGGAACGTACGAGGACCACCACCCCTTCCGGCGGGGAACCCACCAAAACCGCCTGGCGCGCCCGGGAAGCCTGGCGGTGCCGGACCACCCACGCCGGGCGCGGGCCCAGTCAGTCCAATCGGCGCCCCGCGACCGCCCGGTCTCGCTATGCCTGGCCCAGCGCTCAGCGCCGCCGTGCCGACAGGACCGCCTGCAGGGTTGCTCGTGCCCAGTCTCGCGCTCGGGTCGGCCGGGGGCGGGCCCTCGACGGTAAGTGAGACGATGTGGGCGCCGCGCACGATGAGCAGGCCGAGGGTGCGCTTCTCGTCGATCTCGACCACGTCCGCTGACGACGACGAGCCCGGCGCGGACGGGCCCTTCTTGGCGCGCTGCTTGATGCGTCGGAACTCTTCCGTGTCGGCCAGGACGAGGTTCATGTGCTTGTCGAAGGCGAGCATCTGGCCCGTCAGCTGGCGGCCGTCCTCGAGCGTGGCGCGCATGCGGTAGTTGACCTGTGGGAAACCACGCCCAAAGTTAGCACCGCCTCGTCTTCCATCAGGTACCTCTCTTCTCCCGCTGCTCTCGGCAGGGAGACGGGGGGCTCAGTGGTCTCGTACATAGTTTGTCTGCGTCGCCCAAAAGGTTAGCTCGCCGCGCCTTCTCGCCGTCACCGCGCCGTCGTCTCGTTAGGACTCACCATCTTGCCCTGCTTGTTTTGCGACGTCATCTTTCCTTGTCTTTGCGCGCGGACGCGACTTTCGTAGCCGTCACGCTGACTTCTTTCGTACTCTGCTCCGTCGGAGGCGAATAGGTGCGCTTACGCCCTCGCTCTTTAGCCGAAATTTTTCTCTTGCTCGGGTTCGAGAGGTCTTCGTGGGCTTCGTGCCTGCCGCTCTTGCCTCGAGGCGACCGACGAAAGCCACCTACCACTTCTTGGGGACGCCTATCGATCCAGCGCGGCAGAAGTATGGAACGGTCCGTGGATTTTTTTTTCGCGTGGCAATTGATGAATACGGGAGAGCCGCTGCGTTCTGGTGGGGGAAAGTTCGTTCGTAGCAACAAAAGTTCAAAAGCTGCGATTTGAGACCAGGGGGGGGTCTGTAGAAGGTGAGCTTTTCCGACCAATCAGCGCGGCACGGCTCAGGCGCCAAGGCGTCAACCGCTTCTGGTGCTGCACACCACGAAATCCAAAATTCTCCCCCGTCTGTGAGTACCCCGACCAAACTTTCTGTGCACATAACACACGTTGCCGACATCGACGAACGTCAAGCAGTCAAGATGGTGAGCGCATTGCCGTCGGTACCGAGCCGGCCATAAACTTTGGCTAACGTTGGTTGCAGTCTGAGGGAAAGGACAAGAGCCAGAATCCTATGCGCGGTTGGTGCTTCCCTTCCTACATTTACATACACACTCCATCTCTCTATCTCACATGTGCACACATGTCAACCGTCCTCGTCGAGATGTCAATTGCTAATTTTTGTAAACAGAGCTGCGCGTCCAGAAGCTCGTACGTACACATCCACGCCGAACACACCTTGTGAACCTGCGAATAGCCTGAAACACAAGGGTATTCGTGAGAAGAGTTCCCGGCTTATGATGTTCTAGGTTCTCAACATCTCAGTGGGCGAGTCTGGTGACAGGCTTACCCGTGCCGCAAAGGTGCTTGAACAGCTTTCTGGTCAAACCCCAGTGTACTGTACGTGCTTTGCCCCATCTCCAACAGTCGGCAGCGTGCGTTCACGTACTGACGCAAGTGACCAACAGCCAAGGCTCGCTACACCGTCCGTACCTTTGGTATCCGCCGTAACGAAAAGATCGCCGTCCACGTCACCGTGCGTGGTGAGAAGGCCATCGAGATTCTTGAGCGTGGCCTCAAGGTCAAGGAGTACGAGCTCCGCAACCGCAACTTCTCTGAGACGGGCAACTTCGGCTTCGGTATCTCCGAACACATCGATCTGGGCATCAAGTACGATCCTTCCATTGGTATCTACGGCATGGACTTCTACTGCTGCATGACCCGTCTGGGCGAGCGTGTTGCCAAGCGGAGACGCGGCAAGTCGCGCATTGGTGCTTCGCACAGAATCACCAAGCAGGAGACGGTATGTACTATGGCTTCACCTCCCTGTGCTATGCCTCGGGCAACTCTAACTCTTAATTCAGATCAAGTGGTACAAGCAACGCTTCGAGGGTATCGTCAGGTAAATGTCACGCTAGTGTACACAGTAGAGGAGTGAGATTTCCATTTGCATGGTATGAAATGGTCATGTACTACGATCATCAGGTCAGGAGTTCACTGGGCTAGCGGACAAAGTCGCCTTGTCAGCTTTTTCGAAATGCATACTTTCCAAATGAAAAGCACGACTGGCCTCTCTCCTATGGGGTGGGGCATCGTTGCAAGTAAGCAAGCTAGCAATGAAAAAAAGCGCTGCCACTTTTTTACCAAACTTGCCCCAAGTATCACGATCCGCTTTCAAAATTTCATAGCCATTGATTGATCGTAATTTCCATAGAGCCGATATATTGATGACAACTTTGGATCATCCCGTCTTGCCTTAGTTTGCCTGATCCTAATATAACATGTAAGCACGACGCCCGTTTTCCATCAAACCACTCAAAATAAGATGTGCAATTCTTTTTACTGCATGACTCCTTTGGAGACTATTGACTCTTAGTCTCGGATATAATAGTCCCCGACTTCGTCATGTTGTATTACTGTACCCATAGTTGACCCTTCGAGCTAGATCGTCGGACGAACATTTGCTCAAACGTTCAGTAGCGCTTTTGTTTTTTGCAGCGCGTCTACCCGTGCTCTCCTTTACCTGGCGTGCGTTTTCGCCTTTGCTTCGAAGTGACAAGGCCAATGGTTGGATTCGCAAAGGAACGAGTGGTCGTTGCTGTTGCTCGGTGCAAATACGTGGTCCCCAGACCCTTATCACAAAGACGACAAGACGATTATTGGAGGGCCTTGGATGAGACGATGTTATACGGCGCATCACCAGCTATCTGCACCTTCACGTCCCAAGAATGAAGAATACGTCCCGGTAAATTATTGTCTACTTCTTAGTACCTTCTTCTGTTTTCGTTGTGCTTTTAACGAGTATGGAGTTCGATTTTGAGTTGGTGTCTTTTTGTTTGCTCTCGCAATCCGGCTCTTATGTCGAAGTCTATCATGATCATCCGCGCCATTCACCTCCACCTCCACCGCCGCCGCCGCCGCCACACTACTTAATAAGCCTCCGCGAACTTGCTTCTGGCACGTAGATACGGGCCCCACTTCCAGAGACCCACGAACACGATCGCACAGCCCGCAGCAAGACCGCCAAGTACGGCACATCCGTTTCCCACGCCCAGATTGTTGAACAGGGGTTGCGAGAAATGTATTGCCGCGCAAGCCATGGCACTGCGGAAGAAACCGTTCGCGGCAAAAATGCTGGCCACATATCGGGGATAAGATAATGGGAGATATATGAAGAGACTATTGATAAGCTGCGATGAACAAAAAAAAAGAGTTAAGAATGTGAGCTTGACGTCAAATCTGCCTGACGATCCGTTCAGGGGGGACTTACGATGAACGTGGTGGCTGCGTAAAGAGAAAGGCCAACCGTTGGTCCTACCCAGGTGATTGAAGGCTTCGCTGCGTAGCCGAAGATGAACATTCCCACCGGAGTAAGGGCGGCGGTGGGAATGCCAGGGACAAGGCGGTACTCAGGCTTGCCGATGCCTCTTTGTAAGTTGTAAGGTTCATATACTACCCTGATGATGACTGCGTAGATGATCAACGCGCTGGGGTAGGTCGTTAGCATTTCCTAGTGCCGAGAGAGAAGGAGGGCAGGGAAACGCACATTCCGGCACCAATGATGATGGAAAGGAATACGATACCCATGACTCCGATAGAGAAGCCGTACATTCGGATGTAAACCAGCGGGAAAGACTCGAAGAACGAATAGTAGATTCCATAGACCAAGGCCGTGTAGCTGTTGATGAACAGAATAGACGGATCCAGCGCCGTAATCTTGAAAGGCATAATTAGATGGTAGGAGATCAGCTTGAGCCAATCTTTCTGTCGTGCGTGGGCTTCAAATTCGGACTTCAAGTCCTGGTTCCCCGTCTTGATGCGTAGACGCGCAGCACGTTTGGTCAGAATGTACTCGGCACTCGTCTCGGGAAGGAAGAAGAAGAGTAGAAACAACGTGAAGCCGGCCAAGATGAGGGTTTCGTAGAATGACCAGCGCCAGGTATCAAGAGGAACAGCAAAGCCCGTCAGCAGCGGGCCAATGGCCGGGCCAGCGTACGCAAAAAGAGTCCAGAAGGAGACGCCGTACTGGACCTTGTGAAAGGGAAGAATGTCCTGCGCGCTTGCCGCACCCATGGCCAACACGGGTCCACCGAAAAAGCCTTGTATGAAACGGACGACGACGATGCCTGGGTAATTGTTTACTCCAGAGCCCACAGCCGTCATGATAATGAAGACGACGAAGCTGCCCATGTAGGCAATGTTTCGTCCAACGTCACCCATCTCGCTCATTGGAGAGAATACCAAAGGTCCTATACCCTGGCGCGGTATCGTGAGCCTCGCTGCTTGTGTGCTATCAAATAGGAAAAGAGTGTACTAACATAGCCTATCACGTACATCGACAAACTCAACGCGGAGACTTGCCCGCTGAGGCCAAACTTTTCCTCGAAAGTAGGCTCAGCAGGCGTGACGATAGCCGAAGCGCTGTATACTGTTCAAAAGAGAAAGTTAGCTCACCCCCTAGTTCCCGTCCCGGGACCCATCTCGTTGCGGCCGAACTCACTGGTAAACGTCAGCAAACATATCTCACCAAAGGTGAAGCACTTCTTCAACGTAGACCAGTTTTGCGGGTTGTCCTCGTCGTTCGGCCCAGTCCAGGTGATTATGTTTGGATCGCGAGCTGCTCGAGTCTGAGTAGGAACGTTGGCATCGAAAGCACCTGTTGCATTGCCCTCAACATCCTCTTCCACATTCTTCTCTGCTTCCGCCTCTGAGGGATCGTCGGCTTCATCACTGCTTCCGTTCACGGATGGTACAGCTGGAAATGCAGCTTGCGGGCGCTCTGCCTGGGGCAGAGAAAACCCTTCCTTTTCGTCTTCGTACGGCGCGATCTTCATGCCCAGAAACAGTCGGCATATCTGCCCTGCAGACGAGTCTCGAAATATTGCTGCCATAGTCGCTGGGATAGAGTTCGTATGTTTGATCCGTCTGCAACGCAAACTGGATTTGCTCGCAGACACAAGCTGACGGATGCTTGAGATATGCTGTACAGTAGCTGGTCTTTAAGATGGGAGGAAAACCCAGCGTGGCAAATTGATAGGTTTTCCTTCCGAAAGAGATGGTACTGATATACCACAACGTACTCCTGTTCGTGCTGCGTTTCTTTCCTGGGCGACCGCATCTCTATTGTTCATGAGCTTCCTGATTCGCCGTATGTAGTGTCACCGTCATTAAATTCTATCTCACCTCAGCATTGTTTCCACATGGCGATGATTTGAAGGCTGACGAGCAACCGCTCGGGGATGGTAAGTAATCATCACACACGCCGGCGTTCAGGTTAACGGAATGGCACTTTTCAAATCCGAGGGATGTTAATCCGCAAAGAAATGCCATCAAAATTACTTTGACGAAGCTTTTTCTCCTCCTCAGATTGCAGTCATTGGTGCTGTTCTAAAACAGAGAAACAAACTGCTGGTCGACATGTGAATTCAGAGTCCATTGCGTTTGCCTTGTGTGAATCATTCAGCACAAGATCTTGGATTCTGAGCAGTGGGCGGAATGACGACAAGGCCGGAACAAATTGACGTAACACTCGAATCACGGTAATAATGTCTTACTTGAGAAAAAACAACTTACCGGTGGCACCTCAACGAAATCTGGTTGGATTTAGGCTGTTGTTCCAACCAGAAGGAGGCATCTGACTAAGGATGCTGACAGCACCTTAAGTAAAGCTTGTGCTCAAAATGAGTAGATGGGGTTGAACCAGACTTGGTGGGCTCTACATCCCATGCGGACAGACTTATCCATAAAAGAGTTATACGACCATTTCATTATCGTAATACTTCGCCATTTTGATACAGGGCCTGGCAACTTCGACTCTTCAAATCGATGGAGCATTGTACACTGCTTGGGTTCACTTGATGCCACAATCACAAAATACCTTTCCCACCAAAGAACATGTGGAGGCCGAGTTGTTATATCCTGAAGCAGCACAGTAGAGACGACGAATGTTATATGTAAATGTGTACAAAGCCTCTTATCTGTCGCATTACCGAAGTTGCTTTGCTCCTCCTATTCCGCCCGCTTGGCCCAAGGAGGAAATTATGGCGTGCGGAGCGGAACAAGGACTTGGCATCGCTTGAGTTCCGATGTCCGGGCTTTTCGATTCTTAGACTATCAAGTTATCAATAAACAGCAGCAATCATCCATTGCACCTCTGGTCAACATGGCTGCCGCAATCAAGGCGCTGAATGCGCGGATACGCGCCAATCCCACGCTGGACTACTTCTGCTCAACTCGTAGGTTGTCCCTTGCAATGCGCGATTACAAAGGCCACGCGGAAGAGACGGAGTCACCACAAAGCCTTCATATCTGTTTGTGAACAGGATTGCTTTGAAGCGGCAATCAGTTGGTCCTCTGCGTGGAAGCCTATTCGAAAAGCCAATTCGCAACAAAGAAGAGCTGACTCGGTCCTTTGCAGACTTTTGGGGTCCAGCTTCAAACTTCGGTATCCCCATTGCCGCAGTCATGGACACCCAGAAGGATCCTGAGATGTACGTTAAAGCCGAAGCTGAGGAGGCCGGGCATGAAGATACAAGCTAACTGTCGTGCCCACAGTATTTCAGGACCCATGACCGGTACCCTCATCCTCTATTCCAGCATCTTCGCTCGCTACGCTCTGGCCGTCACACCAAAGAATTATCTCCTCTTCGGGTGCCACGTCATCAACTGCAGTGCGCAAATTACACAGGGCTACAGATATCTCAAGTACTGGAAGTAAGTGGCGGATGGGGCCACTCAAGGCCAGAGAACGGATCGCTGACAATGTCCGCAGGTTTGGAGGCCGTGAAGCGGCGCTAGAGCAGAAAGCCAAGGAGGGGGCTTCAGCTGCGAAGGATGTAGCCAATAAGGGTGTCGAAGCTATCAAGGACGCGGCGAAGGATGTCAAGGACAAGGTGACAAGCTCATAGCGTGCCGTGCCTCAAAGAGGTTACCAAGCTAAAGAATCTTTCCTGGGCCTTTGAAGACAAGTCTCGCGCAGAAGAGGTCGAAATGTTCGTTAAGCGTAAACTCTAGAGCACAGAGCAAATGGGAAAGTAATTTGATTACCTGTTCACAACCAGTCCGCCTTGTCCCAACATCAACCTCTGAAGTCTATAACTACGCATACACGCTGTCAGTTTCCTGTCCGTCCACCACGCAAAGCGTCAATCCAAAGATGCAGTCGGCTTTTGGCAACAAGAACCTAGTCTAGAAGTATTCAGTGCGAAGCGCTAAGAACTACTTTGTTGGGACGGGTTGAGGGGTTGGTGCTGTGTGATCTTCAGCGAAGGATTTGGCCACGCGTTCGTGATTGGCGTTAGTATAGATCAGGGAAAAGCCATATCTCAGGTATATGAATGTGGGAAGTTTCTTGGATATACAGAATTACATACACCTAACATCAAAGACATGTCTACATTGCCACAGCAGTATTTAAAAGCAGCGAGCATATAAAGATCTAAGCACCACCCAATGCAATTTCTATGCCACAAGAAGAAATCACTCATGTTTAGCATGCCCATTCATCTCGCTCTTAATCTTTCGTCTTGATTTTTTCTCTACCACAGGTGTCTTCTGTGTAAACCAAGATCTTTCAATCCATTTGAGGATTTCGTCGATCGCTATGATGGGTGCACTAATCCACAAAACAGCCTGCCATTCAGCCTGATTAAGTGGCACAATGCTGAATAGGCTTTGCAAGAATGGAATGTATAGGAGTGCAAAGTGCAGGGCCATTGAAAGGCAGATGGCATAAACAAGGACCATGTTCTTCCATAGTGGGAGTGTTAGGAGAGACTCTGATGAGGACAGAGCATTCATGGCGTTGAACATTTCGATGACTACTAGTATGGAGAGTGACATTGTCGAAGCAGCTTTGGCAGAGTCGTTGCTGAACATTTGGCAGCCAATTTCAGGGAATTCGGATGCACAGCGGTGAAAGTTGCACTATAAAAAGTAAGTATGGCAAACACATGAAGACAACGCAGAGAGATCTACATACCAGTTGGGAGAAAGTTATTTGTGGTCCTTCCGGGTAGAACATGAACCACCATGCATAACCGAAAACAGTCGCAGCGCCGACATATGTGCCAATGACCATGTATCTAAAGAACAGCCATCCGCCAACAAGGGCTTCGTCTCGTTTTCTTGGTGGACGCTTCATGATATCATGATCAGGCGGGTTGAATGAAAGAGCCGTTGCCGGAAGGCCATCGGTGACGAGATTGACCCACAACAGTTGTACAGGAATCAAGGCCTCCGGCATGCCAAGAGCGGCCGTCAAGAAAATCGAGACGACCTCTCCGATATTCGAAGAGATCAGGTACCTAATGAATTGTTGGGTATTGTTGTAAATCGATCTGCCTTCTTCAACGGCGCTCTCGATCGTGGCAAAATTGTTGTCAGCGAGAACCATATCCGCTGCAAGACGGGCAACATCAGTTCCAGCACCCATGGCAACGCCAATATCAGCCTTCTTTAGAGCTGGTGCGTCGTTGACACCATCGCCAGTCATCGCGACAACTTCACCAGCAGATTGAAGAAGATCAACAAGCCTAGATTTATGTGCTGGCTCTGTGCGTGAGAATAAGTTGGCCTTCAAAGCGGCCTCCAGTTGTTCGCTCTCACTCAGGTCGTCAAATTCACGTCCAGTATAGCTCTTGCCGGTCAAGTCCTCATTTTCGCCGAAGACACCAATTTGTCTGCATATCGTCTCTGCAGTATTTCGATTGTCGCCTGTGATGACCACGACACGAATACCAGCTTCCTTACACTTTCTGATGGCATCTGCAACCTCAGGTCTAGGGGGGTCCAGCATGCCAACAAGACCAATTAACGTCATATTCTGCTCGATCTGCGCATAATCTTGACTCGTCTTAGCTCTTTTGATTAGTGGGTTACCGCTGACATCATCAACAGCAGCTAGAGCGATAACGCGAAGACCACGGTTGCCGAAATCAAGCACTTCCCGTGAAATCAGCTGCGAGAGATTATTGGTCATAGCAACTTTCTTGCCATCATGTCCAACCAAGACTTGTGTACAGCGGGCGAGAATAGATTCCGGGGCACCTTTGACCAGTAGCCGCTGCTTGTTTCCGCTCTTAACCAACACTGACATGCTCTTTCGGTCACGTGCGAACTCAAAGGTGGCAAGCCTAGGCGCATGTTCTTCATAATATCTGCTGTGGTAGTGAAGTTTTTGATCAGGTGATGCTGTGCTCCTTGCGGCATTGAAGCTTGCCTCAGGCGTTCCAATCTTTTCAACCAGGACACGCAGCGCTCCTTCAGTAGGCTCGCCAATAATACCATAACTGCCGTTTTTAGCATCGATAGATAAGTAGGATTCGTTGCACAGGGCTGCAACTTCTGTAAGTTGCAGAATAGTTGACGATGAAGCTGCAGCATTCTCGAGAAGCTTCCCTTTGTAGGAGAGACTGCCCTCAGGTGCAAAGCTCGTGCCTTCGACATCAATCTCCTCAAGTGCCTTTTCGTTTTCTGAGATGAACACAACCTTGTTAACACTCATCTGATTTGTCGTGATGGTACCAGTTTTGTCGGAGCAAATGACACTGCAGCTGCCCAGAGTTTCCACAGAGGGTAGACTTCGCACCAAAGCACTCTTCGCAGCCATCTTCCGGGTACCAAGTGCCAGACAGGTTGTAATGACTGCGGCCAAGCCCTCTGGAATAGCGGCAACACCAAGCGATACTGCAATTTTGAGATAATAGATTGCGCCTTTGGCAAATGATCCATGGGATGGATCCGTAAAATGCCGAATATTGATGAGCCAAACGAGGACGCAAATAACAGTGATTACCTTGGCTAACATGTCTCCAAAATCATTTAGCTTTTCTTTCAAAGGTGTTGGTTGCGATATTTGTGCCGTTATGCTTTCGTGGATGTCGCCAATGGCGGTTTTGGCCCCGGTCAAGACAACAATAGCGTTTGCATGTCCAGACACGACTGTGGTGCCCGAAAACAGCATGTTGACCTGATCTTGCTTTACAGCGTTGCCATCGGCGATTGCCCTAGTATCTTTTCCCACACTCTCGCTTTCGCCTGTGAGGATAGACTGGTCCACGCTGAAGGAATTACTCTGTATCGATAGCAGTCGACAGTCGGCCGGGATTCGATCGCCTATTGCTACAGTTATGATGTCTCCCGGTACGAGTTCATCTGCCTTCAAGCGTTTTGTGATGCCATTGCGGATCACTTTTGCCTCGTTCGCCGAGTACTCTTGCAAAGCTGCGATGGCCTTTTCCGCGTTGCTCTCCTGGGACACGCCGACGACTGCATTGAGGATCAATATAGTGAGAATCTAGAGGTATTAGTCGTGTGTTCAGCCTCACATAGTAAGAGCCGTATACGTACAACCACCGGGTCTACAAATGCGGTCCAATCATCGCCCCCCTCAAATAGAGCCAAAACAAAAGACACAGCGGCAGACCCAAGCAATATTATAACCAGCTGATCCTTGAATTGCTCCAATATCAGTTCCCACAGCGGGGTGGGCGGCTCTTCAGGTAGACCTATCAATTGCGTATTAGTAAGTACGGCAACACCGAGTTTGAGATCTCCACCAACAATTTGGACCAAAAATTTTCCGCTGCTCTTCGACACGCTCATCTGAAAGGCCGCGACTCTCGGAAACGCCAAAGCTCTTCAGCACCTCTGAGGGTGACTTGACAAAGGCGTCATCCATCGCGCAAATCACTATCCGATCGCGGATTTGCCGCAAAGGCCAGGATGCGTGCTGAGGACAACTGCAGGACGAGAGAAGATCGTGCAGAGTATGGTGCCAACAAGCTCGAGAAAGATGTCTGAGAATAGAGACGACACAGAAAACCAGAGAATTTTCTGCTGTGCCCCAAGAAAAATCCGAACCGTGGTTTCACGGCGCCGGGAAAAACGAAGAGGCCACCTTGTCGAAGGTTGGAAAACGTGCCTGAGCTAGCGCAAAACTGACGTGTTACCATATCGGGTATGGATTGCCTCCACACTCGAGGGCGGAAGATCGCCGCTAGGGCCAAGGCCCTTCTGATATCCATTACCAATACAACTCGATGTAACGTTCCATCATGTGTCTTCACGTATACAACTTCAATCGAATTCGTCCGCAGGTGGGTTCATATACTCTCCGCGGATCCAGCTTTTGGAGCCTCCTACCCTTGTGCGCACAAAGATCTTGGATGATGCGGGCATCGCCTGTAACCACATAACGTACTGGGACGCTGAAGCTGGATATTGCACTGTGCCATTATGCTCCTCTGACCGTCGCCGAAAGCCGGCGGCAGTAGTTATGTACTGCTAAGCAAATTCGAGTTCAGGTAGTCAACCAGCGCTGTGTGACTGCGCCTGCGAGGATGATCTATCTAGGCTCCACCCTCTCTTTTCGCATATTCGTCCTCCATGCGTTCAAGATATTCCCTATCTGCCTCACTAACATCCTCAATTCTGCCTCTCTGATCTGTCTTGTCTAGAATTGGCCTTCCCTCGGAGTCAAGCTGTAACTTTTCCTCTGTTGGCAACTGGCCTGGCTGCTCAGATGTGCGGTGGATAGTTGTTCCCTGCGGATTGCTGGACCTTGTCTCCGAGCTTCTCCATGTCTGTGGTGCCTCACCGTCGCGTGACGATGTAAAGCTTGAGCTGCTGTAACTGAAAGACTGGAAAGTCGAGGAGCTTTGGTTGGACATAATGAAGACGGTCTTTCGGCGTGTGGTGGTAAGGTTTGAAGCACTGTCAGCGTCTAACTCTTGTGGTATCGCTGCACCAAGTCTTTGTAGAAAGGTCGAATAGTCGTCGATTAATGCTTCTAAGTTAGAATGGTTGTCGCATTTGCCACTTGTCTTGTCGAGCTTCAGTGTGATACGTTGCTCTGACATCATGTCACATGACTATGCTTTCAGATGGGAAGACCACGTGTTTAAGCTCTAGTCAGAGTTCTTCGACCTCGCCAGCTCTTTATATTTCATGTTACATATTTCCAAGTTGAACATAAGAGAGATATGCGACAGCTCAGTGTCTCTCATAAGCTACAGCAGCTCTAATCTCGCAACTTTGCTCCCGATCCAGGCCTCATTCTCTCAACGGGGGTATAAACAACGTAAGTTGATGATAGTTGGCTGAAACATGTAAGGAAGAGACGGGTTACGGACGCTCTAGATGTTCTCTCAATGCCTTTAAAACATCTCTTATGAACCTTATTACAGCTGTCACGTTCAAGATGCTTCATCAGGGGACGAGGGTGAAGTTCTCGTGTCTCGATTGTTTCTTGTTTCGGTTTCTGCTCGACTAGTAAGTTAATGTGCGCAGCGACTGCCCAATCCAGACAGTTTTGAATGGAGAGCCCAGTCAGTGTAGATCCTAAACAAGCGAAATCTCGTTCTCCATGTCGCAGCCAAATGTCCACGCGTGAGAGTTCGAATCATCAGCTTAGGCGAGCCGTCGTTTCGGAGAAATAGCTAGGAGGATATTAAGACCTCATCTACAGCACAAGTTCCATTTAACGACCAAAACGAGCGACGTGCCACCTTAGGCAACATTGCTCTTACGTTTTATTGAAGACTCATAGCCCTCGTAATGGGGTGGCGCCAAGAGGAGACACATTGGAGTGCCGGCTTCTGGTTCAGATTGACTGCCGTCATAAACGTCTTGGATGAAAAGCTTGGGCGGAGAAGCTGTTTGCATGTGCAGGCAATGGTCTTGCTTTGAATGGCGTTTTTGCATCTTCGCGTGATTGGTTGCTGCAAAAGACAAGTGCATGAGTGGGGTAGATAAAAGGTTGGGGGTTGTGAATTTCCTGTATCACGCGCGCAGCTGCAAGCGTGAGTTGGCGAGACTGAAATAGGGAGTATCGCGAGACAAGACTTCAAGTGAAGCTATGGTGCCAAAAAAGTCCAATATAGGACCAGACAGATCGTCACAGTACAAATACAGACATCAGTCTGAACAAGCTAGCAACAATGACGACTCCTAGGGTTCACTCAACCCACCGCTCCTCGGATGGCAGTTTCTCGAAGACATACACACCGTCCATTCGCTTAATCACAAACTATGGCGTGGAAGGCGATTTTCATGCTGGTAGCACAGTGCGGCAACAAGACCGAGCGCGTGAAAATCCAAACTCTCCAAACCTACGTCAAATTCATCTGATTCCATACGAGTTGTTCAACGAGCTCTCCACGTATGGATACACTATTCAGCCTGGTGAACTCGGTGAGAACGTCACAACATACGGTATCGACTTGCTCTCATTGCCGCGAGATACTTATTTGTACTTCGGAAGTGGAGACGACATGTCCATCGTGCGAATAACGGGATTGCGAGATCCGGGAAAGGGAGTAGAACAACACAAGTCCGGCCTTTTGGGAAAGCTCAAGTACAGAGCTGAGGACGGATCTATAGTAAGGAAATGTGGCGTGATGGGTGTCGTTGCTCAGGGCGGCGCAATTAAAACTGGTGATAGCATCCGTGTTGTGTATCCGGAACAACGTTATGGCCTAGCTCCAGTTTGATCACTACACAAAAAGAGAACATCTATTTTGATGGTAACATTATATCTGACAGGGTGAAAGGGCGTCGCTCTATGTCTCAAAGTTAGCTTATATCACAATTTTCACCACACAATGCCTTCAATCTGCTATATTAACTTTTCATGTCAGAACTCAGAAAATGTAATTTACGATGATATTGTAGAGAATTTCCACTTGAACTCACTTGTCTATATTGATGTCCTTGGCTCTGAGGCTGATTATTCCCCTGTTTGATTCCCAACCAATACACGTTTCAAAAAAAAAAAAAAAAAATCTAGCTTATGGCGTTCATTTTGCAAAAGAATTTTACTTGGAGTAACTCTGAAATCTAACGCGACATTCAGACCCAAGCCATTGAATCATAACTCAAGATCTCTATGTATCCAGGCTGTCTATAGCCGGAAAATTGGTTTGATTAGGCTGACGAGGCTGAGCATCACGTGCCGTTTTCCAAGTTGCCCCACTTGATGGGGATTTCACCTGCTTCGTTCCTGCTACAGCCGTCGAGGCAAAGTGAAGGTTGAGGGCATCAAGAGGACTCTTGCTTACTCGTTGTATCAGTGCATCGTGGAGATGGCTTACATACCACCGCACATGCGCAAGAAAAGCTTATCGAAAGCGCCCACAGATCCAGCGATCGACGAGTACACAGTCGATGAAATACAAACGCATTATTGGTGCAATGCACGAGCAGAAGACGTAAACCGGGACACTTTGTTTCCGAGACACAGTACACTCAACGACTCCGTGGAATGTCAAGGTTCACTGAGCCACGTAATTCTGTTTCAAGGGGCCAATCCGAAATGGGAGTCGGACAGAATTATCTTTGTCAAGTCCAACCTGGAGATGCTCCCACAGTATCACGAGGCAAAAGCAAAGCGCATTTCTAGGACGGCGCTGGAAGGTTCAGAGACAGCCGGAATCCCGGAGAAGTCGCCAACTCCTCGGGGTGCATTTGAGGGGACGCACAAATCCGAGTCGAGATTCGATCTTGGCGAGGATGATCCAATAGATATTGTGCCGCGAGATCAGATGAAGATTGCCTGTTTTGAGCAAAGGCAATGGGCAAGGCGTTTTGAAGGCTTCATATTCACAGGCTATTTCACAATTCAAAGCATCACTCTCCTTGCTCCCTACTCCAAAGCTCTCGTGCAAATGTTGGAGCAAAAGTGGTCACTCACGGCCAAGGAAGGCGTTGTCCACACCAAAAAACGCCGGCCTGAAGATTGGAACAAAAGTCTGAGCTACGAATGGGCAGTGGTCAAGTTCGCAAAGTTGGAGGGTGAGAACGTTCCGCCGCCGCCAAATATCGAGAAGCTCCCGACGCAGAAGAGAAAGTCATCGGGGCCAGAGAAATCTGTCAATGAGATGCTTTCAGAGATGCGACTGGGCAAAAGCAATCACAACTACAAAGAAAGTTCAAGCAAGAATGAATATCACTGAACAGAAGGAAGCTTAGGGACGAGCAATGCCCGCTGAGCAGAGTGTTGATTAGTTCATCTTCGAACTGATACGAAAAGCTGAGTATGACTTGCCATCATCTTCAATACGTTGCAAAAGACGATTAGGCCGCACCCAACTGGCTTCGCTTCACAAATTGATACAAGCCTATGCAAGAACGAGCGTTGCGCGATCATCTCATCCCTCGCTCACGTACATTCTCATTATCATTAACGTAGGTGCTACAAGATAAGTTTCCAGCTTACCTTCCGATAAAATACAGTAAAACAACGATCGTGAGGGATCCCGCACGGCTGGACAAATAGTTTCTCGCAGTAAACTCTGCCACGAAAATGTTGTGCTAGCGACATCATATGTATCCCTCTACTAACTCGCTTCAGTCTCATAGGATGATCGAGTTATGATGCGGAACCGCCGCTCGCTACCCGTGGTTCACCACTAGCTCTCTTTTTGGCCGCCCAATTCATGACGAATTCCACGTCTTTGGCGATCACGCCGGGCAACGCCATCTTTTGAACAGCCATGGGCAAAATCCCCGCGGCGTCGCTAGCAGTGGCCATATCCCATTGAACAATCTCGCTTTCCCCAGGAACTTTCCGGCAACGCTCGACGCTGACGTACCGCCCGATCACGGCTTTCTTTCTCTGCTGCGCCGTGGTGCCCTCGGTGCGATTCTTACCGTTCGAATACTTGGCCGAAGGGACGGAGGATATGTCAACGGGAATTTGCACATCCATGTACGAATTTTCCGAGTCGCGCGCCGTGAGGACGAGGGTGGAAAAGACTCGAGGTTGAAGTGGGAAATTGATCGCATGCGCCATTTCATAGACTGCAACTTCGGTCAGTATAGGGTTTCTTTCGCTCCCTTCATCTCCACTGACTTTGCAGACTAATGTTCTCCCAGCCGTCGATAGTTTTGCCTTGAAGCTCAGTGTCCCAGTCGCAAACTCTATGCGAATCGTAAACGTCGGGAGTATACTCCCCTTCCTTCACGCTATGATCCACAAAGAGTGCATCAACGAACTCGCCCCAGCTCGCCTTGCCCTGCTCCTGGATTCCATCCGGTAGCAAGGTGTGGGTGCTCCTGCGTGCAAACCAGTACTCTCCTCTTCCACCATTCCCGGCTGGGTCGTCCACCTCTTTCCCTCCCGCCAGGACCTCGACATCGCCACCTCTGCTACGCGGCAAGCGCTGGATTTTGACGTGCTTGAAAGTCTTTGGGATCACCTCGTCGGCGAAATGTTTACCTTCAGAGAGCAACTGGGAAACGAAGGAGGTAAGGTCTGCGGAGGCATTGCTCTGCACGGATTCCAGCGCGGGATGTGCTGGAATTTGCGACGGTGCAAGGAGCTGTAGCTTCAGCAGCTTCCGCTCTTGAGGCAAAGACATGGCCCGTTCTGTTTGCAGCAACGAAATGCCAAGTGTTGATTAGTGGTGATTAGTGGAGTTGGGGATGCACCAAAAGAATAGCTCCCCTGTCAAATTTTAGATTTTCAGCCTCACCAGGGCGAGGTGTGGGAGAAGAGCAAATGCTCGAGAAGGTCAGAACGTTTTGAATGGGGAATTTGATCTCCGTTGAATCAATGACTTATAGCATCACTTCACCAGCAGTACTTTTTGGGCGTCGGAAGGCGTGCACCAGGCATCCAAGACGATAAAATATATGTGTTTCATTGCCTCAGTATTGGACGAGGAAAACGAGCTTGAAACTGTATCCAAATTTGCGCACCATAACGATGTCGTATGTACACGTCCTGTTTCATGTCTTTTACACCTCGTCATTTTCATTCCTCCCCTGCACATCTTCCCCTTCTGCTGCGCATTTAAGCGAACCAATGGCGTTGGCCGTGTTCCGTCAGTCTGTCGTCATGTCCACGAGTCCTTGCCGTAAAGGCGGTAATCGCCGCCGTCTAAAATCCTCGTGCATGTTCCGTATCACAATCGTCTACTGGTGACGGCTGGCATATCCGCTGCACAGCACAAAGACGTTTATCAAATCAGCTGTGGGGTGAAAAAAAAAATACTGTGTGCAACTAAATTGTTCTTCAATCGTGGAGAAGCCAAGCGTGTGCTGGTGGAATGCAAGCCGCAATTCGATCGGCATCTTGTCCACGCCTCGCAGATGCCGAAGGCACGCTTGGTAAAATACAGCGCACGGGTATCTGTAGTTTGTATTAAAGAGCCAGCTTGGGGGTCACAAGGAGTACACCTGATGGGTGCAATGTCGGGCCAGAACCGCGTGAATTTTATGGATGTGCTTGCAAAACGAAGTTGGGCCACGCGGACCGGAAAAAATGCAGGGTGCTGTGATTTGCTGACTCGAAGAGCCGATCAATCAGAAGCCAGTCGGAACGAAGTCCTAAGCCACCAATTATGACATTACCCAACAAAATATTTCGCTTTTCCGCGCACTCGATCTGCGAGGCATCAGAGCGTATCTTCCAATCGACCCACATCTAATTCGAGGCCTCGGCACGGCGGGCTGCCTCATCTTGCAAATCAGCATCCCGTGCAAGTTCGGAAGCTCGGAGTAAGGCATCGAACTGTGAGCTTTGTCCGAGTGACGGCGGCTTTCCCGGCGTAAGTGCTGTAGGTGATTGATGTTGCGTTCTCATCTCAAACGGTGAAGACACCAGAGATGGTGTCATGATCGAGGGCAATGGCTGTGGCAATATGCGATCGGCTTTAGATGGATCGAGAGGTGGTAAAACATGAGCTTGATAAGGAGCCGGAGGGGGCAGAATATCACTGCCATGTGACGAATGACTTGTGTCTTGATGTACGAGTGACGGTATTGTTGTTTGAGTTTGTGGTTGCCGCCGCGCTAAAAACTCGGATCCCAGTGAGGTGGTGGTTGAATTCTCGCTTACAGGCGACTGCTGCCAATTCCTCAAAGTTTGACCTGAAGGATAGTCCCGTAAACGGAGCTCAGCGGCGGACTGGGTGCCGCGTGCGTGATGGGGCAGCTCATAGCTAGTACCATAGACGGGAGCTGATGCGGGCGGACTTGAACGTGGAGAGTATGCGTGATGTGTATCTGGAGATTGCAGTCCGATGGACGCTTGTGCAGGAGATGTTGACGCCGAAGGTGGTTGATAGCTCCCATATGCTCCCAATGCAGCAGTGGTAGGATTTGAGCGAGGCCTGTGTTGAGAGCTAGGTACGTTGTCGACAAGACTGCTGCGCCTTTTCTCCGGGCTATTCGACTTAGCCACTGTATCGTGGTTCGCATCGATATGGGTTTTGCTCCGTTTGCCTTCTATGCCTGATTAAAAAATGACACCGCAACAAGATAAAGAAAGACTAACCAGTACGTGGGGTGGCGTGTTTAGCTTTGAAGTCAGCAAGATATCGTTGATACTCCTGATACTGAGGTGTTTTTTTGTACTCAGCCATTTGGGCGTAGTACTTCTCCTTTGCAGAAGCCGCCTGCTTCTCAAAAGCCTCACGTATTGCTGGATCAAGGACTTGCCACCGTTCACCGACAAGCTTTGCAATTTCGGTGAATGACAATTCTTGTCCCTTCAGTTCCTCTCGAACCTCTGCAAAAACAAGTCAGTGTTTAAATAGAAAGGCATATGTACGTGCTACTCACGGTTGGAAAATATCACGTATGCTGAAGGAGGTCGTTCCGGAGCGTTTTCATCAGCCTGTTTGAGAGTCTGTCAGCAAGTGAGCAGAACGCATTAGGGCCTACTTTGTAAGGCTTAGGTCAACGCACTTTGGGATGCCTTCTGTACTTTCTTTTAGTCCCCGCAGAAGATGGATTCGTCTGCACAGCGGGCGTGATATGGCCAGAGCTGTCTTTGGCATCTGCCATTGACTCATCGCTATGGTAGGCATCGTCTGGCACAGCGACTTTGCCTTGGTCAAGAACCAAAGCCCTTTCTGCCGGCTGCCCACGAGTTTCCGCGATCGCCCTTTGAAGCTTCTGCACAATTATCAGCAAAAAGTAAAAGGGCCGCTCATGGAAAAGTGGCAACACGTACCCTACGGTGCCCGAGTTTGAAGCCCAGGGTGTTGCTGTGACAGAGTCAGCACTGGGCAGGAGCCAAGGATCGACGAGCCTACAGGTCAGACTCAGTGATGTCCAGGACTGTTTCCCACGTGTCGAAGCCTTCCATGGCAAGCCTTTCGACATATTCGGAGAGGCCCAGCCGCTCCAGACGTTCACCGAGATCGGTCATGAAGAATATCAATTTGAAACCAAAAGTGATGCCAGGTCATAGATCTAGTGGCTGCTCAACCTCAGATCGTCTAGCGTCTTGCTTCTCGGTTAGAGTCATATCAACTTTGACGTCGGAAAACGTACGGTAGATGCACAGTGTCGGATGTTCAGTTGGAGTTGAGTCCGGAGATGGTCCTCAAAGACGGACAGACGCGAAATCAAGGAAGAGAGCGAATTGTTGCAGGGCGCTGGTGTGCGCAAGAAGGCGAATGAGACCTAGAGAAAAGCCGAGATTGAAGATCGTGTCTTATTCGGAGCCGATAAGCAGCGTAGACGATCAATAAGGGTGCAAAGTCGAGAAGAATTCAGGTGGAGTCGATGCGGATCTGGTTATTCAAGAGGCCCAGGGACTGTCTTGTCACTGCGACGTAGAAGGCAATGAGGCATATTAAAGACTAGATCCCATCAGGTCGCAAAGAAGCACCGTGCAGGATGTCGGCAGCTCGAAATGGATGTTGTGGATAGGTGAACGGTTGGCGAAGGGTTAGGGATTTCAAGCTTCGCCGCTAGAATTGACAAGGGTGCCCACGATTCAACTCGGAGATGGGAATTTTGGACCAGGAAGAGGGGAGAGCAAAGATGTGCGTTTCCCCAGATTACGCCGCCGCTCGTTCAATCGATGGCGTATTCACAGAAGCCCGCGCACACGAACTTCTCGTTTCGCACACGGGTACGAGCAAAGTCGAGATCGGCGATTTGAAAAATGACGTACGAGAACGCGCTCTAAAACGGGATTAGTGCCATTTAGTAAGCGACTAGCGAGCGGTTAAGTGGCGTAACAAAATTAAGTACAGGCTTGGCGCTGGTAACCTTTCGCCATACCAATCGCGAGTCAGCAACCGCGTCTCGGGTGGAGGTTGATTCATTCTCCAGTACCCATCAACTACTCGACTCCACAGCGCTAGATTGCCTGGCCTTAAGAACGCCCCATAGTGCTTCTTCTGCGGCCAGCGGTTTCCGCTTTGTTCAGCTGATCCAGCGTCTGTACGCACCGAAGTTGCGGCTTTACCTTGGCGACGCCGTTATGAGTGGGAAAAAAAAATGCCGGTTCCGTGACCTTGTCCGGCCCCGGTTGCACGACGTTTCATTACCAGACATAGAACCATCGAGATTCCTGTTTTTCGATACTCGATTACGATGGCGAACACTTCGCCATCGAATCCAACTAGGCCCAATGCAGGGACCAGTCTTGAGTGCAAGGGCTGAACACCGTTACTATGTCACAATGCCATCAGCCAACATGGCACTTCGCAACAATTCCATCATCGCAGACTGAGCATCAGCCCCCGGCAACGATCATCCAATGTATACAGCAGCCTTTTGCCCCCCGCCTTTCCCCCCGATCACCTTTCTCATACTCGATCGAACTGTCTACGCCCAACTCCTTGTCGGCCGATAAGGCAAACTTGGGGTTTATACCGACTGACAGCCGCCGCTGATAGGATCGCGTATATGCACTCCGCCGATCTAGCACTTAGCTTGTCGTTCTGTACAGCGACTGGCGAGAACGCTTCCACGATGCGCTGAGATTATCCACGCGAATGTCGAGGCGAAGTTCTGAATTGAGACACGACTAGGAGCCACCCAAGACGATCCAGAAATTATTATTTCATTCTGGCTATCACGTAATCGATCCGTAACAAATGACGATCCATGACACATGGCAATGCGTACAAATCGAGATCAACGTGCATGATTCTAGTTGCCCGCGCATGTTCTTCGCACGTATTTGCCATCCGACTCCCGTGCTTCAGTTGAATCCAGTATCTGGCCGCACCTTCTACACCAAAACCAGCAAGAGGAGGCAAAAAGAGGCGAATACCGAAAAAAATCATGTTATGCTTGAGTCAAACTACGGTACCAGCCTCTGGAACTCTTCAACGTGTTCAAATTTCCGTCTAGTCTCGCGCCACAACTCTCGCTGCTTCGAGACCACCGGTCCAACATACGTCTGCCATGGGTGATGCATTGCCAATGGCCAAAGATCTTCCGCCGAAGCTGCTTGCGTCTTGCCCAAAGCAAAGAGGTCGCTCCATAGGAAGTTGCCAGAGATGCGCATCCGTCCTGTAAAGCCCGGCGACTCTTCGGCATGCTCGCCTGGATTACTGGGATCGAACGGGGCATCTACTGCGGTAATAAATCCACCGAAGTCGCCGTGTGGCCGTAGATCACCAGAGGCGTCCTCGATAGGATAAAGATAGGAGGCTACCGATGCGGCATCTGCAAACAGGAATATGACTTCATCCCAGTCGCTCTTGTCTTGGAAATCATCCTGCTTCGTCAAGGCCAAGAAATGCCTGTGGCCTTGATTTAGCGACATCAGTAATAATGAATGCAGATGCGTACCTTTTCGCAGCCTCAACATCGTTTTCCGCGATCCCCACATCTCTCCCATCAATCCATCTTAACCGAGCCATTTTACAAATCATCTCCGCGCCTGCTACATCCTCTCCCCAGTCATCGACGTCAGCATATAACTTCTCTAGATATTGTGCCCACTCCTCTTCTGATTGCTCGTATGTGATGCGGTAAGTTATAAATCCCCATCTGTTGATTCCATAATTCGGTGAATCGATGAGTTGCTTCATATTCAAAATCCATTCCGCTGCCGCAAGAGGCGTCGTGGAGTCTTTTGCTATTGTGTTACGCAGCACTTCCTGTTCCTCCTTTTGAATGTTGATGTTCTCGACCATGCTGATAGGGTCCGCGATCCCGCTCATCATTGATTCTGACTCGTTCATCAAATTTTTGATCGTACTGGATAACAACCGCTGTCGTGTCGATATTTTGAGCTGGATGGAGTAAGCCGTTGCTCTCTCTTCAATCCTTGGGCTGCAAAGTCCATTATCGACTGTTTCTGCAGCTTGGTGACTATTGTAGCCGTGCATAGGTAGAACAATAGAGTATCCAGATTGCGCAGTGATCTCGGCAAGCGTGTGCAGTTTGTTCGTAATATTCCACTGCTCCATGCTCAGTGTATCAAGACTATGCGGTGTATGCTGCTTGAGCTGTTCGATTAGAATGTTGCGAAGGTTATCAACATGCTCCATCACCCAGTCGTGACTACGCGTCGTCATAATGGCCCATCGACCACGAACATATTCCTCCCAGAGGCTGATCATCGAAATCGGAGGCTCTTTCTTAGTGTCTCTTATAGCATTCAATGCGGCTTCAAAATTTTTCCACTCTCTCGCAATGTTGTTGAACACTCCCTTCAGCGATTCTTGAACAGTCTCTAGATTCATGTATGTGTATGTGTCGATAACCGACCCTAGATATTGACAAGCCAAGTCAAAATTCTCCGGATCATCCAGGTGCTTTCGCCGCCACTGGTTCCTAGTCATTGGCATGATGTCTTCCCAGAGTCGGACTTTCATGGCTTGAAGGCTCTTGTCAACAACTTGCAGTCCAGTAGTGTCTTCATGAGAAGCAATATGTACTTGCACCCGATCAAAAGCGCGGCCTGGGATTTTGCTGTAGGGCGAAGGTGCCCACTGAGAATATGGCAGTCCACCTAGAGATATCTCGTCTTCTGTTGGTAGAACAACATCAGTAGGCACACCTCCGGGCATGGTCTTCCATAATAAGGCTTGAAGAAATTGGGCCACGATCTGCGGTGGAAATACGCGATCGACTATATGTAGCAATGGTCAGCAGGTGTGGTTGTTGATATCTGAAGCTACTGAGACGGCGAAGATGTTGACAAACCAACGATGAGGTGACCAGCCGCTACCGCTTCATCTAGGGTGTTCGGATCATGGATCTGCCATATCTGTCGCTGCATGTTCTCCCTTCCATCGTATACTCCCGGCTGCTCGTGATACTGAGACATGGTGAACTTCGGGAGCAAGATGGTGAGCGTGGAAAAAATAGATAGATGCCTCCAAAAAATTTTCATCATTCAGATTACGGAGCTTTTTGCAGCGGATAGGGGTGCCTCCTGCATATCTCCAGCAACCACGAAGTAGAACGAAAAGCCTTGTTCACTATTGACTGTCTCAGTTTTACGCAAACAGGGTCGAATAGGGGAGTTTCAGAAATGGCTTAGGTCAGAAATATGCCTGCAAAGGCTCACAAAAACTTAGCTTCCGTACATCACGCCCAACAATGCTTCTTAAAGTTCTCCAACGTCGTGCCAACCAGCTTGTCTCCTGCGAAACGGGTACGAAGACCGGAATGAGATGGTCGCCAAGTGGTCTTCATGGGGTCCCACGAGGCTTGCGTAGCATTTGGCGAGATGGTATTTCAACACCACAGCTGGCCATCGATAAGAACTCGCCTTGGAAAGCGTGAGCAAGGTAACGGGCTGGCAAAGCTCGTAGGAGCTTCCGCGCTGAGCCAATGGCCTGATGCCAGATGGGACCACCATCGTCTATCACGTGCTTTGCTCAACGAAACCCCACTATATACGAGGGTTTTTCTCTGTGACGCATAGTGGGGTACAGACGTTGAGCAATTTCACGCAAAACTCTGGCCTTCAAGTTTCTCTGCCACATCTAGCGACATCATTCAACCAAGTAAAACTGACTCGCAACGCCTGCTGCGGCTCAATTGAGGCTAAGAAGAGGCAAGTTCATGGGTTTCGTGCTGTTCACCCGAATAAATATCGTCCCAGCGGACACTCCCCCTCCGCACCACGAAGCTCGCCGAAACTCTCGCGAAGCGGCTCCTTTGCATCATAAATAATTGCTTTTCCCTCGGCGCCATCGTGTGGGATCCGGCTGACGTTCCAGTTGCTTTTTTCCAGATAACTGAGGCATTATCGATATACAATCGTAAGTACGATTCATGCTATCCGCGCCAGAATGTATATAGTACACATGCTCGCCGTGTTCTGACAGCCCCTCTTCAGCAGACAAAATGGCAATCACCAAGATCCATGCGCGTTCCGTCTACGATTCTCGTGGCAACCCTACCGTCGAGGTCGACATCGTCACCGAGACTGGCCTCCACCGGGCCATTGTGCCATCCGGTGCATCCACTGGCTCGCACGAGGCTTGCGAGCTTCGCGACGGCGACAAGACTCACTGGGGTGGCAAAGGTGTGACCAAGGCCGTCAGCAATGTCAACGACATCATTGCGCCTGCTTTGATCAAGGCTGGCCTTGACGTCAAGGATCAATCCAAAGTCGACGAGTTCCTCAACACCCTTGACGGCACACCGAATAAGACCAAGTTGGGTGCTAATGCCATCCTCGGTGTCTCAATGGCAGTCGCCAAGGCAGCAGCTTCTGCCAAAGGCGTTCCCCTTTACGCGCACATTTCGGACCTTGCCGGGACTAAGAAGCCTTACGTCTTGCCCGTGCCTTTCGCAAACGTCCTGAACGGTGGCTCCCACGCCGGTGGTCGTCTTGCCTTCCAGGAGTTCATGATCGTCCCAAGGTCAGTTTTATTGTCTGGCATCAGCACATGAGCTAATAAATCAACAGCGAGGCCCCAACATTCTCCGAAGCCATGCGCCAAATTTCCGAAGTATACCAGAAGCTCAAGGCTCTTGCTAAGAAGAAGTATGGTCAGTCTGCTGGCAACGTTGGTGATGAGGGCGGTGTTGCGCCAGATATTCAAACTGCAGAAGAGGCACTTGACTTGATCACGGAAGCCATCGAACAGGCGGGTTATACCGGCAAGATGAAGATCGCAATGGACGTCGCATCGAGCGAGTTCTACAAGGCTGATGCCAAGAAGTACGATCTGGACTTCAAGAACCCAGACAGCGACCCAGCCAAGTGGGTTACGTATGAGCAGCTGGCTGAACAGTACAAATATCTGGCTAGCAAGTACCCGATTGTCAGTATCGAGGACCCGTTCGCCGAGGATGACTGGGAGGCATGGAGCTACTTCTACAAGACCTCAGATTTCCAGATCGTTGGGTAAGTTTCTACCTTGCGATTGAACGAAATTGTGCTAAAAACGGCTTAGTGATGACTTGACTGTCACGAACCCAGCCTTCATCAAGAAGGCGATCGAGCAGAAGGCTTGCAATGCTCTTCTACTCAAGGTCAACCAGATCGGCACAATCAGCGAAGCTATCCAGGCTGCCAAGGATGCATTCGGGGCGGGCTGGGGTGTGATGGTATCCCACCGCTCTGGTGAAACTGAGGATGTCACCATTGCTGACATTGCCGTTGGTCTTCGCGCTGGCCAAATCGTAGGTTCTAAAGCCCTAGGTTTATAATCATGTAAACTAATATGTGATAGAAAACTGGTGCTCCGGCTCGCTCCGAGCGTCTTGCCAAGCTTAACCAGATCCTGCGCATTGAAGAAGAGCTGGGCGCCGATGCTGTCTATGCTGGTGCCAATTTCCGCACGGCTGTCAACATGTAAATCGCAAAATCAATGAAGTTCCGCAGATTGTCGGGAAGGGTGCAGTGACAATTTACTGCAATCATAGGCATCTCAGCTCGGACCTTACATGATGGGATAGAGAAAATGAGATGGAGGCTGTTAACAAGGACGTATTTTCGGTTGATGATAAAACAATAAAATCACAAGTTCTGGCCCATGACCTTATTTCAATACTTATTTGTTCTGTTTCCTTATTCACTTTCGAACACAATCTATGGGACAAGGCGTCAGTCTTTCATTGCGGTGAGTTTCTTCGATGCTAGAATCATATCTTCCCGGCAACAATACGTCGAATTTAACAGCTAGGCTAACTTACAAGCACTCTTTTATCGTTCGCAGTGTTATTGTCTCTTTCGCCATTCACAAATCTTCCAGATCTCAACTGATATGTCCAAGACCTTATTTCCACATCCTACGCAGTTGAGGACTAATTTCGACGAAAGGGTGCCTTGTACTAACCATTCAATGCATCGAAAGTCACCGAGCAAGTTTCTTATGATTAACTGAGGTCGCCGCAAAGCACTATACTCTGATTCTGTCTGGTCGTCAAACTCATCACGATGCGCGAGACGATGCGAAACGGCAGCGTCAATCGCAAACCCAGACGCAACATATCAGAAGTCACGCGCAGTTTTCGCTTGCAGCATGCTCGCAACGACCTTCTCTTGTCATCACACCCACTTTCGGAGCGCGCGTCACCGCTGAATGACGCTGCATCTGCAGCACAGGCTGCGCAAGCGTGGTTTCAGCAAACAAAACCATCCGCACTTGCGCCTCGCCACTGCAAAGCTTCAACCGGCATCCCTACATTACCATCCCTTGGCAGTATGGGACACGACCAAAGAAGGGGCAAAGGAGCTTGTTACGAAGTCCAGCCGCTCAGTCACGGTTCAGAGAGCGTTCAGCTTGGGCCGATGGACTCTGGAAGCTCGCGTTGCCGGCGTTCAGACAGGTCTGAACTTCTGACATGTGGCAATTCTCGCCAGGGCAGTGTCGGCTACGTCACTCCCTCCAGAAGCTTGTACAAAAGATTGAAAGAAGGTCTGAACGATGCTTTTTGGGACTACAGACTGGTCTGGAGCCAGAGGAAGAATCATGTCAGCGACGAACATCTCGGCATGCAAGCCATATTCGACTATGCCGTCCGTCGTTGGAGCAAAGCTGGTACTGCTTCTCCCTCACTCTCGCGCTCACAGACTTCTAACGGTCCTGAATGCGCTCACAACCCCGCTGATGCCGCATTCCATGGACTTCATCTGCCAGCGGCGGCTGCGTGGCCCACAGGAGATCCGACACCGACACGGGAGGCATTAAAGCAGCGATCGCCGCACCCTTTCGATCCGCTGCACCGCGACCTCGAACCACCTCAGCCAGCCTTTGTTAGAGGCAGAGTCTGGCGCCAGCCGTCCGTTATAACTACGCAAACTGCTGAGACGTCGTGGACGGACGTTCAGCGGGCGGTCCAGGCGGAAAGCTCGCCCACGGCTCGGACGGCCGAGTCACGAACGCTCAAAGACGCCTCGGGCACGGTTCGTGACATGCACGAAGGTAAGATCCAGCGAGCACCGCGGCTCGCGCTCGTTGCTTGGGAGAGGGCGGACGACGCGCCGGTCCCGCATGCGGGAACCCAGAGCCGTTCGCCTGCGCAGCAGCAGCGAAGCGAGCTCCGCGACACTGTAACGGCTCCCGACGAAGCGCAGCATGTCACTGACATTTTTGCTAGCCCAAGGCCACGTCGGCGACCTCTGGCAAATGGAGCGGCTTGCGCTCGGCTGCCGGCGCGGATGGCACGGCCCAGACGTCCACGACGGGTGCGCTCCGCGCGCCGTATCCCCCTCGATCTACTCGCAAAGCGGCATAGACGAGCCGTACATCTCACAGAGTCCGCGCGTCTCATGGAATCTAGACGGGCGCCGAGCCGAAGACGCAGACAGCGCCAGCCGCGTCCCAACGAGCCCGTCGACAAGTCGTCGGCCAGCGCGTTCAGCGCAAGGAGGAGCGACTTTACGTGCGGATGGTGGAGTGGGTGTCTTACCGCTTGTGGGGTTGGCATTGGATTCGGTTCGATACGGCGGCACCGTCAGCGAAGAGTACGACCTGCATCAAGACAGGACAACCAAAGTGTTTTACGACAAAGACAATGCTGTGCTCGGGACTGAAAAAAGACCCTAAATTGTGCCTCTCAGGCCGCTACACCGAAATGTCTGACTGTGAGCGTAAGTGATCTTTTTTTTTTAATAGGGGAGGGGAGGGGGGGTGTTTGACGGTTGCCATTGAAGTAGTATGTTATCACGTGAACGATCATCTTGCTGAAGATTTGCGCCTACTAGCATCAGTGTAAGCGCAGAGACGACACCAGCTCTGTAAATCGTCTCCATGAGCTCAACGGAAACTCTAGTACAACTAAGAGGAAAGACAAGAGCACCAAGGGCACTGACTTTATAATTGGGTAAATGAGCTTGTCCATGTGCGATGCTTTTAGCGTCTATAGCGTGCACAAGTCTAATTCAGCTGTACTATGACAATAACGCGCACTCCCGGAGGTGTGAAAGTATGATAGGAAGATACGGGGAATAATGATAAAAACGCCAGGAATTTTTACCCATTCGTCGTTTACACGGAGTAGCTTCTTTTAGTGTACAATACCAGATATCGCTCGCTTGTGTCATATCCCCAGCCGTCCTGAAGATGTTGCTGCAAATTTTGAAGCAGACAGTCAAGTCCTTGTTGGGGCCTCGTCCTGAAATCTGGCCGCATCTTGGAAGACATCGATGAGACAGGCAGCAGACCAGGCTTGCGTGGGACTCTGTTCAAGTAGCATGTTAGCAAATGCTTCGAGCAAGAACAAATGTTTTTATTTTTATTTTTTTTTTTTCATGAAAAGGAAGCCAACAACGTACAGAATCCGCGCAAAAAGCTCCGTCTTTGTTCGTTAGCTCTGTCAGACCCGCCCACGGACTCGTTTTGATCTCCTCCATGTTACCCCTTAATCGCCGAGTGATCTGCTGGAACGCTTCCGTGCGCTCCTCCGGTGTCCGACGGCGCATCAGGTCGAATCGTAGCATCGCACGGCAGAAAAAGCCGACAGGCCACTCCCACTCAGGCCCCTGGTGGTAGTTACGACCTTTAGCAGTTGCAAAATCGGTAGAGTCCTCACTGTTGTTGTAGTATGGACGGTAGTTGTAGTCGCTAGGATCGAGTGTTGCCATGCCGCGTGGACCCTTGAGTACTTTGTCGGCGATAGAGAGAGCGTAAAGAGCCTTGTTCGGATCAAAGAGGTCTGGAGCCACAGTCATAGCGATGGGGAAGTTGGGACGGAGCTGATAGTCCTCGTACTCCTTGCCAGAGCGATATAAGTCCTTGTAGATGCCTCGACGGTTGACAATGGACGAGTTAACATCATACTTGTAGTCGTCTTCCTTCTTGATGGGGATGTAGTAAGCGTACTCGAAATTCGACTTGATGAGGTCGGCCCAGTCGCTGAACGAGATTTGTTCGTCCGTCTTGCCCTTCGTGACGCCTCTGTACTTGTACTTGCCAGCTTTGTTCAATTCACTGACCCACTTGACGGTGGAATATACCATGCCAGTTATCTCAACTGCAGCACCATCACGAGGGGTGCCTGGGTACCCTTTTGAACCAGCCTTCTCGCTTTCCCCCATCTTGTCCATCCAAGTACCGCAGTTCCACTGGTTTCCGCCGAAGACCATGCCATTCGTCCAGTCAACGCCGTACTTGATGTTGAAACCCTCATCCTTCATTTGACTATCGATCGCTGGACCAGCATTGTGCTCGCGGAAGTCCTGACCTGTAGCATGTTGTTGCAGCGCTTCCTGAATGACATCTTCAATGGTGCTCGAAACCGAATAGGCACGCTTGTCATCGTGAGGAAACCACGTATCATCGTACGGTAAGAATCTTCGCCTCACAGACTCGTGCAGAATGGCCAAACCCTCCGGCACTGTTTTAGTATAGTCTTGGATGCATTGGAGGAAGAACCATATCGAATCCCTCGAATTGTATCTCGGTGCCTTCCCACTGCCCAACAGGTTAGGAATCATGCCGTGTTTCAGTACGCTAGCAAATGCCATAATATGCTCTTTGGCATCATCATAACGTCCCGTTGCGATAGTAAGACCAGGTAGAGAGATCATGATGTCGCGGCCCCAGCATCTCGCCCAGTCATTTGAGAAATGAGGCAACCCAGCCGCCATGCTCGCGACTTCCTTGTCCGGCCACAGCGAGGCGTTGCTTTGGAAGCCTATACACTGTACGCTCACAAGAGCAAGGCTCTTCAAGAAGTCTTGGCCGTTCTTGACGTTGTCGCTCATGAGGTCGATGCAGCGGTCCACGCCGGCGTTGTACATCGTCTGACACGTCAAGGCGAAGTAGCGCGGCAATAGGAAATTCGGCAATTTCCTGATTGCGTCAAAACGCTCTTTCATCCACTTGGCCGGAGCTGCCAGCTTGGCCCACTTCTCTTTCTTGGACGCCTTCTGCAGCCGATTGACGCAGTAGTCGAGAGCCCATTGGCCATCGCGAAGATGCTGGCAAATCGGATGCCCCAAGTTGTTCTCGTCAACGACAGTTTTGAGCACACTCCACCAGCCTTGTAGGCCAGCATACACGAGTGGCCCATGGCCTGGAACGTTATAGCACCCGTCGGCGCCATCCGTTGCGTCGCGCTCCTCAGGGTCACATCTGTACAAGAGGTAATTCAAATCCGTGAGACTAAGCTGGCTACAGGCCTCCGCGGCACCACGAGTGACAAATTTATCCAAGCCCTCGGAGTGCTCAGCTCCCGGGATCCAAGTCTCGAAGAGGGCAACGCTTCCAGGAGGAAATTGTTCGCCAACTTCGATGACGGTCCGGTTGTCGTGCCACTTGCACGTCACACCACGAAGATTCTTTGTTCTGCTTGGCAAACCACGTAGCACTTTGTCCTGCAACACAGCCTTCCTGCTTTCTGCGCTCTGGTCGACCTCGAGGGCCCATGCTCCCACAAGCTTGGCCCTTGTACCGGGCAAATAAACAGGTGGGAATCCGCCGTTGCCGTTGCCATATCCAGGGAACGCTGTATGAGCGATACAGAAATATCCTTTGCGTGACTGGGGGTGGACGCGATGGATGGTAATGTATTCGTGATCGTGGTGAATAAACGTCTCGTCATAGCCGTCCTTGCCCATGAGAACGTGGATTTGATTGAAAAGCTTCTTGATCGGACCTATACCACCTTCCTGTGCCTGGATTTTGATCTGGCCGTCCTGCGAGTACGGTGATGTGTATGCCCTCTTTTCATGGACCAGCTCAATGAGCTTGGGATAGATTTCGTCATAGCCGAAGACACTGCCGCAGGCACTGGCGCACATTGCCACCAACGCCGCGTTGGGCAAGGTATCTCGAGCATCGCGCTTCTGGGCTGGCGTCTCGTTATCATGAGTACAATCCATGAAGAGAGCTTGCACGGGGCTTTGCTTGATCTTGTGCACCAGCTCGCGCCTCGCTGGCGTAGTACCGTTCACGCCTTTGGTTCGTGTACCGTCATGAGCCTTCTCGACGTTCATGATCTCGTCCGTCTCAAAGCTGCCTATAGGCACGCCGGCATGTTTGTGTACCAGGCGGCTAAGCTCGCGTGTGTCCCACGCTTGCATTGCCTCTCTGATCAAGCAGCTCAATCCCAGGTGCTCGACGTACATGAAGTCCATGGCTTCCGAGCCGGAAAATAGTTCTGCACAACAAACAATGTCCGGACGGACTTTACGCGCTTCGTCAAGCATGTACTGCGCAAGTGGTAGAGGCGTCGAATGACAGTTGTCAATACGGAAGCCGTGGAAGTACTTTGCCATGAGCTTTGTGTAGTTGCCGATACGCTCCCACAAGTACGGATTGTCGGCAGGCTCTTTACCGTATCGTAGCTTCACGCAGTCGCCCCAGACGATGACCTCGCGTCGCAGATAGGCCTTTGATTTTGGCCCCGCGTTGTCCTTCAGCACGTCAGCTGCCCACACCCAGCCGTTGTTAACTAGATCAAGCGCTTCATCAGGGTGATGCGAAGTCCTCGAATCCCTTGGCAAGCGCGTGAAATATGGTTCGACGAGCGGGCTGCTGGGCGTGATGGCACCGGCCTTGGGCCCGTGATCATCGAGTCGGACATACTTGATGCGATTGAAGAGCTGCTCCATAATCGCCTCACAGTCTGCATCATACTCCTTATAGTACTGCAAGTTGACCTCCTCGAGCAGCTTGTACATGGTGCCGTGCGCGACACGCTCATCCTGTGTATCGTGCGTTTTCGGATTATAGGTGCCCAGCAACGCGCACAGGAATCCCGCCGCCCTTTTCGGATTTGCCTTCCTCTTGAATCGACAACCCATCTCATCCGCGCCGGTCATGACGTTAGCGAGTAGCCACTGACCCTTTTTTTCGATGTCCCAGTCCTTGACCTCGCTGATGCCGCGGAAACCGGCATTACCGAATGCTTCGTCCGCAAATTCCACAAGACCCTCCTTCCACGATTTCACCGCTTCGGCGCAATCCTTCTCAATGTCGCATACATAATACTCCCAGAGCCTCGTTTTTGCAATACAGTGCTGTTTGATGCCCTCCATGACGTTCAGCAAGTCAGCTGTGCTTTTCAGCTCGGTCGGGTACCCTAGAGATCCCAGCTCGTTACTGAATTCTGCAAGAGCCGTGTCCAACACAAGTGCAGGCTCCAGATGCGGTGCGGTCTTGACGCTATATCCCGCTTCGGGATGCTCGCATAACCACTCGCTGTTGTTCGCCGTGTGGTTCCAGACAACGTCCGTGAGACTCAGCAGCCCATACTGTGATTCCATCCTGTGCACCAAGTCTGCGATATCTTTCTCACCGTTGGGGAACATTTCCGGGTCGAAGCTCAGTTGGTCAGCAATGCTGTACGGAGAATTCGAGTTCCCACGTAGATTGAGCGGGGTAAAGTGGACCATATTGTAGCCACGTTCTGCGATACCATTCAAGTGCTTGTCCCATTGTGTAGGGTACTCGCCCATGAATTTGGAGATGAGCGAAAAGATGCTCAGCGAATTGAGGGGTAGCTTTTCCCCCTGTATGCAAATGTTTGGCGATACGTCGATATAGTACGTGGGTGTCCTAGTCGGTGCGGGAGGATCAACTGGTTCCGTTGAGAAAGGGGGAAGGGGTGTGTAAGTTGTGTGGAAGTCGAAGGCGCCGGCTTGGTAGACGGGCACATCAATCTTGATGGGAGCGTTGAAGTTTGGTTTGAGCCTGGCACATTATCTTTTCGTCAGCATGTAGATTTTTCGATTGGTAGCCAGCGGCGAAGAGAGTGGTCAAATCTTACTTGAATTCCCTGTACTTCTTTCGCTCGAAGGGTTGACCCCTCTCCGGAATGTTCACCCAAAGACTGCCCTCTCGACATATCGAGCTGGTACCCTCGATCACGAACCTAATCACCCATGCCGGCTCTGTGGGTGCGGGCAAGAGAATGTAGCCGCCAGGCACGTCGGGCGCCCCATCATCGGTCAACGGCAGCAGGTACACGTTTGTGGGGGCAGGCTGGGTCGTTGGTGGAGCCATATCGGATTCCTGTCGCCTATCTCTCAAGACAGAGAAAGACCTGCAGAGTGGAGTGCGGGGAGTTTGTAGATGGCTTCAGCAAAACCGATCGCGGGAACACGTTTGGTCGTAAGGTTTTAGATGCAGCGGTTTGGACCGCGTCTTCGACAGCTCAAGCTTGTGCTGTGCCGATGAGCTTCAAGAGGCTCGCGGCAATTGGCGGTCGAGCAATGAATGTGCGAGTACGCTTGTACTACGATTACACGATCCAAGGATCCAAATACGAGATGAGAGCCTGCTAGATACGCTCTTTCGTAGGTGTCTATCAGATAGGAGGTTACAGGCAAAATAGAAGCAAAGGGGAAACAGAAACCAAAAGGACCAAAAAGGATGCTTCACACTGGCCGCTGAGAGCTATGGTGGGGGAGATATGCTTTGTAGGCAGGATGGAAAAGGAAGTGGAAGGAGAAGAGGAAGAAGTTCGAGCTGGAACAGAGCGAGAAGAGAGATCCCCCTGCTGTTTACACCGCCAATTGCAAGCGGAGGTAGTCGCGATGGTGAGCAGAGTTCGAGATGGTAACTGCTCTGAAGCAGCAGCAGCAGCTGCTGCAGCTGTTTGTGTCGATCCGGTAGGCGGGACGAGGCGCCACCAGAGGAAGGAGCACGAGCCAGTTACGTCAGTCTGCGTCTCAACCAGACAGGGCAAGTGAACATGTTTGGCGTCCGTGGGGCCATGGAATTTCGCTGCACTCTCCCATGCTGCACGTGCAGAGTTCCCGACTGCATTTCCTCTCTCAACCCTCGTCACCTCAACGTATATGCTCCGGTTTTTGGCACCGCTTCCCGGTTTCCTCGAGCTTACACGATGCTGATGCAAAATTCTCCGATTGAATGGTTTGCTGCCTAAATCTATTCTATGCGACCACGAACAAGGATGCGGACAAGCAGTATATACATACATCGAATATATATGTATAAGCTTAGAATCTCAAGGGCATACCACATGGTTAGTTCAGAAACGAGACTTGATTTGGCAGCCCATCCATGCCGACAGCTTCTTTGATCCCGCGCCGTGCCGCCCAGATGAAATAACAATGCGTGGGGAATCGTGTTGATGCAAACCACCCGAACGTGTCTCCTGGTCATTAATACGCCTTGGCTTGCACTCTACGTTGTTGTCTGCGAAGCCCTCGAGGAAAACTCCCTTCCGCCACCTCTCACTTCATTATCAATGCTAGCAGTGTATGATCGTAGCACAGCCAAGCCCTACTTGCCTCCAACGTGGCTGGCCTCCGTCGATCTGTCCATTGTGTTGCGGATTATTCCACGATCTTGGGTTCGATGAGATCCGGCAATTGCTCCCTATGACGATTGTTCTCAGCACCATCCTGCGCCAAAAAAATGTGATGCAGTGGTCAAGGTCCAAAAAAAAAATGTGAGGAAACTTACGGTTTGATCTTGCCCTCGAGGATGTTGTACACCGCCGTGAACAGCGGGAACTCATCTTCCTTGCCCTGACTCTTCAAGAAGCTGTTCACCTCGTACGCCGTGCTTGTCCCTTGCAGCTTCTGCCCGTTCAGCTCCATCTCTTCGATCCGATCGATCGGTAGCCCCTTCTCGATGCTCAGCTTCGCGCAACGGAAGTTGCGTCCACCCATGCAACTCGTGACCACGTCTGCCATGCCGGCCGACTCCTCGGTGAAAGTCTCGGTTTTGCACGTGTCAGCGAAAAACATCCTGCCGAACTTGACCTCTTCCAGAATGCCGACCCGCATCACGGCAGCCTTAGCGTTGTCGCCCCATCCCATGCCGTCCACCCAACCGGCGGCTAATGCGACCACATTCTTGAGCGCGCCACCAAGGGAGACGCCCGCCACGTCGGAAACGAGGCGTACGTGGAAGTAATTGCGATGGAAAAGCTTCTTGATGTTCAGATGGCTGAGTGGCGGATAGTCTGGGGGCAGCGGCTGGAGGGCGACCTTGCCCTCCTTCTTGGACGACTTGTCTTTGTTGTCGGCGCTGTTCGCGGGCGTGATGCGCAGGTCGACCGAAGAAGCGTTGGGAGACGTCCCTGGCGTGTGACTTGGCGTTGGGTGCCGTGAGTCGATCGAGGGCGGATCATACGCGACCGTGGTCTCCGAGTATTTGCCTGCCGCAATTTCGGAAGCAATGTTGGCCCCGGAAAGAGCACCACAGTAGATGCCTAGAGATTTGCCAATCAACTCAGAGAGCAGCGTGATGCCGTTCTCTGACACCTCGACGCCCTTGATGCACGAGATGCCCCTGGCATAGGGGACAATTTTGCCTTGCAGCTCTTTGCACACGCGCCGTATGAACTGGTGCGGAAGGTTGAAGATCAGAATGGTCGAGTCCTTGACGGCATCCTCCAGCGACGGATTCGCCACAACGTTATCCGGCAGAGTGATTCCGGGCAGGTACTTGACGTTCTCGTGCAACCTGTTGATCAATTCCGAGAGCTTCTCCTTCTTGTCCCCGTCCTCAGGTCGGTAATGCTTGGACGTCTTGGGCACGCTGACCTGCTCCTCGAACACCCACATCTGCACCTGGTCCTCGAAGAGGCTGGGGTTCGCACGCACATTCTCGGCAACGACCTTTGCGATGGTTGAGCCCCTTGAAAAGAAAGACCATCGTCAGTACCTTGTGCAATTGAAGCAGACGTTGTTTAATACTGCTTCTTACTGAGGTAGAGGGTTGGTGCGTAGGGAGAGAAGAAAATTTGCACTTTGTGGCATGCAGCGTCAAAAGCATGCCCACCGCCCACACATGCAAAGAGAGAAAGCAAGAGGGAGAGAAGAGCGTTGAAAAAAAAAAAAAAAAAAAAAAAAGAGAGAGAGAAATACAGTTGGGCAAAAAATTGACGTACCAATTGCCAGATCCCACGACGGTGACCTTGTGCCGCTTAGAATGAATGGACAAATTTGCCATGATGTCCGGCCTGTAGCGCACCCGTGCTTTCTTGTACTGTAAAGCGCTGGCGGTGTTTGCGATGGGTCTTGTGGGTGCAGAAACAGAGGCAGCTGTGGAAGAGGCAGAGACAGCTGCAGTGACAGCTGTCGTAGCGGGGCTAAAGAAGGCGGTGGAGGAGGAGCTTGCAGCGGTCGAAGTGGTAGTCTGGAGGGCGCTCGCAAGCGATCTTTTCATGGGAATGACGGAGGGAGGCGAGGGCACGTTGCGTGCCGCTGCCTGTGAAGTAATTGAGGACTCCAGTGTCACGTTACTTTCCCCCGACGGGTCACTACGCTGCGTTGGGCTGATTCTAGGTTGGAAATCTGTTGACCCGCGTGCACCGTGTTGTTGAACTCAAAGCTGTTCACATGTGCCTGGCGGACGGGCGGGCAGGGGTGCACCAATGGAGAGGCTCGGTCGGAGTGAGCGCTTTGCCTTGGAGAGAGCCGGGCAGCAGATGGCTCGGCGAAAGGTAAAGTTACGGGCAGGAGGAGACGAGCCGACGAGCTTGGGGGAGCCAATAGACGAGGATGTGGGAAGCCAAAGCAGAGGGTGGAGAGGAGAGGGTGTGAGAGATGACTGCGTGTGCGTGTGCGTGTGCGTAGTGTCTGTGTGTGTGTGTGTGCGCGAGAAAGAAAGAGAGAGAGAGAGAGAGAGAGAGAGAGAGAGAGAGTAGAGAGAGGAAGAGTGTGTGAGAGACAAGGATGACGACGACGGAAGGAGAAGAAGGGGAAATAAAAGAAGATACGGATAGGATCTGTTAAACGAGGTTCGATGTGTCCCAACTATCCTACATGTCACGGCAGATGAGGCGAGAAGCAGCAAGCAAGCAAGCAAGAGCAGCAGCATCGACAACGGACCAGCAAACAGCAGCAGCAGCGGCCGCAGAACCTGGCATTCATCGCGTGCCCACATGCAGGGCTTGGGCACACGGGGACCCGGTACGATAGTGTAAGACACGAACGAGTGCAGCCTTAGGCGGGTCGCGAGATTTCTCGTTGCGGAGTAATGAAAAAGAACAAAAGGGCATGGCCAGTCCAAGAGACAGGCCCGGCCTTTGATCGGAGGGGGGGAGTTAAGGGTCGTCACGGCAAGGGCAGGGGAGCGTAGGGGAAAACCTGGGGGCAGCATTTTCCGGAGGGCAGCCATGCGCAACCACAGCAGAAACCCAACACAGGCCCATCTCCTCCGGGCCCGCAGCCAGAGCGAGACACGCAGACAGGCCAGAGGCAAAAGCGCACAGAAAATGGGTCGATGTGGTGGAACGGTCGGCACGTCGCACGACGGCAGTTTCCTTTGATCGCGTCTGGGGCTACGGATCACGACGAGCACAAGGTCCGTCTGATTCGGGACTGCGCAAGGTGCCCTTCTCGTCCTGGCCTTTGACGGTGCCGGTGGCCGTGGCCTGTGAGGGCCGCGGTGCTTGGAGACTGCGTACCGGCGCTGAGCTGCTGATCCCACAACCCTTTGCTGGCCGTGGGTGCCGCTACCTGCGCGGCACTGCGTGCGTGATGTGTCGAGCCCGAGGTGCGACAGGCGGGCGCTGGGTGGTCCTAGGCTTGGCCCGGCCCAGACTGCCCCAGTGGCACACGCTGAGCCCCCCCGCCCGGCGTGCTCAGCGTGTGTCGCACGGCGCGAAGACCGACCGACCGCCCAAATCGGGCCTGCGCTCGCCGGATGCTCAGAGCCTCTGTGCTGCGCTGCTGTGCGTGGGCGGTCGAAGGGCCCTCGTGCTTGTCAATCCCACCTTCCACCCTCAAGATGCTTGCCCGCACAGGCTGGACGCGAGCGCAAACGCCGCTGATTTGTCCACGGCAAAAGTTCGCTCCATGTCATGCCGCTCGCTGTCTCCACTCCAGTGTGGCGACTCTCATTTCACCTTTGGGGCTCGTTGTTCGGAGTTTTAATTGACAACAGGAACCAGTTCTAGAGCAATGGCTCCGACCCAACGCGTCCGCCTTTCCTACCCGAAAAACGCCATCTTCGCTGTGACACATCGCTTCATTGGAGGAGAAATGGTTTTCCCATTCGTCTGCGTTAGCCTCTCTCTCCCACCCAAAAATCTGCCCGCATCGTTTTTGCGCTTATCTGTGGCGTACGCCATATTTTTTTTTACTTTGACTACTCCGTATGCTCGCCTCTCTCTTCTGCCTTCCCGCTGCGAGATGCACGCCTGTGAAAGTCGTGTGGGATCGCATCCGATGCGTCCACGGCGGCGGGGATCTTCGGCAGCACGGTCAGCTCTGCAACCAGCGGAACGGTTTGACATGGCAATCGCCGCGAAAAGTGCCCCCCTTCCCCTCGGCAGCGCATTGCGGAATCGTGCATCTCAGCGATCGCAGCAGATATCTTGTCTCGGCTGAGCCAACGTGATCTGGCAGGTGTCGACGGGACTCCCTGCATCGACATTGTGGCAAGTTTCCCAGCCTTGCCCGCGTGTCGTGATTACCAACATGTGCAAAACCGCGAGGTCGGGTCTGTCATTGGATGAAAGCAGTGACACGACGTCTTTTTTTTTATCTCCTTCTCTCGAGTTTTGCGCACTGGATTTGCTGACTCAAATGGTACCTATGATGACGAAACCGCGCAGGTCTGGCCCCGCGGGGCCCGCCAACACTCACAACCCCCGCCAAAAAAGAAAAAAAAAATCGCGATTCGAATTGAAAGGTGTTGCGAGAGGTTCGACCATTACGACCACATTGCTTCCCCTCCTCGCCGCCTGACGGCACATGTCCAACAGGATCTTCAGGTCGCACCGGACGCTAGTAGCTAGAGCAATCCCTTCTCCGCAGGGTCACGCCAGTTCCAGACCGTGCTGCGCAGTTGGCACCGAGTACCACCTGCTCTCTGCGCTGTTCGCTCCGCGGCCGCAACCGCGACGTCTCATCTCCGCCGCCGCCGAGCTCATCGCAGCTGCTGCGTCCAGTTGCCCCACCGCTGCCGCTCGCGGCGTCGTCTCGTCATCAGCAATAGAAAACTTTGCCCAATCGCAAGCTAGACCCGCCGTATCCTCTGCAGGCGTCCTCTTCCGCAGCATCTCAGTCAGGATGGCCTCGACAGACGCCGCCGCCAAGGTCGAGGCGGCAAAGGACCTTGCTGCAAAACGCGCAGTGGCCGAGCACTTTTCACCCTCCTTCAAGTGGGTTGGCATTGGCTCCGGTACGACCATCCTGTATGTCATCAACGAGATCAAGCGCGTGCTGGGTGACGACGTGACCAACACGCTGTTCGTGCCCACCGGCTATCAGTCGCGCTCCGCTATCGTAGCCGCGGGCCTCGTGCCTGTCGCGTTCGACACTCTCCCAGACAATGTCGTGCTGGACGTGGCCTTCGACGGTGCAGACGAGGTTGACGACGAGCTGAACTGCATCAAGGGAGGCGGAGCCTGTCTGTTCCAGGAGAAGCTCGTCGCCGAGCGGGCGAGGAAGTTTGTCTGCGTTGCCGGTGCGTGAAAATTACCCTCTTCCTCTTCCTCTCCTTCTCCTCCTCCTCACCACGCCTCTCGCATAAGCCTCCTCTTCTCATCATATTCTTCCCTTCCCTCGTCGTTTTCGAAGCTCCCCTTCTTCCACCCTTTCCCTCTCCGAACTTCGTCCTGGGAAAGACCTCCACCCACGGACAGTCCAGATGGAAGAAAGACCGTGCTGACACGGACACGCGGTGAGACAGACTACCGCAAACTGCAGCCGCGACTGCTCGCGAACTGGCCCACCATCCCCATCGAAGTCGCCCCGATCGCGACTCAGGCCGTCCTGCACGCGCTCATCAAGCTCGGCTCCACGGCGCCCAAGGTGCGCGCCGGCCTGCTGGCTAAGACGGGGCCCCTCAAGACGGACCAGGACTTCTTCATCATCGACGCGCCCTTCGCGCAGCCGCTGCTCACCAGCTCCGACGTCGCCGCCGGCAAGGGCAAGGGCGACGGCAGCGACGGCACGTGGGAGGTCAGCGCCCTCAGCTCCGCCATCAAGGCCATCACCGGCGTGCTTGAGGTCGGCCTCTTCTGCGGCGTCGACGGCATCACCGCCTTCGCCGAGAAGAAGGGCACCGCCTGCGGTGGCCAAAAGCCCGTCGCCGTCTACTTCGGCATGCAGGACGGCAGCGTGGAAGTGCGAGCGCGGAAGGAATAAATGTTCCTTCCCCCCTCTTCCTTCCCTCTCCCTCCCCGCCAGCCGAGCGCCTGCACGCGCTGCGTGTCGTCCGACATAGGAGACAGCCTGCGACACCTTAACACTTGTAGACACGATACCAATAGACGGCTCAGCTTTGTGGGTAGATTGTGATCCTGAATGAAGGAAAAAGAAAGTGACACGCTTGTAGAAAGACAGGATGGAAAAAAAATGGTAAACAAGGGGGCTCGTCAAAGCATCGCGATAGCCCTGTGGGCGCTGAAAGGAGCGTTACTTGCGCACGACCCGAGTTGGGGCTTTCCGGGCGAAAAGATTTAAGAAATTTGGCCTCCCCTTCGTAATCTATCTTGTCTTCGAAATAAAGCACCGGCAAAAAAAAAAATTCAATTTCAAGATTCCTCTTTTTCTTCCTGCATGTTACTCGCATAACGCTCGTGACTGCCATCGTACAAAAAAAGCCACCCTCGTCGTGTACATGTACGTGCCGCATGACCCGAAATTCCTCTCCATGGCTCGCCCTCATCAGAAAGAAAAGAAAATCATCTCCCTTCTCATTTCGTCCTCTCCCCGTCCTTCTGGCCCACGTCAAAGGAGGGCCGAAACAATAAATCATGCTCGCAGCATCCGCGGAGACTTGTCTGTGTGGGGCGTGATTGACGGCGGCGGTGGCGATGGTGAAGACATCCAGGTGAATAGTCTTCGCCACCGCCAGATGATGTGATGGATGATGTGATGTGGGGAAGCAAAAATATTTGACCTCTTCCGCGAGGGCAAAGGGGGAAGATGGGGAGACTGGTTGGAGATCGGGAGGGGCGAGTGGGATTAAGAAGAAAGGGGGAGGGGATAAAAAAAGTCAAGAACAAAGGGCGAGCAGATCAAGAAGAAGCTCACTCTTTTCTCTCTCTGCCCATTGTAAACACCGATGCCGGGATATCACATGAAACCACGGTTCGTATTGTCATCCTTTCGTCACACCCGCGCATAGACCGCCCACCCCACAGCTGCACCATACTTGTATCCGTGATCTTAAATCGCTCCTATGTCTATGCCGTTGACCGTCCTTCAATTGCGCGAGGACGGGAGGGCCCAGGGCGCGCCGACTCTACAGACCGAGACCGAAGACGGCGAGCAAGCCGACCGCTATGGCCTGGGTGCCGTACTGCTTGCCGAGGTTGAGCGCCGCGACGGCCGCGCTCGAGCTCTTGGCCGCACCCGAGGAGGTGGTGGCGGTTGCGCTGGCGGTGGCGCTGCTGCTGGCTGAGGCCGAGCTGGAGGCGGACACGGCGAGGGCAGAGCCGTTCTTGGAGCCGCAGATGAATGACTGGCAGAAGGTCTGGCCGGCAAGATCGTTGGGGTGGGCGAGCGTACACTGGGCTACCCATTCCTCACACTCGAGCGAGGGCAGCGTCTGCATGTAGTCCGAGATGTTGGGGGTGTTGCCTGTCGCGCACGTACAGTCGTACGTCAGGTTCGTCTATCGATTCGGGCGACAAGCGTTAGCCATTGGGTGACATGAAGAGTAGTAGTGGAAGCAGTTCTTGCACGAGAAGCCTGCCCAGAGGAGCTTGACTTACGCTGTCACATGTGTTGTTGTTAGTCTGGCCGTTCGTGCACAGCTCGGGGCAAGTGTTCATCTGAGCACGGCACCATGAGGCTCGCGTGGGCGCATCCACGGTGGTGGGGTCAACCTGGCAGCAGGTGGTGAAGTTGGTGACAGCGGCAGCCATGCCGACGAGGGCAGAGGCAGAGACGAAAAGCCTTGAGTAGAGCATGGCGACGGCGTGGTGTGTTGTGTTGTGATTGAGATGTGGAGTGTTTTGGGGAAGGAAGAGCGGGTTGGAGCTTGGTTCGCTTTCCGTGGATGAGCGAATTAGGTCGGTTGCTGGGGAAGCAGCAACAAATAATCAGCAAAACGGCTCGCACGCTTGGAGACGGATATATGCGCAGATGGGCGTGGGCGAGACAGTGGAAGAAGGATCAATGGATGCGAATTGAGGTTTCAATGGCTGGGAGAGTGAAGCGCGAGGCAGAGTCAGGCGCAAGTGACGGTGGTCGTGGTGGAGGAGGAGCAGAAGTTCTGTGGCAGGACCACAACCGCCGGCTTGGAACGCTTTTAGTGCGCCCAGCCGAGGTGGTTGGCCGCGATGATGGAACACAATTGGATCATGACACAACTTGGCTTCACTTACCAAGGGCCTTTCAGCTTTCCAGGTCTGAGCACGAAACACGCACGGGTTACGCACGAGACGTCGACTGGGAGAGGCGCGATTTTTTGCTTGGTTCGGTGAGGAGGGAGACGCAGCAGTGGCGACGACTGGAGCGACGTGCCGTCTGCAGCTCGGCCAGCGTGGAGAGCGGTTGCGGACTGCGGGCTAAGCTGGGTCCGGTGTGAAGGACAACGGCGAGCAATTGTTCGACGAGACGAGAGCGAGGCGAGGCGAGTCGAGACAGGACAATGGCAAGACAAGACGGGAGGCAAGGAACTGGGCAAGGCCTGGATTATTTAAAGGTGAGCCGGAGCGCCGCCCGCCAGATGGGATGCAGACACGGCCGTGAATGGGGAGCTGGATGGAGGATGCGTTGATGGGGTTGCTGGAGCCGGCTGCTGGTGCTGCTGCTGCTAGGCTGCATCTCGGCTAGGCTGGCATCGTGCGCTTCAGCGCTCCTTTCCTGCTTTGGCAGTCTGGCTCGGCCAAACAAGCGTCTTATCAGCGCGCTTCTGTGCCGGCGTCCCCCAAATTTCCCCCGTCGCCGTCCCGACAGCTCTGCTCGCTGTGCTTCGTCTTCTGCTTCATCTTCTTCCTGCTAGGCCTCTCGTCCTGTGGTGTTCTTGCTTCGGCCCAACCCCCCGCGCTCATTTCCACGAAGCTTTTGGCCGCGCTCAGGGCCCCGCGCGATTGCTTAATGCGAGCGGGCGTGCCATCGTGAGCTTGCGTGTGCGCGTGCTTATGCTTTGCGCTCTTCTACTGCTCTCCATCTTTACTCTTTCCTCTTCCCCTCCTGCGCCCGTCACATCATGCCCGTCGTTGTCGCGTCCGTCCCAGCGGCAGGCTTGACAATGCCACCTCCCTCGAGCGATCAAGCACCTATCCGGGCTACCCCGTTCCACAAAGCCCCATCTCGGCTGCGCAACGTCTGAAACCCTTCAGCGACGATGCTCCTTTCCAAACCAAAGTGCTGCCCCTTGTCCCACGCTTGTCACAACCGGCGCAACCGTCATCTCCACTAAGCCTCGGCCAGGACTAGCGGAATACCAAGCTTTCTTGCCGGAGCGCAGGAGGCTCCGTGCAACGCATGTCGGGCGATTGGCTGTATGCCCGCCCGCCCATCCAGCGCGCTTGTTCTGTGAGTAGCTCTGAGGAAAGCAAGTTTTACTTGGTGCATGTGGCCCAACAGCCCAGCACCGACCTTTCAATTTGCCTTGCTTTCCCGGCCTCTGTCCATGGCCATGTCATCACCGCTGTTCGTTGCCCTGGCAAAAAAGCGCGTGTTGTCGCCAACCACCTTAGTGCCAAGCATCGTGAGATCGTCCCCGTTGCACCACCACAAAATCTTCCCGCCGCCTTTTCCCCTCATGGGGCGCAGCACTCACACGTACTCACCAAAAAGACGCACCCACGCACACGCACGCGCACAAACACACACATGAAAGCGTGCACACGCACACCGACTCTCGAAAATTTTTTACACATATATGGCTGCATGTTGATGCATCGTCGCATGGCGATTGAGCCGGGCTCATCGTCCCTGTCTGGGTGCTTCCTATCGTGTCTTTTGATCCGTCGCTTCCAGGCGGGACCCGGCCCTAGGCTCGCATGCTATATGTATTGGGACGCGTAGTCTTGTATGCATCAGCGACCGGGTTAACTGGCTAACCAGCAACAAAAAAAACCTCGCCGAACGGCCAACATGTAAGCTATTGGATTTACGCTTGTCAATGTGCAGATCGCGCTGCGGGAACGGGGTGCACACCACCTCCCCATTGGTGCTAAAGCCAAAAAAAAAAAGGCTGGGCAGGAAACGAGAGCAAAGAAACCATACCCGTTCGTTCTGGATCCTGTGTGGAGAAACATGGGCCCGTCTGCGCCATGAATCTCGTCGAGCCTTTTGACGTGTGGTGTAAACAGCTTTGGAGACGGTGCTTTCTGTATGGCTACAACGCCCAAAGGCGCAAGCAGGACGCCTGAGAAATGGCAAACAGCACTTGTGTCCCATGCACGATCTTGCATGTCGAAGCAGCTCTCACCATGCTCGAACAGTCCACACAGAAGGGGAGGACTTGGGAATTCTCCGATTCGTCGGTCGAGGCTGTGCGGGTCACTGCATTCCAATCTCGATGCACAAATCACGTGTCTGTAACGGCCACTTGCATGAACGTACTCTCGGCTTCACAGTGGCAATGTTGCTCTAAGGAATGCAGAGAATTAGAACGAGAAGAATCATGCGCTGGGACTAATATCGCCGACGTCCATCTGTCACCGCTGGACTTCCACCACGGCGGCCCAAGCCTCTTATAGCCTTCCCCTCCTTCCGTCCTCCACGTCCTTTAGAACAGGCTTCATGGCGTTAACCCTATCCCATAAACCTCCAAGCCCTTGTTCTCTCCCTCTCTTCTCCTCGCGCGCAAACCATTCCTCGGCGCTTCGAATCCTGCCGGGATGAATCCGATCCAGCAGAGCGTAATCTCGTCGGACGACGCCCTTGTTACCGCCAGAGTCCCTCCACAGGTTCCAAAACCCGGTGAAGTTGTCCCTCACGAGCATGTGTGCCGCATCCGCGCGGTCGGAGTTGTACCCGCTCACCCGGTCGGCTCGCGAGGCGAACACGCCGTCCGTCCAGTACTCGTCCAGGCTCACGGGCACGTACACCGCTGGCCGGCCCGTCACCTTCGCAAACGCTGCCGCCAGCTCGGCAACCCCTATGTGATCGACGGCGACTTCGAGGTCCATCCCGTTCGCTTGGTCCTGGTGGTCAAAGATCCAGCGCACGTAGTACTCGCAGTCTTCCAGCGCCACGAACGGCACCGCTCCGTCGCTCAAAGGCATCCTCCACGTGACCACGCCGTTCTCTATCGTCGGGCACATGGGTGTATCTTTGGCAATGGTCATTTCGATGTACGGCCCTGTGGTGAACAGGGCTGCACCCATTCTCCTCCCAAGCTGCCTGTTCTGCTGCAAGATCCACTCGCCCACTCGCCCTTTTCCATCGTAGTGCCCACACCGGTACTTGGACGCCCATTGGCCCTTCTTCAGCCCGTAGTCCAGGTTGCCGTACACGAAGAAGCGCAGCCCGCTCTCGACCGCGAGCTCGTACGTCCGAATCGCCCAGTACACCTCCGCCTTCTCGCCGCAGTTGAACCCGTCGATGTTCACGAACGCGTACGCGCAGCCGCGCAGCCCGTTGCGGAGCGCCGTCTCGTCCGCGAAAGTGCCCTCGACCAGCTCGACGAGCGACGGGCTCAGCGCCTTGAGCTGCCGCGCGTACTTGCTGCTCGCGTCGCGCGTGAGCACCCGAACGGCGTACGCGCCGTCCCGGACGAGCCCTCTGATCACAGGCCGGCCTTGCGCGCCCGTGCCGCCTATCACGAACACTTTCGGTGGCGGAGTGGGAGACGCCATTTTGCACGTCCGCAGTTGGCTGGAGCGGCTCTTGTGTCGGGTAACCGGGCGTTGCCTTTTGCAGATTTTTTTTTAAGAAAAAAAAATTTAAATTGGGTGCGCCCCGACAACGGTTCTCGTGGCTGGATTCACGAAGAACGAGCGGCCAGGCAGCGCTGGAGAGTCCGTCGTTCCAAAGCCGCGCGACGCCGGCCCTTATACCTCCTTTCCACTATTACTCTACACCCGCATTTGCCTCGGAACCCTCGTCCTTCACGATCATGCCTTCTTTCTAAATCGCAGGTTGAAAGTTCGCGATTTTCTTGCGGGACTCGACCTGGCTAACTGGGTCGTAGCGACCAAATCCTTTAACGGCCACCCGTGCGATTACTGATCCTTGCCCGCCAACGACGGCTTTTGCACGCGCGTGAATTATTCAGCTGCGCGCTGTGCTCGTTCGTAATCAAGCTCGACTTGCGGACGCTTCAACCTTTAGGCGCGCTTGGTCACGGACGGGACACCAAGTCTTTGCGACGCTGGTGCTGCCTCATCGCGATCAGTAATCTCGACCAGTTCGTTCTGTGATCTTGATCAAAGGGCGCACGTTTCTACCTTTAACATGGGGAGACTAAGCGTATCTCTTGTGATGCCTCGTCTCCACGTGCGAACAAGACTGTGCACACTTCTCGGCGAAGCCACCCAACGCCCCTTCACAGCGTTTCGGAATGAAATACGACGAGCGCGCTTTGCTCCTTCCCTTTGCCAGTACGTACAATCCATAGCCTTCCCCTCAAGCATCGCCTCCGGGATTTTTACCCTTTGCCCGCTTTTGCACCTCATTTTGGCCTTTTTACATCCTTCCGAAGCTCGGCAGCATACTCCAGCGCCGACTTGTGTGCTTCTCTGGCACCGTAGCATACACGAGTGTACTTTGTCAGCTGCTCGCGATGATACAAGATTCTGGCGAACGTGAGCTCGTCTCTGCTCGTGTCGAGCCAGTGGAGCCTGTAGACGTCTAGGGCTCGCTGGTGGGCTTGATGCAGGCGGTAGACCATGCGTTCGCTCTGAAGCTGGCTTTCGTACTGGGAGAAGAACTTCTCAAAGGTCTGAACCGTGGTTTCATCTCGCTTCTCCGCCTCTGCCGGCCGGATCAGACCAAGCTGCTCCCCCAGGTAATTGACGTATTTCAGCCGATCGTCCGGGTCCTCGTCCTGATCTTCGTCCGTTTCTGCGGTGCTGTCGTCCGTCAGCCAAGGCACAGCGCCTCTCAATTGACGCTTGTTGTTGAAATTTTTGGGCGTGTCGCACGCGTCACAGGTGCACACGAAGTCCCAACCGTTCAGCAGAATCTCCTGCCGCTCCTCTCTCAATGGGTCTTCGCACCCCTCTTCCTCCCCATTCAGATAACTGATGGTGACCTCCGTTCCCTTGACAGGCAGATCTGTTGTCGATATCACACTCGCTCTGCCCTTCTCAGGGTCTGAGATGGCCACGACGGCGTTGGGCCGACACGAGTGATTAAGCATAGCGATGTCCGGCCACAGGTTCAGGACGCACTCGATGTCCCCCGGCGATGCTTCGTATCTTAACGCAGCCCTCGCTATAGATTCGGCGCTCCAGTCCTCGAAGCAGTTCCGTCTGAACTTCGAATCCGCGGAGCCCGCCTTGCCGGCGTGCGCGAGGTCCTGGAACTTTTTGGCCTGTGTCGCGTTGAGGTCGGTGGCGACGGCGTCACGGATCCGTCGCGCCATTTCCCTGGCGTTCTCTTCTCGAAAGCACGGCATGCCCAGTATGGCCGCGTCCTCGGTGAAGAGGACGGTGCCTTGCGGTATCTCGGCCTTGGTCGTGCGCACACCACGCCCATGCTCTTCGGTCATGTAGACCTCGACAAGGTCGCTGAGTGCTCGGGGCAATGGAAGAGTCTTCGAAACAGTCATGTGCCCGTCTGGATGTGCATCGGTTCTCCTCCGCCCTTTCGACGCGCCTCGACGCCTTCTCTTCGCTCTGCAGCGTCTGTTAGGAGATCTTGGACAAAACGACGGGCGCTGCCCGTTCCTAGCGTTGCTTTGGGATCTTGTGGAGTTCCTTCTGCCCGTCGGCCCTTTTGAGCTCTGTGGGTTTTTGTCACGTTGTTGAATCGAAGGCCGCTGCTTCTCGCACCTTATCGTTCTGCTTCTCAAACATCGCGTGGCGAAGGATGGCGATGCCCTGCAATCTGCGTCAGGATGCCTTTTCTTCATAAGTCTTTAGCTGGATTCGATGTGCTTCTGCTGGCAGATCCGAGGAGAGAACAGCAGGAACACAATCTCCCTTATAGACAGCACTCAGTCACGCTGAGAAGCCAGTCACATTCACACGTCACAAAGCGAGCAAACGAGGAGTGCAGTGCGCGCTCGTGGTTCAAATTTCCGCGACAGCCGCTTGAATGAGGTACAAGCGGTCATGTCTTTCAATTTGATCGCTTGATTGCTGTCAAAGATCATTAACTATTCATAAGGTGTTGATCAGCAAGCCGCATTTCTCGTCCCTCTTTCTCAGTTCTTCCGTTTGCTTTTAGCTTTTCATTCGTTTTCGCTGTGAATGTCGATCGAGATCGCCAAAACTTGGTCCCCAAGACAGCTGATTTGCTTGCGTGCCATCATTCAAATCAGACACCAGTCTCATATGCACCATATCTCTCGACGAACTCAAGAGCCTCAAAAGTCGAACAGCCGTTCAGAGGCGGACTGGGAGATCGACGCTCCGTTCCGTTAGTTGCCAGATTCTTCCAAGAAGCTTTTGCGAAGCTTGACCCTGATCGTTCAAGTAAGCTCGTGATCGAATGGTGAAGAAATGACTAAAAATATATAAAACGTCTGGACATCCGTGCGTGTGATTTGCATAAGCTCAAAAGGATGAATTTCTAACGTTTAAGCTTACGAAATATTTGACAATCCAAGTATGAGTCTCGGCTGCTGCTATGTTTCTCTACGGAAGCTCCGTCTGAACGTGTGAATCGGAATTTATGAGGCCACAACAGCTTGAGAGCTGCCATGAAGTAAGTGAAGACGCCTGAAAGGAAAAGCAGAGTTGGCAGTGACAGAAGCTTTTGCGGCGAAAGGCTTCTGGGCTCGTACGATGAGTCCCGAGTTAGATGTGGTGGGGTAGTCAAAGGACGAGGACGAGGACAGGGACGGGGACCTTCTACGTGCGCAACTGCATTTAATGGAAGCGTTGAGGAGGCCTTCTGAATGGTGATCGTGGGACACGTATGACCATGTTGAACGTCTTCAATCATGCAAATAGCGTCAGTGGTACAGACAGCGTGACTTCCGATCAATTTGTGCAGCGTCTCGTCCGGTAGTGTTGCTTCTCGCGTGAGCAACAACTGCATCTGGTTGCGGCAAGCCTGACGCTGATGGCAGTAGATCACTGCCGCGCCTATTGCGATTGAGCCTGCTGTAAGCACAAGTCGATTTTGAAAACTTATATCCACCGCTTGCGCTTCCATTTTTACATTGAAGTTGAGGGTCTCGGAGGTTGTGAAATGAAATTGATCTGTAGAAGAAATGAACGCCGCCGATGAGATTCATAGCCGTACACCTCAGGCTCTAATCAACATCTTGAGTTCGAATCTAGTGATTTAACATGCTCAGGGAGGAAGCCACCGCCCATATTCTTTGCTTTTGGTAGGGGGATTATGGGGGTTTGACGCCACCCTGCTAATTCTTGCACGATAAACTCCTAGATCCAACAAGCGAATTGTTCTTCCTTTAACGTTGCAAAAATCTAAGAATTTTTTCCTGAAAACCCACATTAGCCTTCTGGAGAAGGACAACCGACATCGAACTCGGCAGACCAGCTCCTGGGCATCCGGCTAAGTAAAGGAAGACAAGGAATCTAGGAGGTTGAGCATATTACGAGCCTTCATGCTGCACTCCAACATAGCAATTGAGGCAATGTTGTAAAAAGTTAAATATTTAATTTTGAAGCCCCTGTGATGGCGAGCGTTGAAAGATGAAGCCTACATAAGTTGCTCTATGATAAAAGGCATTTTATGGAGTCGGTGGCAGGCTGCCAATGGAGGATTGGAGCGGACACACTTATGCAAGACGACAAGATGGTCACAAACGCTTAGAAGTTTGCAGATTCGAGTAGATTTGTAACGCTTACGTAGCTGAAACTCGTATTTGCAGCAATTCAAGGCATGCTGTGTCGCTACACAAAGCAAAGCAATGAGGCGAGTTTTGTTGAGGTTCAAGAGCGCGGCCCGTTCTGGCACTCGCCAAATCGGGTTAGAACTAGCGGATCAGCTCACTCTCCCCGCCCCCTCTCTGCAACTGAAGGCCTCCGACTTTCCCGCCTTGCTGCTAGCCTTGTAGCCTATAGGAGGTCGAACGCAGCATCTCCACCGTTTTGCTGTCCTCCGTCTTTTGCCAGGTACGATGACGATTCGTGCGACCAAATTCACGCCCGCAGTCTTGCTCTCTGCGCCTCGGCGCGGCCCAGCGATTCCCAACAGCGACGGATCAAAGATCCTCTGCTCCGTTTCGACATACAGCTTCGAAACGCACGAGAAGACCACGGAGATTCGTCTGCTTGACACGAGGGATCACCACTCAAGTCTGGTCTCTAATGCCAATGGTCTAGGGAATGTCGCTTGGCTCGATGACGAGACCATTGTCTTGCTTGTGAGCGGCGACAAAGGCCAAACCAAAGTCCTCGTTGGGGATCCTACCAAGTGGGACAGTAACCACATCGCGGGAACGATTGACGGACCCGTCGGTGATCTGAAAGTCAAGAAGCTGCAGACCGGCGGCTTTGCTCTTGCTGTGTCTGGCTCCGCCAACCCGGACGGTTCTCTGTTCAATCCTGAAACGGCTCCAAAGCGCTTCACGACCGGCCGCTTGTACAAGTCGCTGTTCGTGAGGCATTGGGATACATACGTGGCTCCGCAGCGCAACGCTATATTCTACGGCTCATTAGCGGTTTGCAGCGAGTCCGGCCGATATGTGTTGTCAAAGCTGGACAATGTGCTCGTGGGCACCGGCCTTGAGTCGCCCATACCACCCTTTGGCGGAACGGACCACTTTGACGTCTGTGAGAACTCTGTGATCTTCGCTGCGAAAGATCCGGATCTAAACCCCGCGAGCAACACAAAGTGCAACGTGTATCTCGTGAAAATCCTGGATTGGACGAACACAACACCCGCACCCGCTGCTCGACCCCAACAGGTCGGCGTCTTGGAAGAATTTCGAGGTGCGATCACCTCGCCCGTCTTTTCTCCCGATGGTAACTCGGCTGCGTTTCTGCAGATGCGAAAGAATGGATACGAATCGGATAAAAACCACCTAATCGTCATTCCGGATCTTTCCAGACCATCGACATGTATTGCTCCGTTACGAGCTTCCGGAGGTGGAGAGGAATGGGACCGCAGCCCTTCAAGTATAAGTTGGAGCTCGGATGGCTCCACGTTGTATTTGACGGCGGAGGAACACGGAAGGGTCAAGCTTTTCAAGACTCCCGCAAAACCAAGTGCAGCCATACATCCGACGTTGCTGACCGGTTCCGAAGGCAGCGTTTCTTCGGTGTCGGTGCTGGAGACGGGTAACTTGATCCTCACGTTCACAAGCCTGGTGGACAACAGTGCATACTACCTCCTTGAGCCGACTCTGTCGTCGCCAAAACCGCAGCTCCTGTCGTCGAACGCGAAGAACGGAGCGTTGTTCGGCCTTTCCGCGAAGCAGATCGACGAGCTCTGGTGGCCAGGAGCCGCGCCCAAGACGAAAGTGCACGCCTGGGTGGTCAAACCGTCAAACTTTGACGCGAAGCAGAAGTACCCTCTTGCGTACTTGGTTCACGGCGGCCCTCAAGGGGCGTGGGAAGATGCGTGGTCGACGCGCTGGAACCCGGCCGTGTTCGCCGAGCAAGGCTACGTGGTCGTCTGCCCGAATCCGACGGGCTCCACCGGCTACGGCCAGCGCTTCACGGACGCGATCCGCAAAAACTGGGGAGGCCTGCCCTACCAGGACCTGGCCCTGGGGTTCGAGCACATTGAAAAGAACGTGGCCTATGTTGACACGGAGCGCGCGGTCGCGCTCGGCGCGAGCTACGGCGGCTACATGATGAACTGGATCCAAGGACACGACCTGGGCAGGAAGTTCAAGGCGCTGGTCACCCACGACGGCGTCTACTCGATGGCGTCGCAGCAGGCGTCCGAGGAGCTCTACTTCCCCGAACACGAGTTCGGCGGCACCTGGTGGGACAATCAGGACTCCTGGCTCGAGTTCGACCCGGCAAAGTTCACCGCGAACTGGGCGACGCCGCACCTCATCATCCACAGCGACAAGGACTATCGGCTCACCGTCGCGGAGGGCCTCGCTGCGTTCAACGTCCTGCAGGAGAGAGGCGTGCCTAGCCAGTATCTCACCTTTCCGGACGAGAACCACTGGGTCCTCAACCCGGAGAACTCCTTGCTGTGGCACGCGGCCGTGCTGGAGTGGATAAATGGCTGGGTCGGTCTGCCTACGCCGAGCGAGAACGACCCGCAGCTAGCCAAGGTGTTGGAGGAGGCTTCCGTGCCAAAGTGGGGGACTGCGATGAACTGAAGCATGCGTTATTTGGGGGGATTTGAACCGTCGTGGACCTCTTTGACAAGTTTTCATTTATTTTTTTTTTAAAACTGTTTACTAGGTGCCCATGATTGGAAGCAAACCTCTAGCTCACGAATCCATGTACATAGAGGTACCAAAAAAAAGTTAAGCCAAAGTCAGCGCCAATCCAAATGACATTTCATGTACTCCACAAACTATTTTCTTTACCGTAAACGCCCTTTCCGTATGCGCGAATCCCAATCATACTTTGACCGCCCTCTTCCCGCTTTCGATCAGCTTGGCTTTCTTCGGCGTGGGCGCGACTGGGCCGTCCAGGCTCTTCCTCTTCTTCTCGGCCGCTTCGAGCGCAAACTTCTCCTTCCTCTCCTCGAACTCCTTCCTTTTGAGCTGCTTCTTTGTGAGCAGCACCGGCGTCTCTTCCGAATCCAAGACCTGATTTTCGTCGACCCACAGCTCGTCAGCGAGCCAGATGGGCAGCGCGGCGCTGGTCGGCGTCTTGATGTGTATCGACTTGACGCCCCGCCACTTTTTTGGAATATACTGCTCGACCATCTTCTCGACGATGGCTTCCACATTTTCCGCTACGTCTTTGGGCGTCCAATCGGCGAGCGCCGCCTTGACGCTCGTCGTCGCCGAGGGCGCAAGGTGCACCAGGGTAGTCTGCAGCGTCTTCTCGATCTCGGCAGCTATGTCTGCTGGAGCACCAATGATCTCCGAAGCCACGCCCTTCTTCTTCGCAGGCAGTTTGGTCTTGTCCGGCCGTCCCTCGCCGGCGTATCTTAGCTTACCGGTGAGATCTACGGGGATCGGTCTCTTGCTCGTGGACTTGAAGAAAACCTTGCCTAGAATCATGGGAAGGCCGGTAATGATGCGTTCATCGGCAAGGAAGATGTCGTATTCTGCAAGCAATTGTCTCTTGGCCTCAAACGATTTTCCATACTTTGCCTTCAGTCTGGAGATGGCTATTACTTTTGTGATGCGCTGTTTGAGCTCTGCTGGAAATGCGGGTGAGGCGACGAGATCTTTGTAGGCAGTTGGGCGGCCTGCAGGCGGATCACAAGTGATGAGGCATATCTTAGAGTCGTCGCTCGTCAGGACAGGGTGTGGAACCTTTCTGCATACGTATGTTAGCCAGAACAGCTCGAATTAAAAACCGTGCGTGCGATGTTCACATTTTGCCCGGCTTCAGTCTGTTGCTGTCGAGAATGTGCTTCTTTGCGGTGAAGACAAGCCATATTGGGGTGTCCTTGGCATCCGCCCCTTCTTCACCATCTGCGTCGAACAGATCCGGTTTCTTGCCAGGTTTCTCGGTCTTGATCTGCTCTTTAGAGCGTTCAATCGCCTTGAGTAGAGCGGTGGCCGCACGCAAGACCTGCGCCGAATTGTCAACGCGACTAACTTCGAAACTTATGCAATTTGAATTACCTGGTCAGGATCAAGTTTGTAAGGAGTGCCTGACTGCGCCATTGCGTCTTTCGAAAAAAAAAAAATCCTACTTCTTAACTTTTTGTTAAAAAGAGGTGTTTGCTAGAGCGCAGGGACACCTCGAGGCTGGGAAGTCGCAAAAAAAAGTTCGGCGCGCCAGCAAGCGGAAAGGTGAACTTTTTCCCGCCAAGTCCGCTCCGCTAGCTGCCGTAATCGGCAAGCCCTTTTTTTCCTTCTGAAATACCGAAGAAAAATCCTACGCATTTTTTCTTGTCTCGTTCGACGGTAGGCACTCTCTGCGACTGTATTGATCGCTTTCAGGCCCAAAGAGGACCGGTTCGAATTCGTTGAGAAGTTCGTGCCGCTTTTCACAATTCTTCCGACGCGCTCATGATGGCACCAAGCATCAACGGCACGAAGCCCGTCATATCGAGCACCCGCTTTGTAGCAACTATATTCCAGAAGAGCACGGGAAATGACGCTCCAGAGCTGTCAGACACATGCCTTGCGGCTACAAGAAGTTTTCTAAGGAGTCTGTTCCCAAAAGCCTCAACTTCGTTTCGATCTTTGGCAGATCACGTGTCTGAAGCCACAGTATTGGTCGCATCGCCGCTGGACTTGGTAGCGCTTCGACAGGACAATGCCCAGGCGATTCTGGATTTTGAACGAGAATGGAATGTGGAGCTTGTGTTCCAGAAGGAGGGCGCGTTCAGAAAGCACAAGAGACTCGCCGTGTTCGACATGGACTCGACGCTGATTCAACAGGAAGTCATTGACGAGATTGCGCGCAAGATCGGCGTTGAAGAACAAGTCTCGGCTATCACGGCGAGAGCCATGAATGGAGAGTTGGACTTCACAGCGTCACTCAAGGAACGTGTGGCGCTTTTGAAAGGAGTACCTGCCACGGTGTTTGTAGAGCTGAGGGACGTGATCACTTTGACTCCCGGCGCCAAGGATCTCATCAAAGCGCTTAAGAGGCTAGGATATAAGACAGCAGTATTAAGCGGCGGCTTCACGCCACTTACAGGCTGGCTCGCTCAGCAGCTTGGCCTTGACTACAGCTACGCCAACCACCTTGTCGTCTCGGATGACGGCGCAAGGCTCACGGGTGAAGTCACTGGCGAAATCGTCAACGCGGAGAAGAAAAGAGAGCATGTGCTTGCTATTGCAGAGAAAGAAGGCATCCTTCTAGAGCAATCACTCGTGGTGGGTGATGGAGCTAACGACCTTCCAATGATGGGCGTTGCCGGCCTTGGCGTAGCATTCAATGCGAAGTCCAAAGTTCAGCTTGCGGCACCAGCAAGACTGAACTCGGGCAGCTTGATGGACGTATTGTATCTGCTAGGTTTTACACGAGAAGAGCAGGAACAGTTGATCTCTGAGTCGTGAGGAAGCGGACTTGGTAAACATGAAGTCCAACAAAAAGAGTAGGAGTTTTCTTAAGAATAATGTGATGGTAGGATCACAGGGATAAATGATCGTTCCACAAGTCTCGGTTGAGCGTTACTCGGCGGATCTACCGATTTAACATCGACATCCGCAGCTGCATATTAGGCCACGCCATTGACTACAAATTATAGAACGAAGTGTAAAACCTTATAGATTATAGAAATAGCTCTGAATGCTGTAGACTTAGGCGTGGAATAAAGTCGCTGTTATGCCAGTGTTGATGAATACAAAAGGCATGATGTAACCAAGTCTTCGACGGGAGTTTTCTTCGTTTCGCCATGCTCAGTAGCTCGAGGCCATTAGGAAACGTGCGTGTCGATGAAGTTTGTGCTTCGAAAACACGTCATGCTCAAGAAATAGGTGGTGGTGCGAAAGCGATAGGTTCTGACTCATACTGGACTCCTGAAAGGTGGAGAGATCGGGCGGTTCCAAAATTGTCCCTTCGAAGAGTGAGTTATGTTTTATGACTGTATTTGCCACCGGCAAGACTCCAGTCCATCGGCACGACGCGAGGGGTCGGCAAGACAATACATGTCCGTACATTAGTGATTACGATATATTCCTATTGAATCAAAGTTTGAACCATTATGGCCCGCAATTTAGCCCTGTCGGACCATGGGAAAGACGAACGTCTGAAAGTGCAGGTTATCCAAGACTCTGTTACTGCGGGAAAGCCGGCGAAGGGCCCGAGGGACAGTTTCCGGTGAACAACCATGCGCCGCTCGTACTGGCCTCTTGAAGTCCCAACGGTGTGAAGCTCGAACAGGAATGCTTAAAGCAGTGTCAGGGATTGGAATTGACCACGATGCGGAGAGCTCAGATAGCAGCACTGCCCATGTTCAACGGCGTAGTGAAAAGCTGTACGTGCCTCCCGAAAACGCCATGGTATATGCGAAGGTGTTGCGAAAGCGTTGTGAAGCACAGCCAAAACGTCGACGCCTTACGGCCAGGAAGCGTTTTATTTGTTAGACAGCGCAGGTCTAAGCCTTGAAGGAATGCAAAGTGCGACGTGCGCCAGCTGATTTGCACACAAAGTACGTCACACGTCACCAATGCTCCTTGCCGGTTAAGATGTTGATGAGAATGGCTGTGACGCAGACATGGGCGCTCGCGCAGCTACTTGAGCTGCACACAAGGAAACTATAATTCGACAGTTGGATAGGCACATGCCGGTGGTTAGCCACAATCGCGCTAGCATTGGAAGGGACCTTCAATAGAGACGATCCGCATGTGGGCGCATGTCAAGGTCGTCACAGGCTTCACAAGATTACAAGTGGTCTGAGCAGGCACACGTTGGTAAACATAAGAATATCCTTGCCCGTTTACCTGGCCGCGAGCGCGAGAACAGGGGAACAGCGGTAGCGAGCGGAGGTATCTCCATGCGAAGGAGCTTTCAGCGGAATCGCGTCCACGAAACAGGGTGGCTGAAGGCTGCAAAGTGACTTGTATGTATAGATGAACGAAAAGGCTTCAGCACGTGCAGGCGGTCTGGATGCTGCTTGTGACGGGACGCCGTCGTTACGACATGCCAGACCACATGACGACGCACGCTGTGCAGCCGCGAGAATGCGGTGTCCATGACGCCAGCGTGGTGCAGATGTCCAAAACGCTCGCCTTGCGGAGTCCGATGGCAGTGCCCAATGATCTGGCGCTCAGGGAAGAACCCAGAACGTCGGGCCTGCGTCGTGAACACATCGGGCATGAAATGCTGACGAGTAACGTGGCCAGCGAGGACCGGGACAAGCCGTGATCGAAAGTGGAGCCAGTCGAGCCCAAAGGAAGACGGGTACTTGTAACGCAGCGACGGGTGTGAGCCAGGAAATGTTTTTGCTGTGGACACTTTGGTAGGGTACGAGGCTAGGCTAGGGAAGGGCTCAGCCAACGGACGGGGCGCGCATGTGCTCTTGGTGCCCAAAAAAGAAGCGAACAAAGGCTGGTAGTCAGGAGAAGGTTTTGAATCGACGTCCTTTTGGGCCGTTGCTTGCTCACTGAGGGCTGTGTGCGATGTTGAACGCGACCCAAATCGGGGTCTAGCGCGCAGGGGTAGGCCGACGTGGCACGATTCACGAAGCTTCGACAAGCAGTGACTCCTCTGGACCTTACAGACAGGCGGATCCGGTTGGCCGCACGGAGCATGAGGCCGTGAGTGAGGGATGACTGGAAGGACGTGATGGTCGTGATGATGAAACACACACGGCGAAAGGACTTCTGAGGGCGCCGTGAAGTCGAGACAAAGCCGAGTGACAACGACGTGTAGAGGGTGGACACGGAGCATCGTTAAGCTTGAACTGGTCGGCTCCCATTGAAGACGGCGTTCATATAAAAAGGAGGAAAGAGAATCACCAGATCAACGAGCCCAAGATCCTCATCATTGCCATTGCCATCATCGTCTTCCTTGTTTTGCTCGGATCAAAGAAAAAACAGGACTCGTTACACGCCCGCATCGCCTGTGCGTTCCTGCTGCAATTGCCGTGTGAACGCTCACCCTCTATCAAAGAAAACAAAAAAAAAGGTTGATCCGCACAGCCGTCTGGTAGGCGACGTATCATGCAACGACAGAGGCATCCGATTGTTCTTGCACTTGCAGAGAGGTATAACAAGAGACCAATTCGTCGAAAGCCTTGAAGCAAGACAAGTTCGAGTGAAGAGACGCGAAGGAGCGCGTTCATTGTCTGCGGGCCGGACGAGCCATACGAGCCGTACGATAGCCTCAACCCGTCCCCGACGACAAACGCTCGCCGTCGGCACCAGTCAAATTCCCGAGCGACGATCCTCACGGTACGTCGATCCGTCCTCTGTTTACATTCGCATTTTTCACCCTTGATATTCTTGTTATTTTCGCCACTCCCCGAGCACCGACAAAATACCGGCGCGTGGGCTGCATCGACCGGTCAGACAGATCGTGCCCTCGTCCGGCGTCGAGTCCCCAGGCACTTAATACCAGGCAGGCGCTGGTGTGTGTCTGCAGCACCCAACGGCCTGTCTGTTGACGCTGTTTGCTGCTTTCTTGCTAGCCTGACTGTGCAGGTGTCGGCATTCCATCGCGCAAGGTGAGTGACCTTTGCCTTCTTTTCTTTGCTTTTTCCCAGGTTCGTCACGTCCTTCCGATCCGTGCGAAGGAGGAGAGCGGCGGCGATGGTGGTGGTGGTGACGACGGTGATGACGGTGGGGGGCCACCAGGCGACGTCAACGGCAGCCTGCCGCCCATCATCGTCATCATCGGCAGCCGCAGCAGCATCCCAGCACTCCTGACGCCCGCTGGAGCTGGTCCTCTTCGCCAGCTGGCACTGGATTCGCCTGAGGTGGCCTGTCGGACGAGCTCTGGCGCTGGCAGCACGTCTGTTTGGCTGCCGCGGGCGCAGCTAGTGGGAGCCCTCGCGCTGCGGGTGTCTTCTAGGTGCATCTGCCAGCACCGCGACTCCGCCGTGACGCCCACCCAAAAACTCTTTATAAGCTTATTTTAGTCCCGCTTTTCGATCTCGCGCCCAATTCCACGCTGCACTGCCTCTTCTTGCGTTTCTCTCTGCTCTCTGTGCCCAAACGAGACCGCCGAGCCCGAGAAAAGAAAACCTGCCAGGCGACCCGCGCCCGTACTGACTGCCGCACCCAGATCTCCGCCAGCACGCCCGTCACGGCGACGTCCAGACGACGAGCTCGCAAGACAATACAAGGGATCCAAGCCTCCAGCCAATCGATCCTCGCCGTCGTCTTCTGCCACAGGCTGGCTCTTGTGCCACGGCAAGCCTGATCGACCCTTCAGCTGTGCCCAACTCCTGTATTTGACCCTCCGCCCGACCGCCTCTCGCACCCCGTCTCTCCCGCGCGCTCGCCCTCAGCGACCCCCCGTCGCCGCCGTCGTCCGGGGTCGCCATCGCTCGTCGCTGCTCCGCCCGTCTGCCGTCCTTCGCAGCGGCAACCCGCGCTCGGCCTGGAGGCTGCGCATTGGCCAATTCGGGCCTCAGATCCAGCCGTCGCCCTCAACCTGAGACACTCGTCCTTCGCCCGCCCGGCCCCGTTTCTGCCCAATCGTCTTGTCCGTCAGCCCTACCCGACTGTTCGGACACAAACACGCACCTTCCCCCTCTCCCCTCCAAGGAACGACTCTTCCTTCCAGAATTTCTTCTCTCTGGTCCCTCCTACCCCCTTTCCCGTCCGCACACCTCCCTCCCCGCCTTTCTCCTGCCTCGTGCGCCCGGCTTCGAACGCAGGAGCTTGCTGCTTTTGTTTACAAACATCCGGGTCAGATCTGCGGGTCACGCCCTTTAGTCGTACCGTACTTTGTCGCCGGCGCACGAGTCGAGCCAGCAGTCGCATTGTTGACACCTCGTTCGACAACAACCGTCGCGGCCCGTCCCAGCAGGTCCCAGGAGGTCACCGCTCGCCCAACTTATGAACTACTGTTATGTCGTGAGTATACCGTGCTTCCCTTGCACTTTGGCCTCTCAGAAGAAGAAAAGCGCGCCTTCACCTTTCACCCGCCCCGTGTGCTGCCGTGTCCGCGCACGCGCAGCAACACGGAGATTTGGTCGCAAAAAGCCCCGGCCGGCCCTGAGACGTTGCGTACGCTCGAATAGAGCTCTAACAAATCCAGGCTGAGATTCACCGTCGATCACAACACAGCCGAAACAAGTTCAGATAGCGAACAAATCATACACGGCGCTAGGTGGGCAAACTTTGAAGACGACGAAATATCTGACGACGACGACGAAGACGACGACGAGGAAGTCGACGACGACGACGACGAAGAAGAAGACGACGAAGAAGAAGAAGACGACGACGACGAAGACGATAGGAATTGGGACTGCATAAACGACATCGCCCACGGGAACGACGGTCCTTCGCGGAACATCCTCCCTGCAGAGTCCGCATCTCAATCACGGTATCCCACCAGACCAAGCAGGGGATACGCAGCCGGCAAGCAGCCAGAGGGGCGCGGCAAGGTACCGCGACCACCACCGAAAGTGCCTGAACCACCTCCCGGCCCTGAGCCTCGGCGCTCTCGGCCTCGTCGTTCCCATTCGGTTCGCCCGCGATCTGACGTGGGCGAGTCACACGATGATTACCCGCTCTACGGACGGGGACTGGGTGATCTCCCGTATCACTCGATGAAGACGTACGGCAGCGGAGGTTTTGACTCTGCCTCCATGGTGTCTGCTGTTGTCGATGATCCGTACGCCCTTCACAGATATCATCGTGACCCCTTCACGGCTCCAACCCAGACGGGGAATCCGTTTGCAGAACCTCCGGATCCTTATTTTCAAACGCGGCGAAATCGCATGTCGATGCCTTATGGAGGCAGCGAATTGGCCCGATACGGTGCGGCTCCGTCTTATCCATACAGCATCTATCCTCCCCCTCCAGGCTACCCCTACCCTCCCTACCCACCTTATCCACCTGCACCTCCTTTGCACCACACACCATCGCCGCATGCGTCGAAGAAGAGCACGCCTGCGCCTCCACCACCGGCCCCTGCGCCTCCGCCGGCGGAAGCTGGAACGGTGGTAGTGAAAACACCCGAGCCCGACCCGAGCCTAAAGATGCTTCAAGACTTCATCGCTGCACAGGAAAAAGCCAGGGCTGAAAAGGCTGCGGCGAAACAAAGGGAGAAGGAGGAAGCTGCTGCTGCCGCCGCGGCCGCCGCCAAGAAGGCCGAAGAGGACAAGCTGGACGCGCTCCAGAAGCTCATCTTAGAACACAACAAAGCGCAGCTAGAGCGTGAGAAGAAGCGACTTGAGGAATGGGAAGCCGAGAGGAAGAAGAAGGAGGAGGCCGAGAAAGCCGCGGCCGAGGCGAAGCGGATCCAGGCCGAGAAGGAAAGGGAGATCAAATTGGCTGCAGAGAAAGCAACGCTAGAGGCGGAAAAGAAGGCCGCAGAAGAGGCCCAGAAGCGGAAGGAGGAACACGACAAGGAGCTAGAGGAGATCAGGAAGAAGGCAGAAGAGTTGGAGGCGGCGAAGAAGGCCGCAGAAGCCGAGGCCAACGCACTAAAGCCGGCTGATGACATGAAACAACCACCCATTCGATTTAAGGATGCCGTCGGTCGCAAGTTTAGCTTTCCCTGGCATCTATGCAAGACATGGAAGGTACGTGTTCGCGATGACAAAGCGACTCTTTGAGAACCTACTGATCGATCCTTGTTTCGTTGCAGGGCATGGAAGCGCTCATTCAGCAAGCTTTCCTACACGTTGACGTTATCGGACAACACGTACACGAAGGCCACTACGACCTGATTGGACCGGACGGCGAGATCATCCTTCCGCAGGTTTGGGAGACGATGATCAAACCGGATACCATGATCGAGATGAAGATGTGGCCCATGCCAGAGAAGAAACCTCCGCCAGACCTTCCGCCGCCGCCGCCGCCAATGTCGATTCCACCACCGCCGCTAAGACCCCCAAAGACCGACAAGAAGGGCAAAAAGGCCAAAGGAATCCCCCCGCCGCCTATGGATATACCGCCCCCGCCTCCGCCTCCAAACATGGCTGGCGGCCTGCCACCACCTCCACCTCTACCACCCCCGCCGCCGGGCGTTATTCCTGTGGATCCACACGTGGCCCATCCACCTCCGCAAGCGTTGGGTAAGGAAAAGAAGAAGAAGAAGGGCCAGCCCACGGGCTTCCTTGTGTGGACGGCCGGCGGACCTCGCCGCGAGCAGTCTTTAAAAGCCGAAAAAAAACCTGAGTCCGCCAGCAAAGGCGCTCCAAAGCAAGTGAAAGCAGTAGTAGCGCAAATACCGACGAGCGAGAATGGCAAGCCGGCAAGACCAAGCGCGCCTAATGGCAAGGCCGAGAAGAAGAGCTCCTGGCTCCCGTTCTAGTGGTTCAACGCACCACCTGGCGGCATTTGCCCAACGAGCTTTGTCTCGGCCCTCTCGACTCTATTGCGAAGACTGTTTGTGTTTTCTTGGAAACTTGTGTTTTGGAGGTATGTCTGTTCCAGACGGATTCACGGGGGCACGGTTTTCCTCCCGCGGTACGCGGGTCTTTCGTGTTCCCACACCTTAATATTTTTTTTCCCTCAAATTCCTCAAACCCCCTTTCGCCAACTTCTCCAATGGCCAAACACGTTTGCCCTTCGTTGGTGGAAGGGATATGGGCGGCTCAATTTCCCTTGTTCTCGACTGCACGCGGCGGCAGCTGGAAGTCTTCTTCTCCATTCTCCTGAGCGCCTGCTCTGTTTTGCCTTCCTACAGGCAAGGAAGTCAGACGACACGAGAAGAGAATCATCATTTTTTTTGGTAGATACGGTGCTTCCAAGGATTCCCCGCTTTTGTTCGGCTCCATACTTGGTGTTTTGCGCTTGCGAGCGGCCCTCCTCTTCTTAAGGCGCATTTTCTGCTACGCACTTTGGATTTACAGTCTATATACCACTTTAGCATGTAGGCCCATCTGGACAGGACCACGATGGCGCGGCTGGGATTGCATGGCGAGCGATTGCTTTTGTTTTCAAGTTTTGATGGTTTATGATTTGGTTTCATTTTTCCTCTTTTGCTGACTTTTGCTTTTGCTTCTGAGTTCTTTTTTTTGGTTTTCCCTCTTCGTCAGCCCTTTTGCTTGTTGACTACTTTGGGTCGGTTATGATACGTTTTGACGATGGATGTGGAGCAGGTGTCGACGACAAGCACGAGAATCACGTGGGAACGATGGAACGGGACGGTTTGTTTGACTGCTGCTCTGTCGTGTCCGTTCGTCAAGGAGGGAAAAACGAAAAGAGAAAAAAAAAGGATAATCAATGATAAAGTAACATTAAGCATGGCTGCTCCCCCCTGAATCTGTACAGTTTTTCTTTTTGGATTTCAGAACGCTGCCTCATTTCCTCTCCTGGTGCCTCCTTCCTCTCCGTTTCGTACCGCTTCCTTTCCTTCCTTTCCCTATTTCCTCATCCACTTTCACACCTCGAACACGCTTCCTCGCCCGTGTGTGAACAGCCCGCGATTCGTCTACGACGCTCCCGTCCGCGGAATCGCCAAGCGACAGCAGGACGCGGCTCCGCCGGCGCAGCTGCCCAGATCCGGGCATTAAATGAAAAAGAATCAAGTTCAGCTAGGCGAGCGCCCGCGCCGCGTCTAGCGGTTTCGCTCGATCCGCTCGCCTTATACTGGGCTTCTGCTAGCTTGGCAAGGAGGGCGTGATGCAATTGTGCTTTCTGCCTGTTTGCTGTGGGTGCGTTCGCGCGGTGGGCTGGGAGTCGGCTGGGATGGGAGGCCTCCACAATCGGATTCGCAAAGGGCTTCGGTGGTGGCCAAGACGTTCCAGAAAGCGAGCGGGGGCTTTTTATTCTCTCTTTTATTGATTTCCGCACCCTGTAGAGGAGGGGCCGGGAAGCGGTTTCTATTCAGGGTTTCTATTCCTTTTATCGATCTATTAAGGCTTGTCATCGCGAGAGCGCTGCGTCCAAAACATCGTGCGGACGGTCGTATCGTAGGGCATCCGGTCATTGGCGATGCCTGATGCTGTCGATTTGCTTCCAGCTTGTCTGGGATCTATAGCTGTTGCGGCACGACGAATCACGGGCTGCGAGAGAAGATGGAACAAACAACCGACCAGGTCCCAGACAGCGAAGAATACGGGACGTGATGGGGGGAGCTCGATGATTCTTGCCAAAGTTTATGGTGATTTTCCGAACACAAATGTCGCGAGGTAGTCCGGGAGACGTGCGTCGAGCTCGACTGTGCTGTTGACGAGTACAGAGAAGCACGGCATGGGTATTGGACGGGATGATCTGTTCAAGAAGGAGAATGGTCCAGATCCAGTTCCGCATGAACCACTTCCCTACCAAACTAGTAAACCAATGTTGTCGCCAAACGGCTGCCAAGATGAGGCATCTCGTCCCTCCGCGAAGTGAAAACGAACATTGTGTTCAATGGCCTGAAGTCGGCAGTGGTGGGTCTACATAGACGGGTTCAACAAGTGTGATATTGGCTTGAGTCAGGTCCGCGTATGAAGACTGTGTCCGGGTTTCGAAGCCTTCACGCCCCGAAATCTAAACGTCTTGCTACCTTATCAAAACGTTCACCCGTGTCAATCTCGCCACCCTTTCTTTTGAGGTCTTCGCCTAACTTCTCTTCTCCGCCTCCCTTTTTGGGCAGGTTCTTCGTTTCCGTCGGCCGCGGCTTTGCCGTCCAGTAGGCATGCTCCAGAACCTGACGCGCACTGTATCTTTTCTGCGGATCCAGCTGGAACATGTGGTACAAAAGATCGCCCTCTATCTCGTCGCTAGTTCTCCAAGTAGACATAAGTTGCGACTTAGTTTTGAGCGGTGTGAACTGAGCGGAGTTGCCCGTGAGTTCGCTCCAACGGGGAAGCTTGGACACTCCCGGCCAGTTGCGTTCTGTAGGATGCCCGAAGACGTCTTGGATGAGCGATAGAAGTTGGATCTCCCGCTCCGCGGGGAGGAAAAAGTCTCCTCGCAGCAACTCCGCATGTACACACGCAACGCTCCACACGTCGACCTTGCCCGAATAGAACCGCGTTTCGTACAGCAGTTCCGGCGGTCGGTAGAACATGGTTATGACGTTTGTGGTCATCGGTCTGTTCGGATCTGGATCGACCATCGAGCGCGCAAGACCAAAATCGGCAAGTTTGAGGGTTCCGTCGGCGGCGACGAATATGTTGTTTGGTTTAATGTCGCGGTGCAAGATGTGATTTTCGTGGCACCACCACACGGCCCGGTTGACCATCAGCATCCAGGCTTTGATGTCTGCTGCGCCGTATCTCAGCTCGTTCTTGGCCTTGATGATGGCCTCGAGATCGCCCATGGGCAAGTACTCGAGAACGAGATTGATATTCTGGTCTTTCGAAGTGAAGACACCAAGCAGGTGTATTATATTTGGGTGCGAGAGCTCTGAGAGGTATTTGCATTCTCGAAATGCGGCGGGAGCGATGCCATCTTTGAACTCTTCAATTATCTTGATTTTCTTGATTGCTACCAGTGTTTTAGGGTCGGTGCGCAGGTGGCCTCTGTACACTTTCGCGTATGTACCCTCGCCAATCGCCTTCTCTGATGAATCCTTGAGTATGTGGACAACGGATACCGGCGTGCTTGTTTCAACTGACCTTTGACGTATTTATGTTTCTCTTCCCAATTCAGTCTCTCCGCAAGATCCTCAGGCGCTGCTTCGTCATCAGAGCCTCGCGGTGAGGAAGCCGCTGACTTGAGGTCTAAAGCCTGCACAGCAGCGATCGGTTTGGCTTTCGCGGCAGGTAGCTTCGAAGGTCGAGCGCCTGGCGAGGCTACTGCAGGAGATCTGGCCATGATTCGGTCTCGATTGATTTTCGAAGGGTGTGGATTTTTATCAAGAGATCCTAAGTCTCAGATTGTTCGAATTAAACAGAAATGTCACCTCGGCATTATGTACAAGTGTCTAGGACGCGAGTTCAGCAGATACTGGAGCGGCCCAGTTTGGACGTCGAGGAAGTCGATTTGGCGCCGCAGCGGAGAGCCGAAAGAGGAAATGGGACATTCCACCGCAAACTTTCAGGATCAAGCACCTTTACTCGAATGAAATTATCACGTATCCGTACGTCAACATTTCCTTCTCCTTCTCCTGTTGAATGTCTGGATTGCATCTGGTGATGCAATTGAGATAGCAAAAGCTTTTGCTGTGCACATTTCACACTCATTACAATGATTCTTCGACGGCCATTCCTCGCTTCACGACCATCAATTCAGGTCTGTCTGCAATGCCTGCGCAACTCATCGACGGCCACCCGTGTGGCTAAGCGACCAGTGCCACCTCCGACACCTTTCGTACCTGATGTGCAGACTTTTCTCACCCTCATCGGCCGCCAGCTTTCGCAGCACGCATCCAAGATTCCTTCCTGGGACGCATTGTTCCGACTTAGCTCCACGCAATTGCGGGACTTGGGCATCGACCCGCCACGAGCCAGGAGATACTTGCTGAGGTGGAGAGAGCGGTTTAGGCAGGGCCAGTATGGCATTGGAGGTGATCTCGAACACGTTAAAGATGGCGTTGGAGAAATCAAGATTTTCGAAGTGCCTGTGCCGGAAGAGTGGAAGGCATCCAATCCGTCAGCAGATATGGCGACCGCTAACAGGTCTCCCGGAATGCGGCATGTGGCTATTAACGTGCCCAACGGTGAGGAAATGCCCACAAAGCCATTGGAGGAGTGCGTGCCTGTAAAACACGTCAAAGCGAAAGGTTGGAATACCATTGTTGGGAAAAACGTGTACATGATCAATGGAGAGAAAGCGCAAATAAAAGTACAGGAGGGACTCTGGGAGGACAGGAGAGGTCACAAAGTCGACGGTGGTGAGCGGAGGAAGGCAGAGGTGCGCTTCAAGCGAAGGGCTGAGGAAAAGAAGAAGACGTCTTGATCCGTCGTGTCTCTGTTATGCGTAACCGCATCGAGTTTGTATAATACTGTCAATTACTCGCTATGGAGCATTTTTATGTCAATCCATGACCTTCTTCTACCTTTGGATTTGATTTCTACTTATAGGATGATTACTCTTTATGCTTGGTCGAGAATCAAGACGAACTGTAAGAAGGAGGATATCGGACAAACGAAGCTTACTTAGAACAGACTGATGAATGTATTCCAAACGACCTGGCCTCACTCAAAAATAAGTAAAATAAATATTCTCGGACGGTGGCCGCACGCCACTGTTCCATCGATGGATGTCCTAGTTGTAGAAGGTGAGCTCAAAGTCAAGATCCCTAGCAGTATATGGAAGTCCGCTCTGGCCGCACATTGAGTTTGAGAGGTCCCAAAGATTCTACCTTTTCGTGAAGTGGCTGGCCCACTTCGTGGGCTTAACAAGAACAGTAGAGTCTAGTTCGTCCTTTGACTATGAAAGAGTGATTCTCATAACAGCATACGTATTCTTTCCCCTTCTCTCCATTTCACCTGTCTTTCGCGAATTGGGTGATGCTTCGTAGGCATGGGTGATTGTCGAATAATGGGCAATAGTGCTGCCCTCTAGGAATGCGGAGGGAAGATTGTTGATAATTTTGGATAAGCTCTATCTTTGTCAGTATCGTCCATATAGCGTGCAAAAACTTGCTCCATGAGTTCGGCCTGAGTCAAATTTTTACTGCGAATCAGCTAAACTAACTTATTATCTCCCAGCTCTTCCGTGCTAATTAAAGCTGAATAAATTTCCGGTATTCTAAGTTTACCATAAGTAGCATTAGGAGAGCTTAGTCGGGTGCCACCTTTTCGCACACTCTGCCATACTAGTCAGTACTTCTTCATTCACGAGCTTGAATAAATCTGGATAATTGATATAAAAGTTACACTGATGTCATAGTGTATGCGGTTATAAGCAACGTCAACAATTTCATTCGACAGAATGGTAGGCTAAAACAGAGCTTGCTGTCTCCCACGCAGCACCGAGCCAAGAGCACATGCAAACTACCACTGCAGCTATTGTGATAGCTGAGGTTAGCCAGGGAAGGCATTCAAGGTCAGCACTTTTATAATGGAGTCATACAAATTTAAGGTTGTTATGAATGCTACTCAAACCAATGAGAGATCAAATGGAACGCGCTGTGGACCGCATAACTGGTATGGCTTGAGAGGAAGTTAAGCAGAAAATCGTCCCTTCAACCGGCGGAAGTATTCAACAAAGGGATCATGTCCTTTTGCCCACGGAAGCATGATTCTATATGGATGGTCTTATTATCTGAGCCATTCTATTCTAAGAGTACAGGACAAATGCACAAGGCATCTGTCAAATGCGGGGCTGATCATGATCTGCCTCATCCCACCGTATACATGGCAACTTCAAACAGCGACTTATTTAGCATCCGATTCTGAGTCCTTTGAGCGCTTGCCCTGGTTGATAGCCTGTGCAGCATCCCTGCTACCCTTGAACATACGATGCCAGAATCTGTTCTTGAGGTCTCTTGCAATAATGCCCGTTGGAATATGTTGCCCTCTCCTCTGGATAACCCAAGTTGTATGATTTTCTGGGGCCTTCAATGGCTTTCCCAGCACCTCCTCCAGTCTGGCATTGGCAGCACCAATTCGATCGTCGAGATTAGGAGACAGTGTGGATTCCGTTGGAGCGCGTTGATTAGGCGTTAGGGGCCGATTGGAGAAGATGTTGATGAGATTATACGCTGCACGGGGAAGGCCAGCACGATACAATTGTTTGATGCGTCTACACGTTGATTAGTAGGAGCGCTGCAGAGATGGGATGGACAAGATCCTACGGTCTGTCCGCTTTCAGTTCCTCGGCCGACTTTGCAGGCAGCAGAGCAGCTCTGCCGGTAGTCCTAGCAGCCACCGCTCCTCCGCGTGCTGCTGCTTGCGTTGCCATGATGTTATCTGTCCATGAGCGATGGCGATTGAAGACTTGCCGACCTCATGCGTGCTGGGACGAGACAGAAGAATCCATTTTGGACCATCCTAATTAGGACTAGCGGCGGATCGACCCGATGGCTGGAAATAAGTGGGGCCGGATGCGATTTATGAGCTCACACATTGCTCAGCTCGCTCGTCGCCCAACCGCTTATTTGGCGTCTTATAATATCATTCATTCTGTTAATACCAACGACGGGCAGCGGAATGGCCTCTTCTTCCTTTCGGTAGTTCTATCTTGTTTGTCTTTCATCGCACAGCGTGTGACTGTGGAGTCTCTCGACGAACTTCCTTGCCTGCATCCATCGCGTCGCAGCCGCAGACGACATGGCACCCCAGCCCCTCACTGCTCTTTTCGTCCTCTCACTTTGTGTGCTCCCGTGGTCGATATGGCTTGCCGTCAACCTATTCATCTATACAACAGTCCGCCCTTATTTTGTTCAGAATTGGCCTTCAGCCCCTCAAGCCATCAGGAAAAAGGTCCTTCTAACGGGGGACGACGATCAAGCTATTCTGTCAATCGCAAGAGTGCTGCACGCCTCTGGCAGCATTGTGTTTGTTGTGAAACATGAACGCATACCGTATCTTGGATTCTTGCGCACCTCAAAGGCTATCAAAAGATATGTTGGTCTTGCTAGCGGCCGCCTCACTCCAATATTGCGGCGCTTCGCAGAACGCTTATTCCAATTAGCCGCAACCTGCAATGTCAGGTTCAATCTTGGCATTCCAATGAATTTTCCGGGAACAGTATTACGACTCATCGAATCCGAGAAGGTCGAAGAGTGGATTCATTGCAACTCTTCGAATCCATCGACAGCATACGCCCAAGCCCGAGATATAGTGTTGAAGCACTCCACGGCAAAGATTTTCGGGCCTGATATTGAAGCAGCAAGGCTTGCTTTTGGCTACCATGTATTTGCTCATCACATGAAAGTTAACGAGAAAGAAGTTCGGTGCCCAAAAACCGTTACCGTTCGCAGCCGTGCAGAAATTCATAATATTCTGGGCAATGCTACAGAAGGCCAGAAATTCTTGCTCGAGAAGATTGCCGCACCTGTTCAGGGATTGGTCAAAGCCAACAGTAGCACGAAAAGAGATTCCAGCTATGCTGGTAGTGCAAGCACGCTTGTAGATGGCATCGCTTCAGACACAGACGACTTTGAAGATGCGGGGACGTCGACGCCCGTCGACGAGTTTACGGTGCTTCCACAGCCTACGCTGAATGATACGTATAGTGTCGTCGCATCCATGCGTGTCTCCAAAGACTCACCCTGGGTCATGCATGAGGTCATTGAGGGCAAGCCGGGTACGATCTCCACTCTAGTCATTGACGGAAAGGTTCGCGCATTTTCTGCGCGAACCGCCTTGCATGACCGCACCTTTTCGACTGCGGCGAGGCGCGCCCCGTCGGTAAGACGAGCTCGGGTGAATATTGAGCACGACATCAAAGAATGGCAGCAATTTGAGCAAACCACTTATGTGGACCCATACTCTACCATAGGTGCAGCACTCTTGAATTATGCACAGCGCTTTGTCAAGACTTTACCTCAAAAGCCGTCGACGTTCCTCAACTTGCACTTCTTCCTCACGGACCGGGTGCTTGTCAACGGAGCAGAGCAGCAGATCATCGCCACAGGATGCGATTTCAACTTCTCACCACTGCTGGCACAACAGGCTTTGGCATACGGGCTGGAAGAGGCTTTTGGACACGCAATGACAGCCGCAGGTAATTTCGAAACTGACGTAATCTTACTCCCAGCGACAAACAAATCTGCAACTGCCGAACACTACGCCTTACCTGTTCTCGGGCCCACGTCGAAGAGCTCAGACCCGCACGTCGCACTATCGGAACTGTCATTTACCGACGGGGTAAATGCTATTATCGACTTCTGGAATGCTCTAGCACATGGAAGGGATGCAATTTTTGACGTCAAAGATCTTGTCCCATGGGTTTGGTTTTGGATGGTGCAAACACCGATCGAAGCAGCATTTGAAGGTATAGTAGAGATATTGGAAAGGGCTCAGTAGGTGGCTATGGGACAGTAAAACAGCAACTAGTAGTCATGATTTGATAACACACACCTATGCTTGACGGTGAATCGTGGTACTTGGGAAAAGAAATAGTCTGTCATTGAAACTTTGGTATTAAAAAAATTCATCGCCGCAAATGGTACATGAACAGCATTCCAGTAAGCCTTTTGAAAAGAGTAATCAGGCATAAGGTAAATATTGCTGACTGGAAATTCTTCCCTCCAAATTTCTTTTCTAAAAAGAATCCTGGTTTAAAGATCAGAAGTAGAGATTCTTTAAAACACTGAGAATATTGAGCTATCATTGTTATTGTACACGCTTCGGTATGATTCTTTCAGGCTTTATGAACAAGAAATTTACAAATAAACGTAGATTGAGTAATCAATATTGATGCACTCCTCGTCACCAAACAAGGTTGTTCTCGCTGTAGCCGTCTTATATTGTGTCTCGTCTATCTTTACGCTACCCGTACTATGAAAGTGTCTCGTCAACGACGAACGCGCAGAATGGAATAAAGAGAAGTCTTTCGGATTGATCAACAACGTCTGAAGCCATGGATGAAGAGTACCCTCAACTATTAAGTTGCGATCTATGTTAGCGCATTTGCGCTAGTGATTAAGCAGTGCTATAAATGTACAGGACTAATCAATGTCCCAGGCATGATCTGAGTTACGGATATAGGTGCTTAATCCTTCAACATCACCTGTTACGTTTGCCTTCACTTCACCGTTGCCCAGGTATGCAAAGCGATTTCCATATCTGTATTTAATCTTGTAATCTTCGTACCTTGGTTCTTTGATAGATTTGACGTGATGGATCGTCTATCCAGGTCAGTGACATCCATAACTCCTTGTCTGAAGACACATTAAGGAAAAAATGTCAGGAGAAAGGGAAACTTACGCAGCCTGGCCATTGGTATATCCTGTTCCTGATTTTTCCGTCCTTGTACCAACTTCTGCACTCTTCGTTAAATACTGTTTTTTGGTGGAACGCGTCGAAGTGTTCGAACAAATCATCCACAGCTTCCTGTCGCACTTCAATACTGCTTATATGCTCATGTTGAATTTTCCTCATAATTTTAATTGCATATTCCACACCAGCTTCTATCGAAGGCAATAGGCTACCAGCGGCCCAAGTGGATCCAGGTCCGGCAATAGTGAAATAATTCGGAAACCGTGGCGCGGATATTCCGAGATACAGATTCACATGCGGACCCCAATCTTCGTCAAGAGACTTCCCATTTCGACCATATAGCGGAAATGCTGGCCGGAATGCTGGCTTGAATCCAGTGGCACACACCAAGATATCAAAATTCACATGCTCTCCAGACTCCGTTAAGATGCCGTCCTTGACGACTTTCTTTAAGGAGCCAAAAAGCGGTCGAACGTTGTGTTCTGACAATGCTTCCAAATAGCTGTCTCCGGGAGACAATCTTCTGCAACCAGGTGACCATGTTGGGATGAGCAGTCTTTTCAACTCCTCGCTTTTTGCACCGTTTCCAATTCTCCTAAGCATCTCTGTCTTTATGGCTTCCTTAGCTTCTTTGGCCTCTTGCGTCGATGGAATGAATATCCGAATGATAGAGTTAAATTCCGCTTCCGGTCGTTTACGAAACATCAGATAGTACTCAGGGTCATCTCTAAACCTAATCTTCTCTTCTTCGCTGAACTCGTGCTGTCGCTTGGACGAGTCGATTTCTTTCCCTTGTCTGATATCGCTCTCTAGTGCGCTGGTTCCGAAAGGTGGAGCTATCCACGTCGGAGATCGCATGAACACAGTCATGTGTTTAACTTCTTTTTGAAGCACTGGGACTATCTGGATTCCTGTGCTCCCATTTCCAATTATGCCAATTGTTTTGTCTTTGAAGCTCACGCTTTCATCCCAACTGGCGGAATGTAGCTTGGGACCTGCGAAGTCATGAAGACCCTCTATATCTGGCCACTTCCAATTGTTGAGAATTCCAGCCGCGTTAATTAGAACATGACACCAATCTGTATATCGTTCTTTTGTTTTCTGGTCTTCGACAAGAATAATCCAATGGCCCTTTTCATCGTTCCAACGTCCTTCTACGACTTTAACATCAAACTTGATAAACTCTCTGCAATGGTTCTTATCAGCAAAGTCCTCGAAGTACTGACAAATCTCGGGCCCGTAAGCATAATAGTGAGTCCAATCCCATTTGGGATCCCACGAGTACGTGTAAAGGGAAGATGGGGTATCGCAGGCAACACCAGGGTATCTATTCTCCCGCCATGTGCCTCCCACACCTCCATTTTTCTCATATACCGTAAGCTCCCAGCTTCCTTGCTCTAACATGTGGCGCTAGTAAGAATCAACTTATGTTTTTTTGTGTGGGAATAAAGCATTTATCTATCCTTACCATCTTGTAGATGACACACAATCCACCAGCTCCAGCGCCAATGCAAGCGACACGTACTTTTGTTGGTTTCGAGTGGTACTGATCGATAATTCGATACGGTGTTGAAAATGGAGCATACTGAAAATCTTCGACAGTAGCTTTTGTATTTTCCAAATTGTTGTGTTGCGACGCTGAAGGAACTACATTGCTGACTAGAAATTTAGGAATTGTTTGATCAGATTTGTTCACTGCATTTGATGGTAACTCATATTGAGCTTCACAAACGGCTGTGCTTCGTGAATCTGTCGCTATCAGTACCATCTCTTGATTTAAGAAAGTGTAAACTGAATAAATAACAAATGATCATTAAAGGTAAGACCACTTAGAGTTCATCCCTACCCTGAATGCAGTACAGGTTAATAAATAGACACCAAACTCGACATATAATCATATGATATTATGCTAAATCGAATATCGTTAGATCAATTTCCTTGTTCACGGCAGGGAAAACCCGACGGACTTGAGAAATAGGTATTTAAACACCTCTTATCTCGGGAGCGATAACCGTCAAAACGTAAAGCTCGCGTCTATGCCTTGAAAGTGCATATATGCTTGGCACGTGGCTATAGTTGCACGTAACACAACAATATGACCAATAGGTCTGCGAACCCGGTCAACAAGTTCCTCCTGCAGAAGGTTATCGGGGAGGTTCGCAAAACATTGGCATGGAAATGAGTTCAATAATGTACTGAATCCTGATAGACGAGACTTCCTATCGGTAGCACGGACCTGATAAGGAACATGAATCACTTTTGCTTCCTCAGACAAAGGCATGGAAGCGTTTCGGAAAATTGGAAGCGATCGTTTCCAGCGCTCACATAGTCTAAGATGGAACAGAAGGGAACACATATTCAAGCTAAACTTACGGCCATCTACCTCTGTTCCCTTCAAATAAGGGGTTTAGCGCTCTCGGGAAAGGCCAAGGAGCAAGACGGAAGCTCTGGACATTTTGTTCCCGCATTTTAGTGTCAAAAATTGTAGCATACGTTGTTCCTGATAACCAAGTCATAGGTACAAGCACTGAGGTGTAGAGGCTGAGAGCTGAAGACACCCAAGCTGACTCCGCCAAACCCTTTTTGTGTTAGTGTAGGCTTCTTTCGCATAACATCGTAATTAGTGCTGATAAGGGCATGATCTGTATTCTCTTCGGTACGAAGCACCGAGATGCAGAGTCACAAAATCGGCTTAGATTATAGCAGAACAGCTCTGAAGCTATGAACATTTCATCCGAACCACACGCCGTAGCAATTTTTCGGGTCTACCACGACATCTCCGGTACCACCATGGCAGACACTAGGCCTTCATCTTCGGGAGACTCTTGTTCTAACATGAAAGGCTAAATAGTCTTATCTGAGGGCAAAATATAAACAAATGTCGAGGTATTCTTGGCCTTGAACTTGATGGAAACCCAGGCTTTATCAGACTGAAAGCAAAAACATGTCACTAAATGCTCATGATCCGATTAATCGGGAGGCCAAGCCGCCTCAAGCCAATTCTGCTACGCCTTTAGCCGACCTTTTTCGGCTAGAAGGTCGAACTATCATTGGTATGAACCATTCAAAAACATCTTCTACTTACAAGAATATAAATGCAATGCTAAGAAAGATGTTGGCTTAGTGACAGGTGGTGCTGGAGCACTAGGGGCAGCTGTCGTGGGCACAGTTCTAGAAAGTGGTGGAGATGTTGTGTGTTTGGACATTATCGTATCTCCAAATGGATCTGTATGGGGTAGGTAAACTTGAAGTAGCATTCTGCTTAATTCAGCATATCGTACTTGTACTAACTTTATTCAGAGATGTTAAAAGCTTCTTCTCGAAAGCATGGGACAACACTTTCATATTTTCAATGTGATGTGACGAATTCAGAAGAAGTCGCCAAGGTCTTTTCAGATTTTGTGCCAACATTAAGAAGTCCCATACGTGGACTTGTCAATTGTGTTGGAGTGTCGGATAATTACTCCGTGATAGATTTCCCTCCAGAAAAGTTCAAACGACTCCTCAATATCAACGTCCTAGGCACTTTCATTGTGGCACAAGCAGTTGCACGGGAGGTTATAAAGACTGGCCTGTCAGCGAGTATGGTATTGATAAGCAGCATTAGCGGATTAGTATCTAATAGGGTAAGTGACTCCTCGATACTCGCTATGTCTGTTCGAAAAAGAGAATTCGACAAGATCAATATCCAACGTGATTTGATGCTTCTAATTTAAACCCTATAGGGGACAGATAATGCAGGTTATAATTCCTCTAAAGCAGCAGTGCTTCAACTTGCACGATCTATGGCAGCAGAATGGGGAGGAAGGGTCGGAATACCTCTTATTCGGGTAAACTCCATCTCGCCTGGATATATTAGGACGCCGGCGCTCCAGGTCGCACTTGATCGTCCAGGATTAGAGGAGCAGATTATTGGTGACCATATGCTGTACAGACTAAGTACAGTAGATGAGTATCGTGCACCTGTACTGTTTTTATTGGGAGATGGAAGTAGCTTTGTAACGGGCACTGATCTGAGGGTTGATGGAGGCTATTGTGCCTGGTAACTATTTGAAAAATCACAAGTAAGAGTACGTAGTAAGTGAAGCCCATTTAGATGGCAGGATCGCCAAAGACTATCCGATCGTTAAGTATTCTTAGTAATAGCTCGAGTTCTTCAAATCGTCGTAGTATTGAACTTTTCTCGATTGCCTAAAATTTAAGCCGGTTATACATGTACACATAAATTCAAGATATATCTAATAAAGCGTACGATGAAGACAATATTGCCTGTGGATATTTCAAAGCTCAATTTGATTGATTGACAATTCCAAATTTGACAGAGGACCGTGGAGGTAAATCGAGATGATGGTTCGGGAGATTCGCGTCAGGTCGTATTGTCGCGGTCTCCAGGCCGACGGAACCCACGTTCCGATATCACAATTGATCTATTCACATTGGTGCTCTTGCTGATCATTCTGAAAATTAACGTTTTTGGAACCCGAATATGGATATCAATACACTCAATTTCGAAACAAGTACACGTTTTCGGAGAGAAGTTTCACTGATAGAGGACAAAATGTTTAATTTAAATATCACGCACGTCTGTCAACAATTATATCTTATACAGGCTGTTATATGGCATTAGAGGACTCTCGTTGAGAACGAAGAATGGCTGAAATTGTGAGAAGTATCTTGAAAGCTGAGGAATCCTTTCTAACCAAACCTCCCAGAACACTGCCTTTGTACTCCAGTCCGCTAGGGTCACAGCGTTCGAGAACCGAGAAATACCCAAGCTTAGAAGTGAAACCGATGTAAAATTCGAATTGAACAAACTGAAATCTGTGGGAGTGACCTGCACTATTTCGCGGATGGACGAATTGCAGATTTCGTTGTTAAACGCCCTATGATACAGGGTCATGAAAGCTGTGGAATCGTTGTTGAGGTAGGCGCAAAGGTAAAAAGTATTAAGGTAGGAGAACGAGTCGCAATTGAACCAAGTGTGCCATGTAGATCGTGAGTCTTGACTCATCAACTATTATGGTAGCGCTGCTGATTGTCCTCTTAGATGCGAATATTGCAGGTCTGGAAACTATAATATTTGTCCTTCTCTTATTGCCCCATCCACTCCTCCGTTCAACGGTACTCTGCAGAAATATTTCATAACCGCTGTAGATTTCTGTTTCCCACTCCCATCGAATATGTCCTCCGAGGACGGTGCTCTTGTCGAGCCACTTGCAGTAGTTGTGCAGACAGTAAAAACTGCGGACTTGAAAGGAGGTCAAACAGTGCTGGTATTTGGCTGTGGACTGATAGGAATTTTATGTCAGGCTGTTTCCCGTTGTTATGGAGCCAAAAGAGTTGTGGGAGTCGACATCTCTGCTTCCCGGACCAAATTTGCAAAGAACTTTAGTGCCGATACAGTGTTTGTGTCAGATCAAGGGCTCACCGGTCTGAATGACTCCAGAGCAGATGCTGAGAAAATTATGAGTCAATGCGGACTTCCAGACGGCGCAGATGTGGTTATCGAGTGCACGGGGGCGGAAACATGCATTCAATCTGGAGTCTTATGCACAAAGAGTGGAGGAACATTCGTTCAGGTTGGTTTAGGTCCTGATGTAAGTTTATTCTTAAGGTATGGGCAAATTTTTGCTTGATGGTAGACTTACCATATTCATAGACTGTGAATTTCCCGATAACACTAGTTCTGATCAAATCACTTACCGTTAAAGGTGCTGCAAGGTACACAACAGGGTGCTATCCGGCAGCCATAGATCTCATTGCTAGTGGAAAGATTAAAGCTAGTTCCTTGATCAGCCATAGATTTCCTTTCGAACGAGCTTTAGAGGCGTTTGAAACATTCGAAAGAGGAGAGAATACAATGAAAGTAGTCATTCAGGGCGTAGATTAAGCCTAAAATCTCATCTTGCAATTTTCGGTCTTACAACTGCTCTGAGATGTACTCTATCCCATTCCATACTAATGGAAATGTTGACTAGAACATCCGTACTCTACAATCACCATCAAATGTATCGTAGCACAACATGCAGTTTAACGTAGAATTCTGTCAAACATAACGAGATCTTTGATTCTGTATCTCTCTACATTTCTGATTTCAAATTGCAGCATACTACTCGAATTCATGTCCAGCAGGTATTGTCTTGTTACGCGTCCTTGTCGAGCACTGTGCTTTCAATGGTGCGCACACAAATCTTATCTCTGATGATGAACTATATCCGATTTCCCGATATAACTTATCACAGGGCTGAAGACAGTCATATCTAGCAATCTTGGACGGAAGAGGTTCGTGGGATTCTTTCTTTCGGAATCTCGACCCCGAGCGTCTGGTTGCTTCAGACCGTGCAGGATCTAGATCTACATAATACAATCAACTTAGCACTCATTTTTATGTCGTGGCTGTGAAAAAATCTTACACTTTAGCTCAATGAATCAGGCCTGACGAAACTTTTGGGTCTAATAGAATCGTCAAAGCTATGATGGGTGTCGGGCACAGGGTAGCTAAAGCACTTGAGGTCAAACATGGCCTTGAGCAATACGCTGCACAGGGTACAACAAAATGGGGGAACCGTGACATCTACCCTGTCATCCCTGAGCGTCAAACATACACTGCGATTGCTTTTTTCACTTATTGGGCCACAGCAGGTATGTAAAGAGCTTCTTCGTGTCTGTTTCGAGATAGAGCACCCACTGACATAGGTTCTTTTGAACGTAATAGGAATTTGCATCAGTTCATACACATTGGGGAGCTCTATGATCAGGATTGGTTTAACTGCTGGACAAGCCGTAGGCGCAGTCTTGATTGCTACCACCTGCAGCTCGCTTCTTAGTTACTTTACCGGTCAGATGGGTCGCATCCATCGTGTTGGTTTCTTTATGAATTGCCGATCTACCTTCGGGCTCTGTGGGTATGGTTCATGATCATAGATTCTTGAGCTTTCATCGATTAGAAGAGCTGATTGCCATTCAGGGCTAATTTCATGATTGTACTTAATGTTTTCGGGAGTATTATATACTTTGGAGTTCAATCCTACTACGGAGGCCAAGCAATAGTGGTTATTCTAAGCTCGATATTCCCATCGTTCAAGAACATGCGGAATACTCTCCCCTTAAGGTGAGAATGCATTCCAGGGCGTGGAAAACACGTAGCATTAGAAGCTTACTCACTACAGTGCGTATATTACAACTCGAGATCTGATCGGCTTCTTACTGTATTTCGTCTTTTATGTGCCTTGCATCTTCATTCCTGCCTGGAAAATTCACAAGTGGCTATATCCAAACTTCATCATCGCTAGCGCAAGCTTTTCTGGAATTCTCGGGGTACGTGGTATATAGTTGGCGTTGGATGCCACGAAGAATCCTTCCAAAAATTAACATATAAGCAGTATTTTATCAACGCCAATGGTGGTGCTGGGTCGCTTCTAAGCTCCTTAAGTTCCGCAGTTCCCCTGAGTAATCTTGACAGAGGTTTTGCAATGATGTGCAGTATCAGCTCCGTTGCTGGCGCGTATACAGGAGGTACTGTGCGGGTATCTGATTGGACACGCTTTGCTAGGACAAAAAATGCTCCAGTCATTCCCATAATCATCGCGATGCCTCTCACTGTCACCACAGGAGCGCTTATTGGAGTCCTTGTAACTTCCGCATCGTACGATATGTATGGCCAGGTGTTATGGAACCCTTTAGTTCTATTACAGTTTCTCCAATCTGAGAACTACACGGCCGCTTGCCGAGCGGGAACATTCTTCGCTGGATGTGGATTGCTTTCAAGCCAAGTATTTGAGAATATTACCCAGAATGGATTCACAAATGGGATGGATATCGCTGGTCTGTGGTCGCGATTCTTCGACATGCGTCGTGGATTAGGCCTCATCTGCATTCTGGGTGTTCTTATCCAGCCATGGCGCATGTTGACGCAAGCTGTCACGTTTTTAACTGTGCTTTCAGCATTTGGAGTTTTCTGGGCCCCTATGACGGGCATTATGATCGCAGACTTCTGGATAGTACGCAAGCAGAAGATGAAAATGCCAGACCTTTATGTTGAGGGTGGAATTTACTGGTACACTTGGGGCTACAACTGGAGGGCTTTTGCAGCTTTTTTTCTGAGCATAATACCCTCTATGCCCGGATTGGTGGTTACCTGTGGAGGCTATTCAATTTCCGAAGGGTGGATTCGTATATATGATGTTGCTTACTATGTAGGTATGTCCTTGGGTATAATCCTCTACGTGCTCTTCTGCTACATTTCCCCTCCTGAGGGACTTGGCATTCAGGAAGAGCTTGATGAGGGTCGTATCATCCAAGGACAGGAGCACAGCAACCCCTCAGAATATGCATTCGAAATTGACAAATCGATAAGGACGTCCGAGAAAGTGGTACCAATTTAGAACAGTTCCAGGTTCTAACAAATTCAAGCAACTGGTTATCTAATCCAAGACTTAAAGTGTAACAGGTAGATTGAATTCTTTAATTCTTTATCTTTGGGGATGTTCCAAAATAGCTGGTTTCTTTTTAAATGCCACAGGAGGAAGAAAAAAGTTCGAAGTCTTCTCGCCTCTCCGTCCTTTAGTTTCTATCTCCAAGAGTAATCGTGGAACCAAAATGTTACGCTTCTAAGTAATAATTTGGTAAAAGACGCTGTGTTCTCAATTGTAACTTCAGTCTTGGGAGGAATAAATAGAACAGTTTTTAAAGGTTGGTTTACCATAGCCGATTACTTGATGTTTGAGGTCACCTGATACTATCGATAAGGAACCTATTGAGTGGAACAGTGTCACCTCATATCAACACTATCACAAGTGTTCAATACCATTCTGAAAGCTATAAATCACAAGACCAAGCATGCAGAATAGTCCAATTAGACTTAGAGAAAGAGTCACGTTACACGAACCCGTTTTTAACATGTTTATTGATTAATTCTACCAAAATGTATTATTGCGCAGCAGGCAACAAGCGCCGACGAATGCGGGCAGCACTTCTCAATTCTAACCTGTTAGCTAGTGCCGTCGGTCGCTCAAACACATCATTTTAGCACCCGGTTTTGAACTTAGCTCCATACATCATATCTCGTCTGGAATTCGAGCATAATGGCTTCTGATCCCCATAAGCTGACATCCAAAAAGATTTGGGTGCCATTAGGTAGAATCCCTATGATCCTGCACTGCTCACTACTAAAAGGGAGACCAGAAAACAATCCTGACGTGATGACTCGGTTAGCTCATAGGCTTGGTCTTTCGCCAGAACTCAGCTTCCACGAGCCATATTCTTTGACGGAGCCAGAGCTCATGGCACTAGTCCCACGCCCGGTGTTCGCGTTGTTGTTTCTATACCCCGAAGATGCACTTGAGAGCCGGAATGACTCTCCTTTTGAGTACAGTGGCTCTGGACCTGACGAACCAGTTTTGTGGTTTAGGCAAACTATAGGACACACTTGTGGTTTTATGGGTCTGATGCATTGTGTCCTCAATCTCCCGGCTGCCGACTACATTCAACCCGGCAGTTTCTTTGATAGACTTCGAAACGACGCCATACCTCTCAAACCAGCAGAGCGTGCTGATCTGATATATAATTCAGAAGAGTTGGAAGAGATATACAAGCAAGCAGCACAGACGGGAGACTCGCGAGTTCCTGGTACGAATGAACCTGTGGACTACGCATTTGCCGCTTTTGTCAAAGGCAAGGACAATCACCTATATCAGATGGAGGGCTGGAAAAAGGGTCCTATTGATAGAGGTGCACTTCCTGAGGAAGACGATTTGTTCTCGACCAAAGCGTTGGAGCTTGGTCCGCTTCAAATAATTAATCTGGCGAAAGCAAGCGAAGGTAGATTCAGCTGCATTGCATTGACACATTCTAAAGTATGAATCTTCGAATTTAATCCATGAATAAAGCAGTAATTCAGCCACCAATACAGAAATCTCAGCGATTATACTTGGAATAATTCTTGAGGCCTGTATTTCTAGTGAATTCAACGCAAAGGAGTTTCTATCTGCGAAGGCCGTAAGTGTGGTCGGTTGTCTATGATCTCACATTGCTTTCATTTTGAAGGTAAGAGAGTTGATTCTTGCTTGTTGCTTCGCAATTTAATCACAAGTCGAGAAAACCCTCATACTACTACAGCACCTCAGCTATTTAGTCAAACTCAGATGCATTAAGAGTATAATCTTTCCACTACCTTAAACTGATAGCCACGGATGGGTCTCGCTGGTCAAACATGAACATCTTCAGTTGATCAGTATTTACGAGGAGATTGGTTTTCTCTCCATCTATTCCACTCACTTTCGGGGGGTTTTTATGAGTGAAACAGAAATGCGTAATTAAGTGCTCTACAGGATAAGTTAGACGCAGTTTCAGATATGATTTGAAAGCTACAATGCAACAATAGAGCCAAAATGAAAGACGGTAATGGCTTTTTTTGTGATATAAAGTATGCATTAAAGGAAGCATGTGAGACGGCCATGGTCCGAAGGCGGAGCAATCGATAATGCACGATGACGGTAGCGTATTTTCAATATTTGAAAACAATCACAGCCGCCGTGCTATCCAATTTTATTGGTGAAACTACCTTGACGTCACAAGATCGCCCCAACAATGAGCTCAAGAGATAGCTTGTGATGGCGCCACTCTTTCATGCGTTATGATTGCAATGAGTGATTATTGCCTTGGAGAAGATTGTCAAACCACCCTGTATCTGATCGTCGGAGATCTCGTGTCGTCTGGACAGACGACTGGATATATCCTCGACCCTGAATTCAACATTTACATGAGCGGCTGCATGGTTTGCGTTTAAGGGTACGTCGAGTCCGACATGATCGCCCTGGAAGCCGAAACTTGGAGTCTTCCTCAACCCACAGTTGAAAGCCTTGATTTTGTGCTTTCCGAGTATCATTTCCTCAAAGAGTTCCGATTCACAGGGCATTCGTTGTGAATTTCATGGATTCGTAAGCTTATTTGTGAGGCTATTGTTCCGCACATCTGGAGTCGTTTTATGCCACAAAGTGACCGCTACAGCAGATCGCGTCCCTTGTATTCGTCATGTCTCGCTCTGTATTCGTCATCGCTTGTCTCATGGACTCCTTTCTTTCCTTCTCTTTTGGTGTTTCGGTTACTTCGCACTTGCATGAACTTGAAACTCAGCTAGACGCCCCGCCATGACCTGGTAGGCCAAGCCACTTTGCGTGTTGTCTGCCTAGCAAGGAGCAAAGCTTGGCTAAGCTTGATCGAGCTTGGTCATGCCCTGATGTCCAGATTATGCAGGGTGCAGCTTTTAGTGGCACAATCGAACTCGCTTTCAATGCGTTTTGCGACATCCTAACCTGTCGGCTGGGGGAGCATGTGGATCCTCCGCAAACAAGGTGCCATGATAGGCTGAAGCTTGCTCCTTAGCTGAAGTGGGGAGCGACCTCTGGGAGAACATTATAAAAGGAGCGGAAAAGCTCTCAAATTTCGTGTCCTACAGCAATTTCTCAATCTTTAAACGCACAATCTTACCATCTAACTTCACAATCATGGGCTGGTTTGACGGAAGTTCTCAAGAGGATGCCTATAACACGGTGAGTAACTATCAGACGTCTAGGCTTCATGGTTCTTCCTCCCATGGACAGACCTGGATTGAACTTGCTAGGTCTTGGGTAGAGATTGATGAACTGATGTGTCACGTTTTCGTACAGGTGTCCGGCAATGACAATTATGGCCAGGAACACGAGCCCTCGAAGGTGCACGAGCTGATTGCTGGTGCAGCAGCTTACGAGGCTGCCAAGGTACAGCCATCTCCTGATCGTCCCGAGTACAACACGTATAGCTAACTGTTCCTGTGTCCAAAACTCAGGCTTACGAAAATCACGTAAGCGAAAATGGCCAACCACCTAGTCATGAGAAGGCGAAGGAAATTCTTGCTGGCTTCGCTGGAGCATTCATTGATCGCGAGGCGGAAACCAAGGGCCTTGACTTTATTGACAGAGAGAAGGCCAAGTACGACGCAAGGCGACAGGCTGAACAAGCTCTTGCCGATAACAACGAGTGAGTAGCCCCATAAACGCCATGTTCTCTACGGAAGTACGATTATTCTGACCAGTAAATACGAAACAGTCAAGGCTGGTAGAACGATGACCGTGTTGCCAACGGCATTGTTGGAGGCAATATCGGAGGCATTTTGTCCTACCTGTCTGGGTACGCCTAGTCTAAGTCAAGTATGATGTCATGAAATTCCTAAAACGAGAAAAAATGAGATACTCTTCTGTCCATGTCTCAAAAATGCTCTCTCTCTCTCGTGCCCAAAGCTTGCAATTCGATCGTAACAATACTGAAGGGACCAAATAGCATTCAGTGGTGATTGTCAAGTCACTACCCATGTTGAGATGCTTTTCAAAGTTTGGACTAGCCCCCGCGTTCACTCAAGCTTAAGAGATCTGAATGAACTAAGATTGTCCATAAACTATGAACATCACCGCGGCTTAAAAAGTAGCCCCTTCATTTGACTTAGATTGAACAGCGTCGACACACACATAATATTTCAAATAGTCATAAGTACATTCAGGATATTAGTCTGAAATAAAGCCAAACTCGTTTCCATCTTTACTGCTCACTCCAGAATCTGCTCTTGAATTTGGTGCCAAAGTCCTGCACGATCTATACTGAGCTCACATCTTGCTCCCGTTCGAACGCTTCGCAACTCTCATTGATTTTTGATGTGGAAGAAGGAGAGGCTAATGTTGTAGCTGAAAAGCTTCAGTTCATTGTATCAGCCTTTTATGATTCGCTTTTATTCCAACGATGTATATCTAGTAAGACTGGCAAACATTTAAAAGTCCAGTCTCAGTGGAATTAGAGTAGGTATTGCAATGGTTCAATGGACCCTAACGTATATTTATTTCCGAGAAACAATAGTTCCCTCTTAAAATCTATCTATGCTAAACTTTTTGTGAATCATTTTGTCCTAACCTATTTAGGAGTATTAGGCTAAACTCACACTCAGCATTATCTGACAGGTAAATGTATTTTGTTTCCGAGATCTCCTGATCACAAAAGTTTATAGCTGACTATAGTTCTGATCTATTTCTTTTCCCATTTGGATTGAACGTGAATTTCATCTCTACTTATCAAAATTCCTTTTGTACAATCAGGTACTTCATATTAAAAAGAACATTTTGATATAAAGAAACAAGCGTTTTGTCTAGTTTGACGCCCTTGGTCGAGAAAGCAACGCACCATGAGCTTGATATGGATCCCAATAGAATATTTTAAATTAAAAAAAGTCGAACAAGGACTCCTCTTTTCAATGAAGGCGTTAAGTCAAATTATGTCGCTGTTGCTTAAGTAGCGGAAATAACGATATCATGGTAATTTTCAAAAGTCGATTGCGCGGTCTTAAGCTTTGAGTAGTTCATTTAAAGCTCTGATACATCTAACACCTAAGGCAGAAACACTCATCTTCATGCTGTAATCGTAATCTTCACTCACCTTCGGTATTGTCTTCCCCTCAGCCTTGATCTTTTTCACATGGCCACGATAGGCACAGGTTGGGCGCACGACCTTCTTTGACTTTAATCGACGGACTATTTGTAGTTTATCGCTGGCTTACTGTTATCGAAGTTAACAGTGATTTACAGTTGAGCGATCATGCAGCACGATCCCGTAACTATGATACCGAGGGCCCTTACCAAGGTGATGGTACAAAAACATCATCATATAGATCTCGCAAGCGGAGGAGAAAGTTTCTTGCCTGTTTAAGTTGTCATCATTGAGAAATCAAGTGCGATCAAGCCTCACCAACTTGCGGGCGCTGCGATAAGTCTCGGAGCGAGATGTGTCTACCATACCAGCATGAATCGTGCTACGGACGATACGAGGGACAAACCCTCTGCTGGAGTGGACTCGGCTAGCGTAGCAAAAGTCTTTTTGGATAATTATGATTTGAGAGTTGCGCAAGATCTCACCAGTCCAACTTGTGCAGATACCTTTAATTCCACCGAGCGCTATCATCAACCGGCTTCGTAAATAGGACGCTTCATGATCGAGACAAGACGTGGTTTATTATAGATTGGCATCTCTTCCTGCGAAAAAGGGACTTAAATATTGAGGTGACATGGCAAAGCAATGGTAGAACATCGATCCTACGCGCTCGTACTGAGAACACGAAATCGCCATGGTGTACGAGAAAAGATCGACAAGAGTCCGCTAGTGCATCAGGAACGAGATGAGCAAAGAAAGAGATTTGAAGAAGTATCTTTGCTCCCGTTTGTCAGGCTAACGATCATGATATAGGATGGAAGAAGCGACGACAACAATCGGACGGTGAGAGAGGTCAAGAAATAGATCTCCTGTTCGGAAGGATGCAACACTCCGGAGCATCAACAAATAAACGAATAATGCGACTAGCAAAGTACCGGACGCTGTGGAATGCACAATTATAGCTGTTGATCGTCATGCAGTAGCAATTTACAAGGCGCAACAATATCCATGATTTGCCTTTTATCAATGCTGTCGGAAAGGTGAGAAGCTCTCAGTGAAAGCCTCGGCTCGTAGGAACAGTAAGTGGCACTAAACGCCGACATTCGAGCTTCAGAGACGCTTAACACCGAACATGCATGCATGGCAGAGTAAATTTCTAAATGTACGAGAAGATATAATTGATATGGTATCTGAGCGCAAAATAGATACAATCAGCCCATGATTCAATAGTTGACAGCAAGAGTGCGCTGAATATTGCGAAATCTATCAATTATGAAAACTTTACCCAATTGTCATGATTGATTCACTCATTGATGGTTAACTTGAGTTACTGTCTTTCATAAACGCTGACATGCGTACACAACTCTCGGCCGTAGCCAAGGCTGCAGGAGGCCACGACTATGAGCATCGGAAACAGAGATGTCATGTAGATGCCCGGCTGGCACCCCTTGGCATCCCCCTATCGAAAACAAAGAAAGCAATTGACATACAAGGTGATGACGCTTACGCGATCAAAGATTGCAGCATGATGGCGTATGTAAATCGTAGAAGCCCGGTTGCCGTGTTAGAAAGCTTCCTCGAAGCAAAACCTAGCCAGTTCCGCAAACTGTGATGACTTACTACATATCATGTGCTCAATTTCACGCAACGCCGAAGACCTGCTTCCTTTTTCTCGCCTTCATTCAGAGCTCGTACAATGGCTTCAGACTCAATCGCCTCCTCCAACCCTTCATAATCTACCCAATTTGAGAACCACGTACGAAATAATGAACGACAAGTAAGATATTGTGAATAAGTGACTTGTAGTCTCACTTCGCAGACCTTAGTGGAAGATTGCACCGTCAGGTCCAGAGATGGCTTTGAGGTCCCAATACGGGTGTATCGCAAGGCCACATCGACTTCACCTGGTCCTTTTACCATTGCCATTCACGGAGATGTTAACTTCACGGGCAGTCTCACCGAAGAAGAAGCCCATTGCCGCCTGTTCTCAGAGAAATTCAATGCCATATGTGTAAACATCGGACACAGGCTCGCTCGGGAGCACAAATCTTCAATTACGGCGTACGATTGTTTCGATGTGGCGAAACGGACTGCCGAACACGCCGTTGAGCTTGGTGCCGACCCGAGTAAAAATTTCATCGTTCAAGGCTCCACGGCAGGTGCTCATGTGGCGAGCCTCGTGAGGCATTTATCTCGGGATGAAAAGCTTGAGACTCATACTACTGGACTGTTAGAGATATGTACCAGTACATGCCAGTTCAATGCTATTCCAAAATAACATTGACCGGAGTACATAATTTGAAGCCAAGATATCCAAGGCGGCTTGAGACACGAAGTGCTGCTTCAGTTCTTTCACTTTACCGGAGCTTCAGACGATCAGTCAAATCATTTCAACTCCGTACTACTCTGGCCAAGTGGCCAAAAGAACCTACTCCACTGTACTTGCAAGTTCATGGACGAGGCTTGTTCCGAGACTCGGCATTAATATATAAACGAGAACTGAGGGAAGGGGAGGTAGAAACAAAATTGAAAGTTAACCCCGGCGTGCCACAGGGCTTCAATAACTTCTCTTTCACCACAGAATTGCAAAGCAGCATGATCTGGATACTACTGACGTGATAAATAGGCTGTTAAATCTAAAGAAATGATGTCGTGCAGAGTGTAACACAAAAGATTGTTTTCTTCGAACGGGAATAGTCTATACTTTCGAATAGATCGATTTCTCTTTGCTTATTCCACAGATATCAGTTATTGCAAACCATAAAACGAAGCTACGGCAACTGTCTATGATTCCAATGAGCGTTTACAGCGCAAAACTTGCTAAGTCGTGCCAAGCAGTGGTCTCTTCACCTCGAGATTATATTCAGAAAGTTGGGTGATGGTTGTATCATAAATTTCTATGCCAAGTTTGCCCCGTATAACTGCATTTGGACGAACGCATTGGTTGCGCGTTCGCTTCGTAGCGTATACAAGACTTTGTCCAAAGGCCAGATGAGCTCAAGTCGCCGTTGATATTTATACACATGGGCAACACGAATGGCTTGTCGTGAAACTAAACAATGCAAATTGTAAGGATTTGAAGCACTCTTCGGTTCCCTAATTCGCCGTCATGCCAAAGGTATCTCTGTTTAGTACCCTATTTTAGAGTGGGCTTAGATTATAATGCCAAGATGAACTTTTCAACCCCGTCATGGCTATTGCTACAATGACAGCCGATACATTCAAATAACCCTCTCCTAAAATATCTTTTATGATGCCCAAAAATTATTGAGATTAGGTTTTCACGTAAGTACCTTCGAGTTTGACCATCCAAACTTGATCAGTCGCTCATTCCGCCTCGTTCGAGAAATCGTGTTCCATTTACGCCAACGACACCTTTTCCAAGCTGGCTCGCAACGACTGTTGCCTCTCTAACAGCTCTTGCTACAGTTCCTCTTGTCCTGCCTTCTTCGAGAACAAGTAAACCTCCGATGGTGCATCCGCCAGGTGTGCTGACCTTATCCCTCAAAATTGCAGGGTGCTCCCCGTTGGTCACCAGACTCGCCGTACCTCTCATGACTTGTGCTGCCATAAGCTGCGCTTCAGCTCTTGGAAGTCCCATGGCCACGCCCCCATCTGCCAATGCTTCAAGGACAAGAGCCATAAAGGCAGGTCCTGAGCCGCATAGCGCAGTGCTCGCATCCATAGCGGAGGGTGGAAGATGTACGACCCGTCCTATTCTTGAGAATATCCAGGTTACCAAACTGTTCCATTCAGGTGACAGAGGTGGCGTCGATGTCGCAATAACCGTCATTGATTCACGAACAAACGATGCAGTGTTTGGCATAGCCCTGACCACTCTACAGGCATCAGCCGGTTGCTCTTTCCCGTAGAGCAATTGCTCAATTTGTTCAGCGGTAACTCCAGCAAGAATAGAAATCAATAGTTTGCCTCTCAGCGCGTCTTTGATACCTGGTGCTCCAAGAACTTCACGAAACATCTGTGGTTTGCAACCAAGCAGCACGACGTCTCCTTCTTCGACCGCTTTCACGTTATCGTTGACGTAGACGGAAAGTGGAATATTATGATGGCCGAGGCTTTGTCTGATACGTTTTGCGGAACTCTCCCGCCGAACACAAGCTATGAACTTTGCTGGTAATCTTTGTGGGTACTCCTCCATCGGAGTCGAAGTGCCGGAAGGGGCATGAGAGATCTGGCCCGGGATCCGCTCTTCCAAATGCGACATTATGCCAGACGTTATTGCAATGCCCATTGTACCTGATTTAATTAGTTCACATTAGCTGAGGGCTGTCAACAGCATACCGCAGCCGAGAATAGTGAGCGTAAGCCCATTGAAGTTGGTATCAGCAAAAGCCATATTTTCGATTTTATTAGCCCTTATCAAAAGCCCCACGCAGGAATGTTGTTCTATCTGCGTAGTACGTCACTTGAGCACCGTCCTAAAAAATTCGGTTCATTGAAAACAAAGATATCTCGATCAATGTTGTCGTAAGTCATGAGTCGGACTTGGGATGGAAGATTCAAAAACATGCTCCGATTTCGGCGTCTAAACACTGTACTCAATGAGTCGTAGCGCAACATCTCCAACAGTCCTCGAGTTCAGCTATACTTCCACCGGGTGCAACGAATTATGCCTTAATGATCCTTTATAAGAGCCAATCGGGGCTCTTCATAACCAAAAGAGGATTTCACATCATGGCAACACGTGATTATAAAGCAAGTCTCTTCTCTCATTCATCTCGTTTGCAGTACTAACATTTCAACCGGCTGCCCTTACAGCACTCAATGGCTTACAATCCAATTCGACAGTAGTGAAAGCGATTAGGGCGTCCAGAAAGGAACTAAATGAGTTAGCCATCCCTGAAATGCTTGATTTTGCTAGACGCATCGGATATCAGGTAAAGCTAGGACTGAATCAGCGCTTTTCTCACTGCTGATGTGCCTGGCAGCCATCGGATTTCGCATCATTCCATCCCATCCATATAGCCGGAACAAAAGGCAAAGGATCCACAAGCTCTTTCATTTCATCAATATTAGCTCAATACCGCAAATCTCCTGACCCGAAAGCTCCTCGTAAGATAGGCTTGTATACATCGCCGCACATACGCTCTGTCCGTGAGCGTATCCAGATAAATAACCAGCCGATATCAGAAGCTGTATTTGCGAAGTATTTTTTCGATGTATGGGACCGGCTGTCATCCACTGGAGATGGATCAAAACCCATGTATTTCCGCTATTTGACTTTAATGGCTTTTCATCTATTCTCGTGCGAGGGCGTGGACTCGGCGGTTATCGAATGTGGTATTGGCGGAGAATATGACAGTACGAACATTCTTCCTGCACCCTCAGTCGCTGCAGTGACTGCACTCGGTATTGATCACGTAGAAATTCTCGGCGAAACGCTCTCAGAAATTGCGTGGCACAAAGCCGGAATCTTCAAGACGGGTACAACCGCGTTCACTATACCACAGCCAGAACCGGCGATGGAAGTCTTGAAGAAACGTGCTCAAGAAAATATGTGCGAGCTGACGGTAGTCCCCGTCAGACCGGCGATAGCGGACGGAAAAATCAAGCTTGGCCTAGCCGGGGAGTACCAGAAATACAATGCCTCACTTGCAGTTGCAGTTGCAGCAAAACATCTGACGAATATAGGAGTCCAAGGTATACCGGATCCCATTCTGTACCCAGGTCTACTACCTCGTGAATTTCATCTTGGACTTGCCGAAGTTAAACTTCCCGGTCGCTGCGACTTGAGAAAAGACGGAAATATCTCGTGGTGTTTAGACGGTGCGCATACCATTGAAAGCATCGAAGCTGCTGCAAAATGGTTTGGATCCTTGAACATGGAAAACAAGAATGGACGACGAATCATGATTTTCAATCAACAGTCGCGCGATGCCAGGGCTCTTGCTCGCAAATTGTACGACACGTTATCGGGCACCTTGAACGTTCGAAGCCCATTTTCGCATTGCATATTCACCACAAACATCACTTACAAGGAGGGGAACTATAAAGCCGACTTTGTTTCTATGAATACCGACAGCAAGGAAGTCGAAGCACTCAAGGTGCAACGGGAACTCGCAAACACCTGGGCAGAGCTCGATCCCAATGCCACAACAGAAGTTACCGTGTCGATCGAGGAAGCCATCAATCTCGCAAGACGCGTGGCAGCTGAGTCGGAGGAGCAAACTCAAGTTCTCATCACGGGAAGCCTACACCTTGTGGGTGGGGCTCTCGAAGTTCTCGAGACGAGCGGTCTACAACAATAGCTTCATCGTCCTTTTCGGCTTGACCCTTTACATGTATTTGTATGTTTTATAATGTAGTCAGCCTCGGGGCCATCAATTGCCCACTTGCGTTTTCTTGCTTTGATATCCTGTGAGCCTACCATAAATGCAGTACACTCAATCGGGAAATTTGTGTTCACTTCACCTCGAAACAAGATATCAATGATTTCTCGTGTCAGTATTTATTGTGCAACTGCAGATCAAGCTCGTCCCTGTCGTTTTGGGGGGGGTTCTTTATCACCCGATTTCCTTAGCCGCTCCGGTAAAGTGTCTGCTCTCGTGAACATGCTTTCCGGATCACGATTTGGTTCACTTTAGCTTTTTAGGGCAGGAAAGAAACTGATACCAAGTGGACTACACGCGAGCTTTCAAGACAAATTAGGTAGCTTCAATGGACCATGCTCTTTGTTCCTCGTCAAGGACATCGTACACATGGTGAGCGAAAATGGTGTCACGTCAATTGCAGCGATTCCCGCAACAAAAATCAGCTCAGATCGATGGACTTTTCTGGAGTCGAGTACCAAAAAATACATTACGTATGCGCGGGCTTTTGTGGAGGAAAGCGAAAGTCAAGTAGTCATTACGAACTGAAGCTGTGGGAGCATCGAAGAGCTTGATGCTTCATACACTTTCTCACGCAATGTCCAGTACCGAGCAATTTCGCGCCAAGTAGATTGTAATTGAGGAGTCATGTTCGTCCAATTTGCCGTTTCAAACTGATTCTTCCAGCATGCCTGGAATCTTTTCGACGCGAGGCCGTAATATCTTCAGGTCCGCATGAAGATAAACTGTTCTAGGAGTTGAGGGTTCCCTGCAGGGCGTGCCATGGAATGTTAGTTCCTGAGATTGCTCAGCAAACCGCAAAGGCTTCACGGTGAACTCAACTTCTTCAGCAGAAATCTCCGTAGTAAACAGCATTCACATCCTTCAGCGCGTACAACACCAAAGTGTAAGCAGCCATCTACAGCATCTGCTAAGAGATATCTCTTGTTTCGCTCGTGGTTGACCAAAAGACGCTCGTTGAGATAGTCATTCAATAGATGGCCAAAATTAGTAGATAATAATTACATATTACTATTTCGCAGTTCTCAGCCGCTCTTCAAAACATTTCTGGAAATGCTATAGTGTACGCTCAACAACGTAAATGCTGCATGATCTGACACTTCATAATTACTCATGCCTTATTTCTCCTCTCCCAAATCAACATTGCTGGTGGCAACGGACGCGAGAAAAGTGACTAGACAGACAAAACGTTAGTTCCTCCGTTTTTGTTCGCAGAGATCCTTTGGCAGGCTTACCGAATAGTCCGTCTTTGGGAACGGCTTCTTAGGATCCAAGCTAAACTTGAATTCTTTCACCAAGGTGGCAATAATAGTTTGCATCTGAAGGTACGCAAACTGCTCGCCTATGCATCGATGTCGGCCAGCGCCAAACGGCAAATACGGACTGTTTGCTCCCTTGGAGATCAATCCATAGCCATAGTCAACCTTCTCTTCGTCTTCGACTGTCATCGCGCTAGCATCCCACCGTTCTGGTTGCCACTTCTCGGGGTTCGGGAAGTATTCAGTCGACATCGAGGAGGCGATTGGTGCGGCAAGAAGCTGGTGCGAGGTAGGAATAATGTAGGGAGTGCCTTCTACTGGAATGGGCTGCTTGACGCGCCGGAGAATCGAGTGAATTGGTGAGTGCATTCTGAGCGTTTCCTTGATAACTTGGGCATGTAGCGTCAATTTAGCCAAGTCTTCGTACTTCAGAGGCCTTAGTTCCTCGCCCAGAACGCGTTTCTGTTCAGCAATTAATTTCTCCTGAATATCTGGTCTTTCAGCGAGGTGTAGGAGCGCAAAAGCCGTAGTACTAGCAGAGGAGTGCTGGCCGCCCATAAGTAAAGCAATCATGATGCCTCCAATCTCATGATCGGGGAGCTTGGAACCATCTTTGTATGTGCAATTCAACAAGTTCCAGATCATATCCTCTTCATCCTTTTCCTCCTTTCCTGCTCTTCGCTTTTTGGCAATATCAGCATAAGTCTGAATCATTTTCTTGTGAGCAGCATCGCGTCTGCGATTATGTGGGAGAGGAAACCAGGGCAACATGAAATTGATGGGCGAAAATCCCATGTCAAGATCGTGCATCCAATCAGCGAAATCAGAATTCATAAGACTTCGGACCTCTTTTCCTTGAAGCGTACGTGATGCCGTGAAAATAATCGTCTCGGAAAGCGCACGTACGACCTCGACAGAGCCACGTGAGCCCTTAAAAGCGGGCGCACGTTTGACGTAGTCTTCGACTTCATGCTGGATAAGGGGGACGTAAGATTGGAAGGCTTCCGTTGTTAGACCGAATTTAACAAACTGCTCGACTTGTCAGATATTTCGATCAAACATATACACAAGAACGAACCTTCTTTTGCTCCATGAGCTTAGAATTTGGACAGTCGTAAACAACATCTTTGCCGAACACAGGCTTGGTCAGGCCGTTGTAGACCTCTTCAGCGCTGATATGGCTGTGCTTTCCGTTCAAGATGAAGTCGTTGCCCCTCTTGCCAACAAAGACCGTAGTCTTCTTGCCGAGTAATATGAATGTAAAGCAGTCACCGTACTAGCACTTGTTAGCAGCGAATTCTGTGCGCTAATAAGGAGCGCCTCCATCGAACCTTCGCCTTGTTTTTGTGAAAAAACTTGACAGGGTCCATGCCATACGTGATAGTACTACCGATAAGCGGGAACAAGTGAAAGACCATAGGAGGCTCTGTCGGATTCTTCCATAGTAATTGCTTCAGAACATTCAGGACAACTGTGACAGTGAGGAAGAGGGCAAAAGCGGCGGCGACGGTGAGTGGCGTCCACTCGACAACAGAGAAAGGCTCTGCGACAGTTGCGAGGATCCCCATTCTTCCGGCTTTCAAATCGCAAAAAGGTGAGTGGAATGTGAAGTCGTGGAAGGGCGGTATCGCGACTTTTTGAATGTTGAGGTCTGTCTTAGGCTTAGTCGCATCGAAACGGGATCCACCCTGCACGGACGGATACGCAGGAACCGAAGCCGCCATTCTGGCGTGAGATTCACAGAGAATGGATGTCGCCAACCACATTGCGTCGGCCTTCTCATCATCAGCCGAGAATTCACTTCCCCGGTCCGTTGGGTTGCTGGTGGCCAGAGCATGTGCTGATTATCGTGCCTCGAAGACGCCTGTGCTTGTGAAGGAGTCCCCACCTTCAGAAGACGCGAAACGTTCGTAATCTTGCAGCAACATCTACGAAATGAGAGAACGGAATCCTTGAGCAATGAGGAGAGTCTCGAAAATCTCCGATACTGCTTATACAACTCATCTTCTCGAATGTCGTGCGCCATTGCGAGTTTACCTCGCACATCTTTCCTCATCCGCTCCGTTTGTCATTTCATCGCCAGGTCCATACCACAGGACTCGAGTCTAATTTGAATTAACGTTGAAGTAGTCACGATGGCTGTCTATTGAATAGCATTATTATGCTTATCCTCCCAACTACCTCTTTGATCTCAGAAAAAGATCAACAAAGCCCAGATTTTGATGTAGCCGCCTATGTATCCTCATTTCGTACTTTGACTTGGCCTATTTTCAGAAATTTGTTGTAAGAAGGATTTTTCACGAGCAAAATCTAACTTGACCCGGCCAAAGGGCCGAAAACTTCGGGTTCGTACGAAATCCTTCATGGTTTCAGTGGTGATCGCAGTTCCCGTCGTTAAGACACAATATCCATGAAATTGAATGATGGACAAAAAGAAGGACCGTGAGGAGAGGGTTTTTTTTTTTTTCTCTTGATTTTTAGCACGCGTAGCAAACCTGTTCGACAATGAATTGATAGTCCTGATTTAAGCGTGATATATATTCTAGTCACTGCTGCTCCCAAGAACATGTACCTATTGTCTAGCTTGCTTCATTCTTGTCAAAGCTATAATCGGTACTCCAAAGGACGATATCAATAGTCAATTGCGAAACAAATGTGAAAGACATCACCCTTTTCTTCGGAGTCGGGCAAGAAACAAGACTGCGTTCGGCCGATTTCGGAGACGGACGTCCAAAAAGTTTGAAGGTTGAATGATATTTTCGAGAAAGTTAATCAAGATCAAGTGCATAGCTTTCTTTCAGTCAGTCATTATCACTTTGAGCAAATAATTGCATACAGGATGTCGGCGAACGATACATTCCAGACACCGCTAAATTCGCGCTATGCCTCGCCAGAGATGAAGGCGCTCTGGTCGCCGAGAACGAGATTTAGCACCTGGAGAAAGTTGTGGCTATGGCTTGCGCAATCAGAGAAAGAGCTTGGACTGCCAGGAATCACTGATGAAGCAATCAAGCAACTTGAAGAGCACGTGACTATCCAAGATGACGAATTCGCGGGCATTGCGGAAGAGTATGAGCTTCGTTGTCGGCTGACGCGCTGATTGCTAAAATTTTCCTCAGAGAAAAGAAACGTCGCCACGATGTCATGGCACATGTTTGGGGCTACGGCCAAGTGGCACCAGATGCAGCAGGAATCATACACTGGGGAGCTACAAGCTGCTACGTGACCGACAATGGTGATCTCCTCCTGCTACGACAGGGGCTTGATATTCTGCTGCCAAAACTAGCCACGGCCATTTCGAAATTATCACATTTTGCAGACAAATACAAGGATCTACCATGCCTTGGATACACTCATGCCCAACCTGCTCAACTCGTCACCGTAGGAAAGCGCGCTTGCCTCTGGTTGCAGGACCTTCTCATGGACCTGCGAAATCTCGAGCGTGCCAGGGATGATCTAAGATTCCGTGGCGTCAAAGGCACAACAGGTACTCAAGCATCCTTCCTGCAAATCTTCGACGGCGATCACGAAAAGGTGGAGAGGTTGGACGAGCTTGTTACGGAGAAGGCAGGCTTCAAGTCGGCATACATCATTTCGTCGCAAACCTATCCCCGAAAGGTCGACCTAGACGTGCTCGGAGCTCTAGGCGGTCTTGGTGCAACTTCGGAACGGATAGGAGTCGATATCAGGCTGCTCGCACATGGGAAGGAACTCGAGGAACCATTTGAAAAGGACCAGATTGGTAGCAGCGCCATGGCATACAAGCGAAATCCAATGCGAAGTGAGAGACTGTGTTCATTGGGAAGATACTTGCAAAATGAGCCCAAAAACGCAAATGACACATACCGCGCACAGTGGTTTGGTAAGTCCTCTTAGTTACTGTAGAGAGCTTGCTGATACTTTCGGGTAGAGCGAACACTGGACGACAGCGCCAACCGTCGCTTGTCAATTCCTCAATCCTTCCTATGCGCTGATGCATGCCTGATATTGTGAGTGCAGAGCATGGCTCATAAAAGAAGATCAGACCTAAACGGGGAGTTTGCTAACCACCATCTCTAGAATGAACAATATCTTCTCTGGTCTTGTTGTCTACCCCGCCATTATCCAGAAGCACATCAATGAAGAGCTTCCATTCATGGCTACCGAGAACATTATCATGGCCTGTGTAGCCGCTGGCCTATCACGCCAGGATGCTCATGAGGAAATTCGCGTACTCTCCCACGAGGCCGCCGCGGAAGTGAAGCAACATGGTCGTGCCAATGATTTGATTGACAGGATAAAACGTACGAAGTTTTTCGAGCCCGTGGTGGGTCGTTTGGATGAGCTGCTTGACGCGAAAACATTTATCGGCAGGGCACCACAGCAAGTGACCAAGTTCTTGAAGACAGAGGTCGAGCCCGCGCTGGAGAAGTACAAGGATAAGATTGGCACTGACGCCGCCGAGTTGAGCGTGTAGGTGCGCGTAAATGGCAGTTAGACCTCCGTTTTACCGGATAAGCGGCTGGAAGCGAGCCGGGACGGACAAAGGGATAATCCCTTTTCCTTGAGATAACGCTGTTGTAATAAAGCATGGTTTACGATTTTCAATGCCTTAAAAATCCCAGGAAAAGGATCGCCACTTTCAATTGTCCTCTCCACCTCAATGTACTACTCATGTTGAGAAGTATTTCTCATTAATTGATCGTCTGCAAATTTGAAGTTTGGAGCACAGCCCCAACTGCAGACAGTCCGAACGAACGGCACAAATAGATCTTGCAATGTGAACTCGATTGACTCGTGCTGAACAAAGGTATGATAGAGAACATGGTACTCAAGCCACACGGCCCTCGGTACTATATATGCTCGTCGACATTCGGGGCATGTTCGACCCCCTTCTTTACGAGAGAGGATCGCATGTTGAAGGCCATGTCGAACGGAATCCGGGGCGTCCTCTGGAAGTAGAGCTGGAAGGTGGTTGAGATCAGGGACTGAAGCAGCGGATGACAGGGACAATGAGAACAGGGAATGGACACGAGACTGCTTAAATATTCGCGACAGTGGATTTTTGGCTAGATCAGATGAATGGCAACTAGCCCTTTCCCCTGACGCCACGCAGAAAGAGGCCATCGGTTCCAGTAGCCGGGCAGACATTACCATCTGATCATTTGGTAATTCAGTCGGCAGGATTACCTTACGATCGAGGGGTGACCCCGAAATGTCAAGGTAGTAGACCGGCGTCGCTGCCATGAAGATGGTCTCACGACTCATGACCGGAATCGTTTCCAAACGCATCTGGTCGAAAGCAAGAGAGGTCGCATTAGCTGTGGTCGAGGATTCTTGCAATTTCGAACCCCACCTTCTAGCAATCTCTTGCCGTTCTTCCTCCAAAAGGTCATCCACGCTTCGAGTATGGCTCCAAATCAATTCTGGCCGTTGGAGACAGTGTTCGTATAGTCTTAGCAGCCAAGACCTTTGTTCAAATTGGACATTCCAAACATCATCGGTCAAACGAGCGCTTGGCCTCAGTTGTTGCAAACGATGGATACGGTTCTTCAGTTCTGCAATGCTTTGTGGTATGACTGAACAATCCTGCGACTGAGATCCATCGATATCGTTGACCAGACGCCGAAAACCAACATACGAGAATGGCTGGAGCAAAGGGTTTTGCCTTGCATCAACAAGCAGCGCAGGCCTGCCCGATTCAGATAAGTGAATTCGATCTAAAATCTCGCCTGGTAGCCAACGTAAGCGATTTCCCGCTACGTCCAATTGTTGCAGGTTTTTCAAACGGGACACGTTCGGTGAAAGAGCTGTCAGATTGTTGTTGAGCAGTCTTAGTCGCCTGAGTCCAGAAAGTGTGAAGAGCCTCGGCGGTAGGTCCGACAGGGCGTTATTGTCTAGCATCAAATCAAACGTCTCGTCGAACTCGGCCAGATCTTTCTCGCTGTCTAGCGAATAGATACTCAAAGACTCATCTTCCTCGTTGCCATATTCTTGACGACTCGGACGCCCGCAATCATAATTTCCTTTCCATAGTGGTTGTCGAACCATCTGCTGCATTGGTATTAACATATCGTCTGTTAAGTAAGGTAATCCCAGGTTACTGAATGATTTGTTAGTGATAATTCCTGGACACAATTGCTATCCACGTACGCAAGATCAATGCTATCTCTTAAAGCGTCATCCTTCGCAAAAACATTTTCCCCGTTTTCAGCGAACGAGGCAATCCTCTGTCTTGCTTCAATCACAACGGCAGGCTCTGAGATATGCACTGGTCGACAAAGAGAGTTCGCTGCTGGCCTTCGCCACGTTCCCATGCCTTCAAATGGCTCATCCGGGATAAAGTTATTGCTCTTGGGATCTTCAACATCCTCAGAGTCTATGCTTTCCAACGAGCTATCGCTGCCCATAAAGATGCCGCTGTCAAGATTCCTCTGAAAAGCCTTCCTCTGCCTTTGCTTTTCACCATTTTGCCACCACGTACCCTTGTATTGCTTCTTTCTCCTTGGTGCAAAATAATTTTCCGCGCCTGGTTCGGCAGGATCGCTTGAGAAGACCGCTGGATCACTTGGGGTGTTATCCTCGACCAGAACGGAAGGCCGCGCACGTTTGCGGCTGCTGCTTTGTGACGAGGACTGCTTCGACATTATAAAACAGAATATGAGCGGCACCTAGAAGGTCATGTTCGGAGCGGTATGTTCAAATAGTCGTAAGTTGAATTTATTATGTTGGCTCGACGCGACCTGAGCTTCCAGAGCACGCGACACTAGCGCGATGCGCGTGGGGTGGCTGGCGTTTGTCGTCAAGATATTACTAATCTTCAGCCTACCACGTGCCCAGTTCCCCAAGATATCCTGATCGAGTTCGACGCTGTCACATTGGCTTTTGCCGTGGTTGAATGTGCTGGATAAGGGTCACGACGATTAACGATTCAGATTCATTGCCATAACACTATATGTTACCTTCTTCCGGCAAAGTACAAAACGGATCCGTGGATCTGCGGAAGCTACCTTCAAATTCAGTTGCTCTTTGGGTTTCGAAGTCATTATTTGCATACTCTAGTCGTTCATCAACTACGTCTAAGACAAGCTTTGCCATACAAAATCCATCTAGAAATCATATTTTGACCCCCTTTGACCAATGAATTCATCAGCTCGGCGGCATGGATCCTTTTGAACCCACCAAAGGGTAAAAGGAAGATCACGAGTGGAGGTTGACAACGGTGCAAGAGAACCAACATGGACAAGATCGACGTCGTTGCCAGCGTATGTGGAGGATGGAAAGCAAGGCATGAATAGAAAATTTGCCGTGTAAGGCATCGAACCCATCGATTGAATTGGCGATCCGAAAATGCAGCATCTAAATCCAGCAAGAGGGTCAACTGAGAAGAAATGCGGAGATTTTGCAATCAAAAATTAAGCGTGTCTCGAATAAATAGCTAACGTCACTATGTTCGGCAGATTCGAGACCCTCGTCGGGACGAAGAGGTTACGCATAATCGACCTTTACAAGGTCCATTTCCAGATTTGTTGTCCGTACGCCTAACTTATGATCAAGTACAAGATAAGTGACTCGTCGCCCATCCTAGCACATTGCCATGAAAATGCTTAGTTGCCATATCTCGCCCGAAATTTATTGGTATGAGACATGTCCTGCTCCGTAGACGATCCACAACTTGTAAGCTCCACGCAACACTCCTTTCAAACGCTTATCTCAATCTTCGGGCCTCACGTTCAGACTCGAGCAAGCAGAGGATATCGTTCTCGCGGACTGGGCCTGAATAAGAATATTAGCCGAGAGGGGCCATAAAGCGGATCTCTAAGCAAAGTCTTCGTACCCTTTACGTTGCGGATAATGGAACGGGTGGTGTCGTCCATAAATTCAACGCGCACCTGGGTAACACCACCACGAGAGCCGGTACGACCGAGGACGCCTACGCCAACGTTAACACCTTCCGAGACACAATAAGACTCTACACGTTGTCGCAGTAACATACGGGTGACCTTGACGAGCTTGATGGGCTGCTTGGCGGTATCCATGACTGCGGATATGTAAAGGAAGTTCTGTGTGTTGAGTGCTCGCGTAATGTAGGTGTCGCTTTGTTTTGCGAATAAATCTTCAGAAGGCCGTCGTCACTGAAAATGTGCGTGGTGCGAAAATGCCAAGTCGCCAAAACTTGCCCTGAGTGGAAGCAGAGCAGGTTGTGCCGATATCGGCGCATCACAAAGTTCCACCATCGGGGCTGTATGATTCATTTTTTAATACCTTGAACCTTCCTTCCTACGCTCTAATTCGGCTTGCTTATTGACCGGCGAGGGACAAATTTTGACTAATTGAGTGTTGATCTCGTCAATTGCGTCCATCCTTGCTCGTACGTACTCGCTGTCAGTCTTCTCAACACAGCAGATCCAGCCTCATCCACACGTGTTGGAAGCTATTGGGTTGTGCGATTGCGGCCGCATAAGCTCACGTCTCTGAGCCTCTAAGTGGACCACGCACCATCTCAAACCAGTCCAGCGTCGCTCAATCCTTGTTGTCCCACAGAGAAGTCTATAACAACTTTTCTACTGTGCACTTACTTCCACGCGCGCGTGAGCCGCGGGCGCTGGGCTAGAGTAAAACTACCGCACCCATCAGTATGGATCTTGTGAATTCGTGGGTCTCGCCCTTTGCTTTTCAACTTCTCCAAGATGGGCATATTACATGACCGAAAATCTTCTCGCGACTTGCCGGCTCTGACTGACACTTTAGGTGACAGTTTGAGTGATCGGTTATTGTTCGCAGTACCAAAGAGTGAGTGTCAGCCAAAGCCACCACAATGACTCAAAATAACGCATGCCCAGAGGGTCGTCTTCACCCACCATGCCTTGAGCTTCTGAAGGGTGCCGATATACAGTTCCATCGTCATTCCCGACTTGACATTGCACTTGTCAAGAATTTCCCACTGGCACTGGTGTTTCTGCCCGCTGCAGACATTCCCACATTCGTAGGTGAAGGTCGAGTTGATCTTGGAATAACAGGCCGAGACCAGGTGGCTGAGCATGATTGCGCCAACCCCCCTACAGAGACAACAGGTGTGGAAGAAGTCATGGACCTAGGGTTTGGCAGATGCAAGCTTCAGGTTCAGGTGCCCGAGAAGGGGCCCATCTCGAAGCCAGAAGAATTGGTAGGGAAGAACATTGTCACCAGCTTCACAAACCTGTCAGAAAAGTATTTTGCAGATCTGGAGTCAAAAGAGTCTGGAGGGGAGACAAATGGCGCAATCTCTAAGCCATCGAAAACGAAGATCAAGTACGTTGGTGGTAGTGTAGAAGCTGCCTGCGCTTTAGGTGTGGCCGATGGCATTGTCGACCTCGTCGGTCAGTTTAAAATAAATTTTTGTCCATATTCGCCTTCTAACTATGACGCAGAATCCGGAGAAACTATGCGTGTAGCCGGTCTCAAAGCAATCTCAACTGTTGTCGAATCAACAGCCGTCCTTATCAAATCCAAGCATCCTTCAGACAATAAACTCATCGAGTTGATTGCCTCAAGAATACGTGGTGTTATCACAGCGCAGAAATGGGTTCTCTGCACATACAACATCCCGCGTGCTAAATTGGATGAAGTCAAGGCCATCACACCTGGCAAACGGGCTCCAACGGTGACAAGCCTGGAGCAGGAAGACTGGGTGGCCATCAACGTAATGGTGGAGAATAGCAAGATCGCAGACACGATGGATGCATTGGAGGCTGCTGGAGCTGAAGATATCCTTGTTACGAAACTAGAAAATACGCGGACGAGAAACTCGTAGGCATAGGCGCAGGCCGGGTAATAGAGATTACACGCAATTGGTGGCTTTGCAGCTGCATGCAGATCTTGTAATCTGCGCCAAAAAAAAACATATGAATATGCATCTCAGTGAATTGTGACTTGCAATAGACTTTAATGAATTCCTCCGCGCCATCATTGACTCCCATTTTTAATTCAACACATTGATCGTATGGTCGATTAGAAAGCTATGTCACATGATCCACGACCATTTTTCACTTCCTTCTCGACAAGCTTGTTCGAGATTGTGGTTCAACCTAGCCATTTCTGAAAAGCTGAAAGTGAGATGAGGTATGTTCTAACCTCAGCATGCATCCAGGAAACAGATTCGAGCAAAGCTGGTGGTTCCATGTGCAATGAAGGCTAGACCCGCTTAGTTGCGTATTTTAAGGTTTCCCGATGCAACTTTTTGGCGAGCTTCCAAGCACAACACGAGCGCTGCACAAAACATCAAAGTGCCACTCTACATGGCCTTTCAAGTAAAGCTACTGAGGCCAATCTTTTCAAATCCGACAGGCTATCGTTGTTCGTCTATTCGACTTCCGTCTTATCTGAATCGCGTATTCGCCTCGTCTGCAAGGCGTTATTCATCATCTAACTTCGACATGGGCAAGGACGACCACTACCTCACACTGTCCTGTCCAGATAGGACAGGCATTGTGTACGCTGTTACCGGGCTTTTGGCAAAGCACGATATGACAATTTTGGATCTGCAGCAATTTTCCGACAGCTCGTCGTCAAAATTTTTCATGTATGTACCTCAGGGCACTTCGTGATTTGACGCTCGCAGGACAAAGTGTTAAAGATTCGAACAGGCGTGTACATTTTGGATATGCAGAGAACACATCCGGCGTCAAGTCAGACATGGACAACCTTGCTGCTGAAATGAAGATGGACTATCAGTTACGTCCGGTGTCCAAAAAGCCCAGGGTTCTCATAATGTGTTCTAAGATCGGACACTGCCTCAACGATCTTCTCTTTCGAACAAGGACAGGCCAATTGCAGATTGAAATTCCGTTGATCATCTCTAACCACCCAGATTTCAAAGATCTGGCCCAGAGCTACTCAATCCCTTTCCATCATTTGCCCGTAACCAAGGACACAAAGGCTGAGCAGGAAGCGCAGGTCCTGAGCCTGATCAAGGAGAATAACATAGATCTTGTTGTGTTGGCTCGATATATGCAGGTTCTCTCTCCCGATCTGTGCTCGGCCATGAGCGGAAAGATCATCAATATCCACCACTCTTTCCTACCCTCGTTTAAAGGCGCAAAACCATATCATCAAGCCTACGAAAGAGGCGTGAAGATTATTGGTGCGACAGCACATTTTGTTACTGCAGACTTGGACGAAGGTCCAATCATTGAGCAACGAATTGCACGAGTGGATCACAGCATGGGACCGAAGGAACTGGTCGAGGAAGGTAGTAATGTAGAAAGCCAGGTAAGACAACTCTCAAAATTGGAAAAATTGAATTCGCTGACCACGGGTCCAGGTGCTTGCCGCAGCTGTCAAGTGGTGGAGCGAGAACAGAGTATTTTTGAATGGCGCGAAGACTGTTGTTTTCTAGTGATGGGACACAGTCATCGGTTTCTTCAGGCATAGTTATCCCAAGCCTATGTCAGAATGAGCAAGCTGCATTATGGCTTCACGTGTTTATGAATTCACGTCTGAGCAACCCTCCCACGAACGGAAAATCAAAATATCTTTCATTGTCCACCACTAGACCAATGTAGCAGGCTCTACTAAGGGTATTATTTACGACGACACCGCGTCAACGCCGACATCGCCTTCCGCAGAGTCGTATATAAAAAACCACCTACCTTGTAGTCCGCGTGTTTGAATGCTGCAAGATCATATTGCACACGAGTAGCCCTACAGATTATTTTGTCAACGGAGAAGTCTTGCAATCTGTGCGACTGTCCCAGTATCTCCCCTTTTCCCTCTCTTATCTCCCTTTTCCGCAAAAGCAAGCTGCATCAACTTTCTCTTCTCCTCCTGTATCTCTAACACTCTTTCTTCAAAAGTACCCTTAATGACCAACCTGAATACTGTGGTTGGCTTTGTCTGTCCAAGCCGATGCACACGATCTACTGCCTGATCTTCAATTGCTGGAGCCCACCAGCTGTCGGCGAGGATGACCTGGTTGGCCGCAACCAAATTCAAGCCAGTGCTGCACACAGCCAATGAAGCCAGCATGATTGTGCAATCAGGCCGGGTGGAAAGGGCTTCCATGGCTGCATCACGAGCAAGTGGCGGCATCGAGCCGTCGATGCGAGTGAATTGAAAGTTATGCTTCGTCAACTGCACCTGAAGGACGTCTAGAAACGAAGTCCACTGACTAAACACGATGGTTTTCGTACCAGAGTTCTTCGCACTGGCTTTCAAAATATGTAAAAGTGCCTCGATCTTGCTGCTACTTTCGTTCTCATCAATTGATGAAATACTTCCAGCTTCAATCGCTGGTCGAAGAAGCTTCTCTGTGCCATCAAGGTCGGCACGGCACATAGGACATTTGTGTTGCAAGTTGATAACTTTCTCAATGCATGCATAACAGAAAGGATGCGTGCACACCGTGATAACAGGATCTTTAAGCACGTCATAACAAATCGGGCACTCTTCTTGAGTCTCGATGGACAGCTGGAGCATATCCTGCAAGGCCTTTTTGTTCTCGGGTGTCAACTCAAGGACAGGTCCTTGACTTAGTAAGTGTTCGAATCGTCGCGTGCCGCACAGTTTCCAGTGATTGCAGACTTGACGTAGGCGGAGCAGGATCTCCAGTAAATTGCGGTACGCCTTGAGTGCCTCAGCACTGGACATATTCCGCCGTGCTTGGTAGCTATCTAATGTGCCTTTAGCTTCCTTTTCAAGTGCTTCATATTTCTCTTTTTCATGCGGCAGGAAATCGATCTTGTGGATATATTCTGAAATTTCGGGTAGTTTAAGGTCCACGAACTTCATGTTTTTCTTTCGACGTAGCGTGATGTCTTGCATCAAAATCTGCAAGAGCCTGCTTCCCGAGTCAGAGCCGGCTTGAATAGGTCGAATCAGAGCACGGTTGAACAAATCGTAGCTCTCTAAGCCTCCGGAGAGACGGAGAAATTTGACCAGACTATACAAATCCTTGAGGCTATTAATGATAGGGGTTCCTGTTAGAACCCATCGTGATTGGGCCCGCAGGTCGCACGCCGCTACTGCTTTCTTTGTAGAGGGATTACGAATCGCGTGTCCTTCGTCAAGGATAATTCTCCGCCAGTTGATCGAGAACAAACCGGTCTGCCGAGGAACAGGAGCAGGCTTCTTGTTGCCATTCCAATACTCAGACATCAATGTATCGTACGTTGTGATTACAACGTCATATTCTGCGATGGACTTTGCATTGAGATCGATCTTCCTTGTTCCATGATACGTCGTCACCCTTAAGGTATGCTCGGGTTTGACGTGGTGCTCAATCTGGCCGCTCCAATTGCTCATTACCGAGAGCGGGGCTACAATGAGTGTAGCTCCATGAGGCCCCTTAGACCTGGTGCGATCTGCCATTATCAAGGCGATCATTTGCACCGTCTTGCCAAGACCCATGTCATCTGCAAGTATGCCTCCAGAAGCTAGACATGGGTCTCCTGTTGAAAACGCTGTGGCCAAATGGGTGAACAAGTTCGGATCACGATTATGTCTCTGCCATAGCTGACGGATCTTTGTAGAGCCTTTTGTCGGTAGCTCCGGACTCTCCTTCTGTAGCAGCCATTTGAGGCCTTGCAATTGATATGGTAACATCCGCGTTTTGATTGACAAAGGCTGTGATTCGACGTCCATATTTGCAAGATGCTCTTCCTTCAACCCAAAACGTTCGACCATTTCCTCCACATTCCTTGGACTGAACCTGATGCTTTGATCCTTGATATGCTCCAGCGCAAGTCCAGCTCCGTCACTGGAGCTTCTGGCGGACTCACTGACAAGCATATGCTCATCACCACGCAGACCGTTCGCCACACTGTATGGGCCTTTATTCGCTGCCTTGAGCATTTTTTGCAATTCCTTCTCTCTTTTCTGCTGCGCTAAAATGCGTGCATTCTCTTCTCGCTCTCGTTGATTCAACTCTGTTAATGGCAGCTTGTACGCCTTCATACGCGCCTTGAGATTGGCACGTTCAACAGGGTCGTAGGTACCGTATAGTCTTAACTGGATTGGACAGTCATACACGTCTTTGAAGCCCGTGGTCTGGCCTTCGACAATCAGCGACATGTCATCCATGAAAGGTGCCAGCTTTGCGGCAATTGTACGAGGGATATGTCCAATTTGAATGCCCCGCACGTTTTTTGCTTGGATAGCATTATTGTCATACGGGTTGTGAGGCTCGCGAAAAAGGCACACCATTTCGTGCATTGAAATGTACCCGGAATAATATCTCACGCCGACAATTTTCGTGTTGAGGACTCCTGGGTTCGCATCAGTTTAAAATGCTTCGAATTATGCAGGAGAATGGAGTCACCGTAGAGAACATATCGGTCCACATCCTCGTAACGCGCGTCATCCTCGTCGACCAGCTCATTCCCTCCGTCCTCATCCTGGCGGAACTGGCTTGCTTGACTTCGTGCTGGTAGTTCAAGTTGGCCTTGACTAAACTGAGAATGAGTTTGAGAGAATCCAAAGCTGGCGGACGAGGAGCCGCTGGAATACGAAGTCTGGCTTGACGGAAAGCTTCCCGTATTCTCTCTCAAGTGTTTTGATGGTCGCCGCTGAATATCAAAGTCGTAATCGGAGTCGCCAGTGAGGTCGATGATGGGCACTGCTCGTTTTCTTGAATTTGGCGCCATGGCTGTTACAGCCATCTACGAGGTGAGCGCGCTTCTTGGGAACAAGGAACATGTTGGGGACGCGAAGCCTTGTATATGTTTTGAAAGCCCCGAATTTAAGATTGTCGCTGATAGGGGGACTCAAGCCACAAAACGCGAAAGTCAAACCCAGTCACGTGTTTAGCAGTTTCAAAGCTCCGATATGTCCTTTTTGCAAGCGGAAGCCTTTACGTTGGGAATGTGTAATATCTGTCTGAATCATCTAGACACGATATAGAGATTAGCCTTTTCTGGTTGTAGTGGGAAACCGAATCTGTCGTGGTTGCGGAAAGCCCCATCAAGGTCATCCTTCAATTTCTGCTCCTCCTGCTCCTTCCTCCTCAACTAGTTACTCCTCTAACATCGCTCACCAAACACAGACATGGAGAACGGCGAGAACGAGGCTCGTGATCCTTCCGGCTTCCTCAGCGCAATCATCGGGGCTCCCGTCACGGTGAAGCTGAATTCCGGTCTTGTCTACAAGGGTAGGTTACGTCAACGGTTTACTGCTGAGCGAGGCGGCTAATCCGCTTTGCAGGAGAATTGCAATCGGTTGATGGATACATGAACATTGCGCTTGAGCAAACCAAAGAATACGTCAATGGTCAGCTTTCGCGGACGTATGGCGATGCCTTCATTCGCGGCAACAACGGTATGAAATTTTCGCCCTTGCGCCGCAAAAAAACTGCCGCTAAGAAGATAGTAATGTACATCTCAGCCGACTCGTAAGACTTCAGGGACCTATCTCTCGGAATCTGATTTGAAGTGGCTCAAAAAGATCATAATATTGAAGGAAGCTTACAAGATGCACAAGAGAGTTCTATCTGAAGCTTCGTGAGTCTTTACGATATGACCAGCCGACACTGAGAACATAGAGATATGGACTCCAGAATGATGGGATGCTTCAATTTTAGGGATGTCATATCATAAATATAGGATTTTCTACCTAACCGATCCAAATTGTCGACCATGTCACATCAGTCGTTGCAGCAGCTCATCTCTCTATACATTATCTTCATATGTCCCTCTATTCTTGACACCATTGCTATGCACAAAGTATTTCACAATTGGTCGTCCCAAAGCCAAAGTCTCAGATGGCGTATCCACCGGAGTTCAGCTGTCGCGGCTCTCCCGCGGCCTCAAACGTACCGTTTGGCAATAACCGCAGAGCTTGGGCCGTACTTGCTCCCGGGGCCACCCAACTCACATTATGACCGTGGTCTTTCATAAACTGGACTGTCGCATTGTTGTAAGCATACTCGAATGAAACAGTGTCAGGAATTAGCTGGTCATGCAGCCTCGGCTCGGCCAACGCTTCGGGAGAAGTCATATTCTGGTCAAGGACGTGCCAAAGGTTTTGTATCGTTGCGGTAGTGATGCGTGAGCCTCCGGCTGCACCAACAACAAAGTACAAACCGCCGTCTGGGTACTCCACAATTGTTGGTGAGATCGAGCTCAGCGGCCGCTTGCCCGGTTTGATGTAATTTGCTGGTGAAGGCCTGTAACCGAAGGCATTACTGACTCCAGGTATCGAGAAGTCATTCATCTCGTTGTTCATGATAACACCTGTCTCGGGCACCATGAGATGCGAGCCGAATAGAAGGTTCACAGTCGTCGTCAAGCTAATCGCCATACCAGACCTGTCGGCAACCACGACATGCGAAGTGCCGGGGGTCGCCAGTGACTCGATGCCATCTGGGTCATAATAAGACACATTATGCGAATAGTCACCGATCTTGGATCGAATGTACTTGCCCGTTTCAGCGGACAGCATGTCGTTTTCATAGTCGGCCAGGTTCTCGACAAAGGAAGGATCGCCTAGGTTGGTTCTCATGCCGTAGCCAAACCGCATAGCCTCATCAAGCCTATGTGTGCTTATATTTAATGCTGCAGGATCGCCCATGTCATCATATCCCGAAACAATGTTCATCACTGCAAGAGCAACAACACCACTGGCTGGCGCACTACAGCTGGTTAATTTATACCCGCGATAATTGATCACGCTCGGTGTTCTCAATGCAACGGTATAATTTTGCATATCCTCCAGCGTCATGGTGCCATTCTGCTTCCGCAAAGCTGCAATGGTCGCGTTTGCAATGGGACCGCTGTAGAATGCATCGGCTCCATGCTCCGCAATCGTCTCAAGGGTATCCGCATAGCGCTTTCTCGTGATCGTCTCGTTCAACTTCAGAAGCTCCCCGTTTGGTGCAAAATCAATCGCCCACGTCGGATTATCGACCAGAAACCTGCCATCTGCGTTCCCTGTCATGGCTGAATTCATGTACTTGACTAGATCCTCATTGACTCTCCACCCGTACCTCGCAACCTTGACGGCCGGCATCACAACTTGCTTCCAGGGCAGTACTCCGTAGTTCTCATGCAGGTACTGCAATCCTCTCAGCTCACCAGGCACGCCCGACGCTAGGCCACCGTAGATGCTTCCATCTACATTCCCCTGGTACATATCCTGGAACGCCGCTGCCGGCGCCGTCTCCCGAAAATCGATATTCTGATACGTTCCATTGGGAGCTCGCACGATCATGAAGCCCCCGCCGCCAATGCCGGAATGGTAGCACCCAACGACACCTACGCAGAACACGGTGCCGACAAGCGCGTCCGCGGCATTTCCACCGGCTTTGAGAAGGTCAATGCCGATGTTGCTGCAGAGACTGTTCTCAGACGCGACGGCCCCGAGCTTTGGAGCGTTACCGTACGACACCGGGGAGGAGAGGGCAAGCTGGGACGTGAGATATGCGAGGAGCGGGGCCATAAAGCGCAATACCGACGGCGAGGACGACGGCCGCGGGTGACGAGGCAGGGAGGAAGAGCCGCCGAAAAAGGCGTACATCTTGATTAATAAATCGCGACAGTGATAAGGGCTACCCGGGTGTGGATGCCGATGTCGGCGTTGATTGGACGTGTTCCTGCGCTAACGTCAGCGTGACCCGCGATACTTGTCTCAAAAAATACGAGCAGACGAACTCGGCAACAAACGAACGTCTAGTGGGCGAGAGGAGAGAAGAGGAGCTCTGTGACTCCGAGTTCTGTTCTCGTGCACGCCAAGGTCACGAACGCTTTCTTGACCTTGGGGACGACTGCAAAGAAAGGACTGGTGGTCACCGTCCTTGCCGGGCGTGACCACCCCTCTTTTATACCAGCGGCTCGCCCGTTGAGCTCAGAGGAAGCTTCTTGTTCATCATTGCTTTCTCCGCTTTCGACCTTCCTGTTCTGGGCAATCTCTCTCGCGATCTGCAAAACTAAGTCTCTTAGTTGGAAGGTGAGAAACGGTTAACAAGAAGCGGGAGTTTTTACGTTCCTTGCCTGTTGAGATAAGAGCCGCTATGCAAGAGCGCACGGTTGTAAAGAGTGTATTTGGTAACCTTAAGTACGAGAGGTTCATTCCTCACTCGATTTGCTTGATGTCATTATTATAATAAGTCTACAGGTATTTGTACATGGTTAAAGGAGGAACCAGAACCCAAGAATTCGAATCCCTCTTTTGAGTGCGCCTTGAGAACGCCATGCATTGCTTTCGTTTAACACACCGTTGCTGACCTTCAGCAGAAATGCGGAGAAAAATGCTTAGACACGCCAGCCCCTCGTCTGTTGCGCATACCGTGATGAGTAGGCTACTTGAATCGTCAGCAACGCGTCACTTAATGTCCACTTCAGCATCGCTTACCATCTTGATTCTGATACGGTAGAGCACCGCCGTCGTACCTCTCACGGCCCGCGTAGGGTGCCGCGGAATCTTGCATTGCCATTTCCTCTGTTGTCATCGTCTGACCATTTTTCGAGAATGCAGGCAGGAAGTCTAGGAAGTATGACATGACGTAGAAGGAATAGACGAGTGCGACGACCCACTCAAATATGCCGGCGGTGTTACGATGGTTGTTGTTGTTGGTCGTCGCGACTCCGAAGCCGATGGCAAGACCGACTTCAATCAGGATGAAGGCGAGCTTGATCCAGAATGAAATACGCAAGATGCGGAATTGGCGATAGTGTATGCCCAGACGTTGGTATTCGGCGCAAACGAAGATGGCTGAAACGACGTAGCCGCCGATGAACAGCACCAGGCAGATGTCATGTACGTTCGGGTGATGCAGGGCATCGAAGATGGTGAGGAGGATCAAACCGGCAGCACCAACGACCGACGCGATGATGCTGATCACGGCAAACGTCTTCTGCCAGACGGAGGTGTTTGGAGTCAGTTTTCCGCGGTGTCGAAGCCATCGTTCCGAGATGAAGGCAAGGTCGAAGCTCACGACCGTGACGGTTCCCATGGCGATAAAGACTGGCTTCATCTTCCACGCCCCAATGTCCGAGATGAACCTGTTCACAGTTAGCACCGCATCCAAATGCGCACATGCGACCGATCACGTACGGAACAACTTGGCCGACGTCCATGGTGGGAAGATGCGGCTTGCCGTCGACAACCCATGTCAACAACATTGCCAAAAGCATGGCAAGCCAGACGGTCGCTGAAAATATGGGCACGAGCCAGTACGGAAACCTCATGTTGACAATTCGGCGTATCGATTTCGCGAGGGAAAAATATGTCTAGATGTGATGATACAAAAGTGGAGTGACGTCGAAGCGGGAAGACTTTAATGAGTCGGAGAGGCAATGACAGTGTTGAGGGAAGGTGAAAAGAACATTCAAACTACTCTGGCACACAGCGTCTGTTCCTTTTAGCCGGAGGGCGAAAAAGAAAGATTGTTTGGACGATTCAAGATGGGGCTTGCGCAATGGCCTTACGACTGCTGGGCTTAAGTGTTGCGCCAAAATGTGTGACGTAGTTTGGGCTGGCCAGGGACCGGTTTGTCGGCTCCAACCACAATTTTCAGCATCGAGGCGGAGCACGCGACGAGTTTTCCTGGCCGCACATCGTTGCACGCGGGCAACTCGTTAAAGCCGAGCATGTATTATGGCATCTTGCCACTCTGTGTTCGGAATCTGACGATCGGTCTACTGCGAGGCTGTCGTCGTGCTCCTTCGCGCTGGTTCTTCCAGCTCTAGTGCTTGTGAATCCACCATTTCACCCTCCTTCGTCGTCGTGAGGTTCGACCGAAAGGGATGATTCAACGGCATAGCATGGACAAATAGCAAAAACCTGTTTTGAGGTCTCAGGTCTTGCGGCCACACTCATCAGTGATTTGCGTCAGGGACTGTGGTTGGCAGAGTACATGTGCTGTGAGCTACGTTATTGCGAGAAGTGCAGATGATGTAATGGCCGTGAGCCGAGGATCTGCTCCGATCTCGCCCTCGAAACCGCTGCTCGAGTTTCTCGTAAGCCAGCGCGGGTGGTCTCTTGGTTCGTGTACACCGTCTTCAAGACAACGTCGACTGTCTGGGTTGCAAAGATGGTCCGTATGCTTCTCAGGCCTTGCTACGCATGTTCCAGAGATAATTGGAGGCCCCCCATTTTTTCTAGAGCCCGCGGTCAGCGCGTTGCAGGCGGCCTCATGCCCTGTTGGTCTTTTTTGACGACGAGGAGAACGTGCCCGTGAAGCAGTGAATTAGAGACGTAGAATTGAATTGGCAAAAATTCGCAACGTAAAGGATGCCGTGAGCCAGATCAAAGGCAGCGTACGAGCAAAATTATTAGGAGTGTGTGGTGCAAAGAATCGCCCCGCCAAAAACCGTCCGTGTGTGTGCGTGTGTGCGCGGGCTGTGGCGTTCCCTGTGAGGCGCAACACACCTAGTCATAGTTATTCGAGAATATCGACCTCCAAAAATTTGGCCGTCTTGCAAACTTCTCAGCAAACACGCCATACTACTTGCTCACCAGCCAGTCGGACCAAGGCTCTTTACCACGCACGATAGTCAGGTCGAAGCGAAGGCGAACCCCCCACCGTCCAGGCGACGCGCACACTGCGAAATATCGCAACACTTTCCCGCACACAACACGCTTGATCTCCACAGAGTCTTCGGGCAGAGATTGACGATCCGAGGAACATCAGCCGACACAAGCACGACACTTTCAAGCATCACGCCCACCATGGCTGCGGACGAGAAGGTGTTACCGCCGGAGGACGTCGAGTCCGACAGCTCATCCGAGTCAGAAGTCGAGCAAGACCGGGCGCCCAAACCGGCCCTCAAGAAGACGGCTCGGGAGCCAGAGCCGGTCGAGCGACCTGTCTTGCCAGAACAGCCTGATCCCAAAGATCTGGACTTGGCGAGCCTGACGCCGTCGACAGATTTCATCATCGCTAGACAGGCCACCATCAACATCGGCACCATCGGCCATGTCGCCCACGGCAAGTCGACCGTGGTCAAGGCAATCTCCGGCGTGCAGACGGTGCGTTTTAAGAACGAGCTGGAGCGAAATATCACCATCAAGCTGGGCTATGCGAACGCCAAAATCTACAAGTGCGACAACGAGGCGTGTCCCAGGCCGACGTGCTACCGCTCGTACAAGTCGGAGAAGGAGGTGGATCCTCCGTGCGAGAGGGAAGGATGCACTGGCACCTATCGATTGCAGCGACATGTTTCGTTCGTTGATTGCCGTAAGTCGCACGGGGGCTACTCTTGTCGTCTGGAAGGGGAGCGCTAACACAGGCTATAGCTGGGCACGACATTCTGATGAGCACTATGTTGTCAGGCGCTGCAGTCATGGACGCCGCATTGTTGTTGATCGCAGGCAACGAGCCTTGCCCTCAGCCTCAGACCAGCGAGCATCTTGCAGCCATCGAGATTATGAAGCTGTCAAATATCATCATCTTGCAGAACAAGGTCGACTTGCTGAAGGAAGACACGGTGAGCTCTTCCCGCCGCCGCGATTCGGGAACTTTTTTGTCACGCTCTAACCCGTCATTCAGGCACAAACGCACTACCAGAGCATACTGAAGTTCATCAAGGGCACTGTGGCTGGCAACAGCCCCGTGATCCCTGTCTCTGCGCAGCTGAAGTTCAACATCGACGCAATCAACGAGTACTTGTGCACCAAGATCCCGGTTCCCGTCCGTGACTTCACCCACAAGCCACACATGATCGTCATCCGAAGTTTCGACGTCAACAAGCCCGGTGCCGAGATTGACGACCTCAAAGGCGGCGTAGCCGGTGGCTCCATTCTCTCTGGCGTGCTCAAGCTCGGCGACGAAATCGAGATCCGTCCCGGCATCGTGTACAAGGACCAAGCCAGCGGCGAGGCCAGGTGCAAGCCCATCTACAGTCGCGTCGTCACCCTCTTCGCCGAGCACAACGACCTCAAGTTCGCCGTTCCCGGTGGCCTGATCGGTGTCGGTACCAGAATCGACCCGACGCTCTGCAGAGCCGATCGTCTTGTTGGTCACGTCCTCGGCCTGAAAGGAAACCTGCCGGACATCTACGTCGAGCTTGAGATCAACTACTACCTCCTCAGACGCCTCCTGGGCGTCAAGACTGCGGATGGCAAGCAAGCCAAAGTCCAGAAGCTCTCCAAAGCGGAAGTGCTCATGGTCAACATTGGCTCGAGTGCTACCGGCGCAAAGGTCTCTGCCGTCAAGGCAGACGCAGCCATGTAAGCTCCTGCGCGAACCCCCCTCCCCCTCTTTATTCAAATTGTGGCACGGTTACTGACCAGGAAAAAAAAAAGTCTCACTCTCACGTCTCCAGCGTGCACGCAAATCGGCGAGAAGATTGCCCTGTCTCGAAGAATAGAAAAACACTGGCGGTTGATTGGTTGGGCAACGATTCTCCAGTAAGTCCAAAAAGTAACAACCCGCGTGGTACGCAGCCTCCCCGCTGACCCTTTTGTTTTTGCAGAGGCAAGACCGTCACGCCTGAGGAGGACTAGAACCTCTTTCCGCACGGAACGTGACGGATACGGGGATGGCAATCACATGCAAGGTCATTCCTGTGCTTGCACGACGTGAGCGGGAGACAGACCTGCACGAATGCGAGCACGCTACGAATGTTACGCATGAAGCATGAGCGCTAGGAGGTATCCGGCTGAGGGAATCCTGCAGCGTATTTTTTTTTTGTTGGGCAGGTCATGATGCAGAAACGTATGCGGGGGGGGAGTGACGGACACATATTTACATGGATAGGGGATCCTTGATTGTGGGTATGGTCGGGGAGCATGGCAGCACCTTTTTTTTTGAAGTATGTACAGCACAGCGAAGAGGTGCAGTAGACAAAAAAGTTTTATTAGAACAACTGCAAATGAGAAGAAGGGCATAGCGGCTCAGTGCGCAAACCATCGCACCTTTGGATGTGCGGCCAAATGTCCGAGCACGCATTCCGACACCATGTGACAGACGAAGGGGGGGTTTCGCCTTTGCGGGACGGATCAGATCAGATAATCAAAGCAAGGCAGCCTCGAAAACTTAAATTTAACTTCTGTAGGGTGAACGAGGGACGGGAAGAACGGGAAGGGGGGGGGGGAACATGGTGGGACGAAAGCCCGTGATAACGTGGTTTACAAAAGGCGAGCCAACGATTGGGGTTTCGCCGCGTGCGGACCCTTATGAAGCTAGCGTGGGCTCGCTCGCTTTCACATGTCGCATGCAGCGCGACCGCGACAGAAGTCTCCCCACCCCAGGCAAGAAAGAGACGACGGCCTGCGGAAGAGCGTGAAGAGAGAGCAAAAGAGGAGTGGGAGGATGAGAGAGAAAGAAGAGGAAGGTGAGGATTCGGGTCTGTCACGCGGCTGGAATGTCATCATGTGTCCGGGCACGCAAGACGACTCGTTCGTCACCAGCACGAACTCTCCACACACTCCATAATCTCTTCTTCAACGGAAGCGGCGGGAAGAGGAATCGTCGCAGGAGTCTTGTCCTTTTTGTCGATCTTTGCCCACACTTTTGCTGCTGGCCCCCCCTATGCCTGCGCGTGTGGTGGGCGCATTTCCCGTCCTGTTCTACTTTGCTTGCTTGCTTGCTTGCTTGCTTGCTTGTTTGCTGCTGCAGTTGCTGCTACTACTTCCCCCGGTCTGAATCAGGCGTTCAGCTCGAAAGCGAACGCCCAAGTGCTTGCTTCAAATCTTTTCCTGCGCGTGGATTGTACGCCGAGACGCTCGCACCCCCAGTCTTTCTTTGCCTCCACAGACTCTCACCTCATCTCGCCCGGCCCCGTTTTTTCTTCTCCCAACCGACTTTGTCTCTTGACGAAGGCTCGCCCTCCGATCTACTCGTGCGTATCCACCTGCGCCCAGGCCGAAGCGGCGGATATAAAGAGCCTGAAGCTAAAGGGGGGGGTGTCACGCGTACTAGCCTTGTACTTTTCTCCGCAAACACCAGGGGTGGGGACTGTTAAGTCAAGGCGTGTGCCAATTTTGAGCCTCGACTTTCGCTACACGTACGGCTGAGCCTTGTTCGGCTCCCCGTTTATCAACCTCTAATCTTCGTGGATTCCCAACAGTTCGTACTCTTGTTTTCTTCCTTCTTTTCTCTTCTTATTTCTTGAAAAGAAAAAAAAATCGATCGGCTCTTTGTCCAGGTTTTCTTCTCCACTTCCCTTCCTCCCCAACGGCGGCAGGCGTGCCCGCGCAATTCTTTGTGCTTCAACAGCAGCACGCACACGCCATGGATTCCGCACAGTCGAGCCCGCCACTGCTGCGGCCGCTGCCGCGACGACCGTTCCAGCTGACGTCGGACTCGTCTAATGAATCGTCGCACGCGACGACGACGCCGCACACGGGCGACGCGCCCGAGCTGGATGACAAGGGGGAGATGGAACGGACGCAGTCAATTCTGAACCTAACGTCGTCGACGCTGTTGGGCATCTACGCGCCGACGGGCTTCGACTCGGTATCGCAGCCGCAGACGCCTTGGGGCACCGGCGCGGAGACGCCCGCGTACAGGGGCAGCCTAGACGGGTACCCGTCGCAACGCGGAGGATTCAGGGAGGGCGAGCTGGACGAGCGTTTGCTGCGAGACAGCCTGCGGCGCAGCGGGCTGGACGCGCGGCGGGAGTCGACAACGACAACGACAACGAGGAGGGGCAGCGTCGGCGCGCCGAGCAGAGGGCACCCGCCGCGGTCGGCGGCCGGTGCCGCACTCCACGCCGCGCTGAGGATCGCAATCCTGTTCGCGTGTGGCCTGGCGTACGGCGCGCTGGTCGCGCACCTGCACGACCACAGGCAGGTTGTGCCCGTTCAGATGGAAGGGCCGGACCGCGAAGGCGCGAGGTATCTGGTCTTCTGGGGCGTCGCCAGTGTGGCGCTGGGCTTTGTGCTGCCGTGGGTGGACGGCTTTGCTGAAGAGAAGCTCTCCGGAGGAACGACCAAAGGCCTTGCTCGGGCGCCGCCTCCTGCGCCGGCGTCCGGTTTGAACGCGGTGGAGTGGAATGACGTGGTCAGAAGTGTCGGTGCCTTTATTGGCGTCGCGTACGCAATCGTAAGTACAAGGGCGTTGCCCAGCTCTCCTCGTGGCGCTCTCCGCTAATGCTAACACTTGACGAAACAGAGGAAGACGCCGTGGTCGTCACCGCTCCAGCTCTCCGTCACTCTCGCGATGGTGAACCCTTTTCTCTGGTACATCCTCGACCGCACCTACGCCGGCTTCTTCCTCTCCACCGCGATCGGCTTCCTGGGCATCCTCGGCGTGTTGCTGCTTAATCCGTCCTGGGTCCCAGCGCCCAGCCATGCCCTGCTCGCGCATGCCAACGTGTCGTCCTTCACCAGCATACAGCACGGCGTGCCAGTCGCCCTCGAGAACTTCCTGACGCACGAGCGCGTCGGATCCGCCATATGGATCGGCAGCGTGTTTTTCTGCAGCTGCGTCTGCTTTGGGAACATCGGTCGCCTGCTTGCTACCGCTCAGCAGCAGCGACGGTGAATGTTTGGACCTGAAATAAATGGGTGGGAACAACCACCCAAATTGGCGTTCGACATCCTTTTGCTTCTTCGTCTTGCTTTCCTTTCGGCCTCATCCGTCTCCCCGCTCCAATCGCTTAACGTCATCGGTTTCAGTCTGAGCCTTATCTGAAAGCTCGCTGTGTCCCTGTGATCCGATCCTCTTTTCTTTTTCCCCTTTTCTCCCTTCTCTCTCTATTCCTTTGAAAAAAAAAAACCCCCTCCCATGCACATGAGCTGGTGCCTCTCGTAACGGTGTATGGGTCGTCAAGGATTCCAGGGACAGAACAGTTCCTGGCTTGCCACTTCCAACGCAAAGAAGCATTCGAACACGTCGAGGTGAAGGAGAAATGGGGAAGGTGGTAGGGAGTGAGGGAGGGGAAAAAAAAAACCCCTCTTCCCCAAGAAGGAAGGAAGGAAAGAAAGAAAGAAAGAAAGAAAGAAAGGGAATGACAACGTAAAAAGGAAGCCAACACGCAAGCAGCCTCGCCGGGCTGCTCACTTCAGGCTCGACACGCCTTTAATACCAATGTGAGAGACACTTGTCGAATCAAACGCAACAAACCAAAACAACAGGCTGTTTCTTCCCTCACATCCTCTCCCTCCTCCCCGTTCATCAATTTTTGTTTTGAGACTCTCAAAAAAAAAAAAAAAAAAAAAAAAATAGAAATTGCATCTGGCAGCCGCGAGACGTCCCCCAAGTCTCGCACTCCCGCCACCGCGTTGTGTCGCCGAGTCGTGAAAAGTGATTCAAGTGATTGAGTTGGTGTGTGTGATATATATATATATATATATAGAGAGAGAGAGAGAGAGAGAAAGAGAGATGTGCGAACACAGGGGAGCATGTTTTCGACCAGCGGACCTGTGCTAGGGTGAAAGTGCAAAAGACACGAAATAGAGAGAAGAGGTCGTTCTTCTGACGCTTTTTGCTTTCGGACGGGAAGACGGACGAGGCACAGGTGGAGCGTGTACTGAGACAGCGTGTCACGTAAACATTGTTCTTTCTTGAGAGGGTGGACGGTCGAGGTGATGGAAAAGTAGCAATTACAGGAAAAACTTTAGCCCGTGGTATTGTACAAAAAAAAAAGAGGACATAGCAGCGTTCTCATAAAACCCCAGACAATATCGATTCAATTTGAAAACACACAAAACCGCAAGTGACGCGACGCGAACGAGGCGCTCGAACGCAAGAGGAACGTTCGCGGTGTAAAGGCCAGCTCTTCTTCGGTAAGATGTGGTGAATGGAAGATTCAGTGTCGGAGAACACAAACGTATGGAGATTTAGATGTAAGAGGGGGGGAAAAAAAATTCCGTGCTGTTGTAGGACGAATGTTGGTGTAAAAAAAAAAGGGGGTGGGGAATATGGCCGGCAGCAGTCAAAAGTGAAGCAGATTTATCTCCCATCCCTCCCTTTGTCCACCAAAACGCCAGTTTTGCCCCGAAGACAGTGAGATACATAGAGAGGAAGGAAAAGAAAACGAGAGAAGGCGAAAAGAGCAACCGTGACATGACGCGTGCTCTCCTGGTCCAGCGTGGAAATAAAGCCCTTTTGCGCCCCTGGAGAGGGGGGGAAATAAAAACAGACATTCTTAACTCCCTCTGATGCAGATTGTTGAAAGACCCATGAAATTTTTAAAAAGCCCCCTCTCGAACCAGAATAAAAAGAACGAGCCCAACTCTCGTCAGTTCCTGGCAAGTGGAATGGGGAGGGGGGGGGGGAGGGGAAAGGCTCGAGCCGAAGAGAGGAAACAAGAGAGAAGAAAAAATAGGAGAAAAAGAAAAATCTCCTCTCGCAGTCGCTACCGTGTACTGGACTGGTGTCTGATTAGATCAACGCCTCTGAGTATGCCCGAGTGTGTTTGATGCGGATCGATTAGACCCTCATGCCCGTGCCGTGCCGTGCCCCTTGCATTCCCGTAGTTGGTCATTAGTACGCGTGGAGGATACTGTACAGTGCTAAGGGCTTAATGATTGGATTCGTAAAAGGCATTATGCGGATATGTGTGAACGTGTGCGGGGTTTTCCAATATGGTTCGATGAGCCGTGGGTATGGCGATCTTCTTCGGGTGCGATAGCTACGCAGTGACTGTTTCCTGCCTGGACTTCAATGCCGCAACCTCTTCCAGCAGCCGCTTAATCTGCGCCTCCTGGGCCATCTGGGCGTCTTTGAGGGAGCGATTTTCGTTCTCCAGATCGTTAATCTTTGCGTTGAGTGATGCCTCGGAGCGGCTGCGATCGCTCTGAATACGTGCAAGATTGGCCAGATGGTCTTCTTGCATCTTGGCCAGTCGTTGATCGGCCTCCCATGAGGGCCTCCAGTCACCGTCACGCTGGCCTAGAATCTCGCGACCTGAAGCGGCGCTACCGCCACTCGATACGCTTCCCTGCTGCGAGTTCGGCGGCGGCATGCTCCCATGCTGCATCGGAGGCAGCGGTGGCAGCTGAGGGCCAGAGCCGCGACTGTACGAATAAGCATGGCTAGGGGGGCCGGATGCGCTACCACGGTGCGAGTTTGTTTGGCTGGGCGATAGTGGTTTCGGGCTCTCGGTGACGCCTGACTGGAAAACTCCAGGCCCTGCGGAAGTGAAGTGACTGATGGACGACAGGCTCGCCTGATGAGGACTCGAGGCCTCTCGTTGCGACGACGGTGGATTTGGTGGGTACATAGGCGCAATAGCTCCAGGACCTCGCACGCTGGACGCGATCGCTGGCGGAGGATAGGTGCTCGGTCCTGCACGGTATGCGCCTGAATTCTGCCGATCGCGAGAGGGCTCGCTGCCTCGCCGCAAGTCGTTGTCTTCGTCCATCTGATCCGGCTCTGCGGTGTATTCGATACCCGACATGTGATCTCTACCTTCTGCGTCGTCTGGGTCGATGCCGAAACTCGATCGTCGGCCGGCACATCCGCCTTGGCCCTTGTTGTGTCTAGTCGAACATTAGTACACGCTCTTGAAGATAGTGCTCCGAACGTGGATCGGCATTTTGTCCACTGCGGCTTGAGAGCACCCCCCCCCCCCCCCCAAAAAAAAAAAAAAAGAAAAGAAAACGGAGGGGTGCACGCCTGTCAGGAGGCCATGTGTTTGCTAGAGATTTTTCGGATTGTTGAAAAACACAGGCGCGCGCGAGAGCACGCATGCACGCACGTATTGGATACCCTAGAAACCGAACAGAAGAGAACTCACCTGGCAAGTGCATCCCCACGAGCAAACTTACGCCCGCACTTCAGACACTCGTGCGGACGCTCCCCAGTATGTAACTTCATATGCCGCTTCAGGTCGTGCAGCCGCCTGAAGCGCGACTGACACTGCTGGCACTCAAAAGGCTTCTCATGCGAGTGTGTCAACAGGTGACTCTTAAGATTGTGATGGCGGGTGAAGACGGTGGAGCAGTAGGGGCACTTGTGGCGCTTGGCCGACGTCGACCGAGGGGAGCTCATGCCGGTGTTGGGCATGCTGTTGTTCCGGTGCGGGTTGCGCGGGTCCTCGCCCGGCGGTGGCGGAAACGTCAGCGCTCGATGGTCGCCGGACACGCCAGCGTCGACAGCTGGACGCGGGGCGTGGGGGTCGCCGTCTGGGAAGGGGTTCTCGGCCGAGGCAGGCATGGACGGAGCCAGAATTGGCGCCGTGGTGGTGGCGTTGGCAGCCGTGGTGGTGTCCAGCGAGCCTACGCTCGACATGGACACAGGGCTTGTCTGCATGGTGGAGTCGTTGTTGCTGGTATGGTGGCCGTTGTTCTCCGGGATGTGAATCTTCTGCGCCATCTGAGCAATCTGCTCGGGCGGATTGGGGTTGAGGGGCGCCATGCGAGCGCTCGACTGGCCCAGCAGGCTGTTGATGGCGGCGACGCTGGGGTTGGGACTGGTGCGCGTGCTTGCCGCAGCGCGTTCCTGCTGCTCGCGCAGCCTCCTCTGGTCCTCCAGGGCAGCGGCGCCCGTCAACGGCCGCGGGGAGAAGCGAGGCGAGAGCGCCTTTTGCGACTTGGGCGAGGTCGAGGTGCCAAGTGCGGAAGCGACGGCGGCGATGGGGGCCAAGGTGTTTGCAGAGGTTGGCTGAGAGGTGAGCGACGTGGGTGTATCTGGAGCGGTCGTGGCGGTGGTGAGTGGGCTGGTACCTGAGGGTGTCGAGGCACGCGTTGTGCCAGCCATGTGATGAGGTACCTGGTTTCGCGGTTGGGTGGGGCGCATATGCTGAGAGTCACCGTGCTGGATTCGCGGTTCATGTCAGTGTGCGACGGCCTAGGCGCTTGATGTGCGGAGTGGATGGCAAGGCAGGAGAGAGAGAGGGTGCGTGTGAGTGTGTAAGGCGAGAGATGGACGGACTGGGAGGTGACCATGACGATGATGCTAATGATGACGCCACACGGCTGGCCGCGCCAACATGAACGGCGGAGCAAGGAAGAAATTGGACAACGTACCGGCGGTGATATGTGACCAAGCCAAGGGCTGCGGACGCGGGAGGATGTGTGGCCGATGTCGCGGCGCTTCGGACGGCAACGACGACGTCGACGACGACGAGCTGGGGGAGCGCGGGAGCGAACGATCGTGATCCAGCCTAACCGGTGAGGGCGCGGCGCAGAGGCCGAGGGGAAGGTCGGGGGATGAAATGCGCGGCACAGCCGGGGGGTGGCGACGGTTGGTAAGCGCAGAGACCGAGTGTTAGGCCAGCATGGCCAGCGTCAGCGCGACAATGGACAGGCGTTGATGCGCGCTGAGCTCGACTTCAAGCACTGTGGCAGTTGACTGTGGCTGAAGTGTGGTGTTGAGGCTCGACGGGTTGACAGGAGGGAGGGAGCTTGGGTGCGCAAGCAGCGAGAGCGCGAGGGCAAAAAAAAAAAAAAAGCTAAGGAAAATACGTCGCTGCTTGGGACCCGTCCGGCTCCTGCTCGCAGGGCTGTGCTCGCTCTACGTGAAGTCCAACAACCTCGCTGCAAGTGAAAAGAAAGGGTTTGGGGGAAAAACAACAGAAACGGGAACGGGAAGGGGAAAATTAGGGAGTGGCCCGCGAAGCGCTACGTGTTGTGCCGGACGAAAAGCTTGCGCAGGAAGCGCACAGTATCTGCGCGAGATGGTGAGTGGTAGGCAAGAAACGAGCGAACAGGGCGGGCCGCCGAGCGGGCGCGCAGATCGAAGGCCCGTCTGGGAGGGAAGAGAAGAGAGGGGTGGGGGCGATGAAGGCGCAGAGCAGCGTGCCGGCGTGGGAACGGACGTTGGGTGCCAAAGAGCTAGGAGAGAAGCAAGCGGTGGTGACGGCAAGCAGCAGCAGTCCCAACGGCAGAAGCAGCGGCCGTCGAAAAACAACAAGATCAGCCAGCACGCCAGAGAGAAAGAAAGGCTATCTAGAAAGTGGCGAGTGTGTCGGAGGAGGCGAGTGCAGGCGGACAGGCGACCCGCAGGAAGGACTAGTATAGAACAGGCTGAGCGCTGGCCGTACGGGTGGATGAGCGCACGGAGGGAGGTAGAGGAGGAGGATGGGGTGGTGGTGCCGGGACTGGTGCTGGAGCTGGCGCTGGCGCTGGCGCTGGAGCTGGTGCTGGCCGGAGCTGCGAGCCTGGGGCCAACGAGCTATTCCGGGTGCGCTGAGCGTTGCGCCTCTGCACCTTGGGGGCAGCTGAGCCCGTTCAGACGCTGCGATCTGTGGCGCCTGCAGGCATTGGACGCCGTCCGCGACGGGTTGGGGAGGGGAGCGTGGCCTGGGTGCCTCTCGCCTGGCTCCCGACGCGGCTCTCGCTCTCTTTGTGTATTCGTATCTGCGTGCGAGCGTGCGGAGAGCGGCAGAGAAACACGGAGTCTATGTGCTCGTCTGCGCGCGTGAATGAGCAAGTCAGTAAGTGGATGTTGGGTGAGTGAGCCGTGAGTGCGTGCGTGCGTGCGTGCGCCGGCGTGTGGCGGCGTATGCGTGTGTGAGTGTGAGCGTGTGTGTGTAGCGGTTGCGACAAAGAACGGGCAATGATTGGCAGGGCCCTGGCGCGGGAAGGGAACAGCAGGCTGACGTCGTGTGTCGCGATGCTGCGCCGGTGTCGTGATCGCGATCGTGGATCGTGACGCCTCGTCTTTCTTCGTCTCCCTCTTCTAGCTTGCTGTCGCCACTTTGTTTTCCCTCTCTTCCGTGTTTGGACTTGCCCGTCAGACGGTGCGCAAAACAGACAAACGACCGAGCAAGGAAACACAGGGACGAGGCCCGGCCGGCTGATGATGGGACGAGAAGGAAGATGGGCGTTTGCGCGAGCCCAGAAGCGGACGACGCACCAGACGACCGCAGGAGCTCCAAGTTTAGCGCAGAAGAGCCCGGCAGCGACTGCACCTGGTGGGTGTCGGGCGCGCGATGGGGGGGGCTAGGAGGGGCGAGTTCGCGGAGGTGGTTGGCTGGATGAGTTGGGAGCAGGCGGGTCAGCCTGATCGTGGGCGAGAGCGCGAGCACCAGCGTCAGCGTCAGCATGCACTTCTGTGCGTGCGTGGATGTGTGCTTTTGGGTGCGAGTGCGAGCGCGTGTGGTGCTCACCAGCCTCACCGCACGCCGGGCCACTGTTGTGCCAGGCAGACGATGCAGTCGGCCGATCAATCGCGGCCCAGCAGTGGCTCTGCACGACCTCGCCTTCTGACTGCTGCTCAGCTCCCGTCGCTCGCTCAACGGCTCCGCAAAAAACGCCCAAGGCAGACGCGTCCGGGACGTGCGAAAGATAAAAATATAATGGAACGTCAGAAGAGAGGCTTCGAGACAAGAGTCGAACGCTGCTCGTTCGGGAAGCAGGCCCGGCCAAAGACGACCAAACTGCCAAAAAAAAGACGCTCGTAAAGGCGCAAAAGCGTGGAGAGGTGCAAAGCGCACGTATGCTTCCCCCCTTCAGCGAGAGAGGATCGTCGCAAAAGAAGAGAAGAAGAGCAAGACAAGAGGCAGAGCGACAGGCCTCAACAGACGATTTGGCGGCGCCCAAAGGAAGAAAGGGCAGCGAGTCGTGTGTGTCTTTCTCACCAGCGAAGATGCGGCGGTGTAGTAATAGTGACAATGATAGTAGTCGTCGCAAGTGGTTCTCGCTCGGTCCCCAACAAGCCTCTTTCTATCCGCGCCCGTTTTTCCCTTCACCAGCTCGACCTTATGAACCTTCCCGCAAGACTCCTGGCCCTTCCTGGACCACCAGCCAAAAGCGACAACGTTCACGTCGACTTCGACCGCTGAACGCTCCGCCTGTCGTCGACAGAAACCGCCAGACGTGGCTCCCAATCCCCGTCCAGCCCGGGTTGTGCAATGCGCCACACGATCCCGCAGCAGGAGATCCCCATCAATAATGTCCGTCCCAGTGGTCTCCCTTCGCTCGCGCCATCAATTATTGTTGCGTTGCTCATACGCTACCGCGTACCGTCAGACTACTGATGCCGTCCTTTTCGTCTCCGTGCCCTGGTCTTGCCTTGCCTTGCCTTGCCTTACCATGTTCTTGCCTTGCTTCCCGCCTGCCTTTTGCCAGTTCAATTCCGTTTTCTTTCTCCACCTTCGTGAAAAGCCTCAATAAACTCCCTTTCCGCGGCGCCCGCTACGGCGCCAAGTTTATCGAAAAGAAAATAAGAAGAACAGCGTACTAATTTGTCCGCAATAATGATTGCTATTGACAATGAACATTATTGAATTCATCTTACTTCCTCTTGTAGATCATCCGCTCTCCCTAACCGGCCCCATCACTACCCCGGGCTCGTCTTCAAGCCACCTTTCTTTCTCCTTTGCTCTTTGTGTCTTTCCTTCTTTCTTTCTCGTGTCTATTCGTCTGTCTCTGGCTCATCCCTCCAGCCACACAAGGTGCCCCCAGGCCGCCGAGTTCAGTACTGAGCGCCTCGATCGTCCCGCCTAGCCGTCAATTCTCGCGGGCGACATCACGATGGGGACCCCAGGAGCGCTATATGGCTCAATTTTTCTATGAAGGCTCCAAGTATACCCTTTCCGCCGGGCCTGTCCCTTTCAGCTCATTTTCGTCCGTCTGCCTGTCTGCGAGACAAAGAGCCCGGCAAGGGCAAGGCCTCAGATGATAAGTTCCTTTGCTGGCTTTGCCAGCTTCCTGTGTCGCAGCTTTGCCTTTGTCGGCTTCAGACAGCTCAAGCGGAGAGCAAGTAGAAGACGGACAGGGCTGACATTGCCTTCGAATGGCTCGCTTGCAATGGCCAGGCGCAAGGCTTTCCTTTTGCGGACAGCCTTGAACATGCAACAACCTGGTGCCAGCCGCTATCGGTAGTTGTAGCTGCGGTAATGACAGGTTGGAGTTTTAAAGTAGCTACGGAGAACTACTTGGCGCTGGCTTGCAGACGCTCGTTTCCCACGTCCACACGCGAGGACCAGGGCCCCCTAACCCTACTTCACCACTCCTCCTCGTCCATGACTCCCTCCCATGCGAGCGTGTTTGCTCCTCTTTATTCTCCGCGAAAGCTTGCACCAACATGGGACACACAAAAAAGCGAGTGCATTGTGGCTACGTGGGTGGGACGGTTCGCGTGAGTGTTGCATGGAAACCCCGCCCGCACCAACAACTCAATCTCAACTGTCACGATCGCTAGGAGCTCTTCTTTGGTCTTGTTTCTTGCTCTGGTGAAAGCCTCAGCTGTGCGCCGCGATAGCTCCCTTGCTCTTTCGGTTCTCATCAATTTCCTCGGACGGATCTCTCAGCCGCCTCACTCCCTCTGGCTACCGCCTGCATCTGCCAACAGCTTTAAACCACCCCCGGGAGCTGTTGGAGCAGCTGCACTCTCGCTAAGTATGACGGGAACGCCGCCTTTTGGCTGCCACGGTCAGGCCAACCAGAGTGCTCCACCTGAGCGCCAGGCACACAAAATCCACCGTCAGCCCAAACGTTATCGGCTGTGAGCGTCTCTCATATCACGAACGCACACTTTCGCATCAGAAAAGCTGGTCCCAGGCCGTTCCCGTTCGTGCATATCGGTGTCTCAGCTGCGATGAAGAAAACAAGATGGTCGCCTGTCCTCCCCCCTGTACGACTGTGGCTGCCAATGACTGAGCTCGCGCCTCGCAGACGATCAAAAGTTCCTAGTGTGGCGTCAACGCTCCCCTCCCCTGCACAACCAGACAACCTCCAACCAAGCTAGTCAACAAACCCAATCCAGGTCCTTGACGCCCTCCCCCGTGACTGCTGCGCCACGCCGCCGTGACGATCGCGATGCTCTGAGAAGTGAGAAGGCCATCCTGACATGACACCACTGAACTTACTGCTTGGCTACGTGCTACCAGTAGCGTACAACTTTCGGAGCTACCACGACTTGCCCTTCAGAAGCAGCCCTTTGCTTCCCGGCCATATATGCCTTGCAAACGCGTCTAGTGTGGCCCCCCTTGCCCGCCCATCACACTTTTTGTCATGATCCTTCCTTCGCCTGTCTTTTTTGTGCGCGTCTCCGGCCAACGATGCCTTTTCTTGGCCTGCGAAAGAACCACGACAGACATACGAATGCAAAGAAAATCCATACGGAGGTCTCCCGTTATTCGCCAACGGCGCGAGTCAAATGGTTGCTGCGATGCCCACCAGAACGAATTGGGACTTGACCAGTCAGGCGAGCAGTCTTTGAGAGGCTGTTTCAAACAATCAAGAATCCATACTTAGGGTGCTGCTGGTGGTGCGAAACGAGAGATCAAAGCGCTGTAACGCTGCAGGCTGTCGCAGCGAGTCGCCAGCCACAAAGACCACGATGCACCTGGATCGAAGATTGGGTTGGGAGGCGGGCACAGATGAGTACTAGGCGACTACGCAATCCAAACCCCCCCCCCCGTTTTCCCTCCCACCGCATCCCGAGGCACGAACCAGCCGCATCAAGATTTATTTCCGCAAAACAATCGACGAAAGAGAGCACCGCACGAGAAATGCAGAAAAGACAGGTGCGGTGGGCGCTAAGCCGGAATCGGGATCGACGAAGATGAAAGTCGAAGGATGCTCGCACGCACACGTCCTGCACGCACCCAAGCGTGCAGAGAGAACGCTAGCGTGACGTCGTTCTTCAATCGCGAACGCTTGGAAGAAGCCTCCGCCCAGGAACGCAGCGAAGAAAACAATAGGGAAAAAATTAAAATAAAAAGGAAAAAAAAAATTGGCCGATCATACGCACGTGGCGTCTCCAGGTCCTGACGATCCCTTTCATTCTCTTTTCGTCGACGCCATTGCTCCATAGGGGAAAAAATGGCAAATATCGACTATGAAAGAAGAATTTGGACAATGTACAGGTCATTGGGTGGCGCAAGATAAAAACACATGGTTTTTTCCAGACCTTCATCCCTTCCTTCACCCTCCCCTCCCCACCAATCCAAAAAAGAGAGGACAACTGGAGGAAACGTCAGGGACAAAAAAGCCCGAGTTTTGTCCCTAGATTTGACAACGTTGACGTCTGCCACCACCATTGAGAATACCAGGATGATAGAACTCGATAAAACACAATTAATCAAAAACAAAATCTTTCCAAACATTTTTCCCCTTTTTTTTTTTTAATCTTTCAATCTATGTCCGTTTTTGTCCTTTTCGTCTCTTATCCATCGGCCAGCCCACCGAAGGATATCCCAAACACTCGGAACGGCGAAAATCTTTTCTCTTGTTCTCCAGACGTCTTATCTTTCGCCCAGAAACTGAGAAAAAGATCGACCTCTAGAAACTCAATTTCGAAAAAGGGGTTTTTTTTTTTTTTTGGGGGGGGGGGGGGGGGGGGGGGGGTTTGTGTTTCCGTACAATCAGCAGAAGTTAAAAGATGGGATGAAAAACAACCTATCCGGACTGAGACGAGGACGGAATGATCACGACGGTCCTTTTTTTATTTGTCTTTTCCTTTTCCTTTTCCTTCCTTCCTTTCTTTCATTTTGTCAAAAAAAAAATCTTATTGTTTTCGCCAGGACGAAAGAGAACGTCCCCAAACGGTGAGTGACCAAGGCTGGAAAGCAGACAAGTTGAACGGAAGGAAAGGGCAGGCCGAGGGGGAAGTGAAGGGCCCGGGGGGGGGGGGGGGGGGGGGGGGGGGGGGGGGGGGGGGGGGGGGGGGGGTTGTGTGGTGTCTGGGAGGGGGGGAGGAAGCAACAAGGGTTACCCGTGCCTTCCGTCAAAACTCTGCAAAAAGCAAAAAAAAAGGCACTCCTTCACCTCAACTCACCTCTTTGTCCCCTTGTTTTTTGCGCCGCCGCAGCCGCAACACACGTGGCCGTTGACGGGCACAAGGAAAGGGGTGGGAGGAATGGCCACGTTTTTGCTCTAAGATGAACGTGGGGAAGGGGGGGAGGGGGGGACGAGAAGCGGCTCTTTTCTCCGTTGCGCGGTGGGGAGACGTCGTTCCTGGATCTTTGCTGTCCTTTTCGGGGCACAGGGTGTAAAAAAAAAATTAGTAGGAAGAGAGTGTAGATGTCGTTATGGCTGTTGCGAGCAAGGGAAGCCCTTGTTGGCCAGGGAAGCTGTCTTTTCGAACACGAGGGAGCAAGGGGCGTGCGAACGGGGGTGGCTCGAAGCGCCCGCCATCTCAATAAACGGGAATAACGGTGATGTGACTTTAAGAGATTGTCGTTTTGAGCAGAAAAGCCGTTGCAAGGCGGATGGGCACTAGCCACAGCGTTCACACGTTCCGTCAATCAATGGTTTGGCGTCATTAGCATGAGCAAAACACGAAGAGGTGCAGGGTGGTTTGTCTGTCAATTCATCGTACGATCTACTAACCGTGTACCTTGTCCAATTTCTTCCTGGGCGTCTACTAGTCACCTTGACGTTCGTCTTTGTTTACAGAAGCAAGGGTGGGCGGAGTTGTTGTGCAGTCCCCATCAGGACGGAAGTTTTCACCCGGGACGCAACACTTCCCAGTTGCTCAAACCATTCATGGCACCTTCGTCAGTCTCGTCCATAAGTCCTGTCTGACTCCTCTCAGCCAAAGCTGTCCCAGTTCGGCTGGGCAACGGTGGTGGAGCCGTGTCGTCTTCGTTTGAAGCTGTCGGAGGTCCACCTCTCATTACCATGGATCTCCTGGGAGGCGGAACCGCGGGTGGGGAGGCCGCCTTGCTTGCAACCGAGCATCTGCGTTCAGATTCGCCGTCTACGGACGACGGCGACACCGGCGTGCCCAAAAGGCTTGGTTTCTTTGGCTTAACTGCTGGAGGGGCTTTGCGTGATGTCGTGCCAGACCCACTTGACACCAACGAGAGCATGGAAGGCGAGGGAGAAACAGACGGACGACTGGGCGGTGCGTCTTCGTTAAGCGTGTTGCGACGAGGGGGTAGCTGAGGGCTTCCATTGCCCTCGAAAGGTGGAGGCAGCTTGCGAGGCGCCGTTCCGGAAGCGACGGAAGAGGACCTTGTGATGTTCGAAGATGAAGCCACGCTGTCGACCTTCACCCAGTCTGGTTCATCACTTGGAACAAATGGGTTTGCCGGTCGCGACGGATTTGGCACATAGCCTCTGCCTGGCGGCTTGAGCGTCGAATGCGCCGGAAGACCTGACAGAAAAGATCATCGTGAGTAAATTGAAAAATCACAAGAAATTCCTTGATATCGTACCATTGTCAAGCCACCACTTTTGTCGATCTGAGCTGGCTGGAGGCCAACCGGACTGTACCGGCTCGAACCCAAGGAGGTCATCTTCATCTTGATCTGTAACGGTACTTGCTGTGCCATCGCCCAAAGCCTGTTTGCGTTTCTTATAGAGCGCGGCGTTTAGTTCGTCACGAACTTTTTCGTCTACGAGGGTGACATCGACCTCGAAGGTTGCATAAACTGGTCGATGGTCGGAGAAGCGTAGCGGTGCCGAGTTGTATTGAATCTGTCGAATGTTGTTCCCCTTTCTAAGCACACGATCCGTCCAAGCAGGTATACGGCCTTTCTCGGACGTGTCGTATGTGTCTGTTCCAATGTCAAACTTGTACGTTGGCAGGAACGTGATCTTAGCTTCGTCGTAGTGGTCGAACACATTGGACACGCTGCTCCTCGTCCGCTGAATGTACAGCTGGTCGTTTTCAAGCAGAGTATCAAGGTCACCACGGTCGATCAAGTAACGGACCTTGTCGTTGCTCAGGCCAATGCGATAGTTAAAGTCACCAAACCAGAACACTGAGTCATGGTCGTCAATCTTGCGATTTCGCTGGAAGCGAAGGCCTTGGGATATAGTCCTGTAGTCACGGTTGCGGTCTTCGTAGTTCGAGAAGCCAGCGGCCAGATGCGCCGTCACGAAGCATAAAGACGTATTTGCGTAATCCATACGAATCGCCACAGCACCTTTGTTACCCGCCATGCCAGACAGTCCTGTTTTCTTGGTTGCCCCCTCAACGTTTTTAATCCTCTTCAGCTTGCTCCTCTGCACGAATATGAGCAAGGCTGCTCCCACAAGCTGTCCGCTTCGAAGAAGCACATATTCGGAGCTACCCGCAGAAGTCGCGTTTCTGTTGAGCGTTTGCAGAACCGCTTGCTCCCACTGCAATCTGGTATGGGGGTCTTCTTTCATGAGTTGCTGCGGGTTGAGCTCCACGATCTCTTGGAATGCGATAGCGGCAATCTCAGGTAGTTTCTGAGAAGGTCCAAGAGGCGGGCAAAGCCAAGGAGAAAGATCCGATTTGAGTCCCGTGAGCTTGCCATTGAGATTCAGTGTGCCCACATATACATTGATGGTCTTGGTCGACGTGTATTCGGCAGCATGGCGCCGGAGCTCCATCTGCACCCAATCATTGATAGGATCATAGAGATGCACAATCTGCTGGGGTAGCAGTCTGCCGAGGAGCATATCAATCGTGTTTTGGCGTCCCTTGTCGGCGAAATTGTTGATGTAAAGGCGCGAGGCACTTTTCCGTGCGTCAGAGAGGATGCCACCGATTGTCAGTTTGCCGTGTCTAGTTGCAGAAGTGTTCAGTGCACCGGTTCCAGCGTACATCCGGGATAATGCGTCGCCGTTGTCTGCCCACAGCGTTGAATGACGAGCCCAAAAATCGGGCGGCGCCCTTCCTACACCACGGTCCTCGAGGTAGAACTCGCAAACCAGCTGACTGATCAGGGTCTGCACATAGTTCGTTCTGTCCAAGCAGTCCAGACAATTGGTTCTGAATACACCGTCCTGCTGGAGGATAGGCGTCGCTCGGCGGATGGTCGAGTAAACCATGCTTGGGGGTATTTTTACGTGCTCGGCACGATCTTCAGCGTACAGATAGCCAAAGGACCGAGCTGCTGGGCCAATGTAATCGACAATGCTAGTTGCACCAGCAAGACCCTGTGGACCTTTCGTCTCTGCGTGGAAGTCATAATGCGTGTATGAAAGCAGCTGGTGCTCCCCATCCTTCTCATTGTTGAGCTCGCTCTTTCTGATGTGATCCTCGAAGCGTTGAGTGAGCTCGATTTCACCAGGCTTCTTTCGATCACCACTTAAGAGATTCATAACGTGCACTGCACCGTAAGAGTGGTCTAAATTCTGGAAGTGTTTGTCGAAGGCCGGTTGCGTGGCCTCCGGGGATCGTGTAATGGTTATTTTAGGCTGCTGCAACGGATTCAGGGAGCTCTGCTGCTCCCAGAAGATCGGGAGACTGCCTCTTACTTGAACGTACGAGAACACCTCGCCTTTTTCTTCTCCAACCGGGCTCCACAGATTCAACTCAGTTTCTACGTAATTTGCAACGTTGCCTTCGTCGTCTATACCGCGAGCATTGAACCTGGTTCCAGCCCGTCTACAAGACAGTCTCGAGATGATGGTGAGCCTCGTTGGCTCGCCGGTAAAACTTCTTTGAAGGGGTGCAGAAGGAGCCGGAATGATTATTTCACTGCAGAAGCCCCGAATGACTGAAGTCAGAATGCGTGTGGCGTCCAATTCGTCCCTAGTCTGGTGGGACAACCTGGAGCGAAAGTCAATCAGCGGCTGGATCATGAACGAGTTCCACAGGAATCCCGCATCGAGGCTCTCATAGGCGATTGACGGTTCCTCGTCCGTGATTCTCTTTTGCAACCTGCGCGTGAGATCAAAGTCCGAGCTGTAATAGAATGTACCGCTGCTCAGCAGCTTCTTCAGAGCCATGCAAGGATGCTCGGCAAACTCGTTGCCGTGTCCATCAAACCCCTCGTCGTCAACATAGTCAGTCGAGTACGGATTGATTTGCTCGTTCAACAGACGATCGTATGCCGTGCTGCTCAGACAGTGGAAGTCCACCGACTCGATTCGCCGCACCGATTCACCAGGCCTGATTATGATCGGTCGTGGGCTCACTGAGCTAACGACGCATAAAAATATGTCATTGTTCAGGTTAATGAGTCCAAGAGTCCCGTGTACTCTATAGTTTAGCACCTCCGTCCTCAAGCTCCTGTACTCTTCCAGCTGCGCCGTTTCTAGGTTTGTAAACTCGACTGCACATCGCGGTACAGCTGGGTCGTTCCGCGACCCGTACTCGGCCTTTTCAGGTGTGTGTTCTAGAGTCAGGACGTGTGTCGACGTTTTCAAGGCGAAGGCGCGGCGTGGGTATTCTTTGCGGAGGAGCTCAATCGTGTCGGACATGGTGGTTGTATGCGCCCGCCGCTCCCAAGCGATACGCAGGTTCTATTGATGTGTTGTTGCGGCATAGTATTCCACGCAAAGAAGTAGAGGAGACTTCGCCCAGCACGTGTGTAGGGCCAAGTAGCACTTCAGCTATTTCGTCGCGTGGTAGACCAGCTGAGCCAACAATGTGCGGCTCCACAAGGAAACCGTGGAACAAGGGCTACTGATGACATAACGTCACGGGCCCCAACACATCATATTGACCCCACAAGGTGTCCCGTGTCAAGATCTTATGAAAGAACGCCTCTGTACGTAATCAAGCTTTTGCACAATTATGAAAAAAAAAAAAACAATGTAGCCCGTTTTGGAAATGCAGAACGCATACGTCGCCCTTTTCAGGCTATCATGTAACTTCGATAGGACAAGATGCAAAGACACACCAACAAAGAGCTTATGGTCAAGTTGCTGTATTGTGAAACGTTATGTATAAAACGTAGCATAAAGACTCTCTCGTAACTTCGTCAGAACTCATAACCTGGCGTACTCTTTTGTCCCCCAGCTGGATGACCCAGCATCTGGTCGGCTCTAATATCCGTTGTCCCTATATCCGACTCTATCGGTATACACTCCTTCGTGACACCCGCACGTTGGTCCTATCATACTCGTCCTCATCGTCGTAGCGGCCTCGACTTCTGCTTCGCTCCCTCCGTCGATACCTGACCTCAGGCTCCGGTGCGTCAACATAGCGATACTCGTAGTGGTCTCTGTGAGACCTTGCTGGCGACACATCCCTCTCGTATCTCACCTCCCGCCGCTCATAGTGGTAATCCTCATGGTCGCGATGGCTCGAAACGCTGGAGCGCGGACTGACATGAACATAGTGTACTTCCGGCGGTGAGAGCTGAGGACTCTCAAACTGTGGCACTGGCTGTGGGGCCGGTAGAATCTTGCCCGTTGGAGGGGGCAGCGTGAGCGGCGCCGGTGGAGGTACCACGATTGTGGGCTGCGAGGTGCGTATGCTCACCCGCGATGAGCGTCGGCTGGGTGAATACGTGCGATAACGGTCGACCTCGCGACGAGTGACCCTGCGCGAGACCCGGATGTCCTCATCTTCTTCCTTCTTGATCGAGAACAAGCACATTGCGTCGTTTCCAAGTTCGGGTGAACGTAGATGCGAGGATGGCTCGAGGCTCTCTGCTCGAGGAGTGGGATAGCTCTGAGCAAATTGAGTTAAGAAATAGTGAATGCACTGAAAACACTGGGCGCTGAACGACGATGTATAAATACGATCAGAGAATGGAGCAAGGCATCGTGGGCATCAGGGTGGTGATGGGTACTGGCCTCAGCTTGGTCACCATAGCCAAGGTCTTACAGCTGACTGGGGTGGAGATTTATTGCGGTGGCTGAGCCCGTCCACTTACTGGTCTTGCGGGCGGTGCTCATAGCGCGCGTGCACTACACAAGCACACGCGGGAAAGGCACAAACTGCGAGAGGTCGAGCAGTTTTGCTTGTCTAGTAGCCACTCAAAAAAAAAAATTTACTGCCCCAATCGCAACGAGTCTCTGATACAAGTTAGAGCTTCAGCGATTGGATGCGAAACATGGTGTCGCTGCAAACAGATCCGATCTTGATGCTGATCGGATGATGTCATCCTCAACGAGAGGGAGTTGAAGCACAATGCGATCTTGAGGCTGATGCCAACCAAGTAGCAAGAGGTCAAGGATTGGGTCGCAGATATGATCAATTCGTCTTTCAATTGTAGCCACGATCAAGTTCCTCCTCTAGACCAAGCCACGGATAGAGTCCGAGTCCAACACAACAAAAAAAAAGTTGCGCCCAGAAGCGCGCTGTTGCCGACGACTAGAAGCCACCGTCAGGTCGAAATTCCGCCAGTCAAACGCCGTGCTACCCATAAAAAGCCCCCGTCTCATAAAAATGGTATCTCATTGCAGTCCCAGATAAATTAGGATGATGCAGGCTAGTTTTTCTTGAGGCCAATCCTCTCGAGAAAGCCCTTCGGCTTCTCGGTAGCCTTTTCCGCATCCTGTTCTGCGCTCTCAGGCTTGCCAGTCACCTTTGTGACATTGGCTGCTCCTCCTCGACCGTAGTGAACGGTCTCGCCCTCGTGATCACGCTGGAGTGCAGCCGGCGGCTCAACGTCCTGAGCAGTGCGCGCTTCTGGGCCGAAGTCGTTCTTGGCCATGTTGCCCGTTCCACCGCGGCCGGTCGTGTAGAGTTCAGTCTTGAGGGTTGGCGTGACGAGATCCTCAGCACCGGCACTTGCTTTGCGTTCCTTGCCCATGTTTCCAGCGCCGCCGCGACCGTGAGGATACTGAGGTTGAGCCATTGCGAGAGCGTGTGAAATTCGCGTGTGAAGACAGAGGCGCGCGAGTAGAACGGGCACGTCCGCAGACTCTTGTGAAATTTTCGCACGAGCTGTAGAGAAACGAGATGCGAGGACAGAGACTGTGCAAGATGATACAGCTGACGGTGAGGAATGGGCAAGAGGACCAGCGCAGAACCTTTGGAGCTTATAAGAGACACCAAGACGACGCGACTCTACAAAAATCTTTTATCTCAAAACGTGATCATCCACATGTGCTGAACGGTACGCGAAAGCACGTCACGCTGGCCTGCTTGCACCATTTGGTTCGACGGTCCCATGAATTGGTTAGGTAAAAGTTTGCCTCGTGCGTCCGCTAGAGTCTTAGCATGTTCGAACATTACCCGGCCGTGGAATGCTGAAAATTTGGACCAAGAGCCATTCCAGGGCCGCGACCAAAAATGCTGTAGGCTCCCAAGTGGAGTTACATATTAGCTGCGGGGGTCAACAGTTGCAATGGTCGTCGCGTCTAACATGGACCATGTGTACGGCCGTCATGGTGACCGCTACGAAGGATGGTAGAGTCGAAGGGCCAGATCGTCGCGATCGCAGTCTTCAATTGCGCTCAATGGAGTGTGAGAGAGAGAGAGCCACAGGGCTTGGTAGAGCCGGCTAAGAGAACCAAAATCGTTTTTTTTTACTTCCTTTTTCAGGATGTCAAACAATTTTGTCACAGGAAACCAGCGAAGCTGAACGGGAGGAAAGTAAATCTAGATTTTCTCCAAACTGCGGTTGCTAACTTAAGAAAGCCACAGCCCCTCCTTCGCCGCGCAGACCAATCATCCCACACCAGAAATACCACAACCAGTACAGAGCACAGTAAATACAATCAGGAACATGCAGTAAACTATCGCTGACGCCTGACACCCGCATCCGTGACGAAGCAAACCCCCCAAAATTCTCTCTGATCTATCCAAACAGGCCGGGAATAGCCGTCGCCATGCATCACAAAAACCCGTCATAAACATTCTTTCGTACACTGCGAACAGTCACTTTCCGGTCAAAGACCGGGTCTGAGCCATCCAGATTCTGCCTGGGCAGGTGGCTGCCTTTCCTCTTGCTGAAAAGGCGTCTTCCGGAGGCCCCCGTGGGCATCGCTGCCTTAGGAGGATAATTTATTGATCTCTCTTCTATGATTCGTGCCTCGATTTTTTCGAAAAAAAAAAAAAGCCCATGATTCAAAAGAACGACGCCGATGCTATGCCTCCCTGCCATGCAAGACGTGTCGCTTTATCGCGTGTGTGAACGGATTGGGAATTGAGCATTGTGGCCGTGCTGTCTGGAAAGGGATAAACGGTGGCTTTGACGCAAGCCCTTCGATGCGTGATTGGCTGATGGAGCTCGCTCGAAAGGTTTATCGACAGAAACTGGCCTTGTTTGGGCTTAGTTGCCTGCTGGAAGGTCAGCATCTTTCTCTTCACGAACACCGTGCAAGACGCTTACATCCGCCGTCCAAAGGTTGGTCACCGCGTTCCTCGCTATCGTCGCGGCCTCTTCGAGCCATCTGTCTTCTGCGGATGACTGGTCTTTGTTGTGGGCCGTTGTCGTTTGGATCGAATGGTTGCTCGTCTCCGGAGTCTCCCCGACGAGTGCGAATGGTCAGAGCCATAGGGTGCAAGGCCGTCATTGTTGCGTTGTGATTGTTCTCGGTAGATAGTTTGAGAAACGTGTATGATGTTTGCTTCTAAATCAGCTTGGATTCCTGAGATTGCAGACGAGGAATTGAGACAAAACTCAGGTTAGGACGAGAAAACAGGCATCATTTATGTTTCTCCTTGGTGATTCACAGTATACCTATGGTCGACTGAGGCACCAGAGGCCGCCGGAAGAAGTCGACCTGTTGTGGCCTGGAATGCGGTCAGACGGCTGTGTTTCTAGCGCCCGCTGACATTTCAACCATGTTGCAAGCCTCATGTCGCCTGTTTCACGCGGTGAATTAGACTCTGCGATGCCTAAATTTCTGCTCAGCCCCGGTGCCTTGGAGGAGGTCACCACTCCAAAAACGGTTCGTGGGGAGGATGAAACGGCCCAGTTGTTAGCCTCAGATACCAAATTGTATAGCCTATGTTGCCTTGCGCAGGCATGAGTCGAAGGCAGGTATGATTCACGATTTCACCGGATGTAGACACAGGCGCAGTCGACCGTGGGATCGAGGGTGCCTGTACCTGCAAGCGAAGTGCACCACGGTCTCGAGCGACTTTGGAAGCAGAGAGCCGTATAGCTTTCACCGCGGCATAGACCGACGGGCTGATTGAGCAGCCTCACTTTCGAAGAAAAGGACGCTTGATCGTACCTGCGCCATCACCTGCGCAAAATACTAGGTCGGGCTCGATGACAAGCCGGGATACCAGCTGCAAGTCAAACTTCGATGCATCTGTGACGCCTGGGGCAGGATCGAGCCATGACGAGGTTTCGTGAATCAAACAACCTACATGCTGCATGCTGCAATAGCGGAAGGCCGATTTTGGCGCAGCACATACTGACGCTAGCACAAAGGGCTCGTGTCAGTGTCAAACTCAGCCCTGTGAGGCTCTAGTTCTGACGCTCCAAGGAACTTGGGACGGTTGACAAGCCCAGCACCCCTTTCGTCTTTTGCCACCGAGCATGTCTTCATAGAGCCTCGAGTCAGCTAGCTATCTGCTCGCATCCGTGGAATTTCCCTCACCGGGCTCAGTGTCGAGGCAGGGCTGGGTCCGCTCGTGTTTTTGCGTCGACGAAAGGGGAAACGCGGTGACGGTCGGGCCAGAGAATGGCCACGACCGCGGCTGGCCTCGCCTCGCTGCGCCGCGCACACCGCGCACTTCGCACACCGAAGAGCGCTGGTCGACCGTAGCAGCGGCCGTCCGATGACGCATCGACGTGCGACCGTCTGGCTCCGCGCACCCACCGGCGCACGGTCATTTCTCAGAACAGCGTAGCGCGACCGCTGGCTGCTTCTTCCGTTCGATGGCTCTCATCGCCGCTACTTTATTCTTAGCGGCGGCCGTGCTTCTGCTCCCTCGATGCCATCCTACGGCCCCCAAACGCTGCAATGGCCCACTCAAGCACTCGTGATTGAAAGCGTGGCGCAGCAGTCTTTCTTGCAAGTGAGGCTGCTTCACCCAGTCCCAAACGGGAATGTGGGTGGAATGTTCTGCTGGGTTTTCGCGACGAGCACTCGATTGGAATCAAATCTGCCATGGCCCCGGATCTTGACGGCTTGCGCCGAGCGTGGACGAGACGGAGCCCAGTGAATTCCTGGCTCTGGCTCTGCTGTATCATTTGACTTCCCACTTCCCTCTTCGCGCACGTCGATGATTCAGCAAGTGCGCCAGCGCAGCCGCGTTGCACATCGTGTCGGACGCTTCTTACAGGTCGACCTCGGAAAGAAGCGCTGGCTGAGAGCCCTCGTGAAGAATCTTTGCAGGACGGACTGATTTCATCGTTAAACCCCGCGATCGCGGAGATCGTCGCCATGGCAGGGCTCTTATGCCATGGGAGTCCTTCTCTGTTCATACAGTTGCCCTGTCCGTGCCGAGTATGGCTTGTTCTCTGGCCTATTTTGTTTCGCATTTTGATTCCGGCTGTGCTCAACCAAAAAGGAAACAAAGGTCAAATTCATGTAGAACGCTCACAGCTGTCTTTTTCATGCTGCTCATCATCTTCTCTCGTCTTCGTCCATGGCCATGTGCTTCTCCATCTCGATGAAGCCAACTCAGCACGCATGTTTCGCTTCTGCGAGCACGATTGCAGCCGTCGATCTATGCTCTCTATCTCTCGCACCTAGAGGCACGAGACATGAAACGGTGCTTTCTCGTCCATCGATCCAGAGCATGTGTAGTCCAACAAAGGGAGTGATTCCGAGGCATGCCCTCTCTGTTGGGTAAGTCGCGGGGCCAATCAAGCTATGCGTGCTGACGGGCCGACCAGTTGGACAAAGCAACGGGATAGTTCGCGGTAAACAAGCCCGATTCCTTCGTTGCGACCGCTCACCCCACAAAGAGCACACCCCTTGCAGGAAACCTAACGTTCCTTGTCGACAATGACGTCCTATCGGAGCTTGCAATGTGACCCTTTCACTATCACCTCGCCAGCTCGCGAGACCATTCGCTGCCAGGGCAAGATGAGGGGAATGAGATTTCCGCGAGGATTGCTCGACACCACCCTATCGGCAGCGCCAGAGAAACACGCGACGTGCACGCTAGAAGCAACGCTCGGGGCCAATAGTGCGCCGTTAGTTATCCAGCTGGCGCGAGCCCAGATGGTTTATAAAGTTTGGTCCCTTGCGCGCTTTTCAGCTCGCTCCTCGGATCGTGCCAGCTGCTATTTCTCGAGCATTCTCAAGGTCTACATCAGTTGCGTCCGCGAAATCGTGGTCTTGCTGAGCAGTTTCAATTAATCCGTCCGTTCAGCATCGTCCCTGTCGTCAACATGCGCATCTCCACAGTCTCGGCTCTTGCCGCATTCGCTGCCATCGCATCAGCTCAGGACCTGTCCTCCTTGCCAACCTGTGGTGTAAGTATATGACTACCTGGGTCGAGTTCGTATGGCTGTAATTGACACCTCTTCTAGACCGCCTGCGTCGGTAACGGCCTTGCTGGCACTGGCTGCAATCAGATTGACATTGCTTGTATCTGCAAGTCATCGTCTTGGATCAACAGCCTGTCATGCTGCGTTTCGCAAAAGTGCGACGCTGCCGACCAAGCCAGTACGTTTTTTTTTTCTCTTAGACCAAGACAGCGTCCGGACCGCAACAGCTAATGAACAAACCTCTAGGCATCATTAAATTTGCCCAGCAGATCTGCTCTCCGGTTGGCGTAACTACCCTTCCAACACAGGCTGGCTGCACTGGCACAAACGCAGCATCGACCACTGGTTCTGCAACGGCCAGCGCGAGCAGTGCCGGCTCTGTAACCTCCTCGGCAGCTAGCGTGGTTTCATCCGTCTCGGCTTCTGTCAGCTCAGCTGCGAGCCAGGCTTCCGCTGCTACCTCTGCGACCACAACCGCCTCCGCCGCTTCGACTGGTGCTGCTGTCGCACCAGTCCCAACCGCTTTCGGCCTTGCTGGCGTTGCTGCCGCCGCTGGTCTGTTCGCCGCTGCGTTGTAAACGGGCAAAATGATTGAAACAATGGAACGCTGGACATTGAGGAGCCAAATGTAGTCCGGGACGGTTGCATAAAGGTGTCGTAGTTTGCCATCGCATGCGTTGCCTGGATAGATGGGGCGGGCATCCTTACGCTTGCTTGCTCAATTCAGAATGTAACGACTCTGTCTCTCTGCATGGATCTGAACTTGTGCATGCGTGCAATGACCTTTAAACTTAATTATAATAATACGATGCAAATCTACCTAATTCGCCTACAAGTTATGAATCATCGTATCCACGTTCCTGGTCTCTTTTTTATCCAGAACGAGGTTTACCACAACGGGGTGAGCCGCTGCGGGAGGGCGCGTTGTGCCCTGCGGAAAGAGCATGCATGACCCACACTTTTGTCACTCTTGCTCCTCATCATTTCCGCATCTTCTGCACTTCGAACAATTCTCACTGCCAAACTGAGAGTCGATGATACTTATTGCTAGGCTTCCTGCGCGGCATCCTATTCATGCTGGCCATTCTCCTAACTATGCTTGCTGAGTAGTGGTTCCCCTGTTTCCTCCAAGTGCACAGCGCAATGTCGAACTTCAAGCGAGCGATGCCTGCGGCGGCCGCTTCGCAGCGGAACTCACTCGCTTTAGCCATGCGGGCGGCGACCATTGTAGATATCAATCCCGTTCTACCGGCCGGTACGTTTTCCTAAACATGTATTCGAGCTTCGCTCATACGACTGCAGAGTTGATATCCATGATTTTGGATTACCTGCCAGTGGTAGATCTGATACATTTTGCTCGCACGTCAAGGCGAATGAAGGAAATGGTATACGACGATACGCGATGGGTGCAACGACTGAGTAGCATGGGCTGCTGGAATGAAGCGGAAGCGCGACAAAGAGCAGAGGAGGCCATGCGGCAGCGATCTGACGGGCGTAGGGCATGGGAAATTGGCGATGGAAGGAGGATAGGCGATCCGCCTAGTGAGACCGCTCTCGGTGTGATCGGAAATGCCCAAGCAGGAGAAAAGTCAAGTGCAACGCTCTTCGACGCCGGATGGGAACAAGAAAGAAACGGATGGCCTATGGAGCGATCTGGAACTCATCAGCGCCAGACCACACACGACAAAGGGTTCGAGTCTGCAACCCTGGTCTCCAGTGGTCCACATGGTGGCTCATACTCTGCCGGCAACAGAGATGCTGCTGCGATACTGAAGGTGCTTTCGAGCGTTCGGTCGGCAAGGGGATATGCGCGACAAGAGTACGGAAAGATATATGGCGCCTTAGCTCCCTTCTATTTCGACCTTGCGCGAGCAACAACTCACACGGACCCGATCTTGTTTCGGACATATCGCGATCCGGAGCAACAAGCGCAGATGCTCAACCAGCTGAAGACATTTGCCAAAAGCGACTGGGCCCAAGGCTGCAGAGTCAGGGAGGAGAAGCTTGACACGATGATTGGCATCTTTGAGAACGCTGCCCTTCGTGAGTTTGAGCAAGGGATGAATGAAAGTGACGTCGATGGCCGAATGCGAAGATACGCGAATGTGTTAGTGACACTTAACGGTGGCGCCGCTGGTGTCGACGCGTTCATCCAAAACAATAGACTTATGACCGAGAGGGAAAGCCTTGGGAATCCGCTTGACTGCTTGCCCGGAGGCTCTCGTGGCATGTTGCTGTTACATCCAGCACGTGAGTTCTTCCGAAAATTGGCGATAACGGTCAATGAGCAGACTGAAGTCATTGATCGCGTCTTTCCGCCAAATGTCGACGTGCTATCCGCGCTTATAGACCGGCTGGCCGAGGATGTGATTTCCGAATATGTCACGACGCTTTTTGACGAAGCACACGAAGGAAATATCGAGTCGTATTTAAAAGCTGTGTCTGGGGTGTTTGAGTCTGCACTGAGATTTGCAATATCTCTTACTCCAAGCAAGGCGTCAAAACCGACTTTTTCCGAAGAGGTCAACAAAGCTGTGGCACGTTGCTTTGAACAGCATGTAGATTTGTACATGCAAGAAGAGTTGCGGTATTTTGTTTCAAAAAGCGACGCGGAGGTTGCAGCATGGGAGAAGCAACTCTCTGAGCAAGCCGCTTCAACTGAATCCTTCTATATGTCCAACGTGAGCAGACAAGCCGCGAAACAGGACTTTCTATCGTCCTTCAGGAAGGTAGTGATGCTTCCTGTCAGCGTTCTAACTGTTCCCTTCAGTTCGACCAGCAACGCGAAAACGTCTGCGACCGCGAGTGCGAATGGTGATGTTTTATCTCCTGGAAGTCGCCTTTCCACGCCTGTTCCGTTAGATCGTGCAGGTACCCCAAAGAATGAAGCCCCAACGACTGAATTAGCGGCCAAGGCCGCCATCATGAGCTCACGTCTAGAGGGAATCAAATCCCTGTTTAGCATTGAAGTTGCCCTCAACCTGATACACATGGCTAAAGAGAGCTTAGAACGAATGGCGCTCTTCGTTAAGCTTGGAGATCAAACTGGTGAGGAAGCTAGGGAACAATGCGAAGAAATCTTCGTATCGCTGCTACAAATATTAGGTCCACGTCATATCCAAAGCGGTTTTGATCAAGCGGTCAATCATCTCTCGGCATACAATCCTCGCGAGATCAATGAGCATGGACAGAAAGGTGTGGAGCCCTTGGTCACGTTTCTCGAGCTCGTTAATGTCGGAGATCTGATCCAGCAAATGGTCGATGTATTTTATGCACAGGAGTTGGTTGCTGCGAAACTCTGTGACCCTGACGATTTCCTCAGCCCGGCATTAAAAGAAAAGAAACGGTTCGAACAAATGTTAGACGAGCGAGTTGCTGCCGGCCTGAATAAAGGAATAGATGTGCTCATGGACGAGGTCGAATATATCTTCGCAACCACGCAACTGCCCGCCGATTTCAACCCTACTGGTCAGGTTGTTGACATCGGACCGAGCGCGACTGCTATTCGTATCATCGAGATTGTATCTGGTCACACGGGCATGCTCATTGGTAGCACAGATAAAAATATGCTTGACGTCTTCAACCAAGAGGTCGGCCTTCGGCTCTTTACCGAGCTTTGCAAGCACCTCAAGCGGCAGCGTATCAGCGTCGAAGGCTCCATCAAGCTCATTTCCGACATGAATCATTACAAGACGTTCATCAGGACGTTCAAGAACAAGAGTTTAAATGAGTATTTCAATGCGCTGAGCGAGATGTGCCAGCTTTACCTCGTGGATCCCAAAGATGCTAAAGAGATTGGCAAAATCATCGCTGATCCTGACCGCTATCATGGAATCTTCCGTGCGGAAGAAGTGTATGAGTTTGCCGAAAGGCGCGCTGATTGGTTTAGCGTGAAGAAAAACGTGGAGAAGGCAATGTACGGGATGGGATGCGTAATGATGTGAATGTCAGTGTCAGATAATTACAGGTCCCTAGATGGCGGTTCGGATGATTTTCGTACACGAGGATTGCATGAGGCTCTTCCCCCGCCAGTCTTCTAATATAAATACACCGGCGCAATGCTGATACTGCCTATGATACATGCCGAAACACCAAGGCTTTCATGCTTCTTCCGCGCTGACGTTCGTCCGCTTTGGAGCCGCTTCGCCATATTTATCTGCGCTGAAAGCGGCTCCTGTCTGTCTCGACGTCGGATATCTGGTGCACTCTGTTCCAGTCGATGAAATTCCACCATCTTTCCAAGAACTGCATTTTGTTGTACGCCCAGTCATACATGTATGTATGTTCCCACGTGCTCACGCACAAGCACGGCGTGACATTCACGCCACCGTAGGCTAACATCCTCGTGTCTACAGAGAGTTTTCCGAACGCACCGACGCTGTTCTGCGGCACGGTATGCTGCTCCGAGAATTGAGCACGGCTGAGTCCCTCGAGGCCGCCCGCAGCTTGCGCGGCGGCGACGTTTTGCGTGTTCATGTCGATAGGCTGTCTTCGATTGTGGGCTCCGGCGAGCGGCGAGCCGGCCAGATACGTGGCGAGCAGCTTGAAGCTGTTGTTCGCTTCCCTGGCACGAACGAGCCAGACGAAGCCGGGCCCAAACATTGCACCGGCCATGGCGAGCATCTCCGCCTTCAGGTTGTCGATGCTTCCAAAGTCCTTTTCAAGCGCCGACTTGAGCTTTGCCGGGATCTCGTCGGTGGGGCGCAGGGTGATGCCTTCGAAGAAAAAATGGTTGTTGAAGGCCATGGAGGCGTGGTTGAAGAGGGAGGCTTCGGCAGGGTTGCGGGCCGTTTGCACGACGATGTCTTTGATGCTGCCTTCGATCCCTCGCTCCGCAATGCGTTGATTGAAGCCCTTGATCATCTTGTCCTGATAGCTGGTGTACGCTATGTTGAAACCCCTGGCGGTAAACAGGCCTTTTCTGCTGTCGCCTTCTTCGTTGCGATTATGAACGCCATTGGCCTGCGCATACGCGAAAGACTCAGCATCCCACAGACGAGGCACTTCAAACAGACCTCCTCTGCGGGCTGGAGCTTGACGGGCTTTCGCTGTTGCTCCGGCGGCGGCTTGGGAAATATTTCGCTGCAGCCATTGCGGTTAGCTAGCCATCACGCAGTCCTGGTAAGAGGACGATAACTCACCCGGCATGATGGGGTCAGCTGGCAGAGACTTTGTCTCCAGCATATCCGTTGTACGTTCATTGTGGTGTGGAATTATGTCGACGTCCATCCATCGAACGCATCTTTTCCCGTATTCGCGACTTTTCCAATGCGGTTAGCGCAAGACTTGTCAAAAAATGGTCTTTATGCCTCAGGCCTCTAGGCAAGACGAGAGCGCATACGGGAGCGACGACAGCCAATCGATCACTTTGGACAACGACGTCGCGAAACCGAACGGACGACGTTCACACTCCTTACCGCTGTTTCAGTGCACAGCCTCGAGCCTGTGAATCTAACGAAGATCCTTTGAATATCCTAGTCGTCGAGAAGCACTAGGCATGGAATCCACCGGCGCGCAGAGACCGCCCGGCCAGTGCTTCGAGCGCGTACGCCGTTATTCTAGGACAAAGATGATACTCTTTGTCGCCCCATCTCTTCGATGAATGCGTAACTGCCATGATGTAAGCCTAGTCGTGGAGCAGACGGATAAAGTAGGGGTTCTTTGTTTCCTTTCCACTTCTGTTCTTTTGTTCTACACACCTAAGCGTTTGACGTCGAAATTCGTACCGTCGAAGGCTTCTTCTTTGTTTCGTCTTGCCTCTTCTCATTTTGTAATATCGAACTTCGCCTGGCGCGTCTCTTTACGTTCTTGCAAAAGAAAACTCCTTTTTCTAAAAATTCTCGTCTTGCTCGTCATGAAGGACCGAACACTTCCATCGGCCCTGACTGCTCTTGTTCAGGTTGCGCTTTTCACGCAGCCAATCTTAGGGCTTGCAATAGAGACCATGGAATTTCACAACTTCCTGCCTCGGGTCACTTGCAGCAGCCTGGCAAACCTCACGTCGTGCGGTCAAGGGCTGCCTGCGAACTTTTGTTGTCCGAGTGAAACAACTTGTATACCCATCTACAACACAGGTGTTCAAGCGGTAGGACTATGTTGTCCTAATGGCAACGACTGTTCTATAATCAAAACCATCACATGCGACACAAGTCTTCAGGATCCAATTCTATACCCTGCGTCCCCGCTTCATACGACAAACACATCTCAAGCATTGCCCACTTGCGGCTCAGAATGCTGTCCCCTGGGATATGAATGCATAAACAGCGAATGTTACATAAAGAGTTCCAGCAGACAGCCCTCTGCTTCAAGTATGACTGGGTCATCAACAAGCTCCATATTGACTAGCTCTACGAGCGCAACCTCCACTTCAGCAGCAACGCCAAGTGTTGCTCCGGCAACAATCAGTCCAAGTACAATTGAGCCTAAACAAACTGGCAACATCTCGAAAGTGGGTTTAGTTCTTGTTGGTCTGTTTCCAGGCTTGCTAGCAGGCGCAGCGATTGCCTTGGGGATACTGTTTTACCTCAGGAGAAGACGAAACAGGCAAGGCTATAAGTCAGACAGTGCCAGTAGCTTCTTCGGGCCACCAACACCACACGATAATAAGCCACCAAAAATTTCGGTTCCCATCTACAGGCCAGGGATGGCTGATCGTGTGGTGTTTGGTCATAATCGCACACCATCAGGCAATGCAGTTCCCGAAACTGCAGCAAACTTTTCTGGCTATTACAGACCCAATAACAACAGCCCCAACACCAGCGATTCCATGACTCTTGTCTCTCCCCCGCACATTGGCAAAGGTAATGTTATCGGGCTTCCCATCCTTGCTGCGCCCTTCGAAACGCCGGTCAAACGAGGTAGAGCCGAGGCACCGGAAAAGAGCTTCTTCTCCACGTCGAGCAAGTCGTCCAGAAGATATACCCAGCAAACCACAGGCAGCATGGAGACGATTAGCATGCTGATGGGGCCTCCTAGAGTGCCAAGCTATCAGAGAACGCCAGAAATGCGGCAAACGACGTACTCGGACGTGTATCGAGCGGCAGGGGTAAGCCCCGGTCAAGTTAAGAGTACGCGACCAAGCGTGGATACTCCAAGATGTTGATATTGTAGAAGGAGCCGTGCTCTTTCAAATTTCATTTGTGCTCTGCTTAGCGTGGCGTTGGTGGTCTAAACGTTAGATATTCAATCCTATCGTTCATAGAGCTGGATGATCTACCCCTAATAGTAGCAGCGGAACAATAGTACAACAACCGCACAGACATACATTCCTTGCCCAAGTTGCATTATTGGCTTGACACTGTTTATTTCTCTTCACCACACCATTCCTCTGACCACGAATTCTGCATAAAAATTAAAAATTTTTTAGCTCTCGCAAGTAAGAAGACAAGAAATTATGCCTTAGGTCATTCTTCCCCTAAAGTCAGACCTTTCACTTTTCCCTTGATAACGTACTATCTACAGCACTGGACTGATATGAATAAGTCTAAAAAGGTTGATGTAACCACCGTGGACTTGATTTACACGTTGTGATGAAGCAGATTTCGATGTCTCGATCCCTGGTGTTTATGGTGTTCATATTGGACAACGAATGAACCTATGTATATACATATGACCATGAGCAAAAGTCAAGCATCATGTCCATTCATGAAAAAAGCAGGAACTGAGAATACTTCATCGATGACAAAATCTTTTTTTTTTCCAGCTGCTCATGCGACGTACCGCAACGCTAATTTCGAGTGGAGAGCCGCCGAAGGTGCAAATGATAGAACGAAAGCACGTTCATGTAGTAAAGTGTACAATAGTACAGGAAACGCCTCCCTCTTCGTGCCCTTTCCTGGAAAGATCGATCACTAATGTTCTTTAGAAAGTAAACGCAGCGCTTCGTCATACTAGCGGTGAGCGACTGGCTAAAGTCTGAGCATTTCAGCACGCAAGAGAATGCACAGTAGTCCCCACAGCTGCCCCAAACGGTAAGCCGCCTATTCTTCACCAAGTATGAGCACGGGCAAAGTTAATGAGCTGTCAAATTCTCTAGAGCGGAACTAAGGGGTTTAGCTGAGTAACGAAAAATCTAAGTGAACGGTAAAGACTCCAGACAGAACTAATCTAAAACTTTGATCCTTTCTCTAGAATGCTTGTGTTGCAGACTGAGGTCTCCATTTCGGAATATTTTTTGGTTAGGACAGATATATATCCACAATTCTGACCCTCTCGATCCATGCACATCAGAATATCTGGGATCTATAGCTTAGGGTTCTTCGCGTGAATCTAGATTAAAATAATATGCCCAACATGACTTTGTAAAGAATCACCAAAGGAGTGTTTGATTCAGCTCGAAAGGCTTCAGTAGATACGGGATGTTCAAAGTACATAATCCAATTATAGTTGTGCGTGTGATACAGAGTTGAAACCTTGCACGTCGTCCATTCTCGGACTACGCATGATATTAGTCATGTTTGGTGAAACCGTCATTGCTCAGCCAGCCACAACAGACATAGAAAAAGATATCGATCATTAGAGACGTTTAGCAAATGGGACGTAATATCAATCTGAAAATATCTAGTGGTTGATTTCTATATCTGTATAAATTAGCTTATGGTTAGATCAGTTGTATCACTCGACTAAGTAGTTGATCTTTCAGCCAACTTTCAGTCACGAGGGTGGGAGTGGGGTTCACGCTTCTAAATATCAACGCAAGTAGAACTTCTTGTTACATTGATCTTCGAAGGCAAGGCCCTTTTTCTTAATCAGGGTGATAATTCTAGTTAAGGGGCCAAGTAAATTGTGTCAAACCATGTGGACCGTAACAAAAACAAATGTGAGGGAGCATCAGCCTCTAAGCTTACAACAATACAAACCTAGGGAAGGACTCGTTCCTAGCTGAGATCGGAAGAAGCTTGGATCAGCCTGCATAAATATGCAAATCGACCATGTAACAAGATCTTTGGGCATCAAGTGCTGCTAGATTGATGGTCCACTTCGTCAAGACACTAGGCTGAAATTGGTGTTGTAGATCCATGGACTTGTCGGCCCGTTCCATGCCACAAATCGACAGATCGCAGCAAATCAGCTCCCACAGCTTGTCGTCTTCCGTTCCGTTCATGCTTTGTGGCTCAGTAGACATGCCGACTTCCTGGTCTGGGCTAGCGCCATCTCTTTCTCGTCTCTCGGCATATTTCATCATGCAATGCACTTGTTCATTCTAACAGAAAGTAGTCGCCGCTCTTGTGTATTCTTGATCGTTGAAAAAAAAAAAAATCCACCACCGATCAAGTGATAAATTAGCCGCCATCTTGAAAGACCTGTTTACACTCAATATGCTAACCGCTACAGATGGCCATCTAGCCCCTTGCAAGCCTAACTCAGCGTCCAAGCTTCGTACAGCACCACTGATTGATGTAGAACTCGAACATCCTCTCAAGTTCGTAAGCAACTTTGACAGGTCAACAGTCCTAAATAGCTAGTTTCAGTGGCTGACTTGCATTGAAGAAATCGATGACCTCCACAAGAGCACCCACTATGGTTCCGGAATCTTGCAGGAGGCCAAGAGGTTACAACCAACCACAACACTCTCTTTCGATCTGCATTTACTGGTGTGCATGAATGATTGTAGTTTCAAAAGAATCACGGACCTTTATTTCTCTTTTTCCTTAGGTCATGCGCCTCGATGTATTGTCTTTGCCGAAACTGGCTAAGGATGCAAGTCTCCAATCGAGGCATTATCTAGTTTTTCACGAAAACGAACTCGTCGAACTTGTTGCTGCTGAAAGTATATAATCCCCGACAACAGCACACTTGGAGTTACTTCTTTTACTAACGTTTCAACATGAAATTTCCAGTTTTTGTCCTCAAGTTCCTTCTTGCTTTCGATCTGTTCACATATGCCAGTGCTGTACGGCTCGATGTTTCTCGCAATGGACGTGAGAACCTAAGGCTCGACACAAGTCCCGTGTTAGATAGTCACGATACACACAACAACGACGAGTGGTCCGAAGGGGGAGTTGGCAAAGTTGATTCGTCAGCGGGTGATGAATATATTGTAGATATTTGGCCCGGAAAGCACAAAGGCTTTCTTATTGACGATGTATGCATCTCCGCATGTGGTCGTATATGCACTAATAGTCCTGCAGAACGAACCAAGTTATATTAGATGGAGCAACATACAATACGGCGAGGCCCCAGTTGGAGAGCTCCGCTTCTCCCTCCCTGTCAAACCATGGGAACTGAACGAAAATGTCAATGAAGGCAAGGATTACAAAATTTGCCCTCAGCATAAAATAGGTTGGCTCGAATTCGCCCAAGAATTTGGCCAAACATATGCTCTCTCTACTGGCTCTATTCCACCCAAGTGGAACTATCCGATTAGTCCTGCGAATAACTATACTTACCCAATCCCACCCGAAAGATCTTCCACACTGAACGGTATGCGCAGAAACTTTCAGCTGTGGACGAATACTAAGCTCGAACTCTGCGATAGTTACGGAAGATTGCCTTTATCTTGATGTAATGGTTCCAAAGAAAGTGTGGGACGAAAGGGATCAGCGTTCTTTCCTTAGGCGTTCGTGTATTTTAATCAACTCATTTCACTCTCGCTAACCAGATCTAGCGGCTGTTATTGTATGGATACATGGCGGAGGGTAGGTGTTGAATAGATAGCACATTGGAATTACTCTTTCGCTTACCTAAATGTCCAGGTTTGTTTTCGGCCATAAAAACCAACATGGAAGCCCCATAGGTTTATTCCAGGCCGCAGAGAGCAAGGAAGAGCAAAATGTGATCTATGTGAGTGTCTTGTGTATTGATTGCCATTACTCTTACCGGCTGATCCGCTAGGTTACTTTGAATTACCGCCTCGGCGCCTTTGGATTTCTGGGTGGCGACAAGTATCTCGACGATGGCGGTTATGCAAATCTCGGTCTGCAAGACCAGTTACTCGCACTAAGATGGGTTCAAGAAAACATTGGAGTGTTTGGCGGTGACCCGGGAAGGTGAGAAGTTAATCTTTCAATATCGAGAATTATACCTCCTGAATATTGCCACTCACAGAAAAGCGCAGAGTTACAGTCATGGGACAGAGTGCAGGGGCGTCATCCATCTTGCACCACATAACTTCTCCATCTTTCTTCAGGTCGTCAAGATCATATTTCCAAAAAGCTATTTTGCTTAGCCCTGGCTTCTATCCGCAGCCTAACCTCACCTTGGAAGACATTAAGTACACCAAGTTCTTGGAGGCGTCGGGTAAGAAGAGTATGGATGAGCTCATCGCAGAACCTGCGGACAGCCCGGCACTTCTGAATGCTAACGCAGAGTTGACGTACAATTCTTCGTACGGGCTGTTTTACTTTGGGCCTAACATTGACGGTTTATACGTCACAGATCTGCCCGGCAAGCTGTTAGCGAAGGGTAATTTCCAGAATGGGATTTCGCTGTTACTGGGATATACACGGAATGATGGAGTTGCATTCACACCACCATGGCTTAGATCCAGTTCAGATCTACGCGGTTATGTCAAAACATTATTTCCAGGAACTCCCGAAGAGACGATGAAATTCGTGGACGATAATTACCCATTTTTGTCAGGCGAGTCAGAGAAAGACAAAATTCGCCACGTCGCGGATTTTTTGGACGTGAGTATTGACGAATTGAGTATATTATCAATTGCTGAAACCTTTGTTGCCAGGACCTCGCAATCCAATGCAACACTCACTATCTTACAAATGCCACAGTGAAATATAGCCGCAATAAATTTGTCCGTGTATACCGATACGTGTTCAATGCGTTCCCTGCTTTCCACGGAACAGATGCTGATTACATTGTAAGACACCTAATGCATAACACTTTTAACGCGTTGACATGGTCCCGGAAGCTCTGTGGTATGAGGAACCCCGCTAACACAGCATATAGTATTACCCAGAAAAGCCACTCCTTGGGGCTTTTCCATGGCGTCCACTTGCTCAATTTATGCAGAGGGCCATTGTGGATTTCGTCCGATATATAGATCCCAACCCGGAAGGAGTTAAAACCTGGGAGGCTTACACAGATTCCGTTAAAAAGGTCATGAATTTTGGATCACCGCATAATCCATTCAATTTCAGCACTGCTATTGGACCTGATCTTTTGGACGCTGCCAAATGTGAATATTGGCAAAATGCCCCGTTCTATCCTCAAGCTCAGCGCGTCGACAACGACATAAGGAGGGGTGAGGAGCTGGTGATCCAAACTGATCTTTAGTCCTTTCTGGGAGAGGAAGTGGCATGTATGGGACAGGTGGCTATGCAATGAGCTAGGGATGCCAGGTTTTCATTCTGTTCTAGTTGTGATATGTGAGCGATCGTTTGGACTGATCTTCAACTTGTATGCCTCATCATCCTCATGAGCTATATATTTCAACTCCGTTCCCTTGCACGGTATTACTTGAGACTGTAATCGATGCCCATTTGGCTTGACTTTTAAATGGACCTTGATTGAGATTTCGCGACTCCATCATAGGCCTTCAATGGTATTTTCAACAATGTAGACCTTTTCCTGGGCCCCCAAAACAGTGAGGTTGTGAGCAGTTAAGCCATGAGATTGAATGGAAGGTCTGTCACGTGATTTCGCGTCGGCCATCACAACCTCGTGTTTGGCAGTTTGACGACGTCAAGCAACTTAGCCTTAACCTGCGTTTGACACTTTCGTCATTACCTCAAATTTAAGAGGGAAAAACCAAAATGAAACCAGGAGGTTTTTTCAAGAAGCCGGACTGGCTCAAAAACAAACCAAAGGCCGAGACGAAGCCAGAAGAAACTGCGGATGCGACTCAGATGTTTGCGTGGTCGGTTGGCACCGTGTCGGACGCTTTGGCAGAACAGAAACGAAAGGAGAAGTTGCGTGCACAGAAGAAACAAGAGGCCTCACGTGAAGAAAGCGCATCACCTTCAACAAAACGAAGAAAGTTGAGCGAGAAGGTCAACTATGACCATGACAGGGAAGCAAAGAAGTGCGACAGGTCTCTGGCAGACAGCAGTGCTGAATTTACTGATGATCAGCAGCGACTCGATTCCTCAGCACCAGAACAGAGTCACGAGAAAATCACTTGAAAGCTCGCCACGTTCTTTATCACACCGCGACAAAGCCACGCTTAGCTCATTGTGCAAAGAAGATGCAAAGGTGATTGTTTTGTCAGACAGCTCTGATGTCGACCGAGAATCCTCGCCGTCGCCAACGCCCAAATCAATGAGCACGAATTGCCGTGCAAAGGATGTTTCGGAGGATTCGCAAAAGGAGGACGAAGATGATGAGTTTGCTGAGCTTGCCGCAGCAGCGCGAGCGCGAGCAAAGCAACAAGAAGTGACGCTGCAATCCTCAGCTACGAACACGGTTTCATCTGGGCTAGATGCCAATCTGAAATCACTGGCAACTGATACAGAACCCAACCCAACTATAGATATCCTAGTGTGGTCACCGCTTGAGGGTGCAAAACCTCTCGTTGTCAAGAGAAAATGGAACCAGAATTTCAGGGACATTCGCAAAGCTTGGCTCGCTCGACAGCTGGACTTGGCCAGCCATATAAAGAAGGAGGATATCTATTTCACATGGCGCAACAAGAGGGTTTTTGACATTTCATCATGCAAAAGCATAGGCGTCAAGTTGGATGCACATGGTGAAGCCATCATACCAAGTGACCAGGGTCGTTACAGAGCGATTGATGGCAAGATATCACTTTGCGCAACGACGGATGCCCAACAAAAACTCGAGAAGGAGAAAGCTGAAGAGAAGCATTTGCGAGAAAGCGAGGAAGCAGCTGAGATGGAGACAGAACCTGACCAAGAATCTCGGAGCACTGGCATCAGAATCATATTGAGATCGAAAGGCTATCCTGACCAAAAACTGATTGTGAAACCTGTAGGCGCAACCGAATTCTGTCAAGAATTACTTGGCTAACCTCGACTGATAGGACACAACGGTAGAGCGTTTACAAGGAGCATTTCGAACAGCCAACAAGATATCTGAAACCAGCAATGTTGTGCTGGTGATCGATGGAGATGAACTCACACCCGATATGACGATGGAGGACGCTGAAGTCGAAGATTTGAATATGATTGAAGTCTACGTGCGTTGAATGGTTGCATTATGGTCACTTATTGCGCAAAATACTTGGAACCTTGGACCAAGTCTTTTAATCGTTGATCGATAACTGACTATGCCGCCACAATAAGATATGATACCCCTGTAACGACTATTTAAATGCAATGCACCGAGCACATTTGTATAATCTCACAACCCGCTGTAAAGATTGATTTTGTCCGATCCACTTGTGCCATAACCTCCCGTTTGCAGCTCATAGCCAGCGATTCAGCGTTTTAACCGCGCCATTAGCCCATGGTAGGCTTTGGAAAAGGTCCACCCAACCCCGACAATCATCAATACGCTAAGAGCCAACAAGGCTATCATGACAACCCCTCTCAGCTCGAATGCATCTATGATCTGCATTCTACCAACTTGGCGTAGTTTCTTTCTCACATACCACGATCTCTTTTTCGGCTTGGGCGATCCACCCTGGGAGCTGTCGGCATCTCGCCAAGTAGTGTCGTCAGGATCCTGGTACGGCTCTGGAGAAAGCCAGCTCTGCAGCGCGAATGGAGACCAAAACGGGCTACCTAAGGCTTGCCGCGACGGATGTTCGGAAGACCGTCGCGCACGATCAGAGCGTTGGACAAGAAAGAGCGAAAGGAGGAAGGAAATGCTGATGAGAGGCATCATCACTAGCCGTCGAAGGAACGGTTCGGAGTCGGTTTCGCCATCCTCTCTGCGGAGCGGAGTCCTGGCCGAAAGGTTGCTCGCTTGATCTTCCGAAGACGAGATTCGAGGATCGGAAGCGCTGGCGAAGTGCAGGAACGAATCTTGGTGTTTACGATGCGGTCTTCGCGACGCGGATGGCGGGCTTTGCGTGCTGCTTGACGAGAGCGGAGGCACCAAGCTGGGTGGAGCTGCCCTTGCATCCATGACGCCCGATGGTGGTTGATCAAGGAGACGGGGGCTAGGGGAGGATTAGAGCGTGATTGCGAACCTCGTGAGATATAGCACACGCCCGTTCCCCGCGCTTACTTATCCTACGTGGTCGTTTGGCTGCGGGAAACGTATTTTCACGATTCGCATCTTGAATCGAAGCGGGTGATGACGCAGCACATGTAAGCCAAGCCAGGGTCCTCACGGCTGAGGTTGTAGACGTGAGCTGAAGTCATGAGCAGGAAGTTCATCTTAGAGTATTTCTCAAGCGAGACTCTGTCTAGATAAACGCAAAGACAGTACACATGCAACACAGACAAACATTAACCGACAGCACAGTTCTACTGGACAAAGTTTGGAAAGTAGTTTTGTTCTCTTCTCGAGCTAGTTTGGAACTACACATAGCACTACCGACGTTGCATTCTTCGCCGAAAAGGTGAAAGTTGTTTTGAGCTCGAATCTCGAAGCAAAACAGGCAGTACAGGTCTGGTTTATATTTGTCCATTTGACCACGAGATATTCATGGACAGAGGCTTTTCGATATTTCAAGTGAATATCATTGATTAAAAACCTGCCCGCCCCGCCAAGAAATGGGTTCGAACTCGTAAACTTAAGTCAGCATAATCCCGGCTGGATTCACTAAAAAAAAAAAATGAATTGCAGTGCCTGAATTTTCAATAAGGATTTTGGATGGCGTGAGCAATGCTTAGATCAGCTCGATTCTCATCTTCCCCTGTCGTGGAAGAGGTTTCAGCCGGTCGCGAGATGCAGGACTGAGATATGATCAATGATCGAAGTAACTTCTACGTAACTCCACAGTATTTCCGCGCAAGGCCGGGGGAATGCAGCGGATTCGCCCTAAGCGCAGAGCGTGCCAAAAATTTGTATTCATTCACGTCTTTGGACCGTTGTGAAAAAGCTGAAGTCAACTGCTAAGAGCTGCAAAGAGTCCGAGAAGTGGAACCTCCTTTTTTGGGCCCCGCATTTGCGTTACATCGAAGGAAAGAGTTCCAGGAGAATAGTAATCGCCCGCCCATGCAAAACTGTGGTCACCGATTTTATCGGCCCTCCGATTCAACTGTTCAGCACGTTGAAAAGCATTAAGATCTCAACCGGAATAGCTTCCGCGTCGAACTTGACATGACAGGTAGACTTTCTGCTTTGGAAATGAGTTGCGCAACGGGAACCAGTAAAAGAACGAACGTAATGTAGATTATGCTCTACATAATGACACTGCCTGCGGGTTTCTCCGCCAAACGGAGATGAGCCACAACGAGACCACGGAGACCGTCTAATTTTCCTTTTCTCTTCCACAATTACATTCGGGACGTATCTGATGACTACGGCTGTTGCGCATGAACGTTGGACAAGCCAGTATCAAACAGTTTGCGTCTCTCGGGGACTTTCGTGAGCGCTGTATCCACGACATGCATTTTCGTCCATGCTCTCTTTGCCATTCAAGTCCGATGGCAGCCTTTGAGAGGCAAAACTTTGAGACCCTCGCGGATATGATATGACAGGGCGGAGGACCTGATCTCTAGTCGAAGCCTTCTCATGCCGGACGAACATGGCCGTCTCCAGCTCATCAAAGTCTTGCCCCGGATTCGCGGTTTCGTAGACCATAAGTTTCAGCAATTTGTACAGACCAACTGCGAGAAGAGATCCCAAGAAAGGACCAACGTAGAAAATCCAATCGTAGCTTTGAAATCCGGACACGACTTCTGGTCCAAGCGATCGGGCTGGATTGACTGAGCAACCGTCGTAGGGGATTGCCGCCAAGTGGATGACGAACAGGGCTAAACCAATGCCCACAGGAGCGAGGAAAGTGGCTTTGTGTTTTTCTACGGCCAGGACGAGAACAGCAAGGACGAGCTGCGCTGTCAGAAAGAATTCGATGAACAACGCACGCACGTCGCTGACTCCTTCGGCCACTTTGGTGGAGACATTCAGCGGCCCTGGAGACAAGCCATCCGCGAGAGCGGCGGCGGCAATTCCTGCGACCAGTTGTGCAATCAGGAGGACAACCGATCGTAATGGCTTGATAGCTCCAGCAAGAAGAAGGCCAAGCGTGACCTGTGCAACTGTCAGACTTGGCTGGAAATGCTGTGAACAATGGCATTTACGGCTGGATTGAATAGGCCACCGCTAATCCTATAAAATATCCAAACATTGGCGGCAAGTGAGAAGCCAAAAGCAAGGGCGACGTAAAGTCGTCCCGCACTATCAAGGGGCTGATCTGGAGGATTTTCCGTCACAACAACATGGGTTGACAAGAAAGCGAGAAGCAGGAACATAAAAGTGCCGCAGAATTCTCCTATGAACGAAACTAGCTCATTCTTTAGCCCTAGAGGCAACCTTGAGAGTCGCGTTTGCTTCATGTTCAGATTTGCATTCTGGGACAGAGGCCATGTTGCCGAACGAACAGTGGTGATTTGTTGAGGAGACATTGTGATTCGTATGGAGGAAGTGATGTTGCTCTCAACTTCGTCTGGCTTGGAGAGACGCTCACGTTTTATTCTCCAAATACTTGAGGGGTGGCGAATCCGATTCCTCGGGATGACAAGTGCATGTGTTGAAGTCTGGCGAGCTGAAACCTAGATTTCAGATCGTACTACGCGTGAAGCTATATCCTTGCTCTTTCGAACGAAGCCAATGAGGTTCTGTCCCAAAAACTTAGTCGGCACTCTGCTTGGTTCTCAATTAAGTCATCTCAGACTAATGATGTTGACAAGACTGATAGTGATCACTGCATGACTGCAGAATAACGTGAGAGAGTGGGACTCGCCCGTCAGGGGTGACAGACATGAGAAAGTCTTCGCCGGAATCGCAAGTGGGTTTGACGTCTTTGCCGATACACGACAAAATGTGCAGAGTAGAAGAATGTGCCATAATGCTGTTGGTCGGCCCACAGGAGAGGATCTCCTTGTAGTCTCGGCGGGCATCAGCTCAGTTGCTCAGAATCACAACCTCGCCGCCTGTTTGACTCAGAAAGCTCAAACTGCTCGTCGGCCAAGGCCAGCGCGGTGGAAGCTCGGAAGGGATCTCGCGATAGTTATACACCTAAATGAAGGCGGCGACGAGCACCTCGGTATAGCACGCCTGGACGTTCATGGTGACGGGCAGAGCGCTCGTATGCTGCGATGGCTCGTCGCCATCATTCCAGTCGGGTCGCACGCAGTCGTGGTGAAGCGTCCAAGGCAAAGGAGCAGATTGACATGCGCATGGCTCGTGTATGCTCCTCTGCCTTGGACGCTGAGGGCTGGCAGCGAGGCAGTGCTTCACGTCCGCGGGCTTCGCCATTGGCTCTCGCGTGCTGCGGGCGCTGTGATTGGCGAAGGGACGACGTTGCTCCGCCTGTTCGTCCGACGCTTGCACGGACAGCCGGCGGCTTTTGCCTTCCCGTCCGTCGCCTTCCTGCCATATTAACAAACCTGCTCTCGTTGCCCATGATTCAATAGCAAAAAATGCGGTTTGAGTCTCATCTCTGAATCCTGGGTTTGGCCTTCGACGAGTCCTGGCTCGGCAGCTGTCGGAATTTGTCCTGCATCACTGATCCACCGCTTGGAGGCGTTCCATTTGCCCACGCATCCACCTTGGCTGGCATACCGCTCCGGACGAAAACGTCCTGCCAGAACATGAGTCCGCCCGAGCGCTCCTCGTCCGTCGCGGTCGAGGACGGCGGCATTCGCAAGAAGAAGATGCGCAAAGGCACGCATAGTTGCTTCGAATGTAAGTCGGCCTCCTGCACGACACACCTTCTCTCCTCCCATCTCCTGTGCTGTATGCAAACGTCCGAGCTCGCGCCTTCGACGTCGCTGTGTTTGTCTCTTGAGCATCTCCGTCGATCCCTCGGCTGCGTGTCTTTGCACCTACTCCGCACTCTTTGGCCCGCGACATATTCTGGCTGCTACGGTCCTGACCATGCACGTGAGCTTAAGAGCTCGTTGCAATGTCCAAGATCTGCAGCATTTCTGGTAGTCGCATTTTCTCCTGGCTTCGTGGTAGCTGCAATACCTGCGCCTCGTGTATGATGTTTTGACAATACTCGCTGCTGCACCTCTAGGCCCGGTCATTCCTAACATCAGACAGGTCGTCGGCGTAAGATAAGATGTATATTCACGCCAGATAATCCGTCCGTGTGTACCGAGTGCTTTGCTCGCGGTTCGAGATGCATAGATCAGGAGTCGGCTGATCCTGATATAATCGTTGACCACAGAAAGAACCTGCGCGAGAGAGTTGCCCGTCTTGAAGCCCTCATTGAGACCCTCGTCGAGGATAAGTCGGAAAAGCATGCCGCCGAAGCGCTTCGCAGCTTAGGCACTGCTGGACATCTACCGCCCACTCCCATTTCAGAAGAAGCACCCTCAGACAATGGCAGCGCGCGTGTTCCGGTGATGACACTCTTCGATAATGCTGTCCTGAGTAGGACGCCAACCACCAACTCTGGATCTATCTCTGCACCAACACCATTAGGCAAGGGTGCTCCCACCACGATACAAAATGGGGCAAGTCTGAACTACACGTCTCCGCATGTCGATGGCATTAATGCCGCCGGCGCTCCGGGCAGGGTCAAGAGCGAACGTACTCGGCAGGCGCTGATGTCTATTCTGCCATCTTATTCCAAGCTGCTATCCATCTTGAAGTCCGATCACCACACGTGGGCTATGTTTCAAAGAAAGTGTCCGGGTACTCGTGGCAATGCTACCATCGAAGAGTTCACTGCTCGAGTCATGGCCAGAGGGAGCCCCTGTGAGCTGGGACTGCTTGTTCTCCTCTATGGAAAGTGTGAGGAAGGCGACCTCTTGGACCAATGCACTGCTCTAGTTGACCGATGGATTCTGTCAGATGACGAGTACGTCATACTTACTAAATCGCCATGGCGAAGCTGCTGACATTGGCCAGATACATGGGCACCTTGGAGGGACTGGAATGTGTCATCCTCATGGGCAAGATCTACAGCGATATTGGCCAGGCAAGAAAGTCTTGGTTAGCCTTCCGAAGAGGCCTCACCTTTGCTCAGCTCATGGGCCTGCATCGTAACCATTCCATGTCGATTCCCCATGAGAGCATCTGGTGGAGTCTCTATGGTGCAGATCGTCTGACGAGCCTGATGCTCGGCATGCCATATGGCATTCCGGATAGCCATTGTAACATGAGCCACCTACCCAGTGATGACCCTGCCGTAATGGGTTTTATGCAGTTTTTCACTAAAATATCGTATTTCGCCGGTAAAGTAATCGATCGCTCGCAGGGAATGTCAGAATCATCATATTCGTCTGCATTGGATCTTGAGCAAGAGCTCAACGATTATGCGGCCCAGATGCCACAGGAATTTTGGCAAGTGCAGCCCTTGGTAGACTGCGAGGACGCCAACATCGCGTATGGATGGCAGGAACAGTTGCTTGGCCAGATCGCTTTCCATCAGATCAAGGCATATCTGCACATGCCTTTCATGCTGAAAGCGCCAAATCAGCCTGGATACGAGCCAAGTCGACGTGCTTGCATCGACGGCTCACGAGAGATCTTGAGGATATACCACATGCTCCGAGCCGAAGGCACGCCCCTTTACGAGTGCAAAGCGATCGACTTCATCGCCTTCACGGCCTGCATTCTGCTCGTGCTTGGCGTCCTCGGCTATGGCCGTACCGCTAACCACGATCCGAAAGCCGACGAGCGCGACTGGGTTCTCATTGAGCACTCTATGGAGATCTTTCGCCGGGCGTCGTCCGAAAAGGGAGGCAAAGTGGCCGCGCAAAGCTACCAAGCACTCGAGCAGCTGCACCAGCTCAAGAACGACGATTCGAACACCGTCCCCACGGAAGCGAACACGACGACCAAAATCGTCATTCCCTTCTTCGGCACCATCTCTGTGCAGCGGGGCCAAAATTACAGACACAACACCGCTGCCTCCACCACCCAAAATACGCCCCAGTCGCAAGCAATGACCACGCCCGCCACGCCGGACTACAACAAGGTCCACGATCAGTCTTCGGCGACGTATAGCTCCATGGACCCGCAGGTCATGTTCGATGGACTCTACCAGTTCCCGTCATCGTTTGGTCAGCAGCAGTCGTCCTCCTTGGATCCCCAGCTCACCTCCGGTGCCGCGGGCGATGATTCCATCGCCGGCTTTGGAAGCTCGAACACTGGGATGGTCTGGCCGAACAACTGGGGCACCATGGATCTGGACCAAGACTGGAGCTGGCTCATGACAGACAATGTCGCTGCAGGATCAAGCTCGTTCGGCATGCCTTGATGATGGCCAGGGTCTTTTTTTCGCTACTTCATCTTCTATCTAGACCGCTCACTTTTCACAGTCTAAACATGTACCATATGCGACAGAACAGCTGGCATTGTATTTGAAGCCCATGACGGAGTGCGGAAAGACGAGGCTCGATGGAGATGTTCACGTCAAAAACGGGTGTGGCACGGTTTATTGCTTTATGAAAGAACGTAGGGCAGTTTCATAGCTCCGCTCGTTCCCTCTTGATCAGTCTCGAAAAGAAAAGCACTAAAAAGTCCGACGAAGATGCGAGACCCAAGACGTTCCAAAACGAAAAACCAGCCACACTATTTGTGTAGAATATGTGACGACAAACGAAGCTTTTTGACATTGCTTGGCGTTTCTAATCCGCGATGCCTGCCAATCGTTCCTGCGTGCTTTCATTTGCTTTGCACAAACCACGTCGATTGTGCATTCTCCTAAACCATCCAAAGGAGGATAACATGATGGTTGTTTCATTTTTGGGCCTCCTTGTTGACCGGTCAACTATTCGTGATTATCGTACATGTCGAATATTGCTCTTGCCCTGTCATCTGCTATGCTAAGACGTCGGTCTGCAGGCTTACAACTCCTCTTTTTCATCTGTAGTCTCTGTCTTTGCCACCTTAAATCTACGTAGGATATTGCTACGCGACACAAGGTCATCAAGCTTCTGAGGAGCGAGACCGCCTTTCTTGATAATGCCCTCAAGACGGCTAAGCTCCTTGTCGAGGTATCTGGTACGCGCATGTCAGTTTTCATGGACTTCCAGGCACCATTGAATGGTAATCACGATCGTTTTCTTCTGGACATCTGCATCTTGCTAGGTGACCTTCAAGACTTCCAAAAACTGAATGTTACGGAAGCTAATAAGGTCATTATTTCATATGCAGATATCCTAGGAGGAAAGCTTAGGCATAACCACTCTCAGGTACATTAGGAAAATAACCAGGAAATGTCTCTCACCCTTCATTCGCCTTGATTTTGCCGGCAACTTTGCCATAGTATTCGGCGTACTTTTCGCCAGCTGCTGCCTTGGCAGCCTTGGCGATTTCATCTGCCTTCTCAGCAACAGTATTGCCGCCGTCAACGATCTTCTGAATGACAGTGTCCACAGCAGCAATAGTACCGCCGGCGGCGGTGAGACCACCACCAGGAGCTCGGTACGTGCCAGCCTCCTTGTTGATGAAGTCGATGAAAGCAGCTTCTGTTCGTGCGCCCGAGTACTTCTCGGCCTCGGTCTTGCCAGCGGGGAACCATTTGATAGTTGGATAGGATGTGACACCCTGTTCCTGGGCAACGCGCTTAGAGTCAGGGGATTCAGCATCAACTTTGGCGATGATAACACTGTCCTCGGAGACAAAATCCGTAGCGAGCTGCTCCCAAATCGGGGCCAGAGTCTTACAATCTGTTTCTTCCGTCAGTGACCCAAATGTGATTGCGCGATGGCTCGTCATCACCACGTACGTCCACACCAAGGTGCAGTAAATGCAACAAAGACGTTCTTGTCCTTGCCCACGGTCTCATTGAATTTCTTATCGTTCAGCATCTTCACCTCACTTGGTGGCTTGACCGCACCCCGAGGCCGAATGCCGGTCTTCTCTGTGATAAAGGCACTCAGGCTGTCCAAGTCGCGGCCGCCCTTGTAGTCCTCCGGTGTGTCACTCTTTCCGTCAAACCATTTTAGTGTGGGGAAACCTTGAATGCCAAACCGGCGACCTAGCTCCTTCTGTGCGTCTGCGTCGACTTTGGCGATGCTGACCTTGTCCTTGGCGAACTCGAAGGCCGTTGCAAGTTCCTCGTAGACGGGAGCGAGGTTCTTGCAGTCTGTGGAAGTGGATCGTCAGAGAAGGAGAGTAAAGACAAGAAGCAAGGGCCATGCATCTACGTACGTCCACACCATGGAGCGAAGAATTCGACCAAAGCTGGCTTGCCAGACTTCAGAACAACCTTGTCGAAGTTATCCGGGATGAGGTCGAGGACAGCGGATGCCGCTGTGGTGCCAATGGCAAGCGACGCAAAAAGCGCTGGTATCCTCATGCTGGGCTATTGAATGTGTGTGCGATATATGCTGTTCTTGCGCCTATCCGTGTTGGCGTGATTGCAGGAGAAGAAAACAAGAAAGCAACGAAAGGCAAGTATCGAGGGGAATCCACCTTCACGACCTCGAACGCGCAGTTTCCAGGCCCAAGGCTGAGGAGCGCCTGCGCTATTACAAATCAGGAAGCGAAGGGGCCGGCTTCATTGGCACGGGCGAGAAGAGGACAGGTCACCATCAACGCAAGACGTCCGCTCAGCACCGAAACCGCATGCACTACAAACAAGGTCTCCCGATCTTATCACTAATCTAACCTTGCTGACTATCGGAACAGAGCCCCATATTGAATACGTGATTTCTCTATCGCGCTTTGGAAGCTACTTGTGCTATAGCGTCTCTATGCCACGCCTTCAGTTCCCACCGTCTTATCCGTTGAAGCCGACGAGCACAACGTCGCTAACACGAATGCGCTCTTCTCGCCCAACATCCTTCTCGTCGCCTACACCGGCAACGCATCTCTGTAAATCATGTGGTCGCGGGCGGGGCCTGTACCAATGTACTTGACCTTCACGCCCGTGTACTGTTCGATGAATTCGACGTACTTTCTAGCGTTCACCGGTAAATCGTAGTACGCCTTTGCGCCGTACGTGCTCTTCTTCCAACCAGGAAACGTCTCATACTTTACCTCGACGTTTTCTAGTATCTTTGCACTGGCTGGGAATGACTCGAGCGGCTTTCCTTGGTAGTGATACTCGGTTGCCACCTTGATCTCATCAAAGTCGTCCAGAATATCCAGTTTTGTCAAGTTGAGCGACGTGTAACCGTTGATTTCGTGTGAGTACTTGAGCACGACCAGATCAAGCCAGCCGCAGCGACGTTTGCGGCCAGTGGTCACGCCGAATTCCTTGCCAATCTGCTGTAACCGCTCACCATCTGCATTGAGTTGCTCCGTCGGGAAGGGGCCGCTTCCAACTCTGTCTGCCATTAGCTGCCATGACACACACACACACTGAATTTACGTCTTTTCCCGGGCAGGTTCACGGAATGGCGTCACACCAGAATGCTTCGCAAGAACTGCACGCATCGCAAACTTACTGCAGGGCCGTTAGCAGGTGGTGAAAAAAGTCGAAACCGGACACAAACCCTAGTAGTATAAGCCTTTACTACGCCAATGACTTCCTTGATCGATCTCCAGTCCAAGGACAGGCCGGCCAGAATACCACCAACACTACAATTTGATGACGTGACGTATGGGTACGTGCCGTACGAAATGTCCAACATGAGAGCTTGAGCACCTTCAACGAGAATCTTCGCCTTGCTAGCCTTTGCCGAGCGCAACAATGGCACCTCATCGATAACGAACGGCTCCAGATCCTGCGCGTACTTCTTGAAGCGGGCAAGCTCTTCCTCGACATCGTACTTGAGCAAGTCTCCGAACCGCTTCTTGTAGCCTTCGTATAACCTGCGCAATTTGAACTCTAGAATTTCATGATCGAAGATGTCGGCGATCATCATTCCACTTCGAGCTGCTTTACTGCTGAACGTCGGGCCGATGCCTGAAAGTCGATCAGGACCATTCATTGCTCCGTCAGTTCTTTCCAAGAGAAATGCGTACCTTTTTTCGTGGTGCCAATTGCTGACTTTCCCAATTCCACCTCCTCCAGGCCATCCACCGCCTGGAAAAGATCAAAGTCCACGTGCGCTCGGTCGCTAATAAATATCCTGTCCTCATACTTCAAACCCTTCTCCTGCAGCTTCGCTAGCTCGTCGAAGAAACTTGGAACGTGAACCACACACCCACTGCCGATCAGGTTGACGCAGCTAGGGTTCAAAAGACCGCTGGGAAGAAGGTGGAAGTCATATGTGACACCATCGGCAACAATCGTATGGCCAGCGTTGTGACCGCCCTGGCCTCGCAAGCACAATTGCACTTTGTGCGCAAGTACATCAATCATCTTGCCCTTACCCTCGTCCCCCCATTGGCACCCGAGTACAAGCGTCGCTTCCGCCATACTGGACAAATGACCGGCCAACAAACTAGGTTCAGCTCACCTATAAAGCTTCGCGGCGAAGGAAAAGGTTGACCAAGCTCTTACTGATTTTCTTCCACGCGACTGCAATGGCGGCCCGTTCTCTCTCTCTTTCTCTTAACTTAAAAAGACAGAGAGATGATCGGAGTCCGAAAGTCTGCAATTCTCGGAGTTGGCAGTCGTCCAATTGAACTCCGGGCAAATTGCTGTCTGTGATTCTGCAAATTATGATTCGGCCAACTCCGGTACGACGGGGAACTCGACCGGAAAAATCGCAACGAGATGCTCTCGCAGCGTATGTACGCCTTGGCGGGCGCATGACGAAATTTTGGCTGCGATGTCGGACCGGGGGTTGACGCAGGGATCTAGCCTCAGGACACAAAAACGTTTTCGCCGCTCGAAGCTCAAGTGAGCAGACGAACGTAAAGAGGACTTGTTTGTAGTAACGACATTCCAGTGAAAATCGTTTAGAATTTTTTTGTTTGCATCTACGCTATGTCATGAATGATCGCAGGGCTGAAATTCACGCATTCCAGATCACTATGCGGCCGTCAACACCGCCAGAGCTGAATTTCGTTACACGATCTGGTGAGCCTTGGTAGACTCGAATAGTGTTGATAGTGTTCTGGTGGACAGTATTGAGCTTTGTGTCATTCTTGGTAGAACCTTTCAGATCCATCTGCCTGAACATGTTCAGAGCTGACTCATCACTTCGGCCAATTCCACCAGCTCTGCTCTTTGCCTCAAGAGACCCGGCTAGTTGCCAGCCTTGTTCATTTCCTTGAAGTCGGTATGCTTCGCAGTCCTGTCTCACGTTAGCCGTTGAACGAAACGTTTTCGACGCGCAGTTATATGACGTACATATCCGGCCGCAATGATCTCGCTCTCGTTTGTCCAGATCAGGCTTGTAAATGGAAGCAACTGCGTGCTGATGCTGACGACAGCCCTCGGCGGCTGCTCTGGAGCACTCGGATACACAACGGTCACGCTGCTGTCATGGCATACAAAAGCCAACGCATTGCCACTTGGCGAGAAGGCCACATCGTGCACCCATCCTGCGGTATTGTTCAGAAACTCGCCGCACACCGTGTTGAATGGCAATCTTTCGCCCCAAGCCGAAGGCTCAGGTCGTTGATCAAGGCCCTTGATGAAGCTGGAAAACACTCTTGCATGCCCGTCAGTAGAGCCTGCTGCCAATAGCACTGAGTTGGGGTGCCAGGCTACAGATGTAATGGTGCTACGGATTGGCTTTTTAAGGTGCTTTGAAACCCACCAGTTGTCCTCCTCCTCAAAGTGACAGATCGCAATGAGACGTGCACCTGAGCCCGCGGCGAATTTCGTCTCCGATGGACACCAGCGAACGCAAGTCGCGGCTCGGTTTATACGCAAAAGTACGAGAGTGGGCTTCCATCCTGACGGAGATGGTTCCCAGACGTACGCATTACGGTCTGTGCTTGCAAAATGAGCGTGTGTGGGAAAGTACCGCGGTTCGACTGCACAGACCTTGAGAGCAAGTCACGATTTTACCGGAGTTGGGTGCAATGTCTACACCGGTGACGAGCTTATCATGGCCCCTCAACTCGTCCTGCAGGTGAAAGGTGTTGCCTGAACGCTGATACAGCTCAACATTGTTCTCCTTCGCGACGGCAAGAGTATGTCTGTCTGCTGAGAACGAGTGATCAGCAATGGGGTGGTGGAAAAGGTGGTGGATCTCTGGAGCAGCCATGGCCGTTGCGATAGGAGTGGCTCTCTACTATCGCGGTTAGGTCGGGATGGTGTTGCGGGTGAAGCAAAGAGTTGCAAGGAATCGACGTGAAATCGAGCTGACGGCCTGGTGGGGCATGGAGCAGATAGAGGGCCCCCCACCGTGCTAGTAAGGGCACCAATACCCACTCTCCAACCCCGAGCATCAAGCCTCAAACGTCAAGCATCAAGCTAGTTCTAGTGCGCGCCGTGCCGCAAACGCTTCTCATGCGCTATTCAACCAATGCGGAACGTGTTCATGTACCAAGAATACCCATTCTCCGGCAATGGAGAACTGCAAAAGTCGACTTGTCACAGCTTGGTATCCTAATCTCAACCTCGGCCGCGCTGCGAGTCAGAATCTACCATTGGCTCTCACCGCGTACAATATCGAGTGCCAACCCCATGTCTGTTGTTGATCACTCGCTTCCGCTTTCGAGCTTTGTGGTGTGTGGCGTTAGCCTCAAGCAGCTGAGCTACATGGGAACCACACACTTTTTCGAAGCGCCTTGGACTGTGCTGACTTCGATTCGTTCGGAACTTTCAGCTGGGCCGTAAAAGGACATGCCGAGAGGTGTGGTTGCTGCACCTTTTGCGTCGGCATGATTTGGAGCTTCGACTCCCGCAAGCCATCAACGGCGGGCTGAGAATTACGCGGCTCCGGCGGAGAACGTCCTGCATCTCGTGGAGAATTAATATCGGTCGCTTGTCTCGTGTCAGTTAGCTTTTGTTGTTCTTTCTCATCTCCAGGAGTTGATATCTAACTCTGAACATTATGTCTGACCATCCGACAGGCAAGCAGAGTATCTTTCAGACTCTACAATCCGTCTTACCCGTATACAACCCCCTTCACAAACACCGCGATGAAGAGAACACTATAGGGGCAGAACCGGCGTCTACTTTGCCCGCCAATCTTACCGATCCGCCACAGGACGAGAAGACGCGTAAAACTGACGGTTTTGACATAGCAAGCAGCCAACTGACTCTGTTTCGATCTCTAGTTGGAATCGAAAATCCTCCCGGCCTACATACGTCAAGCTTCTTCCGATCTGGTAGACCTGCTCCCAATGTAGGTATTTATGCACGTGTCATTTCGGCGGAATCGAAAGCAGCCCATTCATACAAGCTCTTTTCCGCATTCATCAGCTTCTGCATAGGTGCACAAGTTCTGGTTGCTGCCTGTCTAACCGCCCTTGGAGCCGGCAATGCGTCCCACAAGGCTGTGACTGCGTTTGGTGCATTGAATACAGTGCTGGCGGGCTTCATGGCGTATTTCAAGGGCTCGGGACTGCCCAACAGACTCAAGTACTACCAGAACGAATGGACAAAACTACGAGAATACATCGAGCAGCGAGAGCGCGATTTCTGTCGCAAGGAGTGTCAGCTTGATCTTGAATCCGAAATCTTGGTCATCGAGCGCATGTACGAAGATATTAAGAGTGATATTGAAGCCAACACACCGGATAGCTTCGTCAGCGTGCGAGACATCTCAAAGAGGGGTGGTGGGGTCAATCCTGGCCCATCTTTGGCACGCGGTACGAGCATGGTAATAGACACTGCAGCGGACAGGATACACGATCGAGTTGTTGTCCCTACGGAGCGATCTGTTGCGGGGCTAAAACGCAATCTATCTTACCAGAGCTCCCATCTCGGTGACAAAGTATCAGAGAAAGTAGCATGCTATGGGGACAGGTATAATGAGAAGATCACAAGCTACTTTGTGCCGTATCAAGAGAAAGCGGCGGCCTACAACGACAAAATCACTGGATTAGCCGAGAAGGCGGCAAGCTACAACGACAAGATAGCACATCTCGACGAAAGAGTCCATGGATATGCCAGTAGAGTTTCAAATTTTGTGGAGAAACCTCATTCTGTAGGTGTGACTATAGACTCCACTCGCATAGAATCGCCACAGTCAAGAGAAGTAGCAGAGAAGGGGAACGGACATGAGTCGGTCAGCGGACCATAGGCTGCTTTATACGAGTGCCCATTGATCGCTGAGCCTAAGAATGTTTGGGAATCAATATAATTCAGAACACTTGTCCTAAAAATCACGTTTTCGGCGCAAACTGAAAGTCCTCGTTGACATGGCCATAATTTCTCTCCTCTTTCTCCTTGCATCGTTTAGATCTGCGCGTCTCTAGCGTTCGCGCGAAACAACAGCGCGAAAAGAAATAACCCTGTCCCGTGCTCGCTGAACCCCGGCCAAAAAAGTTCGGGACTGTCTCTCTTACGCAGTTAGGACCACATTGCACGACAAACTCCACGTGTACCTCTGCTGCACTTTTGCTCGTATCCTTCCATTACGATGACTTCAAGGTGGGTCCAGATATCACTACTCCCCTCCTGTACGAGCCTAAGATGCACAAATCGTGCAAGTTAAGCGCGTTGTCCTCATGAGGCGACCACGTTATTCAATTCAGCCACGCAATTCTTGCCTAACCACAGTACAATAGATACGGAAATCACCTCACAAACCGTGGCTTGTTCGCCGGATACGATGATCAAAAGAGACCGGCGTCGCGGTCGCCGCATAGACCTGCCAGTGGCTATGGCAACCGCTACGCGGCTGCAACGCCGGACAATTCTGCATACACAACGTACGAACCTTCGGGCAGCACTTTCTCGGCATATCCTACAAGCAACGGCACTGCTGGCACTCCGTCCTCAGGTTTCAAAAACTCCATGAGCAGAGGAAGCGGCGCCCTGTCGATGGCGGAATTAGAGCACATGGAGAGCCAGTCGGATGCGCAGACGAGCAATCTTCTGGAAAAGGTCGGAATGCTCAAGTCGCTGACGCTGAAGATCGGCGACGAGATCAGAGACAGTGCGAATCTTGCGGACTCCATGAACGAGGGGTTTTCGGCCACGTCTGTGAGATTGAAGGGTACAATGACGCGGATGCTACGGATGGCAGAATCTACGGGCGTAGGATGGAGAGCTTGGCTTGGTTTTTTCGCCGCGGTGGTTCTGCTCTTCTGGTACGTCTGGCTGTTCTGAACGATTCTCTGTAGCCGGGCAATACAGGCGCTCTGCTGCGCGGTGCTCTTCAGTGAGGCACTAATGGAACCACGCAAAGACTGCGACGAGAAGCTGTGTGTATCACGATTCCATCTCTGACGCATTTCTGCTAAGACAACGGCAGCTCGTTCGCTCGCTGCTTGGCGAAGTCCTTTCTCTTACCTACCAATTCAGCCAGGTCGAAGTTGAGAGGGACGCGCCGATCTGCAAATGGAGACCTCACTCTCAAGGACCGACCTTGCACTCAGGCACAAATCCGCCACTGGTCAGAATGCGTTGCCACCGAAACCATTATAGGGAATCTTTAATGCTTCGATCAAAACCCTTGAACAAGGTTCCGGACGCTCGTCAGGCAATCTGGTCGATGTAGACTCTTGCCTTGCATTTAGCTGTCCGAAAGACGAGATGTCTTCGCGATCAACGCCTCGTTTCGCGCAGAGTTGGGCCACATTCTTGCGGCGCTGTCCTCAGTGTTATCTGCAGATAACTTGAGTTGTATGATACCCTTATAAAACCTTGTGCTATTTCAGATTCGGGCAACTTCGTTGAGACGTCATATATGTATCTACTAATACCATCTTCATATTCTCACCCTCTTCTCCTTTTTTGCACCTAAATACGTACGCACAATCACGCCATAGAAATGCGCCTTGCCTTAACCTTGCTATAGTTTTTTAGAGCCCTTTCTCCACATTAAATTTTGACCCCTACAAGCGAAACTATCTTGCAGAAACTTGTTTCAGGACCTCGTCACGCCCATACTTCAACATCTTCCACTTTGAAATAAAGTCGTCCCGGTTCACTGTTTGTTGATTAGTTCAAGAAAGTCACCGCGTGAGTAGAGGCAAACTGACCGTAACCACCACACATTCTTCTCTTTCCTGTGAACGCCGATCTCGCATGCAGCACCCGCCAGTTGTCGAAAACTAAAGCATTGATCAGTACTTTATTTAGTGACTGCAGTTCATCTTAACACGGACTTAGTGCTTTGCCTGGCCTTAGTTGTTCCTGATATTCGAACTCCTTAAGTATGTTCGACCATTTTCTGGCCGCTTTGTACCACTCATCCATTAGGTTAAGCGGAGTGTCGACCTGCGCCCGATCCGTCGTGTTCCATCTCACCTGAATCAATGCTCCCATCTTGTCGTCATGAAGAAGTGTCGGAAACGCGGCGTAGGGCTGGATGCTACTGTCCGCATTTCCGCTGGCGTGAGAGTAAACCTTTACTGTGGACAATAGATCATAAGCTTGTGGGTCCTGCTTTTGAAGTTCTCGGGCAGCCGCAAAGCCGTCGACTAAGCCGGAGGTGCCTCCTTCGCCATCGGTATGAGACAGCAAGTGGAACAGTTGCAATCCAGCTGGATCTGAGAAGTACGTGTTATCGGTGTGTGGACCAATCCCAAGCTGCGTGTACGCTGTGTCGCCCTTAGAGAGATCAGATGTAAAGTCCCAGAAGCCTCCATAGTGAGTGTTTCGAATATAGGCAATGCGTTCGATTAGTTTTTCTGTTTCCTCGGGAGAGACAGGAGTGTTGTCAACATAGCAGAAACCGTACTGCTTTATTTTTTCGAGCCAATTCGTCAATCCCTCGTCAGAACTCATTACATCGGAGAAGTCTACGGTTGGCGGGTCATTTTTGATCGATTCACCGGTCCAAAAAATTGGGTCGACCCATCCCTGGCGGTTCGTGAACTTTGTTCCGAAGTCCATGGGAGTAGTCAGCCAGTCTTTGGTATAATAGCTCTCGTGACCGTCAATCCACAATACCTTGAACCCTACAGAATCCTCCTCAACAGAACTTGTTTTTATGTCCGCAGGAATATCATAGAACGTCTCTATCAAGCGTTGTTTGGTGCTTGGATGCACACATTTATCACAATGGCAATGGTCTCTGAGCCATTGTAAAGGTACTGGGAAATCGAATGTTCTCCCATTTCCATATGCTACTCTCCTAAAGATAAGGGTATTGTTTTCAGGATTAAGAAACACATCATGCTGACGAACTGAGGGCGGCAACGTAGCGCTTTCAAGAACTCGCTACGACATGTTAAACCGAAACTCAGACCAACTCATAGAATACGTACATTTTGTTTGAAAAAACTGCCGCGACGGCGTTTTGTTTTGGATTTATGCGGAACAAAGCTCAGACTAGGCGAATATTCACGATCTGTACGAATTCTTTGCCCTTGAAGATGATCTCGTGATGCAAATGTATATTGACAACGTCGTTGGAGTGAGGACATCCCGGGCAAGGTGAACCCCCATTTTGAAAATGACCGAAGCTCTATGGTACGAGACAGCAACATCGTGTGGATGCGGGTGAATGAGTATGTCTTTTCTCGTTCAATGTACAGGAGAGGTCGGGAGGTATGGTATGAGTGTTTCGAGCATGCATCACGAGGTACTACAACTCCTCTCCTCGCCCGAAATCGGAAGCCTCTTATTGGTTGGTGCGAGAACGATGTCTGAGCACAATGAATACGAGTTCAGAAAATTGACGCCTTATTTCACAGTGGAAGTTCTTACAGAAGATCGAGCAAAGGCATGTGAATCGAAACTGGGGTTTTGGCTGTAAACATAAGATATTTCTTGATGTTTCCATTCCTGATGTCTTCATCCTGCGGTTTGAAACCCCGCAGCTTTGTCAATACTCAACGAAACGCTCTCGCGCCTATATCTCGCCTGTATTGCATACCTTCGAACTTCACTGAGTTCACGCCTTCATATGCTTTGCGCACAGCTGCCTCCAATGTGTCAGCTACTGCGCTCGACGCTATCACACGCCCGCCCGACGTCTTCAGTTTTCCATCGTCTGACAGCGTAGTGCCGGCGTGGAAGATGAAGACGTCGTCTGGAGTAGGCGACAGAATTATCTCCGTACCCTTTTGGTAGGAGCCCGGGTAGCCAGCAGCAGCCATAACAACTGTTGCCGCACTCTTGTTTGCTATTCTCAGCTCAACTTGGGATAGTCGACCCTCGCTACAAGCTAGCATGATTTCCGCGAGGTCGCTGTCGAGAAGTGGTAGAAGTGATTGCGTTTCAGGATCGCCAAACCGCACGTTGTATTCCAAAACACGAGGGCCGTCCTTGGTCATCATGAAGCCCGTGAAGAGGCAGCCGACGAAGGGGAAGCCTTCGCTCGCCATACCTTGTATCGTTGGCTTCAGCACCAACCTTTCAATCTCGTCCAACGATTCTTTGCTGACGATTTTTTGTGGAGCTGGAGCATACGTTCCCATACCGCCGGTATTTGGGCCTTTGTCGTTGTCGAAGATCCGCTTGTGATCTTGTGCTGGCGGTAAAGACTTGATTGTCTTGCCGTCACAAAAACTGAGAATGCTGATCTCATGGCCGTCAAGGAACTCTTCGATGACAACTTCGCTTCCGGCGTCTCCAAATTGCCTGTCCATCATGATCTCCCACAATGCGGTCTGAGCTTCCTCCTTCGACGTGGGAATGATCACGCCTTTCCCTGCGGCGAGTCCATCCGCTTTGATCACGATGGGATGTTTCTCCCAGACCGAATCGAGATATGCCTTTGCCTTGTCATAGGACGAGAAGTTCTCATACGCAGCGGTAGGGATATCATGTCGCTTCATAAAATCCTTCGAGAAAGTCTTGCTACCTTCCATAACCGCCGCTTTCTCCGAAGGACCGAAGCATTTGACTGAGCTAGCATGCTTTGCAAAGTAGTCGGTGATACCGTCTACCAAAGGTTGCTCAGGGCCGGGCACAAGCAGTTGAATTTTCTGTTTCACGGCAAAATCTGCAAGACCAGCAAAGTCTGAAGCGGACACGGAGTCCAAATTTTGTGTTTTAAGCAGTCCCGCAGTGCCGCCATTACCCGGACATACATAAATTTGCTCAACCAAAGGCGACTGCGAGAGCTTCCACGCCAACGCGTGCTCACGGCCACCATTTCCAACAAGCAAAATTCGTAAGTCTTTAGACATTGCGAGAGAAATTTTTTTGCCAGCAATTCAGTTTTTTGCTTAATTTCGAGCCGAACGATTGAAGCCCGGAAACTCTTGTAGGTTGTGACTCAGTCCGAGCTCTTTAAACCTTCAGATTGCAACACCAAATTCAATTAGAGAGCTACGTTCGAGAGCAATGGAAGGGAAGAACAGGTCCGGCCGTAGCTTTCTGAACATAAACGAAAATTTCTGGAACCAAGTTCGACTTGGATCACATGAATCGCAGCGTTCTCTGCACAGACCACTTGCGCGACATTTTTCTTCGCGTTTTGCTCCCAGCTTCTTCATCTCCACTACAACTCACGTTCTTTGCCTTTGAAGAACCAGGTCAAAATCGTCTAGGGAGATGTAGCCGTCTATGCGTATCGTAGCGTTGACGGAAACGATATCCTGTCTGACTGGCTACAGAAAGATGGCAGATAATCGTATTATGCTCATTCTGCTTTGTTTCCGTAGTCGGGCAAATTTTTTGCGTTGTATCGATCGAGTTCTCTGCCCTTCCGTACAGGCAACATATTCTCCAGCAAGCCTATCAGTGGCTTCATCTATGAAACCCTCCTTGTGATAGGTATACTAACATAACCAGTTCAAGATACTTAACTATACGTTTGCATTCCAGGTACGTACTCCTTCAGTCTTGATTTACCCTATCTTTCACTAGGATGATGTTACACTTAAGTTCTTCTTTTCCCGGCTGAGTCGACCATGAAGAGAAGCCATTCGGGTGCCTTAGCTAGGTAACCTGTTACTAGCCAGTAAACGATGTCTGATTTGGCTTCACATTTACAAATGATTGATCTACCCTAGTCAGCCAGCATTGCTAACAATGCTCTAGGAATTTAACCTTCTGTCTGTTACGGCGGTCTCGCCACCCAATGCTCGCCTTGAGAAATGCAACAACGCTCGATATTTAATCTGTCGAAACAACTGCTGTGGTCGTCGATGTCTCTCTGCTTGAAGATGCCAGCATAACCACGAGTTGCATGGAGCTTACTTGAATCATAACTGGTTGAAATGTCGGCTGTCTTGGGATAGCACAGTAATTTCGCTTCTAATGGAAAATGGTTTGCTATACACAGCATCGAGAGCTACAAAATTGGTTTCAATTTGGCATTTTTGGGCATAGATTTAGCAGCAGCTTTGATTTATCTGACATCAAAGTGTTAATAAGACCATTTAACCTTATTAAAGTTTCTGTGCTTTGTTGTTTCTGCTCCCGAACATGGACTGGTCAACTTGACCCAGTGAGATTTGGGAAGACGGCCCAATCGGTGCATTGGTCGGCTTAGGATTCCGTCGGTCACCATCGCGCACCAAGGCACTCTCCAACGGTGCCCGCGGATCCCGGCTTTGCTTAGTTCTCCAGATTTAAAAATCGAGGACGAGCTTTAGAACTCAGACAACTGAAAATTGAAATGGCTTGTTTAACGTACTTGATTCTAGCTGCATTTTCAGCTGCAACCGCCGCTAGAGAGATCGTTTTCCCACCTTCCATTCCACAAGTCCCATTTGGAGCTTTGTCCAATGACCCTATATCAGCGTTCACCGAAGTTCCCCCTGCTGTCGCCGGTTTGACAACGTTTGCGAATATACCACACGTATTCTGTCTTGCGGATGCTGCTAATGAAGCCGTCGAGAAGTTTGATATTGCATTTTTGGGAGCCCCTTTTGATACCGTACGTCGATGATATCTTTCACTAACCCTCTCAGCTCCATGCTCATCACGATCAGTGCCTTCTTGTGCCATTGATTGTCTGACTCGTATCGAATAGTTTCAAAATGATTAACAGGCTTTGTAGGCTACAACTGGACGACCTGGCGCCAGGTTTGGACCCGGAGGTATTCGACAGGGTTCTAGGCGGATCGAGCCTGGAGGTTACAGTATCTACACGGGTACGTGCTAAATTATGTGACAGTTCACTGTTCGTCCTGTGATTCAAGTAAGGTCGTTTAAATGTCCTCAGCCGATGAATAACGCGGCGAGAGCCGTGCTCTGCGCGGAACTGACGTTTCTTTTCACGCTTTGATGCAGCCTTTGTCGTACATGGAATATAGAGCTATATGTTCTCCTCACGATCTAGGGCATTACTGAAATCCTCGGTAGGAGAAAACTCATTTGATAGCTGGGCCAAGGTTGTAGACTGCGGAGATGCTCCTCTCACGTTTTTGGTTTGTGCACGCTGGTTAGTGACTCAACGGACTGTTTCTAATTCGTACGATAGGATAATACGGTTGCGCTAAAGCAGCTTGATCATGCTCATAAGGTATTTCTACCAGTCTAGATACAACATACCCGAATTCCGAGGCTGTACAACACAAGGGTCTTCGCGGATAAGACACTTAGTACCACAATCTCCCACGCCAATTAGGGATTTGATTTTAACGACGATTGATCAGATCATTTCGGGACGTGAAACTAATTCCTCTGTGTACCGGGTACCACGAATCATTGTCCTGGGAGGAGATCACACAACCACGCTCAGTGCTCTTAGATCAACATTCAATCGCTGGGGCCCAGTAAGCGTTATTCACTTTGATTCCCATATCGGTACGTCTAACTTGCCGATCTTGGATGTCCTTTAGCAACTAACTTGTTCTCAGATACTTGGGATCCTGAGGTACTGGGTAAGTTCACGGTCATAATTCAAATGCTTTGTGCTTATTGGAGCCAGGTGGTGGACTTTCACATTATGCGTAAGTATAAAAAGGCATTCTGGAGACGATATTTCTTGACTGTTCAAGAAACTGAGTTGACGTGAATTAGAGGAGTAAATCATGGGACTTTCCTACACATTGCGCATGAGGAAGGGTTAATTACAAACTCTTCTGTGCATGCTGGCATTCGTGCACCTGTCATTCGCAAGAAAGGTGACGTCAGAAACGACGTTCGTTGCGGTTTCGATATTATTCGAGCTCGAGATATAGATCGAATCGGTGCAGACGGTATAATCCGCAGGATCAAAGAACGTGTCGCCGGCAATAAAGTGTATATCTCAGTCGATATCGACGTACTAGATCCAGCTTTCGCACCAGGTAAGCTAAGCTGGAATATTCTGTGTGATGGTAATAGAGAACGTATTAAGATGTCACAGCTACGGGTACGGCGGAAGTCGGCGGCTGGAGCACACGCGAGCTGCTGACCATACTAGATGGTCTCGTGGGCCTGGAAGTAGTTGGCGCTGATGTTGGTAAGAAGATACGAACTTATTGACAAAGTCAGCAAACTTTGCTAACCATTTGCTATTAGTTGAGGTTGCGCCAATATATGATAACCCTGGAGAGACAACTCTTCTTGCGGCAGCTGAGGTTGCGCATTCGTTGTTGACCTTGATGGTGAAACAGCCAGTAAAACCTTGATGTTGAACGACATAGGTGATGTTACGATTTGTGGGAAGTTCAAGAGCTGCTACCTGTAGACTTAAGAATTAGAACGAATTTAAGGATGGTCTTTGGGAAAAGTAACGAGAAAGTTCTCCTGAGAGCTTCACTAGATTTATTCATGTACATGATGTCTCGGCATCCTGGCTTTATCTATTAGCAAGTACTAACTCGTCTTCCTTGCCAAGCTGATTGCAGTTGGTAGTATACCCTGAAGATTCCTTGGAACTGTTGTCAGTTCATTAACCAAAAGATACCTACGGTTGATTGGTGTTTCATGGAAGACCGCTGACATGAGCTCGTGAGCCGAGGTCGGAACCACTCCAAACCCGACGACCGTGAGGATCCTTCAGTACGACATCACGAGTCCCACATATCACACAGCTACTCGTGAGGATTTAAATCGTACCAAAATGACAGAGCAGGCCAGCACTGAACAGAAGAAGGAACGGTTCGCGCCAAAAGTTCCAGTCCAGCTTGACCCACCAAAAGACGACCCAATAACGCCGGAGTACCTGGCAATGTGCGATGGTGCGTGCGGCTTGATGCACTGGCAAAGTGCACTCGGAGCATCCAAAAAACAAGAGATTAACTGGCGATACAGGTGAGCACGAGGGGTACCCAACCTTAGTTGCGATCAAAGTATAGATCCTAGCAATCCCAATTTAATATTCAGAAGCTTATCCATTCAGGGCACTGTGTTCGACGTTAGCAAAAATGAAGCCTATGCACCAGGAAAGAATTATCATGGTAAGGATCCTTTCTTCCCGGAAAGGTGTTCATCTACTCCTGCCTTGCTACGATGTTGATGACGATATCACTTTAAGGTTGCCGTCTTCGTTTGAAGTTCTGATCAGCTGAAATGCTGGCCTTCTTTTCTTTATGAACAGTGCTAATACGTGCATGTAGTCTTTACTGGAAAAGAACCGAACCGCGCCTTGGGCTTGTCTTCCCTGAAGCCTGAAGATTGTGTTCCAGAATGGGAAGACCTTGATGACAGTTCTAAGAAAACTTTGGACGATTGGTATACTTTCTTCAGCAAGAGGTACAATATTGTTGGGAAGGTGAAAAGAAGCTGAGTGGGTATAGCGAATGTAGTCTTTTCTTTTCTCATTTTTCTTAAAAATTATCGATTGAGCGAAAAATCAGAGTGGAAACCTTTGCTGTAACCAATGTCGCACTCCTAACATAGGATAGTACAAGTCCCGTCGCATGGCGAAGCTTCTGCTATAGAAGACTGGGGTACATACCATCAAGGAGTTTCCGATGGGGAATTTCATCTAAACATGTTGTGCACAAACACAATTTGCGTAACATTGCCAGCCGAAGATCCGGTTGCAATGGGGCCAAACTCTTTGTTCTGCTCAACCAAGAGGGAAGACTAATTCTATAGTGGTAAAAACCAAGCCATGCATTTTCATCTTGAATTGAACTGTCCATTGCCAATTATTCTTTAGCATGCTCTGGGGAGATAGCGACATTCGCCAATGGAGGGTGTCATGACTTATATTGATTCTTTTAATTCCCAGCAGGCTGCCAACGAAACTCCGTGCAAGACAACACCTGTTTGTAATAGAACAAAAGCACATCGATGTACGGAAGTTTAACCACAACCTCTGCAACTCCAATAGAAGAAATCTTACACGACCTGATCTGTTCGCCATGAATTGCCGATGCCACAAATGCAACAAATACAAGGGAAGGACGACATCACTCTCTGTTACCCACGTAACCAGTTGCTTGGTATGCCGCGTTTGCCATGAAATGGCGCGTCCTTGTGCATCGTGGGCATATATCACCGTGAATATTGAGCTCTCTGTTCACAGTCCAGGCGCCGTAGCACCTATGCTCTGGATCATTGCGGGCGAAGTGGCAATGCTTATAGATACGAAGCTGTTGATGACCGCAGCTGTAATTCAGACCTTCGTACTGACACATGACTTGACTGGGAATTCCTAATTAGAAACGGGTGTGGTTAGCCCTCGAATCTATGGAAATAGAGCCGGCCGTTAAAATGGGGATTTGAATTGATGATAACGTGTGGGCTTACCCGCTGCAAACGGTCGAAATAGTATATGTGCTTGGATTGGCTGGATTTTAAAGGGAAGTTTATGGTGAAATTTGTGTTTTGCTGGAAGCTTAGGGCTTTAGCAGAATGTGATAAACTCACACTTACGAACAAATATGTGTCGAGAGGGACTATTTATGCCCGATTACGTGACCAGGGGCTCTATTGCTGAACTCATCGGTCCAAGCAGGCGACGACTAGCATAGTTTACATGATATTCAACCAGCTAACACAAAAAGCTGATCTATAACATGGCTGAGGAGTTGCAACCAGCCTTGTGTATAGTCCACCGCTCCACCGGAATGCACACCGGCGCGACCACAGGGCGTTTACGTGCATCGTTATTCTTGAAAGTGAAAGAGCGGTATGCATGGTGCCCGCAGACGGCGTCAAACGTGGAAAATGGAGTGAAACGCTTCACTAAAAAATCATCCCTGTCGTCGGCAACATAAGGAGTAATGGAGGTATTTTCAAGCCCAAAATTTGCTTCAAGGTCTCTGTCCGTAAATGGATTGCCTCCTTTCCGCAAGCCTGGCGCGTGGAAGCACGAATGTGGAATCCTGGTGAGGTCAAATAGGACAGAATCTATCAGCATCGACAGGTCGAAAAATTCAACTGCTTTATGTTGTACAAGAAGCTCGGCCTTCCACAGAGAGAAGTCCTACAGGGCAGCAGTCTCCCGTTTGGCTGAGGCAACTCAAAAGTTCACGACCAAATTGACAACATCTCTGAATCTATATAATAATCGTGAATCATTAGCAGTGCTGTTGAAACGATTTTGTATGACTTGATCAGAGGCTTCAGTTCCCTACGAAAGATTCTGCACAACCATATTCATATGGAAGGCAATGAAGATGAGGACAAGAAGGAACGACGATTCAACAGCTCGTTCTACAAAGATTTCGCCACGATCGGATGAACAACATGAGAAACCACGCCGCGCAGTTGGAAACTAGATGATCTGCGCGGGAATGAAAAAAAAATTGTACTTTGTGAGACTCTTTTTGAAATTCGTGAGCAGATTAGGGGAGGGCAAAGCTTATTCATCGGTTTTGATCGACGTATTGAATGTCTAATGCTTAGGCTTAGGCCTTGCTCATTCGTCTCTGAATCTTCCGTGCTCGTCTCTTCTTCGCTATTATTTTCCTTTGTTTTGACTTTGAAATGTCATCTTTGCCGCTTCTTCCGCTTGAATGATCATGGTCTCTTTTGCGTTCGTCATCTGGAATAGACGATGTGCTTGCGTCACGCTTGCGTTTTTTCCCTGCAGGCCTATTCAGTTCTTGGACCACCACTTGCTCCGTAGCACCAGTTCCTTGTTTCTTGGAGTGCTCTCGTGACTTGATTTCCTTCTCTTTGCGCCTCTTAATGACCTGAGCATTCTCAATAGCAAACTCGACAATGAGACGCTTCTTTCTATCCTGTATATCCTCCTTGGTGGGTTTCGACTTAGACTTTTTCTGTGTTTCCTTCGCCTGGTATTCAATTGAATAACCGTTAAGCCAGCGGAGGCCCATAAGAGCAGAGCGATGGGTGTAGTATTCAATGAACCCATACCCGCGACTACGTCCTGAGCCTTCCTCCACTTTACTGCCGTCTTTTCCTTCGAAGATGATCTTTGCCTGCTTAACAATGCCCTTTTTCTTAAGTTTACGCTCCTTGTCGGCTTTCCGCATTTCCTCTGAGTCGCGTGCTAGCTCTTCCTTCGAAAGAGGCTGACGTCGTCCCTCTTTGACATCAGTGGCGAAGCCAACGACAGCCTTGCGTGCCAGGTTCTTGAGTTCCTGGGACGTCACGCTGCGTGGAATGTTCCGAACGGACAGCCGGGTGAGACTCAAATGTAATGAAGGGTTTGTCTCAATCAGCTTTCGACGTTGCTTTGCACTAGCATCTCGCATTGCTCTCTCAGAAGCTGATAATTTCTGATACAACGGAGAATTTGAGGGTATTGTGCCCTCTCCTAGCAGGAAAAGTCGTCTCTTGTCTCTGTCGCGCTTGTTGCGTGAGGCAGTCCCCTCAGCTGCAAGGCGATCTGCCTCGTTTTTGTCCACAGCACGAGTAATATGCAGGACACGTCCATTCATAGTATATTTGCCCGTCGGGTCAGCGAGTTCATTTTCTAGGATCGATGGACCACTAGTAGCCGCAAGGCTTTTCTTTTCCTTGGAATTCGGTGGCTTTGCAACACGCGGTGCTTCCTTGAGACAAGCGTCTGCATCTGACTTCTTGTAAAAGCATACAAATCCTGTGCCACGCGGTCGCTCGGTTTCTTTGTCGATTACAATGCGTGCATATCGGACTGGTGCAATCTCTCCAAAATGCTCATAGAGATCATCATCTGTAGTGGTGAAGGGTAGATTCCGAATAAAGAGAACAGACTCATTGCCCGTCGACTTCGGCTTTCTCACGCTGTCATCCTCACTTTCATTCTCGCTGCCAACATCTTCATCCGCATCGTCCGCGCCATGATTACTATCGCCGCTCTCATCGTCGTCGCCATCGAGGTTGTCCGAGGATGATTCTTCCTCCTCAACGTCTTCATGCTCCGATTGTCCAGAATCTATGCGCTCATCTTCCACGGCCTCCTTTTTGAGCTCTTCTGTGGAAGTTGCTCGCGCTTGAGCCTGAGCCTTCTGCCAAGTTTCCTTGTCAGCAGCCCAATCCACAGCCAGAATTCTCCCATCGACTTCTTTTCCATTGACCTTCTCGAGAGCATGTTCAGCATTTTTTCTACCACGAAGCATAACGATGCCAAAACCTTTCATTCGGCCGTGGTTGTCCTTGGGCACAATTGCTTGATTGACCTTCCCAAAGCTCAAAAACAGCCGTGTAAGCTTTTCCGGAGTATCGACACTCCAAGGCAGGTTGCGAACGATCAACTTGGACGGCAACGGGGCTTCTCTTTCCTCTTTGTGTGGTCTTGCCCCCTCCGATGGGTCAACATCCTCTCTTTTTCGCCTCTCTGCGAAGTCAATCTTGAGTTTGTGACCTGAAAACTCAGTGCCGTTGAATTCTTCCAGAGCACGTTGCGCATCTTCGCGATCGGCGAACGTGACAAAGCCATATCCTTTGCACTTGCCAGAGTCCTTATCCGTGACTACGACAGCATGCTTGACCGGATACGACTGCGAGAAGTGGTTCGTGAGGCTTTCATGCGTAGTGTCGGCACTTAGACCGCGAATGAAGAGCGTGCTTGGGCTGATCGCACCTCTTTCATTAGAGTCCGTCGTTTTGGGATGGCTGAGCGCGGAGTCCGTAACGACAGCAGTACCGTCTTCAGAGATCTTCTGTTTTTTCCTGTGAGGGCCCATCCTTTTGTTTCCTTTTAGGAACCCTCGTTCGCCAGATTTGAGGTTCCAAATAATCTTGAGTTCAGACTCAGAAACTTTTTTTTCCCAGAAAAGTCAGGATCGAAGTACGCTAGACCACCAAGCTTCCGAAGATTTGCCGAGCGTCCCGATCTAAACACTCCTGGTCTTGTCACGAGGCCGATGAGAACGTTATGTTGGAAACACACATCCCAGTGCTCAATTAAAGCTGCCCTCTTGTATATTTCAATCCACTACAAATATCTTCATTCCGGTGCCTTCGACCAGCAGCCTATCTGTTAGGCTTAATTATATTTTGCACTTGCAGACAAGTCGATGTTCGTCAAAGTGAGCGACGTTACATTAGATTCTAAGGCCTATAACCTTACACTGCCGGACTTGAGTGCTTCGTAATCTTTCTCTGTAAATGGTACATATTCCTTGCCATCAATTGGCAGCCAGTACAACGTATCACCCGTCTCAGCAATAACTTTTGGATCTATTCCTTCTCTCTTGAGTCTACCCTTTTGCATCTTCAAAGTGCCAGTATAATCCAATTGAGGGGTCACACGGATGAAATAAGGTACGGCATAGCGTGGCAGTGCGCTTAGCACGTGTTGAGCAACGGACTTTCGATCAAATTGCTCTAGAGTCACACCCTCCGCCAACACAATGGCTGCCATTCCACAACGACCGTCCGCTTTCGGCACAGCAACGCCGTATACGTTTGCTTCGGCAATCTGAGGATGGCTACCGAGGACGTCACTCACTTCATTCGTGGATACGTTCTCACTCTTCCAGCGGAAGGTGTCTCCTAGACGATCGACAAAGTAAACGCGTCCATCTTCGTCCATGCGATGCATGTCGCCCGATCTGAACCACCTGCGTGCATCGTCAGCCTCTTGAATCCGTCTATCAGACGTTCCTGACTTACATGTCACCCTTCTTGAAGGCATCCCTGAGATAGCGCTTGTTCTCAGCTCCAGTGTTCTTCCAATATCCATTCCATCCGTCCCTCGGAGCCGATGGATCCACAATCCTATGTATAACTTCTCCGGGCTCATTCGTGCCGACAGGCACCACCCAGCCATTCTCATCGCGTAAAATATCTTCCGTTTCTGGATCGATCTTCACTCTGACCTCATTCTTTCCCATCAACAAGTTCCAAAGAGCTCCTCTTTTCGCAATAGCGAACTCCGTGAAGGGACCTTCGTTCCAATTCAATGCGGAACCCATTCCATCGGTTGCTGCGTACAGCTCGTTGATAACCGGTATGCCGAAGCGCTCACGAAAGACTCTCCAAACATCAGGGCGCATGCCATTTCCCCACGCCATATATACACTGTGATTTTTGTCGTCTGGACTAGGTGGTGCATTTACAAGATATCGACAAAGCTCGCCGACGTACTGGATGATGTTCGCTTTACTTTCTCTAACCTCTGGCCAGAACCTTTTGTGTGAGAATTTTCTACCGAGCACAAGCGTGCACCCCGAATGAATGACTGGGGCCACGCAAAGTCCATGGGCTGCCCCGTGGTACAACGGCATGCATGTGTAGAAGCGGTCGGTCGGTTTTAGTTTCAGATATTTCGCCATGGTATATCCAGTTGCTAGGATGCGCCCTTGCTTCATCGTCACGCCTTTGGGCAGACCTGTGCTACCGGATGTGTACATAATATATGCAATCGACTGGAAACCACGATTCTTGAGTTTCTCGTCCGAGGGCAAGGGGGTGTCGTCCATCAACGACTCCACGAACGCCCGGTCGTAGTATATTGTCTTGACCCCAGCTTGAGCTAGCTCGTCTATACACGGCTCAACAACGCCGGCATCCTGCTTGTCTGCAAGCAGGTATCGGCTATCAATGAGTTTCACGCAATGCAGCAAAGCATTGCCCGTCAAGTTGTTGTTTAAGAAGCTTGGTATAGCCCCGATGCCCTCCAATGCCCACCAGAAGACCAGGTATTCGGGAGAGTTGGTACCGTCCAGTGCGACAATCTCGCCTTCCTTGATACCAAGCTCTTTCATCAGCCAATTACCGACTCGAGTGACTAGCTTGAAGAACTCGCCATACGTATACTGTCTACCTTCATACATGACAAAAAGCTGGTTGGGTCGGTTTTTGAGACACTGGTCTCTTAGAACATGGAAATTCGTTAGGCGCTTTTCGGCCTCAGCTTTGGCGACGAAGCGTGCCGTGGAAATGCCGTTTAGGATCAAGCTTGCGTCATGAGTGAGGTGGTATTTGGCGTTGAGGTATGCTGCCACAGCTGTAGTGCCTGCAGCAGCAGCCGCGAGTGGGAAAACTGGTAGTCTCGTATTAGCTGACTTGGAATTTCAAGATCTTCTCCAGAACAGATTTCTCACTTGGTAGGGGCATATTCGTTCTTGGACCTCACGGCACGAAGTACGCAGTGTTCTACCTCCCGGGGAGCCAAAAGCTTCGATTAAAACTGCATGCAGGACAATACACAGTATTTAACTCTAACCTTTGTTGCTTCAGCAATGTCATTTGACGCTGACATAGCCGACTCAGCTTTCGCGGACTGTTTCCACCAGGCAAAACCGAGGCTGACCAAAGCACTTTACGCGGGGTAGCGCGGTGGATCCGCTGCAGGATTGGGGCGGATCATTTGCCAAGGAGTGCGGAGGCCACCAGAGGGCTGCCGAAGCGATTGGATCGTACATGAAGAGCAGTACACTGGCGACGGAGGAACGACGACACTTCCGAGATGTTCTTCAGGGGTTTTATATGATGCGATCGAAGGCCTAGAGCATACTTGATCACTATGCAGCCAAACCCGCTTTGCCGAATCACGTGGAACTAGTTGTACCATCCACCAAAACGACGAGCGATAGGAGCCAATCTCCACATTCTACCTCTTTGCCATGCATCTACGGCACCAATGACAATGGAATCTTCGCATCGCACAAGATGCTATTAACAATATGTTATTGCTTTGAATATAGGACTTTGGTTAGCAATGATACCACCAATTCCGGGCACAGCACCAAGATACTGAAATGGCAACGTCTGCATGACCTTCGCGAAGACATCTACAATCTCTTCTCCATCTCTTTTATGACTTGAAGTAGTGCTCATCAGCGTGAATTGAACATTATCCTCTTTCTCCGCCTCTCTGGAAGGGGTATTTTCTTGCTTTCAAAGCCCCCGGTGACAAACAATTCTCGTTTCTTGTGAAGATAACCATATCAAAAGATAGCTCTGGCACGCGCTGTGATTTATCATCTCAAGTCCCTACTATCCGTCCAGGAAGCAGAAATTCCCCGCCTTGCAATCGTTAGGAATCATCACAATGCTAGAAGAGTACTAGTATACATATAGAACTTTCTACAAAGTGAGTAGCATTAATTGAATTATGCAATCGCCAGACGTGTGATTGTACTAATGCTCAAGATGAGTGGGGTTTGAATAGCAAAATAGCTAGGCTTCAATCTACGCGAGATAGTTGTGAAAAAGGAGAAACGAGAAGGTAATTCACGATGAAAATTATGCATTACTAGTACTAAACTGTGGTTGATTTCCTCCAGAACTCGTTTATCCATATCATCTTCGTGAGCCCATGGACTCTGATACAACAGCCGTGAAAAGTCTCGTCAAGCTTAGAGCGTGGCCTTTGCCAGTTCGCTTTCGAAATGGTTATCGTTGACCTTGCAATTCGCGGCCCCAAAGTCGTACGTGTTCAACGTGCCTGGTGTCAAAATTAACATTGCGAAACTTCTGAAGAATGCGAACAAAGGCTGCGGAGGCTGCTGGAAGGCACACTGCACGCGCGTGATCCTGTACTGATGATGATGAAAGCATGGAAAGCAAAAAGCTACTCACTTCTGGCGGCATCCGTAAGGTTCTCCCACGCGATCATCGGCTGCTGACCGCCTACGGTGGACGTGAAATAAAGCGCGTGATCTAGTGGCCAGATACTTTCGTACTCGATCGTGGGTTCACTGCCATCTAGATGTGGGCTGGTCGAGGTGGAATACCCGCTGTGCTGTGACACGGCTACACCAAGAAGTGTGGCATCGGTGGACTCGCTCGATAGCCACACGACTATGTTCTCCCAGTCGTAGCGATGTCCTATTCCTGGTGAAGGCTCGTCTTTCGGGAAGAACCAGGCATACATGATAGCGAAGTAGCCATTGTATGTCTCACCTCGCACATACACCTGACCTGTCGAGCTGCTGCATCCCGAGGACGAGCCGCCGCTGGGGTTGAGTCCTCCGCTATCAGTTCAGTCAGCGGACGTCCGTAAAGGCGTTGGGTTTGAGGACTGACGAAACATTGCCATCGGCATCTACGGCCGGAAATGGAACGCAGCCATTCGCAACGTAGAGATACGGCTTGTATTTAAGGTACAAGTCCCCGATCGTGCCGTCTGGCACAGCTTGTGCGAATCCAACCACTGCGTCATGGTCGATGACCTCGTAGCGGCGATGCAATCGATGCGGCGCAGCTGACGTGAACAGACACAGCGCCGCTATTGTCACAAAGCGAGCAAGCGAGAGCAGCATCGTCGTGAAGCGTCGGACGAATGAGTGGTGGTTCCAACCCGTTAGACTGCTTCGACAGAGACCTTGTATGATTATATACGTCCGGAACTCTGCCTGCGTGCATGACTTTGAGTACGTCTACCGTTGCGCACATCAAGTAATGACTTCCTTATCGAGTCTCTCAGTCCGAACCACCATGCATGGCCAATTGCTACAGGGGGGTTTATGAAGCAATTGAAAGACGTGGTAGGACGTCGTGGGGGCGTGGTCTCTTATGCCACTGGTCCAGAAGATCTCGTGGCCGCAGCATGAAAGAGCCCGCTGGGTTGGGTGGCGTTGTTCAACGGCTGGACGAAACAGCGCTGCACGTGTCGCGGGATTGGCGACTGGAACAGCTAGTTTGATTGCGGCGGCGGCATGGGTGCTTCGCTGAGGTCAGTCATTTAGGGCTATGAAGCCGATCTCATGGGTGTAAAGCAAGGATGTTTGATTTCTGTTTACATCACCCAAATTTGACCTTAAGCACACCGTCAAGTCCTTCGACGGCACTGGCAACCATATCATCTACATATCTTCGCAGTTGCTCGCCCCCTGTTAGCCTTTCGATGACGCTTCCAAGACCTCCACCTTTAATGATGTCTAGCACTTTTTGTCCACCGTCCGTCTTTAATACTTTCTGCAGACTTCTTGCCTGTTTCTGGACAGCCTCGCCAAGCGCTCTCGCGCTGCTTCTAATTCCGTCTACGACCTTCATGGAGATAGCACTCTGGGCGTGATGGCCTTTTTGCTTCACCAACGCCGCCGCGGAGACAGCGAACAAGGTACATGCTTTTGCAAATTCGAGGTGCAGGTACCAACATTCAAACTCGTTGAAGTGCGTGAATTCAAGTCCATCGTCATGGCTGACATTCATGCCCTGTGTTTGCATTGCTAGGGAGGCAGCCTGTAAGCATTCCGTCAATGCTGCTAAGTCTTTTGCGATGTTTCGAGATGCGTGAGAGTTCTGAGGTCCAAGGACTAGCCAGAAAGCGACGGACAAAAGTTTATTCCACTTCTGCGAAATTTCTCTCTCGTCCTCGGTCAGCTCGGACTCCTGAGAGCTGGCATGCTCGTCCAGATACTTCAGAAGTTGATCGATGATCTCGCTCTGTTTGTCGCTGATGGCGCTCGACTTCAATCCCAGAAGCACAGATATTATCTCATTGACCTGCATCCGTACGGCCCAGTATGTCTATTTTCGAGTCAGTGAAATCCACTTAGAAAATCTGTCACATACCCCAGGTTTGAAGCCCCCAGTAGCAATTGTTTTGGAAGACAAAGAAGATTTCGATGATTCGAAATCAACAATTGGTGCAAAATCCCTATTGTCAGAGAATGCAAATGAGTATGATTTTGGAATCTCGGTCGACAATGGCAGATCGTCCGTTAAGCGCTTTATACGCTTCAACTCGAGCCCTGACATCGTGGTGCTGTACGAATTCGTGATCCGTGCATTGAAAGCAATGAACTCGTTGAATTTATCGAAGAAGACGCTATCAAGGTCTTTAGTCAAAGTAGTCAGTGTTGCATCGGTAGCAGATCTAGGCCACAACAGTGAAAATCGAATGCTCGCTTTTGGATCTTTGTACCTATCTTCCCATGCCTTCACATCCGATGACGAGACGGGAAATGGATGGAGGGTTGAAATACGTGTATAAAGCAGATGGCCAAGTGTGTCGTATTGAACTTCGCGCAGGCTGAGGTCACGGAATGCGGCAATCGCAATTGAACCCAGGCCGAGAGTTCGGGCATTGAGGAGTTGTAAAAGCGTCGCGTTAAAGTTGTATTGTGAGTTGTCGCGAAGGAGTTGTGCTAAGCATCCGGCTTGAAGATTGTATGTGTTCGAGATCGTGTAGCCCAGTTTCATCAATCCAGCTATCGCGAGGATGCAAGCATCGTCACTAGGCCCGTCCTGCTTTTCAGCCATGGTCTGGTAGACATTGAGACAGTCTGCTATGAAGCCAATGACTTCAGTCTCTCTGCCTTCTCCCAGCTGGGAAATATATAGCAGATAGCGAAGTTTGAGGGAGTTGATCATTGATGTGACGCGACGCAGCAAGACTCTTTCGTCCTCGCCACCCTCGGGCTTCGATGATCCAACTTTTGATAAATAGTCACAAAACGCCATCTGCAGTAATCTCGTTAGTCCTGGTTGTAGAAACTGAGGATGTTTATCCACTTTCCTTCTCCTCATTTTCTAATCCTTCGACCATTCGTCGCAAATCATCAAAGCATGACACTCTACTGCATTGCGCTTCAAAAAATGCCTTGCAGGCAGAGAGCAACTGAGCTTTCTTGAAAAGGGATGTGTACAGTAACACCGCATTTCCCGCGTTACGGTGATGCGGGTCCATGGTTAAGTACTTTTGAGCTAGATTGAATATATCCTCTGGCGAACCCGAGGACCCATCCTCGACAATTGCATTCAAAGCCGTTTTCCAGGGTTGCCACGAGACGGCCCATGCAAGATGATTCGGCACATCTTGCGTGATCTTTCCGGCAGCTTCGTAGTGCGAGCAGAGTTTTTCAAGACCTTCCATACAGAAATCTTCAAGCTCGCGCCACCGCTTAAGTTTACAAAGCACATCCATTTTGATGAGCACAAATTCAACGTCATGCTTTCCAACGTGAGACGTGATCCCCATCTCCGGATGGTTGAGTACGTCAAGCAGATCCTCGAAAAGCCCTTGGCAAGAGTAAACCTGGCATAGCAGGCGTAGATCTGCAGGCGCTGTGAGTTTCTTGATCGTGTCTTTTCTGGCCGCGGTATTATCAACAATTGCTCTGAGGCTCCTGCTGGCAAGCAACTTCAAACTCTGGCCCATCTTATCATCTTTAGGGAGCTTGTCCGCTTGGATCTGACAGAGTGCAATCCATGCAAAGTGATATTTTGAATTTTGTGGTAGTTCTCTTTGCAAACGGGCAAAAAGCTGGCACAGATTAGTGGTCAGTCTTGATCAGCACGTGAAGGTCGACTGACTTGCTGGGCAATATCCCAGTAGCCATTTCTCAAAGCAGACGACAGCATCTCACCCCGAAGGTCTTTCAGCCACTGCTTTGGACATTGGTCGAGTGCGTCTTTCCATAAAGACGACAGTCTCGCGCCGCCGACGCCTGTAAAATTCCCGAGTTCTTCTTGGCAATCTCTCACGATATTTTGCAACGAGATGATAAGACCCGGCTCCAGAGGGTCCTTCGGCGATGGTTTGATAGCGTCGCAACTGGCGAGAGCATCTTGAGGACGCCCTATGTCCCGTAGAAATGAGGCCTGCGCAAGCTACGACGGGTTAGTCTGCTGATTACCATCACACGTGAAGACACAATGTACGAGGTGTATGATGTTGCTTGGATCTCTCTGCAATTTTTTCTTGCAATATTTCAGCCCCTGCTCCGGAGTTCTGGAGTAGCTTTCGACGAGGTTGTCGAAAACCTCGATTTTGGATGGCATTGCGGGCGAGGAATAATTATTCGTGTCGAAAATCAAGGACGATCTACAGCTTGAAAAGGCTAGCCAATGACTGAAGGCACAGTCTTGGCACAAAGTCCGCGGTTGCACCGTACCGAGAGAACAACAAATGCTGGATTCGCAGCGAAGGTGCATTGAAGCGGAGATAGAACTGCATTGCGACAAGGCTATCTAATTGCTATTTTCAACACCACTACGAATGCATCTGGCTTTTCTTTACTGCTGTGCATTGTGACACAGATTCACTGCAAGCCTAACATCCTTCCCCAGTGTTTCCTTTTTTCAATTCGTGCAAGCCATGCAGCTTGCAGGATGTCCTTCCTGTCCATTATCACCGCGTTTTTCACCTGTGGTGATTGCCAATCACGCGAAATAGCAAAAGCTTAGATTCGCTCTCGCTAGGAGCTTCGCATATTGAACGCTCAGCCTCGTGGCAAAATGTTCGCCTCTTCGATTTATCCGTCATGTTTGAACGTTCTATAACGATGTTTGTGGGTCGTATGGACAACGTCGAGGCAGATTTGAATTGGATATCATGGTCCGAAACCTCTTTTCTTCCTTAGCTGGTGAAGCCGGTTAGTAAAAGCATCCAGTTTTTGACGATGACTTGTACTTACCCATTCCTTTTTACATGCACGATACGCACTGTATCAAAAGGTGGTTAGACTTCTGGGGCTAGAAACGAGATGTGCAATGCGGAGAGAAATTACTCGAAATAGTCCTCGCACATGTTCTTGTCTCCAGCATTTCTTTGAAGACACTTCAAGCTTCTTGAGGCTGCTTCTTGGCATGGATCGTAGTACTTGCTATGTGGTTTACTGCGTGAAGTCAGACACTGCAGGAGAAAAACTTGTTCTAGATATAGGCTTTGGGTAGAGTTCGGAAAGTCGGATTGATGCCGAAACATACTCACCTCTCGAATTGTACCTTCTTCTCATCGGTCCACGGCGAACCATTATCACCATTGACACTCTCTGAGGCCATCGCGATGATAGAGCACGTACAAGGATGCAGCACAACACGCTGAGGAACTGTCAAGTGGTCGTCCGACTGGAGCGATCTTCGCCGGACCAATTGGGCCTAGTCCCATCTGAAGCTATCGATAAAGTCGTCCAGAAGCGCTCACGTCGGTCAAAGCTATCACCAACCTTGATTCACGGCCTCCGTCGAGCTTCTTCCGAAGCCGGCCTTGCTCATGAACGTGCCAATGAACGATCGTGAGCTCTAAAATTCCACACCTGCCATGTTGTCGCTAGCCCCAAGTCACGATTGGCTTCAAGCAACAGATGTCTGCTTCGACACCACAAATTCCTCTTCCGGGCGAGATAAGCAAGGAGTCTTTCAACAGATCAGGCCGCTTTATAGATGTCTCAAACCCGTCCAAGGTGCTGGAGACCCCTACGCCCAGTCACAAAAGTTCGACATCCAGCTCGTGATGAGGGGAGTCAGCCGATAACATTCCGAGTCGTCGGCCACAACTATTACGTTACCGAAATCAAGTCGGTCCAGTGTTGCTGTAAAGCACGCTTCGACACGGTATCAGCTTCATAGTGCGTCTACAAGGGCGAGTGTCACAGTTCTCACGATGAGAAACGATAAAGTACCCCGGAAAACACCCAGCTGAAAGCGATCCCTCTGCGCCCGATTTGGGCATTCTTTCCATCATCCGCCACAGCTTCCCTAGAGCCTCCACTTTTGATACAATATGCCCCTCCACACCTTGTTTCTCCTTGAGCCAGTCAGCAATTTACATCTCTTAGCTCTGCATTTTCATTGGACGCTTGACCACTGGACAAGTCAGGTGTGCTTAGCTCTCCTGACCGATCTATTGACTAAGCTAGGAATCTACCTCCAAACGAGACTCCGCTCTCGTTACTTTCCGCAGTACTTAGCGACTTTCAAAATCGGATAACTAGCTCTGGTATTGGTGAAAAGCCATTATATTTCTCAATCATACAATTCAGGAAGACGTGAGACACTGCAGTAATCCACAACTCTGCAATGCGCATACTTTGGGAGTATACGAGAAACTGGGGCTGATGCGTGTGCAGTCTCTCTTTGCCAAGGCCTCACGACTGCGACGAGAATATCAATGGAACGGTTTTCCCAAAATAATTTCAACGCTACGCAAGCTGTTTCTTGCCATGTGTTGCCATGAGTTTTGGGCTGGACAATACACATGACCGACGCTACCAATGAAATGTGGCGCACGGCCCGACAGGCGTGTGATAAGAGAAACTAATGATCATGGATCAAAATCGCGAACGAATAGTTCCAGGATCGTGGCTCCAGAGCTTCTCCACAGAAGTTTGAATGGGAGTCATTAGTGAATTTAGCAAACGAGTCCTGCTCAACAGTTATGCCTGAATCGATTAGTGCGGACAGCTCACAGCGCGCTTGCGGCATCTTCACCGATTGACGGTCTCGCCGCATGGAACACAGAGATTGCAACATGATCGCCGTTTTAACTAGTGTGGCTTTCATGTGCTCCAGCGGCTATACCCGTCTATAAGAATGGTTTCTCAACGGCATATGGTCAAGTTCTTGGGCTCTACTATCATTTCAGATAGCTAGTATCAACACTTTCAGACATTGGCACTCCACAGATCATTATTAGAAACTCAAATCGGTTCACCGCTAAGCCGAGTTTAGTTGGATTCCAAAGATCTCCTCCCTCTTCACAAGTGATACCTCTATATTTCAATAGTGTGCTTAATACCCACGAATGATCTAAAGCCATCGCTGTACCTACTTCAAACTGACCTCAACGATAACAAATAACAGTTCTGCGCTGTTATACTAGTAACGGCTGTATTCAGTCTTGTATTTCTTGGATTTACGCGATGACAGAGGTCCTTAATCCATTTCAATCCTCGATGTTGATGGCACTTGATAACACAACATGTCAAGCCGACCTGTCGACACCATCTTCTTTTAAAACCAAGATGACAGTCAAAGAGGATTTCGACGCATCAAAACATCTCATATTCGAAATGCCCGAGGTGGTTATGATGGAAGATATTGGTTACTCCAAAGATGTTGGCATTTCTCCTGTGGCAGTGTCAAAGCCATTCCAGCTATTTTCACACGACGCGGTCATGCAAATGCGCCGCGAAGTTTTTGATGTTCGGGATAATCATCCAGAGAATATGTTCCAAAGCAATATTGCGCCCTGTCAGCTTCGAGGCTATGTTCCCAAGTAAGTCTAGAATTATGACCTTGAGTCATGCAACTAACCAGTTCCAGATATGCGCCTTTTACCTATGATGCATGGACACATCCGGACACTTTGGCGGCCATCTCAAAGGTTGCTGGCGTTGATCTTGTGCCTTGGGGTGATTACGAGATTGCTCACATCAACTTGTCCACTAAGAGTACCGCACAAGTTCAGCTCGAACTCGATGAGCTTGAGAGCAAGAAACGCGCTCATGCAGAAGACGAGGGCATTGGCGGTTGCCCACATGAGGACGAAAAACCAATTGTCGGGTGGCATAAAGATAGCTATCCATTTGTCTGTGTCCTCATGCTCAGTGACTGCACCAATATGATAGGCGGCGAAACCGCCATCCTAAAGGGTAATGGCGAGATTGAGCGTGTTCGTGGTCCATCCATGGTAGGTCATCAGTTTCCTAAGTTCTGTTGTTCTTTTGATTTTGAGGCTCACTTCTGGTAGGGATGCGCTGTGGTCCTGCAAGGGCGATACATAACGCACCAGGCACTTCGTGCCCTTGGTGCCACAGAGAGAATTACTGCTGTCACTTCATTCCGGCCTAGGTCGTCAATGCTTCGCGATGATACCGTTCTTAATACTGTGCGTCCTATCTCCGACTTGTCCACTTTGTACTACGAATTTTCTGAGTACCGACTGGAAATGCTTGTGGATCGGTTCCAAGCTCAACTGAAGAAACTTCGTACTGAGCACCGCGCTGGGAAGAAAACCGATGTTACTCAATTACTCTCGTTCCTGAATGAACAGCAAAATTTCATCGCTCACATGACCCGTGAGATCGTGCCCTACAATGACGTTATCAAGGGCTTACTACCTAAAGAACATGTCCCAGACGACGCGCCCTCTGAGGACGCCACGCCGGGAGGGTTGAGTTATCTCGAGGGAGGGACTCCCTCGAAACGACCTCGAGTAGACTAGACCATGTTCTGAATAGGCAGTATGACCAAAGATATTATGCTTTTCGCGGGGTTTTACATGAGAAGTGTTTCACGTACGTCTCGGTTGTTCTCGCATGGTGTTTTGGTGTATCATAGAATGGCACAACCTCTAATTTTACCTATTTCTAATCAATCCAATCCGGGAGGCTGGTTTGGCTTCTCGCTAGGTCCAATCACAATATATCTTGTCTTAGTATAGTTTTTTTTGTTCACTCCCTCCGATATGCGAGCCGAGTAGTTCTGAGCACTGTTAGTATCTGAATAGTATCCGTCACGATCAAACGACAAAGATGACATCGCGACAAGACAATTCAACCCATATTGGCCATCTCGTTAGCTCTTATCGTATATCATACCTGCTGTTCGCAGCAATTAGAGACAAAGGTTAACAAGGATTAGATCGGCGGAATGGCGAAACAAGGCTACTTGGAGAAGGCAGCCGTATGTCGCTATGTCCTTGAGCCAAATAGGAATTGTGGTCCTGGGTTGAAATCAAACACCTCGATTCCAAGCTAATCCGTTGCAGGATATGGATCTTCATTTTAAAAGCCGGGCTCCTTATCCCAGCATTTTAATCCAACGCTCTGAATGGCTCCTGTCCCATTTTTGCTCACCGAAGAACGAAGGCAGAAGTAGATCAGTGATCCTACTTATGGAGATGTGTCTGCGTATGATTTCTACTAATTTGGTCATACGGACGCAAAGGATCGAAAGCTACCTGGAATCAGTGACGATCGGAAAGCTCATGTTCGAAGCCTCATTCCTTACGACGCGAAGCTAGATTAAGAGCTAAATTCCGGGCTAATGACCGTTTGTATGCTTGAGAGCGTGCCTAGATCCGGAAGGGTTTGCGGGTTTGGTATCGGCCTGGTAAGTTGAAAGTCTTCGAGCTTCTGAAGATTTTCGATTCGCGTTTAGAGAGTGAGAGAGAGTCACATCCCTTCATTTCCTAGAATAACTCGACATTTTGGATACACGAAGACGTCACTTATCCTCGTCCCACGGGCATATTCACTCATAAACTGGATATCGCGTCCGTGCCAAGGGCCACATGAACGCGAATCCGCTTCAAATCGTCACAAAGACTGTAGTGCAGGTAATGCATCGTGCCGGTAAGGATGATACCTCGACGTAGAAAGTTCATCCCAAGAACAAATCATCCCTCCATTAGATGAAAATAGGCTATGTGCATCACGACCACATTTGTGCAAACTGGCTTCGAGACATACAACGTTAATCTAGAAATAGACAATGAAATGGGGGGATGTGAATGAACTAAACAGTCTATTCAAATGTGCTTTGAGCCCGTGTCCCGAAAGTCGAAACACACCAATTCGTGATACTGTGGGAACATCGTAGACTGTAATTTGAATGCCTCACATATCAATCCGATCTTAGATCTCGCGACGAATATGAAGTCGACTATCTCCCTGCAAGGTTTTTTTGGCTGTCGACATCATGATGGGAAGACAAGAACACAGACATGACAAACGGCACGTGACGTGCGTCTGAGGTCGCCAATTTACACTCTTGCTGGATCACAGGCACAGCATATGTCGAAAGTACTGCTGCGTTCTCGACAGTGCAGGAATAACCTCGGTGTTCATCTCACAAGCCCGGTGTAAAGGATCTGGTTGAGGACTGCGCCGAGCCACAAGAATGCCTCTTTGTCTGCCATGTACGACGTTCTCTTATATTTTTGTATTCCCGGCCCGCCGTCCACAAATCGCTGACAGCCAGGTCTGTTCCGCAGCAGTGGCTTAAGTCGTTCTCGCGAGCCAAGGTCGCAAGGCGCAAGTGCGTGATCACGAACTGTCGAGCAAACGCACCAATAACATCTTGGCTCCTTGAAATCTTTACACGAAGATGCATCGGCTATCGCAGCCGGCTACGCGGAGACAGCCAACGAACGTGATTCCTCGCCGTACTGTATCTGTGCTGACGGATCGAAGTTTGGGAGCAAGCCGCTGTTGCTCTTTAGATGTGATGAGAGTGCTCAACACATGAATTTTTGCCAGAGACATAGCCAATCGCAGGACGGCATGAGACGACAATGAATAAATTTTCGAACGATTCGCTGAGACGTGTTGTGTTATTCGAAGTATCGTTGTCCGCTCGATGCGATTGGCTTTGGGACAGTCCCCACTCTACGGGAACATCCCACATCAAACCTTCAGCCCATGCCTTGGCCTTGCAAACCTCGCGTGCTTTTCACATCTCACCCACATCACATCATGACCGAATTCACCGCCCGTTCGTCCTCATCATACGACTGAATTTTCAATGCGTTAGCCATGAGTTCATCCTCGCAAGGAATTGCTGGTGCTGCGGAAAATTCCCGCCGCACGGCAACACCACCGACACGAAGTTCCCCTTCACCCCAGGCTACGCAGCCGTCTCCTACTGTGCCGTCCAGCCGTCCTGGCAGTTCTCATGTAGCCCAAAAGCAGCCTTCGGCCAGTCAACTTAGTGCAAAGGCCATGACTTCTTCCAAAAGCTTTGAGAACGCCAGGTCGTCGCGCGGCAGCCGTGACAGCCTAACATCTCGTCCCTCGAAGACGCCGGATGTACCACCCCCCCTTTCGAACGTGAAAGAAGAGGTACGCCGGCCAGGAGTTAGAAGAATACGGAGTATTGATTGAACTGACAACGTGCAGCTCCTGAAGTTGCTTCAAGCTAAGATTGATGCCATTCGGTCCATCCTTACCTGCAAGATATGCTATGGTCTGCTCTATGAACCATACACCACAACGTGCGGTCACACCTACTGCTATGTCGTAAGTTAAGAATACCTTGCCTATCTCTTTTTGTTCATGGATATCTAATTCATACAGTGCTTCTGCAAATCTTTCCAACCAAACCAAATTCCAACCTGTCCGGAATGTCGAGGCAAGTTGTCCAGTCCCCCTGCACCTGCCTACACCGTTCGAGAGATGACACACGCGATCATTTCATGCCAGGAGCTTTTGCCTGCTGGAGAAAGCATGGACGATCATAAAACGTGGCAGAAGGAACATGCCGACATCGTCCAAAAGGACAGGGACAACAAAACTCCTGGCGGCAGTGGTCTTTGGCGCGGCTTCTTCCGAAAACGAAGGCCACGCTTGCATCCAATTCGGGACGCGGAAGACAACGTTGATCGATGTCCCTTTTGTACTTGGGAACTCGAAGACGGCATGTGTAATCGCTGCGGGCTTCCCATTGACGAGGGCGGCAACGGCGATTGGGAATTCAGTGATATCGCTTCAGAGCACCCAAGCATGATGGGCGGTCATGATATTGTCATTGACGAAGAATATGACCCCGAAGATGATTATTTGGACGATGACGACGAAGAAGGCACCTGGCAGGACTATGACGAATACACTGAAGATATAAGCTGGGGTCAGCCATTTGCTATTCAGCGCATGCTGGGTGGATACACCCCGCGCAGACGGCGACTTGCGTCACATAGTGCTGCAGGTAGCCGAAGTCGCTACTCCGCCAGTGTACACGAGTCGGAAATGGGAACTTTGGAAGAGGAAGATGAGGAGGAGGATGAAGATTCGTCCATGAACGGTTTCGTCGTTGACGATGAGGAAGCAAGTGGGTTTTCACGCGAGAGCACGTCTGCTTCGGATTCGCAATTCTCACAAAGCATTGTCGAAGAGGAAGATGACGTGGAAGAAGATGAGGGACCTGTTGTTCCTGGAAGGCGACATATTCAGCAAACACAGTCCACTACAACTGGAGCGACAAGTAACACTCGCCGACGTTCACCAGATAGACCGCAACTACAAGCGTCTCAATCCAGTAGACGTCGGCGAGTCATCTCTGAGTCGCCTTCAACGGAATCAACTTCCTCTGCGTCGGCTGCGGCAGAGGATGAGGACGATGAAGGGCCTGTCGCACCCGTTAATCGCAGAAGGCGAAGAGGTTTGAGTGAAGATGGGCCAGTTCGAAATGTGCGGCCGCGGGCTCTTGGAAATTCAATTGCCGACGATGAGGACAATGGTGACCCCTGGGGTGGCTACCGCCCCCTCGGAACACCGCAACTAGGTGATGGGGAGGATGAGATGAGCGACGGTGGCAGGACAGAAGTTGGGTGGGAGCCGCTTGCACATCCAGTTGAACGATTACGGGACACCGGTTCTCTAACGCCTACTGCAGATAGACCTTCGGCACCTCCAAGACCCGCGTCCAGGACCTCACCCTTCCCACTCGGATCTCGTGGCATACGCAGACGCAGCTCGATCGTTTCGGTGGTTCATTATGAAGATAACGATGCAGATGGTGAATCGGATACACAGCACAACAACACCTCTCCAGCACTACAACCCCGCCCGTCACGCACTAGACTTCGAAATGCAGGACAACAATCGGCAACGAACACTAGTCCCACGTCAAGTCGTACTATTGACACAGAAGATACGGACAGCGGTGATACTGAAATATCACCACACATCAGTCGACGTGGCGGTCTACGTCGAAGGAGAAGAGACTATGACCCCCGCGTGAGCATGCTTTTTGCGCAACATCAAACTGAAATGCAAACGACGGAGCCAGAAGGCCATGTTTACGCCGAGTTTGAACATCTTCGAGCAATTGCTCGTACACCGATTGCTAGACCCAGGACGGCAAACAGAAATAGAAATAGTGCAAATGCCATCCCAAATGGCGTGCTCTCCAGCCCAACCTCCGCAACACGCAACAGCCAGCATCTATACAGTCCAACGCGCTTTCGGCCTCCGCCGGATGCAGCTCAGTCCAATATCTCTGCCCCCCCTGTTTCTGGACGACAAGTTGGCGATAGAATTACGAATTCTCCACGTTCATCCATCAGTGGGCCCTCAATAATAGGCGCTCCAACAAGATTCCGTGGCGCGGTAGATACCAACAATCCGCGCAACAATGAGATGCCACCTCGATCAGCAAACACGACCAACCACGCAGTTGAGTCGCGGGGACAGTCCAACGCACCATATCTCCGAGCTATGCACAATGCAACTAATATGACAAATATTTCCTCCACCCAGCAACCACGCCAAGTGGTACAAGGCAATCCTATTCAGTCTCCACGCTTTCCTCAAGTGAATGAGATCATTGAGCGTCCTGCGAGTCGAGTAAGTTCCAGAAATGGACACGCTATCCAACGTCCTCCTTCGGTGGTGAACAGACCGCCTTCAAGCACCAATAGACCACCTTCAGCTGGGAGCCGTCGAGGGTCATTGACTCGCTCCCCCTTCGCGCCACCTCAGCTAGGGCCGCCGAGCGTTGGTCTAGGTACAGCGCGGGCCTGGCATCCATCAAATCCATTCTTCAATGGTGTCAGACACCGACAATCGTCTCAGAGACTTCGACGAGAGGGATCAACCCATACTTTACGTGGACAACCTTCCGTGCGCATCATGCGTGGCCAATCACAACAAGTTCCACAACAAGTTCCACAACAAGTTCCACAACAAGTTCCACAACCCGAACATGATCAAGACTCACCTCAGATGCGACCTCAAGCCTCCCGCATGAACTTGAGACAACAACCATCCTTCAGACGCCTCCATGTCCAACGAGAAGTGGCAATGTCACCTCAGTATCAGCAACCTCCGACTGTTGCTACTATTCCTAGATACTCTGTCTCCGGCCCAGGCACACTGTCAGAAGATGAGCGGGTTAGACGTGCCACCGAACTTGTACAAAGACGGATGCAAGAACTGGCTCAGCAAATTTCATCTCCAGTACAGATATCACGAGTTAACGCGGCTGTTCAACAACGTATCGAACAACGCCTGGCGGCCAATATGGGACGGCCTGGCCCCGAAAGATCAGCAGCATCTACTACTCGGAACTCGCCATTATCGGCTACTACTGCAGATGCCGAACAACCACTAACTCTGAATCGAACGAGCAGTGACCGGGGTTCAGGCACGAATCAACAACTGGAGGCCAGAGCAGCTCCCACAACACTGCCTCCTTTCCAAAGTAATATTCTGAGCCAACAGCGTGCAGCTGTCAATCAACCAACAGGACGGAGTCCACTCCCCTCTATGGCTCAAGGAGTCTCTGCCATAACTACTGGAGGAGATACAAGGAGGAATTAGGCATCATTTCAAAGAGATTCTCGCATTACAAGCATGATAAAGCATGGGCGTAGGGACATAGATTTATGCTCTTGAATTACTCACAGGAAGGTTCATAGGGTCACAGGCTTACTGCAGGGTTGAAGTTGTATGAGACATGAGTTCACGAAGGATATGGCAATCGTCTCTCTTCGTCCTAGCGTTCTAGCATTGGAGTTTTAGCGACAGGTCATCTCACGATATTCATACTTTACACTAAATGATTCATCTAGTCAGGAGTCAACTTATTTTACGCTTCTGAGAGTTAGCTGCACCGTTAATAGCAAGTGTGAACTCTAAGCTACCAACATGTATTATTTTCAACCTGTAATTCCAATCGATCGGTGTGCAGATGTTGTTTCTGGGACAGCTGTGGCACTGGTGGGGTGCGTGGAAGGTGAAAAATATGACAAGGCCGCAAGGCATGCATTAGGCCATTATGGCTTCCGCCCCACCAAAAATACACCGCAAATATTACAAACGTCAAATTCAGCCGTTCGCGGTGTGAGTTAACCATATAGGAAAAATGGCTCCTTCCTTCGCACAACTTCCTCCCGAGGAGGAATTTGATGAAGACGAGATTGATTACAGCGATCTGCGAGAACAGTATGACATTAAACTGGACGAAGGTTTCGATACATTCGTGGTAATCGATGGACTACCGCGAGTGCCGCAGGAGAACGTGGAAAGATTGAAGAACTTCGTGCTCAAGAAATTGAGAAGCGCAGGGAAGGCAAAGGAAGATGGGGTGTTCATGCCAATGGGTGATAATGGAGTCACCGAAGGGTGAGTATCAGATCTCCTGTGCATTCATGGACTACAATTTCGTTGGGGAGAAGTACTGATAGACGGGTGAAAATCAGCTTTGCCTTCATCGAATTTAACACTCCAAAAGAAGCGGCGGCAGTGGTGAAGCAGTTTGATCGCACTCCACTTGACAAGAAGCACACGATCATGGTGAACAAGCTCACCGACATTGATCGCTATGGGCGGGAGGGAAAGATCGATGAGAACTATGTGGAGCCACATATTCCCGAGTTCGAGGAGAAGGAGGTATGTTGTCAGCCACAGGTAATCAGATACTTGGACGCTGATATAATCTAGCATCTGCGATGGTGGCTTGCGGACCCCGAATGCCGCGATCAATTCGTTATGTTTCGCGATAACAACGTTGGAGTCTTCTGGAATGAAGGAGCGGACCCGCCGGAGATGATAGTTGATAGACAGCACTGGACTGAAATGTTTGTGCAGTGGTCGCCTCTAGGCACATATCTACTCTCCATGCACGCGCAGGGCATACAATTATGGGGTGGTAAAAGCTGGAGTAGGCAAAAACGTTTCGCGCATCCGGGCTGCAACCTTGTCGACTTTTCCCCGAACGAGAAGTATGTCTGCACATGGTCACACAGACCGATCTCCGTTGACGAAAATCATCCCGTACTGTCACCCGATGATGACGGCAATAACTACATCATCTGGGATATTGCTACCGGAAAGCCTTTGCGCTCATTCAAGACTCTAGATATGCCGACTGTAGCTGAGGATGAGGCTGGTCAGCCTATCAAGAAGAAACTGCAATGGCCAGCTTTCAAATGGTCTGCCGACGACCACTACGTTGCGCGTATGACGCCAGGGCAGTCGATTTCTGTCTATGAGCTACCTAGCATGAGGCTATTGGACAAACACTCCATTAAGATCGATGGTATTCAAGACTTCGATTGGTGTCCCACAACGGTCAAGCGTGATGGCGTGAAGACGTACGAGCAACTGTTCTGCTACTGGACCCCTGAAATCGGCAGCAATCCCGCAAAAGTCGGCCTGATGAGCATCCCCTCAAAGGAAATTGTCCGGACCAGGAATCTGTTTAACGTTTCTGACGCGAAGCTGCATTGGCAGAGCGAGGGCCAGTATCTCTGCGTCAAAGTCGATAGGCACTCCAAGTCAAAGAAATCGCTCGCCACAAACCTCGAAATCTTTAGGCTGCAGGAAAAGAATATCCCTGTCGAAGTTGTAGACTCAATTAAAGACACGGTGATCAACTTTGCCTGGGAACCCAAGGGCGATCGTTTCGTGCTGATTACAGCTGGAGAACTCCCTGCAGGTGGCGCGGCCGTGCCTCCGAAGACATCAGTCTCTTTCTTCTGCCCCGAGAAGGCCAAAGGGAATACCGTTGGTAACTTCAAACACATTCGCACTTTTGACAAGAAGAACAGCAATGCGATTTACTGGTCACCAAAGGGCAGATTTGTGGTCGTGGCCACGGTTCACTCGCAGCAGAACTTCGAGCTCGATTTTTGGGATCTGGATTACGAGGGAGAAAAAGATGAAGCATATAAGGACCTTACGGCAAATTTGATGCTCATGAATACGGCAGAACATTACGGTATCACCGATTTGGAGTGGGATCCAACCGGTCGATATGTTGCCAGTGTTGCTTCGTTCTGGAAGCACCAGGTAAGGTATTCATGAACACTTTCCTCTAATTTACTAATATCTTCCCAGGCCGAAAATGGTTATCATCTGTACGATTTCAAGGGAACCTCCCTACGGGAGGAGCACATTGACCGTTTCAAGCAACTCTCTTGGCGCCCACGTCCTCCAACCTTGCTTACCAAGGAGGAACAGAAGAAAGTGCGCAAGAATCTTCGTGAATGGTCTAAGATCTTTGATGAGCAAGACTTCAACAAGAAGAATGCAGCCAACCGAGCTGTGGTCGAGCATCGTAGACGGCTGCTTGAGGAGTGGAAGGCTTGGCGCGCACAAGTCATGGAGGAGCTCAAGGAGGATGCCGTGGAGATTGGCGGAATCGCCAGCGAGAAGCCAAAGGAGGGCGAGAGCCAGGAAGTTATAGAAGAAGTGGTCGAGGAGGTCATCGAGGAGACAGAGGAGGTTGTTGAATAGATCCTACCTACATGGATTTGTTTACAGACTTAATCTATTTTGAAAGTTCGGTGGTGAGAAGCATGCACTGGGGCCTATAGCACAAATAGAAAATCGTTCAAAACTGCAACAGGGGTCACAAAGTTAAAAGGAAATCGGATGATGCAAAATCAAACTTTAACCTCGTATAGATTATCTTAAGCCCTCCTTAAAGAGATCACATAGTGATCTCAGCATTTAATTGTTTTTACGAGCGTCCGACATCACAACGCACGCAACACGCGAAGCATGGCTAATGTCGACGCGGCAACAGGATGGTACGAAAATGGTATCAAGAAACAAAAACAAAAGATCAAAGAGGGCCCTCCCCAAGGCCTACATGAAGATGTCAGACCATACAACGCCCATCAATAACTCGGCGAGAATGATCAGGTGGCAACCGTCGGCTGTTCGACCTGATCGGCAACAGTCAGCTTTTGGATGCCCTCGTGGGCGCCCTTGGCTTGATCCTCGCCGTCCGCATTCGACGCTGGATCTTCCCCACCTCTTCCGTGCACGAAGCCTTTCCATCTTCTCCCCATCGCCTTGCCTTTCAACTTGGCGTCCTTGCCCACTGCTTTCCACGAGCCTCGTTCTCTCGCTTCGGCGCCCTCCATTTCGTCCAGGTCGCTCAGGTCGCTGCTGCTGATGCTGCTCGAGTCGGAGGCTTGGCGGTACAGTATCGTGTCGCCCTCTGCCTTTTTCGTCTCGCGCTGCTCAGCCTTCATCTTCTGCTGGAGTTCGGCGTCCTGCTGGCAGTCCAGGGTGACGATGTGCATGCCGGGAAGCTGGCGCTGCAGATACTCCTTCAGGATGGGAAGCAGTTTTGCATTGGGCCTGTATGTGCCGGAATCGTTGTCGATCACAAGTTGGTAGTACCTTGGGTCCCTTGGAGGCTCGCCGCGCAAATGGTGAGGCGGGTGTTCGATCGTCTGATCTTCTGCAGACTGCCGCGGCAAATTTGCGCTGTGCTCGGAGGACTGTCTGCCGTCCTTTTGCGAGTCCGGTGAGTGCAGGTGCTCTTCGGGCGTGGGCCTGTCCTTGTGCTTGAGCCGACGCACGAAAAACTCTCCGCTGTACGCGATGTAGATGTTCACGTCGCTGTGCATGGTATGCTTACTCAAGAAGTCGATGCCAAACTCTTTCCCGGTCTCCGTGAAGCGGAACAGCGCGTCGAGCGTGAGCACGTACGTGAAAATCCTGCCGCCTTGAGCCCAGTGCACGAGTTCGAGGAACTTGATCGTGGATTCCTCCGACGGCGCGTCCTTGAAGACGCCATACTCGGTCGTGCGATCGTAGTTGTAGACGCGTGCATGCTGGTGATGCAACGCCTTGGAAAGGAGAAAGCCCTCCACGCCTGAGGATGTGAACATGCGCTTGACAAAGGGTTTGAACTCGACGAAGCGGTGGTACAATTCGGCCGGCACAGGCCCCTGCATTTGGAACTGGTTGGCTTGGAAGCTGGCAACTGTTAGAAATCGGCAGCGCACTTGCGCAACGGGTAATGCTTTACTTGTACCGCTGAGCTTTATGCTCGGCCCCAGGGCTGTCATCGTCCGGCTCTTTCCTGTTCGCAATCCGACCCAGCATTGGACTGTAGTGTTTCGTATACCACATCGGCCCGACCGTGTAACAACGGCCGCCCTCGCCTTCCGTCTTACCAAGCACCTGCACGCTGAGGAACAGGCTGCCATACATGTGCTTCGTCTTTCTGAGGGCGACAGCTAGACCACGCATGAGGTACGCGCGCTTGCTCCCCATCCTCTTCTTTATCTTGTAGCCTTGGTCCTGGATGCCAGGCCACTCATCGTTAATTCCCTGGACGACGATTGTGGCATTGCCCAGCCTATCGTCATGATCAGCTGGATCCTCATCATAGATTCGACATTTGAGTTTGAACCCAGACGCAGGAACGTTGGCAACGATCCACTCCGTGTTCCACACCGGCTCTGTGTTTCGCCTCATGGTCGGCGTGCGCAGTCGCAAAGGCGGGTCCTCCTTGTGCCGTGGCTGCAAATCTGTGTACAGTTGCGCAACGATAAACGGGTCCGACGAGAGGGTGTTGATATCGGCCATGGGTAGGTTCGTCGCCCGGTGGAAGGTGAACTTCAGCGTATAGCCTGGAGGGGCTTTAGGTATTGGCGTATCGTCGAAGCCACCTTTAGGACCTTTTTTCTCCCCGTCGCCATCTTTGCCACCTTCATCGTCGACCGACGATTTGCGCTCGCCAGCATCGAAGGCAGCGTCGTTGGCAGCGTCGGTACCTTTGCTGGTGCTGGTGCTGGTGCTGGTGCTCTGCTCACTCGCTGTGTCGTTCAATTCCTCGAGCTTCTCGTCCTTCTTTTCTTGCTTACTGTCGTGCCCCTCGACTTTTTGCGCGACGCTCAAGGCGGCGGATTCTATCTTCGACGTCATAGCTGTCCGTGTGCGAGAGGATTCGCGCGCGCGGTGCGCCCCGCTCTCGTTGCTTTTCCGAACCCTAAGCGTCCTTGTGCGCAACACGACTGCACTGTTGCGCACACAACTGGGCGGAGGCGAAGAACGAAGGCTCGATGACAGCGGGCGATCGGCAGAGGAAGGAAGAGAGAAAAAGAGAGGCTTGAGCACGGAGGAGAGGGGGGCGGTACGAAGTGCTAAGCTCGGTACGCGAATTTACAGGGCGCGCTCGTCGAGCAAGACTACCAAGAGTCAGGCCCAGCTGAACTGTCTGATGCTTGGCAAAGCTTGACGATGGAGATCCGGCTGATGCCCTTGATTTTTTGCTCGAAAAATGCAATTCGTCACCGTATCGGCGTCTCTGCCGTGATGCGCAGTCGCACGTGTGCTCCCCCGGCGTCTGCAGCGCCGGTTGACATCATCGCTCGACAACGCCAAACCGCAGTCTGACGCCAATCAGTCGGACCGTACGTGAGCTTCGTCCGGGAGAATTGCCAGCCCAGGATTCCTGCCGAGACAATCTCCATCTTCTGCCGCGCTCATGTCGTATTCCGCAAGCCACTCTGGCTAATCTTATCAGAGGGCCGTGATCTGGCGCCCAGTCCAGCCACGTCGCACGAGCTCGTTTTGAACCGCGCGCCATCACAGCCCTGCGCTCCCTCGTCGACCTCGTCATTGCTTCCGCTCGGCTCATGCGTTTATTCAATAAGCATGCTAGAGCACCGGTAGCTCGAGTAAACCTCCCCGAGCATGCAGCCGTGAACGTATGCCGTTCCAATCAGTTGCCACAGGGCCTTGTTCGGCATGCCTGGAATCTTCATCCTCCGAAAGAGACTCTTCCGCATCACGAAAGGAACTTTCCCGCCTTCTAACAGGACGACTCTGTCATCGACTTGACTCGCCGAGGGCCCTAGGCCAATGTAGCCCTTCTTCGTTATGAAAAGTCGTTTGCCAAATGCACCTCCAGCACGCTCCAGAAAGTCCACTCGAGGGTCCGCATCCGAACCTGGAGTGCCGCCAAAGCCTCCACGGATCTCCCGACGCCAGCTTCCAAAGCTCTGCTGGAGATCCCTGAATTGCCTGCTATCTCCTGGGCGAACACCGCCAACCAACACCTGCCAGTAAACGTCGAGACTCGTTTCGTCCTTGTATCTCCGAGCAAAAGCTGCCTCGACCATAGCCTCCCATTCCACCAACGTGCGCCACATGTGCTCAATGTTCTCTGACATTGGTAGCTCTCCGGTCCAACTGCTTGATTCCAGCGCCCCGGATGTCTCCAGTTCGGGCCCAAGCTGTGATATTCGGTCAAAGGTATATCCATAAACTTTCAACACATCGTTGCTCTCCTTAAATCCTCGACGCAACTTGGAATCCTTTGACGCTCGATACCACATTTCCGGTTGCCTAAAATCGGGATCAAAATCTAGCGGTCTGGGGGTGAAGGTTGATATCCACGACAAAAAGACGTTGTCCGCGTCAATAATCCCTTTCCAATCCGGTACCCAGCTCGGACCTGCGTATGAATTCAGCCAATAGCCTGCTGCGGTAAGAAAGTCCAGGTTCATATCTCTAATGGCTAATTGGAGAGATATCGACTTGAAAAGTTCCAAATATTTGACCTCATAGTCGATCTGTATGTGAAGGTCTGAGGGGTTCTCTCCTACATCGTTTGCTAGTGCGCATATTGCAAACACCTTGTCTCTCAAATCCGTAGCTTGAAATCGACGGAAACGTCGCAAAAGGTCAAACAAAGGCTTCTTCTCGTTTCTTTGCATCTCCTCCCGAACAGCATGTAGCATGACGGGCTGGTCGTAAAGGGCACAGGGTAGCACACCCAATAGACCAAGGGAATGAGACGAGCGCAGCGCAGCAGAGAACCGAGCCTCGCTTGTGGAGAAGCGGCCGCAAAGGAACTCTACGTCCCGAGCGAGTGCGAATTCTTGTATGACCCAGACTCGTCTCCACCACTTGCGCCGCAGCAAGTTTGAGAACGCTTCGACTTTTTCAGGGGTAATTCTGTCTATCCGAAGAGCAGCTCGTTGCTCTGCGCTCAAGTTTTTCAACCGACGATCGTCCGTCTTGCCGTGCTGAGAAATCTGCCATGCGGCGGCCTCGTGCATTTCCTGGACAAAGTCGAACGCCAGTGCTGTGTCTGCGGTGTCAGCACCCAGCCAGACGAACACCTTGTGCGCTCCCGCAAATATCTGACGCATCAGCGCGATCTGGCGACTCTTCTCTCGCAAGTCCGATTGATTTATGCAGATCGCGTCGATCCAGACCGGTAGCGAGGCTCCGTCTGCCAGCTCGCGAAGACGGATGAGGGCGTCGTGCAAGTTGTCGGAGATGAGGAACGGCTGGCCGTCGCAGAAGATGGTCTTCGTCCCGATGAAGCGGAAAGATTGGTTTTCAGTGTCCCAACAGTAAGAGACCGCGAACCATTTCTCCGTCTGGTCCGTGAGACCGATGTGCCGAACGCCACACCGTACTGGTGACGATGGGTCCCCTGGGAGCAGGTCCAGAATCCTGATCTCTTCTTTGGCCATATCGCTAGACAGGCTGCTGTATCGAAAGTCCGTCGATCCTGGAACCCCAGCCAGGACTTTCCAAAACTCCGCTGCCGACGTGGAGCTATCCATTGGACCTTGGCACGCTCAAAACGAGGTCTTGGCTACAACGGGCAAAGATGCCAGAGTTCCGATCCTAGATGGTCGCGTCGCCTTCAACACCCGGTCTGTTCGATTCTACCCCGATCTTGATGGCGCAATCACACGTACTGCGTTCAGAGTAAAGAACACCAAGTTGTTTCTCTCGAGATCGCCGCTACGACCTGTGCTTGTCGAAGGCGTGCTTCCAAGAGGCCGCAGTCATCCCACTTCGTCGTGGATCAACGGTTCAGCCAACGCCACCGGTGAGTGGGGGAGGGGGTAAGTTAGTGACTGACACGTGATATCTGCTTTGTATCATCGCGACGTTTTTAAGCTTTGGATGATTCAACGGATGTATGTGTGCCACGAGGAGCCATGCTCATCCAATTGCTTCATTGCCACATTTATCCCAAAGAAGGTCACGCTGGTCATCCAAGGGTGAGCTACTCAAGACGAAGAATTAAATCTGCCTCTTTTGACAATAGAGAGAGTTGGGTCATATCAAAGTACCAACGCATAAGTACATCGTGCATCTAAACTTCTACTAAATAAACGCCTCGCTATGCCCTGACAATCATAAAAAAAGGGGAGCATTTCTTACATTTCCTTAGACGTCTAAAGCTCGAACAAGTACCCACAGGACAATGGGCACAATGACATTATCATTCCCTCCCGTCAGTACCGCCTCCATAAAGCTTGCGCCACACGCAGCGATGCCCGCCTTGACTATAACAGCGGCCCATTCGTCATTGGCCCCCCTACTTGCATCCTCCCAGCCTCCGATGTGCAGCCACAGCTTTCCCGCGATGAGACCGACGGTGACTGCAAGTGCAAACGCAGCGCTGCCCTCAAGGCTCTTACCGCCGGTCCATGGCCACTTGTGTCGACCGTACCTACGGCCGATTAAGGAAGCTGCGGCATCGCCCATGCCCACACAGACGACTCCAGCAATCATGCTAACATCTCGCTGCGCGACATTCCAGTTCACCCACGGCTCCAGACCTGTAAAGCGCGAGCCTGCAAGGGAAAGCCACAGAGGAACTGCGCAACCGATGAGGAGGAAAATATGCGAGACCACTACCGGACCACGCAGATCTCGGCCGTCAACGTAGGGCGTCAGGAACGAAGCGATGGGTCTCGAAAGAGGTGGTAGCTGAGATGCACGAAGGAGGTCCAGGAGCAGAAAAATGGCCAGCATGAGAACTAAGGCGAGGGAAAAGAAGGATGGGTCGATGAAGATCGTGGGCAACAGCATGGCCACCATCATACCGTGAAAGACTTTGCGCCGTGTGTCAACCTCGACAAACGTGAAGGAGAGGACGACGGCGAGGCCGACGATGATGATGGCAACGCACCACGCGCAGAGAAGTAAACGCGTGTTCGCCTCGCCGAGCACGACCTGTCGAACACACTCCGCGCGTCCGGTGATGTTGAGCGCAAGGCAATCTTCGCCGTCAGCCAGAGGGGGAAGAGGCACCCACCGTTCCAGATTCCACTGCCAGATCAAAAAACGAAGTTCCTGTATGTTCCCAAACAAATAGCCAATCGCCCAGCCGAAGGGTTCGTGGCCGTTCAGAGCGTACCGCGAGACTAGGTTGCGGATCGGGCCGAGAATCAAGAGCACCGTTGCGACGTAGGTATACATGGCGTAGGCCCACTTTCTGGCCGTCGCCTCTCGCTGAGTTAGTGACGAGAGAGGGCGCCCGAAAATCGTCCTGCCATAAGCACCCTTCCGTCTTCGCGCTGCCGGTTCAGTTGCAGCGACAGGCCGTTCAAGAACGTCACTGGATCCGGTAGTCAGATTAGGCACTGTGTTCCTTCTCGGACGGTACGACTTGGATCTGGCAGTGCCGTTGCCCTTCTCGAGCAGCATCTCTTCCTTTCCGTCACCCGCTTGTCCTGAGTTTGCGGATTTTGAAGCGGTATTATTGCTGAAGAAACTAGTCTTGAGAGGGTCGATCAGTTCCGCCTTGATGGTCTCTAAACTCAGCATGGAAGATCGTCTCCTAGGCTTCTCTTCCTCGTGGTCCTCGTCTGCGTCGCTGCCACTCCATTTTTGAGGTTGATCAGCTGATCGGCTTCTTGTGAGGGCCTTGCTCAACATATTAAGAAAAGATTGTTGCATCTGTATCAGCCGTCCCGCTCTTCGGAATCTCCATCTTGGTACTCTCGCCAACGCAATGTTCCACCGAATGACGGGCCCGACAAGTGCATACACGCTGAGGCCCCCGAACCAAAGAAGGATCTGCAGAATCACTGTAGGTGGCATTTCAGCACATAGCAGCAGGTTGATCAGACCGATTGACATCAGGTGGACCTCTGCCGGCAGAAGACTTGTTGTTGTAAGGTAGTGTACGAAGTGTACAAGAGATTGATGTAGGGGGTAGAGTGCAACAATAATTTCGGGCTCTAGACGTTCTAAGGGATCTGTTTTCAAAATGTATGGTTTAATGGCAAAAATCTTGTGTGGAAAATCCGTATGCTCCGAAAGGATAAGCGGTACGATAGATACCAGCCATCTCAGTGGCTCGATGTTCCAGTTGCCAAAACGATATAGTCCCGCTGGCACTGACGCCAGACCGAGGACCAAGTTGGGCAGAAGTATCTTAGGAAATGTCGGCAGAAGTATGAGACTGAGGAATACAGGTATGAACTCCGGGTACAGAAGGGGGGCGGGATCGAATGCCGCTGGCAGTCTGATCGTTCTCTGGACGGGTTTCCACGACTTGGTCCGCCTCCATGCGTATGCGATCAGACGGACGGGGTACAGAAGGTACAGGCCGGCAATGATTGCAACGTGGCTCAAAAGCTCTACTGCGAACGCTGTTCAGCAAGTGCCTGTGCAGCACGTATGAGTGTGACAACTGACCTCTCCGCCATTGCTCAATCGACGATCTGACAGACTCGTTCCCCATCACGAGCATGCCAACGGCAGCCAGGAGGAGCACTTCGGACGCTCGTCGTGCCAGCTCCGCCCTCCTTCTCTTGACGAATCTCGCTCTGGCCTCCCGAAGCTCGTCGTCGGTCGAGCCCTTGTCATGCCCGGCGTGACTGCTCTTCGCGGCCGGAAACTCGAACCTCGTGGCCTCCTCGTCGATGGCGGACGGCGTCAGCAACGGCGTCGCCTGGTCGTCCATCGCCGCCGCGTTCAGGGCGATCTTCAGGCCCTTTCGCGGTCGCATGGGCGGCGCCGGCAGCGCCCTCGCGTACCCGGCACTCTCGTCGTCGGCCTCCGTGCCGCTCTCGCTCGGGCTCGCTCGGCCGCCCATCGTCCGATCTCTTGACGGCCGTCGCGACAGCCCTTGCGCATCCTCGCGCCTGGCGCTTCTCGACGCGAAAGGAACCTCCCGCGATCGGGTCGCGAGATCCGGCTTGATGCGCGTCTTGCCCTCCAGCACGCTGCGCCGATGGTAAGGATGCGGCGATCTGGACGGCACCCTGCCGGCGGACGAAGATGCACGAGCGGCACCATCGGCAGCTGCTAGACCAGCGCGCCGGTCGCGCACTGCCTCTTCCTCGTCAGGACGCGTTTCTCCATCGAGCTGTCTTGCCGAGGATGACTCCTGGCGCTCGTCCTGACGCGTGTCCGGCGCTGCATCTTCGCCAGGTTGCATGATCTTCTGCCGCAGATGGCCAGATGCGCCTAGCAGAAGGGGAGCTCTGAGGGGGCATAGAATGCGAGAATGACACGGGCATGTGGTGGCTCAAAAGTAAAAGTTTGCGTGATTGACATGGTTTTGCGTTGATCCATTTGCTTCCCTACGTTATGCTGCGGCTTGCAATTGACCGCCCGCCGCTCTTGACCGTGTTCCGTCTGACGTTTGTTGGGCGCCAGAGACCAGCACCTCAGCCAATGCAAGCAGAGCTCCACATGCATCCATCCCTGTCGATCGAAAAATCTTGGGCATCGTGTCATGGAAAACGACAATGATCATATGTTTCGGATTGTGGACAGCAGCAAAAGACTCATTGACACACTCGATAGCTTGTGGCAAGCAAGGGGCAGTTTTGCACGTCTCGGATTATTACTTGGTCTTATTATATCTTGACACTCAAATCCCAAAGTGGCTGGCTCAACAGCAGTTTTGTGGTCCAATGCAGAACGCTATACAATCGTCGTGACATGTGTGTGTGTGTGTTCCGTGCAGCGCAATCAGACTGAGTCCGTGATCATATCAAACCCAACTCTCCCCAATCACCACAGATGCAAGATTTTCAATATGTCGTAGCGCGCAAAGAAACTTCGGTTCTTCTTGCCGAAGAAGTACATGGGCACCGACAGCAGACAAATACCGACTTGTACGGACGCGATCGCGATGAAGACCTGCTTGATGCCACCGATAACTAGCCACTGGTAGCCGCTGAACGTAAGGCCGAACGAGAAGACGTTTTTGAAAATCATCATGCAGGTGAATGCCTCAACGGCAATGTTGCCTTTTTGTGCGCGTCAGCAAATCGCAGTGGGCGGCGACGGAGGAATGGATAAAACTTACGATGAGCATCCACCACGTACAAAGAGGAAGCGACAGCCCCGATGACCATGCCGGCGACCTCGAAGGCAAAGAAGAAGTCAGGCCAAAACCAGCCGTACCGGTACGTGTCGTTTGACGTGATGCCAAACCCATACAGGCCGATGCAGCCCAGAATGAGCTGCGGGATGACGAGCACGAGTCTGAACTCGGGTTCGAATACGCCGCGGTTCTTGCGCGTCATCCAGCTCGCTGTGGAATCGGAGAGCAAGCCAGATAAAGCAAAGCCTACCACCGCTCCTACGAAAGCGGAGGTGTACATGTAGCCGGTCTTGACTTCGTTGAAGAACAGAGGTGGGCCAAGCATGATGGCAGCAAGTACGATGCCGATGAAGACCGTCCAGCCGATGAGGGCACCTTGGATCAAGCAGGCCCAAAGAATGCCAGGATGGAGGAAGAGAGGCAGCGGTCGCAGAGCGAGCTTCCACACGTATTCGTCTGTTTTACGGCCGTTGAAAAGGGCCAGGGACTGCACAAACGTCACCTTGGGTGGAGGTGGAGTCTTCGGTGTTTCCTCTCTGTTCGCCACAGCGTGCGTAGCAGAGCCAGTGGTCTCTGGGCCCTTTTCAAACCCTCCCTCGGGAACCTGTGCCTGGTCGGGCTGGTCGTTGACATGTTCGGCGTTCGTAAGCACGACGCTTCTCCTAAATCCATGCAGTTCCATGGACGTGTCGCTGTTCAGGTTGTCTGCACGCCTGTATGCCGTCTCCGGACAGAAGAAGAACAAGAACGGCAGCAGCGCGCCCGCAAAGATGGCCACGAAGTAGAAGCTCCACTGCCAGCCCATGGTGTTTGAGATCTTGCCCACAACGACAGGTGTCATAAAGGCGCCGCCGAAGACGGCGAAGTTGGAGATTGCCATTCTCTTTCCACGCTCGTGCACGAAGTACAGGTCGCCCACCGTCGCGTTGACGAGCGCTTCGAACGGGGCGAGGCCAACGCCTTGAAAGATGCGCGCCCAGAGCAAGCTCTTGTAGTTTAGACCGCTGGCACCGCCCCAGGCGGAGCTGAAGATGGCAATGCATGTTCCGAGGATGAAGGCATGTCGCTTCCCCCAGACGCGGGAGCTGGGGACGAAGATGAAGCCTCCGATGCCTACCCCCAGCAAATGCCAGCCCGTGAGCAGGGCAATGTCGTTAAACGTTCTCTTGTACCTTAGAGCAAGCGTGACCGAGTCGGCGGCGAGAATGGGCGAAAGAGTCGAGACGATGACGCCCAAGAGCGAAAGGATGAAGAGGATCATGTCCCGCTTCCATAGTGGCCAGTTCTACCGTTCTCTGATTAGCCGAGCGCTCGTTGCGACGTGCGCAATTGAGGCAGACGTACAAGTGGGTCGTTGGGGTCGTCCGACGGCTGAGGCACGAGAATGATGGGGACCGGCCCGCTCGTATCGTACTTGAGGTTTGGGTCGATAGTGATATCTTCCTCCGCGCGGCGACTTTCGTCGTCGACAACAAATGCCGTGCCTACATGTCAGAAAGCAAGCCTCACGTCAGCAAACAAGCGATGGCATCTTCGCGCTGCGACGGCAACTGGAGTACCCCAGCAGCCTCCACCGAAGGGGTGCTCACGTACCGGGCACATGGTCCAGCTTCCGATCGTCAAGAACACCGAGGCCCATCGCGACGCCGATTCCTTATCTTCGCTCGCCGGAAAAACTCTGTGGGGGGGAAGGATGCAGGCTTTGGGCAACGAGAAGGGTGGAAAGGAGGCCGAAGAGGTGGGCAAGTACCGGAGGCAAGTGAGCAGCGGGAGGCGAGCACGGTCAGAGGAGTCGAGCCCCAGAGAGCGATCTGCTCAACAGCGACATATTAATGTGGTGAAGCGCAGATGTTCAGCGCAGCGACAGCCCAGAGCCCTTGGAAGGTTCGAAGCCCACGGACAAGCGTCAAGGGGACCCCCGTGGAGAGAGCGAATCGCATCGGGAATGGTCGCTGAGAGACGATCTCGCGAGACGCACACTTGCGCCACCGCACCTTCTGCGGGGTCGCCATTGGAGCACAGCCGTCCCAGCACGTCCGCTGTCATCTCCGCCGTCGTGCAATGATCAGGCTCGATCGCGGCCTTGCTCAGCAAAGGCAAGAAGGGCTGTCTGCGACGTGTGTTCCTGGCCCGCAAGCAGCTGCAAGCGGCCTGGTGTCTTTGACGGCCGTGACATGGCCTCGGATGCAGCCATCAGAAACATCACCAACATCCTGGCTCGCAGCGCTTCCATGGCCCAGGGGGTGCTGTCTTGCGTCTTGCGTCTTGCGAAGCCGGGCAACGTGCAAGCCCCTGGCGTGCAATTGACAGATGTGGACTGGCTTCTTCCAGGCCCGCGCGGGCTCTGCATCTTTCTAGGAAAGGATGACGATGATGATACGGGCAGAATGTCGCCGCGTGCCAACCGTATCCAAGCATCGATTGCACCATCTTCGACAAGAATGCCACTGTCAGACAGGCGTAGCATGGAGACGCCGCGGCAAGTCATCCATCGTTTACGAGATGTGCGAACGCTGTGCTCGTGAAGAAAAAAAAAAAAAAAAAAAAAAAAAAGACCTAGCCATTTCTAACTGTTGTACCTTCGCGTGCTTTACACGACGTTTCGGATAAATTTCCTACTCGTACAAGGCTTCAAGCTCGCCAAAAGCGGCCGTGTCCCAATACAGCTCCGTACCGAGAGATCTTCAACCCCAACTAGCTACAAACAGTTTCTTTTGTGTCATTGCCGTACCTTTTTCTCATTCGTCATTGCGCCAGAATATACCGTACAGGTGAGGCAGAGGATCGATCACGCGAGGTTCCTGCGACCACTGAGAGATCTGTTCTCAACGAAAGGAACTCCACTGGTCCTGTCCACTACTCTACGGTGACCGACTTCGCAAGGTTGCGCGGGAAGTCAACATTGAGGCCCTCACCAACTGCAAGCCAGTATGCCATGAGTTGAAGAGGAATGACGTTGATCAAGCCCTGCAAGCAGTCTACAGTTGCCGGAACTTCGATCTTTTCCGTCTTGTCCGCGGGGAATTCGGTATCCCCAACGTTGCAAATGACGATTGGCTTACCCTTGCGGGCGATCACCTGCTGGTATGCGTTGAGTGACTTGGCGAACAAACCGTCACGGGTGAGGATCATGACAATAGGCAGATTCTCGTCAACCAGGGCAAGAACACCGTGCTTGAGTTCGCCAGACATGACAGCCTCGCAGTGGAGGTACGAGATTTCCTTGATTTTGAGGGCGCCTGTTTCAACAGTCAGTTCGTTAATGCTCGTCCGTGCCTAGGAAGCAGCTGAGCCGGGCGAAATAGAAGAAAAGCACATACCCTCAAGTGCAGTAGCGTGCTGCATACCACGGCCGAGGAGCAACATGCTCTTTTGGTCCTTAAACTTCTCGCACAATTTCTTAATTGACTGATCCAGTTTGAGAGTCTCCTTGAACTGCTCCGAAATCTTGCCGAGACCCTCCATAATCTCTTCGCGACGGGCTTGTTTCGAGGCGCGGTCCTCCGAGAGTGTCAATGCAAACATGACCATGCACACGAATTGAGACGTGTAGGCCTTGGTCGAGGCAACACCAATTTCGGGGCCGGCGTTGATGTGAACACCGCAATGGGTAAGGAGAGATATCGACGAGCCAACCACGTTGACTATGCCGACGGTCAAAGCACCGCGCTCCAAGCAGTATCTCAGCGCCATGAGCGAGTCAGCGGTTTCACCGGACTGGGAGACGAAGACGCAGACGTCGTCACGGAAGATGGGAGCAGCACGGTCCAGGAAGTCTGAGGCTAGCTCGACGGAGATGGGAATCTCGGTCAGCTCCTCAAAGATACCACGGACAGCCATGCAAGAGTGGTAGGAGGTACCACAAGCGAGGAAGATGATTCTGCGGCAGCGGCGAATCGTGGTAATGTACTGGCGAAGACCGCCAAGGGTGACCTTCTTGTTCTCCACATCGAGACGACCACGCATGGCGTTGACAACGGATTCTGGCTGTTCAAAGATTTCTTTCTGCATGAAGTGGTCGAATTTGCCCTTCATGATCTCTTGCAGCTCAATCTCAAGCGTCTGGATGGCGCGCACATTGGAGGTGCCATCATCCTTCTTCAGACGGTGGATGTTGAGGGAGCCCTCGTGAATGTGGGCGATATCATCGTCCTCCAGGTAGAGCACCTTCTTTGTGTGCTCAACGATCGAAGAAGGGTCGGAGGAGAGGAAGAACTCGGTGGGCATTGGCGCACCGTCGTCGGAAAGGAAGGCTCGGGATTGCGAGCGGTGAAGGAGAGACTTGTCTGGAGGCGCGAGCAGGTTGTTCGTCTTCTTCAGGGCAACCTGCTGGGAGGCACGCTCAGCGGGAAGGGCGGTACCCTCCTCGGTGTATTCAACGTCAACGAAGTCGACCTTCATCTTCTTGCCGGTCTTGACACCGATGACGAGTGGCGAACCCTTTCGGGCGGCAATGATCTCATGTGGGTAGTGAACCGACTTCAGGAGCAAGCCAAAGGCCCCCTGAAGCTCGGAGATGACGGCCTTCGCAAGGACGGGGAAGTCGACATCGGGGTGCTGATCGTAGATGTACTTGGCGAGCTTCGCAATAGCCTCCGTGTCCGTCTCGGTCTCGAACTTGAAGCCCTTGCTCTCCAGCAAGGTCTTCAATTCCTTGTAGTTGGTGATGATGCCATTGTGAACCACGGCGAATTCCCAGTTGGGGTCGGATCTGTTTGAGCGCTGTTAGGGGCTGTCTGTTGCCGCGACCGACCGACGCGGAGGTCAAGCATATTGCAACGTACCGGTGGGGGTGGCAGTTCAGCCTTGATGGCCTGCCGTGGGTGGCCCATCGGGTGTGGGCAATGCCAGCATGTGAGTCAAAGACCTTGGTGAGGTCTGGCTTGCTCTCGTCGATGAGCTGCTTCAGCTTGGCAACCTTGCCCACCTCCTTGAACGCCAACACCTCGTTTCTCTTGTCGCCGTCGATAGCTAGGCCGGCCGAGTCGTAGCCACGGTATTCGAGCCGTGCGAGACCTAGCGGGGTCCATGTTAGCCAAAGACTGGATTCGGATCAGGTTCGCTCGTGGCCTACCATTGGTGAGTGTGTCGAGGATAAACTTTCTGTCCTTCTCAACCAGGTAGTTGACGTAACCAAAGATGCCACTGTGAAGTGAGCCCCGTCAGCGGCCGGCCTCTCGTTTCCTGGGCAGCGAAAACGGCGTCCATGCAGCAGGCTGTACTCACCACATTGTGTCCTGCTTCGGTGCGAGAACGAAGGGATGTCAAAAAAAGCACGGAAAACACAGAAGGCGGTGACGGTAGGGGAAGTGCGGGAGCGTCTACGGGCGGGCTTCGACAAGACGAGCCACAGAGGGGCAGACGGACGAAGCGACGGCAACACAGAGGGAGAACGGTTGTCCAGATAGGCAGAGAGGACAGTCCAAAGAGGGCTTGCACGCTGTCAGAATTTATATGCAGAGTCGGACGTCTGGGGCCATGCTGGAGCTTTATTCGTTGCAGAGGCACGATGGCAACGCGGGCGGGTCCTGGCTGCAAGGGTGCTGTAGCAGCCAGAAGCTCGAGACACACAGCGCACCACCGAAAACGTCATCCAACTCCTTCCAATCTCCCGTGGCTTACCATCCCGGGCCCGTCCAGCAGCCGCAGCACGTCGTCCAGCATCCGCGCTCTCGTCCTGTGGCCTTGCACCGTGGATCAGATTCCGGCCTTGCTGTGCGCCGCTCTCTCGCTCAGGGGCGAGCTGCACGTTCCCGCGAAACTCCAGGTCGCTAACGCAGTCGAAGGGCGCGATCGGCGTTGCGCAGACGACAGGAAACACCGAGCATCTGAGGCTGTGCACGAGTCCAGCTGCCAAAAATAAGGATTCAGACTATTGTATTTTTTTCGTGTCCTGGCCACGAGCTTGCGCACTCTCGGAAGCTCCAAGCCTTGAGAGGGCCCCTTTGCATGGCCACCAGCAACGACCTGTGCGAGCTGCCGTGAGCGTCATGGCCTACGTCGCTGCTCCATGCCTGCCTGCACTGTGTGTGTGTGTTTGTCCTCCATGTCAGCCGCATTGGATCTGTGCTTCCGCCGCAACGGCGGCCATCGTCGTTCCTTGGCGGTCAACTGCAGACGTGCATGATTCTCGTCGCTGCTTACGGGAAAGATGTCCATGAGCCCACCTCCTTCACGGCAACGGCAGACACGATTCAGCTGGTTGTGGTGGCGCTGAGGTGCCGGATCAGACCGTTCGAGGGTTCGTCCGAGTGACCTTCACGTCTACGGGACACTTTGTTGGTCTCGACCATCACCTTTCTCCAGTCGGCAGTCTGGCGACGGCAGGAAAGCTTGTGACTTCGCAGCCTGGTGCTAGCTGTTCTCCATCGACATCTCGTCGCACCGTGTTCATCCATCATATGCTGCCCATCATCAACTGAGTCCACTTGGTCTCTTGCTGCAAGGCCAAGGTTCTCAGCCCTACAGCCTCGTTCTTGAAAATCACCTTGTCCCAAGCACAGGAGAATTGGCGGCAGCAGAAACTGCAGCTTGCATCGGCACGTCGGTGATGGCCTACTGGGACGAAATGCTATTCTACATGACGATAATGGATGGTAGGATGGGACAAGATCAGTGACTTTTTAGAGAGAAAGAAACAGAGCGAGAGAGAGGTCCAGCATGCAATCAGGGTATCATTTGCGATTCTCAGTCCCTCCCAACAAATTACCTCTCACGCACTTGCCAGCATCCAGCATTAAAATCTGTACTAGTCGTGCTTCACCCGCTGCGCATGTTGTTCTTCACCCGCTGCAGCAGCTCTTCTCTAGTAGCAGAGCTGCTGGGAAGTAGCCTTCGCTATTGTCTCAATTAGCCCAGCCACAGGAAAAAGGTGGTCTTTCCCGTGAACCGACATTGTTCAGCCACCTCCGGAGCTCTTCAAGGCTCCACGTTTCGGGATCTACCAATGGTTGATGAGCTCAACATCACGATGTAGAACCAGCATTTAGATGTAACTTACCGCCCTTGGGATCCGGTTCCTTTGGGAACATGCTCTCGGTCCCCCTGCGCATGGATCAGGTCAGGCCTGATCAGGCCAAGCAACGTTGCTGGACAGGTGAGCTTCTTACCATATCGACCATGCTGCGACTGCTGTGATTATTCCTGCGAAGCCAAAAAAGGCAGATTTGGACTGCAACGCCCGGTCGAGTGGCGTCGGCATGACGACAAATGATGCGATGGGAGCTGTTCGATTCGCCGAGGGTATATTTGTGTTCGAGACCTCACTTAGATCGCACAAGACTTGAAGAGTGTGTAGGGGAAATTTCAAAGCTGGATCCCAGAGTGTGGTGAAAGTGGACAGGTAATAACTCTTTCTTTGCTGCCTCGTCGATCCTTGTCCTGCCCTGGCTTCCCTTGCTCTGAGCACTAGCATATCCATTTTCGCCTTGTTGCCTGAGCTTCCCGGCTCGCACACTATGCATGCGATATTCGCACACAAAAGTACCAACCAGCCGTCCAAGCATTACGTGCCGCACCACAAACCGCCAAAATGCCTAAGCAGGTCTCAGACATCAAGCAATTCATCGAAATCGCTCGCCGAAAGGATGCGTCCTGTACGTCCACGCACAATAGCCCCGCAGCAGGCTTCACGTTGAATTGGGCAGCGCTAATGGGAGATTGGCAGCGGCGAGAATAAAGAAGAACAAGAAGACCAACCAGGTCAAGTTCAAGATTCGATGCCACCGCAACCTGTACACTCTCGTTCTGAAGGACTCTGACCGCGCGGAGAAGCTGAAGCAGAGCCTGCCGCCAGGTACGTGAACGAACGTCGAAGCCACTTTGGAAAATCTGGGCATGTTGTGAAGAGAGACGGAATTGCTAACGAGCTTGTGCGCTTGTAGGTCTGCAGATCGGTGAGACCCCAAAGAAGAACGTCAAGGGCAAGCGCGTCGCCAAGGCATAGAGCGCAGCGAGGAGATGACGGGCGTGGAAATGGAATAGCATTCTGCACATGGCGTTTGTATGTTCACGGGACATGGCATTGTCACGATAGATTACCGTATCGTGTTTTGCAATCGACTGCGACACGAAGAAAAAGTCAAGGTCACAAGGAATCAATACTATTTTGAGCCGTCACTCTTGATCTGGCTGCCAAAGCAATACTGTGAATCTCGCATCCCTTTACATTCGTCCGCATAGTGTGTGTCTGAAGATTTTGGAATGGACATTTCGCTCGTCCAGTCTGCTCTCTTCTTATACGAGCTTTTCTCAAGGACTTCACGACATGATTGACTTCACAAGCTGTGTCAACAGATATACCTATCTTTTCTTGCATCGTTGAAGAGCGCGAAACTTGATGCAGGGCCTTGCGTACAATCCAGTAACTCAATACATATCCTCATAAAGACGGCCGTTTTCCCTAATCCAGAGGATGCGCGGACAATTCGTAAAGCGACGATATCTACTGGCTTGGCATAGAAAGGCAACAAGAGGTCATTCTGCGCCACAGAGTCGACAGATACTGAGCAAAGTGCTCTCGTCCGACCGTCTCTTGACCGGAATTACAGATTCTCGGGATGTGATTGTGGGCTTCGCGTCGATCTTGATCCCGTTGCCCAAGAACCTCGCGCTACATGTCAGAGGAACGGCAGTGAAGCCTTGATTCATCGTCGTAAATGTATGTCCAGCCATTGCGCTCGTCCCCATGGCTACGCAAGGAGACAACCGCACCCAAAGCCGGGCAATCATACAAGATACTCTTCACTCAGCAGACGGTTTTCGTTGTCATGGAAGCCACACGCCCTTTCGAGCGGGCATCTCTGTTCCGAAAATGCTTTTAAGCGAGTGGTGATTATTGCGTTGTTCATAATATGAAGAAAAAAAAAAAGAAACTCTTGACGAGGAATTTTTCACGGCTCTTTTTAAAGAAGAGCGAAGTAGTTCGCTTTAAGGTCGATGAGTCAATTTTACGCTCAGCCGGGGGGGCAAGTGTTGCCGACGGGGGCAATTCTTAGCTAGCGCGGGACATTTTGAGCATCGCACTTTTGCATACAATATCGAAAGCGCCAGAGACGCAAATCCGACCGTTCAGCCGCGACCGCCTCGAAATCAGCATGCCGGCTCCGTCGAATACCCTCCTGATCGAGGGCTCTTTCGAGGAGCTCTCAGACGAACTCGCACAGTACATCGACAGTCTGCGAAAGGCCCAAAATGTGGAGGGCGGCCCCATACAACCGGAAGTGAGCAGCCTGGTGCAGGAGAAGAAGACGGAGGATGCGCTCAAGAAGCTGGTCGGCGCCGCTTCGATACTCAATGCAGCGCCGGAAAAGGGTCAGATTATGCGTCTGTGAAAGTGAGGTGGAAGCCTCGAGGCTAACATCGGACAGACATTGTCGCGGCGTACAATCTACTTATACACATTATACGACAAGCACCAAAGCCGGAGATGTTCCTTAACAGAATATGTCAATACCTGTCGAAGCCAATCACTTCATCGCCGCAGAACGGCACCGGTCTCGCACTTTCCATCCTTAGCACCATCTTCAACACCGTACCAGCGGACAACGAGGCGCGTTTCCACATTTTCCGGGCTATACTCTCGGTCGTTAAGAATTCAGGTAACTTTGAGACGCTTAAGCCGCAACTGAAGAATCTGGATCAGTGGATCGCGCAATGGGACATCGACGCTGAAGAGCAGAGACAGTTGTTTTTGGAAATTTCCGAAACAGCGGAGGCCTCGGGGGAGACCGATGATAGCTACGAGTACCTCATCAGGGCACTGCGGACAATACCTGCGGACGAGGCGTCGAGCGAAGAGGCGCAAAAGTTGTCACAACAGGCGTTGAAGGCCGCTTTGCTTCATCCCGCACATTTCGACTTTGAAGATCTCAATTCGCTGGACGCCGTCCAGGCGCTCAAGAACTCTGACGCCGTCGCCTTCGAACTGCTCGAAATCTTCACGGCCGACAATCTGGAAAGTTTCAACGACTTCAAGACCGAGCATGACGGCTGGCTAGAATCGCACGGTCTTGACGAGGCTGTCCTAGACAGGAAAATGCGCCTTCTTACGTTGGCGTCCCTTGCGGCACACGAGAACCAGAAACGCACGCTCTCGTACACGCAGATTGCAAAGGCTCTGCAAGTGCCTGAGGACGAAGTGGAGATGTGGGTCATCGACGTGATCCGCGCCGGTCTCGTCGAGGGCAAGCTTTCGCAGCTGAACCAACAGTTCCTCATCCACCGCAGCACATATCGAGTGTTTGGCGAGAAGCAGTGGCAGGAGGTCTCGGCCAGGTTAGACATGTGGCGGTCCAGTCTCACGGAGATCCTAGGCGTGATTCGCGCTGAGAAGGAAAATTTCCTTCAGCAAAAGGAGCAGGAGCTGAAAGAGGCGGAGGCGAAGGCTAGCGGCGCCGGCGAGGGAGAGAAAGAGCGAGGTGGCCGTGGCGAGGGTCGCGGAGGCTTCCGAGGTGGTCGAGGCAGAGGTGGAGGTGCGGCTGGCAATCGGGAAGCCGCTGCGCCTCCCCCCGCAGCAACTGAGATTGAATCGGAGGCATGAGGAAGCGGGAGATGATCGTTGACGATTGTTGCGTTCGCATGGCATTCTACGGTTGGGTTATGCGGAAATATGAAAAGCTACCATAACATTCATACAAGGACAGGATTCTAGATTGCCTGGTAACGGCGTGAATATCATGGTAGATACAATAACTATGCAAAGTAAATTATGTGCCAAGGGGATTTGAGGACCATGATAGCATCAACCAAAACCGCAATGGAAATACATCCATATTCGAAGCAGCTCTAACGTGCTTTGCTTGGGCTTGCATATTTCTGCAATCCAGACTGAATTTTCGCTGTACGTGGAACGATTTTTTATATTTCAGTAGGCGTACTTTGTTTACAGTTTTTGATCTGATGTTCGCGTACAAGGATTGCTGAACTCGCCCGCTGCTCCCAATCTTGCTGGATATTGAATGATACAACTTATCGCGCGCATTCTCTGTGTATCGTGGGACCATTGACTAGCTCGAGTCGTCGAAAACTTACAAGCAGAACCCAAGGCTGAAAGTTTTGACGTTGCGAGGAGCAAACCGGGAAGAATTCCTGAGGCAAACTTCGAGCGACGATTATCAGTCGTGTTGCAATGGGACTCCGCGGTTCAAGACTGTATTAAGCCGCCGTGCTTCGCGCTCTTCCGATAACCACGAGACGAGGCTGTTGAAGTGCACCGGCCAAAAACTATCCGAAACACTGGATCTCGAAGCCGAATCATGGAGCTCAAACTGTAGGGGTAACGTAGGCTGTGCAGCTCCCCATCGTGGAAGAAGTTGAGTACGAACAACGCAACATCGTCGCCCTCTCCGATACTCTCAGCCCATGGACGCCTCGCCCCCATGAAATCGCCTTATTTGGAGTGAGCTCGGCGTCATTGGACGACGGAGCACGTCGCAGTCCAGTTCCCGCCGCTTTCGACTTGCCCATTGAAGCACGAGATCGCCGCTGGCCAAGAGAAATTGAATTTTTTTTTAAAAAAAAAAAAAAAA